TGGAGACATAGGTGGAGTGGTAAAAGGATCCATAATGGTGGAGTTGTTGATAGTTTAGTCCTAATGTGAAGAGTTTTAATTTCGAGGTTCTACAGCCTGAACGCACGGACTTTTGTCCCCATGTTCGTTAGCCGTCATGAGCTATTATCCTTGACCGGTAGCGGTGGCTCTTCAGCGAGGACTGCTTGCTGTATCTTCTTCTTAGATATCTGGTTTTGCACCTTCGAATAGAGCTTAAAAGCAGGATCACCAGAATCACGAACTGTTGCAAAGAACTCGTTAAGGAATTACCCAACTAGCAGATAGGAATTCATGTACCTTACATCACATCTATAGCCATATGAGCTCTATGTTTTGGCGGCATTGAACCTTCTGGCTTGTCTGTCGGCATCATCCAGAACACATGTCATAACAGCATAGTTCAGAGAGTTAGTGCGCCTCTCTCAAAATCTGTGTTTGATTTGGTGAATACGTTCCTTGAGAGAATTAGCGCGCTAACAGTCATCAGAACTCTCAATCGAGATACCGCTATTGTGCTATACTTTTGACTATATTTTGTACTCCTCTTCCACCAACTTGCGATCCTCATCCATCTCCGACACAACAACTCCAACCAGCACACAACACTACACAACAACGACCTCGTACCAGCACTTCTGCTGCTGGATTACCAATCTTTGTGCAAGATACCAATCAATTCCCGAACTTCAATTCCAACTCGCAAGGACAATGGCTCCCCCACAGCTTTTCGTCTCCGAAATAAAGAGTAGGACCTTACATCCCGATGATTGTTATAAAACAATCTTAGGTACGTACGAAAGACTTACTCCATTCTTATGCTATATATATCTCTAGTACCAAAGTTGAGAGTTATAGTGGCGCAACTGTATGTAGAGGGCATGGCTTTTGCATAATTATAACGAAGCGCATCATCTCCATTGACCAGAGTGTTGGCATCATAAGAGTTCCTGTCCCTATGGATATTTGCTGTTACTACTCTGTTGGAACGTTGAGCTAACTACGAGTCTAGAATACTCTTGTGGCCACTTCGAAAACCACCCGGACATGCCCTACGTTACCCACGTTGGTTGCAAGGGCAGATCTCCAGCAGCATGGACATGCAGCAACACGTCCAACGTGAGCAAAGTCGTAGAAACCAAGAAGGAGTGCAATGTATGCGCATCCGCACCAGCCACCTACAAGGTATTCCTGGCTACGAAGCCTGAGACGGACGAAGTCGATCCCATTGCATCTAGCCTCCCTCTCAGCCCTGTCGCCGCAGTTACTGCACCAGCGAAGTCGAACAAGTCGAATGGACCAAAGATCCCATTCTTCTCTCCCCCGTCCAGCACTGCACCAGCGATGTCACGGGCTGAACGTCGCAAGGCCAACAAGGCTGCAGCTCTGCGCCAGGCTACGACTTCACATCCTAGACAAGGTACAGCTCTAGGAGAGGACGACAGCACCTTTGGCGAGTCTAGCAAGTCTTTCGAGTCAACTCAACCGACGAACGACTTCAAAAACCCATGGGCTGGGGAGGATGCCTGGGCAGCAAAACAGACGACTTCGGGAGATGAGATGACCGGGGTAGAGATGGAGGAGGAGGAGGAGTCCAAGGTCGCGGGATCTGCTAAGTGGTGGGAGACCAAACAGCAACGGGACTGGAAGTAGAAGGATAGAGGGAAAGGGTTCGCCATACTAAGATGGGGTTTAGGATTTCGTTCTGATTTTTTCCAAGGCGTTGTGTTCGTAAGTGGTACAATGAGGGTAGATGGCTACTGAAAAGACGTGTATTGTGCTCTTCCTAGCATAGAGTACTAAATGCACAACTACTTGCAAACCCATCACACTTCTCGCTGAATGTGACGTCTATCAATCTCACTCGCAAGTTCATTTTTCGCTAAGTGAAAAGTAAATCTCACCTGCTTACTCTACATGATTGTGCTACTTACTTGCATATTGTGGGATTGTACTGTAAGAGCTTCAAATTGAGATGCAGCGGGAAGGGAATACAAACTAACTCATCTAAGCTCTAAATTCCCCCGATTTGTGTTTCATATCATGCGCCAGTCCGCAGAGGCTCTTTCATCTCACTGGAGTACACAGAAGCTAGCTTCTTCTAGCTACTTCTGATGTATGCTATCTATCAACCCCGAGTCAGAATTCCTTGACATAATAAAGATTTCTTGCATAATGCTAGAAACATGTAGTATGTCACAATTTCTACACGAATGCAACGTAAGTGTACGTACAAGTCTTCAGCAAATCATGAAGCTATTCAGATGAAAGTCAAACAAGTGCGCCTATGTAGATTTATGCCCAGTACCCAGCCACACAAAAAACCTGGCAACTTGAAGCAACTCTTTAACATCTTCCATACCAACTCTACACCGACTCTTCATCCCACATGGCATCTCTCACTTCTCAATCCCGCAATATCCACCCTCTTTCTCGCATCAATGGCCCCGCAAATCCCCGCAAAAACGAGCCCAGATAACTTCTTCCCCATGCAGGACTTACTCGGCGGAGAGTGCTACTTCACCTGGATCCGTAAATTTCCTTCCCTCTTAATTCTCCCTGCTCTTTCCCACCTCCACCATCCAAAAGCGCAACAGACCTCCGCACCACAAATCATCACACTCATCACATCTTCGACCTCTAACTCCCATCAGAATACACCTGCACCTGCACCCACACCCCACACCCGTCCTACCCCTACGTAACGCACATCAACTGTCCCGGCCCCACCTGCGCCAACAAAGACATGCTAGACGTCGTCCTCGACTCTAAACTGAAGTGTAAAGAGTGCCGAGGACCGCCCGAGGCACGTTGTTATACGTTTAAGTTCGCGGCTGCTGCGATTGTGGCGTATAGGACTATTCCGAGTTTGCTGGCTATTCGGAGGAAGAACGAAGAGGAGGGTAAGAGAAAGAAGATCAAGGAGGAGGCGAGGCGGAAGAGAAAGGAGGGAGAAGCAAGACGAAATGTTCTTCGAGATAGGATTAAGGAGGAGGAGGTGGTTGCGGAAGCTTGTTGTCTTGAGCAGGCTAGGCGTAGGAAGGAGGAGAAGGAGCGCGTGGAGAAGATTCGGGAGGAGATGAAGATTAAGGAGCAAGCAATGGCCGAGCAAGCCCAGATCTTGGAGGAGGCTCGACGAAAGAATCAGGAGCAAGAGATAGCTGCGCCAGCTTCCTATCTAGATGAAACGAAGCGAGATAAAGAACCAAAGAAGCCACTGGGAAATATTCGGGTGGGGATCAAGGAGCAAGCTATGGCCGAGCAAGCCCAGGTGTTGGAGGAGGCTAGGGGGCAGAAAAAGGAGCGAGGACTAGAACTTGAACTTTCATACGACCTCACGGCAGCTGCTGGCAAGGCCCAGAAAGACCATAAACCAGAACCGAACTCCACTTCTTCGGGCGATGCAACTCCAGCCCCCAAAGAGGAAGAAGAAGAATGGGAAGACATCTCCATCGACCTAGCAGACGAGATGGCGGAGCTGGAGATGGAGTCTCGAGATCTAGATGGATGGGTTATGGTTTGATTGTTTCCTTCGGACTGCTTTGAGACATTTCAGGTATGTTTGGATAGTAGAGGGAGAATAGAGCGAATACATCAATCAGGATGTGTAAAACGTCTAGCCAACTATTTGAAGGTGAAAGAGCATCTTTATGAGAGTAACAGGGGTATTGATATGAACTATGAATTGGGCTATTGATTATTGGTAGGGTGTACTAACTATGTTTATAGTGAAAGTCAAGTAAACACTACTCATACTGTAAAGAAGTAATAAGAACCCGTTGTCGGTGATATTTGTTGCGTGTTGTGCTTTATAGCCTTTAAGCCTTTGGCTTTGCTTTGCTAGAGTCCAGTCCTTGAAGGAATGTATACTTACTCCTTATATCAAGGCTAGGAGGCAACACCACATTTAATCACGGCACAACAATCACATCAAATTCAAACCAATAGAATCAACAACAGGGACACAGAGTCCGATTCGCAAGCCGCGATTTGCAGCCTTGCTCAAGTCTATACGCGCAAGCAGACGGAATATATCATCTACATGTACAATGTCCACTCCTTTAAATATCCCTACTCCTCAACCCCTTCGCATCAATCACCATCCCAGGCGTCCGTTCCCTATCGATACTTTCCCTCGCCGGCCTCTCGATATCCCTTTCCACCATCTCGATCCCGCTTAGACTTGGGAACCTCTTTGAAAAGTCTGCGAGATAATCTTCTTTCTCTCGCGTGCTCATCTCTGCTTCTAGGCCTCCTAATTTGGCTTTCTGTAGATGTGATGATGGCTTAGGAGGAGAGTTTTGAGGTCCCGAGCCGGGGCCGGTGGAGATGCTGTTGAGGTGCATGGGTTTTGGAGGTGCTGAAGGTCGAGGACCGCCTGTTTTGGAAATGGTGGCGGGCGACATGGTGATGTGTTGAGGTAGAGAGTTCGTATGTGCTGATGGAGGTTGGGAGCGGGTTTTGGCGTAGGAGATCTCAGAGGCTGAGGTGCTGGGTGTGACCATAGGAACTGTTCGTGCGTGTGTAGGTAGAGTGGAGGTAATTGGCTTGCGAGTTATGGACGGTTTGGCATATGGATTCGAGGACGAGGGCTGAGACTCGAAAGCACTGGCCTGTGGACGTGGTATAGCGTCAGTATACTTTCCATACCCTTCTGCGGTCTTCTTTGGTGATGGTCCTTGATTCTCGTCCAAGAGACTCTTCACCTTGTTCTGAATGGAAGTAGCACGTGATATGCCTCCAATACTTTTGGGCGCAGGCGCCGAAGCTCGGTCTGCTAGGCGTTTACGGTACTCTGCTGCCGCATTTGCCACGCGCTTTTCTTCCATTGACAGGCGTCGTCGTTCAATCTCTCGTCGTTGTTCAGGCGCCAAGTTGTCCATATCTTCAAGAATGTTGCCATCATCACTACGACCATCAGTAGCTTCTGATCCAGCAATTGGCGTAAGATCCCGTCGTTCCATGTCTTGCAGCGGGCTCGGTGTTCGTGGACCTGGCGGTGCACTTGTATTGTTCTCGAAACGCTTGAAAGCATCACCAAACTTCCCAGCTAGTAGATTCTTCGTCCCAGATAAGGTCATCGAAGGTAAACTTGAGCGTTTCGACTTATTGCCACCTCCACTGCTTCGCCTTCTATCTTTCTTTGTTGAGTCTTGATCTTCCATGGTGCGCAGGAAGTCAACATTTGATTCGATGTTAGTCTCTTCGTCAGCGTCTGGTTCCGCAACGGCCGAATCTCTCGAATACGAAGGCCTTTTCTCTGAAAAGGATGGTCTACCATTAGATTCCTTCTCTTTTTCACGAAGAAAGTCCATGTTGGACTCCAGATAGGTACTTGACGGTCGAGGTCGGGAATTACTTGATTTGGTTCGTGCCACCGGATCTAGAGCATCGGCATTTGGTCGACCACCTTCAAGGGAAGGCCGCGACGATGATGGATGCCTTGCATGACCTAGATGTGAGTTCGATGGAACTCGTGGAATGGTAGTCTGCACTGGCTGCATCTCCTCTGGTCTCAAGAAATGCGATCTACTAGAGGTCGCCTCTTGATTCCTTGGTAGACTCGTTGACCGATGGTGGTCAGAAACAGGTGGAAATCTGGGAGCCGGCGAGGAAGTGTATTTCACAGGTGTCTGGCCAGGAGGGGGCGGGGTAGGAGCCGTCATGGTTCCTTGTGAGACGTAGGAGTTTACTGGAGGACGTGTTGGAGTCGGCTGGTAAACTATACTTGGTGAAGTAGCTACTGCCTGAAGCTCCGGATTGTTGGATATGATCTTCTGGGCTCTGGATACTACATTGCTTGACGGTTTCACGGTCGATGAGGGCGTTGAAGTCTTGGGCGTAGGTACGACGAAAGCATCATCAGCAAGCTTCTCAGTGACTCGTTGACCTAGATCCCGTGGAGGATGTGTAGGAGAGGTCTTATTATCAAAATCAAACTTTCCACCATCATGGAGGAGCGAGAATTGGTCGAGGCTCGGGAATCGATTCGATATCTCATCTACTGGTCCAGGAGGCGATTTTGAATCTAGGGCTGCGAAAGGATCGCTGGTAGTACCCCGCATAGGCGAGGGACTTGGTTTCGCAACATGCACTGGAGCACTTGCTGTAGGTCTTCCACGCCGCATTGGTACCACGTCTGGAATGACTTGTTGTTGCGGGGGAGGTGGTGCAAACACGGCACCGACAACTGGAGGTGACACGACATTTTGTTCGGGCGAGGGTAATTGTTGGTTTCGTCTTGCTTCTGACTGTGTCCTTGCAGCATAAATCTACGAGAATAAGTTTATGATCTGCGGTGTGATGAATACAACCTACGTCTTTTATGGGGACCTCGATTCCTTGCATCAAACATGCTTCTCGTAAAACTTGGTATATGTTGGGTCGGGAAGTTGGTTTCTCTTTCAGCATTGAGGCTACGATTTTCAGTACAATTGATAGTTCAGCTGCCAGGACCACGTACCTATGAGCTTCTTCAGAGGGTCTGAGAAAGGAGGATAGCTCGGAAATTTGAAACTGGCGTTTAGAATCGCAAGTTGACCTTGTGCCTCGAAAGGTGTAGTATAATAGCACAGCTTGTACAACAGCACTCCTAAGGCCCAAATGTCCGACTTCTCGTCAATTGGTTGTTTTCGATAGACATCGATCATCTCCGGACTGCGGTATTGTAGCGTAGTATGTTTCTGAACGTCATCCTCGAGCAGTCTGCACTCGGCGGCAGTGGTCGCAGCAGGTCGAGGAGGAGCCGTGGACCCAAAATCACAGAGTTTGAATCGCTTCGAGTGTCCCGTAGATGTTATCAAAACGTTTTCGACCTTTAAATCTCGGTGAAGCAAGGGAGGCTTCAGGTAGTGCATGCAAGCCACGCCTTCTGCCACGTCCGAGAAGATCTTCAAAATCTCGGGCTCCGTTAATCGATTCTGTAATCGAGTATTCATAAAATCAATCAGACCCCCACCATTACAGAACTCCATGAGCAGGAAGACCTCGTATCCTCCACCTTTCAATTGTGAGGCATGTGAATCGTAGTATGTGACAATCGGCCGGTGACCCTTCAGCTTCTTCATGGTTTCTACTTCAGTCCGCATATTTGCCAGATGCTCTTTGTCTGGTACTGCTACTCTCTTCAGCACAGCGATGTCGGTCCCATCAATGGGTTTCGGCATCTTGACCAGGTAGACATGGGCAAAGCCTCCCTCGGAGAAGTACTTTTGTATGACCACCTTCTGGCTTCCGACTTGTATCTTTGTCCCAGGCGCAAACGTACCAGCCGGAGCGGAGGGATCAGCCATGGGGACAGGAGCCCCGAAGACAGGTCGAGATGCCGTCGCAGGCATTTGATGATTGTAGGAAGCCATGATGCCAAGGCGACGGCTGCGAGAAAGCTAGAACTCGAATATCTGGTCACGGCATTGGATGGAGGATGGAGTATGACCCGAACTCGTTGCGAGGCTCAAAGAATAGTTGAGTTTGGATCTGCAGAGGGAATTCGAGGGGACGTTTAGGATTTGAGGTGCTGAGTTCGAGATGCTTCAAGTTGGCATTACGGACACTACTTGTACCGCCTTCGGCTAAACCGCTTCGGGCAATGGCCAAGGCAGCATTGAGATGGAGAACCCAAGTTCTTCGCCATCCAGAAGAACGATGATTTGTTCTTTTTATGCAAACCTTATTTGGTTGCCTTGAATAGGACTGATGGCTGTCTAGGCAACATTATTCTCTATCGGGCTTTTCCTTGACTGTCAAATAACGGCAGCTCACGGAAGACCCAATCGTGGCGTGCGGTGAACCACGAAAGTCAGTCAGCCACTCGCAGCCTTGTCTTGCAGCCATCTGGAAGTGAAGTCGAGATCTCGGAAATGCCATGCCATGCCATGAACAAAGAAGAACAAACGCAGAGAGACATGGCTATTGTCAAGTACTGCTAAATGGCATCGAGTATGGAGTCACGTGGAGTAGATCTTGATTACCTAGGTAGGTAGGTAGGTATCGAGAGGGCTAGAGGGCATCAGAATCCAGGCGTCTCGCGCTTGAAACCCATCTTCGCCCCAGGCTGAACTGAACGGCGGAGGGCGAGGATGTTACCCATATTCTTCGCCCTCCGTAGTGATCGAGCCGTAAATACGATGCCTTCTGAAGTTTACTGTACTGTCGGTATCCTTTTGAGCGTTCCAACGGTATCGTATCCAGCCTCGCCTCGCACAGCACCGCAGCCAGCAGCAGCACCATTTGCAGGGCTGGTATTGAGTGCTTGAGTAAGTAAGTGAGTGCGGGCAGGGATGTGCGGCCAGCTTGCTTGAAATGTTTGTTGTCCACACTGCAGCGTTTCGGAATAGGCTTCCCAGATGGCAGACGGTCGCATTGCGTACCAAGCATGCCGCAACGACCCAAAAAACAAAATGAGGTTATAGATGCTCCGGATGCATCGCTGGCCTCGTCGTCCGCGACCCCTTTTTGGCAGCAGCGGTGGATGACGATTTCTTTCCTCCTGTGGCTTCTGCTCCAAATGATCCTCTTGCCTCAGCAGAAAAAGAGTGGGTCTCGCTTAAGGGGGCATGGATGGCCTAGCGTCCCCAAATCAAAAGGCGCGACTACCTATATAATCTATTCAAGAACCCCGATCGCCCCAAGAAGTGAGGACCGACGCAACACGCGTGCAACGAACCACCCATGCACCGCTCGCAATTCCCGCACCACCAAGACGAAGTAAGACCGCCATCCCCACGCCCAATCACCGCGCCGCATCCACCAAAATAAGAGGGGCCCATATTCCTGTGACGGCCGTCGACCACTCGTGATTCACGAGAATCTCATCCGACGCGCCTGGGAGACGAGTACCGGTACGCCGCCGCCGCCTCGGACCTGATAATCAAGGCCACCACCCACGAGAAAGCCTTTCGATCTTTTCGACCAGAATACGGTAACCCGTACCTTTGCGCCCGGCTTCGCCACCATTAATACGGTATTCCCAGACTGACCACCAGCGCTCGTCGCAGCAATTGGGAAGTACTGTATCCTGCCCTCCGCCTCCGACTCCCAACCGTAAAAGCGTATTCGTCGCGACAGCAATTTGGTTTCATTGATGGCGTTGACCAACTTCCACCGCAATCCTTCTTTCAGGTAACATTGTTGAGTGGGTGACGAACCGTTATCGGGCTTGAAGATGGCATCAAGGTGAGTGATCGAGCAAGCATCCTTCCTTTAGCCTGCATGAGACGTGCGGCGTCTTGATAATTTCTGGGGATAACGCTAACCTTCCTTCTTTTCCAGACTTGATCGCCTTGTCACGTGAGTACACACTTTTTCGTTTCGTCCGCCCATCTGGATCCGAGCTTTTCATAAGTCCGACGCGAATTTTGTCGGTGGTCCTTTGGAGTCGAACCTTTTGACGTACATTTGGAGAACGCCGATCCCGTACCTCAGCTAGGTCTCTCTCGAGATACTGCACAGTCAAACTCCGAAGAATTCCCCTCTTGAATGGCCACTCTTATACCTCTTCTGCCAAGCCTATCTTATCGAGTCTCTCTGAGTTCGAACTGTCCCAAACTCTTTGCGATCTCCATCACCGTTGTCGTTCTTTTATGTCGTTTAGTTGTTTACCGAGAGCCTGATTCTATTTTCCCAATACTACTACCAGGAAGCAAGGTTGTTGTCATGTCTCCAGCTTTGAAGCCAGGGTGCAGGACCGTCATGGAGACGCTCTGGTATCTTGTTGCCTGCAAAAGCAAGTTCTAAAAGTCCACTTTAACTTTCTTGTCACCTGGGCTAGAGTTGAGTATTTGGCGATTCTTCCCGACATTTCTGTCTCTGGCATATTGTCGTTCTTTGGGACTTTGACCTTTCATTGCTTCCAAAGAATGTCTTTCGCTGACCTTTTCATTCACCTTTCTGGATCGAAATGGGGTCAAATGGTTTGACGGGTGTGGTTCCATAAATGTTGCAGACATATTCTGGCAATGTATTTGGATTTAATGTTTATGGACGACTCCTAACCCTGGTCCCATGCGATCCTCTTTCGGAAATGTCGCATTTTCAAGCTTCGGATGCCACGCAATTCATCCTCGTTCCATAGTTCTTAGGACCTGTTGCAAAGTTGCAAGATCATCCCTTCGACGACATCTGTACATGAATCTCGTGCCTTTAGCCGATCTAGCAAGACGCACCGAGTCTTTATTTTACAAATTTATTCTTGTACGACGACGATGCTAATAGTGTTGATTAAACAGGCTCCTCGAGACAGGTAGCACACAATTGATCCGAAATACAGCTGCACAACAACTTGCGGATGTTCAGAAGGCACACCCCGAAGAGCTTTTCAATCTTCTGACTCGAGTCGTTCCCTACCTAAGACACAAGACATGGGACACTCGGATTGCTGCAGCGAAGGCATTAGGAGGAATTGTAGATAATGCAGAAAGATATGATCCAAATGGCGAAGACGGATCAACAAAGAACAAGCCCAAAAAAGAGGAAAATGGCTTTCACATCAAGAAGGAAGAACCAGCTGATGAGACACCTCTCGCTGAAGGTCAACTGAGTTTGGATTCCCTCGACGTTGTCTCTATTCTTAGATATGGAAAAGAGCTATTAAGGGGTGGTGGCAAAGACATTGATTATGCTCTTGCCACAATGAATCCAGCACAACGCCTTGCACATCAAAAGAAGACCCTTTCTGGTCGACTTGGTCTCTTAGGCGAATACTTCGAGGAAGATATTGACATCGACTATCCTCCACCGAAACATAATGGAGCACCAACACCTCAAATCCCAACATCGAACGGTCACAATGGTAATGGCACCAAGACACCGAGCACTCCTGCCGACGAACTTGGTCTGAGTGCAAGACAACTAAACCAGTTGAAGCGGAAACGAAAACGAGAAGCCCAACACGCAGGAAGCAAGAATAAGTTGATTGATTTGTCCATTCGACGATCAAGTACGATGGAGTCGATTGGCGGTGACACTACCATGTCAGACATCGTTGATGATAATCCGAATGGGGTGTCTGACTTACTATCAGTGGGGCGAGCCGAAGACGTTGACGAGGATGCGAAGGTGGTCTCCGAATTCAAAGGTCCGATCTTGCCCATCAAATCTGAATTAGAGACAGAAGAAGAAGCTGAAGGAGGCGAATGGCCCTACGAGCGTCTCTGCGAGTTTCTCATGGTTGACCTCTTCGACCCTCAGTGGGAAACCAGACACGGTGCTGCGATGGGATTGAGAGAAATTATTCGAGTACATGGTGCTGGAGCAGGTCGAGCACGAGATAAAACTCGGACTGAGAACGACTTACTCAACAGACGATGGCTTGACGACCTCGCTTGCCGACTTTGTTGTGTATTTATGCTGGACAGATTTGGCGACTACGTTTCTGATACTGTCGTTGCTCCAATTCGAGAGACAGTAGGACAGACTTTGGGAGCTTTACTCATCCACCTTCCTGCCACAACCGTTTATGCTGTACATCGAATCCTTTATCGAATGGTCATGCAAAATGATCTCAAGCTCGAGAAGCCTGGATGGGCGATCTGCCATGGAGGCATGATCGGCTTGCGATATCTCGTCGCCGTCCGCAACGATCTTCTGCTCAAAGACAGCGACCTGATTGATGGTGTCATTCGCGCTGTTATGAAAGGTCTTGGAGATTGGGACGACGATGTTCGCTCGGTCAGTGCTGCAACACTTATTCCAATCGCAAAGGAGTTTGTCAACTTGCGCCCAGAAGCGTTGGACGGTCTCATCAATATCGTATGGGAGTGCTTGTCCAATCTGGGAGATGATCTCAGCGCGAGTACTGGTCAAATCATGGATCTCCTTGCCAAGCTTTGTAGTTTCCCGGAGGTTCTGGAGGCTATGAAGAAGAATGCAGCCAGAGATTCCGAACAATCCTTCGCACTTCTTGTGCCACGGCTATACCCCTTCTTGAGACATACCATCACATCAGTACGATCTGCTGTTCTCCGTGCTCTATTGACGTTCGTCAACATTGAGGGCGATGGCACTCGAGACTGGCTTAATGGCAAAATCCTGCGGCTCATCTACCAAAATATTCTCGTCGAGCGTAATCAAGATACACTCAACCTCTCCTTACAAGTGTGGGCTTCTTTGGTGAAGTATCTAGCCAAGGATCCTGCAGACCTCGCTGAGCAATTTTCTATGCACATCGAGCCTCTAATGCAGCTCACACTCCATCCAATTGGTGTGTCACGCCATCCCTTACCAATGAACGCTACACTCTTCCAGAAGCCCTCCGGTAGCACATACTCTATGCCTGCAGGATTCGTACCTATCACGACCATCCGACAAATCACTCCACCTCAACCATCAGAACCTCCAGCCAAGAAGCAACGACGAAAATCTACAAAGAATATTGAACCTGTTCCTACGACATCTTCTCACGATGTGGATGGCCACATGATGCAAGGAGATGTTGATTTGGTGGGTATAGATATCCTCATCAGATCGAGAATTTATGCTGCAAAAGCCATGGGTCTCATTATGTCACTTGTTCCCTTTAATACATTGGAACCATATGATGCGAACATAATCCCGGGCTTGACATCTGCTTTCTCATCTACCCAGCTTACAGCCTCGTTGATCATCGATGAGTATGCTAAGAACTGCACCTCAAAGGACCAACCAGCACGATTTGTTGATCATCTAATTAAGATCATTGAGTCAGATCGTCCAGTGCATTACCGGGACCTTGTTAGCTTTACGCAATTGGTTCGCGCTCAGTGTTCTCAGCTACTCAACACCTTCCGAGACGTTGGTAAAGTGTCTCAAGGTCGGCTACCTGTTCTTGCAGTCGTGGTCCAAGGAGAGCCTGAAGCTGGACCTGATGCCTTCTCAATCTTTACTGCAGATAAGGTTGTCAATGATGACTTTGAGAGACTCAAGAAGGCAATGCCAGCTGCTCAGAGATTGATCGCCACACAGGCTTTGACAGAAGCTCGTGAACAAACTGTCGAGACCATCACCACGGCCAAGTCGATCAAGGAAACACGTGATATTCGGATCAAGGCTGCCGCAGCAAGCGCCTTAGTTGCCATGAAGGTATCACCGAAGAAACCCACTCATATCATCAAGGGTATGATGGACAGCGTGAAGAAAGAGGAGAACGTCGAACTTCAGCAAAGATCTGCTTCTTCCATTGCCAGACTTGTTGAGCTCTTTGCTGAGGGAGGGCGCGCTGGACCAGCTCAGAAGGTTGTCTCCAACTTGGCTAAGTTCAGTTGCATTGATACATCTGAGACACCCGAGTTTGGACCAAACGCAGTCTTCACGGCCAACATTCTGTCGCTTCGGAAGGAAGAGGACCGAAGAGATCATCCTGATGCTGCGAAGTTTGCCAAGGAAGCTAAAGAGGCCAGAATCGTCCGACGTGGTGCTAAGGAGGCTTTGGAGCAGTTATCAGCCATATTTGGTCCCCAGCTGTTGGACAAAGTACCCACACTCAAAACTATCATGGAAGATGCTCTGACCTACGCATTCTCTGGGCCTCTGCCAGCAGATACCAAGGATCCAGAACAAGAAGCTGGACAATCTGCCATTGATGCCATGTCAGTGCTTCGTGCCTTGACGCCAACATTGAGCAAGGAGTTGCATCCTTTTGTCATTCACCTGCTGCCTTTGGTCATCAAAGCCTTGCATTCAGAACTGTCTGTCTTCAGATACATGGCTGCAAAATGTCTTGCTACTGTATGCAGTGTGATTACCATTGAAGGTATGACCATGCTCGTTGAGAATGTACTTCCATCGATCAGCAATCCTATCGACCTCAACTTCCGCCAAGGAGCGATCGAGTCTGTCTATCATCTCATTCATGTCATGGGTGACAGCATCTTACCATATGTTATTTTCCTCATCGTACCTGTACTTGGTAGGATGAGCGATTCTGACAACGATGTGCGACTGATTGCCACCACGACCTTCGCGACACTGGTCAAGCTTGTGCCATTAGAAGCAGGTATTCCAGATCCCCCAGGATTGTCAGAAGAATTGTTGAAGGGACGTGATCGTGAACGACAATTCATCGGTCAGCTGCTTGATCCCCACAAGATCGAGCCATTCCATATTCCTGTCGCTATCAAAGCAGAACTCCGATCGTACCAACAGGAAGGTGTCAACTGGCTCAACTTCCTCAACAAGTACCATCTTCATGGTATTCTTTGCGACGATATGGGTCTCGGCAAGACTTTGCAGACACTCTGCATCGTTGCTAGTGATCACCATAATCGAGCAGAAGACTATGCAAAGACGAAGAATCCAGATGCTCGCAGATTGCCATCGCTCATTGTCTGCCCTCCAACGCTCTCTGGTCATTGGCAACAAGAGATCAACACTTATGCACCATTCCTCACTTGTACAGCCTATGTTGGCCCTCCGGCTGATCGTGCTCGACTGCAAGATCAGTTGACCAAGACGGACATCGTCATCACGTCCTATGATATCTGCCGAAATGATGCTGATGTTCTCACCACATTGAATTGGAACTATCTTGTTCTTGATGAGGGACATCTGATCAAGAATCCTAGAGCCAAGGTCACTATGGCAGTAAAGCGTCTGCTCAGTAATCATCGTCTCATCCTGTCTGGTACTCCGATTCAGAACAACGTCTTGGAACTCTGGTCCCTGTTCGATTTCCTCATGCCTGGTTTCCTTGGTACCGAGAAGGTCTTCCTCGATCGCTTTGCCAAGCCTATCGCTGCCAGTCGATTCAGCAAGTCATCCTCCAAAGAACAAGAAGCTGGTGCATTGGCCATCGAGGCCCTTCACAAGCAGGTCCTTCCCTTCCTTCTCCGACGTCTCAAGGAAGAAGTCCTTGATGATCTACCTCCAAAGATCCTACAGAATTACTACTGTGATCTTAGCGATCTTCAAAAGAAGCTATTCGAGGACTTCACTAAGAAAGAAGGCAAGACGATTGCTGAGAAAGCTTCACTTGGAGACAAGGAAGCCAAACAGCATATCTTCCAGGCCTTGCAATATATGCGCAAGCTCTGCAACTCACCTGCTCTCGTCATGAAGGAAGGTCACAAGCAATACGAAGAGACCCAGCGACTGCTTGCAAAGCAAGGCACCAGTCTTCGCGACCCTATCCACGCACCAAAGCTCACTGCTCTCCGAGATCTCCTCGTCGACTGTGGAATCGGTACCGAACCCTCAGCCGAGAATGAACTCACGACCGAAACATCCTACGTCTCTCCCCACCGAGCCCTCATCTTCTGCCAAATGAAGGAAATGCTCGACATGGTCCAAAACGACGTCTTAAAGAAGATGTTACCCTCTGTCCAATACCTCCGCATGGATGGTTCAGTCGATGCATCGAAGCGTCAAGATATCGTCAATAAATTCAATTCGGACCCTTCATACGATGTCTTACTCCTAACTACGAGTGTCGGTGGTCTCGGGTTGAATTTGACTGGTGCCGATACCGTCATCTTCGTGGAACACGACTGGAATCCCCAGAAAGACTTACAGGCTATGGATCGCGCTCATCGAATTGGTCAGAAGAAAGTCGTTAACGTCTACCGGTTGATTACTAGGGGTACCTTGGAGGAGAAAATCATGTCGTACGTCCATCCCTTTTGCTCCCTTCCTCCCTTCCCTTCATATATACTAACCTAATTTCGCAACAGCCTCCAACGCTTCAAAATCGACGTAGCATCCACAGTAGTCAACCAACAAAACGCAGGCCTGGGAACCATGGAAACAGACCAAATCCTCGACCTCTTCAACCTAGGCGAAACAGCAGAAGGCATCGACAAACCAACCTTAAACGGCGGGAACGGCGAGGAGAGAGAGGAGGATATGGTGGATGCCACCGGAGAGGTGCGGGAGAAGGGGAAGAAGGGGTGGTTGGATGATCTGGGGGAGCTTTGGGATGATAAGCAGTATGAGGAGGAGTTTGATTTGGATGGGTTTTTGAAGACTATGAAGTAGGGGGGGCAGAGGGGAGGCGGGGGAAATACTTTGATGGCATAGCGGCATGGGGTTGGCGTTTTTTGTGTTTATGGTGTGAGAGAGAGGGGGGAATAACACAGTGGATATTTGTATATTGTATGACTAGAGAAGAGAGATATTAGGGGGAGGTGGTTGCATAGCGTGGAGTGGGCGACGTATTAGGCAATACATGCTTGTTTTGGTGAGAGATTTTCTTTCGTGTGAGATTGTTCGATGTGGATGGTGGTTGGGAATGGGCGAGTGCCTTGTTCAGTCATGAGAAGATGTTTTTGAACCGATTGCAGTTTCGAAAGGATGAATAGTCCGCACTATGGTTGGGGCAGGTCCCTACATAAATGCATAAAAACGTGCAAACTTACCTAGGTACTACTCGTTACACTGAACGTGAGTTCGAGGCCCTGCGACTATTGCGGATGCTTGCTGTTGAAACAAGGAGGATTTTGGTATTCCAACAATTGAATCTACCGCATTTTGCATATAATTAGCTAGAACCACCAGGTTATATGGAGGTCAAAGAATTCATCTGCTACTTTGTATGCATCCCATTACTATTGATCTTATCTCATAGAGTATTTTCCTTCATGAAGCATCTTCCCCGAACCCTTCAATTACTCGATGGAAGAGGTCTATAATAAAAGCGCCAAAAGCTACAAGGCCCCACAGGTTCGTTCCCGGATCCGGATCTTCCCAACCCCTGATATCGAGCCGCGCAGTCACCGCACGTGACTCGCCCAACCTCCTCTTGCACATGCCCTCAAACCGCGCAATCCTCCCTATGCAAGTTCCAAAACCCCATACTTTCGGGATAAACCTCCAATCCTTCGACAATGACGAGTGTGGACCCGGCTCAAACATCAAAACGCGGTCGCTGCCAACTTTTGGACCTGAAATGCATGCGCATCAGGGATATATCAGGGATGCTTACCCGAGCTGTGTAACCCTGCAGCACTGCGTCATCCTCCACATCCCAACCCAATATACAGGTATTTGGCAGAGTTGCGGAGAGCATTGAAACGATGATTACTGTGTGAGTGCTATAAAGCAACGACAGGATCGTCCGCTGGGAATTTTCTATTCTCTATTCTTAAGAAAACTTTCATCTCTCACCAAAGAAAACCTCACTCTTCTTCCCACCCACCAAAATATATAAATCTCACTCGAGAAATAATCCCCTCCCACCTCAGCAAACATGTCAAACAAGTAAGCCTCCTCCCTTCTCCCTCTCCCTCTTCCGCATCCAAACTAACCTCACCCCCTCTCAGCGCAACCCAAAACCAAGAAGTAGCCGAAGCCTCCGACGAAGAAGTCTACGCCCAATCCGACGAAGAAGAAGCCTCCTCGGACGCCGCCCTCGTCCCCCAACAACAAACACAACAACAAGTAGCCCCCCAACCACGCCGGGGCCAGCGCCAACAACAGCAACCCAACGGGCTCCCACAGATGTCGCAGCAGGTGCAGAACCCGCCGGCGCGCGCGCAGGGCTATCGACCAGGCGCGATACGGGAGAGCCGGATTAAGGACCGTCCGGTTGCGAGTAGCGGCGCCAGTGATAGTGCGTTGAAGATTAAGATTGAGTTGGATCTTGAGGTGGAGGTTGATCTGTATGCGAGGGTTAAGGGTGATGTTACGATTGGGTTGATGTAGATTTTTGCTTTGCGTGGGCATAATGGGTTGGGAGTTTTTTGTTTGGTTGAGGATTTATAGGGTTATCATTATTATAGGGATTCAATGAATGGTTTTTGGGAGTTGAATGGTTTGGCTTGGTTTGGCTTTTGAGATGTGAGGTGTTGGAGTGAGGTTAAGTGGCTCTCGTTGAGTTGTTCTTCTTGCGTAACCTTTGCAGAGCGTTGGCACCTATGTAGGTGGTATGCTATACAGTTCCTTCTCTGAGTCTATTTCTAAGTCTTGCACCTCGAGCTATCCAACCCATTGGATCCGAATAATACCTCCTAGAGCAGATCAGATTTTGGGTCAGTCTTTGTTGTATGTCTCATTTTTGTAATGATTGAAATTACATTTTCTTAATTAGCTAAGGTACTATTGTATTGGCTATTATTGCACGTTGCGGTTCCCAATGTTGGCCGTTACATTGCGCCTTTTACATTAGGCAACGTCTGTAATATTTAGCTAGATGTTTCATAAGTACTCTCCAACCATGAGTCATTCAGCAACGTGACATAAGGACTGCTGGATTGATCGAAACATGGCTTTAGATCACCAAAGGTACTCCTCATTTCCGGAACATTCTGGGCTTGGTTTCCCATATTGTGAACTCCAAGTATCAGCAATAGTAACATGGTCTTGCTATTCACATTCAGTAGGAAGAGCAGTAGGTCTCCATGTTCTCATGCATTTTCCAATAGACTGATATCAGGTTCCAATAAGGTTAATAGGAGACTTGCTACCCTTGCCTCAACTTCAAAAAGACCATGGCTAACCTCACCATACCCCCACCGGGTCAAAGAAAGAAACTGCTCATACAACAACCCACTCTTTGTCTTCTTGATCTTGCATCTCCAACTCCGCCATCTCCTGCGCCAACTGCTCTTCCTCACGACGAGCAGCTCGAGCATAGAGATTAGCACGCCAAGTCTCCTCGTCCTTCTCTGTGGCCCGAATGATCTCCGCCCGACGAGCCTTAAGACGCTGAATCTCAGCTACCTTTTCCTGCCTGATCCGGAGCACCTTGGCAGCATCGGTTTCGTCGTTATCCTTCTTCGCCTGCCCCAGTACCTTGATCTCTTGCTTGACGGGAGCTTTGACCTGGGCCGCGACGAGCCCGAGCCAGCTCTTGTTCTGATTAACAACCACCTCCTTCTCACTATCCTTCGCAGCTTCAGCCTCTCGCTCCTTGTGGCGAAGCTCTCGAAGATCGCGTCTCTGTTCGTATTGTGCCCTCTTCGCTGCTAAGTCTTCATCGGCGGCGGTGATATCTCCAGTGTCGTTGACAAGAGCAGGAGCAACGATCCTCGGGGCAGGGAACGCAGATGTTGGGGTAGGCTTGGCAAAGGAAGCGGCAACAGGAGCGCAAACCTTGCACTTGTTCTCAAGCATGATGACTTGGGAGCCTAGACTCTTGATGTTGGCACATGGTAAGTCTTCTGAGCAGGCGCAGCCGATGTGCGTATAGCGGGGGAGGCTGGCGATGTATTTTATATGGCCGCAAGCAAACTCTATTCCGCTCGTTATTCAAGGATTTGAAGGAAGTATACAGAGATGATATGCGCTCCAGAAGCCCGATGGCCTAGAGTTTAGATATTGATTGCGCTTTACAAGTATTGGACTTGCGACCCTCAAGTGCATTAAATGTGAAGGAAGGTAAGAGATCTTTGAACGTGGATAGTGGGGAACTAGAACGTACTGTAGCTATTACGGTGGCACTCCCCGCTCTCGAAAACTTTAATCTTCTTAATATCCATGGTACTGGGTCTGAGGTTGAAGTTCATCATTGTTGGTGATGGTTACTGATGTGATGATCTTAAAGATGGTTGCCGTTGATTTGCGAAGATGTTGTTTGAAAAGAAGAGGATGAAGAGCAATGAGAAGTTGAAGGGGTTTATATATGCAACCGTGCGCTTCTAAAACCAAGACGCGTACGCTAAGAGCCATGAGTAGCCTTCTAGTGAGCATGTCGCTTAGATGTTAGCACTACTTAGTGCGCAATTATACTTGTTCCTTTTCTAGACTACTGTCACAGCAAATTACAATCTAATCCGAAAGGCATACACCTTTGAAGCAAATCATAGGGAAGTCGCTCTATTTCTTTCAAGAGAGCGAATTCGAGAAGGGTATCGTCATTTCTAATACGCTTCCACCAGACCATAGCCATTAACCCGAGCAAGGAGAATCCGTTCCAAAGTTCCAGTATTACGACTTCTGAAAGAGACTCTGGCGAGACGCTTCAAGAACGTCGAAGCCACAAGATTCTTTAGAGAAGGACCCAATCTTTGAGTTCCTGATCCTCCATCTCCATCTCTACCATCTCAGTAGCGAGCTTCTGTTCCTCGAGACGCAGATCCTCAACACGACGAGCTTCCGCCTCAGCCTCCTTCTCAAGACCATTAGCCTCAGCCTTGTACTTTCTCTGAAACTCAGCAAGAGAAGCTTCACGCTCAGCAAGAGAAGCTTTGCATGCAGCTATATAAGCCTTTTGTCGAACAGTCTTAGCTTTGAGCTTCTCAATTTCCTCAGCAAGCGCCTCTTCCTTGGCTTTCTCCTTCTTCTCTCGCTCTTGGCGACGAAGTTGTCGCAGGGTTTCGATCTCCTTTCGCTCAGCACACTTCTCAAATTCAGCCTTCTCCTGCTTCTCTAGCTCTTGGTGGCGAACCTTTCGTAGAATTTCGTTGTTCTCGTAGTTTGCTCTGATCTCCTTAAGACGTTCAATGCCTGCGGCTGTGGTGATAGACTTGACGGTAGCGGCGGTAGCGGCGGGCTCTGCGACTGCGGGTGGCTCAGGAGCGCAATGCTTGCACTCCATCTCAACCTTGGCGACGTTGAGTCCTAGCATGATGTTCTCGCAAGTATGGTCGGGGTCCCATTTACCACACGTAGAACTGTGGGTATAGCTTGGGAGCTCTTGGCGGAGTCCTCTGTGGCCACAAGAGAAGTCTGTTAAGTGCGTTAGTTTGATGTCGAACATGTCAGGGAATCCTGAGAGATGGGCGGGTTTTGAAATTGTGATTCGCTTTCAGCAGCCACAAAGCTGTATGGACTCCAGAGCAGAGTTGCGAGTAGAAGGTTCATCGAGTATGGAGGTAGGTAAATATGTTTGAGGGGAAATATGTAAAGAACAGAACTTACGGTAGAAGTTGCGGGAGCATTTCTTGCTTTGCGACGCCTTGGTATCCATGACGTTGTTGATCGAAGTCGAGAATGTTGAAGATGGTTGTGATTGTTTGCAAAGGAATGGTTGTCAGAGGATGGATCGGTAAAGATTTGATTCGGCATTGTGAGGTCCACGTGCAAGATGCGGTACAAAAGACCGCTAGGCCTATCCTCGGAACTCTCTTTAGATTATTACTGGGCATATTGAAGACGAGTGTTGAGGACATTGCTACACATAAGTTGATCATCTCTAGTCTATTACCCTTCTAGCTAGCCACAGTAAACCGCAATTCCAAAGACAGGAATACGTTCTAGGTTAAAACGAGAAATGGGAGTTTAGTGAGAGGTTGTAAGCTCTTCCAGGAGTTGACTGCTAATCGCCGTGTCTAACGGCAGTCATTGGGTATTCACAAGGAACACTATTTGACATGAAATCCACAGCGGGTGTGCAGATATTTACACATTTGACTCTGTGCTGCACCACATGTATGGAAAGGATCACCTCTTGCTGAAGTATCTCATGCTCAAGCCCAGAAATGCAGGCCAATGCGATCATTATTCCATTCAGTAGCTAACAAAGCAATCACTTGCGACCTAATCTAGAGGGTTTGATGGCTTTGTTACTCTGTCATTGTCCTAGTTCAGCAATCCAGTGTCTTCACAGAAGTCCTAAAGACATCTCCATCAATGCAATTTGTGTCACAATGAAACAATATTTTTCGCGAAAATACTAAATTGTGCCAGACTTTTATGCGCTCTTCATGTCACAAATTGCCATAGAATAGACATTGGGTACTAGCCACAGCTTCTTGGAAACCGAGAAGAGCCAGTAATTTTTTTTTTCAATCTTCGAGAGTTCTCAACAAGCGCTTCGGACTGTATAAGTACTGGAAACATCTCCACTACTACGAATAAGATTTTGAACAAGGCAGACTTTATCTTATCAAGCGCACTAGCGTTTCTAGATCCAACTTGAGTATGAAATGCGTGCCATTAGGTAGACCACCGTATTTCAACCAGTCGTCGACATTCGATACACGCATATATCCCAACGGTCCCAGATCTTTCAGGAACGGAATATGATTTATTTCGATCCTACCAATGAGTCGATAAGAGCCGAAATAGCCTTCTTTTCGGAGGATTGCAGTAATATCCGTGTTCACGAAGCGACAGATGATATCTCCCACTTGAGCATCTTCAGGTGCCAAACCTAAGATAAGGTTGCTGCCGAGAAACATTCGTGGGTTCGGTAGGGATTTCAAAATACTGCTGCAAGGTGCTGCACAACTACTAGTAGATCGTTCTCTATAGGTCCAGTTGTCTTTGTCGTTGGTGAACAAGGCTGGCCACTGTCGAAAGACTCGCGCATAGCAAGGCTGTGAACGGAATGATTGAACTCTTTCAAGCTTCTGCTGGTCCATATCATGGATCATAACAGATATATACCTCTCGTTTGTTATCCTTATCTTCTGACTCTGCTCTGGATGTTGGTAGTGTCTGTCGAAACTGGCAGCCCAGTTTTTATTGGCAGCTGCGGAAGAAATCATGTCTTCGTAGGTTGGGCCTAGGTGAACGATTTCCCCACAGTGAGCCCCTCTGACTTGAAATTCATATTTGCTATTACTTCCACCAGTCAAGCTTGCCCAGTTGTCTCCTCCGATCATCTTGCCAATGAATCGGCTATGTTGGATTAGGCGTGTTTGGGTATCCACAGCACTAAAATCGCCGCTTTGAAGGCTGCCCGATCGGCAGAAGTGGCAGAGAACATCAGCAAAGACTTCGGACATTGGCTTGGTATAGTCGGCATGGAGAGAGCCATCGTGGCAATCGTCAGTAATGCCAAGAATGCCGAAAATCTTGTCTCGCCGTTCTTGACACTGTGCATACTGTAACCTTTTTAGTAAAGACTCAAGTCGATTCGATCGATTACGCCGCTCGACCCTTTCTCTAACCAGCCCCACGATATGCTCGTACTGTATATGGTGTACTTGGTGGATACTCTCCACGCTATGCTCTTGCGGGTAAACCTGGTTTAAAATCTTAATGCTCATTAGGTCCAAGAACTCTTCGAAGGACCATATATTACCCCCAATACAAATTTTCAAGCCTGCTGCGAGAATAAATTCTTGGATAATCCAGAGCCTTCTCCAGTAAGGATTGGACGATACCCAAACGCGAAACTCCTCCACGTCCGACCATGAATGTTGGTTGCGGAAGCGAACGGTTGGAATCTGGGTTGGCATCTCAGATGCAAGCCAGATCAAAACATACGAAGCTCGAGTATAGACAAAATCCATAATGCTAACTTGCTTACTTCGTTCAAGAGGGTCTTGTTGATTTATGCAAATTGCATCGATCCAGAGCAACGTGCATGGCTGAGCCTTGTCGTCGTGACGGAATGATGGCGAGACAATAATTTCCAACGCACGAAATAGATTCTTACTGACACTGAAAGTCTTCCCATTGACGAAGATCGGAAAGTTCACATCCGTGGCTTGCCCCCAGGTATACGAAAGAGCACAATACACAGGCTTTTCCCGAAATGTTCTGTGAACCAGGTTGCATCGTATGATACTATGACCATCGCAGCCTTTTTCAAAGGATAGAAGTCGAATACTATCCGCCGATTCATCGAGCGGGCTATACGTAAACGCAGATGATTCCCCCGCCGGTATTTGGACATTTTCAGTGCGGGACAATGAAAGCATCGCGTGTTCGGATACTTTGTCGTTTCTAGCCTCATTCCCACCCTGATTTGCGCATAGGAGTCTACGAGATATGTTCTCCGTGTCTTCCATGCCGGGATGCTTCCTTATCAAAAGCTAGAACAAGGGTAAACTATGGTTCGATGTATTCACTTGATGTAAAAATATGAGTCTCTCAAAAGGAAAGACGTACTAAACCTAAAGCATACTGAAAAGGCTTCAAGGGTTTGCAGCCCCGTGACCGGTATAAATTTAAATAGAATAGTAACTATAGCCGACTGGCGAGGGACCAGAAAGGGATTGGAAAAGGCCCCTCTGAGCAAAATCCAGCTGACTTATTCGCGCGATCAGGACTGAGGGCTCGGCTCAGGTTAGAGCAGCGACTGCTCCGCTCCAATGACGGAAGTGGAATCTGGTAGGCTCAATTGTGGTCTGAGACTTTAGAGGAACTCGTAGCGCACCTTTGATAGTCGCTCTTGTTACAAGTTATTTGTGGTGTGGTTTTCATACCCAGTAGCGGTGGAATCCACCCTGCATTCTAGTCGGTGTGGTCAAACCCGATTTTATCGAGACCAACCAAATTTGTTGCTCTAATCGGTGTTGTGCCTAACGTTCCACGACATGCGGCTTCATAATTCTATAGTATGTGGAAATATGACAAAGGGCGGGGATATGGCACAGCAAGGCTGTAGGTGTAGAGTCGCTAGGCAGATTTCTAGGTTGAAAGTGGGACCCTGCTCCGGCGGTCATCCAAAGCTCCAGTAAGAAATCAATGAAAGGATTTGGTGAGCTAATTAGGGAAGACTGATAAGATGTACTTGCCCTCGGGTTCATGCATAAGGTACAGGGGGAGTCCGCTGCCTGGAGCTTTGTGGGGGCCACTTCTGCCTGCGAAGAGAGGGAGCGAAGAAAAGAGAATTGAAGAGAAAGAAGGAGATATTGACTCACGCGAATTGAGAAGGATCAAAGGACTACTATCCTTTAATAGTGCAGAAGTTCTCCCCGCAACTATTCCAAAATTCAACCCGAGCCTACCACTGCCATCTTCATCAACATGGGTTCTACCGCAACAGAGGACGTGGTCCCTGAAAACAAAACACCGTCACCAACCTCCGTGACGAAACTCTACAGACATGACTGCGAGTACAATTGTTGTGCTTCTCGTTGGTCCGAATTCCCCTCCACCGATGACGATCATGTAGCTCTGGACAAGAAGATCGCTAAGATTTCGATCGTGCATCGTCATGTCTTCGAAGAGAAACGATGGGTCACCAAGTCTTTCACGATCAACAGTCTTCTCATGCGACAAATTCTCGTGAAGGCCCTCAGCAAGTACCAAGACCTTGATATGGACTTGGAAGAGTGGACTTTTCAACCCCCATATGCACCTCTCGTACATCGCTGGGAACAACTCGCTACTCTTCGAGCTGAGATGAAAGATGGACCCGAAAAAAATGCGGCGGATGAGTTGATCAACTTCCTAACTCCCATCAGTAGGTCTTATTTCCGTGATGGATTGTTGTTTCATAAGCTTCGGCGATGGGAATCATCTCAGAAGCTCAAATAGACAAGCAAAAAAGTATGCTTCTAATTGCAGCTCTTGAGACAGCTCCCGACTTTCAAAGCCTTCTAATCTATCAAGTATCCTAAAGTGCTAATTCTTCGGGCAGCTGCGTCGGCTGTGGACCACCTTGCCAAGACTCGAGAGACCAAGAAGGTCACTTTTGAGTATATTTGGCAGATCTTGCCTCCTGGTGAGCTGGCAGTGACGAAGCTCTATGGCGTGGATACTGTGTGCCGGGTTGTCAAGTATGAGAAGACAGAGATTCAGAGAATCCCAGTCTGGATCATTCATCTCGAGTATGTTGATTGGAATGGACAGAATTGTGGATATGCCGCCACCAAGACGGTCATATCAGCCTTCAGTGGTTACCGTCGTGTGACGGGCCTCCCGGTGTATCCCCTCTCATTCGAGGAAGATGTCACGGAGATCCGTGAGAAGATGATAAAGAGGGGACGTCAATTTGAGAAGTATCGAGGCTACCACTTCCTGACATGCAACGGGAAGAGAGTCTTGATAGAGACTTCCGAGGAGAGAACGGTAAGAGGGCTTTCTTTTTGCTTTACTCTACGAGACGAGACAATGCTTATTTAAAAACAGGTCACGGGAAGAGTCATTGTCGATGCGTTTGCATACTATTCGAGTCATAGCATTCCCAAGCCTTCCCTTCGTTCACTCGTTGACGAAGAAGAACCCATCCGGACTCCCAAGCCTCAAAAGGACTGGGATACCACGGACATTCCCAACAGTGATTCGGATTCGGAGGTCATGGTTGAGGGCAATGAGTTGCAGGTAGTGGTGACGAAGGATACCAACATCTCTCGTAATGAGAATTTTACTGCCATGACTGATGAACATTGCCTACTTGCAACTCCGTGGGTGAAGGGCATGGACCTCAAAACAAAAGAATGGAGTGAGTACTTCAGTCATCCTGTATGCTGAGACTTGAGGCGATGCTGACCTTATCGGAAAGGTCAATTTCTCGTTGATGAGCTTGAGGAGATTGTCTGGAATGAGAAGGCATTTGATAATCTGGTCCTTCCTGAAGGCGAAAAGGAGCTCGTTTGGGACTTTGTTGAGAGTAAGAATATGTCCAACTATGCTTACGACGACTTCATCCCAGAGAAAGGTATTCTTCCTCTGAGGTTCTCCAATTTTCTGTTTCCTGACTGCAGCTAGGTCGAGGTATTATTGTTCTCATGTTCGGACCTCCTGGTGTTGGAAAGACCTATACTGCCGAAGCAGGTAAGAATCTAAGATATTGTCAGAGTTTCAAAAGAGAACCGCACTTATCAAATCTAAAGCTGCCGAGAAATCTCGAGTCCCACTCTATTGCGTCAGTGCTGGTGTTCTTGGGACTCTACCCAGCGACGTGGAGAAGACCCTTGATGATACTCTTGAGCTGTGCCGCCTCTGGAACGCTATGCTTTTGCTTGACGAAGCAGATGTCTTCCTCGGGGCTCGTACGAATGAAGGCCTTGCGAGAAACGAACTCGTCTCCAGTGAGTTGTTCATGGCATGCCGAAATCATTGCATTGCTAACTTCTGATCAGTCTTCCTTACCAAGCTCGAATACTATCAGGGCATGCTTTTCCTCACTACTAACCGCATCGCATCCATCGACCGCGCTTTCCAATCTAGAGTCGACCTCTTCCTCCCCTATCACGACCTTCTGCCACCGGCTCGTCGCCAGGTTTGGATTAACTTCTTTAATCACATCGGCACGGACAAGTTTGATGTTAACGATGCAGACTTGGATGAATTGGAGATTCTAAAGCTAAATGGCAGAGAGATCAAGAACCTCATCAAGAGTAGTCAGTTGCTAGGCTATAAAAGTGGCGGGAAGGTCGATGCGGCTAAGTTGAAGATGCTAGCTCAGAAAAGACTTGCTGCTCTGGAGAAGATGGAAGATTAAGTGAGATATATCGCTGTACCATGGGACAAAAGATCATTGGATTGCAACAAATGGACTCTCTTCCTTCTTGATCATTGAGCGGATCTGGCAATACTTCTTGAGTAGTATGCCGGCTCCGCGGTTTACGGCTAACGAGCCTGGTGAGTTAGGTCTGTGCGCTTCAAGACCATTTGCTCCCTAAAGAGCCCTATAAAGAAATTTCAAATTTTTGAATTCTATAATAATTCCTTAAATTACTATTCAACAATACACTTTAACTTCTTCTTAATCATATTACCCAAGCACGAATAATAACACTTTGAGATTGTCTGGATTTATTTAAGTAAAGTAGGTGAGTTTGGTTTTGGATGCCTGAAAAGGAGCCCGAAGCGCACAAACCTAACTCACCACGCTCGTAAGGGAAGCAAAAAAGGCAATTGCAGAGACGGCATTGTTTTATTGCGCTTCTGAACTCTGCACACCTAGACTCAACTACTAAAAGAAAAATCAATGCTATCTATCCATCGCAATGCCCAAATTCAAAGATGCCCATCTGACGATTCTGCTCTTCCAAGTCAGGACCAATCAACCGCTTCAACAGTAAATGAATAATACCGTTGGGTGCGTAAGCTATCGACGATACGTTGAGTCTCTATATTCAACATAGACATCTTAGCAGCTAAGTCTGCAGTCTTTCCCTTCCGGTGATTTCCTCCCTCGCGGCACTTTGCAATCTCCGCTGCCAGCTCTTCAGTCGATCCCTTCTCCTGTTCTGTTCTTTGACGGAGGGCTCCAACACGCGAGGCTTCGCGTCGAATAGATCCAGGATAAACAGATTCGGCTTTAACTGCAGCTTCGGTACGAAGAAGTTCATCTTTAGCACGACGAACTTCAGCTTGAGAAAGAGCAAGTTCGAGACGAGCAGCCTCAAGCAGAAGCTTCTGCTGTTGATGCTTCAGCTTTGCATGCTCCAGCTTTGCCAGCTCCAGCTCAGCCATGGTCTGCTTCTCCAACTCCTGGCGGCGAGCTTCTTGAACAATTTTATCCTTTGCAAACTCTGACTTAAGCTCCGTCATCGACTTGGTATGTTCTTCGAGGGTGTAGTGAGCAGGATTGAACCTTGATGGAACAGCTCGCTCGTCCTTTGCGATTAGCTCGACTACTGTAGCTCCTGGGATATTGGTATCTTCAACTGGTGATCCTTCAAAGTGCATGTCCTCCAACCCTGCTTCGTTGGCCTTCCTCTTCTTATTCGATCTCTTGTGGTCTTTCTCGTGGGCACTTTGAAGCTCTCGTAGAGCCCTGTTCTGCGCATGTCGTTCGATCTCCCGCGCCAACGCTGCCATTATCTCTTCACCCGTGATCACAGGCATTACATGGCCCGTGGCGCTCATCAACTTGCTCGAAAACCAGTCTTGTTCCAGTGTATCGAAGGCAGGACCCGTGTCTGATTTTGAATCAGATTCATCCATCGAGGAAGGTTGTACAGGGTTTGGAGACGGATGTTTAGACGCGCAGTTGTGGCATGGTTGCTCGACGTCCGTAAGGTGGCCTTTCCCACTCATGTTTTCGCAAGCCAGACTCTCCAACTGATCGCAGTCGACGTGGGTATATTTGGGGAGGTGGTCAGGACTGACATGCCAGTGACAGCAAAAGAACACTAAGGAAGTTGTTAGTTGTCGACTTCATCATGTCGAGGGAATAAAGGCCACGGAGATGATGTGCTCGTTGCATCTCCCCGAGGATAGCCATTGCGCTTTGCGAGTTGTGCGCTTGTTTTGTATTTGCGAAAACGAAAAGCATCAAAGGTAGACAAAGGGAATACGACAAACTTACAGTAGATATTGTAGGTACACTTACCTCGTTGCGGCATCTTAGTATCCATGATGTGTGATTTGATATGACGATGGTAGTTTGAGTGGGGGTCGAGATTATTTGAGAAGGAGCGGTTAGTTTTGAAAAGAAAAGATTGATGAGATTCTGAGGTTGATAGAGAGCCGAGCGGATCAATACCACTAGACCTATCCTGTCCTATGCTAAAATCTGTACTTGGATTTCTAGTGAATACAATTGCTTAAAAGGCGCTAGTATTGTCCGACGTTCATCTGGACTATCAGGCCATAGATTTAATTGTAGCTGTGTTTAGTTCAGGTTGAAATCTTGGCCCAAGCCGCGTTACTTCACTTTCAATTAAGACAGATTATTGCAAAGCAAATCCTCGTAGATGATTTTCTATGGGCCCATGCATCTGCTATTTTCTGAGGGAGAATGCAATTCGAAACTTAATCTTAACCTCATTCCTGTTGTCTTGAAGAAAGCATCGTGTTTGTTCCAAATATCTGGTACTATTTACGCCTAAATAATCCAATCTCCAGACCCTCAACATACAATCTTCCAATCTTCGCCATCAATACGGACCGTAATCTCACGCTCGTTGCACCTCTTCCGTGTCATCCATTCCCTCCAATCTTGCCTTCCCCTAATTCTAACCTATCGTTCCTTCCTTATGCTATCCCCAATCTCATCAAGTTTGTAAACTAATACTCATTCACCTGCCAGACCAACTTGCTTCACGCCGTGGTGATCAGCTCTAGGAAGTGCGTGGCCCCCTTTCTCGATACAAGCATCACATGTTGCCAAGATCTTGACAGGCACCGGAGTTCTACGAAGAGTAGGGCAAATGAGCTTTGGCTGAATATTCGAGTGAAATACTTGATATGAGTAGGGGCAGGATGACAGGTGGCGAACTTGTGGTGGGACCGTAGTTGTGTAAGGTGAGTCGCAGCATTTGTAGACTAAACAACAGTCAGAGAGAGAAAGTTCCTGAGAGCTGAAGGGGGGTATAAATGCAGTACCTTGTTCAACGTAGTAGCATGTTGCTAGCTCATCGAAATCGACTATTGCACTTCTTTTCTGGGCCTGGTACTGTGCTGGAGTATCTTGTGTAGTCGATGCATCTGATAGGATCTTGAGGGAGATGTCCAGGGCGGGAGTCTTTCTGGGCCACATTATCGTTGATCGAGAAGTGCTTTGATAGGAAATTTAACCATTAAGTACTTAAAATCTTGGACAGACCGACACTGTAGTAGACATTCCCAAACGTGACCACGCAGTGACTCGACAAAGTCAAAGCATCAGATGTCTTACATTCACCTCAAATCGGGGGAGAAACTTTGAGAAGATGCTCGATTTTTCTTCTAGGCTATCAGAATCTCATATAGTATTGTTAGATCCAGTTCATGCAGTTCATTTTCATGGCTTTGGTCATTGCGATGGCATGGGGACATCTTTGGCCTACCCCTTTTCACTAAGCGAGATATGCCCCACTTTTACCTAAAAACCACTTTGCCATTGAGGTTCAGATTCGTGTTTAATTTTTCTCGATACACGGAGGCTTTATCACCCGCACACTAAATTCGCGTTTGGATTGGTGTACAGTACATACAATCGGCCAAGGACGAACACTTCTCGAATTACTGTCAAGTGATCCGAGCAACAGGTGTAAACATTCAGTGAGCGAGGTACGCGCTCAGCTTTACAAGTCCTTTTGTGAATAATTCCAGCTAATCACATTTTTCCAGCCCAATAAATTCGATAAGTACGCCTAGTCAGGTAATGGAGTTCTTCCACGTACTTCAAATTCGCATCAACGAGAACATCGCCGCGTACCACAAGCCGCAACAGACTCGAGATCAAATGCAAACAGAATCCGAGAGCTCTGCATCCATCGCCAACAGAGATGCAGCCTCTATCAAAAAGGTGCAATGTACCCATAAAGCTAAGAGAGCTGCGAAGATGGATATCTCGGACTGTCCAGATTGTCGCTCGCCTGGTTACAATGATGATTTTTGCTTGGTTTGCGGTTATCAGAACATGGTTCACGATGTCCCAAAACGTTGATCACCATAGGAGACTCTGTCATGTGGTGGAAGAGAGGGCTTCTGCTTACAAGGGCATACTGTGGATCTAACGCAGAACAAACGAGGGAGTAAGGAGTGGGCTATGATGAATTGTTGTAGATGAGCACTGATCAACACAATGGAATACAAGTCCTTCTCCAAGCGTAATTCAAACATTTGATCTCAATGAAATTATTGTAATAAGGATAGACGACCAACAACTATCCAACATTGTGCACACAATGGCGACTTACGAGAATGAGGAACGTGGTGAGAACGAGAAATAATCAGCAATTGAATAGACCTGAGATAACACTAGACATTGAGCAGCTCAGAAAAGGATAGACTCTTCGAAAGCGATTTTGTGATTGAACCGACTTATCCTATCTTGTATATCGTCACTGAGGCCGAGTGAACAGCCAGAACGCGTCTTGATTTTCACTTTCAGACAATCGCTAGCGCGATCTCCCAATCTTATTGACTTCTTTTACATTCGCTTTCACTTAACGTCATATCCAGCTTTCACAACTGACAACAACAATCCAATTCACAACATCATCGCAGCTACAAAACACAATCATGCCATTCTTCCAAAGAATCTCACGACTTCTCCACTTTCCAAAGTCCAAGAACAAACCAGCCGCTGCCACCCATCAAGAAGAATCTCCTGTCGCCCTCAACCCAATTTGCAATACTTGTTCACCCTCTTGCTACTTTGGGCCACAAGTAAAGTGCGAGAGGTACTGCTCGCTCTGCGCGACCAGAGAGTTCCTGATCTCGATTCCACATGAAGATGCCCGATACGAGTACCACGCTACGAATGTCCTCATGCAGAATGCGACACGATGCACTCGAAAGACGGGAAAACTCAGTACATGTGCATCGTCCACAAAACTTCTGGTTTTCGAGTGTCTGGGATGTCACCAAGAGTGGCGTCAGAATGTCCAAGTCCAGATGAAGCGTCAGAGAAAGCAAAAGTCGTGAGATGGGATGGAAGATTGGGAAGAGAAAGGAAAATTTCTGTCAAAGTGTGTTTATGGATGGGACAAGTGGGGGAGGAAAAGTGGGACAACAAGGAGCCATATTGTCGTATTCTGTGAATGTACAACTCTTCATGGCGACTTTGAAGAAGCAGGAGTCGGTTCTGGTATGGATCAATAAGAGTTTGATTCTCCGCCTGACTCATTTTGTCATCTGCAATTCCTTATGTTCACCTTCTGAATCAAGAGATCTGTCAATTTTGGACCATCGGTGATTCAACGAACAGTGGATCTTACCACTTTATCTTTTCCCTGTCTTCCACAATTTCAACAATTTCTCCACCTTGCCTTCAGTCACATTGCAGCTACTCAACACCTTCTCAACAATACCACAAACAAATCAATACTCCGAAACAATGGATCCGACCCTATGCTGTCAATATTGTTTTTCAGTCTGGGTCTCGCCTTATTGTTCGTCATGCGGGGCGCCCCTCCTAAGCTCGATGAGTTGCAGGTGTGGGAGAGAGCAGAGGGGTCATCGTTGCCATAAATGTGGGAAAGAATGGAAAGACAGCGACACTGGATCGGAAGACCAAGGGTACGTAGCTATTAGCAGCAGGTTATGAAAGTTAAAAATGGTACACACATTGACTCAAGTCAGGAACGAACATTGGTGAGGGGCAAGGATAGAGAGAGATTTGTAGAAGAAAAGTCTGGTCTTAACTCAAATGCCATGTTTTGACTCATTGCAAACTTCCAGGTGACCAGAGTCTATCGTTTTTCGAATGATTCAAGCCTTCCGGCATGGTATTGCTCATTACAGTGACTGTTTTAAATTAAGTCCTTACCAATACCTTAAGACCAAGCCGTGTAACTCCGAATCCAGGATCGCAAAATTTAATATCCACAATAGCCACCGCCATGTCACAGTACGCCGAGTCTTGCCTCCGTTGCGACTCTACAGCCTCGAACTGCATCTGCTTACGATGTCGACGGCCATTTGGCATGCGTACAGTTGCTCAAATCCAATGGGAGGAGATAACCGGCATGTCATGGGACTTTAGTGATGGGTGCTTCTCATGCAGGCAAAAGGGATTTGTTTGGTCTTGTAGGAAATGTGGATATTCCCATTGCTGGAGACCTCCATCTATGATGCATAGACCACATAAGTGCTATCAGGCAAGCACGCAAGACTGAGCAGGGATGGTAGGCTGAGCGGCGGGTTATAATGGTCACGTGGCGGGAGCTGAGTAACTCCTACCTAGTAACAAAGCTGAGCACGGATATTGTGTGGTATTACGAGTTGAATACTTAGAAGCTTTGATAGGAATACGATGTTGTGGTGTGTTAACTGTTCGTCGGTGTGGCGAAAACCTTTTGGGGCATTCTCTATGGCCAGAACTCTGTGAACACTTAACCAAAAGAGCACAACCTAGACCAGACTCTAGCTCAACCATTCTTCTAAACTGCATATCTAGAGAACATCTAGAGCTGAAAACCATTCCGGACATTCTTAGAGCTGACGAACATTGTCAACCCAGTTCGCCATGTCAGCGGTCCAAATGCGGCATCAACGACACGACGCAAAGCAAGCAGATCTTGCGCTTTCCTAACAACAGACTAAGCTTCAGTCTACATTCTTCATAGCAAATTGTTCTTAAAAGCCCACATCTCAGCTGGTATTGGCATCAATATTCCCGTTGCCGAGGTTGCGGTCAAGGTACGGGACAATATCGAAGCCTAGACTGTAGGCTGGAATGGTAGACTCAACTTTCAAGGAACAGCACCAGAGAATCGAATGGTTGGGAACTAATTTCATGACTTTTGCGTAAGCTCAGCATGTCGTGTATCTAATTTAAAGTACACAGAAACACATTTGTACTATTTCTTAGCACCGATTGAGCGGTGTGAGTCTGAACACATTGCAGCTTGAATCGAGAGTCTATTATGCCATTGTCACTGCAGAGTATGGATGATGATGATTATGTGTAATTTGGATCACCAGTAACAAAAACTCCTGAGTCTTGAAGTAATTTGTGATTGATCTGACTTCAGATCCATGATTCGAATGTCATGCCCATCAAGCATATAAACATGGGCATGAAACCACTTAGAGATATTTTAACTATCGATCAACATAAAGTCTCATCTACATTTCAGAACAGCAAAACCCACAACAAACACTCTCCACTCTTCATCATCATCACCTCTAACATGAGTTCAGGTTATTGTGGCAGGTGCCAGCGCTCAAGGAGATCGTGCACATGTATCCCTGGCACAGTCTACAATCCTGGTGGATACAGCTCTCAAGACTGGGACTACAACAATCAATCGTTTGAACCAGTTCTGCAATATCCGCCCAAGCCAGTTAACAACTATGCGCGCTGCTCCAACCCAGCATGTTTGCAACCACTGACCAGATACCCCTGCTGGAATTGTGAATGGGATTGGTATGGAGCTCCTGGGTTTTGAACAGCTCGATATTGTGTTGTGGTGCGAGCACAGGCCTGTGACTATGGAGTAATGTAAGCGAAATCTTGTGCTAGCGAAGGTTATCTTGATCTTGAATTGAAACAAGCTTGTACTGTAAATAAGCCATTCATGAAAGCCTGATTCTCACAAACTCTTAATAGACATGTGTTTGAATGAACTACACTAAATCACCCTCTCCACAAATGATCCAGCCCCTAAAGCATAGTCAGTATGCATGAAGGGCTCTTGCTCTACAGTCATGCAATTGGAGAATGGCTAGGTAATTAAATTAGAAGAGTCCGTACGGATAGTAATACAAAATGAGTGGTGGGCAATCCCCACGTGAATGTGTTGAAGCTACTCGTAATGACTTGCCGCTCTTTCATAAAGACTTGAATGGCCCACTCAAGTCCCACGCACTCTGGTTCTGCAATCCCACTTCAGACTCCAAAGATGAAGCTCACAGAAGCACAATACAGAGCACGACAAGACAAAATTATGACGCTATCAAATGACAACCCGACACGATGTCCAAATCCTCAATGCAATACAACAGGTTACTACGGCTACTGTACTGAGTGCCACTACTCGATTTACGCTTCACTACCTCGCTTTCAACACGCGAATGCGACCTATCAAACTCCTGGAAGTATGCTCTCGGAGCGATACCGTACCAAGATCTCTCTGAAGATCCCTCTGAAGCGGAAGAGTAATTCGGATGCAATGCACAAGACGGAGGATGGAGACTGGGTCATGCGGGATTACGATGACTCGCGCTAAGCGAGAATATTAATGAACAGCTTGGGCTAGGGCCGTACTTTGGAGTAGAAGCATGTAGGAGTTTCCGAGAATGATAAGATCTTGAATGTCCTGTCCTCTAGATCGTGAATAGCACTTGCCTTATTGATCAAGATTTTCACACAATCAGCGCACTCAGCGCGTTCAGCGCAATTAGCGTTGTCATGGGCCGGCTACCAAGCTAGCCCCTGATTATGATTCAGAGCAGCACGTGAGATGCCTTGGGTCACTGGATCATGCTCTCCAATCACAATTGCACTTGATATGAATGGCCAATATAATTGCAGTACAATCACCAACAATTTCTGATGCTCAAAAGCCTTCTTCTTGATCGCGAACTCTCTTCTCAGTCCTCTCATAAACTTCGACACATCTCCCCTCCAAAGTAGACATCATGCCTGCCGATCCTCAAGAAATTAGACGCAGCAGCAAGCGACAGAAACCATTACCTAAAGTTTCAAACGAAATGCCAACTGAGAAGTCGTCTGACATCCCTCCGGATTTCACCAAGCGTTGCCACTACATACTCCAGATCTACACATGCGGACACAAGACGTGGCTTAACAAGCCTCGAATCCAGCACATGCATCCGTTCTGTATGTTCGCTTATATGGCTACAGAGGGAGACAAGACCAAGAGTGATGTTAAGTACAGGTTTCATAAGTTGAGATGTACAAATATGTCTACCCAGCCGAAGGAGTTACACATGGCGGAGGTCTGTGCGAAGTGTAGACCGATCGAGCTGGGCGTTGCTGGCGTGACAAAACAGCTCAGGGAGTATGAGAGCTTGGTTGATGGCAAGGGGCAGACGTCCATTGGAGAGGGAAAGGTTGAGCAGAGCAAGGAGAATAATGATGGGCTGGCTAAGCAAAGCAAGGAAGATGCAGGAGTAGCGCAAACTGATGAGAATATTGGGAAGGATGCTGAAGGCAACGCCGAGTCAAAGCCAAGCACAGAGAACGACGGAGAACTCTGGAAGACGGTGAAGGAATGGCCATCTAAACAAGTCGATGATAATGCCACTGACAGCGAGACACCACTAGCGCGGTCCGTTTTTGGAAGCTTCATCGGCATGTTCATGCCTGCTGCAAAGCCACAGGAAAGCAAGTCTGACGACAACGATGAGCCTTTGGAAATATGGATTGAGGTAGAAGAGGAGCCTGAGCAACCTGATTTGTGGGAAGATGATGGAGAATGGGTGAATATTTATGGGCAGTAACAGTTACGTTCTGGGAGTGTTCGATGCTTTGATGATGTACATAGTTTACATAAGAAACCAATAGGCTCTTCGAACTCTTAGAAGTTGCTTTAAGTGTTGGCAGTTTCCCTGGATCTTGTAAAGCTTGAGTGACACTGCATCCAAGTACTAGCCCATAGAACGGCGTAATGGGATGAGCCCATCAAGGGATGATAACAGCACCATTGCGAGAACGGACATTCCCAGACTCCCAGTTTCGTGTAAAGAGATACCTAGGAGCCATAAATTCATTCCTAGCTTCTTCCAGTCGAGGATCCAAGATATCAGGTTCTCTCCAAGGTTTAATATTTGGCCAACCATCAGGGCTGAAAGCCAAGTTTTCTTCCTTCATGGTGAGGAATTTCTGGCAACAGGAATCCCCGCACCAAATTTGGGTTGAAGCATTCCTTGAACATCCAAGCCCAATATTGTGATAGCGCGGTGTCTTCCAGAAGTCGACCTTGTGTGAGACCGTTAATATAGTAAAAAGGAGGCAGATTCTCTTCCATGGGATGCTGCGCCAATAATCGCAGTCAGTCCATGTTAAGTTTTGGTAAGGCCCGGCGTCCCATGTAATGGCAATGTTCGCCCAGGCTTCACGCTCAGCGGGACGCACGTCCCACTTGTGAATTACGCCGGCGGCATAATCAATGGCAAAAGTCGGGTATGGAAGGGGGAGCGGGACAAGCTCGCACGTGGCAGTTTCGAAGCTACACTCCTTGTGTGGTATTTCGACAGTCAAGACTCCTAAAGCAGGAAGATGGACAATCACTGCTCGTACCAGAGCACCCAACACCTGCATTGTCGATGTGCCTGGGTGATTGATGACGTCTGTAGCCATATATAGAGATCGAATGTGACCACGTAGACTTGGATATGGGTCTAGTGGCAGATCAAACAAATTGCATTGCATTCGCTTGTGTTGATTTTGCCTCTCGTCGAGATATTCTGGACTTACTCAAGTCAATATATATGTTACCCGTACCCGAAAGACCACAAATATGGAGGACTTTGGGAAGCCAGGATTAGCTTACCGATACCACACGCGAAGTGCGGTTGCTCGACGCATGACAGACTGAGGAATCGTTTTCACTCTTTCTCCACATCTCGGAGTTGAGCATAATTTGATGGAATAGTAAACTTCTAGAACTTCTTCATAAAGCTGTGGGTCCGGTCGCAAAGCTTGGATGAGAGCCGGTGTCGACCGTTCTTTGTACTCATCCAAGAGGCATTGACGAAAGAGGAGAAGTCGGATCTCAATGGGAAGCCTACGGATATCAAAGATGGGGCGAGGTGCAAACATATTCCAAGCGTGATCCAGCCATGTCTGAGTCGATCTTGTGGAGGTTTCCTTCAGAATTGATCTAGTCAAATCGAGATGTGGGTTGCCGTTGACAAGCCATGGCAAGGCGCGAGTCGGATCATTAGGTGAGACACGAAAGACAACAGTGCGGGAAGACATGACAGCATGTTCATGGGTAAACCAGGCCTACTGAGTATAGTAGAGACTCAAACAGACGACGAAGTTGCAAAGAAGCGTAGAAAGCGATGTAAAGAATGAGAACGCAATACCAACAGTAAACCAACAAGCAAGTAAAGGCCAACTCGGCAACGTTGCTACTTATATATCATATTCTGAAGTTACACGAAGCAATGCATTCCGTGGACAGCCACCAACAGGAACAAAAAGCAAATTGATGTTTCACTTGAAAAGATGTCAATGGGAAAGAGGAGGTCGGAGAAAGAGTGGCTTGCAAGGATATGCATTTTAGCGGCTTGGTACATCAACAACCTCACATCTCTCTTTCAATCACCAAACAATGTCTGACCGACACACAACATCCGGCACATCTCTGCGGAGAAGTGGAAATTGTGGAGGGAAACGAGGACTCTCGAACAATATGCGATGATCGATGGCGAACTATCGCTACTACACCAGGCGATTCCGGCGCATCGCGGCAACACCTACCTTTCAGCTCGTCGCGGTCTGCCTATTCTTGATCTTTGGGATCAATTGGGTTATCAAGCATAATCATGACGATGATGGAGACCATTTGCCTTCGGCACGCCCTACAACCACCGTTGAGGATGAGAGCATAGACTGGAGCAAGTTATACTATGTTCAATATGCTACTTCTCCGGAATACTTGTGTAATGCCCTCATGGTATGGGCACAGATTGAAGATATTGGCAGTCGGGCGCAGAGGCAAGATCACTCATCGTAGGATCATGAATAAAATTGTATTAATACCCAGCAGAATGATGCTCTATCCCTCAACCTGGAACCCTGACGAGATTGACGAATACTCCCCTTCACTCGACTACACTCCCATCGCTCGTCTCCTCCAAGAAGCTCAGTCAAAATACTACGTGAAACTCCAGCCTGTGGATATTATGCATCGCAATGGTACTCTTCAACCTACATGGGCGGATTCATACACCAAGCTCCTCGCCTTCAATCTCACCCAACTCGACCGTGTACTAGCTCTAGACTCCGACTCCATGGTCCTCAAGAATCTCGACTCCTTATTCCTCCTTCCCAAATCTCCAGTTGCAATGCCATACGTATACTGGGGTGCTCCTACAGGATGGGCGTTCAGTTCCCAAATGCTCCTGGTAACACCCTCCGCTACCACATTCTCAGAAATCGAATCCGCAATTCAAAATGCTAAGGAAGATGAATACGACATGGACATTATCAACAAGCTCTTCAACCACCATATCCTCAAGATTCCACAACGACCTTACAATCTATTATCAGGAGAATTCCGTCGCTCTTCGCACGCTGCATATCTTTCCTCTCGCACCAAGAAATGGGACCCAGACGAGATCTTCGCTGATGCGCATTTCCTCCATTTCTCCGACTGGCCTATCCCGAAGCCGTGGATGGTGGCCCCGAAAGAGTTACTCAATAAACATATGCCGAAGTGTCGGATGAGCGAGTGGTTTGGAGCTACAGACTGTAGAGATCGTGCTTTGTGGCTGAAGCTCTATTGGGATTTTGCTGTGAGGAGGAAGAGCGTGTGTGGGATTGGGTTTGAGTTACAGAGTCAGGAATTGCCGGAAGACAGTATTTATCGGCATGGCAGGTGGTATCATCCTGATGAGGTTGGAGGCTCGGAGAAGAGGTAGGATATGGAATGGTATTAGATTTAATGTTAAATAATACCCGATGTATAAGATATGATCTTGAATATATGATGCTTGCAACCATTATGTGAGCCAACAGGAATGCCGAATCCACGTTCTACAAGATCAGACGATGATCTGAAATTTCACATGATGCGCCGACGAGAGTCATTTCCCACAGACAAAGCATGCATAGAAGTTAAAGAAAGTTTCCTTATTAGAAAAGAGCAATGCAATTATCCTCCATTAGCAAAACCTGCGGGCATTTCTTAATCTCAAAGATCACAAATGCACCCCCCATAAGCATCTCAAATCTTCCAGCCTTCCTACCTCCCATGCATGAGACCATCCTCAACCAGCTACCAGCACCTGACTACCTCCACCTTACTTTCGCCCCCGCGCTCAAAATCCCCAATAGCCGGCAACCAACCATCCACAATACCCACCTAGTGCACCAAGAACCCCGATACTTCCAAAGTAGCCCAAAGGTCTGCCTACTCCATTATCACCAAACTTGCCCTGCAACTTAAGGCCCAACTCCGCATGCGCGATTCTCAAGGCGAACAGCGTACCCATCATGTAGTTAAGGGCCTTTCGGTTACCACCGTTGAGCTCCGCGATGATGAGGAGGATGAAGGCTAGGGGAACGTTCTCGAGGAAGTTGGCGTGGCAGCGGGTGGCGGTTTGGAGGACATCAGGAGGAGTCTTGGTGTTGGTTGGGGAAGACTGTAGGAGGTGAAATGTTAGTCTGGTAATGAGTGGTGGGGATGAATGAGCACGTGGAGAGGTAAGAAGGTCAGGAGATGAGAAAGTGGAGAGGTGAGTCTTACGGAAGGAAGCTTGTCACCACAGTAGTAGTCATTTTGGATCCTGGTAGAGACGATACGGCTGGAGAGGATGGTGTTGTAGAGGACAAATGGAACAGCCCATGTACCAGCAATTGCTAGGAATGATTAGTGGCGTGATATTTTGAAGTGAACTTGATAAGTTGATATGAAGCTTGAAAATGGCGTGATTTTCCAGATTCAATATCAAAGAGAGTATGGAGAAGGAAGTAACGGGGACACGTACGGAGAAGCTTTGGGACCGTGATGCCAATGGGAGCCATCGTGGTCATGTTTGACTGTTGGATTGAATTGAGTGGTAGGTGGAGTAATGAGAACGAAGTCAAGCGCTTGAAATGTTGTTCTTGTGTTCTAGAGAGGGAGAGGGAGGTTGTTGTAGGCGGAAGAGTTACGGAGAACGTTTACTACCAGCAAGCGAGCAGCGTTCAATACAGAAACAGAAAAGAGCAAACACTGTAAGCGATACTAATTCAATTCTCACCTTCCGCGCCTATTTGGAATACAACAAACCAAAACGTCAAACGTTCCTTCTTCCCGTGGAGGAGGGGTAATTGCAGACGTTGGACGTCATTGACAACGGTAGCACCAGATCAGCTCTGGATTTCACAAAAGGAAGTCTAGACCAGCCCCCAAGCCAACGCGGACCAAACACTAATAGTGATCGACAATGAAAAGCGATGATGGAAAAACACCAAAAAATAAATAACATGCAACTGATATCAATTGTCTATGAAACAGAACCCCAAAGCCTCTTTACAGTTGCCCAATACCGATCCGCATCTACCAGCAAATGAGCTGCATGGCCACTCTCGAGAAACTTCTCTCGATCAATGGTATAACCAAGCGATTGTGCCTCGTCGCCATGCTCTTCCACGGCCTGCCATGCTACCATATTATCTGCCACGCTGTAAATGTACATCCGAGGCGCATCGGTATCAAATATGGATTTGTCGTTCAGGTCCATCCTCGCCTGGTCTACCAAATCCATCTTTCCTTGCAGCAGATAGCCAAGTTTATAGAGAACAAAGAATATTCGCAGGATCAGATTGCCAATTGTTCGCAATATGATATTGTTGGGCAGAGCGACAGAGAATGCTCGGACTGTAGCTTCGTATGTCGCTCGTCCAGGCGAGCTGTCCAATATCATCGCAGTAACTGGTAGTGTACGTCCCATCCTCTCCTTGTATGCCTTTGCAATCATTGTCGTTGTAAATCCTCCACCATTCGAGAAGAAATGGACAAGAAGTTTTGCGCTAGGTGGCAGTGTGTAGAGGACATTGAGAGCTGGTTTGATGCGATTCAAGTTGGCGGTGTGCGTTCGAAATGCAGCATCGATTTGCGTTGTCGTGATTATCAGGATTCGAGCGGAGGGATACAACTTCTCATACCCAGCAGCATATTTGGCCATGTGTCGTGGGGTTGCATCCATCCATCCCACAAGCAAGATCAGAGCTGGCTCGGTCGAGGAGACGGTGTTTGGTTGATGGAACCAGATTGCTTGATTGAGGCGCGAGAAATGCTCTAGTCCTGGAGGGACTTTGGAAGCCATTCTGAACAACACAATTTCCTCACTGAAGAAAAGGAAGAATTTGTTACTTACATCTCGTATCAATTCCTCAGAGGTCAACAGCAGTATCGGATGCCGTGCCCTTGTCTTGGATGTCAAAATTTTCTGCCGTGCCTCTTTGATGGGGCGGAAGCGGACGACCGTGCCGCCGACATGCCTCCATGCCTCCAAAATCCCAATAATATCTTTCACTTCAAGTACTGATCATTGTCATTCAATAGCTCCTATAAAATCAAAGCTTGAATTTACCATCCTTTGGGTCAAGATCCTGCATCTCCATTGAACATGATTTAAACAGCTCTCTAGTTGGGAATAAGTCATTAAGCTTAAGTGGAGGTCAGTGGGCAACGCTTGAGATGATATGCACCTTACTCTATATATACACAATTATGAGATATGTCACTCAGAAGACCCTGAAGTATATCTGCCATGCGTGATTTATACCTGAGTACTTGGTCATCCTGGGCCAACCTCCAGTTCCCTTGTTGGACAAGCAAACTTCCTCGTCCTGCTTTGGGTTCCTCTTCCAGCAGCCATCATGTCCTCCTTGAAACCAAATACTACGCTAGCACTAGAAATTTCTTGCTGACCTCAAAGATACAATGCCCTCTTTATCCCTGAATCTCATCCTCGTCAGGTTTAAAAACAAGTCCTCGAGTATCACTTCAACAAAGAAGCTTTGTCAACCGCAACCACAGTTGTGGCTAGCATTAAGATGAACAAACCACCGGATTCGGAAAGGTATACGCTAACCTGATAAAGACAGGTGTTTCGATAAATACAAGTCCGTCCTGTTCTCAGCCAAAGACTCCGACATCGTTTCCGGATTTTGATAACCGCCACCTAGCAACTGAATCCAGCCTTCAAACACGTAGCTTGAGACAGAGTGTCTTGGAACAATATGACACAAGCCTCTCGCAAGCGTCTTCGTACATCTGATACGAATGAGAATGATAAGCCAGTTCGCAGAACCAGGCGAGCTACGGCCCAACTGAAGCTGCAATTAGCTCAAGCGGCTCTTGCTACAGCCCACAATAACACGGGAGTGGCTGAGACTGCCAATCCAGCACTTGCTGAAGCCATCAAAAATGTAGCAAATTTGGAAAGAGTCCACCAAGAGGCCCAAAAGGTGGTAGACGAGGCTCGATTGGGACTTGGGTCAGCTAAAGAGGAATATGTCCAAGCAGGCCTCTTGGTAAAAGAACTGAACATCGAGCGCGATGCCATCCAGGAACGATATCTAGCTGCCCAGGTTGCGCGTCCAAATCAGCTTACAACAATGCAACAACAATTGCGAGCTTGCGTATCGCAGCTTGCTGGGGCTACACAAGATCTTTCAGAGAAGAAGTCTGTGCTGGCGGAATTGCATGAAGACATAAATCTCCTCGAACAGGATCGTGATCAATCTACGCTGGATCTCTGCCATGCGATTTACATCCGCAACAAGTGCATGTCCGTGGAAACAGGAAGGGATACTACCACCTCTGCAGCACAGGATCAGATCAATGAACCAAAACAAGAGTTGACCGACGTCACAAATGACGGTGGCCGTCTTCAAGAAGAGCTTATCGACAGGGGATATAGTCTGCCAGTCTCTCCCAGTGCTGCCCTTCGAGATTGCCAGAACCGAGTCAGGAATTTGGGACGAGAGCTCAGAGATTGCAATGACGGACAGAGTATCGCCTCTGGACTCTCTACTTTGAGTCAACTTGCTGACACCGAAGCGCGAATTAGACAACTGGAAGCAGAAATAGAGGAGCACAATCGAAATCTAGCATCTTTGCAGACTCTCATTCAACAGCAAGAAGATGCCACTACAAAAGCTCGTTTAGAAGACCAGAGAAAAATTCTTAGGCTAGAACGGGAGCTCAGGGATTGCAATGATGATCAAAGCGTCGCTTCTGATTTTTCTACCTTGAGTCAACTTGCCGATGCTCAGGCACGAATTAGAGATTTAGAAGCTGAGTTAGCTACGATGACAGCAGACACGCTCGTTGAAGCAGACGAAGAAGCACAAGAAGTGCTCAGACAGGAAGTCGTTGAACTCAATGCCACAGTTGAACGCTTGCAAACAAAGCTTGAATATGTGAATGCTGCCCGAACGCAAGAAGTTGGTGCCATTCAAGTCCAAAGACAACTTGATAATTCCACCGATGACGATGAACTACGTGCAGCAAACGAACGTGGAGACCGGGCAGAGCGTTTAAGAGCAGAAGGAGCCGCAGGAATCGCAGCGCTTCAAGCAGCCAATGATGCATTAACAACTCAAGTCGCAGCTCAAGGCAGTACGTCTAAGTCGGATCGTCACTTGTGGCAACTTGTGAACAATTCTAACCGTGATATTGATCGGCTTCGAGCCCAAAACAGTTCTCTTACCGATCAAGTCAAAGTCTTGGCCGGTGAAATCGTCGCCCTGCGAAAAACGCAAGGCAACGGAAACGGTAACAAAAATGGTAAGAAGACCACCGATCTCGAAGCTGCTCTTAAAGCTTGCAGAGATGCAAATGAAGATGGTGTGTTCGCAACTTTTCCTCGTGATAAAGTTCAATCCATGGTAGAAAGCTAACAAGTATAGAACCTCGCAAGGCTCGTCGGACCCGTGCAGCAGCCACTGCCGCAGTTCCAAGCAACTTTCGAGTCGGTCCCTATGCCAAGGTCACTAAGCCCGCTCCGCAGAAGAGCCCAGTCAAGAAGAGATCCGGCACAGCATAAAGATAGGCTTCAGGACAGTCTTTATTATTTTTTTATTGTGACGGGAATACAGACAATGGAAAAGAGAGCTGGTTACAGCTCGATCTCTGCTGTCTTGGGATTGAATGAGATTTGTTTCTGCACCAGGCCAGTCAATACGTAGAATCAATGTCGTTATTTTCTTTCCAAACGCTGTTGATGTGAACGTGAATGCAGTGGCATAGGAACCTTGGGGGGGGATATTGCACTTGCAAGGTGTTGGATGAGTGAGAATAGTTTACGAATATATCACAAGTCGATGAACACTCGAATCACAAAACGGCTAGAAAATATCAAAAGGACGAACTTCGTTTCTATTACTACAATGATGTACGGAAGGATTTGCAAAGTAAGCAGTAAGTAAACCAGCATCCAACCTGGTAGGACCCCTATGTTAGTAACACGCGAATGACCTAGGCGGATCCGGAACAAATAAACCTAGTTACCAGGAGGAGGTGGGGGAGGAGCATCCGAGGGAGGAGGCGGTGGTGCACTGCCCGGTGGTGGGGGTGGTGCGGCCGAGCTTGGTGGAGGAGGGGGTGGAGAACCAGCAAACTGTTGCAACAGAGCAGAGAGACCTGCACCGCTCAGCCCTGGTGGAGCTGCCAATCCGGGAGGTGCCCCCATTGGTTGTTGGGCTGAGTAACCATAACCTGGAACGGCGTATCCAGCGTAGTTAGCCGCCGGTGCAGCAGGGGCTTGCTGTGCCCAAGGAGCAGCGTTGCCAGAAGGTCCGGATGGTGGTGCATTGAAAGAAGCCTGAGCGCCATAGTACGAGTCAGGAGCACGACCATTCTCTGCACGGCGGTCTCTAGCCCACGGTGCCGCTCCACCAGTTGGAGCAGAATCTCGAGAATCAAATCCACGATCATCTCCACGCTTTTGCCACGGAGCAGCAGCACCTGTAGGACCACGTTGCCAAGGCTTGACATCGTCTGGGGCACCTTGATCAAATCCTCCAGCTGGACCAGACTCGATACGTCTTGGGGCTTCTCCGTTTGCTGGCGCACCTCCAGAGAGTTCTTGCATGAGTTGCTAGGTATTGTTAGTATAGGCATCAAGACGGAATGTTTGGAGACTTACTTCATATTCTCTGTCAACAGCATCACCTGCACCAATCCGACCAGCTGTAGGACCGGGTGGACCTCCAGGACCGTCATTACGCCAATTAGCGCCACGTTGACTATTGTAAGTCAGCATTCGTCTTCCTCGGTAATATCTAAAATATGCATACCGGTCAGGACAATCCCTAGCCATATGGCCGGCGTTACCACAAACACGACAGATGATGTTGGCCGTGAAGTTACGTTGTTCTGGGCAGTCATATTTTCGATGTCCAATTTGACCACAGTTCTGGCATGCCTGGTTCTCGTCATCTCGGAGAGTACCGTTCAGGGCCGCAAGTTCACGAAGTTGGTTGCGCTTCAACTCGTTCTGGCCTTCTGGAATGGATGCAGCCTTTATGTGTCAGTATTGGAGAGTAGAAATAGAGGGCAGAGAACTTACAGTTTCAATGATGTTGTGGATCAACTTCTTTGCCTTGTTGACCTTCTCCTCGGTGTCTGCCATGATCAAACAATGAAGATCTTCCTCCTGGTTGCTGGTATGTGCTGCATCAGATCGACCTTTTCCTTCCTTGACGGATCCTTTACCACGGATGGCAATCTTGGCTCCGGATTCTGTCTCCATCTTTTTCAAGGTATTTCCACGAGGACCGATAAGTAAGCCAACTTTAGTAGGGAGCTAAGTGTTAGTGTATGATCAAAAGCTAAGAGCAAAATGTTGTGAGTGACAGGTTAGTGATGACAACGCGCTGCATTCTCAAATGCCGCGCATCGTCACACAGTAATGAAATGGGAGCATTAGAAGTAGAGGTTAGAAATGTTAGAGGGTTAGCAATCATACTGAAATTGATCTCTGGGTAGTCATTGACTGGCACGTAAACTTTCTCCTGTGTCTTAGTGGGGCGGCGATAGTCTTGTGGAGGATGGTAGTTAGGAATGACTTTCATAGCCTTCTCAATCAGCTTGTGGCGCTCGTCTTCGAGACGCTTCCTGTATCGGTATTCTCGAGTATTGACACGGCGACCGAAGTTATCGTATTGGGGAGGTGGCGAAGGAGATCTGTGAAGCATTAGCTGTGCCATATTCTATTGCGGAGGAGAGCTTACCTGTCACCATCTGCGGGAACCACATCATCGATCCTGAGCTTTTGACTGATCTCTTCAATACGAAGATGCAAAGTGTAAGCTTCAAGCTGTTCACTTGTCATGTTTGCCATGATCGCAGTAGGAAGACCCATGAGCCCTGCTGCCTTGTTATCCGTCGCGTCTCCCCAACGATTTCTCTTCTTGCGGCGTCGAGATCCATCGCCCATGGGCTCCTCTAAAGGTACAAATGTCAGCATTGTTCTGCGGATGGGTAGAGTGGTTGAAAACGAACCTTTGATCGGACTGCGACCACGCTTGACTCCTCCGCCATCAGGATGGGTAAGATTGTAGCCATTGTCGTCGCGAGGGGATGCCGTCTCGCCTCCGAATCTGCGCTTGTTGCCCAGAGGGATATTGTTCGAGCCAGTGCTTCCTTGCTGTCGCCAAGCCATCTTGTCAATGAAAGGAGGGTTTGCGATGAAGTTGGTGGTTGTAGAAATATGGAAGTAGAAATGTGGAAGTGGACTCGTCGACGAATTTCCTTAACCTCCCTAGCGCGAAGTTTGAGCCGCTAGGACAAGGAAGCAAGGACACATCACGTGCGGCTAGATCATCTTATGTAAGCTTGCTCTGGGCTAGTTGGACGAGCTGAACCCAATAGGTACAGGTATGTATCGAAAATGCTCTTTTGGGGAGAGTAAATCTTGAAGAATATGAACATCGATCTTCTTTCTTTAGCTAGGCTGCCATTGTTCCACAGCATGAACTTCCAATGTGATCTGTCATCGAAAAGCAGGAAATATTACCAAGCATCGGTAGTTAGCCCCGCGAGTGAAGTCACTTTGTTTGGCGGGGTAGCTGCTTCCCACTTAAAGCTTCACATATCCCATCCTTAAACAGATGACAACCCGCCTTGCCCAACTCTCAGATCAGATAAAAATGGCTAATCGTCCTGACATCCACTTGTATACCACCCAAACCCCTAACGGTATCAAAATCTCCATCACTCTTGAAGAGTTGGGATTACCATATAAGGTTACGAAAATCGACATCTCAAAGAACACTCAGAAGGAGCCATGGTTCTTGGAGATCAACGTAAGTATCCATTTCATCTTCTTTTTTCTGAAATATCTCACTGTCAAGTTCATACTCTCCTTTGCTTGATGCTAACATGTCACAGCCTAATGGCCGTATTCCCGCCCTAACTGATACCTTTTCGGACGGCAAAACCATTCGGCTTTTCGAGTCAGGATCAATTCAACAATACCTCGTTGATCAGTATGACAAAGATTACAAAATCTCCTATCCCAAGGGAACCCGAGAATACTACGAGACGAACAACTGGGTGAGCATCCTGTCAAACTTTTACCCGACTTCAGCTAACTCATCCAGCTGTTTTTCCTCAACGCTGGTGTTGGACCAATGTTTGTACTTCCCTATCCTTCAAAGACTACTTATTGATCATATCACAGGCAAGGTCAAGCCAACCACTTCAGTAGATATGCACCAGAGCGTATCGAATACGGCGTCAACCGCTACGTCAACGAGACCCGCCGCCTCTACGGAGTTCTCAACACACATCTCGAGAAATCCACTTCTGGCTACCTCGTTGGCGATAAATGCACCATCGCTGACATTGCTCACTGGGGCTGGGTTACTGCGGCATTCTGGGCTGGTGTTGACATCGAAGAATTCCCAGCTTTGAAGGCGTGGGACGATAGAATGCTTGCTAGACCTGGTGTTGAGAAGGGCAGACATGTTCCGGATCCTCACCGTATGAAGGAATTGTCGAAAGACCCTGCAGCAATCAAGGAGCACGCTGAGAAATCTAGGGCCTGGGTTCAGCAGGGCATGGCTGCTGATGCCAAGAAGTAGAACATCACTACATGTAGTCTGAGTAGTTCAATACAGCATGGATTGCAAAAAGATTATGGTCGTATGTGCACTATGGATAGACCGTATCATTTAGGTATACAGGGTGATCATCGCCTCGTTGAACCTATAGCGCCGGGTTCTGTATGCTTTATCCTTTCCAAAACGCCCGCTAACATGCAAATGCTCTGATCAATAAGATCCAGTACCAATCAATCACTCTTCACCATCGCTCCTGTGGGCTGGTGGAGCTCCTAAAACCCACCCAATACCACTAGCAAGCCCACCAACCGCAGCATTCTTAAGCTGGTCTCGCTTTCTCATCGGCGCCTTTAGTCCATCTGAAGTTAGCGAAACCACTCTCGAGCCTTCACCACTTGAAATAGAATTCGGGCGCGTGCGCGCTTGGTCGTTATTGCCTCGGAGCATTGACAATGCTGAGAAGCCACTTTGAGCTCTGGCCATGCTTGCTCGTGAAAGATCAAACAGTGACATGGGAGCTTCTTCCACAGCCCTTGAACCGCTAATGGTCACGTTTTTCTTCATCGGGGTATCAGCAAAGCCACCTGGCATGTTCGAATCGTCGTCTATTTGAGCATCCCAGGCAGCCTCTTGTTCCGCTTCTTGTTTCACAAGCGACTCTAGCTCTTCCTCACAGCGACGATAGACATTGAGGATCTCCTGCAGCGCTGCTCTGGGTCCAAGTCGGAGAGCATGGGAGAGACACTCCATTCGCTGTTCAAGGTGGCGGATGTCCAGATTGCTAGTAGTATTTCCAAGGTGGGTAGGCCTAATAGTATGGGCAGTGCGCCTATATTTCCCAGTCTGCAAAGCTGCTCGCCAAGACCAATCGTCAATGATTTTGGGAGGTGGTTCGGCAAATAAGCCCGACTTCTTCCTCTCAAGTTCTGGAGTTCTAGCATGGGCTGGGCCCGCAATGTCCTTCAGATGAGTGACAACATACGAATATGCAGTCTCGAAATCGTCTTCGGACAAAGCTGCATCGATGCACATGCTGACAATACGCTTTTCAGCAATCATCTGCTCATCCTTGACAGTCTGCGGCATATCCCGTATTCGAGCATCGTTTTCATCCCGAGCAGTAAGGCCTGCTAATACCATATTGTTTCCAATCTCGATGAAATCTCTAATTTTGGTGTAACTCCGAGAGTTCTGGTCGAGCACCTTCCCAATGATCGAGATTGGATCACTGTGAACTCGTAGGTTGACAGGCTTGAAAGGCTCTCCCTGTCTTAGAACCAGACGATAATGACCGATCTCATCCGTAACTTGCGTCAGAGCAATCAAGGCATCACGCTCTGGAGATCCTCTCAGAGTCACGGGAAATGCTTGGAGACTAGGTGAAATTAGTAGATGACTAGTATGAAATAGGACAATGTGGGTACTCACATCTCGTCGCATTTCTTCACTCCACCTCGAGCTCTGCTCGCATTCGATGCATTGTCGAAAGCATTCATGGCAGCAGAAATGATTGTATCGTGAAGAAGTTTCTGTGTGATTGGGGCATCCGTGGATGTCTCGTAGATAGAATTCGCGAGTTTGAAGCCTATGTCGTCAATACAACCATACTTGGAATAAATTGGTTAAGAGGAACTTACGGGTATTCGTCAGAAGTCCTTTTAGAAAATCCACTTCAATTCTCTCCTTCGATATTCTCCCTAGGATGCCCCTTCCGACCGAATTTTCTGCACCTTCCGAAAGTTCTTCGGCGCCCCAGCTCCGCAGCCACAGCATTTCATTTCTCATCCGCACCCAATACTTATCATCCTCTTTAGGCCCATCAACGACTCGCAGCATTAAATTCGCAAATCGCAGCATCTGATCATGCTCATCCTGCACAAATGCCAGTTCTCCTGCTCGTCTGATGCTCATGGCACATCCCATTCGAGTACATAAAAACGCGCTTATCAGCAAAGCATGTAGCAGTCTGATCGATTCTTCCTTAGGTGCCGTCAATAGATTCTGGTCATCTAAAAGATCATTTCGAAGGTAAGAAACATTCTTGGGAGACAGGGCACTGCTTTCAAAGGCTGCCACTGGTGTTAGAATCGCACATGCAGCTTGTAGCGTCGGTATCCTGTCTTTATCAAGGAGAACGATGATCCGTGTCAATATTCGTTGAATTCCTTTCAAGGCTTCCTCGGTTTCTTCTGTGATAAGATATGCAACTGCCAATGCTGATCGAGCATATCTTCGTTCTAGATGCTGCTGATCGTCTTCGTCCAGCCACATGGTACTATCTTCATACCCTCCAAGGTCCACATCGCCCGGGCCATCCCATTGTTCGATAACCTCAACAGCCGTTTTCCACGAGCTCTCAGCTTGATTGATCAACCATCTCATAACTTCTTCCCACCCAGTATATTTGTGGTTCACACTCGATTGCTCGTTGTGGAATTCAGGAGACTGTACACTGAAGGAAGCGCTCTTTTGGAGCTTTCTTCGTTTGAGCCTGGTATCGCCATACAACCATGGCCCAACTAATCCCCGTAGATCTCGTCCAACTGTTGTATCATGACTGATGTCTACTCTTCCAGTATGCTCCAAAAGTAATGCTACTCCAGACCGATCGTCTAAGGATTCAAATTTAGGTATTGTGAGACCTGCACTTTCGTTTGGGTGGTACTCATAGTTTAGGCGTAGTAATGGGAGTATGATAGAAATCATCCATGTTCGTAGCTCTGGAGAATGGTGCAGGAAAGGAGCAAGTAATTCTGGCACTTGCGTGATGAGACCGGTATTTTGGTCGATTCGTATTGATCGATGTATGAGGAATAGTACGAGAGGGTCTGTTGGTGCATCTGCGGGAGCATCTGGCCATGCTAAAGGCAGAAGGTTGAGTTTCCGGACCTTCTTTTTCGCATCAGAATCGCTGAGTTCGTCGAGGAAAGTCGTATCGATATTGATTTCAGAGCTCTCTGAAAGATTTCCTGCCAGCAAGTCCTCCAGAAATGGAACGTAATCCGAAGAATCAAGACTCTCTGGGAGGTGGCTTAAGAGAATGCGCAGGACGAGTTCTGTACGGAGGGTCTTTCGATGGAGATAAACGAGCGTTCTGAGCGTTGTGATGTCGGCTTTGCTAGCTAGCTGGACAGCAAGCAGTACAGCTTTAGCTGGAGATAATTCTGAGAAAGCCATTTCTTGAAAAAGCCCATGAGGCCCAGAGCATCTATTCTCACAAGAAGTTGGGCGAGCTTGATAGCTGTCCAACTTTCTTTGCCAGCCTCAATTTCGAGGCACTATTGCATTAGCGCGAGCTCTTCCGCCGCGACATTGAACCTCACCCTAAAGCAACAACCACAAAGCATACCACAATAGACCACAAAGATGTCTTCCGGCTACGGACTCAACGGGGGCAAGTACATGATCTCATCGCAAGCTTCATCTGGCTGCCAAAGATGTTGCCTGCGGTTCAATTGCTAATAAAGTTCTTAGGTCCGTCACGTTGCTTTCCCTTCTGGCAGGAGGTTCTTGCATGCTATGTCGTGAACACCAACTCGGACGATGATTCGGGAAAGAAGAAGTGTGTTCCGGTACTGGAGGACTACTATGAGTGTTTACATCACAAGAAGGAGGTGGGTTTTGGTCTATGATAGCGGAAATCAGACTATAGAGAATGGCTACTGACAATGACCTACTTTGCCAGGCCACACGAGTACGGGCATTACAAACGGCATATAGAAAAGCCGAAGCTGCCCACCCTCGAGACGATGCACCGAAAGTCGGCGCGATAAGAAATTTGGGTCTGCTAGACAAGGAAGAGGATACCAAAGCTGTGCTGGGCAATTGAGCTGGTGCAGAAAGTCCCAGAGGGCGTTGTACATAGGGAAATGGAAGCATTGCAAGAATCATCATGACAAGCATTGTTTCAGTGGGGTTTTTTGAGTAGACATACTCTCAGCGGAATATGAGCTACCATACAGTAAAGCCGCTCGGAAGAAAAGTGCTAGTTGTATGCGTTTGGTCTGCGCATTCTCTCTGATGAATTGCCGCGGAAAACCTAGCCTGGCCCTGGTGTGCAGCGGTGCACTGATTCCAATATATTCGGAGGGATGTTGAAGCCATACGTAAGTGATCGATTGTTTGTTACGGTAATTCATATTTCCGAAGCCGAATCTCCTAGTAACTCATGTGCGATTCCAACTCAACTTCACCTTTAAATTTAGCTTAGTTGCAAGCGTCGAGGTTTCGTCTTCTTCTCATTCCCAAATTTCGTTTCTTCAAATCCATCTGATCAATTGCTGTCAGCCTCTGGGCTGCAATATTGAAAACTCCCGACACCAAGCCGCTGAAATACTTCTTGCTACACTTTTTTCATGAGTGTCGGTATCAGAGATTCGAACACTCTACATTCTCTTCCTGTATCACTTTCACAAGGCTACATCTGCTGTCATTTCACCTCTGTTGTCTGGCGCTCAAAAATCTTCCGATAACCTAGGCGAGGCTACCTGCTCGTTGACCTCGATCTAGAAACAACCCAATCTCCAGTCCGCAAATATTCTTCTTTTCTACTCTTTGCCATTGCCAGCACATCACAGCAACTCGATCTCTCTGGGGCAATGCCGACCCATCTGGGTATTCAGTTCGAGGTGTTATCGCAACTCGAATTGGCGATACATCCAGAATTCCCACACCCCGAGAGCTCTCAATCCACCCATCGAAGCCCGAAACGAGTCAGCAGCGTAGTAGATTGGTCACCTCCTGCAGTTTCCGCGGTCAGCAAAGCCGATGCTCTCCTGGGCAGGAACACAACATGTTCTGTTTACATCCCCTCGACTGCAGGTAGGTTTGGAATCAAGAACATGTCACGCAAGACTAATAGTGACAACAGGCGCGCGATTCTGGCTTCGATACAACATTGACAAGTCTGCGTTGGCAAATTCAAAGTGGTATTACTTCAAGTTGTTTATGAATGGTAGACATATCGCATCTTTTGGTGTCGACGCGAAGAAGAAACCCAGCGGACAAGTAATGCATGGACTGTTCGACCCAAGTTCGGACTGGAACTATGAAAATAATGGCGAGATCTGGAAGAACATGGGTCTGGAGAAACGAGCTTTCTACTTCGCTGGCGCTGACAAGCAACGCTCTGTTATCAACGATGGAGGGCTTATCGAAGTGTTGTGCTTCCGAGCTCAAGGACGCCGGAGAAAGCTTCCTGACCCTGAAGTTTGGAGAGATCAACAAGACTATGGCATTATGTAAGTTATCCGAACTCCCAACTGTGCAAATGACTCGATCTTGGTGACCTGTTCATTTGCTAACCTGGATGGTATAGAACACCTGGCGAGGGCCTCCATGAAAATCCAGCAGAAGCAAAGTTCTACGATTGGCACCTGAAGGATGCGAATAAGTCTCCGTTTGTTGTATTCAAGTTTCATTATCGATCATGGGAGAGTCTTGAAATGCTAGAGCTCATACCATCGGATCACCCACGCATATTGATGCAGCCACAACGAAAGCTTCTGCCGGAAGAACTCAAAGCTATGTTAGAGGTACAGAGCCAAGATCTTACGTTCCTAAACAGGCCCCACCCTCCGTGCGAAGACTGTGTACCATCACTCCCAGCTTTTGCAGGCGATTCCTGGTTCGACGATACCGAAGATATGGAGGACTTTGCAGACTTCGACAGCACTCCTCAGGCTCCCAAGCATACCGGTGGTGAATTCAGCTTTGAGGCTGAGGTTGAGGTTTCCCCACTTAGGATCCGCCGACGCAGACCCACCGCTCCTTCTTCTAAGTTCTCGGACTCGAAACTGCGTGGAACCACATCTCCAGCAGGATCTCCGCGCCCAAGAGAAATTCGACAAGGCGCGCTAGACGACTTTCTGAACAGACCACTGCCCGAGATCCCGCTTCGCAAAAGCTCCAAAAAGCTTCATTCAAGATCTTCGTCAACGACCTCAAGGGCTCCTTCTGTCACTCCTTCTCTGTTGCCTTATATTGATCGTGATAGCGTGTCTCCAGAACCTGAAGTTGGTGTAGCACAGATGGTCGAAGTTCTTCTCGCCAGCCCTGTCCAAGTCCCCTCTTTGAATTCAGATTCTGACCCTATGGAAGCTAGCGACCTAATTATCACTCCGCCCAAGATCTCTGCTTTCGAGAAAACTTCTCCACTGCCAATTATTGAAGAGTCGTCACCGATGCTTCCGCGTAAGCCATTGTTGTCAAATCTCCTTCCCAGTGGCATGTCCAACGTTATCAAGAGAAAGCCAGTTGGGTCACCCAGTGCTTTCTTCAAGCAAGAAGAAACCACTACTCCTTCACCAACCGATCTGTACCCGTCGTCCTCGCTGCCTAACGTCACAGTTCGCAGGCCCCGACGCTCTACATTTATGAAGCTACCCTTGCCATTACCCATGCCTCGTTCCAAGACCGCTGTTTCGTTTCCAAAGCGTAAAGAATCGGTGGACGTTTTGAGGACTCAAGAAGTGGCTGCGGTGAGAGTGTCGGAGTCGCTGTCGGAGTCAGAGTGGATGTCTCGCACACCATTACCTCATAGTTCTATGCTTTCGCTAGAAAGCCTAGGAGGCGCCACTCCAAATTCCACCCTTGCGAAGAGAATGATAGCTGAGAAGGCTAGCAGTCTAGGCAGTGCGATCAAAAGAAAATCGACAAGTTGGTACAAGCACAAGACACAGGCACGCACCGATTCACTTAATGAGAACACTCCAGACAACAGCAGCCTCGCCTCAGATTCCAACATTCGTGTCGACGGCAACTGGATCTGATACTACTTCCTTCCCTGTTTGATTTTGCATGACAGACTGAATGAGTTACCCAACGCAGTTGGATTTTGAGATGAACAACAAGGCACTTCTTGCAGCAATACTTCGACAAGCAGATTTGTTGAGAATAACCACGACACGAATTGACGATGAACAACACGAACTACATGACGACCTGCGGACAGAACCACTGTTTGCTTACGATTTGAGGTGGACCTCTTTGGTATCTTGACTTGCATGATGAGATATGATTGAGTTAAGAGCGAGAAGATACCCGGAGCAGATTTCCTGCCTTATGTAAAGTAGATTCCCAAAAACGAGCACTAAATTGCATTTGCTTCCCCATTTCATCGCTCCAATGTGAGGCTTCGTCCCGAGTGCTCCCTGTGGCTGCGTAGCTGTTTTGACCTACATATCATCAATATTACAGGAACCAAAAGCTACTTTACTAAGGAGAAAATTGGGATATACGAGAATGTTGTACTACCAGAGTTCGAGGGGCGATTTGAGTGGGCTAAGCCCCATGTGCGAGCCGCTTAAGTAAGATTCAAAATATGCAGTGGTGTAAGAACGACGCCAATCCCATTCCATCTCGAAGATTTTGCATTTTCCACTTATATTGTCCGAAGAACTCTGGAACAAATTATCTTATATTCCAGTCTTTACAGTATTGATATCTTGTGTAACCAAAAGAGTAAACAAGGGCAGATAGGCCTCCATACTTACTCATCTAGATTGAACCCACAGCTCAAATCGTTTGTCAAATGATAATTTGGTACTCTTTCCGCGAACCAAACTTGACTAGCGGCCCTGATCCTGAAGCGATGGCTTCCATCTGGCTTGCGGGAGGAAAGGCGCAAAGTCGTGCATGTTCACTCTGTATCCTTCGTCTCATTCATCCATGTTCTTCCAGTAATACAATTCTAACGATTCACCTTCCTTCAGCAATGCAGTGACTTCTCTCCGATAGCAACGTGTTCAATTCTTAGTAGGAGATTCAACCTCTGCAATATCCCTCTTAAAAGCCCGTTTTCTGCGCAATACAGGAGGCTGCTGTATCCCAGTTTGTGAGGTTGCTGCGCTCGAAGTGGCAGCCAATGTCAAAATATGGCTACCACGAGTTTCAAATTGTGGTTGCGGGCACACTTGTTTGATCTTGAGGTCCGGAGGAAGAACACAGGTTTTTGTTAAAGCTTCATCACCCTCTGCTTCTTCCTCTTCCTCCTCTTCCTGGCATATAAAGCTCGGCCTAGGACGCCCCATGGTTTTCATGGCATATTGAGAAAGAGATGGTAATGTGCATTTGGTCATATCGCAATACTGAACACGCTTGCTCTTGCCTGCAACAATGTTCGGGTTGGGGTGAGAGCCGCCTTGCAGCTGATATTGGTCTTCTTTTTCGAGATTGTTGGTATAACGTCGTTGATTCGAAGTCCTGTTTATTGTCGAGGGATTTATCGTACAATCAGTGTTCGATCCTGCATTATAGGATGTCGCCGGTGTTCGATAGCCTGCATCTGTTGTACTTGTACGCGAGCTCCGCTCTGTGCTGGAACTTCCTGTGGTCTGATTGGATGACTGGAAAGATACGTACCGGGCTGTTTTGGAAGCTGGTCGTGTCGTCCTTGGGTATGTATCATGCACAACTGTGCTCCGGGCTATCTTCTGAGGAGCATCCTCCGTGACACGCAAGGATGGCTCTCGTGTCTCTTCCTTTGGTCTTGAATATGGGGATTCGCTCAACGAAAGTCTCTGCGTTCGATCGGAGGCACGTTCCAACGCCTCATTTCGGTTTCTTAATTCAATTGCCGGTCCTCTTAAGGAGTCTCGGATACTTGACCAGGAGGATGTCAAGTCTTTAGACCAGGGGGAAGAACCTTGACCGAATATAACTGCACCAGAATGTGGAAGTTTGCCGGGGACTTTAATTCGTCCAAAAGCGTTCTTCGGTGCGAACTCCTGAATACGCTCGCACTTGCATAAATGGGGATTAGGACTGTCCTCGTACCTCGACGGAGTGCATGGCTCGAAAAGATGTTTGGAGCGATGCCACTGCGTGCCTACAGTAGTCACCTGCTGTTGAGTATGCTCAGAGCCGTGTTCGGAATACAGTCTTCGAAGAGTGGCCATTTCAATAGCCAGGTAGTCATTCCCTTGTGGTACGGTGTGGAACAATGAGCAGAGACCGGAACGGTCATCCGGTTGAAAGACTTCTCCAAAATTCGCCCCAAACAGGACCACAGCACCAATTTCTCGCGCAAACTCAGGTCATTGACCACAAGTCTTCCGTAACTCCGCTCTCTTGATGAACATCTTGTGCTTCTTCTGGACCAGATCCTTATATTCGAAGCCTTGAACTCGCCTTCTCCAATCGAGCTTCAGTTCGATTCCCGCAAGGGTTACTTTCTCGGCATTGCCTTCCAATCCTTCCAGTCTAGTGTACATGTCTCCAACCAAGTCTCGAAATAATTTGTCGCTCACTTCTCGTTTATCCATATGTAGATCATTCATGACAACAGTGTTAGCATTTTGAATCATAGCTGCACGAACGGACGATGGTGACCTCGAGTCTGCTTTCTGAAGTTCGACTAATTTGCCTTTGATCTCCTGTAGATTCATCGCCTGGTTGTGAAGTATCATATGGAGTATGGCCCTCTCACCATCTGTCTGCCATGCTCGCCTTTGTTCCATGTCTCTATTCACAAGTTAGCATTGCTAAAATTGCGATACCAGAGAATAAAAGATACGAGCTCTCTCCCCAATGGTGTTTCGAGATCTCGGATTCATGAAAGTCCTTAAAACAACGGTAGATTGTTACGCACTGTATAATGACATGTATGTCTTTGGCAGCTTCGAGGACGTCCAGATACCAATAAGGTGCAGACGCAGTATATGGCCCATTATGCTGACCAAATGCAAACGACGCCTGGCCTGTTACAATGTGCGAAAATCCTACACTTATCCCAGTCAAAGCGACGACTCTTCCTGACGGCTTATTTGCATTGGAAAACCCAACACCACTGTAGTTGGCAATATTTGTTCCTACAAGAATTTTAACGTGAGTTAGATGTGTGGGACTTGGTAAGAACATAGTCTATGTTTGGGTACTTCTAAAAAACGAACTCACCAAGGGTATTGATTGATCCGGAGCACCATCCAAGAAATGCCCTGGTGGACGTTAAGCTCTCTTGATCCAGAACATCGACAAGTAGCCGCACAGGACAAATTTCAGCAATGTCCCTATACATTATTCTTTTTGCATCCGTCTTCACAAGATGCCACTGCACTGAGTTTCCCTTGCGCTCTACAGGCACAAATGCTATCGACCTCGCTTTGAGTAGATACCCACCGTCGAACTCAGTTGCGACTGTTACACCACCTAGGCCAGCCATAACTTCCAGCTGGACTTCTAAGCCTTTGTCGCTGTGGAGACGCTCTGGGATTGGAAATCCAGTCGCTATGGTAGACCTTCCAACAACCTCGTTCCAGCAACTTCCAGGATCGTCGGTTGTGAGGAATTCTATCTCAGCAGAGACGATAAAGGTACGCAAAGGGAGACCGAAACGTGACGCACTTTCATTAATTGAAACGTAAGATGTCCCAAGCCCTGTGGGAGACGCTTGACAAGCAGAAACAAACCAAGCAATCTGCTGCGCCATCGTAACGACAAAATCTTCGGATCCAGTCACTAGGATGGACTTCTCCAAGATGCTCACTATGATCCCGCTTTTTGGAAGAGAGAAAAATATTGCTGTAACTAGTTTCAGTCATGGAATAGCTTTGGATGAAGTCTAAAAAATTGAGAGAATACACTTACACCTTGAAGTTTCTTCCTCGGCATATTTAGTGATGGCACCTTGAAGTGCTTCAAGTAGAGCCAGTGGACATTGAGGCCACGCATACTCTAGGTAGTTGCGGATAGTCGACATATAAGCATCCGACGCTTGGCCAGTAATTGTGAGAACAGATCCAAGGTCCTGAGCAAGACCAGCAGGATACTGCTCCTGGAGAAACGCCAAGACATCCCAGTCAAGACAGAACATTGCACTATGACTTCCAGAATTAGGGTTGTCTTTAGTCAGAGGGCTGCGAAGAGAATCGAGGACACGGTTTTGAACTACTACCATCTGATTGCCATAGTAACGTTCAACAAGTCCCTGCAATTGCACGAGTAACACTTGAAATGCCTGGTGAGTAGTTAAGAACTCATATATATCTCTGTCTTCTCCACTAGTAGTGTGGACTATCTCAATGACCTCACTTTCACTGCTTGAATCGGTATCGATGAATTCATATAGCGATCCTGGACAGGAAAGCGAGCCTCTGTCGGCGATGCTGAATGCTTCAATATGACTTGAGGGGAGTTTTGTGTCGTATAGATCATTGTCAGCCTTTTGATACACTGGATCCTCACTCGCTAGCAACACTTTCCAATCGTCGACCTTTTGTGCCCACGTTTTCTCTGAAAGATTTATCTGCTCAGCCTGTTTAACTATGATCGGATATATACGCTGGCTCTTTAAATTAACGCCATTTACTTTGATCGTTTGTTCAAAGTGTCTTGTGATATCCCGGCGTAGGAATCGAATCTGTTTGGTGGCTTGTTTTCGTGCTCCCCGACCAGCATCAGCCTTTACCTGGTCCGAGTAACATTTCAGTAGAATTTGGAAGCGTCCCTGGAACAATTTCCTTGACTGTGGGTAATCATGAAGGGTCGAAGGAACTCTAGGTAACTCGTTCAGAATTGCGTCCACGAACTTTTTAATGATATCTTGTCTCTGCTTTGAATCCAATAGGATCATAGAGGATATCATCGATCGGTCGTCCCAGTCAGCTTTCTGGGTCACCTCTTGCTCCGCGTCAGCACTCGTGTTAGCTATATTTGTAAGTAACGCATTTGTCCCTTGGGTTGCAGTACGGTTCTGTGCTTTCGAAGATCCAGGGTCGAACAGCGAGGTTGGGACAGTTGACTGAGGTCCTGTAGAAGTCCTACTCTTGAAGGCATTGTTTAAAGTTCCCGCCGAGGACCCACATTCAGTTGAATCAAGCTGACAAGGGGCACGATGGTTAGGCGTTGGGTCCACCGTCTGTGCTTCGGTCTCAGGCTGAACTTGGGCGTAGGGTTGCTGTCCTTTGTGATTCGACACTGTGTGCAGAGAGGGGTCTGATTAAGGTGTATCGATTGGTGCGTTTGTATTAAGCTTTTGATCGGAAGCATCGCGAGTATAGAGGTGCGACCTCGCTAGAGTCTCTTTTCCAGCCCCCGTATCCCAAAACTCAATGTTATACTCAATATCGTCCACAAATGGAAAGGAAGGTCTTCGTGGCTGAACGGCAAGTGCGGGAAAATCTTCTTCCACATATGTTCGCAATGCAGGTCCCGGATCTTGCAGATTCGATCGTATTACAGGGACGTCCAAAAATCGCTTCTGGGTAATCTTGAGCTGACGTTCCATAGAGGCTGTGATTCGCATCCTTTGAGGTCGCGTACCAGGCCGCCGACTCAGCCTGCTCGTCTCGTGAAGTATATAATATTTTTTATTATGGGAGCTACAATTCTTGATTACCAAGAAGCGTACAGATTTGGTCCGGTACCAACGGAAAGAATTTTGCAGTTGAGTTGATATGTAGTCCTTGCGAGCTCAGCCTCACTGGGGCATATGGACATTGTCCAATCACAGTCGAATGTAGACGACCCAGCCTTACATAATTGGCACAAAACCGACAGAAATTTGTTGAGAGTATGACAGCAGGCTCTAAAGCCCCGAGGGCATCTGATAGGGTCTGTTACACTCACTGAGCCTCGTAAGATGCAAGTTCAAATTAATATAGTGACTCCAAGTCTTTTCCCTCTCTAAAGTCCTTTTTCGTTCATCCAACGAAAATAAGCCTCACCCAGGCAGTCTTCTAATATGTCACACATGACTTAATTCTTGAACGTCTGATAATTGTAATTCATTCTGCAACAGGAGGTTGTCTTACCCTACTTCCAAGTGGACGTTATGGCGTCTTAGTGGTAGTAAGTGTTGGCTAACAGCATTTCCCACGGACTTATAGACCCCTCATATGATCTCCACCTTCATGCACTTCTTCTCCTCGACTGCGTCTCCACGCATGATCCCATGCACATAAAAATCACCAATCACCAATCAACTCTCACTTCTCACCTCCCCTATTCCCCGGCACAAATGGTGTCTTCCCCCTTTTCACAACCACAACACAATGACCCATCCCCGCCAATTCCGGAGCAGGCCCAAAGGTCCAACATATCCATTCTTGGTAATGAACATGCTTCTCCTCTCTGCGCGAGCCAGCATCTTTGAGAGAACATTAGACCTCGTGTGCCTAGAGCCCAGCAAGGCATATCGAAACACAACTCGAGTTTCTCACCAATTCGCAAATTTCAGACATCTTTTGGAGCCCGATATGTGTGAAATATGACTCGAGATGCCATGCGAAACAGGAGGTTCCAAAGTTGCAGACTGCTGAGGCGAGGTGATGGCGTTCAGACAATGCTTCCGGGTCATACATTTCAAAGTTTGATCAATCGTGACTCATTTGTTCCCGAAACTTTCCTGTCTTACAAAAGCCCGATGCTCTGCGTGTTATCTATTTCTGCAGATGAAGCAACTTGAGCTCTTTTGGGGATGAATTGTTCTGGGTGTTTGATCTTGAAGTAGAATCGACCAGGGTTCAAATTTGTCTTGGGAGGCCATGACGGCTGGATCTTGGAAGGCAGTACTTCTACAGCTTCGATCGTCTCCGGTTTCGTTCGAGGAATCTCAGAACGAATTAAAGTTCTGACCATTTCATTTCATATTTCGTGACTGCAGACGGCTTCTCAGCAGAAAGCGCAAAATGCACAATCCGCGCAGAACGCGCACAGTGCACTCGGCCGAACTATGGAAATCGCTGACAGAACTTGATTCAAGAGAGTTAAACATTACTTAATAATAGCAGCAAATAACAAGTCTACGAAATTGAGAAAGCAGAGTTGGAAAGTAAAAGAGATATGAAGAGTGAAGAAGTCTTCGAGATCATGGCACTTGCAACTTCCTCCATCTATCTAATTAGATACACACGTGACTCGATCCTCATTAAATTCATTTTGTCTTTGGATTTTAGGCTGATTTGTACTTACAGATACGTATCTGCCGCCAGAAGACACGAGACGCGGGGCATGTCCTCCTCTTCGAGTGCTTGCTGGTCTCTGATGATGTACTTGGCCTATCGTGTGCCAGTGCTCCGAGTGGCGATCATTAGCCTTCTTGACCGATGTAAGAGCTCGTCGATTCCCGCGTGCCACTTATGAAAGACAGTAGCGAGATGTTCCGGAGTAACTGGGTAGCTGGTCTTTCTTCGGAATTGTTAATACAGCCGTTTCAACTCTGATTGTCCTTCAGCCTTGAGGACATTCTGTAGTTCATCAGGCTCAAAATGTTTGGAGAAGCATAGTAGGGTTAAAAGCATACTCTTGTCCTAGGATCATTGAGACTTTCAATGATAAATATGTGGAGAAATGTAAAGTAGAAATGGAAGTTTATTCATTTTTCAGTCGCAATACCTTCAAATCCTTACAACCAAAATGGAGTGATGCTGGAAAGAGTAAGTTACCGGTGTGGGCATGAAAAGAGAAAATGAGCACTTCTGGACAATACTGTAGAAATTAGGATACGATATAATTATTGTTCCAAAGTTTGTCGGACAATATAAATGGACTAAGTCTCAAGCGTGAACCAAAACGTTGAGACCAGCGACAGATAAAAAGCATTGAAAGCAAGGAGAAATGATAGTTTGCTGGCAAACTCAACCAGTGAATAAATTTCAATCATCCGAATCTTGCGAAATGATCCTCCATATCAGAAGACTCGTGGCAGCTGAATGTCCATCGTCGACTCTTGATATGGTTCTTCCAGAAGATGGACTTTTGGACCTTATGCTACGTTAACGAATAGGAGATTACACTTGTTCTGGAAAAGGAACCTTAATGCGGTAAGCAGTAGCGAGAGCAAGAAGCAAGAATAAAGAGCATCAAGACATCTGGATAATTCATTGTATTACTTATCAAGTATGGATCTAGGTCTAAGACCAAAGATGTCTCTGGCGAACTGGACCCCTGAGCGCCACACATTCCTTCTCCCCCCTGACATACCTAGCGTGCGCCAATCTCACTTTGTCAGTCACCAATGACATTCCCAAAACAACTCGAGACTGGCCAGTGAGCCTATTGAAATCTCTGTTTGTCAATAAAAAGTAGCAAAATTGTATAGCATTCTCAAGCTTGGCATTCATTGTCCAACGAATCAGCTCCTGCAAGGGTAGGTAATATCAGCCACCATATTTACATGTTTGAGGAATTACCTTATTTGCTCGCTGGTTTTTCATCTTACTGAGAATGTGAGCTGATTTGACCAGGGTCCAGAGCTTCAAGCATTGAATTGGCGAGAGCTCAAGGTGGTGTTTCATGCGTGATTTCTGGATATAATTGGAATGGCGATATATTGAGGGGAAATCTTTTACGATAAGTTGCCTAATCAGGGTTATAGCGCACAAGATGGCGGGGACAAGGCATGTGCATTATCAAGGCATCGGATATCGGACAATCGAGAAGCACGTTGGGAAAGTCGCTGCGAATTAGTGCTCGAATGCGAGTGGAAATAATGTTGATCACGGAATTGAGGTTGAGGCTTTGTGTGCTTTCGAATTTCTGCTCTGGCGACTAAAGACGAGAGACGACGAAGTCGAGACAGCTTCGAAAAGCAAGGCGGAAGGGCCGAAATTTTATGGTGAAAGAAGCTCAGCAATAGCTGAATAGTGGTACAAGGGGACATGATGGTGCTGAATCTCAGGGCTGATCGTGATGTGAAAGAACCTTCCAGGGAAAGATACCGAATCCCCTCATGGGATCGTTCTCAATGCTGTACCCGCCCGAATGACCGAACGTCGTGCCGAAGAGACCTATGATAAAAGCAGAAAGAAAATCCATCCGTAGAAGTCATGAATGACCGCATTATCGCTCGATCTGTCGAAAGTGAAATGACACGCTTTTTGTTCCGCCGCTCGCAGCTTTGGACCCTGATGAAGACAAATGAGAAAGAATGCACCAGTGGAAGTGCACCTGCATCAATGAAAGCCGCAGATCCAAAGCCCTTGTCGTGCAAAGTCGAGATCGTGCAGTTTAACGAGCAGGGCGCTCACCACCTGGTTTGGTCAGCAATCAATATTCACGACGGGAGAATCGATCTTCATCGAAGCCTCTACCTCCGTATGGTTCCCGGGCCTCTCCACGAGGAGCTGGATCACCATAGGCGGCTGGTGGAGCGGCATCGCGAGCTGAGCCACGTTCGCCACGCTCATAACGATCAGAGTATCCGCCACCACCTCCACGTCGGTCATCACCACCGCGGCCGTATCGATCATCACGGGAGTAGCGGTCGATGTTGCGAGGAGCATAGTCATCACGGTCTCTGCCATATCCGCGTTCACGATCGTCTCGGCGTCCTCCACCGTAGCCACGATCATAATCACGTCCACCATAGCCTCCGCGGCGGCGGTCATCGTAGCGGTCTCCATAACGACCTCCTCCTGGAGGGCCGTGGCGAGGGTCATCTTCTATAGCATTAGTTAGTGTGAAGACCAAAGGGAAATGGGAATACTAGCCTCTCTTTGGTGGACCGAAGTACTTGCCCGGGGTTGGGGTACGAGGTCGGGAGCGACGAGCCTTCTCGATGCTCAAGGTACGACCCTCGATAACCTCACCCTGAAGACCCTCCTTGGCGGCATCAGCTTGATCAGCAGTGACCATCTTGACGAAACCGAAACCACGAGACTCCTTCGTATGGGGATCAAGCATGATCTGGCACTTCTCGACGTCACCGTATTTCTCGAAGAGACGAGTGACCTCTTGCTCGGAGAGGCGTGGATGGATACCGGTGACGAACAGGTTGGAACCTGGGTTGACGGCACCATCATCTTGAGGAGCACCACGATCACCCTTGGGAGGACCACTGCAAGGTGTTAGAAGTTGTGACAATCAAAGGCGAGGTGGTACGAACCGAGACTCGGTGTGGCCGTTGCCATTAGGGGAAGCAGAGCGACGGGGATTGCCTCGAGGGCTTTCATTGCGACGAGTTGGGCGAGGAGATGCGCTGCGATCACGCTCGTAACGGGGAGCCTCGTCTGCGCGTCAAAGGTCAGTATCGCATTCGCAGAGCGATGGGAAGAGGAATAAAGAAGATGGGGACAGTGGGAAGACTGCATACCGTACTCACGCGTACCGTTCTCGTTCTCGTAATCCATGGAAGCCATTGCGAAGGACTTGTTGAATGTTGACAGGTGTAAAGGAGAGCTGAATAGGTCGAAGGATCTTTAAGAGTTATCGTGGGGATACAAGAGCGAAAGGTTGCTCAGATATCGCAGATCGATGGAAAGAAGGTTGTCAGAAGAGATCGACGATGAAAAGTTTGCGGAATGGTATCACAATCGAAGAGGTTGATGTGTCTCGTTGAGGTTGCGCAGGGTCAGTACGCAAAAACAATTTATGGTTTGTCAAATGGCGCTAGTCGCTTGTTGCCTAGCGGCAATCCCCAGGCTGAAACAATCCGATTATTTTCTCAGCAAGCGCAATCGTAAGGTCTACTCAGTGGTAAGGGTCTATTTGGACTTTTAAAATACGAGTACCTTTCGACTGCAATCTTCTGTTATCGTGTCTGTGGTTCTTCTTTGTCTCCTGTGGTGAATGATCACGTGTCCACGCGGCAAAGGTTGTGACGAGAGATGTTAGGGTATGCAAATAGAAGAGGCTCATTTCTGCTCTTTATGTATTCGTTGCTTGCTATTCACTTTTGTATGTTGGTCTACAATTCACCATCACGTCCTCCTCCACCAACAAATTCCTTTGCCGGCTCGTCATCCAAGAAGCTGAGAGCCTCGACAGCCTTTCCACCACAAGCGCGCTCCAGAGCCAAAAATGCAAAGTGACCACCAACCACAGGTCTAGCCTTGAAGGCAATGCCTGGGAATCCACCGTCTCCTTCTGTGTCGTACAAATCCGTCAATGGTAGATCCGTTGAGGTTTCATTCACCCATAGAGCGATGGAGTCCACTATTTCCTCTCGTACTTGTTTGCTTGAGACAGCAACAGCAAAGAATTCCCAATCACTCTTTGCATATAGATGTCGACTGTCCAGTGGCAGGCCATATCTTTGTCGGACGTTGTGGTACCAGTCACTCTGAGTCTTGTAGATTTTGGAATCTACAAAACCAGTTCTCGATGCGCCTGGGGCAATGAGAGGCTTCTGTCCAGCTTGTGCTTCCACAGAGCTTGATGGCAAGTGGAAGCATAGTAGAGAGTCTGCAAACAGGTTGTAGAGAGTTGTCCAACTGCCAAACCATGTATATGCCAATTTAGCATGGGTGCCTTCTCTGGACATGGCAAATTCTTGCTCCCACTTCTTAATGTAGGTCTCGGAAACATTGCGATAGTACTTCGCATCCGCATCTTCTCCAACCAATTCCGAGATCTCAGACATGGCTCGAATACCAATAATACCTTTCAAGGCAAGGTTGGTTTGATTTGCTAGCCAGCCAGCAAAATCGTCTGTTGAAAGTTGATTGCTGGGAATTAAGGCCTCACGTACGAGATAACCAGTCCATTGCTTCCAGAGTTTGTATGATTTCTCAACCCACTTGCGTGCTTGCTTATCACCTTTTGCTGAGATTGGGCCACCAAATGTATCATCCATTCCATCGGCATCGACGTAAAGGGAAATCGAGCCGGTCGCAGATTCAATGTGCTTTTGGTTGCCTGTAGCAGACCAGATGCTTGCAGGTTCAGTGTCGTACTTGAGTGAGTTGACGAGAGCAAGACCCATGATGAGCATGTTTCCACATTCTTCCACGGGCATGTATTCGTCTCTGCCATCCGGATGTCCTGTTGCGTTGGGAAAGCTAGCTCCAAGATCGTGCATGCTATAATCATTCCTGAACACAAATTAGTAACAGCTATAGCCTTATTCTAGATGCAGACTTACGGATACTGGCCGCTCAATTGGTGCTCAATCAATGGTTCCATTAGCCAAGCCAACCACTTTGGATTGGTGTACAAGAAGAACGGAAATGCAGGATAGATGACATCGACAGTATTCATGTTACCATCTGATGATATTTCCTTGAAGAAGATGACGGGATCGTCAGGCGTTCCAGCAAAGCTGCAAGCTCCCAGAACTTGACGAGCACTTAGCGCAAGAATATCTTTATAATCCTCAGAGCCAGATACTAATGCATCCTTCTCAAGCTGTCCAGAGTAGTTACTTGCCAATTTGAAAGCTTTGTCGAAGTCATGATAATGGAAATCGAGAACTTCATCTGCTGTCAGATAGTATGAGGCCCACAATGGTTTCATCAAAGTCATCCCTCGAGCCGACGCGAATTGGATGACTGGATCCTGGACATGGGCAATCGTGAAGAGAACGCTGTCATAGCTCTTGCTACCTGTAGCAGAGGTACCATTGAGCTTGAATGACTTGGCGAAAGCAAATACCGGCTCCTCGTCCATAATTGAACGGAAGTTGCCATCGACAACATTCTGCAATGTTCCAGTTCGAGAGAATCTTTGTCGAAGAAGTGCAGAAGTACCAGCTTCATGGCGGACATCTCCTGGAGCGGTAAAGTAGAGTGTTCCCCATTCTCCTCGATCGGCGTCTTCGGTCAGGAGCTGCTCTACTCTCCTCTTGACTTTCCAAGTCTTCAAGGGAGCTTTCTTGTTTGCTGCGGGACTCGGACCCTGGCTGAGCTCCCAAACTATCTCATTCCCTCTGTTGGCACTGACCCATAATCCGTTCATGTCAATGTAGATATCAACATCGAAGCTCCCAGCAACATATACAGTTAAATATGAAGCTGGGATGGCTTGTCGAAGAGTCGAGGTCGGAGTAATCGGGGAGAGGAAGGAGAGGATGAGCTCGACAGGATCATGAGCATAGTTTCCTGATGGAATTTCATAGGTCAGGTTGGTTGTTGAAGCATCGAAAGTAGCTCCCAAGTAAGTGGGGTAAGAAACATTGAAGCTATTTCAATCATTCATCAGCACCTGGACAATCCCATCAATTGAAGCACCAACCTCTCTCCGGACTTTGGCAATGAATCCTGAGGTCTGCCGAGCAGTGGAAATACTGTGTCCGAACTTGGAACTGCAGCAAGGATAGACAGTCCCACCTCCTGCCCAGTCCAGAATATCGGCCACTTTTCCCAGGGGTCGTTCCTCGCATTGCCCAGCCAGGTACTCAGATATGGGTTCCGTACAATAAGAGGTATAACAGGAGGTGTCAAAGTCGAAGCTTCAGCTCCGTGCAAAGCTGCAGAAGCAGCAAGAATAAACGTCGTCCAGCGCATCGTGGAAGCTGGAATCCTTCAAGAGCTCAAGCCCCGCTATTGTTGTTCTCGAAACAAATGCTCTGAATCATGAAGGTAAGCAGTAAAAAGTAGCAGAACCAAAAGCTTCTAAGCCCATGAAGTGTTCAAAAAGAGTTTGGTATAAAATGGTACACAAAATGAAACAGTCGAAGCTTATTCACGCCGTCGACGGACGAGTCCATCCTGACCGAGGGACTATGCGGTCATGCGACCCGCAAAAGTGAAACCAAACCAGAATCTGGGGAAAGCGCATAAAAATAAGCCCATTTATGCAAGGTTTTATGCACATTTCCTCGGCGATAACTATTTCCACGAGCCAACAGCGTTTTCAGCGCACTTCCATACGCTTCATCCAAAAGGGAAGGAGGGGTATTCTGTGCTGTGCTGCCTCACTTCAGATGAACACAAGTGTGTTATACAGATAAAATAGATAAATACGTTTGATTTCTTCTCCTTGTACCACTATTACAATACTTTAATTTGTCTTCCCACAACACCTGCGAGCCACGAGACCAAGATGTCCATGGAAGGCAAGATCATCGCTATCACTGGAGGTGCATCTGGTATCGGTTTAGCGACCGCAAAGCTCATCTCATCTCGTGGTGCCACGGTCTGTGTAGCAGACAGAGATCCATCAGCTCTCGATGCAACACAGTACCATTTTTCGAACTTGAAGGTTCCCTTCTCTGTTACCCAGTTGGATGTCACAGATCGCGCGGCAGTTGACAAATGGATCAACGACATCGTGGAGAAATATGGCGTTTTGGATGGAGCTGCAAATTGTGCCGGGATTATTGGGAAGCAGCATGGAATTACAAAGATCACGGAGTTGGAAGATGAGGAGTATGACAGAATCATCGCCGTCAATTTGACGGGCATGATGTATTGCTTGAGAGCGGAACTGAGGAAGATTTCAGATCAAGGATCAATTGTGAACATTGCTTCAATTCAAGGAGTGATGGGTGAGTGTTCTCCATCTCAATAAGAAACTCAGAAGCTCAAAGTTGCGCAGGCTTCGCAGGAAGTGCTGCATATGTGGCAAGTAAGCACGGAGTCGTTGGTCTCACACGATCTGCTGCTAAAGAATTCGGAGACCGTGGAATCCGTGTGAATGCCATTGCACCGGGGTCTATATTTACTCCACTCTTGCAAAAAGCTCAAGAAGCAACTCCAGATGAACCAGTTGGTACGCCACCTTGCGCTATCAAACGGCTTGGCACAGCGGAAGAAGTAGCCAGCATCATCGCGTTTCTCTTAGGACCAGAGAGTACCTATATTTCAGGCTCGGTCCACGGCGTAGACGGCGGCTGGGCTTGCTAGACAAGCAAGTGTTGAAGGGCGTTTCCAGTCTCATTCTGGTTATCAAGCGTTGAGTTTGAGGGAGTCATGCCTAACGCTGCTGTCTTTATTGTACAGTTTTTCTCAGAGCACCTAGACTTCTTACTTCCGCGTTACTAGTGATTTGTGTCCATCTTCGGTTTTGCTTCCTTTAGGGCAGTCCTACTGTATCATGCAGCTAATGCTTAGAGCCCCCCCCTCAAGCTGACTGTAGTCGCGCTTTACTTCCAATAGGTATCAAAATACCCACAAGCGAGGTTGATGAATATGGGACCGACTTCTCTTAATTTGTTGGTTGTAAGACCTCATATACAAGACCAAGCTTGAATTCCAAGTATATTAAACTCTTTAGAGTTGCTGCTCTTTTATTTTGTCGCAATTCTGATCTTATTCTTAATACTACCAATCTCTTTAGAGCTGATGCTTCTCCAAAACCTAAACTACTGAGTAGCTGTTTTCATCTGGCTGTCAATATTTCAGCCAATCCTGAGGAGAAATGAACGAAGAATTCTTGATAGATCCCTTCTCAATGTCCGCAAATCATATCACCAACATATCAACTCCGACTCCGCCAATACCGGCCACAAACCCATCATCGACAGCCACCATTGCCCAGACACCGAGAACCCCTTCACCGAAATCCAAACCAGGAAATTCAAATAACGAGAACTACAAACGCCTCTCGCCCACTGACCTCCAAGCAGTCCGTCTTGCTCTCGGCGCTACCTCTGCTTCGAACCCCGACTCCCTCATCCAACCCACGCATATCATATGGCCACCATCACACCTACCACCAGGTCTCTATCATGATGTTCTCCGATCTCTCACTATTTCCAGATACCAATACCTCCTCATAGCCTTGATCTTCAACACCTTTCTCATCATCCAACTCCTTCTCGGCGCCTCCCTCACAGCCTTGGGGTCAATATCCACATCTACTTTCTCATCAGATTCAACAGTTGCTCGCACCAGCGCTACCACATCATCTCTCAGCTACAAGACCAGTATAATAATCACTAGTCTAGCTGCTGCGAACACAGTCGTAGCTGGTCTCATAGCGCTGTTACACAACGGCGGGTTACCATCGAAGTACCGCATGGCATGGAAAGAGTACGGGATGGTGGAGATGCAGGTTAATGAGGTGTTGGAACTCGGGCTTGTGAGAGAGGGGTGGGGCGTCGATGAGGTTGTTGAGTGGTGTTTTGGACTCTATTGGGATGCTAGGAGGAAGGTTGAAGGTGGTGGATTAGATCCAAAGGCTGGTGTAACGAGCGGGGTTACTGGGAGTGGTGAGGGGTTTGTTTGATGGTTTTGTGCATGTGGCAGGGTACTGGGTTAAACATGTTTTTGGTTACTTGAAATTCGAACCATTTTTGTACGCATGCTACGAAGAGAATGCTTAAATTGGTGACATGACACTAATGTAATGTGCAACAAAACCGTTGGACTAGTTTATGACATATTGTACCACGAGCAAAGAAACTAACCACGAACTATCACAAGCCTTATCTACTATACTACCATCAGGAGACCACAAGCCAAAAACTTCGATGAAATGCCGACATATCGGACGGTAGCCGAGTACCGAGCCAAACATTTATCGCAAATTTCACGTCCCCTTTCTCCACAACACATCAACAGGCTCACCTCAAAACGACGATAAGTTTTTTGACTAGTCATGAGCTCGTCTTTGTTAGCTTACAGCTACTCCGCATCCAGAATGTCGGGAGCGATACCCCGACCCCACAATTTTGCTCCAAGGCGATCTCCTCCCCGAACTCAATTAAGTCCGCTCTGTATCTAGCATTCGGCTCTCATCACAAGTGCGTATATCTAATATAAAACATCCTTCGTCATACTGAGCATGCTCAACCCAAAAACGACTCTCAATTAAGAAATCCACTTTCTCCCATCTCAGATATGTCCACACTAGTCAACTACCCCTGTGCCCTACCAACAACCCCAATACCAACCACCATCAACTCACTCTCCATCGCCCAACAACTCACACCCAAACTACCTCACCTCACCCCACAAGACTTCGCCCAAGACGCCCTATGGCGCGACATCTTCGCCCTAACCGGCACCCTCCGCACCTTCCACTCCGCTACCTCCGTATCAGCAGCCTGGACCGAGACATCTCTCCGAGCAAAAGTGCATTCATTTACACTAGAACCGGGTTCTGTGCGCGTAGTCCGCTTACCGCAGGGCTCAGCTTGGATTGAAGCTCGATTCTCGTTTGAGACGGGGGCTACGCCGGCGACGTTTTGTACTGCTATTGTTTCCTTGGTGCCAGACCAGGATGGAGAGTGGAGGATTTGGGTGTTGAGGACGGTCTTGGAGCAATTGAAGGGTCAGCCAGATGTGGATGTTTTGCAGCCTGTGACGGAGTTGAAGAATGGTTATGTGAATGGGGAGGGTGAAAAGGGGCATTTTGATTGTGTTGTTATTGGGGGAGGGTTGGCGGGACTTAGTACGGGTGGGAGGTTGAAGGCTCTTGGGGTGTCTTATGTTGTGTTGGATAAAAATAGGAATGTGGGTGATAATTGGAAATTGAGGTATGGCTCGGCAAGATGTAAGTCATTCAAAGCTCCCAAGATCCTGTGCCGGGTTACTGACATTGAAAAAGTGCATACGAATAGAGAATATGGTGAGTAAATCAAAGTCAATCGAGGATTTGGCTCTAATGTGGTCAAGGTCATCTACCTTTTGAGCGAACATTCGGTCCGGAGTACGAAGAATATCTCTCAAAAGACGATCTGGCCAAGGGTTATGCAGCATGGGTAAAGAAATTCGAAATCGTGAGTCCACAATACCCCTTTAGACTTTACTCAGACTGAGCATCATCAGAACATCTGGTTAGGAACAATCGTTGAATCTGGAACTTGGGATTCATCCAAACATCTCTGGACTTTGAGGCTCAGACAAGACGACGAAAATGATCGCCTCATCACTGCTTCATTTATGGTGCTAGCAGGTGGAGCTGGAGGACAAGTTCCTGTCTCACCACCGCCGTATCAAGATAGAGTAAAGGAGTGATGTACCTCCTTTTTCGCTTTTTACTTACTTCTCGATCAGGACGTTTTCGAAGGCACCACATTGCATTCAGCAGAGTACACTACTCCAGCACAATGGAAGGGAAAGCACGGAGTGGTTGTTGGAACAGCAAATACAGGTATTCGATTCATCCCAATCGCCTATCATGAAGCAGCAGCAGCTCACTTTAAAAGCACACGATGTAGCAGACGATATGCTCCAAGCCGGACTCGCGTCCGTGACAATGATCCAAAGATCAAAAACCTGTAAGTCCAAAATCCCCTTTCTAGAACATCCATTTACAAGAAAAAGACATCCTCCCAGCCGAATACTACAAAAAGGTCTCGTCCCGTAAGTAGCCTCTCTTTTCTCCGAAACCAATTCAACATAACATCCCCAAACAGTAAGCTACAACGCCACAAACCCAACCGAAGTAGCCGATCGAGGATCCCTCACCACCCCCTTCGGAGTCGCGGACCTCATGAGCCAAGCCGTACTCCACGACATGGCGAGCAAAGAATCAGAGCGCTTCGATTCCCTCGAACGAGCTGGGTTCAAGACCGAGCGGTACGGGAATATACAGGAGCATATTCTTGTACGGCTTGGGGGTCATTATATGGATGTTGGGGCTTCGAAGAAGATTGCTGCTGGTTTGGTAGGTTTTCTACTAATCCCTTGACATGAGATGAAGATGCTGAGAAAGAGGCTCAGATCAAAGTCAAATCCGACACTCTTCCTGTCCGCTACGTGAAAGATGGTCTGATATTCAGTGATGGGACGCATCTCAAAGCGGACGTAATAGTCTTTGCGACTGGCTTCGTGGGAAATATGAGAGAGCAAGTTGAGCAGCTCTTTGGTTCTGAGATCGGGGACCAGGTTGGAGACTTCTGGACCTTGGACAAGGAAGGAGAGCTGAAAGCTGCGTTCAAACCTACTGGTCGTAAGTTATCTCCGAATTCTTAATAGATGATGAGATCTAAGCTGATATGAATACAGACCCCGCAATTTGGCTTCACGGAGGCACGATTGGGCAAGGGAGATATTACTCGAGGTTCATTGCTTTACAGATCAAAGCAAAGCTCTTGGGGACACCATTACCATTGTACGAGAAAACGCCATAGACAAAAATTCACTAGCCGCGAAATAATTCTCTCCATAGTAGCTAGGCATAGCATAGTAGTTGCCGGATCCCGGATATACCGTCAAAAATTCAAGCTTAAACCCACCCCTCCTCCAGCACCAACCGCGCCACCTTGTCTTCACCCACCTGCAGCTTAACCAACAATCACCATCTTATCTTAATCTCGATCTCCATTCTCCAAATACAGGCATCCAGAATTTAATTTGCCTTCATGACGACGGAAAAAGAATCCCGTCCTATCAGATCTCCAAGTGGGGTAATACTGTTACAGACGTGACGTCAACATCAAGACTACATCATATGCTGATAGAATCCTTATCTATTTACACATCTCATATAATTCTATTCTCCCGTCTAATATCCTCAAACCTAACAAAATCTTCTACAACACCTGAAAAAAAGAAACAATCGAAACATCAAGAATGGAGTTCGTCCCCATCCCCCATCCCTCATCTCCTCCCCCTTTCCTCGCTCGCTACGACAAACTAACCGCTTCCCCCCCACAGCTCAAACACAAACACCACCACGGGCCCAACCGCCGGATACGATAACAACGTCGACCAGAATTTCGGCGAGACGGGGAAGAAGGAGGGAGTCATGAGTAAAATCAAGGATAAGTTGATGCCGAGCGGGCCGGGGGAGACTGATACTTCGGTATGTATTTTATTGTTCGAGGGAAAGGGGGGAATATGCTGATGCTTTGGGGGGATGTAGGGTATTGATGCGAGGAATGCGGCTAGTCATGTACATCATGCGAGCCATGGGGGACAGGAGAGGCATGATCAGGCGAATTCGGATTTGAATCGGGAGTAGAGGGTTTTGAGGCTGAGAAGAAGTGGTTTGAGGGGGTTGGAGAAGAGGATACCCATACTGTACGACGAGAGATACATTTAGCTCGTATGCAATAATTTACGTTGCTATGAGAGAACTTGAAAATGAAGAAGCAGGAAATGCTTGATAAAATCTTACTTTTTATGTCCAAGACGTGGATGGTGCTTCGTGAATAATCTCTTCACATTAGGTTATTAAACTCATCACCACACCAAGACCCTCTATAACCCTCTCTTCCACACCACCTCCCTCCTTCCCTTTCCCCATCAAATAGGCAACGTCCCATTCGCCAAAATACACGTCCCAAGCACACTCCCCTCCAACCTCGCCGTCGCATTACTCACCAAACCCCCCAACCCACTCGTCCCACACTTCAACCCCAACACAAAGCTCTGCGCCACCACATCCGCCAGGTACGGCGCCGTATGCGTATGATCCATCGGATAATTAGCATCTACTATCTCCGGGCCCAGATTCTTCATGGCTTGAGCCGCGTATTGGCCATGAGGGACAAAATAGACGCCTGCTGAGGGGCCGCCGAGTTCGGTTACGGAGAGCCTGGGATGGATGTCAGTTTTTAGGGAAGAAGATGGGGAAAGGGTGGTACCAAGAGTAATAAGTAAAACGATCAGGGGTATAACTATAATTGCCCGTTTCCCACGGATTATCAGGCGTCGGCGAGGAAAGGATAACTTTCGCTCCTAGCGAGAGATACATCTCAGATGCATCTTTCAGGTACGTAGGATACGTCAACACGATCTCCGAGACATTTCTATACTCATTAGCTCTATGTCCTCTCTACCCCAAACTCTCATCACTTACGCATAAACAGTAGGACAAGTCTGATTCCCTATTGTCTCCCCATTAGCCCACCATCCCCTCCCTTTCAAGAACGAGAAAACAAACCAGCACCAGGACAATCTGCCCTCCCATTATCATCCGCCGCTGGATACGGACTACCCCCATCATTATGCCCAAACTCAATGACGACCCAATCTCCCGGCTTAACCTTCTCAGCAATCGCCTCAAAGCGCCCCTCTCTCGTAAAACTCCTTGCACTGCGTCCCGCATACGCGGAATTATTGACGAACGCTACGGAGGGGGGAAAGCTGTATTGGAGATATTGGCCCCAGCCTTCGGTGCCGTTGTGGCCGCCGCCTGGGGCCTCGGTGCTGTCGCCTGCGAGCCAGATGGTGGGTATTCGGGGCGTGGATGTCGGCGTCGGGAGACAGGAGCACGCAGAAAGAATCTGAGAGGTCGTTGAGGGGGATGTGCATGCTGTTGCCCAAGTAGGGAGGGAGGTAATTGTTGGTGTTGCTGTATATGCTGAACAAAACTCGGATCCGGATTGGATTACTGCTCTCTAAGAACAATTAACAGTTGAGTTTATGAGCAAGATTAGGGACTTACTAGACAATTATCATGACTGCAGTCTCGTTCTTGCAAAGAACTCGCCCTGGCCAGGGAAAGAGACACAGAGAGGAGCATAAGAGATTTCATGACGACTGATTCACAATTCAATAAAATTAACCAAGCACTTCAGGGAACTACCCAATATACTTATACTCCCCTCCCGCTCCTAACTCCAAACCGTCCCTCAAATCATCCTTCTTCCTAAGCCCGCCCTACGATCCCATCATCCACAAATCAACTCGCCCCAAACCTCAACCCCACCACATCCCCAGATCTACATCCCTCTTCCCCATACCCTAACGCAAGAAGAAAAGAGAACAACATTCCCCCGACACCAAAGCAAGGTACCGGCACAACCATCCACAATTCAGCCACCAACAAGATCTCGCGCGGGCAAAATCTGACTTTAAGCATGAGGCTGACCCGTGACCCCGCGAAAGGCGATCTGGGGAGCTCGGGGGATTGGGGCCCGAAAGCAGACGGACGAGAGGATAGGGGGTTTTTTTTTAAAATTCAGCGGGAAGGGATTGGAGCGATGTAACATAGTGATCGTTCGTTTTGTGGGGAAGGGAAAAGAAAGTTTGGGATGCAGATGCTTTGGTGGAGACTTCCTTCTTGTAGATGTGGGATATGGAGAAAACTGCTAGAAAAGCAGCAAACTGCTTCAATAGAAAATTAAATACTGCAGGCCAAAAAGACCCGAATGCCAAAAGGCTTCATCAAAGAACAAAAAGTCCTGTATTCCTTCATTCGCCTTAATGCATGGTATAAACGCCCACAAAATGCCTCACTAAGCCGCTCATACGAATCATATATACATCAATCATCATGCAGCACCTCCTCAAGCAACTCCTCCTTCTCAGCAACCGCATCCTCAAATTCATCACCAATCGTAACGACATCGCCCTCCGTATCTTCGTCCGTCGCCGTGAGAACCTCTTCATTCTCCGCCTCACTTCTCCGTAATAGATTCCGCATATCATCTTCGCTGAGAATACTCTCGATACTACCCCTTCTAACGCCAACTCTAGTCTCTCTTCGTCCCCGCTCTATAAGTCTTTCGATTTTCAGTCTATTAGCAAGGAATTTTAGTTTAGGAAACGCGCTCTGTTGACCGACGTGCAGCATGCGAGCAAGTTGTTTGGGATTAGGATCGCTTAAGATGCGCCAGAAATCCGAGATCTGAGAACGTGGCCAGATGGTGATAGTGCCTGAGAATTGTTGGAGCCAGATCTCGCTCCAGTCTTGGCCTAGTGGTCTGGGAAGAAGTTCGAGATGTCGAACAACCTTGAGCCATTTGTTGAGGTCGAGTTTGAGGTATTGTTCTGTTGCGGAGCCAAGGAATCCGCCTCGCCAGCCACGACCCCGACGGTGGGTGACGGGTTGGCCGACTGAACCTCGGGAAGAGAAGAAAAAGAGGTTGATGTGTGGGTTAACTTGGGAGACTATGCTGAAATTGACGTTGAAATGGAGGTTGAGTGCTTTGAGAGGAATGTCGGTTCGAAGACTGCCGTCTTTCCATTTATGGCCAAAGGAGTACGGAACGAGTGTACCTTCTCTGGTCTTCATCATGAGTACGACTGGGTTGAGAATACCAGGAACTGCTGCTGAGGCTAAGACCGCAGACCAGATGACACAATCTGGACTGGTAAGATAGTTGGTCAGAATACTACACATGTTATTAGCACAATTAAGCTACCTCCAAGTAACAGCTTCACTTACGTGGGAGAGTGAGGATCAGCCGGGACACAAGAAACATTTAATATCCTCCCAGTCCTCTCATACGCTTCACGGAAAGTCATACTCCCTCTCGTAAACCAACTACACCTCTTAGCCCAATCCAACGAATCAAATCTAGCTCCCGTCTTCCACCACCTTGGAGCCCACGTTGTGAATGGTTCCGAGCATGCGTTGATCCTGCCAGCCAAGGCTGGGACGAGAAGTTTCTTAAGCTCGTCGTTGGTACGTGTTGCCACAAGCGCAGCCACCAAAGCTCCTCCAGATGTTCCAGTAATGACTTCTGGAAGCAGGTCTGCGTCTAGGAGAGCTTTGACGACACCAAAGTGGTAGTAAGCGAATGAAGCTCCCCCTGATAGACAGAGCGCTGTCCGTCCGTAATTGGTATGCAACCTCTTAAACAGCGTCCTCTTCTCCTCTGCACCCAGTTGCTTCGAATCAACCAGAATAGTAACACCTCTCTCAACTATACATCGTCAGCACTCACTCATTCCCAGCTCACCCTGCAAGAGAAAAACCAACCTTCATCAATAAACTCCTGCACCAACTCCTTCGTCCCATAATACGTCTGAGAATACAACCTCGAATTCTCCACCCCCACAAAATTATTCTTCACACACGCCTCAACCAACGCTTTCAGATCTTCCTCCGCCAGCGCTCCCTCCCCGCGTTCAATCCTCCTCCTACACCTCCTCATCTGCCCCAACACCCTCCTCACCGTCTTATGATCATAATACGCAAACTCATCCGTCTCCTTCCACCTCTCGTTCCCCGCCCACGCATCCAGCTCCCTCGCCGCCGCCACCCAATCCGCATAATTCTGCGTGCCCTGCAACTTCCGCCTCAACCTCTCCCTCCTGCCCCTCCACGCGACAAAATGCTCGTACAGCCAGATATACAGGCGCGTCAACAGGTACGAGACGCCCAGACCAGTGACCCATGCCACGACCGTAGCCAACAACGGCCACTTCAGCAACGTATAAAGATACCCCTCTCTCGTCTCATCGCTACTGCGATTCTTCTTCCTCCGCACTCCCTTCTTTCTCTTGCCTTTCCCAGATCCGCCGATCCTGGCCGGCGGCCCAACAGGCGCCCAATCGTTCTGCGCCGTGATGAATAGGCTCTCTCTCCTCCCACCACCACCACCACCACCATCCATACTGCCCCTCCCATGTCCCAAGCTCGCAGCACTCCCGTTTGCCAAACTGGCGGCACTCCCGACAACAGGACTCGCCAGCAGATCATCCGTGCTAGGACTCACCTCCGGCGCCGCCAACGCCTCCGCGAACGCCTTCAGATCCTCCTCGGATGTGAACTCGGTGTCGTAGTCTGGGAGGAGGGAAGCGTCGTAGCCGGTCTCGCTGGACGGGGAGGGCCCGTTGGTGGATTTAGAGAGGTCTGCCATTTTCTTTTATTGTTCCATGAGGGGAGGACGTGGAGGATGTGGCATTTTGGCTGTGGTGTGGTAAATGGAGGTGAGGTTTGAAGTGGATTGTTGGGACGCGAGCTCGAGCGAGCGAGCGAGCCTGCAACTATCGCATGACGTCGGTACGTGATACCTGGGGAAGGCGAGGAAAATTCGTATATGTAAAACGTAGGTGGTCACGACTCGGAGATCATTACCTTCGAGATCTTGGGATTATTTTTTGGATCTGTGTGTTATTCGGATTGATTGTGCAGTGATTGTGGGGTAAAAAAAAAGAGAGATAGGCTTGCGGTGAAGGACTCGGTGTCTTTGCGCCACAAACCCGTTTGTTACTCGGTGCTTTTATTTGCAGAACGAGAGAAATGGAGGAAAAAATTTCTTGATTCGCAGAACTATGCTGAGTACAAACATGCTACTATACTGGCTGGACCTGGTCTCTGTCCAAAGTCCTGCCAAAGAGAGCATGGAAACAACCTGTGTAAACTCCGCCCGCTCATCATAACGTTCTCCGTCCGTAAAGCTCATCTTTCCTCCCACGTCTCCTCCTATCTATCTAAACATATTGGGACAACCATCTGATAGCCTCTCCGTAACCTATAATTCCCCTATTAGCAAAAATCTCACTTCCATAAGATTTTGGGAACAACATACCCTGTCTCATAACAACAGAGCACATAAAAACCTCAATCGGTCTAATACCCTCAAGCGGAACCTTGCCCTTGCCCGTCGTCTGATACAACCCCAACTGATGCCTCAACTCGTCCTCGGAAACCGCGTCGGGGTGATCAATCTTGTTGCCCAGCACCACGAACGGGACCTTGCTCAGCTCCTCCATGCTGAGCAGGGCGTCGAGCTCTGCTTTCGATTCGGGGAGGCGTTCATGATCTTTGGCGTCAACGAGGAAGACGATGCCGGAGACTTCGGGGAAGTAGTCTTTCCAGAGACGTCGTGCTGGTTTTGGTGGTTAGTGGAAAGTCCCGAATGGGCAGGAGAGTAGGGAGCTTACCTTGTTGATGGCCACCTAAGTCGAACGTGGTGAATTTAACGTTGCCAATGGCGAGTTCTTCGGATGCTGTGGCGGACGTAAGTATATGCGCAGATGCTGCTGGGTGTATACTCACTAGGATGAAGAGTAGGTTGCAGGATGGCAACTCTATCATTCTGCACAGAAGACAACCTTCATCAGCTCTTGCTCCCATTGTACGTATGCTAGTTCAGTAGCAACAACGGACGCACCTTCAACATATGCAACAACGTAGTTTTCCCCGCATTATCCAAACCCAAGAAGAGGAGCTTAGCATGCTTGTTCAGCAGACCCAGCGACGCAAGAGTATCCCAGACTGCAGCAAGAAACCAAACATGTCAGCTTTGCTATCGAACCCAACAAAGGAAAGCATCATGGAATGGTCTACGTACACCAGTTGACGATCCACATCTTGATATGTCGATTAATGCGCAGACTCGAAATGGGTGTGTGAAAACAATCGTCTGTCGTTGAAAGAGTTGAAGCCAGCCTGGTTGGGTTCTTGCCAACTAAAGTGTACGCTAGACGATCTGGTTACCTAACATTTCAGGCGATAACGATATTCACTTCGCACCTCTTCAGTAGGACGCAACGTGGTTTATATACTTTATTCTTGTAAACTGTGTCTAGAACGGATGGGTCGGTAGTAGTGTCCTTTTCACAAGATGCTAGAGTATACATTGTCTGGAGATTTGTCCTTACTGGGGTGATTTATTGAGACATGTGATGTTTTTCAGCCCTGGTTTTGTCGGGTACCGGCTTTCGGGGATAGACTTCGAGGCAAGTTTACTTTTCTACTGCTTGTACCGGATGATGAAATGATGCATACCAGGCAGCTACATTCATTGGTTAAAGATCTTTGACTTCAGACATTCTTTGATTCAAACAAGATAAGGAGGTAAAATATATGCAAATAGCTTCATTGAATGAAACTAAAAAGTATCAAAGCCGTGAAGAAAATCGTTCAGGAAACGAACATCTCGTATTCCTCCTTCCCTGGAAATGCTCCCCATTTCCTCCTTCAAGATCAAAAACCCGAAAGACCTCCCCAATGCTGCCCATGCTATGCAATGCTCCCAAAGGGTCCAAACGATGACCACTTCATATCGCCTCCGCAACCTGGTATGATGCAATGAGATTCATGTCCTCGCACGCGTTGGTGACTGACGATGATCGGAATGACTAAAAGGAAGAATGTCGTATCTACAGGCTGGCGTCTCGGTATGAGAGACGGCCATTAGAAGACGGTATGTACAAATGAATAGAAGTGTATGTAATGGGCGAGTAGAACAGTCTGGCCGTCCCAACGCCCGCGTCTCCGAAGTCTTGTACATGAAGACTAAGCAGACAGCATGTATGGGTCCTGTGGACCGGTCTTGCCAGCCATGAGGAGACCCAATTCTCTCATACGCTCGGCTCCCTTTCCTGGTTGAGGTTTGCGTTCTCCGTGGCTCTTGTTTTTGCGATTGCATTGCTTCTGATAAAATTTCTCCTTGCGTCGTTGGCGTTTCTGCTCGAGGCCCTTCACAATATCGATAGCCCCACGAATGTGTCCATCGTTTTCGCCAGCATCCATGCCGTTGCCATTGGCAGCAATTAAGCGGGAAGCATTGTACTGCCGGCAGAAGGCATTTGGAGTACGTGGGAGAGACTTCGTATGAGTCAATCCCGGTCGAGAGGCCAGTACTGCAAAAGGGATAGCTCTGCTCGACGTAGGTGATGCTTGAGGTGAACGGACATGTCGTGGTGGAGGTGGTGATCTCAGGCGCCTTGGAGAATGACCGAAGAGTTTGCGAGGTGGCGGAGAGCGATGGCGTGTTTGCTTTGGTGGAGGTGGCGAGTGAAGTCTTCTGGGAGAATGGCCAGGGGACTTGCGACGTATAGCGGTAGTAGAGCGGCGTCTCCCGTGTCTCTCGTTGTCAGATTCCTCGAACTTGCCATGGATCCACACGTGCTCGTCACTATCGTTGGCGACTTCGATGTCATCGACCTCATCTTCCTCGTCCTCGATATCAGAAGTAGGAAAGCTGGGATCGATATCCTGGGGAGTTTGCTTATGCTTTGCGGCATTCTTAGCGGCGATGCAAGATACATAGGCGTCTTCCAGGGGACGATCTTCATCGAGGGTTCCACAGACGAAGTCGGTACTATCAGGGAGTTCTGGGGTACCAGGACGAAGAGTCATTGGTACAGCTTTTGACCGTCTCTTCTGAGGAGGAGGTTCCATGTGGGTCAAAGAATCGATCGACGAGGTAGATGCAGTACGATGGGCAGATGCTCGGTAAATACTCGCTTGTCCGTGGTGATGAAACTTGCGTCCAGGTGTCCAGAACGAGAACTCGCCCTCCCCATCGCTTTCGTCATCTGACTCTGCAAAGCCAGCTTCGTTGTCGGTCTCGTTGCCGTCAGAGCCTTCATCAGAGCTAACAATGCCATCTTCGATTCCATCCTCCTCATCCTCTTCATCCTCGAAATCGTTTTCATCAGAATCGTTGCCAGACTGATCCTCGTCATCATCGTCCTCGTCTTCCAATGCCTCTTGCTCGGCTTCGTTTCCAAGTTGACGAATAGCATTCTCCATCTTCAATGTGTCGTTGATGGTCAGCTTGTTCTCACGTGGAATGTCGGCATCCTTGCGGATCCAATCATCGTCTTGTAACTCTTCACTACAAAACTCGTGGAAACGGGTGGCTTCGGAAGACTGGATAGTCTTTTCATCAGCGATGATATACTTTGGCTTTGTGCGCAGTGCAACTGGAGAGCTACGTCGAGCAGTAGCGCTAGATTCACGACTGGACCTCGACGAAGACAATCCGGGCCGTGGAGATTTCCGTGGAATGGATGGAGATCTTGTCGAGATACGCTGCTTCTGAGTCTCAACGGGCTTTGGTGCTTCGGTCACAACTGGAGTGGTTGCTTTGCTAGTCTTGTCGGCGGGTTTTGGGCCTGGGCAAGCAAACTTGATGGTGCACCTCCGTGGTTGAGGAACTTCAGCAGGCTTCTGTTCTGCGATGGGAGCCGGTTCAGCGACTGCTGGATTTGGTTTGGCCATGCCCTTCTTTCCATCGCACATGAACGTGATGCAACGTTTCTTGACCACTGCCTCGCCGACTGGTTGAGCCTTCGGTGATATGCTCACAATTTCCGGTCGAGCAGGTTCCACGGGCTCCACTTTGGCGACCAATGTTGTTGGTGGCTGGATAGATTTCGAGTTGAAAGAGTATGGAGCAAAGCTCGTGTAGGTAGACCTAGGGATTGGTGGACTAGGTGTGTTTGTTCGTGCTGGGCTAGTCAAACCACCATCGCTGGTGAGTTCTGCCGTCGATGCCAGGCTGGCATTGCTCATCATCGAACGGCGGCGAGTGAGGTCTGTCGTCAGTCGAATATCGTGATGGACAGCATCAGTTTCCGGGACCTTCTGGAATGCTTTCGTGAGGAGTGATTCTTTGCGGTCAGCTTGAGGGCGAACAATCGCTTTGTGAAAGTCTGGATGAGCTTGTTCGTGTAGACGATGATCCGGTGGTTCATCTACATCTGCTGGCACCTCTTCATCTGTTACCGCTGGTGTTGTGGTGGCGGTCGTCTGGGACCGCCACGCGAAGAGATCTTGTATGCCCATTTCGTAGGTAGGATCGAAATGATGGTTCATACTGCGAATTATCGGGAATAGATGGTACGGGACCGTCGGGAAAGAATTGATCGATCGCTCGTACTGGTGATATTAAAAATTGTATATGCTGGAGGTCGAGTCGCGGTAAGTGGCGATAGGCGAAGAGGGGTCGCAAACGCGACGAGAAAGTTCGTGCGAAATGGAGTTGAGCCTCTGGAGGCTCTTGAAGTATCCGGAACCGGTCGAAACAATTGACAATGGAGCACACAGGGTGTGTCTCGTCGTCAAAATACCTCTGCAGAGGTCGCGTTGAGCAAGAACCGTTGATGTATGGCGTCCCTAGGGACCGTTATGCTATAAGGCGAAGAACATCTCGTGTATTGGCGAAAGGTATCCAAGAGTTACTTCGAGAAGGAAGCAAAAATAGGAAAACGTATTCGATGCGAGCGCGGGCGATCGTCGTTATTGACCTTGGCAGGGAGTTGTTGTCGGGGAGGTTGAGTTTGGAGTGTTGGCTGTGGTCGGGATATATGACGTTAAAACAGCAGGGCTGAGAATCTTGTAGTGATCCCTCCTGACAAATATAGGTGTGCCGAACAATAACAAGACTGCGTGAATGCTTGGCTGAGGCCGGCTGTACGAGACAGTCAACGCGCACCTCTGGGCACTGCACCACGGATCAAGATCAGTAAGCCGGCGTCTGTACTGTTTGTTCGAACGTTGTTTTGATTTTGTTGGAGGAGGAGGAGAAGGGAAGAATTGTTGTGTGCGAGGGAGCGGGTGGGTATGGGTTTTAGTTTTAGTTTTAGAGAGATGAAAGTGGAGGAGAAATTGGGTGAGGGCGAGTGGTGAGCGCTGGCGCAGAGCGGCGAAAGAAGGGAAGAAAAAAAAAGCTTGCTGGCTTGCGCTGCTGCTGCTGGTGGATTTTTGGTGGTGGATTCGGATACTGGCCCTGGCGCGCTGGTGGTGGTGGTGGTGGTGGTGGAAGCGACAGCGGCTAGGGAGTGCGAGTGGCTGCGACTCAGGCTGCTGCTGCTGGTCCTCTTAATACAGTAATAATCTCAAATCTCAAATTTCGGTGTGAATGATTTGCTTCCAGGTTGTATGCACTTTGCTCGTTCTTGCTAGACTTGTCCCACATTCACTTTCTCGAGCCACTTGTTTCGCTTCACTTCACCCTAAATAATTTAATGTTGAAGCATAAACAAAGAACCCTCCGAGGATAGGCAAAAGAGCGGTCGCTGGATGGGAGGGAGACCCAGAGCTAACGGTAATTTTCTCGGGCCTATCCTCCCCCAACATGAAAGAGAGACTGCAACTCTTCCTTTGTACGGCAGGAGCACCGCATGCACAACCACATGGCCAAGCATGCATTGTTACGAATACTGTACTCTGTACAGTCCCCGGATGCGGTGCACAATGAAATGCTACACTGGCGAGTTTGTTGGATTAATCATCAACCGTACGCCCGTATCTGCATCTACTGTACAGTATTATTTCCATATCTACGAAACATTTTCTTCTCCCTTTGTGCCCGTTTTGCCGCGCTCGTCGCCGTAACCTCGCCCGAGGGTCTCAAGCTCGCCTTACTCGTACTGCCGAAGGCCTCTGGGTGTCATCAATCGTGGGCGTCGAACCAAATTGCGAGGCCGGAAACCGTCTTATGGCGGCAATTGGAAAATCATCAAATGTCGTACTTACTTAGCGTCGCTTCCCGATCCGCGATCACCAGAGGCACCGAGCAAACCTTGGTCCAGTGCAGTAATGCTAATTACGACGTCTTGGATGCAGCCAAGGCGGGGTTCACTTGAAGTGTTGAAACAGGCGTGGGGGCAGAACCGTTAATATCAAAGCAGCAAGTCTCTGCGTCCAAGTTTTCGTAGCGACATCGCACCCCTAACATCAACAATCTCAACACCCGGAGATTCATACCTTCACATGCAAAGCTGCATGGCCAGACTGAATCCCCTTTTCTGAGGGCTCCAAACATCGTCATTCGCGCAGGTGACACGCATGTCGTGTTCTGTTGTGGCTGTCGCCCCCAGTCTTCTTGAGGTTCTGCATGCAGAAGCGTCCTGTGCTTGTCCTTTTGAATCTTACGATCTTTGCCGGAGTCTGCTATCGTCCAATGAGATCGCTGGTAATAGGGTCATTGACAACGTCTGACATGCTTTGGAGTCTTCATCCTGACCGCCAAAATGTACCCCACATTCTGGTAACCCCTCTTCAGTACTCGACGTGTCGTACTGTAGTCCGCATGGGCTTGCTTGCATTTGCACCAGCAGTCGCAGAAGCGTCGTCGGAAAGCTGCGTGAAATCGTAGATAGGGGGAAGGAATTGCTAGTCCCTCTATTTTAGAACGGTCGCGAATCAACGCCAGTGTTCAAGCATTTCCGGCCTTGCGCGAGTCTGCACACACCGACCTGATATCAAACCTGCGAGGCGGTGAATGCTCTTTGCTGAGTGAGCTGTGAGATGCGCAGCGGTCATCCTGAAAACCCTCCGACAGCTGATGTCTTTTGACCAACTTTTAATCCCAAGAATAAGAATATCGCATGTGAGGAAAGATAGGAGCACCTGGTGTGTTCAGAGCAGACGGTGAAGATCCGTGATGCTCCCTTCCATGATCTTTCTAGCCCTGGCGGCAGCACTTGCCAAAGCTGTTCTGGTGCCTCGGATATTCTGCAGTACAACTGCACAAGAAGAGTCGAGCTGCATGCAGGTTCCCTTGACCTGGTGGAGCTGCATGGCGTTGGGAAGGACATGAGGGATTAATCTGCACCAGTCGAATTTCCCCCAGGACGAAGGGGATGGCGTTTTCTCGGAATGCTTGATTTGGCTCTGTGTAACAATGCACTGCAGAAAGGCATCTCCGGCCGGCATGAACCATTCGAGATCATCGGGTGCGACAAGACTCGGAAGACGTCGGAAAGGGGTGATGGATGATGAGTGTAGCACGCGAAGTCGGAACCAAGCGGGACTGAAAATAGTATGGTGGATGAAACGTGCCAAGGGCGCATAATGCTGCGGGGAACCATACAGCCACACAATGCAGACAAAGATCTTCGACAATAATGAGAGCCTGAAATGCAGGGCATGAAAGGAGATCAAAACACCTAGACATCAGCTGACGCTTAAAGCTGTTACTGTCTAAATCTCGAAGTAAAGCATAACAAATACAGACATGACTATCATAATATTTCACAGAATCTCAAACCAAGAGTTAGAGTCTCAAATCCCATACTTTCTTTAAGCATTTCCACGTGACTCAAACGCTAGTGATTTCCTGCCGAACATTGAACTACAGCAAAGCTCTACAACGAGTCAACAACGCCAATCCCAATTGACACCCCAACTCATCATGAATTCTCTCCGTATTGCTCGCACAGCTCTGCGAGTGCGTCCTGCAGCTATCAAGGCGCCTCTCCAACGCAGAGGATACGCCGAAGCTGTGTCGGATAAGGTCGGTTCCTTTGAACAGAATTTGATGGATCGGTACTGATGAGTTCTAGATCAAGTTGAGCTTGGCTCTACCCCATCAAGTAAGTTGAGCATATTGCAGAAGTCGAAAGGGAAGATGAGGATCTGCGAGATTGGTGATGGGACACAATTGGACAATGGCATGTGGAGCTGGAATACGTTCGCTGACGAGCTATCGGCAGTCTATCTACAAGTCACAGGATGTTGTTCAAGTCAACATTCCCGCGGAGTCAGGTGAAATGGGTGTCCTCGCAAACCACGTTCCTTCGATCGAGCAACTGAAGCCTGGTCTTGTGGAGGTCATTGAGGAGAGTGGTGGAAGCAAGCAATTCTTCCGTATGCCCATCCAAACTCCGTACGTCAGCCCAAGCTAAACATACATGTGTGTAGTGTCTGGTGGATTCGCCATTGTTCAGCCAAACTCGGAACTGAGCATCAACGCCGTGGAGGGTTTCGCTTTGGAGGATTTCAGCATCGAGAACGTTCGATCACAATTATCAGAAGCACAAAAGATTGCCAGTGGAAGTGGAAGTGAGCAAGATATTGCTGAGGCCAAGATTGAGATTGAGGTAAATTCCATATAAGACCATTATGTGTATACCTTCTAACAATATCCTAGGTGTTGGAAAGCTTGCAGTCTGTTCTCAAGTAAAAGTGCATTCTCGGTTCTAGTGAAGCACTTTCGGAAAGACTTATAGACGAGCGGCTATGTACATCATTGTTTTTTAAATGCATTCTATGAAAAACCCGAATAGTAGAATCCAATCCAAATCCGGGTATCTTGGTCGCGCCTTCCTTTTTGGTTTGCAGGCGTGCTGTATTCTTATTGCACTTTCATATCGTATCATTTCAGCTTCTCAACACATCAACGCTCATCGGACAAAGTTGTTCGATGAGCTGGTGCTATTCATTCATTTTTTTCCAAGTATTCTTTGCTATCATTTCTAGAGGATTCCAAAGCTAGATGTCTCAACTCGGGCTCATCCATCATACTTGGCAATGAAATACCAGCAGCCATCGTCAACAGCGGCGCGCACGCCATACTACGACACCGATACGACTCAAACCTCACGTACCGATCCCCCGCGTCGTCAAAATGGAGTTCCTCCTGGAACTGTGGCAGCTCGCGTGCAATTTCTTCAGGGCCTTCAAACACCAGGTACTGCTCGGCCTGGACCCGCTCCTGCTCCAGCCGCTACCTCATCGAATCGGCGTCGAGAGAATTCTCGAACGGGGTTCGGTCGACGGTTGACGAATCGCTTCGGTCCTCCGGCGCTTCAGAGTGCTCAGCCGTTTGAAGAAGCACGAGTTGATACTTCGCACTCCTTCCTAGGCCTCAACACACCTCGCAAAAGTCATGTGGAGGAACATGGGCTAGCCGACAATAGGGCCAGGTACTCGAAATCACCTGGTATAAATGGGACAATTGCACAAGTGACTCGAGAGAGGGCACAGTTCGATGCAGTCGCACCTTGGGTTGGGCTGTCACGAAGCAAGTCATCAAGGAGCATGGGACGCAAAAACGAAGGCAATGATATGGACGGTCATAGAAGCGATCGCGTAGCATACCACGGCCACATCGTTGCAGAAGCTACAATCTTTCCATTGCCGACACACGAGGACGATCCAAGCAAATTCCGTCGAGAGATGAAGGCACGCGAAACAGATACCCTGAAGTCAGAGAGTTCACTCGCCACTTCTTCAACTATCCGTCGCCAAAGTGTGAGAGATCTGTTCGAGGATTACGGAATAGAGAGGCCGGAGGGACTGGCGTCTTCAAATGAGTCATCTCGTGATATTGAAGATCTTCCACGCCCTACTCGGCCACATAGATTCTGCCATATGTGCGCTTGGGTCAACAGTGGTCCATCAGTAAAGTGTTGGAGATGCAGCCATCGGCTTTGTTCTATATGCGATGCTCAGTCTCCTCAGCCAGTCACTCGGAAAGAACCAAGTCTTGGCTACTCTGAGAGGTTCACCAAAAGCAAAGGCCTAGAGAACCAACCCTCACTTGTCTCGTCATCCAAATATAATAGAGATATTGAGACTGAACCTGTCAAACCCATCTCGAGCAGACCTGGCCCGAGTCCCATCCAAAGACGAGTGGAGGAAAACACACTCCAACCACAAAAAGGGTCCAGTCCTCCAACGAAGTTTCCAGACTTTCATCCTAACTTACCACCCGCCACGAAACCATCCCATGCCTCGCATCCACCAAAGACTGCAGCTCGAAATGCTGTTCCATCTGGAGGTCAAGTAACGACAAGTGTAAAGGATTCGCCATTCTTAATCGCAGACTCAACTGCTAAAAAGCAATCAATCACTTTGTTTCCCTTCGACCATCGAGAGGACCGTCATCAGAGTCTAAAAGACCGGCATGAACATCATCTCCTGCAGCAAGTCCAACGAAGGATTCACTCTTCTTCCTCCTCTTCTGGGTCTTCCATCTGTGAAAGAGGCGACTGTCGTGGTATGAATTGCGAGCATCGCTCCCATCGTCATGTAATCTTGCGAACGAAAGAGAACGAAAAGCAGTACATCCGCGAAGAAACCGAGAATGGTTATGTCGCAGATACGAGTCGAGTCGAAGACGAAATCCATGAACATTCCCATGCTTCACAGTCTTCGCACACACATTCAACTTTTTCAAGGCCACAATCACACACTCTTCAAAAGGCTCATCACTCCCATCAGCATCTACAGGAGACAACACAGGAGAGTTGCGTACCAGAGTTCGTTGAATGCCATGGCTATCCGCGAACAGGTCACATACGTCACGGGAGCTGCTCCGGAGCAGAGCTTGTCGGCGAATGCCAACACTGTGTAGAAGATTGTCAGTGTGCAGCATGCCAAAACACTCATCACAATGTCAGATGTTGTACCCACAAAGATCACAAGGCTATTGTTCATCAGCATCATACTCCCAGAAAAGAGTTTCCCTCTCCCGATCCTCATGTAAGACCGCTATCAGCACCTCGAAGACCATCAGTACCATCCAGCTCTGTTACAGTTATACCGCAACGTCCTCAAAGTGCAAAGATCGAGCCTTTGACCATTCGAAGTTCTCTACAGAACAGTCAACCGAAGCAAGTTCTGTCAACGAGACCTTCTTTAGAGAAAGTGCCCAGTTTCCCTCTTAGGAAGAAGTCAACATTTATCAAGGAGGCATCAAAGCCACCAACTCCGCCGCCGTGGGTATCTCAGCCTAGAAGTTCGCTGCTCAAACCACTGCAATATGACCCCGACGATATCCCCAATGAAATAGTACCAGATCCTTTCGCTCCGTTCAGGAAGAGTTTAACACCGCCCGTAGTCAATACTTGGGGAGAATCAAGCCAAAATCTGGGAAATGATCAGGGTAAGAGACTATGGTCAACTAATCAACTCGGAACAATGAGTCAAGCTCGTGACGAGCGTCCAGAAAGCTACAGAAATCCATTGAGGAAGATTTCTGCAGTCAAAGAGAAACGATCGGTATCGTCGAAAGGCACAACACGTAGCTCATCCAGAATTAAAGTTTCTCCCCCAGGATCCAGGCGAGCTTCAAGGAGATTGTCGGCACTTTTCCAGCTACGTGAGCAAGATTCTGTACCGGCGCTGACACAAAAATTACTCCGACATCAAGATGAGTTACGAGAAGGTCGGAATAATCACCAAGAGGTAGTCAAGGCCGCCCCATCGGGCGGAGTTGCCTCTATAGCACGACATTTAGAGCACAGAGAGCCAATCAAGCAGGAAACAAAGAAGCCAGGACCAACGAAGCAAGAATCCAGAATGGCTAGCAGAGCTGCTAGTACCGATAGTACCAAAAAATGGAGATTGCGGCTAGTAGACAAGAGGCCCAGTCCGACTTGTGGAAATGACAATAAGAGGGTTGTGAGTGAACACAGATTGGCAGATGATAGAGTTGGGAGCAGTAACTTCAAAGCACGAGATCGAAAAGTTATGTCTGAAGCTCGGATGGATTTGCATAAAAATAGTTTCGACGAGCATGAGTGCACGTGGAAGAGAATGGTGTTGGACGTCAGAGATGGAAAGAACGGTCTTTGCAGTCATAAAGAGACTGCCAGTCTTGGAATCATGGGCGTTACTATTATTCTCCACCTGGAAGGGAAGGAGGACATGGTTCTTAAGGCTGGATCTTGGAGTACGACTGGTGAGCCAGGTTCACTGCGTTGAAGAACTAAGTTTGTATTTTTCAGCTGTCTATGGACATCAATTGGGATCCTTCCAGCAGCTTTCGTTGTACCCCTAAGTTGGTGACTCTCTGCGCTTCTTGTACCCCTGACTGACTCAGGTCGTTCCGCCTCGGTCTATCCTCCAAGTAGAATGAATAGCAAAGCATTGAACTGGCTTCTCTGCGTCTTCTGCCTATGTTCCACTGATACACGACTGAGCTAATCTACCGCTTTATCCTTAAGCTGGTCTTCTCTGATTAGTCTTGAACTAGCTTGTCGAGAGCTTCTGTCTTTGCGAGTCCCTCAGCTACCAGCTTCTACGTACCAACTCGAACCCACTTCTAAGTCTCTCTTCCACGAAGCTCAGTGATACACATAGTCTCTTCAACTAACTCACACATCCCTCTCTCCCGTTCACCACACATCCTCCGGCATAACCTCCCACTTCTCCCCATCACTCCTCACATGCTTCCGCTCCACATCCCTCCTCAACGGCTTCCTCATATCCCACGCATCCTCCCCATCCGCACTCTCATCATTCGGATCATCACTATAATACCCCTTCACCACCCTAAACACGCTATACCCCATCCCCTTATACAACGCCTGCGCAATCCGATTACTCTTCCGCACAAAAAGATCCACGAACCACGCATCATACTCCTCGCCCTTCTCCTCCAGTCCCTGGCTTAGAACTCGAGCGAGCCCCAGCCGCCGGGCGTGGGGCGCGACGGTGAGGGCGGTGATGTGCGCGTGGAAGGGAAGGTAGTGCGCAGAGGTTATGTAGTAGGAGGGCGAGGATTCGAGTTTGCCCATTATGTAGGCGGAGATGGTGCCACTGGGGGAGGTGGCGAGGTTGAAGAGCGAGGGCCAGCGGGCGAGGTAGGAGAAGTAGAAGTTTAGGTCGTAGGTCTCGGTGAGGGGGTCGAGGTTGGTGGGGTTGAATTTGAAGACGTCTGTTGCGTGGAAGGGGCGGAGGGAGGTCATTTTGCCTTACCGAATAGGTGGGCTTGCTAGGTCTTGATGAAGGAATATAAATTAGCTTTGTCTAGTAATTTTCTTGGTATGCGGGATTGAGGTTGTGGTTGTGATACCGATAGATAGCAGACTCGACGTGAGGAAATAAAATATCTGAACCGAGCTTCAGCCTGGAAATGCAGGGACAACGAACTCCCGAACTCCACCGCAAACCAAACAAAACCCAACGACCAACTCACAATATACGCCTCAAAAGCGCCCGCGTCCAGGAACAAAGTCAAGTATTTCCCTACGACCATTCCATCGCCTCTTCGCAAAAGCAAGATCAGACTTTCAACGCATTGTTGTAATCTTGCTACCGAGACAGGGGTGCAGCTCCCACCGCCAATCGCGAGATACACGATGCTATTGACCAGCACCGCTCTGATATTAACATCAAATCGCTGAACCCTGCCTCGTCACCACGTCGACGCTGGCTTCCCAGAAACAACGGGAGATTCTAACTTTGCATCATCGGCGCGCTGAACGACGTGTATATCTACTACATACCTACTACCTACCGATCTTGCGAGAGGAGAACACACGAAGGAGGACACTGGTATTAGGAGTGAGAGTAGAAGGAGGAGTTGGATTCGGGACACATTCACAATGCAGTCGTCACCGCGGACCCCGAAGCATAGCAGACATCCATCTGGCATCGACCTCTCGTTCGCCACGCCGCTCTCATACACAGACTCGAGTCCCCGCCGACACTCGAAGGCCTCGATACGCAGTCCCACGACGCCCAACCGACACAGCATCACCCGCTCGGACTCGATCGGGCAGGATGTGTTCAGCAGCGGCGGAGGAGCGGGCGCGGCTTCGAACGGGCTGGGGAATCTGGCGGACGAGTTGGCGGATGCGTGGGGAGAGGAGGATGAGGAGGAAGACGAGGATTTGGAGCCCGATATGAATTTCCAGGAAGTGAAGGGGGAGGGGCAGCAGAGGGATAGTGGGGTGGATGTTACTTCTTCTCCTATACAGGCGCCGCCCAAGTCTGCGAATCTTACGCCGCCGACGCCGATGGGGAGGGGGCATAGGAGACAGCCAAGTGAGTATGATGGGAGTGATTATGGAGGGGATTCGGATCTGGAGTCGCCGGGTATGCCGCCTGGGTTGGTGGCTAGGATGGACATGGTGGAGAGTTTGGCGAGGAGAGGGACGGAGAACAATGGTTCTGAGAGAGATGGGGTTGTGAAGAGGGTTATAGATGGGTTGAAGGATCTTGGAGGACAGTCTGGTGTTGAGGGAGGTGCTACGAGGTGAGACTCCACTGAACGTTGGAGTATATATGATTTCTGACATGTCATAGGCTGGTCACGGCACATTCTGCTTTAGCAACACACCTACTTCACCAAACTCGACTGCTTCAATCACTGTCATATCCTCTATTCTCACCTCTTACTCTTCCACCGGATGAGGACTTCATAGACGACCTGATGCCTCTTCTAGTAACAATCGGCGAAACTATGCCTCGACCAACAACAGCAGCATTCAACTCGCTAACCCAACTCCATACTTTGACCGCAGACTTGGTTCAAACACTTAACTACCTGTCTGACACACTCCATATGTCGAGACAAACAACTACCACAGCAACAAGACGTTTAAAGAGCGCGAGAGACCTTGTAACTGAAATGAGGAAAGATGAAGATGCCAGAGAAGAAGGAGAAAGATGGTTGACAAGACATAATTGGGGAGAAAGATTAAGGAAAAGGGAATGTGCTGGAGTATGTGGGGATGTAGTCGGTGGATTCGAAGAAGTCTGCAATGGCTGGAGGGAACGACTCGTAGCACAAGCAGAAGCTGTCGGCGCTTAACGAGATGACGAGATTGGATGGGATACACAGATACTTGGGATTTTCGTTTGTCGGTTCATGTCGGTGCATATATTGCCTGGAGGGCGGCGGTAGGGCGTTTAGGGCTGGTGGCCACTTAATTGTGGATAGATGTCTGAGCGGAATACATTGTCTTTACCATGCATTAGGGTCCAGAACGCCACACATGTCGTTAAACGTCTCTCGGTTCCCGTTTTGATTGAGGCTTGCAGAACTTCAAACGTTGCCGGCAAGTGCCTCTTTTATGCTTCCAAAGGCACACCTTCGGTAAAGGTTCCTTGAGATCCGTTTCGATGATTATGTCCAGAAGTTGTCATAGAACGGGCGAGTGCCTCTCTTATGCTTTGACAGGAAGGGGCTCAGCTCGTAAACCGTGTTACCAACGGTACGGCCCCTCCCGAGCAGTTCGTCCAGAAGCAAAATTGCGTGCTCACAAGTCCATGTCTTGATGGTGGCTCAGCAACGGCTCGTTATTAAGCTGCTGGGTAATACGTTACCAAACTCCCGCATTCGCAACCACCAGAATAGTTCCTGATATGCTACTTATATACCCCAGAATGCAGTAAATCCCAGGATCTTGATTGCGTATCACGTGTTTCCGATTACTGTGCCACCGGGTAAGGCATTGTGCCTGAACAGTGGGAACCAGTCAAAGTGAGGATATATATGCAGCTTACTAGTATCACCATGGTAAGAGTGCTTTTCCACTGTGATATTCGGCTTGGCTGTCATTATGGAGTTTGAAAGATAGAGTGCAAGATAAGCCACACTTCTCTTGCGCGATGGGGGCTATTTCCCCGATGGCTATATCATTCATAGGATTCGCTTCTCCCTCTCTGTGTGTCTCTGAACTAGCTTTTCCAGCGCGTCGGTAACGAAGTCGCTAGACATGGACAAGCCAGCTTCTGTGCAGAAGTCCCCTACGTTCATCGAGGCGAAGGATGTACCCGTACTTCTGGAATCCAAATCGAGATTTCGATGGATGAATCATATTCCTTGGGTTGCGGTGTGTGCCATAACGATTGCTACGCTGTGTCTTATTGCTTCGGCTGCCATTGTGGTGTCGTCTGATGGGAGTGTTTCGGAATGGGGTCTTCAACCTCATGTCGTGCTTGGTGTGCTTAGTTCGGTTGCTACGGCTTCACTTGTTGTTTCGCTGTCTACTGGGGTTGCAATCACTTGGTAAGTCTTATATCTTGCAGGTTGCTTCATTATTGTTAGTCTTTATCTTTGCTACTTCAGCAGCGTAACTATTTTCGATAATTCTGTGTCTCAATTTCGAATATATACTAAGATGAAGACTCGCATAGGTGGCATGCGGCTCACGCTGGAACCGAAGCGCACAGTCTTCACTCGATCTGGAGCTATAGTCCAATGGGCGGCGGCGCTTACTCCATGATACGGCACGGCTTCAAGAACATGAACAAAGTTGCCGTGGCGTCGACCTTGACTGCATTAGCAAGCATTGCCTACAGTCCACTTCTCCAACGATCTTCCGGTGTGACATCAGCCGGGGTCAGTACGGAAGTGCCTATGAATCTTCACATCGTCCAAAACTTAACGACCAACTATACGGGATATGTCGATACCGATTTCTACGGTAACGTTGGAGTCCCCAATGACTTCTCCGGTCTCGTTCAGAAGTGGTTCGGAGGCAACAATACACAAGCTATCAATCAACCCGGCTTTGTCTGTGATGGAACATGTATTGGCTCTGTGCCAAGTGCAGGAATGTCGTATACCTGCTCAAACATAACAACTTCTATTCCATTGAAGCAACAAACACTGAACAGCAGCTTTTACGGCTTCAATACCACATATGTCAGAAGTCTTGACGAGAATCAGAACCCCATAATGCTCTTAACAGTCAACTATATCGACGGCGTAGACGAAAATTGCAACGCAAACCTCATCACCAAAACCTGCAACATCTCGGCCGGGACAGTCGATTTCCCCATCAAAATGGCAAACGCCAGCATCCTCACCAACGAAAAGTCCCTACCGATCCAGAACTTCGTCCCTCATCCTTACGAAGGCGATAGCCCCGACACCCTCAACGGAGATAGCACCGGCCCCTTAGGCGGTCTCGTCTGGTTCGGCATCAATTTCTTCTGGGCCCAAGACGAAATCGTCTACAATAACGGCACCGGCTTCATCGATTACACAAACGGCACCATGCCCATCCAATATTTCGACTACTCCTACACCGCGCCCGACAATCCGCAATGCTCGTACCGATGGCTGGACCCTTCTCCCGACATCCTGAATGCGTTTAGCGAGATTCTGTTCTGGGCTTCTATCGATGCGGCGGATGTCGGCGAGGCTCCGGTAACGTTCCAGGTTCTGCAGACGAATGATAGGTTGGTTTATACGGCGGTGTATTCGTATTTGGTGGTCGCGAGTTTGATGCTGGCGGCGGCGATTGTGAGTGTGGCGGCGACGCTGTATGGGTGGTGGCATTTGGATAGGGAGGTTTCGATGAATCCGCTGGAGACGGCGAGGGCGATTAGGGAGGGGATGTTTGAACAGAAGAGTGGGAGTGAGAGGGAGATGTTAAGGTTGACGTGAGGGAGGATACGGGTCATTGGATGATACTGTGATGAAGACGACTGTGGGCAAGATTGCCAAGGAGAGGTCAAAATGTGGAAGCTGAGCCGTGGAGATTGAGGAAGTATGGATCACGAAACCAGAGATTCGAAAATCGAGAAGAGGAGTAAGCCGAGGAGTGTCAAAGAAAAGAAGGCTCGGATGTTTTGTGCATGAAAATCTCCATGGAAATATATGCATGGAATGGTAAAGTGAAAACTAGATAGTGATTACTTGCGAGGTTGTACGATTAATGAATGATGAAATTTCACTTAGCACAATCGCTTCATTCGATACCCCAGCAATTGACTTTTGAAAATCTCTTCTCCAGACCGAATAGACCCCCTATTATTTAGCATCCTCGAGATTACTTAACGAATTTCAAAACCTGGAAGACAGCAGTCCCCACGTGATACCCCTTTCCTCCTACTCTCTGAACACTTGACCACAACCTTCCCTACACCGTCGATCCAAGCTCACTGAATACATAGCGCCATCGAGGTCAATGCTCTCTTCTGCCTGTGAATATGTCTCATCATGTTTGCTTCTCGCATTCACAACGTAGTCTCCCGAAGTTGCAAGAAGGCAGCACGCGCTTCTGGCGAGAATATCAATGAGAAGAGATGTTTTATATTTTGCTATGTGCATCGAAACGGGTAGGTGAGTCGGAGCTTGATGGTCAAGTTTGAATATTTGAGGTGTTGTATGGGATTGCTCTAAGATAAGAAGAGAAGAGAGTTGCACAGAATCATGTAGTCATGATGATATTTTCTTATTCCCAGTATTGTTAATAGAAAACAGTATACTCGAATGTAATCTCAAGTAAGTTCTTGAAGTCCTCCAAGTTATCAGTTAGTTGCGGGCGGTGTCTTTGACTTCGGCACAACTTTCGCATTCGTCCTAAACCATCACTTAGCATATACGATCAGATTAATTCTGGGAAGGAATCGCTCACCATTGACCACTCCTCTTTCACGATGCCGAACTCTGCATTGATCCCAAATATTGATTCAAATGCGTCCAATTCGCGAGGCTCAAGAAACGTTGGAGATGCCTCAAGGCTCGGTGGTAACAGTCTGGCTTGCTTCAGACACTGGGTGCCATGCTCAGTGATGATCAACCTCTCTAATAGAGGAAGTCCTATTTGGAAGTGTGTTCTTAGTGACCCATGCCTATTGAGGTAACCAAGGCGCTTGGCTATACCATTGCAGAAACACAGCGCAGCCACCTTCTCCATGTCAGTGATGCTTCTGTGGGTTCTGTCAAACAAAGTAAGTAGATCAAGAAATCCAAGTTTTGGAAAGCGGTGGCAATTCATGAAAAGAACGTCTATCGAGGGATCAAAGTACACTCGGGCCGGCCGCACCCCCCACCGAGAGCTAAACATGAGGCTATAATGCTTCAAAGCTTCTACTCGAGACTCGGAGCAGACTTGAAGAATGGCCGGCACGGGTGTAGGAGAGCGGACTGCTGAGCTTGAAAAGAGTTCTAAGGGCTCTAATTTGTCGAGTATGACCTCCACCAAGCGCTCTCTTGGCAAAGCATAGAACCAAATCTTCAATCTCAATTCTGGTGGAAGGTTCATGAAAAGCGTAAACTCGACAAAGTGGACTGATAATTTCTCCAGCTCTTTTGAAAGTGTGGTATTGATAGCTGTTGACAGCGCGTCGTTCACAGTGTACTCAATGAGGAGTTGAGATTGTTCTTGATTGCTGCGAGATCTACGCTTCCACTCCTCCAATAGAGAGGGAAGTCTATTCGCCATCAAAGCCATGCTGTAGTCTCTAGGAAGTACGAGTCGAGGAGCAGATTGAGTTTCCAACCTGCGACGCGAGAGTTGCTTATTAGATTGCTTCGTCTGATCTGATTGCGAGCTTGATGGTCGCGATCGTGGTCTTCGGAGACGGTATTTTATTTCGGGTTCTGGAGACACCTTTGAGGGAGAAGGGTCTGGAAGGTGCAAAACACCATTTTCGCGCCAGCCTTGGAAGGCCATCGAGCTGTAGTCGGGATTTGGGGGATTCATGATGAGGGATTGTCTTTGAGAGAGATCGGCAGACTTGAAGAACATGACTTGAGGGTCGCCTGCGGAGTTTGACTGAAGCCTAGGTATACGTCGAGTGCTGGTCCTCGAAGGTGCAACCGTGAAGTATGCTGCCCGGGACGGCAACAGTGTTGAGGTGTAGGGTTGAAGTTTCCCTAATCGATCTGCGCCGCGCAAACTTGTATGCTCCTGCAAGATTGAGAGTCGTCGACGCACTCAATGCTTGTGAAAATACGAGATCGTATCCGAAACCACTTGGGAAAGTAATTGATTATGGTATTGCGGCGCAACATCAATGGCGGGTGGATGGATGTTTTTGAACGAACTCTCTGGGGAAAGGAGTGTTAATGTTGACTTTTAGCGTACAACTAGCGTGACTATGCCAATTCACCTCCGATATTCTGACGTCGCTTAGAAAAGGGGAAGGAGCCAAATCTCCTGGATTCACCTTCCCAGTCCTCAAGATATCTGACATACATCGGGAATCGTCTGCGGAAGGGATTTAATCTCTTTTTCTTTCAGACATAGGTTGGTCAATGTCGGACAATAAGACGGACATCGTAGAATTCACGTGACTATTAGGACGCCTAACTTCTAGGTAAGTTGAAGGTCTCATCTGAGTCAGGAGTGCACAGGTACAGCTGATGGTGTTGTGTGTTGCGCCAGGAAATTTTTGCAAGAGCTTTGTTTCAAGACTCTCTGTAGTGGATCTTTAGGCAATTGTTGACATTGACCACGAGCATCAAAGCAGGCAGTTCACGTAGAAGCATATTTCACTTAATTGTATCATCAGTGTGAAAGTTCTCGCCATGAGCACAACGGCATAGGAAGATCACGTTATAATCTTCTGCAATTCTTCATGCCTCAGATCTCGAGAAGAGTTCCACTTGAACCACAGAGCATGAGAAGCCACGATTACTGTGAAATAGAAAAGACCAGAACTCGAAATTTACACAAGGGCACAAACCACTCAACGAGATTTGGACACCTTTAAAGAGCAATGAGATCATACTTCAAGCATAATCCGAGCTTACTGTATTGCCGAAAAGATGTGAATGGAATTTGCGCATGTTTGTGACGATGAATCATCATGGGTTTTGACAAACATAGCTTATTTGTGCAGCTGAACAGCCTATCTCCGTGTGTGTCATGGTCTCAAACGTCATCATCTCTTTAGTTTTCATCTTGCTAATACTATTTCGGTCCTCTCTGCTACTTATCTACACTGCGTCTAAACATATTCCGGGTTTGAAGAGAAGAACGCATCACGTGACAAGCCCCTATTCCGTTCTCGCTTCTTGCCTGTCGATCGAGATGAACAAGGTCATGAACGACTGTAACAAATTCAGATAGAGGATAGGCAGAGGCTTCTGTGAATTTTAACTGACGTCAGCATATGGCCTTTCCATGACCATCGGACTTCAGAAAATTCGATACGCAGGGTCAGGCAGGCGATCATGCTGGGACCACTCAGAATGTCCCCTCCCATTTGCCCAGCAGCAAGTGACCGCGTACCCTGCGTCAACATTGCATCACGTGGAATCGCATCCAACAAGCCACCAACCTGGTAACGCTCCTGCATCATGCACCTGCATCTCGAATCAGAGATTTTCCATCCGATTGCAGATTCCAAAATCTGAGATGTTTTGGGCAGCAAGTGGCCCCCACTCACTAAGGCCGGGGAAGGCGGCTGGTCCAGTTCCCCGCTGCTCACGGACCAGAGTTGATAGATACCATGATCTTGTAGAAGGGACTGACTATCTTATGCTCAAAGCTTTTTCTCTCGAGTCCAAAGCGGAAAGCATGGCAACACGGGAGATGTCTCGCTCATTTTATTCGTCTGATAATCAAAAGATGGGAAAGGAGCGGGCCTAGATGTGGTCCAACCAAGGATAGGCCTTGCCTAACCGTTCCTGTTCATTTTGGCAGAATGTGAGGCGGGAGCGAGTGTTGGAGAGATATGAGACTTGACGTTAAGGAGAGCATGGAGACCATGCGGCAGGGGATGCTATGCAGATCGCTTATTTAGTCTGCGCAATGTTCCGAAGGAGTGGGGTTGGTCATGATCCTGTGCAACCGTTTGTGAGTGTGTGATCTACCGGTTGAGGCGTGCTGGGATGGGCTAGCTTGTGTATGCCATGCCGTGAAGAACATGAGCTGCCAGAAGATTGTTCCGTCTGTCTGAGACCACAGAGGTGGCTGGAGTGAGGCAACATGGGAAGATAAACAGGTGAGCATGGGGCTCATAGTGTCGTGTGCTCAATCAAGCAATGGTCTGTGGCCATGCGGAGTGCAAGATTGAGATCCCATCGGAGAATATTTTTCGTGTGGGATAGTCTGAGGACAGAGCCCCACTGCGATCAAAGCGGTCAGGCCTGCAGGAAGAGGAACGAGATCCAATGTTCGTTTGCAGAAAAGTGTCGTACAGACTAAGCTCGGCTCTGTCATGCAGCCAACCGTGAGTTTGCACCCTGTCGTAGCCGGTCGTTCCCTCCAGCAGACCAAGCCTTAGGAACCAGCGTCACTATCAGCTCAAACATGAGACAAGCCAACGCTTTTATTCGCGGATTTGTGGTCCCCCAGTCCACGGCCATGTGCAGGAGCGGCGAAGGCAAGGAATAGCCGCACTAACAACGGCGCTTGGCGTGAAGCTGCCCATGCCGCTGAGAGAAAGGTATAAACGTGAATGAGATTGAGAAATCTGGGGGTGGAGCCCTGAATCTGGAGTGACTAATATATCAACTGGCGATTTAATGATCATCTTTGGTTATGTTTGATGATTTTTGGGGGTCAAGAGCCAATTACAGGCTTCCCGGCCAAGGAGATAGTGCAATGACAAGCAGGAGGATAGCAAATGCGGAGGATACAGGGCTAGTACCGGATGTGATTCTTTCTTCGGCATCTCCTAGGAAAACTGGGTCACATCTGTTATCTCGCCAGGTATCTCGGGTTGGCTGCTTTGTCCAGCTTAGTTCCCTTATGGCATGTAACAATTCGACTGTATCATTGTCTCTTCAACTCCTTATTATATACCCGTTCGTTGTTGAGAAGCAGTGTCTGCTTGCATGATCGTGGCCTTTCCAGGTTTTCTCTATAGCAATCAGATCAAGTATAGCTTGGCACCGTATTCGAGAGTTGGTAGTCGCAAAGTAAAATAGTTGAGCTATAGGTAAGCTATCCTGCTCTTCTGGCGGTGTAGTAAGTACGGAATGATGACTGGACCTTAGGTTGAGCAGCAGACAGCCTTGCGAGAAGACAAGGTCTGGAAGGAAAGTCCAATAAAAGCGTCAAAACTAGCTTGGTCCAAGTGTCTGACTGCATCTCGCACTGGATGGTGGCAGCTACACCAAGACAGATTTAGGTATCATCGTCTTCTTCTTGGGCAAGACTCACCCCACGATTTACGGGATAAGGCAAGTGTCTCCATAGTCAGACCACTTGCGTATCAGCGTTGCTTGGAGATCCTGTTGCAGTGCAGGTGCAGACGTCTAAGTGCATGGGCGACCAGCTTCTGAAGCACATCTGACGTTCGCTGTAGAAGCAGAGTTCTCGCAAAGCTGCATTCTCCACCAAGACGGCAGAGCGGTGAGACGTTACCAGAATGTTTATCAACGCAGAACCCCGATTTGTCTCGAACGGCTTCGAAACCTTTGTCCCCAGCCAGAGAACTGAGTCATTGCATCAAAGACTTGTTGAGATGACGAACAACGATGTCAACGCTTGGAGTGTGTACCGGCCCGCAGCTCCTCCAGCACCTGACACCTGGGACCAGCACCTTGAAGACTTTGGCAGTAACGAAAACTTCTCAGTAAAGACCTCTAAAACGAGCATATAGTAGTAGAGCTAACACATGTACCAGGTTCAGCCATTGTACGGAGCATACTTCCAGAACGTTACATCTGGTCCTCAGAACCAAGTCACGGACATGTCGAAGACTGCCTCGTACACGGCTTTACCGCAAGGGCAAAATCAACGCATCCGAAGGAACATCGCGTACCAAGATTCGACATCGAACATGAATTGCTCGCAACAGCAAAGCCCAATGCTCGGGCATGATTATGCTCAATTAAGTCTTGGTCGAGGGCGAGGCAGCTTTGCTGAGTTCTCCAATGCTCGACACGTCTTCAAGGACTTCAAATACCATCCATCTACCGAGGCAACATACAATGGACTCCCGTCAACTATCTCCGACATATCGACTACTTCCTACTCAGAAGACTCATCAGGCTTCAGCCGTTCAATGGACATCAACCGAACAAGCCCTGATACAGTATATAACAGCTACTCACTGAGAACGATACCAGCTATTTCACAGATGTCGGCGTCTGCGAGCATGAACAACACCCAGCAAACAGATGCAAGAGCAGAGTGGTGGCCTGGAAGCACAAGAAGCACTAAAGACCCGAACGTTACGGCATATGATCTCGCGATGACCTTTGATAGTCTAGGAGGACCCTACCACCAGATCGGACGACCATCACAATTAGATAGTGCACCACCATACCACCAGATTGGACAACGACCACCACAATTATTTAGTGCGTGGAGCATGACAGCAAGCTCAGCTCATAAGTGGATATCGTCAACAGACCCTACTACTATCTCGCCAAAAGCATTGACGCTGAACACTTCATGTGGATCACTGGCATCGTCGGGTTCAAGCCAGGCATCCATGCTTGCGCTGTCCGAAGCAAGCACGACTGCCAGCGTTGTAGATGGTATGGGCGACCTTTCCAGTCCTGAGAATCTGGTCGTTGTTGAACCACAACCCCAACTTCGTCGACCACGTCAAATTCTTCCCGATTCAGGGCCTAGCTCCGAAAGAATCGTTCCCGTGCTGCGTAGCCAAGACATTCCCTCCGGCAGGAACGCGAGTAGAAAGACGAGAAAGCGATCAGTTAAGGCAGTTGAGACGGAGAGTCATGCTCGGAGGAGTAGTTCGCCGAGTCATCTGTCTCCCACTGCGGATTCTCATGTTGAAAAGTCTAAAGATGACCATTCAAGACGGAAGAAATTTGAAACAAAACTGACAGACCCACCAACACCATCCGACTCAGTCTTGGAGCAACCGACAGCTACATTGCAAGCAGCACATCATAGAGAAGCCAAAGATGATTTCCTCATCAAGTCTAAGCTTGCTGGAATGTCATACAAGGAGATTCGGAAGCAAGGGAAGTTCACTGAGGCAGAGTCGACGCTCCGAGGTCGATACCGAACTTTGACGAAGCATAAGACAGCTCGGGTGAGGAAGCCAGAGTGGAATGACAACGACGTGAGTTTGCTTTGACTTTCCCTGATCAATGATTTCACTGACCAAACCAGTTGAGACTTCTGAAGAGGGCCGTCCGGAAGCTCTCGTACGGTGACCCATCGAAGAGCAAAGTGCCTTGGAAGCAAGTTGCAGATTATATATCCAACAACGGTGGATCATACCACTTTGGCAATGCAACATGCCGCAAACAATGGGACGAGCTCCAAGAATCGGGATGACCATGAGCCCAAGTGTAGCTGTCGGAGAACCATAAGACGATTTCGACCCCAAGGAGGTAACACGAGTCATCACAGTCAACAAAAGCAGCAGATTCTGCCTCGACAGCCATCGGATTTTCAGTCTCCAAATCTCGACTCGGGACGTCAGGCGTGTATGAATGCGGTGAGATCTGGTGCGTTCGCGTTTTACGTGTTGAATTGTTGTAATCGGGACTTGAAAAAGTGCAAGTTAAGTGTGCGTAATAATGAAACTCAAAGGCGTCCTTCATAATTCTGGTGATTCGTGGTGTTGGAGATCCCAATCGCGTTCAGGGTGTCCAGCAATCTTGACTCGTCCTTGCGTAACGCATCCCACTCATCTTCGGTCTTCACAAGAAGCGTTCCTCCCAAGACTGTGCCATTGAGAGCAATTGGTCCTAAGGACTGTCCGTCACCAAGTTGAATATCCATACCTTCTGAAGTTCGTGGACACAAAACAATTGTCCGGTCTGTAAGACCTAAGTTGTAACTGATTGATGATTCGCCTGATGCAGTTATCTCCACGTTGGAGAGGCGACAGGCTTTCCCATGAAGTTCTAAGTAGATTTCCCTGAGCTGGTTTGAACTGGGATTTGCGGGTATTGGTGCAGCAAAGTAGCTGAATGGAAGCTCTGGCGGAGGGCTGCTACTCAGGCCATCTACCAACACATCCCATGTGATGCCTTGCTCGATTCCATTGCGCATTGAGTCCACAGGAAGAAATTGTATGTGTCTATGAGGTTGACTGGCACCAGAATGTTCACCGCTGTTGAAAAACCCGAACAACTCCTCTCCCTCTTCTTTGTAGGCTTTGAGGCATTGGTATGCGGCATCTAAGTCATCTGCTTCTAGCAGATCTGTCTGCTTCTTAAAACTTTTCGTAGCCAGGATAAAATGACCAGGGATGACTGGAAACTTGTTCAAAACAAGGTAGTGTGCTGGAGCAACATCGGTGATGAACAGTCCTTGAGGAGGTTTCTCGAAGGGATCGACATGCTTTGAGTCTGCAGATTTGTTCGACTTTGGCTTATTTGCTAAAGCAGGTGAGAATCGAACTTGGAACTATGTGAAGTTAGACACTGAGTTGAGTTCGAAACAAGCCTCGGCCTAAAAGACACCCACGGGAAGGCCAGCACAATGAAGAATTGCGACTTGAGTGGCATAGAATGTCAAGTCTCCGCTCTCTTGAGCTAACTTGAATTGTTTCCGTACGAGTGAAGGAAGTGACCGGATTGATGCCATAGTGGTCGAATGGTGGAAGGGCAATGGAGGTCAGCACGAATTGGTAGCCTCGTGAGCAAGGATAGAATGACTAATCTTCCGGAGGCTCTTCCGTCTACCCATGGTCTTCCTTCCTCTTTCACTGCGATGTCTCAATTGTCTTGCATGATTGAGAGTCGCCAGAAAGCTTTGACATCAGTGTGATGAGCAGCTATCGCTCACACATGTCATCACTTTTATCGCAGCAAATTTCATCCTGCACTTCTACCTCCTGAACCTTCAGATCTGATGTCTGGCCCACGACAAATCGAATGACGACCTCTTCTGCATGGGTTTCTTGCTTACGCCTTTAGAGTTGCTGACATCTCTCTGCCTTGCTTCAATCTAGTGCTGCTTGCTGCTATGGCTGTCCTTTTTGATGTCGTGGATTGGCTCTTCACTCACGATGCATTCTAAACACGACCTCAATAATGGCCGTCGTCATGACATTCAATCTTTAGCAAATTCCTTGCCTTCTCTTTCCATGAACTTCTTTCAATTGGCCTAAGTATAGACTCAATCTATGCTGTCCAAAGATTTGTTGCACGTCGTAAAGGTATGACAGCATTTCACTCATGACACGCTTATTGTCTTTGATAGGATGAGATCCTGGAGAGTAGAAGCAAGAAAGTACAATTCCGGATATGTGGCTGACTAGCTGCCCATGGTTGGCTAGTAGCTTTTCGAACACCGCAACTTCCCTAGATCCCTGTCTCAAGAGTGGTAGATCTAGAAACAGCTGGACAAGAGTGTATGGAAGATCATTTCACGATTGGAGATCAATCTCTACAAACATTTCTGTGGCTTCTGCAACCCGCATTCGCAATTCATCATCAATTCTATCTAGCCGATCAAAGCAAGCCAATCGAGCTCAATTCTGAGCCTCCATCGTCAGTACGACCCACCATCACCCACGATCATCACATCAAGTTTTCCTCTCCCAAGATCTCATCACAATATGAACTCCACACCCGGATCAACTCGTCCCGCAGCCGAAGGTCTATGAAGTCTAGGCCTTCCACATCCTTCTCCAAGGCAAGACAACGAGGCTTAAACCACGTGTTTGCTTGAACGCCACTTCCGCCTCATGATCCCCAGCAAGCGGACCTTTTTCCATTTGCAGTTGTCTTGAAGCCACCATCGTTCAGTAATCGTTGTTTGACGCCTTTTTGCGTCAGATATCAGCATCTCCGTGGAAAGTTCCGGCAGTTGGCAAGCCACAACTAACGACAACGATGGAATGATGTAATTGACATGCGATGTCGAGATTCAGGATGGAGCTGAAAGAGAGCGAAGCTGATGAATGGTGATGTCTCCAACTGGCTGAGGCTTAAGAGCCTTGTAGGAATCCAGGTCTGGCTTAAGGTTGGGGTTTTTGGCCCATGATATCGGAAACATGGCTTTGGTCAATGGTGTGATATCTGAAATCTTCTGGAACAATGTGTAAACTCTATGGCGCGACGTTCCTATTTCGGGCATGCTTAAAGTGTTTAAAACATAACGTGATTGTCTAACCATGGAAGTAAGTTGTTATTCGAACATGGTGGTCTTGCAGAGTGGATAATGTACAGTGAACCCGGATCCTCGGTCCCGGAGCGACATGCAACAAGACATCTTCGTTGGGATATGATTGCCGGTTCGGCAATCTGAATGAACACTTTCAATCAGAAGAAATATGGCAATGTCACTGAAGAGTGCCAATCCGGAGTGGAATAATATGTCAGTGTTGATCCAGTGGCTATCTGGGGCTCGAACGCTGGGGAAGTAATCGCAATCCACAAATGGATCCCAACTTGGATACAACTCACCAAAAAGTAATAGACAATGACGAGTATCTGTCAGTAACAACTCTTGACAGTAACTTGTGACTGGAATAATAAAATGAGATGTCAAGCTCAAGTGGGCCTTTGAGTCTGCTCCATGATCCAACATCCCTCGATATCCACAGTAACCGAAATGTTCACTTCGAATCACACGCTGTGACTTCTACAATATGCACTCATCATGTACCAATATGACAAACATGCATTACTTCAACGCCCGGTCTCAATTCATAACACAAGCACGAAAATCCCCAACTCTCCATCCCACAAGATCGCAGACTGCATTTTCCTGGTACTGTAACATCAACACGCCAATCCGTTACCTACCACCCTCGGTACCAAACTCTTGGACAACGACATGCAACAAAATCTCCCTTGAGAACGGGAATAAGGAAAGATAATTGGAGCAGTCTCATACATCAGCTTGGATGTTCCGTGCAGTAGGAAAATGGAAAAACCACAAGCTGCCACGAGCTCAATGCACGTCTTCGGCTCCAAACTTCTGGATTGCGAAACGCAACAAAGATTCAATGGACCACCAAAAGAGAGCATAGTATTGGAGAAGTCTCATATGGGCAATCTGTAATTGCCACGAGGTAGGCTTCGGGGTAGGAGCTGTCACTTCCACACACATGCTTCGGCTCCAGGTTTTTGGACTACGATATGCAACAAAGATAGTCTTCCTCAAGCTGTTATTTGAGAAGTCTCACTCTCCGGCTTCGTAGTCTGTGCTGTGGTGAGGTAAGGTTGCAGATGTTTCTGTTACATTCCTTCCTCCCACTTCCCAATCCAAAGCCCCATCCCCCTTCCACAAGCCATCGGCTCCAAACTTCTGGACTGCGAGATGCAACAAGAAATCCCATCTCAAGCATCGTTTGGGAAGTCTCACATCTAATATCCTCAGTCATCTATGTTTGCAGATGCTCCCGTCACATCCTCACATCTCAAAGCCCCATCCGTCACCTCACTCATCTCAAGTTCCACAACAACCATCGGCTCCAAACTTCTGGACTGCGAAACGCAACAAAGATTCATAATCTGAGCTCTTATTTGAAGGGTCTTATGCAAGGCGTCTGTGCTGCCACGAGGGGTGTTCGTTCTAGTTCTGGCTGTTGTTACTTACGCTGTTTCCCTCACATCCATCCCAAAGCCGCATCCGTCACCTCCCTTCCTTCTAATCCCCTACCCTTCTGCCTCACAATCACCGACTCCTTCTCCCTCTACCCAGCATTCACCTCATCTCATCTCATCCAAAAAAGCAAACCCCAATCTCATCTAACCCTCATCCCGAGAAAACCCACCCGCACCCCAAAAAAGGCGCCTCGGTACCAAACCTCCCATCTACGACCTGCAACAAACCCCCCTCCCCGTCCCTCCCTCCCTCCAGCCCTATCACTTCCACTTCCAATCAAGAATTCCACCTACCGTACCTACTGCCACCATCCCACACACGGAAGTTAACCAGTCCAGTCCAATCCAGTCCAGTCCAATCCACTCCCTCGGCTCCAAACAACTCCAATTGCGAAACGCAACAAAAAAAAAGAAAGAATCCCCACCTCTCAGAAAAAAGTCCGTCCGAACCGCAACCCAACCCTTGCTATCTCTAGCTCGTTCGTTCGTTCGTTCGTTGGGATTGTTGATGAGCGAGCGAGCGGAACGGGTAGGTGCCTCGGAGCACAATCCGAGTTCGACTAGTAATTCGTAGATGGCGTCCGTCCGTCCCAGGACCCCGATAGTTTTCTTTTCTTTTCTTTTCTTTTCTTTTTTTGATTTTCAGGAACCATCTGGTACAGTAACAACGGGACGGACGGTTGGTGGGTGCTCGGACCCAAATAATGGGCTGTTGGCTCGGATCCAAACTTTGCTGTAGTTCGTATAGAGAGAGCTTGGGCTCGGAAAAGGAAAACCGAAACGGGGGAGGAGTTATAAATAAACTTGTCTGGATATAAGTATAGAGGGGGAGGAGGGGTCAAAGTTGCTGCTGTTGATTGATGTTCGGTTTCGAGAATTTTCCGGCGGGGTGAAACGTTTGGTTCTCGGACGGATTATTTTGAGAACGTGAATGCGTTTGGGGTTTAGAATTATGTTGTGTTAGGTTTGAAATAAACTTGCATGTTCTTGTTGGTGGTATTAATAATTACATTGTGTAGAGTTTCGAAGAACCCTCTATGCAAATGCAGGCTCGATGACCAAAATGACACTCTAAATGCCATGCTGATGCTAATGCTAAACCCATATATGCAGGTTCCATCCATAAGTTCATCGACCGTTATCGTCACATCATCACTTCATCACTCTTCGCCATCACCCCTCAATGACATCTTCCTCCACCTCCCAATCGTCCCAAGTCGGGCCATCGAATCCATTCGGTCGACTAGCCCTATCGAACCCGACTCTCAGTCCTTCGATAAGAACCGGACTTCTACACCAGCAAATTTCCTCGTTGAAGCCTTTGCTGAAAGCTTTCTGCATATTCTTCATGTCGAACAACTCCGGATGAGTTCTCTTCATGCTCTTCAACGCCCTGCCTCCGACCTCATCAACACTATCAGCATGTCGAAGACCAAAGAACTCCACATCGTGCTCCTTCCTGACTTTCTCCTGGATGGTGCTGTCGTAAAGGCCTAACCCGAGTAGAAAGACGTCGTATTGGCACAAACTCGTTCTGCCAACCCAACTACCACCTTCTTTCGCGCGGCGATATAGACCCATCAAAGCTGCGATGGCGCCCATACATCCAGTGCCATAGTCTGACATGGGGAAAGGAGGAACAACAGGCTCATTGAGTCCCATGAACTCTCCTTGCGCCCACGCGACACCGGTAACGCAATCCGCAATCTGCTGCCATCCAGGTCGGCCGGCCCATTCGCCCTCATAGCCAAAGCAATCCTCTGCGACATACACGATGCCTTTACCGCGTCCTTTTACCAAGTCGAATATCTTTTGTGGGCTATAGCCTAACTTCTCCAAACTACCTGGTCGATAACCATCAAGAACAACGTCAGCAGTCTGCAGGAGCTCTTCAAATGCCTTTCGTCCAGCAGGAGACTTGAGATTGAGGTCGCAGGTGTGTTTCCCCGTATTGCCGTCAACTTGAAAGAAGGGAACATCAGAGAGGTTGGGAGAGGTAACTTTGATAACTTGTGCACCGTACTCTGCTAAGGTTCTACCCATTGCTGGTCCGGCGATGATGCGACAGAGCTCGAGGACCCGAATACCACTCAATACTTGCGGTTGCGAATTAGGACTAGCCGAGTGCGAGTGTGGTGTGAACGGGGCTGGAGGAGAAGAATCTTCGAGTTTAGTGACTTGCCAAGGTGGAATAGACAGAAGAGTTTTGCCCTAAGAGTCATTAAGACAAGTAGCAACACAAATAGAGCAAAACTTACATGATTTGACTTCTTGAAGTCTTCCCACTTTAAGGCTGTAACTCCTGCTTGTCTCTCTCTGGCATTCATTTCCTCCAACTCTGCTGCCGTGAACTGCTTCACATGGCTCTCAATTAAATCGATACATTTTCGGTAGTCTGTAAGATCTGGGCGATGTGCCTCCAACCCAATCATGTTCAGGGTCTTTCCAGCCTCGAGTGAGCCATGAATGTGGAAGTACTCCCCGGCATTTTTAGTCTCGTAGAGATTTGCCGAGAGTCTGCGATAGAGAATAGCTTGTGCTTTCAGTAAATCGGTATCTGCCCCAGTTAGGAATTGCAGAATGGACAGTCTGAAGCTCTCACACCTTTCAGCTTCGACTTGACATTTGGATCCTGCTTTCCCAAACCACCAATGGTAGCTATGTAAGTCGAAAACAGAAACGTTGCTGTCTGCTCCAGATCGACTTCAATCTTCCTCCTACGGGAGCCTTGCGGATATCGTAAGTTTGCAAGAGCAGCCACAACACTGGCTTCCACAGACTTCAAAGCAACTGTAGCCTCAGTCTCTTTGAAAGGGCACGGAAAGTAGATCTGAGTTCCGTCGGTTGCCGTCGTTAAAGTCACATCCTTCAGGTGTTCAGCAAACTCGGGTAGGAGCTGATCGGCGACGAGCTCCTGCAGTGTTGCTGTGGCTTTCCTGCTTCCCTCCAGCACCGAATAAGGTGATCGGAAGCCGTTCGTGTAACCACCATCTACGGTCATCTTGTTGCTGGTGAAAGCGCCACCCTGATCTGTGTTGAAACAAGGGAAAAAGCAGTTCGAAGTACACCCCGCCTTTGTATATTTTTGACAGTGGATACTGTTCAGTGTTACGGTTGCGGGTAGCTCTCACTAATTAATAGTCCAGGTTAGATCTAGGGAACCTAAGTGGAGCCAAAGATGTCCGCTCAAGAAGACATTTCCCAGGAGAAGACAGAATCATGGCTGGCCGTTCTAGGAGATGCATTGTACAACACGGCTGGAGAGTAAATCTGGGGCACCATCCGACGATGCAACAGTGAAATGCTTTGGCCGACAACTTCCTGGTTCCTGGAGTATCTGCTGTGCTCCCAGACGGCGGATCGGCAGGCATGGTTAGTGGCGCTCCGGCTCTGCAGCGGCGGATGATGTCGCTGGTCTCCACATCCTGCAGCTTTTATGTCTGTCTGACACCAAAGGCGATGTGCGTTAAGTTGAGGGTAAGATACGGCCCATACGGTACTGTAGCTTTACAGCGGGCAAGCTTTCCAGCAGGACCAAAGGCGGCCCAAAGATCCTGCTGAGCTGGAGGCTGGTTCCGAGACGACAGTGGCTGCTGGAGGCTGAATCAGGGCTTTACATGCCTGTTATCGGTCAATGAGGAGCACGCCGTACGGTATCCTGGTCAGGCTATGCCGTCTTCAATCTAAAAGATTTGCGGCTACGCTTCGAGGCTTCTTGGTTCTTGGTTCATGGGACTGGGGAAGGGAGAAAACCGAGTACTCGGTAGCCGCGATGGACGTCGCTGATGCAGAGACCGCCGCCACCAAAATCCAGTCACATGCAATGCCGTGTGGCAGGTATGCTCGATGCATGATCGTTATTGAGCGTGTTTGCCATCTGCTATTGTGCTGTTGTGCACTCCGAGGCGTCAGAATGCGCGAGGTGGAAGTTAGTGAGATGGAGCTCTGCATGCCGGCCGAAAGCTTCCAGGTGCTTTATCCGACAGCACAGGACGGGCAGCAATCGCTGTACGAGTAGCAACACACAGCGTGTGTACATGAAAAAGAGAATGTGGGTGTCACAACAATATCCACGTCCGTACATCAACCGATGGTCTCCTCTCCTTGACAGGGCCGACTGTATCGCATACGGAAAACATTGAGCGGTATTGTACGGAGCATGCTGCACGAAGAAGAAGAAAGCCTTTTGGCTATGACGGCGGCAGGGAAGCTGCTTGCTTTTCTGCAGCCGGTTGTTGTACTGTATGATAGCTGTCTGATAGCTGGGGAAATGATCGTCGAGCTGTCCAACTTGAAGCGTGCGCGGCCAACATGATCGATCGTGAGTGAAGGGGTGAGGAAGTGAGTGATGATTGGCGTGAGCGGTGGCAGGGCTTATTTTGTGATTTCGTGCAGCACCCGGGATGTAGTGCCTGCCCTATGGTTGTACTGTACGATGCAAGAAAAAGAAGCATTGCAGGGCAACACGACGAACACCACCCGGTAAGTGTTTCTTGAGTGATGTTTGACATTCGTGGGCTGAAGTGTGAATGAAGTCTGAGGTCTGAATGCAAAACTGATGAAAGGCAAACGGGCAATTTTTACTTTTCCTCCTTTCCTCCCGTACCGTAAGTAGCGCACGCCATGGTCGCTCGTCGTTGCCATTTTTGCGCTTTGGCTGACTTGCCAGTCCTGGGATCGAGATGATGCATGACCTGACCTGACAGTGTTCAATTTACTTTAATCTTCATCACTTGAAAAACTTCTTTTGTGCAGCATCCGCCTCTCTCTCATTCTTCTCCGACACTTCCTGGCTCTTTTTTGTCCTCTCGACCTGGACTTGGCCTCCTCTGACAAGCCTCTGACTGCTTTTCATCCCTCATCCGACACTTCCATTCTCATCCAGAACCAGGTCTTCGAGCTGGTTGGATGCGATGCAATGCACTGACGGAAGGCTCTCCCCGCATCGACAGTAACTATCCAACAACTGTTTCATATCTCGTCTAGGAGTAGTAGTAGAAGCAGCTGTTCATCGTCGGGAGCTATCCTCACCCGGTGGATTGAAGCTCTAGATCAGCACCGTACCAGTCCACATCCCGTCGCCATCCTTCGCCGTCTTTCACCATCCGACACAAGGAAGATGGTAATTATCCCTCACCTACTATGACTCGCCCGAAAGTGGATCCCGACAAACGGCAGCGCATTGCTCAGGCCTGCGATTCATGTAAGCGGAGGAAGCAGAAAGTAAGTCATTATAAACAAACTATGTTGTGTTGCCGTCGTTACACTCTCGCTATTTAGCATCAAGTCGCACACGATCCTCTACCCTTGTCCTCCCTTTACGCCCCTATTGTCAAGCGACAACACGTTTGTTTTATGGCGAAGTATGCCATCCTCGTGAAGGATCCGCTTAATGCAACGATATTAGAGAATGTGGGCTTTGCACTCGCGATATCGTGAACCGGATGCTGCACTAAGGGGGCCAAGCTCAAGAAAGAAAATCACGCTCAATTGAGTTCCAACTGCAGCTATCATGAGTTGTCATATTTTCGACTCAGTAGAACTTTGCCAAGTGGACATCAAAGGTATTCGTTCCCAAATCCCATGAGCTTTCCTCCCTCAGAGGCAAGGACCAGTCATGTGACTAGGCGTCAACCTTCAACCCAATATCCCAATGTCATCCTTCAGATCTGCTGTTAGTTGTAGATCTGAGCTTCATATCTTCCTTGTACGAACTATTTTGAAGTCAAGTGATAATTATGTCTGGGCTCATGCCTTGTCTATCAGTACTTTACCCATGCCATTCTAATTTTTTTGGCTTCACTCCCCTTTTTCATGTTGGTTCAGGATCAAGTACCATATATGCTGACGGTAATGTGCAGTGTAATGGTCTGAAGCCCTGTGAGAAATGTTCGAAGCGCACTCTGGAATGCACCTATGGTGCTGCTGAGACTGGCCCAGCAGAAGACGGACCCTCACCCAAACGTCGGATGCTAGAACCGGTCCCAGATGGTCTTTCCATGGGAACCAACAATATACATGTTCACTCTCCGGCTATTACTCAGGCTCATTGGTCACCGGGTATTATGAAGCATGACTTAAACGGTGTGCAGTACAGCGGACAGACACCAAATGCCGTTGGTGACACTCCGGGTGCGGGACCCTTTCCGGACAAGGATGATAAGCAGAAGAAAAGTCCGAACGATGCGGATGGTATCCCTGGTATAGGATCTGGCGCATCTACATCCGATGGCCACGAAGAAGAGGCCGAAAGATTCAGTCACACTAGAATGCTACTAGATCCGAAAGGCAGGTTGTGTAAGTGCTTAATTTCCACGTACACCCTATGTATCTTTTGGAGACTATCAATCTGACAATATGGGCAGTGTATATTGGTGATTCGGCTTCACTATCATTTCTACAGCTCATACGCCTGGTAGTTGATAGCGTCGTTGGCTCATCACCGTTTACAAATGATCCAAGAAGATACAAAATTGTTGAAAACCCACTAACTTTACCCGAGAATCTACGAAGAACTCATCTCCTCCCAGACAGGCAAACCGCTAACATCCTTGTGGCTTCATACTTCACAAATGTCAGTTATTCCATCATATGTCTCCTGTTCGGCACTAATTATGGAAAAGGTAAATGGACTTATTGAGGTTTTCCAACGCAGAAGCTTTTTGATGACTCTAGAAGCATGCTATACTGATCCTCTAAATGCGGACGCATCATGGCTTTGCATGCTCTACCTCGTCTTTGCTATTGGTCTCGTCATGGCTACTCCAATACCAGGAACTCCAGAAGATGCTATCATACAGAAGTTGAGAAACGAGAGGTTTGATCGGGCTGAAATATTCTATTCGGATGCCAAACAGCTCGCCGATCCTTCTTCAGGGTTCGAAGACGCCGGGTTCTGGAGCATTCAAGCATTGACGCTGATGTCTGTGTATACACTGGCCATCTCGAAAAGGAATGCAGCATATGCTTACTATGGTAACTTTATGCCCTTTGTTGGCTGAACCTTAGGCTCACAGAATCAGGTATGGCGGTGCGGTCTGCCTTCGCTCTTGGACTCCATCGCGAAGAGTCGATGTCGCTCTTCAGCACTAGCGAACAATCGACAAGACGCAATCTGTGGCGTTCTCTATTCGTTCTTGACAGATTCCTAGCAGCATCTCTTGGTCGACCGACTGCCATTAGAGAGAGCGACTGCTCTGATGATATACTTCAATTGGGTGAAAAAGCGCCATTTCCTCAGGCTCCGTTTCCCACCGAAGCCAATGCCAGCTTTTCAAGTTCAGGTGCGCTTGGCCTGAAGGCATCCGTAAGCAGCTGTCAAATGATTGGTATGATACTGGAAAAGGTCTATTCGAAGCGCAAGATTTCGACCAAATTGGCCCAAGAAATTGCGACGCTTTGCAAAGGATGGCCCAAATCTCTGGATCCTTCTTTACAACACCGTCAAGCAAGCCCTGTGGACCCTGCTCAAGGGATTGCAATTCTACACGTCAATCTGCTGAATTGCCATTCCGTCATCTTACTTACGAGGCCATTTTTCCTCTTCTTAATGAACAAGTTTCATAATGAGCAGAATGATCCTATGCGGAAGACTGACAGAAACACTTCAAGAATGGAGAGGTTTGCCGAGGCTTGTGTCACTGCAAGTACTCACAGCATTTCTCTCGTCCAGACTGCTCTGGAAGGGCGATACTTGCCCCATCGAAACCCTTTTGTCTTGTGAGTCTCTAAAGTCATGTCGTGTCTTGCTCTGACATTTCATAGATATTTTCTTTTCGCTGCAGCCCTTGTCGTCTTGGCGAACGACTTTTCTGCATTGGTCAATAATCCAAAGGCTAACTCTTCAATCATGTCTGCTATTAATATCATGAACTACCTTGCTCAACAAGATCCCCAAGGAAGCCGCCTCCACTTCATCCTTACAGCATTTCGAGATGTTGTCATCCGTCAACAAGTTGCTCGTTCTCAGCATATGAGTGCCAACCAAACACCTCAGAGCTTCATGAACGCTGCTGTACCTGTCACCGATGACAACGATCCAATGGGAAGTTTGTTCAGCAACAACGGCCCCTTTTCTCCGACGGCAACAGCAGGTCTCCCCAAAGTTGAGTCTGGCATTAGTCGACCCAGCTCAGACCCCAAGATTACAAGCCCATTGGCACCTCACGCATCGCTCAGACGCACATCGTCGCATCCCAATGCTGGGTTGTCAGGCACAAATGGAGATTACCTTGGATCACGGAACAATTCCATTGATCACCATCTCGACCTCTCTCGTGTGAACAGCTATCCGAATAGCGTCGAGGGTAACGATTCTCTTGGCGACGCAGAAATTGACTTCGAAGCATTATGGTCAGGATGGAACAGCACGGGCTTCACGCCCAGCGGAATGCCATCTGCATCCATGCTTGGGGGCCAATCTGGACTGTCGGGGATAATCGATGTGCCAGGACTTAATGATAGCAATGTTCCCTTGTTCGGAATGAATACTTCCGAGTTTGGCGGGAATTGAATGGGAGGCGCATGGTATGTCATAAAAGTCATTTGCGGGGTATTGACACTGGAGGCTGGTATTCTCACGACTGGAACGAATGGTGTACAAATAGCTTGGGTATTGGCACCTACGAATTGAAGAACTATTTATCTGATCCTTCATCTCATGTTAGCTTGCTGAATGATGAGAACTTGGGCAGGAACAAGTGTTTCAATCACGTGGAAAACGCCCTCCCCCTTTTTCTGCTCCCTTGCTAAGGAGGTCTTTTCCATCCAATCATGCTCGATGTATTCTTTTTGTTCAATCCTGCTGGGTTCTGTTCTTTCCGTCCTTACTATTGCCTCATTCAATCATCTCTCTCCAACGTCTCGTCTTTCTTTTCTTCGCCTCTCTCTTGCTAGTTCGAGACAGCCAAATATTCAACTACGTTGCGCCTAGAAGAGAGAATATAGTACTGCTACAACCTGACAAAATAACACCACAAAAAGATACCGAGTTAAGGTTACTTCTCTATGACAATGGAGCTGGGATCTTCTTGGCCCCGAAAACGAGTCGTGATTGAAAACTTGCTATTCAAAGTAAGTTTATAATGTCGGATTGAGACGTCTTGCCTAAGTCACTCCCGTTCGTCATCCAAAAGAGAAGAAAAGGGAAGGGGGAAAAAAACGTCTCGGTACACGCAAAGTTCATACAATCAGATTACTCGTACAAGTGCCCAAACGCAAACTCTTGTCGAAGCCCACAACACGGTCGTCGCTTGGCTCAGGACCCAAGGGCCTGACTGGCTGTTGATTGATCAGGGCTTATTTCAATGCATACGGTGTTAGTCATTAGGCTTTAGCTGCAATTAGCTGGAGCCTTGGGATTAAAGTGGGTGGTTTAAAATTGAAAAGTCTATTCAGCTCCTTTGTGCACTTATGAACTACGTTGAAGCGGATGCAAAGTATAGGATCGGCACTTCTCACCTGGAAACAGCTTCAGAGTCGAAGCAAAAAAAGTGTGTAGTATCATAACATCCATTGCATTCTATATCCCTATATTACAGACCACCGGTCCACACCTTACAACACCAATCTCCCTGGCTCTGCCTCTAGCACACTCTTAACTCTGTCCAGGAAGACCTGTGCTCGTTTCTCATCACCCTTCGGCACCTTCACACTGAACACATTAACCGAGTTACTCAATCCCGGCAACGGCTTGCTCGCCAGTCCCGAGCTCGTGGATCGCGTCTTTCTGGACAGGATGTCAATGATATCCAATTGCTTCGCAGGCTTGACCGGTGCTGAAGGGTCAGCTGAAGGTAGTGCTGTAATTTGAGGAAGGAAAGTCCCTCGGACTCCGGCCGAAGTAGTGACTGTATCCAGACCGAGAACTTGGTTGAAGAGCTCGTCCGCGGTGGCAGCTTGAGTCTTGGACCGAGGAAGGTTGTCGTTTGCGACGTCTGTGGCGCGAGCTATGAATGTGGATAAGGGCATGAATACACCAAGCGTGCTCTGTATCCGCTTCTGTACGTCTAGAACGGCTTGCATTGAAATTGGCACGGCTATCTCGGATTCTTGGGGAATTACTGGTTCCGGAATTGATTCGGCTGGTTTGGGTTTTGGTGCTGGTGCTGGTGCAGAGGCAGCTACTTTAATGTTGCTGAGGTCGAGGTGGGTGAGTTTCTCGATTTTGGAGGAAAGTTCGGCGGGGTAGGATGAGGAGATTGAGCCTAGGTATGCCAGGACATCGCCTTTGAGGAGACGGCCATTGGGGCCACTAGGGGACATTTTCTCAATTGCTGATTCTTCAATTCCGTGCTCCTTCATCAAATGTCCGACAGAAGGTAGGAGAGGGTATGTCTGCTTCTTGGGCTTTCCGGCAGGTTTTGCAGATGCTTCTGAAGATGCTGAACTCGATGGTGTAGGTGTTGCTTCAGTTTGTGATTCTGAGCTCGACTCAGATTTTGGTGTGGAAGCTTCTTTCTTCGGTGATGGTGCAGCTTCTTTCTCTTCGGCAGGTATTTCTAGAGTGCTGAGATCATCTCCAGATTCTGCAATAACAGCAATTCGACTCCCAACTTGGATTCCCTTGGTTCCATCGCCCTGGGTTATTTTTGCCATTATTCCATCATCCTGTGCTTCCACATCCATTGATGCCTTGTCCGTCTCAATCTCCAGTAGAACGTCTCCGGCCGAGAACGAATCTCCCTCTTTCACATTCCACTTCGCAATATTTCCCTCTGTCATAGTTGGAGACAAAGCTGGCATCGTGAAGTTCTGAGCAGCCATCACTTTCGCAGAACTTCGAAAACCTGTTCAAGCAAGTATCAGTAGCTATTATCCTCCGAGTAAAATCTCCAGCTTACCTCTCGCGGCGGCATCTTGTCGCAATTGCCTGGCAGTAAGTCTGGCCGATAACCGGCAAGCGTTCGCAAAAGATGCCATGGTTGGCAGACAATAATTGAAGCTCAATTGAGCTTTTGAAGAGTGAGGAGCGCAGGACTTGTGGGTGAGAACTCTTGGGGATTATTCGAGGTGGTTGAGACAAACTGACCCGCCAAAATCTCGCCGATGGCGCTAGTCAGGAACAATCGCCGATTGGCGGCTGCAGCTTCAACTTTTTTGACAACAAGAAAGCTATGGTCTGACTGAAGGATGTTGTTCAAGGTGAGTACCAACAATATACGCAATTGACTGTATGATTGTTAATTCAAGTCCACAGATGTCTGCATTCTCAAGAGGGTGTCTGCGGTACCAGTATGCTTTCAAATCTACTCGAATTCAAAGCTTCTTGTGCAAGACCCTCAATACTCCTCCTCCTCCACCACGATTCTTCACAACCTCCCCTCTCCTCCGTGCAGCGCGAAAAACACGCGCAGCTCCCCAACCATCCAAACCCTCACTTGCATCGACGAAGACCTCTCCACCTACAAACTTGCCCGTCTATGCGTCGTACGCCAACACCCTCGCCAACAAATCCCACCCCACACTCCTCTATGAAGCACCTTCACATACGCTATTGATGATCTGCGCTTGGACGGGTGCAGCAACATGCTTTGGCTACTCCTTATACAACTGCTGGACCGTAGTTTTAAACCCAAATCCAGGACTCGCGCAGTGGATACCACTTGCTTTCGGAGGTGTGGTAATCCTAATGTCTGCGCTAGGAACCTGGTTGGTATTTGGTACCACTGGTATTGTGAGGTCTGTCACTGCCTTACCTAAGAAAGCAAATCAACTCTCTGGAGTTGCGAACAGGAATCTGCCTAAGACGAGCATGGTGCCGGCAGCAACGCAGCCAGAGTTGCAGATCGAAATTGTGTTGAAGAAAATGCTCCCGATACCCTTCTTCCCAGCAAGAGTCCTGTATGTTACACCATCTCAAATCGAACTTCCCTCGCGACTAGCTCCTCCTCCACCAGCGAACTTTTCTCCAGCAGAGCTGCGCCAAATGCGCGTAGCAGACGAAGCTCGACTTAAGCAGGAGCAAGAGTATGAGAGGAGTCATATCATGAGTTCGCCGTTCAGACATATGAGCCGGGCTCTTTTTGCTCTGTTCAAGGCAATTGGGAGATCTTGGACTGGGGAAGGGTTTATGAAGATTGTGGTCAAAGGACAAAGGTACAAGTTAGATATTAATGGTGGGTGGGCTCTGGATGGGGGCAAGGCTTTGGATAGGTTGGCAACTACCAAACGTTTTCTTTGAGTATCAGAAGAAACAGTGGCAGAGTTGTAGAATATAATTATACAATACGGTGTATGATGATATGAATCACTATTGTCTTAGAAGAGCATATACTTACGGCAAGCGCCTAGTCATCTTCATGCACATGCTTTTCTAGTGAAGTGATAGTCACAGACAAGGAAGCAAAAGATAGTATCTTCAAGTTCACCTCCTCTGCTGTTACTATTTTCAACAATTTTATTGTTATCAATAACTTTGTCTAGGAAAAGAACCTGTCTTGTAAATTGAGATCCTCAAAGGATCATTTCCCGGGAATCCCGAATCTCTCAGCCTTCTGTTTCTTCCTTTTCCTGACATGATCCTTTTTCTGATATGTTGTTGTCACATAGCAATGCTCTTATTGCCCGATGATGCTGCCGTTGTCCGAAGATCTTGACGTGGCTGGACGGGGAGCTTGCTGCCATCCATACCACTTGGGTGAAGTATCACTATTCTTTCTACCCAGAAGATTCATGCTCAATGTCTCACCGTCCCATACAAGTTGATATCACTTTACTTCTTTGAAAGTTAGAAGTCATTTCAGGAGTGTACCTCAATTATGTTCAGTTCGGGACAAAAGAATTTGGATTCTCAATAATCTATGGTTTAGGCTCTAAGATGTGCGTGGTTGCGAAGATCAGTGTTGCACTGTTGCTTAAGTGGATGACCTATAGTCTTGTGCTCTTTATGATATGGCACACTTGCACAAGTGAAAGGTTGTGACACCAATCAGTGAAGCACTTTCATCTGAATGGTTCCGTAGATACGTAACAAATCAGAATAGTAGAGCACTTTCATCTGTACTTGCTCATCTAATTGACAACTCTTGGAACCATGACGCCCTTGGATGCTTCAGCGTCAAGCTTGCGGCAGTCTCGCAGCCTCTTACTCGAGTGAATTTGGTGGCGCAGTCACGCGCTGCGGCTGAGTGGACCTCGAACCTTCAAATTCTTGATCTGTCTGCAAACCATCAGCCTCGAGAAGGTGACATTGAACAACCACGAGACTTGCACCAGAAAGATACTACATTACGGAAAGACTAGGCGCATCTGTACCGAACTCTATGGTGGCCTCGGAATACAGCTCCGTTGGTGCTGCGTAGGTTTCCGCGGCGAGCGCGATCAAAGCCTGGTGCCTCCACTTGAGTAATGCAACGATGGTAGACCCAATTTCAATTACGACGGGCGTCCTCTCGCTTTTAGGAACATGTTACAAGATCGTCAGTGCTACTAAAGCTTTCCACGATGGTATGGTCATCGTGGATGTCAAGGTCACGGGATTGCTCTCCGATGTCGAGAGCTTCGCACAAGCATTGCAAGGTTTATATAACACGCTAGAGGAAGAAAGAGTCAAGGCCACCTTTCAAAGTACAGGTCATATTGGCAATCTATGGATGAATTTGTCGAAAACAATTACTGACGGACAGAACACTCTCGTCCAACTACAAAGCACACTCGACAAGATCAACAAAACCGTCGGTATTCTTGATAATGCTCGAAAGCAACTTCGACTCAACAGCTCAATGGCTGAGCTTGCAATGTTCCAACAGCAGATACGGTCATATCGTGATACAATTCAGCTCACACTACAAACCTTCATCTTGTATGTTTCCCTTCCTAGTGTGATTTAGTTGCTGATTCAATACAGATGGAACCAGGTCAAGGTCAAAGAATCCACAGACAAGATCCTACCAAATCTTGATGAGCTTTACGAGTTCATCAGACGAGCTACGTTCGACATCAACGCACGTATAGATAGACTGCTCACTGTGATCGAGTCGAAATCCAGAAGCGAGCAATTGGAGAGTTACAGCAACTTGAGAGCATGTGTTCAATCGGCTGCCACAGTTGTCGCCTCAGCATCGACAATTATAGGAGATGATCGCACAGATCATCTATCGGTGACCTACGGGTCTGACTTTGGTGATGCTTTTTTATCCGAGCCCAGTGAGAGCATGCTACGATGGGTCTCTTCCAACACAATCTACGAATTAGAGGAAGAACTCGCAGGTCCATGGACTATGCAGTCAGGATCCAGGTCAACTGGAAAAGGCAAAGATCGTGCCATCGAGATGGGCGATTCAGATTCAGAAGATGATTTGGAGACTGCAAAAGTGCATGCGTTGATCAAGCAAGGAAGACAGAAACTAGATGCAGAGGACTACGATGCTGCTGAACGTCTGTTTCGCAATTACTTGACAAGGACATCCTCAGCTGTGGCGTCCACCACTCGTTACTCTGTGCAGAGATCAGAGATATTGGGACTCTTGATTTTTATCTACCAATGGCAGGAAAAATGGCTCGAAGTGAAGGATCTTCTGGTGGAGAAGATACGCTTGGGGTCACGCCAACATGGCGGCGACAACAGCGAAGTCCTTTCTGATCTCCTTACCCTGGTTGGTGCCCTGCTGAAAACTGAGTCGTAAGTCACACTCTCGGTTTCTTCGCATCATGATACGCCGAGACACATAGACTGTACTAAAGATTTGATCATCGCTTTCTCCGTTTTGTTCCCAGGGCACTCGCCCATCGCGACGGAAATTGTGAGCAAACAAGCTGACTTTGGCTTCTGCAGATATGCAGAAGCAAATCTCTATGCTCGCCGCGCCCACAAGGGATACAGACGTCTGGGTGAACCTGGGAGCAATGGCGTGCCCAAGTCATTGGAATTGTTCATCGACATTTCTCGAGCAGAAGGTAATACCGGTGAGGAGGAAGCGTATATTGCGATTTTATCGGAATTTGATCAGCAGAGAAAAGTTGCAACAATGCAACAATCCATGACTTTGTCAGAGTCTAGAGATAATTTATCACAGTGACAAGGCTTCTCCATTGGATCGTTCCTCAAATACTGACTTTTACTAGTGCTGAAGCCCGAGTCGATGCAGATGCCAGCATGCCTCCTCGACAAGCTACTGAGGACCCAACCACAGGAAGTAATGATCTGAGCATCATCTCAGAGAGCTCCAAGCTCTCTAATGAAGCACAAGACAATCAGCTCATCGGGACCCACGTATCTTCATCATCACTTGAGGGACGTTCAACTCCAGCTGAGTTGGTTCCAGGTGGTTGGCATCAACAACAAAATGATACAGTACTTGACTCATCACCTGAGACATCTGAAGAGACAGCAGTGAATACGAATGATGACTCGCGGCTCGCACCGTCTGAGACTTTATTTTACCATCCTACAAGGAAATCGCCAAGCCTTAAGCAGACCGATAGGCTGTCCCACTCACCGTTTAAGCTCATAATTAATGATGAACAAAGTGACGACACTGGCCAATCAAATGGCATGGGAGGAAAAATTGCCAGCTTCATCAGCCTCAAAGAAAGGAGGAGTCCTGACCGGATTCGTTCGGCGAAAACTGTTGTCAAGAGGAAACTTGTTATAGTTGGTGATTACGTTGGCAAGTCTAACCTTGCCTGGTGAGTATTTACTTCAAGTCCACAATCTTGATGGCATCAAACTGACTTATGAGAGTGTAATTTGTGGAATGGGTTTTAAAGAGGTGATTATACAACTGCAACTGCAATATCATCACACGTCTTACTAAATTCTTTTTGAGTAGTACCTCGCGACAGGTTTTGGTAACTTTGTGGCAGAGATCGAAGTTGACGGTAAACACATCGAGCTTGATATATGGGATACCCCTGCTCAAGAAGATTATGATCGCGCACGGCCACTCGCATATCCAGATACACATGTAGTTCTGATTTGCTTCAGCATTGATTCGCCCGAATTAGTAGACAATGTAGAGTATAGGGTAAATTGTATCGATACTGTTCAAGGGGAACATATTCTCACAGATACTCTAGTGGATTAGTGAAATATCACACTTCTGTCCCGGCATACCAATCCTGCTTATTGGCACGAAGAAAGACCTGCGATATGATCAGAACACTATCGAAGAACTTCGAAAAACCAACCAAACGCCAGTGACATGGGAACAAGTGGGTGGAGCTTGTCGATACATACACCAGAAAAGACTGACGATGATTTAGGGAGAAGAACTGCGGCGCAAGATCGGCGCCTATAAATACCTCGAGTGTTCTGCTAAAACCGGCGAGGGGGTTAGGGAAGTATTCGAGCACGCTTGCAGAGCAACTCTATCGGCTTCAAAGAAAAAGAAGATTCGGTGGTCTCTGTTTGGCAAGTCACAGTGAACTTGACAGGAAAAGAACAAACATTCTCCAATACCAAGTACTTCAACGTGCTCAAAGTACTCAATGTGGGACGATATGATTGTCATCAAATCTTCAGGATGCAAACGATCCAAGTCGTCTTCTGAGCTTCATTTCTCTTCTCAAGTAACTACACAACAAATGTCAAAATCACAAGGCATTTTCGTCGGATGTATCCTGTTGGCACACAACAAAAGATCAAAAGTAGTCAAGTGCTTTCATCTAAAGTATCTTGTAAAGCATTTTCGTCTGAAGTAATTCTGTAGATACGCAACGAAAAATTAAGCCACTTTGATGCATTGAGTCGTTTCTTTGTGAAATTTTACCGGAGGTTTGCTTTAGGCTCTCAAAGTTATGTTTTATGTTTAGACCACCGGTCAGCAAAGGAAAGCTGCACCTCCAAAAGAATGGTTGAAGAAGTGGAGAAAAGACACCATGGTTCTGTTCTCCTCTCGTTGTCGATGTGTCCTTGTTGTCATTACGTTCAGAACAATCACACCTGATTGACAAGCAATTACCAGGTAAGTGGAAACATGGTAAGTCAGAAGCACAAGAAAGGAAGACAAAGTGTAGATACAGACATCTCTCTAAGAATGGATGTTGTATGAGCCTTCGACTTTGCTCTCAATCTCTAGATGGAGATGGTGGCATTCTTGAGTCCCACCTTCGTTCTCCTCATGTGCATTGTCTCCAACCTGGGTAAACTAATTGATATCTATAGGTACAGGGAAACCAGCGATATCAAGACAGGCAAACTCAGTACCCGCCCTCAAGACGGACAAGGTTCACTCTCGAGTCGGGTCGCGGAAAGTCGTGGAATCAAAGTAGCTGCTGTCAATTCACTTTCTGTGACGGAGCTTGAAAAGCCGTGGAATCTCAAATTCACTTTTCTCGGCGGAACCAGACCCCGCTCCGCTCCGTCTATAAACTGGAAACTTTTCCACCTCGGAGAAACGTAATTGCGACTCCACAGAAGAAGAAGGATCCCAGGTGTGGGTGGGTGTTTGGAAGCATGGAGCTCTGCGGGTGGCATGCTGTAAATACTACAGCGCCTGGATGAGTTTCCTAGCTTAAGAACAGAATTCTTGAGTGACTTGTTGTCGATTTGTTTATTATTGTTAACAAGGAGGCACTCACTACCAACTGCCTTTGGATAGTCCCTGGAATCCTAAACCCAACGGAGTATCTTGACCCATGTCACCAACATCGCCGGTACTCAATAAAATCCCCCACATGGCACGAGCGGACCAGAGCTCATCAACTTTCTAATATCCTGTCTCCTACAATTGTTGCTCTTCAACCTTTGACGCATGCGTGTTTAAATACCTTTCAAGCTCGAAGAGAAGAAGTGATTTGAAAACAGCATACTTCGAAAAAGTCTAGTGAATAGTGCAGTTCGAAATCCAGAGCACGTTGCGGTCAAGTGAATGATGGAATTCGAACCAGAGCAGTTCGAAAAAGTCTGGTGAATAACATAATTCGAAATTCTGAACAATCCTAGCCAATGAGAAATCGATTTGAGAAAGTGAATCTTTGCCCCAGTGTGCAAAGCACTGCAAGCGGCACGTCAATCCTCTCATTCTTCTAGAGCTCGAGGTATAAAAACAGAAACGTTCACGGCCGCGGAACGTGAAGACAACCATTCACAAACCATGGAGAATATCATGTTTTCGATTGCCCGGGCCGATGCATCGTTCTAAGCTAGCTTGTTCACGAATCGCTTTGAGGTAACATTTGGACATGTAGTAAATCAACAATATACTAATTCAATACAGTAGATTGAAAGCATAATTGACAATAGACAAAAGGTTAACAACAAAAGCCATTTATTGTCTACAAAACAGTTACTAAAGGTTTAGCGAATAGCGTGGTGCAAAGTCCGAAATGCCAGAGGTCTGGTAAACAATGTACAATGTGCCCCCGATCATATGTCAGTTTCTTGCCAGAAATATAGAGGCATGCTGCTGCAACTTGACGAGAAGAAGACTTATGCAGCTTTAAAGTACTAAATCATTGACGGACTCCGAATCTTGATAGAATTCTTAACTTAAAGAGAAGAGAACTTATGCTACTTTAAAGCACTGAATCACTAACAGACTCTGAATCTTGATACAGACTTTTTTTATGTATTCTCTTTAATTTGAAGTAGCATGTCTGGCAAGCTAACATATAATCAAGGGGTTACATTATCCTTCACGTCCAGCAGAACTTTGAATTCCGAAATCTCAGGGCATCAGGACATGCCACAAACTGTGAAAAATTGGCACTAGCGGTCGTGTGCCATGTATATATCGCAGCTCTTCGCCCAGCAGAAAACATCATCAAGTTTCATACAGCACGAAGACATTCTGAAGGAGACGAAGGTATCCGTGGAGCCGGGGACAAAGTATTGATATCGCAACGTGGGGGACGACGGTAAAAGTGATTTGAACGTCGGTAATTGGAATTTATTGACAATAGTTAAGATTTGTTGACAAGGAGGAAAGTGTGTTTGTCAATTTTCATGTGAGGTACAACAAATATTGTTTGTTTGAAAATCTTGTTGTCAATATCAAAAGTTTTACAGACAAATCAGTGGTCAACAATGCTCAAGTGTTGAGGGTCGACCAGCAGAGATATCTAACAATTTGAAAATTAAGATTATAGAAGAAGTAACACGACAAAAGTTCTCTTGCAACTAGGGCTGTGGAACAGACGTTGCTCTTCCAAGGCGTAGGTCTTGGCTTTCCCATTTTGTCACCCGTGTTGTTGAAAACAGTACCGCAACTCTGCTTTATATAGTCAACAGAAGCTCGATTCAAGACACGACAGCATTATTCACTGCGTTTCGATTCATTCACGCTTCAACTCGAATCGAAAATTCAAATGAGTGTCCGTTAAGATTCACTCAATCCCGCAACTTCACAAACAATTTTCGAGCCAGCAAGTATAAAATAACGATCCCTTGGTCTGTCTGCTTTTGCTCGACACAGAATCAAGACTCTCTCATTGCGTGCACTTACCCGGACCCATCTTTTCGGTGTTCAAGTTCAGATCAAATACGCTTCCATCGAGTTGCTGTTGTCAACTTCTCTTTTTTGCTGTCAACGCTAAATTACCACTCTTTATTCCTTTCATAGTAGACCAGTGATGATATATTGGTATCTATAACGTAAGTGTTCTAGAACAGTATATCCGAAAGACTCTGTTTCTGTCCCGATAATCGAACCACCGGGACAACGTAAGAACAAACGCAACCCGAAGGAGCAGTATCCCCGGGCTCTATTATAATGTAGTGCGGTTGTTTGCTTGTGAATTGGTCTTTCGAAGAAGCAAACGACAAAGAGTTTATATAGACCTTTTAATTCGCTACTTAACTTCACCCACACTCGAAAAAGATCAGAAATCTTACTCTTAAAACTATTCACTAATTCCTCTAACATCCTTGCTCGTCCCGCTCCCTAATTTACCTCGAATTTCCTCCCCAGAACATCGATCCTCGATGTGAAAACTCTTCAAAAATCTTGTTGCATATCGCTCTAACATGCCACACTACTGGCCCAGCACTTAAACAGTGAGTGACAAAAAGCATCACAGGTAAATCAAGTATCGATTCCCCTCTTTGGTTTACCAATGTTGATATTCAGTTGGTGGATCTATGAGGGTTGTAGATTGGGAGGCGGCCGGAGGATCTTTTACCGCAATAAATTCTAGTTGGATCTAGGGATATTTGGTGGGGAAAGTGTCGCAGGTGTGTAAAGTATCGATTTCGGTATTTGATTTGTCCAGGGTTCGGAGTTGATCAATGAGGAGGAACTCAATCTCACGAAGATAGAGGGGAATCTAAACTCTACACACAATCTTCAATCTTCATTGTATCTCCACCAATGAGCATTATAGCTACCTCATTCCCGCCAGAAACCTCGCTAATTCCTCCACGCAAATCTCTACATACACATCCCTCACATCTCACTCATTTCCTATCATCCTCATACTGTACCCTTTACGAAGTCCCAGTAAAGCTAACAGCCGTAGAAGCCTGTCCCGCTGCCGCAGTATCAAGCTTAATATTATTAGCAAGCTTCGCCTGCTCAGCCGCAAGATCAGAATCATCTCCACCCTGCGCAGCATCGACTTGGATACCCAGGACCTCAGCCGTGAGCTTGAGGACCTTGTTCTTTATCTTGCCATTCTATAGCTCTGGTTAACACGAATATTCTCAGATGAGATGAGAAAAGGGGAGACGAACCTGGAGCGCAGTTGCAGCATCACCGCTCGCAGCGTCGATAGCCGGGTTAAAAGCATCAGTCTCGGCGTCCTCAGCAACGTCATGGATCCCCTTGATGACTTTAAGGTCCGCGGCCGAGACGCCGGCCAGGTTGTTCATGTCGATGTTGGCGAAGAGGGCGTTGGCTTCCGTTTCGGCGGTGCCGGCTGTGCCGGAGGAGATTTGGAAGGTGTTGTAGTCTGAGGCGGTGAGGACGGAGCCATCTGCTGCTGCTGAAGCGGCGGCGGTTGAGGCGGCTGCTGTGGCGGAGGCGACTGCTGAGCTGGTGCTTGAGGCGGCTTTCTTTTTGGGCATTGGGGAGGAAGCTGCGAGGGCGAGGAGGGAGAAGGTGAGGATTGAGGTTGAGAACTTCATTTTGACTGATTTGTTTGGTTGGTATGTGAAAAAAGGTGTAATATAAACAATAGAAATATTGCGGATAGAGAGGTTAAATCGAACAGCTCAACTGTTGTAAAAAGAATGTAATGAAGATTCAAGGAAGGACAGAACAATGAAGAGAGCGCGGCTGAAGAAGCAAACCAATACACAGGAAACAGACAACTTATATGTGATCTCTCTCCATGATGCCAAGAAACAACTGTGCTTCATCGCGATGGACCTCAGGAGATTGCTGCCAACCCGGAAATCCCCAATGGGTTTCGATTGGTTTCCCCGTCTCATCTTGCCCGCTGACTCGTCCCGTCGTCCTGTGTTCAGACGCCTTCATTCCCACGACCACGAGCGGTCGCCAAGCCTTTAACCTCTTCTCTTGGTGCTCACAGCGAGGCGTGAAACTCCAGAGGTCTAGCGGGTGATCATACCAACGCTCGCAGTAAGATCGCCGTAATCAGATCTCGGTACGGTTATGATCTAGACGCCCTTATTGGAGGAAGATCAGGGTGGTTCCGAATGCTGAGCGGTAACCTTGTCCAGTTTCATGTTATCAGATGGGAGAGGGAAACCTGAAACTAGACATCCCCACAAATGCACCAGAAACAACCTTGAAATCGCCAAGACTTGCAGAAAATGTGCTCAGCGGCTGAGCCACCTCATCAAAGTGTTACCGGTTCGGATGACCGCCGAACCTTCGATACATGGGACGGACGAGGAGTGGAGAAGGAGAGTAGAATTTCGCCTCAAAGTCAAAATGAAGGTTGGTTTACTAGTCAGTCGCATCACGTGGAGGTTCAAGAACGCAGAGTTGGGACTCCTGCATTGCGTCAATTTCATTCAAAAGCATGTCACTGGCTTCAAGAAGATAAGGTTATCTGTGGTATATTGTTTTATTTCTTCTTAGCAGAGACTACAATAATTATCTAGTCGTCAAAAAAGTGCGGATGGCTCATCCACCGGCCATCGTCCGAACTCCGTGTGGAAACGCCAAACTTTTCAACAAATGAAACCATGCTTGATATTTCTCTCATCATTCATCAATTCATCACCTGGTATCCGCTTAATCGTAAAGGGCCAAATCCATGTCATCTCCTTCTCCCATCGCATCCGCAACATCTTCCGCATCAAGCTCCATATCTTCGTCGCTCTCTGAAGCAGAGTCTTCGTGGTTGCCGAGGACCTTGATTCTTCCATTATCCATGACAACTCTGGCAGTCTCGCCGTCTTTGATGCTGTTTCTGAGAATGAGAACAGCCAACTTGTTCAAGACCTCTGTCTCGATAAGTCTGGCAAGAGGTCGGGCACCGTATTGTGGGTTGTAACCAGCAGATCCGAGCCAGTCTCTTACGGCCGGAGAACAGTCGATTCTGACATTCTTGCCGTTCGCCTCCAGACGCTTCTGGATTTCAGCCAGACGGACTTCAACGATCTTACGGATTTCGGTCTTCGACAGACGGTTGAAGATGATAGTCTCGCTGATTCGGTTCAGGAACTCGGGAAGGAAGTAATCCTCGAGAGCCTTCTTGACCATAGCCTTGGTCGTCTCGTCAATCTTGCCGCTGGCAGTGGTGGCACGTTGAAGGTATTCAGCGCCAATGTTGGATGTCATGATGACGATACAGTTGCGAGCATCAATAACACGTCCTTGGCCGTCGGTGATACGACCATCGTCCATGAGTTGGAGGAGGATGGTGAGAACTTCCTTGGCAGCCTTCTCAACTTCATCGAAAAGTAGAATCGAGAACGGCTTTCTTCGAAGAGCTTCCGTAAGTTGTCCACCTGCGTCGTGTCCGACATATCCTGGAGGAGCACCAATCATACGAGCGAGTGAGTGGCGTTCTTGATATTCGGACATATCGAGACGAATCATGGCCTTTGGATCATCGAACAAGAACTCAGCAAGAGCCTTCGTAAGAAGTGTCTTACCAGTACCCGATGGACCACAGAAGAGGAAGCTGGGAGGTTGGTTGGGATTGCTGAGACCAGATCGTTGAAGACGAATCTTGTCAGAAACTGCCTTGACAGCCTCCTTTTGACCAACAACGATCTTGCCAAGGACCTTCTCCATGTGTAAAAGCTTGTCTTTCTCGGTTGTCTTTAGTCTCGTGACAGGAATACCGGTAGCCCTCGCTACAATCTCGTTGATTTGGTCTGGACCAACGATATCGGTGATGAGTGACCCGCCAGAGTCTGGGTTGTTCGTGCTGAGAGCGGCATCAGCAGCTGCCTTATCCTTCTCTAGCTTCTTGATGAATTGCTCTTGCTCGGGAATGGCATAGTATTGCAAATCGGCAGCCTTTTGATCATCACCCATTCGCATAGCTTCATCTTTCTTGACACGCAATTGATCGAGCTTGACTTTGGCGTCTTGGATGAGTTTGCCTCTAGCTCGTTCACTCTCGTATTTCTCGCGCAGGGGTCTGAGTTCTTCCTCGACATTGCTTGCATCTTGCTTGGCTTGTGCAAGACGTGCCTTGGAAGCATCATCCTTCTCTCGTGACAAGGCGTGGATTTCAATCTTGAGCTGCTGAAGCCTACGGTTGAGGTTGTCAAGAGCTTCTGGTAGCGATTCTCGTTCAGTCTTGACTGCAGCTGCAGCTTCATCGATGAGATCAACAGCCGAGTCAGGAAGTCGTCGTTGTGTGAGGTAACGAGCTGCTAGTGTGGCAGCAGTCACAATAGCACCATCCGAGATAGTGATACCGTGGTAGACTTCGTACTTGTCCTTCAGACCTCTGAGAATCGAGATGGTTTCTGGGACGGTAGGCTCTTTGACAAGGACTTGTTGGAAACGTCGCTCAAAAGCTGCGTCTTTCTCGATGTACTTTCGGTACTCAGCGAGGGTGGTTGCGCCAATGCAGTGCAGTTGACCTCGGGCCAACATAGGTTTGAGAAGATTGGCAGCGTCCATTCCACCTTCGCCACTGGATCCAGCACCCATCAACAGATGCATCTCGTCGACGAAGAGAACGATGAACTCCTTGGTTTGTTCGATTTCCTTCAGCAGTCCCTTCATTCTCTCCTCGAACTCTCCTCGGTACTTGCTACCCGCGACCAGAGAACCAACATCCAGTGACAGAAGCTTGCAAGCTGCAAGATTGTCTGGGACATCGTTGTTAACGATACGCTGTGCCAGGCCTTCCACCACAGTTGTCTTTCCCACACCAGGTTCTCCAATCAAGACCGGGTTATTCTTCGTTCGTCGAGACAGAATCCGAACCACCCGTCTAATCTCCTCCTCTCGTCCAATAACCGGATCAATCTTTCCCTCTCGCGCCAACGCCGTCATATCAATCGTGAATTTCTTTAGATTCTCAAACTCCTCTTCCGCATCCGCCGTCTTCGAGTCCACTCTGCGCGTACCTCGAATCGACTGAACCGCATCTTGCAGCACCTTGACATTGGGAACATTCCCCTCCTTCAAAGCCGTCTGCACAGAGGGGTCCTCCGACAACGCAATAATCAGATGATCCACCGCAATAAAAGAATCCTTCTGCGTCTTCTGTAACTCGTGTGCCTGTCTCAAAACCTTCGTAAACGAGGGTGCCATGGAGATCTGCTCGGGCGCCGGTGTTTGACTCGGTAATCGTACGAGCGCCCGATTGAGGGCTCGCTGCAGAGCTTGTGCATCTCCATGAGCTCGTTCAACGACCTGGCGGAAGAGCGATTGTGGTGCGTTTGCGGGGTTCTGTTGATCTTTCGATTCGTCTGCCGGAGGGTCGAGAAGGCTCACGGCGAGATGGAGGGGTAGGAGTTGCGGATGGGCATAGGATTCTGCGGTTGCCATCGCATCGGAAAGGGCTTTGGTTGCCCGATCCGTGAAGTTCATGTTGGAAGTCGCCATGTTGTCGTATGATCAAAGAGCGATCAATGGTTGTGTTGTATCGTTGAAATCGTAAATCGTGATGAGGGGCAATTCCAAGGAATTGACTTTTAACGCTCTATGTGCTTTTGATCTGCGCAAGCGGGAATATGCTTGAACTTGAATTGAGTTCCTGGAGCGTAATGTTTCAAGAAAGAGAAGAGAGACCGTTTGCAAGAATATATGCAAAGCCAAGTTTAGCTAGAAGTGACGAGGGCCATCAGGCGTTGACTCGAACGCACGAGAGGTATCAGGCTTTTGAACCTTGGAACATGCCAGAGCCTTCTACGTAAGGACTTCGCACCCCTGCCCAGAGTGGGCTGATAGTGCATGACAGCATACACGGCGAGCGATTGGATTGGATGAAAGCACAACCCCTTGCCACCCAAATGAAATCCCCACAGCCTTACCTGCACGTGATAAACTCAGTGTTGGGTGTAATGGCGCTAGTCTCAAAACAGAATTTTGAAGGCAAGTCGATGAATCGCGAGATCCCGAAATTTTGAGCTGCTCGGCCACCACACATCACAATGAGTGCCCGCACAACTTCAGATGTAGCACGCAAAGCTACGAGGGCAATTGGGAAGAGCAAGCCTTCACCCACAGCTCTAGGACCGCGGAGGAAGAGAGACTATGGACGACAAATATTCGTCTTCAACCATCTACAGAAGAACATGATCGTCTACTCCTTGACCAAGGCTCTACGGGTACACTCACTCCCATCCCTCTCCTCGAGAAACATCTACTAACAGAACCCCACAGAACAATGCCGCTCTAAACCAAATCCCCTTCAACGGCAAGAAAACCGTTCCCGCGGCCCTACGAAAAGACCTCTGGCACCCCTTCGCGCAAATCACCTTCCCGGAAGGAAAAGGCTTCGTCGGACTCTCCGCCTTCCAAAAACTGCGCGAATACCGGAAACGCCACGAACTAGAATGGGGCGACGAGATCTTCCTGGACAAAGAAGGGAAGCATGTCAACAAGGAGATCAGAGGGAGACAGATCTGTGACCAAAAAGCGAACAGTGTGGCAGATATGGCTGCGGTGCTGGGGAGATTGGCGTTGAAGGATAAGCCGACGCCTGAGATTGTTAATGGGAGGAAGATTTGGCCGCCCAGGATTGGGCTGAAACGGGAGGGCCAGGGTGTGAATGTGCAGGTGTTGTGGAGGGATTTGACGGATGCTGAGTTTGCGGAGACGTGGGCTGAGAATGTGGAGCATGGTGTGCTGCCGATGCATACCAATCATCGGGATCCGAACAGAGTATGGGGATATGGGAGGATGACAGGGAGGACGAAGGAGGTGGAGGAACAGGAAATCATTCCTGAAGTGGTCTCGGAACAAGTCGTCACAGAAAAGGAGCCAGAGAAAGTTGTGTTGTAAAATATGTATAGACACTTTGCATAACAGGCGTCATAGAAATATATATGTATTGATATAGGGTTGTGGACATAATGACCAGCAATCCCAGTCCGCTTTTCTTGAAACTTAATAGTCCGTTGTGTCATTGCGTACATATAAAGTCGAATTCTCAGTGTGTAGAAACCCGGCCTAGACCTTGATTGCAAAGGACTTCAGATATTCATAGTCAGGAATGTTGGCATTGACACTCTTCCGAATGATTCTGGCAGCTTCATCACCATACTTTTCACGCCATTCCTGGTCTTCGATCTCTATGGTCTTTGCCTTCTTCTTCTTACAGGGTAGAATTAGCAAGTGTGCGGAGAGTTCGTAGCGTGGTGGCTTCGGATGAGTAACTTACATGTTGAGCGCTTCTTGGCTTCAAAGAAGTGCTGTTGATAGCATCATCATGGAAGCCTCTCCATTTTTCAAACGCATCTCTGGCTCTCTGATGATCTTCCTCGGTATCCCAGATCAACATGTCCGGGTTGTACTGGATACCAACTTCCTTGCAATAAGCTGAGATGATACCCTCAGGGTCATCCAGCAGATCATCTGCATCAATGACCGTAATACTGACTTCGCCGTCCTGCAACTTTCCCTCCTCTCCGGCAAGAGCCGGCCCAACCTGCTTCTCTTTCATGAGAAAGTCGAAAACTCGACGCAATTCATCGTATCCTGCCTCGGATGGCATGAAGTCGTAAAAGCCAGTGACCTTGTCCAGGGGAGGAATAGTGCATCGCCAGTACGAAGGAATGCTGTGACGAGGGTGACGGATCAGGAACGTGAAGTGGAATTGCTTGAGAATCTCTGCAGGTACCACTGTGGGATTTCCTGCTTCGGCGTCGGTATCGTATGGATAGGGGGCCTTGTGGTGACCGTTCGTATGCCCATTGACACCATTGCTGAAGCCATTGACGTGGCCATTGGTCTGGCCGTTTGTTCCAACGCCCTTCTTCTTGGTCTTTCCACCTAGAGATGGGGCTATAGTCGCTTCTTTGCCTTCAGGAGGCACCAGATAGTGTGTGATATCCTTGATGAAGAGACGTTTTCCCTGATTGATATGAGTTGAATTGCATCAAAACGACGCTGGTGACCGTGGTGTCAAGTAGGAAGAAGACCGGTATGCTGAAGTATCAAGTATAGAATGGCAGATTTTTGAGGAGACTGGAGGCTTTGATATGTTGGGTGTGGAAAGGTGTTATAATGAATGCAATTTTGCACGACAAAATATGACGTTTTGGTAATCAAATTTAGAATGGAATGCCGGATAGCGAGATCTCCGCTCGAACTCAAAAGCACTAACTTTGGTAGTTCTTACATTGCTGCTCTTCTGTCGATAAGAGAGGATAACTTCGGAATATGCCAGCCGGAGAGGGAAAGAAGTAGAGCTTGATCGAACCTCTTTGCCTTCTCTTTCAATCCTCTCGAATATAGTCTTAAAGGTACTGTCTGCGAACCCGCTTGCCTCACGGGCTTCCTCATCATGCTCGTATCTGGAGCTAAGTCTTTCTGGACCGTAGTAGAAGGCGTCACCAAATGGTTCGTGAACGCAGGCAAGGATATCTTGGCGAGTCATGAAGACCTGGAAAACAGAAACTTATCAGTTCCTGACAGCAGACAATAAATTTGGAAGACACCAACCCTTTCGAATGCCGTACTGCAGGCTCTCGGGTGAGTAGCCACAAAGATGGGCTTAGAAGACATCGTTTCAGAAGCTTCCAATTGCCAATTGAAGAGAGATGGACTTCCAGCAGTCTATATTCCAAGTAAAGCGTGGATTGTCTATTCACACAAGTGACCAATTTTCAGGTCGTCTTGATGATTGGGTGTTTCTGTTGATTCTACACAACAGGTAGAGAGAGATAAAGAAGAGTCTCGACGTTAAAACTCTGCACAAAGGGAAAGTGCAAAAACTAGAAGGACCAAGTTTGGCTCCGCGTATCACTAGCGGAAACACCGAATTTGGTATTATTCGTGGACATGATAGCTCACTCATGCCAGGATATTTTGAACATGGCGTAACACTAAAAGCTGTCTGTACCTTCTCGTCCCATCATTGTGGGGGAAACATCTTCTCGAGGAAAAAGACCATGAGCGCAGTACGTCAGGAGAACCAGGACTCGACTGCTTATTTGCCCCGCACTTGCATTGCCCCACCCCCCTGACGGGCCCTGAACTCTGACATCCGTGGTGGGATCATAGCACTGATTCGCGCGGGCGGGAGATAGCCAAGAGGGACTCAGTCGCATTTGTCAAACAGTTGCTGGTGGTGGGATGGTACAGTCAACACTCACGACGACCTCGAGGGAGAAACCGCAAGAGAGAATGAAGTGCCAAAGGAAATGTGCAGATATATAATTGGTAGCCGTGCATGGTGGGTTGGACAAAAGATAAGGCCGTCATAGCCACGAAGCATAATAGGTATCTGGACGAACATGCGCCCAAGTCGTGCACCGCGAGGGCTTTCGAGCGTGGTGGCCACACAGCTGTCTGCTGCTGCAGTACGGAGTTTCTCCGTCGACAAGATTGTTGGGGCAGCGCAGAGACGGATGCGAATCTGGCCCCTGGTCGTCGAGTCGAGCGCAAGAAATGCAAGTCATCCAAATCGGAAACCCTGTGCTAAGGTTACGGCTCCGGAAGGCTTCGGCTTAAGGTTAAAGGTCTTGGCACCGCCATGTCTATTCCAACAGCAACGTCGCCTGCATATAAGACGTCCGATGAGGTTATAAAACCCAGCGCACGACGCCAGCACGGTGCTCATCGCAGATCATACAGTAGGTACCTATCGGTATGTAGACGCCACCAACACGTGATTCTCCCAAACTTGGACGCCATCCAACTTTGGCTTGGATCGCAAGCTGCCCGTTCTGTCCAGGTCGGTGCGAAATCGGGAGGCGTCTTCGGATTACGGATTTAAGACCGCGGCCCACGACGTCCCAGTCTCGGAGATGCATCAGAAGCAGTGCAGTCTTATTACTCAGGCTTGACATTACACAACTCTGCCCCACTCTATCAATGGCTCATCGCAGTTTGGCAGCCTTCTATTGCTCAGTCGTTCATAATAATTATGGATGCTAAACTTTCTTTCTTTTCTTCTTCTTCCCTTCCTTCCTCTTTCTAACCCCGCTGCTTCGCCCAGACACCACAGCAGCAGCAGCAGCAGCAGCAGCCGCCGCCGCCGCCTCTCGTATCTGGTACTGTTTATCTAGCTGAGGTAATCAACAAATACCGCACATCTATTGATCCGCAGCCTTCTCTTTTCATACAGATCCAAGCGTCGCCGTCTCGAGGAGACGTCACTAGCTAGCAGAGGACCGTAAACTAAACCATTCCAATCTACCATCCTTTCGCGGACTTTGGACTTTAAACTCATTTATACTCACACTCACTCATACCTGTCCGCATACGAGCTCGCACTGCCACTGTACCTTACATCCAGACACGCCCCTCCACAGACGTAGGCGCTGCAATTTGCAATGCGAGAGACCTCACCCATTGATCCTTCCCAAGACCTGCACCACACTGGTTCCGTCCCATTGTGCGAGTGTTGAAGTACAGATTATTCCGACTGGCTCAAACTCTACGATGACAAGCGCAATGTTTGGCCCAAATGCTATGTCCATGGCCATGGGGGTATCGTCAACAAGTCCCGGACAATCATCTCCCGAATCGTTCGAGATCGAGGAGGACTCGAATGCAGCGCAGACCTCGCCGACCTCAAGCTCCCAGCCGTCGCGTGCGCCTGCTCCTTTGCAGAAAAGAAGAAGGGTTACGCGCGCCTGTGATGAATGTCGTCGCAAGAAGATCAAGTGCGACGGAAAGCAGCCATGTACCCATTGTACGGTGTATAGCTATGGTATGCAGAATTCAGATGCGCATTGCGACATTCTCTTCTCTCTCCAACTCAAGCTTGGACGTCGTCAACTAATACCAGTCAGACTGTACGTACGACCAGCCTTCAAATAGACGTAGGAACCCCGCACCCCAATATATCGAAGCTCTCGAGAACCGTTTGCAACGAGCAGAAACCCTACTTAGGACTGTCCTCCCCAACGTGGACTTGAACGACCCGAATATTGATGCCTTAATTCAACAACGTCGTCAAGCAGGCGTTGGCAAGGATGTCTTACAGAACAATGCTGCCGGCAAATCTGGCGATGCTTCTGACTCGTCGGAACAAGATGCACAATTGCGATCCATGATTGAGTCTACAGGTCAACTTGACCTGGATGATAAGGGAAATTGGGATTTCCATGGTACTTCTTCTGGCACAGTCTTTGTCAGGCGCATGCGAGAGCAGTTTGGGGGACTTCTCGGAAATGATCACAACGCCCCCCTATTCCCAAGAATACCGCGACCCAATGTGACACCTATGTTCGACTCGCCCAGATCTTCCACGGAAAGTCCAATGGATAGTGGCCTTCCCAATACCATGGATCTTCCATCCCGTGAAAATGCGAAAGCTTTATGCGAGGATTCTCTGAATAGCGCAAGCTCTCTATTGCGCTTTGTACATCAGCCTACCTTCTATGAGATGTTTGACAGAATATATGACATACCTCCCGAAAGCTTCGGAGACAGCGAAAACCGATTTCTTCCTCTTTTATATATGGTACTTGCCTTAGGATGTATGTTCCATCTGGAGCCAGGAGAGAATCCGAATAACCCAACGCAGAATACCTACAAAGCTGGGATCGAGCAAGGGTAAGTACTTCTCCTACTTGTATAACTTTACTCGGCACCTTCGGGTATCTCTGAGACTAATCAAAATTGATTGGCCTCAATCACGGCACCATACTTTTGCATCTTTGGCGAGATGTGTAACCAGCACAGCCTATCAGATTAAAATTCTTCAGTCTGGTCTTCAAATGGAAGAGCTGACCTCACCATTTAGTCTCAAATATTTTCGAGCTGCTCGAAACATGATGGATATAACGGACTGTCGTGACATTACATCATTGCAAGCAATTTTGTTCATGATTCTATTTCTACAATCGTCCGCTAACCTGAGCACCTGTTATTCTTACATTGGAGTCGCTTTGAGGTCCGCGTTACGCCAGGGCCTTCATCGTAGCCTCCTTAAGAATTTCAACCCTGTGGAACTTGAGACTCGAAGAAGAGTCTTCTGGGTGATCAGAAAAATGGACACATACGTTTCAGTCTTGCTTGGATTTCCTCAAATGCTCAGCAATGATGACATTGACCAAGAACTTCCTCTTGAGGTCGACGATGAGTACATAACCAAGGATGGTATTTTGGAGATGCCAAATGGGCCCTCACTTCTTTTCCAAGCCTCGAATGCGCACACTCGATTAATGTTCACGCTGGCCAAAGTTATCAAGTATATATACCCCACAAAAGGCTTGGAGGAGTCCCTGCAAGGTAACTCTAAGTCTTCGTACGGCATCAATCATGCCAAGATTCGGGAGATCGAGCGGGATCTTGCAGCATGGCTTGATAAGCTGCCCATGGCCCTGCGACCAGGAGGAGATGGGCCTCCAAATATTCTTCGGTAGGCCTTAGAAGCCCCTTGGTCTTCTAGTCGTCTTACTAACGCACCTGGTAGCGTCCAACAGCTTCTCAGATTATCTTATGCCCATGTTCAGATGATGTTGTACAGACCATTCTTGCACTACGTGTCTGAGAAACAATGTGCTAGTAAGAAAGTTGACGAGAGAGCTTACGCTTGTGCTGCGGCTTGTGTCAGCGTGTCGCGAAACATCGTCCACATCACCACTGAAATGAAAAGGCGAGGACTACTTGTCGGTGCTTATTGGTTCACGGTCCGTATCTCACTCTGCTTCTCATATTCTACCGCTTGCGAAGCTGCAGTATAGTCTGCTCTGTCAATCAAAACTTAGTGCTGACAAGACATAGATGTATACTACGTTCTTCGCGATCTTATCTCTGGTTTATTTTGTGCTTGAGAATCCAGATAAGCCAGGTTCAAAAGAGATCCTAGCTGATGCCAATGACGGGAAAGATGCGCTCAATGGATTGGCTAGGAGAAGTCAGGCCGCAGATAGGTGCTCCTCGGCATTGAAGGTTCGTTGCCTCCTTTCGGACTCACTTGGCTTTACTCAATTCTGTAAACAGGGACTATTCGAGCGATTGCCTGGGCGCCTGAAAGACAGTCGGCCTGGATCTGCTGTCCCTAAAAAGAAGCGTTCGGCCCCATCACCCGCTATGGCACCTCAGGCTGGCAACGGCTCCCCAGATGTATCTCAAATCGGGCCAGGAGGATTGCCTAGGGCGACAACATTTCCAGTTCCTTCGCCCTTGCAGACAAGTAACCTTCAGAGGTCATCACTTGATGAGAATCGATTCCCGATCAACACACTTTCGAATCCCAACCTCCGGCAAAGTTACATGTCACCAACGGACTTGTCTGCAGTCGGGACTCCTGATTCTAGCAGTACCAATAACAGCATACCGCAACGATTTCCCATTCAACAGTCACAATTCGGCATAAACACAGCTGTTCCAGACCTTAGCGCAATGATGTTCCCCTCTGCTGATCCATTTGCTTACCCCAACCAAGCCATGGCTGCGTTCGACAATATGAAGCAAGAGAATATTGGTCTGATGAACAACTCTCAGATCCCACCCATGTATCTTTCCAACGGCAATCCCACTCCCACAAGTGGGCGATACGAAGATCTGGAGGGTCAACTCTTCGGTCCTCTCCCACCATATCTTTCTCAAGGACAGCAAAATTACGACCTTAATTCGCACCTTGGTGCAGCATCAGGCATGATGGGTGGTCTGAGTCAAGATATGAACTACCACACAGGTATAACTCCCAGCCATGAAATGGCTGGCAATTTTGATGGCTTCTTTTCGGGAGATGGGGATAATTGGAGTAACAGTCTGGCAGATCAAAGGTTTGGGTAAGGATCCGGCTGGGAAAATGTGCATAGGGAGGCATGCATATAATGGAAGGAAATGGCGTTTGATGAACATAATTTGATACATATATCCAATTTGGGCTGTTTTGGTTCTGAAGGGGGTGGGCATCGGGTATACCTTTGTGCTTGGCGTGCTGTCAATGGAATGTTTATAGAAAAAATGTTTAAATCATAATGAATGATGCTTATGAAAAAGCTATGGTAGATTGTTGGTGAACTGTTGTAGCTAGACATTCTTAAAATCCGACAAGGCTACGCTTGAGTTATTTTCATCAGCGCTGGATTGGGTCTAGTGCCGTTGCCTAAAAAATAATCACATCAATTTCTTCAGACCTCTGAGATCTCCATCAACGCAATCTTTCCCATCAACACCTCAAGCACAGATTTGGAAAGAACGTGAATATCACGTGCGTTGTGCATATGTCGGGGTCTGGACAAAACGCCGACGCCGATACCAGGCTGCGAACCTCAAAATCAGAACCCCACACTTCTCTTCGTGCACGCCCAAAAGCCTATCCAAAAGGTCGGTACAAGATGGCTTCCTCCCAAGGAGCTCCGCCATCTCCTACGCAGAGTCGTAGTAAGAAGGGATTGTTTGTCACTGGTATGAAAGAAAAGCCTGGAGCTTGCATGCGCCATTCTAACAAATAGCAGAGCAACCAAAGCTAGATCTTGAATCATACATCGCCAACTACACAGGTGAGATTGGCATATTCTAATCTAATATTTTGGGTATGAATATGAGCTGATAGACGTCTGAAGGTCGAACAAGACTCGAGCGCATGATTCTCATTGGAAACTGTTCAGCCGTTCTTGGTATTGATGCCTTCAAGCTCGCTGTCCGGGAAGCCAAGCTAGGAAAGGACATTACGAAGTATCTGGAAGCGCAGACCCCTCTCGAGACAATTGCACCCAAGGAAAAGGAAGCTGCGAGGGACCTATCATGGATGGATAAGACGAAGAGTACGAATGCAGCTGAGACGGCACGGTTGGAATCCGAAGTGAAGGGATACAAGAACAACCTGATCAAGGAAAGCACGCGAGTATGTGACTTCTGTTCTCTATAAATAAGGTTTGTGGAGCTAACTCTATTGTAGATGGGTAATGAGGATTTGGGAAAGCACTTTCAAGCTATCGGTGATCTGCCTAAGGCTTTCGAAGCATTCAGTCGCATGCGACAAGACGCACAAACCCCAAAGCATATCATTGATATCAGCCGACACCTCATCGAAGTTGCAGTCGAGCAACGCAACTGGATTGCCGTCACATCCAACGTACAGAAGATTAGGGGAGTTATGGATAGCAAGGACTCGGACAAGGCTATTCCACCCTTCCTCTGTGTTGCTGAAGGCCTTTCCAGTCTGGACAGCGGAGAGTACCTGGCAGCTGCTCTGAGCTTCTTGCAAACCGATTCGGGTATGAGTTCGAGCGCCAACTCCATCATCAGTCCTAATGATGTTGCGGTATATGGTGGCATCTGTGCTTTGGCAACCATGGAGCGCGCAGAGTTGACTAAGAATGTCCTCGAAAACTCCAACTTTCGAACCTATCTCGAACTCGAGCCTCACATTCGACGAGCCATCGGCTTCTTCGTGAACAGCAGATACGCCCAATGTCTGAGCATCCTGGAGTCCTATCGCTCTGACTACCTACTTGATATCCACCTTCAAAGGCACGTTGATGACCTCTATCAGTTGATTCGAAGCAAGAGTATCGTCCAATACTTCATCCCGTTCTCCTGTGTCACTCTCGACAGTCTCAATGAACAATTCGCAGCACCGGGCAAGACGATCGAGAAGGAGCTTGTTCAGATGATTATGCGCAAGGAGCTTGACGCTCGCATTGATACCGTCAATAGAGTACGCCACTATGCCTTCTACGCAAGACTTACACTAACATGGATACAGGTTCTCACTTCGGTTCCGTCCGCACCACGTGCTGCCCTGCAATCCTCTGTTCTCAAGACTGCTAAAGACTATGAGCGTGAGGCCATGAGACGAATTCAACACATGAATATCCTTGCTGCTGATGTGGACATCAAGAGCAGAAACAAGCTTCCTGGTGGGGATGATTTCTTCGATGGTGGTCGAGAGTTACGCTCAGGACGCAACACTGGTTATTGAAGCATTCGGAAGACATTGATGAGTTACGAGAGGATGCATGGCGTATGAATGACACGGTCTGATGCATATAACGGCGTTGGCGAAAAGGGCAACGGCATATGGTGGCCAATCTGGTTGCTCACGTGGCGTTTAGAACCGCGAATGTGCAGATGAATGGCAATGGACTTTGACACTCACTCATCTGACTCAAGGCAGTCGGATAATCCATCATCTTTGTATCTCGTGAACAAGAATCGGCTACCTAGGATAGACATTTACGCCATATCACAGCCTCGCGGATGTACACCCAATGTGGAAGCGCCACAACCGACGAGACGGGACAAACGCTCGGCACGCCACTTTTCTCTCAGCTCCTTCCCGTTGCAAAGGATCCAGCCCCATCCAGATTTGGCAAAGTTGTCGCACACACCATTCTAGTCGTAAGTGCGGCCTATCAGTAGACTGAGGTGGAGTCGCTGCCTCTTTCCCTCTCACTCTCGGTGAAGTGATTCATCTCGCGATCTTGTGACTGTTTACTGCGCTTCTTTCCCTTGTATCTTCCCGCGTGTCATACTTCAGCTTCTTCCATACACAATGATCAATCCAAAGCGAGATATGAAATCGAAGTACTGCATAGAGATGTGAACAGCTTCACCTCCCCGCAATAAGCGCCGAATGAAAGAAAGCCTCCCTCCATCTTTCAAGACATCGTCTCCGAACCCCCGGACTCACCATGACGCGCCTCCTCAACCTCATCCTAGCCCTCAGTCTCACATCCCGGGTGGTCTCAGCCTACAACACGCAAACATGCTGCGACCTCGCCAAAAACGATTCTCAATTCATCGGCCTCGTTCCCGTAAACCAGACATGCGGCCAGCAATACAGCTCCTCGCTCGCGCCCGCCGAGCCGTTGTACGTCAGCTACGCGTTTTGTAGTTCGAGGTGCAGCGGCATCGAGTTGTCGAGGGCGAGTAACCCTAATCAGTGGGCGGCTTCGATCGTGCAGTTTATTCTCCCGTCGGTGATCTTTAGTATGACGATCCCGAGAAGGAAGAAGATCGAGTTTGACTATCTTTTTGAGTTTGAGTGGCCGAGAAAATTGACGAGATGCAAGGGTGTCAATGATGCTGTTCAACTGCTTGTTTCGTTGGTGTGTTTTGCGGTTATCCTGGTACCGGTGACGATCGATAGTATCATGTGGATCGTGTCGATTATGGTGGGCGCGGGCAACATGATTGTGGGGGGTCTGTATGAGGCGCATTTGGATTATCGGATCGTGAGGTTTGTGAGGGATATGGGGGAGACGGTTGGGGAGGAGGAGGTGAGGGTCAAGAGGGAGTTGTTGGTTACGATTACGAGTGGCAATTTGATGTTGGAGAAGGGGAAGCCGTTGGAGGCTATTACGAGGAGTATAGTCATTCCGGGGAAAGATGAGCCGAAGGAGGGAAAGGAGAAAGCGAGGTCGAGATTGTTGAATTTGCTGGGTGCTCAGACGAGCTTTGGGAATGCTGTTGGAAGTCCCGTGTTGTTCTATCTGGGAGCTTTCGTTTACACTATCTTGGACCTGAGGACTGATCCAAGCAGTGAGGACTCGGCGATTTCACTGGGCTTTGGTATTGAGTGGATGGTTATTGTCCATGTTGCTATTGTCAGTGGATGTCTTCTGGCAAGCAACAATCCAAGCACATCCGCAGGAATTGTGGGATCGGGCCACGAAGCACTGGATTGTCGACCTCCTATTCTCAAGAGGGCTGGAACCCTAAAGTCTCATCGATCAGGTGAAGATCCAAAGACAGCATCTCATCGAGAAAGGAAGCGCTTCTACCATCTTATCTTCGGTTGGAGTAATGCTTACGAAACTGAGTTCCAGCCAGTGTCACTCTGGGGTCGTGGAAGCAACAAGATGCAATGGGTCGAGGAAACACAAGCTTATAAATCTCCAGATGGCAAGTTCAAGGACCTGATGACAATCACGCCTCTCGGCTGGGTCTTCAAGATTCTTCTTCCAGCACTTACCTTTATCGTCCTACCACCAGCCTCTGGAGCAGTAGTAGCATACGTTACCCCGCCGATAGGAATGGGTTGTCGGTCCTTGAGCTGTACAGTCTATGCTTGCTGTCAAGTCATAGTCACCATTCTCGCGACGATTCGGTGTGCCGTTGACGATGGCTCCTACGGCCGCGTCCTCAAACACCTCTTCACAGGCTGGCGCTTCGTCGCTCTCTCTTCTCTCTTCTGGTTTGGATCTTTTATGGCAGCTATAGGAGGCATGACCATGCAAACCATCGGCGTCTACAGGAACTGCGTTTGTTATGCAGTCTCAAGTTCGTGGTGGAATATCAAGCATATCAATCCTATGATCAACCTTGCAACAGATACTCAGGCTGCGAGAGATAGTTCTGTGTATTGGATCTGGATGGGGAGTGTGGCGACCATGTTTATGGCCTGGACGACGTATGTGGGGTGGTGGTATCAGAAATTGATTAGAAGGAGATTCACGGATGCTGTTAAGGAGATGTTTGAGCCGGAACCGATTGAAGGAGTAGAATTGAGAAGAATGGACGGAGGTGCAGGAGATACGGTGGAGATTGAGTTTGTTGGGGAGGGAGAAAGAGATAAAGGAAGGGATTCCATGACCGTGCCATTGCTGAGGATGGATAGTGCCAGGAGTTGGGCGACGAGTACGAATGAGGCTATTGATCCAGCGAGACTCAGTCCGAGACTTGATGCCGATGGTTGGGGATCTGTGAGAGGGGTTCAGAGATTGAGGGCTGATAGTCAGGTTCCGCTTCTTAGGGTTTCTTTAGATAAGAGTTGAAGTGAGCGAGAATATAATATGCATTGCTGGTACCGGTAAAGTCTGAGAATTTTGGAGATGATGAGATATCTCGGAAAGTACAAGTGAGTGTGAAAGTTGTTTGGCATCACAAGTGTATTCCGGGAAGTTCAAAATTCCCGCTTGTGGCTTGGTCTCGCAAGAATCCAAGCTCCAGTTCGGAAAGATCAAGAGCAGCCTTTCTCATCGACCACTTATATCACGGCTATCTCTGATCCTGACCCATCACTCATAGGTTCTCGATCCGAGGGCGTTCCGGACCTAAGCGGAATTTGGACATTTAGAGTTCAGGCCCTAAGATTGGGCTTCGGATCTAAGCTCGGACTTATTCACAGCGAATCAGACGCCACCTTTCTCGAATCCCGTGATGGAGGTTCTGAAGGGTTTTGATATATAAGAGAGGTGTAGTATGTAGAATTGAGGGTAGAGATTCTATGTCTAGAAGAGTTTTGCAAAGTGGAGTCCTCAGGTTCAGGAAGTATATAATTTCATTCTTCACCTTGTTTGACGTACATCAACGCTAATCAACGTCACAGTCAAACTAAGTATTGCAAGATCACCAGTATCAAGTCATTCAGACATACATTGAGCCCAAAAACTCATATCAAACACTTCGCTTCAACCACAACTCTGAACTCTCAGCACCACAATCACCAACCACCTACCATGCTCCCACTACTCACTCTCGAAGAGCACTACGTCTCCACCTCCCTAGCATCCGCCCCCGACGGAATCTCCTCCCACATGCCCCTCCCCCCTCACCTAAGCGCCAAACTGCTCTCCCTCTCCACAGAACGCATCACCGACATGGACACCTCCTGCGTCGCCCTGCAAGTGCTCTCCCACGCCCCGCTCGACACAACCTCCGTCCTCTGCACGCAAACCAACAACGAACTCCACGCCTCCATCTCCCAAAACCCCTCCCGCTTCGCTGCCTTCGCGCTGCTCCCCATGGGCGAACCCGAAGCTGCTGCCAAGGAATTAGAGCGTTGTGTCAAAGAGCTCGGTTTCGTGGGCGCGTTGGTGAATAACCATATGCAAGGCCGGTACTACGACGACGCCTTCTTCTGGCCCGTGTTCGCGAAGGCCGAGGCGTTGGATGTCCCGATCTATATCCACCCAGCCTTTGCAGCGGAGGAGATGATGCCGCATTTCCAGGGAAACTACGATAGTGGTGTAGCCGGGGCGTTGAGTGCGTATGGGTGGGGATGGCATGTTGATACCGCGTTGACGTTTTTGCGTCTCTATTGCGCGGGCTTGTTTGATCGGTTTCCCAGGCTGAAGATCGTGATTGGGCATATGGGCGAATTGCTCCCGTTCCAGTACGAGAGGTTGTTGGGGGTGAGCGAGCGCATGTTTGGGAGGAAGGAGAGGGGGTTGGATGTGGTGTGGGATGAGAATCTGTGGGTGACGACGAGTGGGATGTTTAGTTTGAGTGCGTTGGAGTGTTTGTTGAAGAGCAAGAGGAAGAGTAGGGAAAAAGTGTTGTTCAGTATCGATTATCCGTTTTCGGGGAATGAGAAGGGGAGAAGGTTTGTGGAGGAGATTGAGGAGAGTGGGTTGTTGGGTGGGGAGGAGTTGAGGGCTTTTGCGTATGGGAATGCGGAGAAGTTGTTGAAGTTGAAATTGAAGGTTTAGGAGGATAGGCAAGGACGAGCTGGGCAATATCATTTCATGATGAAATCAAACTCCGCTCTTACGATCTGACTTAAGTATGGCGTGCGCCTCGTGTACTTAACCCCTGATCCGTTGTGCATTGACTGGAGGTCCCTTTCCCACTTTGGGGTTCGTCACAAGATTAAATCGAGGGGTTTAAGCCCAATTTTCTGGAGTTTTTGTTTCCATCTGGTTCTAGGATGTGGATGTATGTTGTGGTTGGGTTTTTGAGGGCTTGTATTTTTTTGAAGCATCGCGACTTTTTGCTAAGCGAGGAGTAATGAAAGGACAGTTTGATCAGATGAGATGAACGCGAGGTTCTCAGCTAAAATGTACCCTTGGGATTAAATGATGAAAGAATAGGTTCTATCTCGACTTTTGCTTCTGTTTGCAAGAGTTCCTTAGGTTGTCCATATAGCTGAGCTCAGCACAACAGAGCTTTATTCACAGTTCGGATTTGGCCACTATCCCAGAAGCAGAATTGTATCAATTCTTCCGTAGTCTTACGAAAATGGCCTCCCATTTTAGAGCTGTTTGGGAAATCTTTGTTGGCGTGTTGTCGTCGACTTCGGCTTCGCTCTCGCTCGCTTAATGAAAGGGGCAACGACAAAGGATGGCAAAAGACAGCAGAACCGATGGACGTTGAGAGAGCAGGTAGAAACGCGACACAAATGACAATTTGATAATTTCAAATATGCGGGGTTCATACTTATACTATTGGATCGCAGACCAATGTACAGGGACTGACTTCAACGTCTAATTGACCACGCATTTGGCGGATGTAACCGAGTACATAGAAGCATTATAGCTGTTTTTGGCAGAACAACGAATTTGAAGGCCGTCTACTATCAGAAATAACATACTGCAGCTAGCCTAACAGTTGCGAATACTTTCACGATGCCTTTCTTTGGGAAGCCAAGGGGAACAGATGGTCTTGGCAGCATGGCGCCTGTTGTCTTACCCAGAAGTCTCACATTCGCAAGTAACCCTCAGCATTCGAGATCTGAACTCAACCATGCTCAATCTAATCTTCGAACAAGCATTTATCTAAGTCATTTTAACAAACGCAAGCAGACACAAAAAGCTGAATGCTCCAACCAGGTGTTCAGGTTTCACCTAATGCAAAGCGAGAAACTAGAGGCTGAAAAAGCAAAGCCAAAAATGACGAATCTCATGCAGGATGTCAGGTCTTGAAGAAACATAGAGGTAACTCCTTGCAGAATCGTGGCTGCTGAGAAACGTTTCATGTTGGTCATATGTGATATTATGTACAGCATGGCTGATGCCAGTATATCCAAAGTGACTACACCAAAGCTCGTGTGAGTGTCAATCTATTTGCTTAGTAGCTGAATTCGAAGCAGAATATGAAGACAGTTGAGATAGTGAATACGGTTGATCTCTTCCTCGGAAGAGGTTTGCCACCAAAAGTGGGCTGCGTTGAGATCTTCGAGATGCATTTGACGAATTTGCTTTTTCTAACAAGATGGTCCAGCCAGAATTGCAAACACGAATGAGCAGCATTTTCTCTGAGTTCTTAGCAAACATTCATTACGCTGTCTTTTTCACAGCAGCTTTTTTTCCACTCGCAGAATTCATTCCAAAACCAGCCAAGAAGAGCATTCTCATCGTTGCTCCTGCATACACAAACCCAACATTGCCCCAGTCCATCTTGTTCCACTTCAAGGCATTCCAGTAGATATCAGTGCCTAGATGCCGGACGGAATAAAGATGCCCAAAATCTGCAATGAGCAACCCGAGCAGCACGGTCCTCCAAACTCGGAGATCGGAAGTCGAGCGGAGAACCAAGGCCTCGTTGATAGCAAACAGCAGGTACAAGTTGGAGAGTTGATCTAGGACGGTAGACGTTGATAGAGGAATCGTAGCCGCATATGCAGGAGCAGAACTCGCATGCGTCAAACGCAAGTACTCTAGAGGTCTAAAGTGGGCATAAAAGGCTCCCACAAGAGCGCTCACGGGTTCTATGAACAAGAAAAAAGCGGTGTAGTATGCGGGGAGCTTGAAAGATGGAGGAGGCATCGTTGCCGGATAAGAAGAGGTCTGAGGGTGGTGCGGGGAGGGAGCGATCTCGTTGGACAATGCGGTGAGAGAATCCGTGAGATGTGCACACTGCAGACGCCTCGTCGTATTCTGAACCCCTCGTCGTAAAATCTGGAATATCCGATGGCTTTTTGGGGTGTTCTGGTGACGAATTTTGAGTCGACGATTCTGAGATGTAAACGATTCAAGGTGTGGTTTGAGATGGACGAGAGATCCTTCGCTACCATAAGTCAGTCGAGTGAGGTTTGAAACACTTCAACCCTGTATTGCCCTGATTTTCGACCGGGATAGAGATGACCTCCTTTCTCCAGCCACACTGCACGACTTCTTCCGATGCCGAATCAGGTGCCTGGACCTTCATGCTGCTCACTGCGCTGCGCTGCGCTGCACTGGCAAAACAAGCAGATGCTGCACGCTGGACTGTGCCATGATAGGACACAGCACAGGACACAGTAATATTTTCGGTCTGACCGACGCTGAGAGAAAAAAGAGATTCAACAGACTGACCTGACCTGTAAAATGTCTGGTTCCGATATTTTAGGAGTCGGCTTCTGCTGGTCGGGGAGTCTCAGGGAACCAATACGACCCCAGATTCCCAAGGGCTTAGCCGTTTACAGTAGGGCGTGAGGCGTGAGAAGGAAAATTACGTGCCAATTTTGGCTTTTTCGCCGCCTCGGCCGGTTTGTTTACAATTGAGACAACCCTCCATGTTACAACGGCCTTTACTCGCATAATAATACAAGCACTCACTCCCTGCTCGTCTCTGTTTCCTTCCTGCACTCCACACAATCCCCATTCACTACCTGCGACCTGGATCTTTCCGCTCTCCTGTCATTATTGTTTGCATGCCTTCAGCGGATTCCGGAAAACTGACTTGTCGTTCCGCACCTTTGTCCAGACTGCAAGTTGTCTGGTAAGCTAGTATTTAGAGACTCACTACTTCCAAGGTCCCATACTTTCGATCTGCTACGCTTTCGCCTATTCTCTTCACATCAACGATCGATTCGACTTTGAACTCGAATTACGAACATGAGTCGAGTCTTCAGGATGGAGGATTGGGCGCCGCAAGAGGCGCAAAACTCTTTCTCGTCTGCAAGTGATACTCCGAATGATTCATTCGACCAAGGCGCAAACTCGAGGCCCTCCTTTCGAAAGCGTCTGGGATCTCTCCCTCTTGACCATTCCCTCCCTACCTTCCGCAAACGTCTCCAATCACTCCCACTAGATAGCAGGAGCACCGAGCTCAGCGAAGGTATACAAATTATGTCCCTGGCTGGAAGAGAACCAGCAGAAACACAGGTCGGAGAGGAGAACAAAAAGGTTGGGGGAATTCGAGGATTGCTCAGGAAGGCATCTGTCTCTATTAAGAATCGGCAACGTCGTCATTCACACGCAGTCGAGGAACGGCCTCAGACCGCATGGCGCAGATTGAAGACGGCCACTAGCTTCCACAGAGGCTCGAAATTCCTTCCTCCTTCATTCGACTATCAAGAAGGTCAAGTTCCTTTCGATTCCCACCAAGAGTTATTATTCTCCCCTATTCCAGGAAACGGAAATGCTCCTCCTATAATTCCTCGAGGCTACGGTGGAGCTGCGGCTAGAGCGACAGCAGCAGCGCAAAACGAATATATCGAGAGAAACCGCATGTTTCTATTCCCGGAGGATCAAATTGGAGAGAACGAAAGTGGCATCGGCATAGCAGTTACCATGGCTGATCAGGTCGAAGAATTCGTTGTGGAAACACCACCCGGCAGTGATATTAGTCGCGTGGATTTTGTGGGCGACCTGCCAGTAGAACTCGCAATTCAAATCCTTGCTCATTTGGATCATGGAACACTGCGGGGTGCAGCTCGAGTCTCGAAGAAATGGGCACAAGTCACCCAATCGCAGCATATCTGGCGCGAGGTCTTCCTAAGAGAGCAAACCAAGACCTTTGCTACTGGAAAGCCCCTCCAACTGGGTGCTGGACTTGGGCTGCCAGCTTTCGAAGCCGACAATGACTGGAAGGATCTTTATAGAGTTAGGGAGCAGTTGCGTCGGAATTGGAAGACAGGTGTCGCGGAAGCCACCATGCTGATCGGTCATTTGGACAGCATCTACTGCGTCCAATTTGATGAGTTCGTATCCTTGACCCGCTTTCACGCGTATATGCTAACAAGTCGATAGGAGAAAGATCATCACAGGATCTCGAGACAAGACTATCCGTGTCTGGGACATGCATACCTCTGTTTGCACCTTGGTCATTGGACCTCCAGATGTGGTCAACAATCCTATCGTCCTGTTCGACGAAGACGGCAGGACTCAGCACTATGCGATCTTACCCCACAGAGAGGATGAGCGAGTTGCTGAGTCTACTCCTGCGACGGTGTCCTTCTCCATGTATCATGAACAATCTATCTTGTGCCTACAATATGACGAGAATATATTGGTCACTGGATCTTCTGACAGTACATGCATTGTATACGATATCAAGAACGGATATACTCCTATTCGGCGCCTTGTTCATCATACCGGTGCCGTTCTTGATCTTGCTTTCGATGATCGATACATTGTTACATGCTCGAAGGATGCTAGTATCTGTGTTTGGGAACGAGAGACAGGAGTGATGCTGAAGCAATTGAGAGGTCATACCGGCCCAGTGAATGCTGTTCAGTTGAGAGGAAATACTATCGTCAGCTGCAGTGGCGATTTCAAAGTCAAGCTGTGGAACATTGATACCGGCAAGAATATTAAGGAGCTTACTGGCCATACCAAGGGTCTTGCTTGCAGCCAATTTTCGGATGATTCGAGATTCATTGCTTCGGCGGGAAATGACAAGATCATCAATATCTGGGATGCCAACACGGGAGAAAATTTGAAGAGTATCACTGCTCACGAGGGTCTTGTTCGATCACTTCATATCGACTCAATCAGTGGACGTCTGATCTCTGGCAGCTACGATCAAGACATCAAAGTTTTCGACATGGCTTCTGGAAAGACAATTCTTGATTTCCCAAAATGGCATGGAAGCTGGATCTTAGGAGCCAAGTCCGACTATCGACGAATCATTAGCACCGGTCAAATTCCTAAGGTCCTCATCATGGACTTTGGCAAGAGGATCAAGGGCATTGAGAATTTAGAGAGTCACTAAAGGTTCTATTTCTCGACTGGCGTTATGAACTGGATTTCGGGTACGTTACTAGATACTGGGAAGCAATTTCAAACATGGTGACGATTTGCGTGGAGGATACCCATTTCATTTGTGGCGGTGGGATTACCTGGGGTAATTTTCAGCTTGGAGTTACTTGGGTGGATCTTTCAATTTAGCGAGCGGGCATTGAATTGAGCGTTCTTCATAGCATAATAGTAGTAAAGATCTGGTGGAAATGGGATGAGTGGTTGAGAATGTTAGAGTCACGTGTACGACTTGAAGTCTGGCTCTGATATGGGCTGCTTCATACCATAAAACCCTTCGAGAATTAAGAATTGTCTGCATTCATGCTTCTTTCGGTGTCATCTTCCGTGGTGAGAATAATTGTAATTCTGATCTCGCACCTGTATCTCATGTTGATAATATCATCCTTGCTCGCTTATATAGCTAAAAAATTGCCTAGCGCGAAATCTCGCCCACACATCTAAAATTCATACAACTTGCTTTTCGCGATATTTCCATCCTCGACGACCTCTCAACAACCAGCAATCATGAGCGCCCTCAACAAGATCGCGGCGAACAGCCCTTCCCGCGCAAAGCCCTCTGAGCTCGAGAACAACATCGCCACGGCTCTCTACGATCTTGAGACCAACACCGCAGACCTGAAGGCTGCTCTCCGACCCCTTCAATTCGTCTCTGCCCGAGAGGTAAGCTCTTGAAATTATTCACCTACGTAGCAGAAGAACATCGCAGCCCCCTCTCTCCACCTCGATTACGGCGAGCGTCGACATGCATAGGATTGGTGGTTATATTCATACTGGTTGAGATACAGAGAGGATAGAATACCGTGCTATGGGTGTCGGCGTGCTGTTGTTGTTGGCCCTGCTCTACGAGCAGTACAGCAATCATTGCGCCTCCCAATTGTGGAATCGGACGGGTTGCGGTCCATATCTTGGAGCTCGCATGCTGACTTTCAATTTCGGAATAGATTGAAGTCGGCCACGGCAGGAAGGCTATTGTCATCTTTGTCCCCGTCCCATCCCTCCAGGGTTTCCACCGTGTGCAGCAACGGTACGTACTTTGCCCCCCTCGTCCCCCTCTCCCAATTGAGTTCTGTGCAAGTGCTGATGAGAGGAAAACAGTCTTACTCGTGAGCTCGAGAAGAAGTTCTCCGACCGCCACGTCCTGATCCTCGCCTCGCGCCGCATCCTCCCCCGTCCCAAGCGCAGCAACCGTTCCCGCACCTCGCTCACGCAGAAGCGTCCCCGCTCGCGAACACTGACCGCCGTCCACGACGCCATCCTGACCGACCTCGTGTACCCGGTCGAGATCGTCGGCAAGCGTCTGCGCACCAAGGAAGATGGCAGCAAGATGCTGAAGGTTGTGCTCGATGAGAAGGAGAAGGGTGGTGTGGATCACAGACTCGATACTTATTCCGAGGTCTACAAGAAGTTGACTGGGAGAGGTGTTGGCTTTGAATTCCCGCAAAGTGGTACGGCTGAGTACTAGATGTTGCATGGCATGGCATGTAGAGGGGAAAAGTTGCGTGCTTCTTTGGGTTTGCGCTGGCTTGGCTCTCTTCGATATGGGAATGCGTAGCTAGGCATAGATAGGCTGGCGAATATATCACGGCTTGTCACCACCCTACTCTCTTGAATTTCATAGTCTGTGGAGTTTCCAAGTGCAAAATAACAAATGGGTATATTGCGCCTCACTGATAATCTCTCTTTACACTTTAGCAATCCTCCCAACACCAAGCACACACCAATAAGCCAACTCCCTCTTCTCCCTAACATCCTTCTCCTTACTCCCCCCTCCTCCCAACCCACTCTCATCATGCGCCGCATCGGCCTCCCACTCAACCCGCACAAACACCGGAATCTCACACACATCCTCATCCTCCTTCAACGGACCCTCGTCATCCTTCATTTCCTCGTTCTTCAAGAACTCCGGACCACCAATATGTAACGACGCAGGTACAACTTCAACTACAACACTAACCCAATTCCTGCCTCTTTCCCACACCTTCCCAGCTTCAGCTTGATGCTGTCCTTCACTGGCTTCTGCCTTCGTGCGGCGCTTCTCGCCCGTACCTTCACGGAGCGCTTCGTCCCAGGCGTCTGTGTTGGCTCCTACTTCGAATTGTGGACACAGGACGGTGACTTTGCTTGCGAATCGGCCTGGGGTTTTGGTCGGGGTTGCTAATGTGACTTTCACGCTATCGAACAGTGGATTCTTGAAGGTTAGCAGGAATTGTACCGGTCTCATGGGCTGAAGCAGTGAGGATGCAGAAGATGTTGGTTGCAGAGGCTTTATGGAGATGGATGGTATGTAGTTCAAAGCTACAAGACGGATCCTAAAGCGTATTGTGGAGACTTTGCTTTCAGGTTTGGAGAGAATGTGACGACACGTCCTGCAGCGTTTTGAGCGTTTCGTTCGGAGGAGATAGGCTACGGGTCGTAACTCGGTGATGAATTGAGCGTTGGTGTTGAGGAACTCTGCTCGTTGGGAAGCGGATGATGTGCAGTGCCAGCCTTCAGTACGTAGCTTTGTGAGAGCTTCCTCTTCCTCAGATATAGTAGTGAGCTGAAGGCCTTCGAGCGCATCTTGAGCTTCTCGCATAGTGCCCGCTTTAGCTTTGACCTTCTTATCAAACGCCGTGCTTCCTGTATATAGACCCATGATCCGTGACAAAGCTCCTGGAGAACCATAGCCATAATCCCCAGTAAATCCCAACGCCGACGCAGGAGAAGCTTCTGCAAGCTGGCCCTGATAGAACGCCTTCAGATTCGAAAATTGACTCTCGGGATCCAGCTTCTCATTTGGATCCAAAGGCTCCCTGGGTATTTCAACCTCAGGCGTCTCTTCCCTCTCCTTCTCTGCAGAAGTACCAGAGAAATCCCTCTTCCTCTCACGATCCTTCTTTCGTTCTTTCGCTGTGAGTATCGGTTCTCCTCCATTCTTGACCCTTGCCAGTTGTGCGAATATCCCATTCGGCTTTTCGAACTCTATTCCGGTTTCTTTGGAGCTCCAAGAGCAGTATCCGCAGTTCAGGACGAAAGGGCCATTTTGGGGTGCGTATTCATATCCTAGACCGGTAGGTGGAGCTTCGAGGCTGCTGACGGAGAGAGGTGCGATGCATACTGGGCATTGGAAACAACTGCGCGTGCATCTGTCCCCTCTGATTAGCTTCTATATAGCTCGCAGATGTAAAGAGGGATATACCTATTTCCTTCCGCCTTGACACTGCTGCTCGGCACCTCAAAGAGACAATTCGGGCAGTACCATGTCACGATCTCATCTAATACACATCTCGGACATCGGATCTGGTGGCAGTCTTCACAGTAGAATAAGTGTTCGAGGGGGTATAAGCTATAGTTTGCTCGTGGAGCTCGCGGATCGAATGTTCGGTCATCGTCTGAGGAGGATGGCTCTTCTTGTGAGGGGTTTCGGTGGTTAGGCAGAGAGGCTTCGGTACAGGGACATTGAAAATAGGTGTAGGGCGTAAATGAGGACATGGTGGTTGAAGAGGATGTGGGGTTTGGGAGAGATGCTTTTTGGTTGTGGATTTATGGAAGACGCGCTAGACAGGGGTGGCGACGACGTGTTTTGCGACAAAGAGATCTGGGGAATTTCACTCATGAGACTTTGTATTTATCTCTTGAAGATTTGATCCTACGGAGAACGATATTTTCCTACTCCTACCCATTTTAAGTTTCAGTCTCTGAGCAGATGTCAGATATTATAAGTCAACTCGGACATTTTGAGCATATCCATCGACGAGAACATGACGAACATTGACACTCAACTAAATATTGTTTTCGTCCTGGATATTGAATTTAACTCGGTGTCTGACCTATTCCAAGAACATAGCATCGGTATTTTTTTATGTTTTGGAGAAAAGACTCCAGCTCATAGGGCACATTGTAATTCATTACAATTATTCAAATCATTTCTGGGCATCAAAAACTGAAAATCTACAGTGGCATCTCGATAATTGAGTTGAAGATCATTCTCCATTCTGAAACTATCCTTATACTAATACATTAAGCTTTAGAGATTATACAATATTCCGCCAGCCACTAATCCAATCTGAAACCCATCCAGGGTAGGTAGTCCAATAAAAATATAAGGGAGCGTAGGGTATCCGCAAAGTAGTTTGCTCCAGTTTTCGAAAAAAAAAAAATCCGCTTAAACTCCATCCATCCTATTCCAACAAAAGAAATGTTCGATTTGTTCTGTGTTCCTCCAATTTTATCGTTCAAGCTTTCAAATACGCCAACAATTCATCGTTGGCTGGTCCTCCACTTTTCTCTTCCCATTCGACTTTTATCTCTTTGGTGACGCGCATGACTTCGTCTTGAAGCTTCTCCATTGAGAGAGCGTCGGGAGTGGAGTCTTCATACACGCTTGCAGAGTAGGCAGTGCTGGATATACTCCCCATCCTGAGATGAGCTGGTGCAGTCATCGGCCTGTTGTAACTTTCAAGGAAATCCTTGACGGAAGCATCTGATCCTCGTCGACTCGACGACAAAGAAGTTGTAGGACTGTCAGCAGCATCTGTGTTCGACCATCTCGATGAAAGGTCCTCAACAGAAGACGTGCCTGAATCCGAGGAGTTCTTTCGGCGAGACGAATTATCGTCTGCAGATATTGGTTCGGCGGTGATGCTGACTTCGTTCGTGCCGTTACCGTAGCCGTGGACAAGGATCTCATGGTACGAGGCTCGTTGAGGTCGAGGATGGCGGAGTTCAGGCATGTTGCCGAGTGTGCTGAGCGCTCTTCTGACTGAGCTCTTCTTCGAGCTGTTTGTTCCGCCGGTGCTGATGGATCCATCACTGCCCTTGCGAACATGATCTGCCTTGTGGTGTTGCGCGAAATAGTCGATATCTGGCTTGATCTCAAGGGGCGTGACGGGGGCGGTTTGTGCAATTGGCTTCTCTTGGGCAAATTTAAAGTCTTCCTTCGTTTGATCTGTTTGCGTGCGGATCAACGTTTCGTATGGCCGCTCTCCCTTCCATGGTGGACATCCGGCCACAATGACACTGAGGCTATATGGGACATTCTGGGTATCTCGGACTTGCTCTGGCACTCTGGTTGCTGAGAGGAGTGTCTGCAAGATGGCATATACCAAGATCCAACGGACTTTTCTGGCATCGGTGAATGAGAGCTTGTCGTGCTTATCTGCTTTGCTGGGCGAGAAAATACAGTCCTTCTCGAAGCCTCGGTAAGCTCTAACAAGCGAGCACTCTAGAAGTGACTGGTTGCTGCGATTCGTCGCCTTAGACAGTGACGAGAAAGTAACTAAACGAGGATCAGGCTTCATCTTGTCCGCTTTTGGTGCGAAGCTAAATCGCCTGTTCAAAGCAGACCTCGGAGAAGCTGCCTCCTCTACCTCTGGCAGGAGAGGAAGTGGATGCATCAATGGAAGATATTTGTGTCGTAGATCAAAAGCTTGCACGTTTTGCCAAACGCAAATACCGCCTTGTTGTGAGATGGGAGGGCTGGTATCCTCAGCTGTGCAACTAGGATCCACCAGAAAGTCGTAAAGTTTCTGGAACTCGGTACACATCTGGCTGTAGATAGGCTTCGGGAAAGCTGCCGAGCCAGCTTCGGCAGAAGCTGGAGGATAGTACCCAAGCTTAGCAACATAATATGACTGGAGAAAGGAGCGGAACTTGTCGAGGTGAGATCGTGCACCGCTGGAAAGACCGAGATGCGCATCAGACAGGTCATCCGAGAGGAAGGCACTGAGCCTTCTGCCGCAAGAATCGAGTCGCATGTTCATTTCGAATCGAGATCGAGTCACGAGCGCGCGTGATGTTCTGCTCATGAACTGTAATATTGGTCAGTAAGTATCTCAAAACTTTTCCGTTTACCACATACATCAAATCCAGCACTAGCAGGCAATCTTTCATTCATGCCAGAGCAGTGAGCAAAAGCATCGATCCACAGGTCCTTGAAATGGAAATGCTCCGCGAAGAATAGAATAGCGAGAGCGTGATCGGGGCTGTTCCTCATATCCGCATATCCCTCCTCATCCATATAATCCATAATCGCCTCAATGTTGTCCTCGCCCAGCGACCTAAACTCCACCATACTGTTTAGGAGACCCACCAAAGCGCCCCCAAGATGGTTGCCAACCAGTGACTTTCCGAAGACCCACGCCAAAAGATTTCGTGTTGCGGTATGGTAAAGAAATGCTTCGCCTCGCTCTGCGTTTAGTGGCGCTGGTATGTAGAGCTCATATGTTTTCTTCTTGTCGTAGAAATATCCATCCTCGGAGCTGGATTGGGAAACAGGAGACTCGGCCGGATCCTCAACCAAGAACCTCTTGATTAATGGGTAGCAGTTTGTTGCAATCAACGCATCCATTGGTAGTTTGAAAGCAGGACCTCTCCTTGACTGTCCTCGTTCATATAAGTGAACCAGACAATTTCCATTTGGAAACCATAATTCGGGATCCTGATTGTGTCAATTGAAGACATTCACGTTTGTAGGTAATAATTAGAGACTTACTCTTCTCAGACCATCCCATTCTGTTGAGCTGCGCGCAGCTCCATCCCATCTTCTTACACTCATATCGCTAGCTGTCGACCCTAGAGTAGGAAGCTTTGATGACCGTCTGTGTTTCCACCCCAAAGGTCTTTCCGAGAAGCCCTTGTACAACGTGAAATTCGAGTTTGTCGAAGCTGGTCTTGAGATAGCTTTGCCAGTTGAAGCAAGCGAGGAAGTTCTGGTGGGGGTTTTTGGAGGGGTGCCAGCCATTGTTAAAGCCATGTTCAGACTAATGTTCATCCTGATCAATGCTAAGTCGGATATATTTTCCCTCTCCTACTGTGTGCCGTCACCAATTTTTCTCAGCGAGAGAATTGTTGATCGACAGTATGCGACGTCAGAAGGGAGCTGCCAGTGAGTGTTGGGGCGCTTTTAGTGCTTTAGGGGATCGTCCTGACAAGCGAAAAGCCCTCGGCGTGCAGTAACACCAATCAGGTCTCAATCGGAAGCCAATCCTGAGTAATAAGCTTAACGATAGCTGGAGATCTCAAATCGAGAAATCGAAATCATGAATTCAGGAGAAGGAGAGCAAGATGAAAGTTGATGGGGGGGAGGAATTGTTCGATTTCTTATAATATGCGCATGCAAATGTCTCAGCTGGGAATCCGTGTCTTTTTGCCCATGGGCGGACCCGCAAATGTACTATTGATAACAAAAGTCTACTATCAAGGTTTCTTGCAGCTTGCGGGGGTCCACGTCGACTCTGTGGGCTTGTGCTGCTCGAATCACAAAATTCTGGGTGTTGTGGCGTCAGCTGAGGGAGGGAGACAGCGGAGAGAAAGGGTCTAAAGCACGCCCCAAAGTGTTTCCCAGGATATGCCCGAGGGTGCATCGTTAGGGTATGCTCCATGGGTAGAGAACCTAGATTCTCCAGGAATGCCATTTTGGTTACTTTCCTTCCCAAAGCATCGTTCAGCCTCGCGGACCACTCCTCGGTGAGGGTTAATACATATTGGTGATAAGGGTTCGAGATCCTTTCCTTTTCGCATTTTCAATCAATATCAAAGTAGCAGGGTAGGATCGCAACATATCCAAAAGTCAGACCATACGCAAAAAAGAAAGACGTTCTTTAGCTTCTGGAAAGAAAGTTCCGGAGAAATACTCAGACATTGTCATAATTCCCGGAGGATAGGAGAGACTCTGGAGGCGAAAGTAACAGGAGGACTGAGCGACCATTCAAGCTCGAGCAAAGACAATCTCAAGGTTTCCACAAGAACTCCGAGCATTGGCGGCCCAGTGTGACTTTGGCAGCTTGAGATACTGCATCTGCATGTGTCCCTCAATGCATTCTCCCATCTCGTGGAACCAGTCAAAGCGTCTAAATCCCCGTGGATGGAGCCTTGATTGATCCACACAAGGGATGCCAGCTTGGATCGTGCAGATCGCAACATCATTGGTAACTGGAATCTGAGTTTAACCATGTACAGCCATTTCCCAATGCCCGATCGGGTCGGTCGTCCAGGATCGCACAGAACCAATCTTTCGGGCTGCGACTCTTCAGCACCACCATGCTGTGCATTAGCGAGAGCTGGATGAGTCGAGGACGGTCTCTTCGGCGCCCACGAGGATACAGCATGGCTGAGAGGCAAGAGACAACTTGCGGAGTAAGAGGAAGAGTCCAGAAGTCATGATGGCTTCACCGTTGAACTCACTAGAAGTTTCGCGGCCCTCTTCCGTTTGTGGGGCTCCATGTGAAGATGCAATACCAAATATTTAGAGAGTGCGGTGAGTCCGGAGACGGGAGACTGCAGGCGTGGTGGGCCTTGGCAAAGGTTGAAAAGATCCAGTGATACTCTGCACAACTGGCAGATCGAATGCAGATTGCCGTTTCTGCTGGTGGATTATTATGCGTCCCCGATTTTGTGGTTCATGGTGACTCGATTCCTGATGATTTGTGGACCAGCTTGAAACTTCGAAGCTCGAAGATATTGCGTCAGCGAGATAGAGCTTGTGAGTTGAGTGGGTGCGATCTTCACTGTAGTGCTCGGGAAGTCTACCAAGCGAGATCTACACGGCTTCCTCACAACCCGATTCAGATGTGTAAGTTTGCCATTTTTGATTGACTGGACCCTTATTTCTGGGAGGTTACACAGTCGTCATTGGGAGTGGCGATCTTTTTGCTGCCAACAGCGCCATGTCTTGTGGAATTATTAGTCGTGCTAGTCGTTGAATGCGACAGACTGACGATATCAAGACTCGAGTTTTGAGAGCTCGAGGAACCTGATGTCATTCGACCCGGACGTCCCCAACAATTATATTCCATCTCCGTGCCCTACCAGCTGTCTTAATTCGAAGGTTTCGGGATAAGATTTGCGCAATGCTCTACTGCAAGGCTCACTTCTCATTCACTCGAGCCTTGCGTCAATTATCCCCTGTGGTTGGTGGAGAGAGACAGCTTTTATCTTGCCTTGCACATGCTGGGCCGTCTCTTTTCTTCGTGAAGGAGGGTAAATCCTAGAATTACAGTTGATGATTGGCGTGGTGGTACCTATTTTGGTGCGTGGCAGTCATGCATGCGGCCATCGGTCAGCGAAGTCTTAGCTGCATACGAGCGCCCGAACGTTCCAAGAGGAAGACCATGAGTCCAACATACAAAAGATCAGAGCATCCAGCATGCTCTAAATGATTGACCTCATCACAATCTTTGTGCATTCTTTGGCTGTTTCAAATTGTCCGAGTGGTAGTTGGTCGAAAGGGATACCTTGTAGATTGTATGTATATCCACGCAAGCCTCATATCATAGCTTTGGAATACTGTCTTTTCCTTCGCCAGAGAGTGCCTTGCAACCTCCAAGGGCCGTAGGCTTTTCTTTACGGACCTGCGAAGTCAACAGAATGCGGAAGATCCTTCTGAGTTGATTCGGAGTGCGAAAGTTTGAAGAGAAACGAATGCGGAAATTCCTGCTCTGTTGACTGTTCGATCAGCATTGACAGCATCTGAATTTCGGTGAATGATTCATCCTGCGCTATCCAAGCATTCTAGGCATCTCGTGTTGTTTGCTTCAATGATATTCTCCTTCGTCCTGGCAATTCTGCTGGATGTGACGATAAGTCATTCCTGTCAGTATCCTCCCAGATATATCCCTTCTGAGCACTCCAGTCGTGTTGCACAACGGATCCAATGTTTCGAGGAACGAGCGCCTAGGGTTTCCTTTGATTGTTTTGAGCGAATTTTATCTTATCGAAGTGCATTTCAGAATTTCTGAAATAACGAAGATAGACGCAAACATGAGTGTTGTTGCTGGCTGGCAATCATGTCCTCAAGTGGAATGCAAAGCATGGAGCAAATTTTCGCTGGTACTCAAATACAACGGCGCTGGATCCAAATTAGTTGATGATATTTGTCGAGCAAGCAGCTGCAGACGGAGTGTTAAGGACTGCAAACCCTCATAGCAGAATATGGTAGAACACCAATGAGCATGCAGAAAGGAGAAGATAGGATCCATAACGCGACCCGAAAGGACTGCAGGAAAGTGGAGCGCATGTAAATCGGCAGCGAGTATTGTTTCTTACAGTAGAATTCCGAGCTTTCAGTTATTGATAGACAAATTAAAAATGGGTGGTATAAAATTTGTTCAGATACACAATGAGATGTGGTGAAGCATAAACTTATAGCTTCCAAGTTTTATCTGTTTTTAATCGTCTTATGCAACTCCTGAGTTTGTAAGAAGAAGTTGGAGCTTTGTTTCCAATGTCCAGGAGCGACCGGTGAACGCAGGTGAGTTTCCAACTTCAAGCCTTTGTGTTGAGAATCATTCGAGTAGGATCTTTGAACAAGTATATGTTAACTCTAACGTGCATGTAGGTCGTTCGTGCGGATAACAGTACGACAGTGAAGTCTGGATGCTTGAGACATGCTCTTCACCGGCTGAGAGAAGGTGTCGCATTACCAGGAATCTGATAACCAATGATTTCGTGGTCGCGGAGGGCCAAGATTGCGAAAGTTTTATATAAGAGCTCTGAGGCACCTTTTTAACTGTTTGTATATCTTAATTCAACGCAACTTTCAAAACCGTGTAAGGTTTCAACAACCCCTCATGTACAGCAGCAGAAACTTTATATAGAAAACAAAACTGTGACCCCAGATTTTGCCCCTCGCTCCTTCCGAGATTGAGCCGGTATAGTACTAGTTCCGGATAAATTGACGGCCCGATATAACCTTACCGTAAACCTCAACCTTGACTCTATCTCGACGCTCGAGATCTTCTGCGACTGTCAGGGTCAACAACGCATTCGCTCGACTACAAGCAGTTCTGGGAACATCTTCTACAAGAATTACGCGTTGGGTTAGATTCCCTCCTCTTCGATTTCCGATGCGCTCAATTCTCCAGCCAGCAGCCCACTCATTTCCACTTCACCCTTAAGGCCTACACGCGCCGAGCCCCACCAGCAAACCTCAAAGCGAGCGAGCGCGCAAACTTGCAGTGACAAAGATAAACCCAAGCAACATGTCGCCTGTGGCAGACACTCCACGACGACCGGCTTCCAGCAGAGCGCGCAGTACGCGTCCTAAGCCTGCTTCAGCTCCTGACAAATCAGGCGCGGCGAATCCCTCCTCCGAGCCTCCTCCCAAGAAAAGAAGATACATCCCAGGTGGTCCAGGTGGTGGAGGACGATACGTTGACGAAGACGGTACAGAAATACCGGTAGGGGGCACTGGCCCTGGAGGATACAACTACATAGGCCCAAGGGGACGTATTGGTCGCCAGAACGCCGCCATGGGCATAGTTCCCCAAATCTACCACAGAAGAGATCGGAGTACAAGAACTCGAACGGTCCTTCCCCGTTCACAACAACCGCCTATGAGGTTCAGCTCTGCCGCTCAGGTCGCCGCGGTTGTGCAAAGTGATGGATATAAGCCACGAGAAGAACGTGCCTGGGAGGAATTCCACCCCAACCTAGATATCGATGCAGCACTTCGTGCCTTCAGCGCAGCTGAGGTTGAAGGCATTGAAGAATCGAGACCTGTTACCCCTGGAGCCCCACAGTCAGGGGAAGGTTCCACCAACGGCCTTCGCACTCCAAATGGCATCGAAGGCACCAAGACGAAGAGTGAAGGTGCGCCAACTCCTACCGGATCTTTGAATGGTGACCTCTTGACCCTCGCCATACCTGGAACTCCTGGTGGTGGCAAGAGAAGACCCGGGCGACCGCCTAAAGACCCAGTTGCGTTCTTTGCTGCTCGAGCGGCGAAACTTGGAAAGGGTCTCAGCCCCAGTTCTAGCACACCAAAGGCCATCAAGATAATGCCCCCAGTGACCAATATAAACGCCAAAGAAAGATTAACTTTGCCACAACCTTCATACAGAAAGACTGATACCCTTGCTCGCTTTGAAGATAAAGCTTTAGGACTAGTGCGATATGTGGACAAATCAATGGCCAATGTAGGATACCAAGAAAGCGATATCTTTGTGCGTCCGGAACGTACTCTCATCAAAGTTTCTGACGGAAACTTGGACGAGGATCTGGATCTTGGCCCTGGATACAAGGGTGATGGTGAAGCCATCGTGACTCTTGGAAGTGGTGGTGTCGGCCGAGTTGAATATGACATGGACGAACAAGACGATAGATGGTTGGAAACCTATAATGCTGAGCGGAAAGCATTGGATTTCGAGCCAATCACACGAGAGATATTCGAGATCACGATCACGAAGATCGAGAAGGAATGGCACGCGCTAGAGAAGCGCATACCAAAACCAAATCCTAAACCACCACAAACTCATCGACCCAGATCTAGTTCAGCTGCTGCTGTCAATGGTGAGCCTCAGGTTGGCGAAGAACAGGACAGCAAATGTGCTATTTGCGACGATGGGGACTGTGAAAACACGAATGCCATCGTCTTCTGTGACGGCTGCGATTTAGCTGTGCATCAAGAGTGTTATGGTGTTCCTTTCATTCCAGAAGGTCAATGGTTATGCCGCAAATGCCAATTAATTGGGAGAGGCATTCCGGTATGTAAAGTCTTTGTTTCTTTGCGACGGTCGCTAACCATCATCAGACATGCATCTTCTGTCCAAATACCGATGGCGCATTCAAACAGACAAATGCTTCCAAATGGGCACATTTACTCTGTGCCATGTGGATTCCAGAAGTCTCCCTTGGCAACCACACTTTCATGGAACCAGTTATGGAAGTTGAAAAGGTACCGAAGAATCGATGGAGATTAACCTGCTACTTGTGCAATCAGAAGATGGGAGCTTGCATTCAGTGTGGTAACAAAGCCTGCTACCAAGCTTTCCATGTCACATGTGCAAGAAGAGCTCGACTCTTTTTGAAGATGAAAAACCAGCATGGCACTCTGGCTGTCCTCGACGGTTCCACTGTTTTGAAAGCATTCTGTGACAAGCACTGCCCCTCTGATTATGCCAAGGAGAACGACGTTGCTCGTGCCGCCCGGGATGCCAGAAACTTCTACAAGCGGACGATGCGTGGACGACTCTGGGCTGATAGTCAAGCTTCAGCTCTTGCGATGGCTGCTACCCATCGGCATGCTGTCACTGAACACCAACCTGATGAATCACAACTCACTGGTGCGAAAGTTGCATTGACTCTCAGTGACAACAAGAAGAAAGGGAACCAACCTCAAAAGTCAATCTGGAAACTTCCTTCGGGAGCGCCTGTCATTCCAAAGTACTGCTTTGATAATGTCGAGAAGTCCCTTCAGCGATTTACAATCCATAAGCGTAAGGATTATGCTGCTGACGCATGTCGTTACTGGACCTTGAAGCGAGAAGCCCGCCGTGGTGCAGCTTTACTCAAACGCCTGCAACTACAAATGGAAACATTCTCTTCCATGGAGATTACTCGCAGAAACTTCGCAGGCATGGGCCATGCTGGTCGACCGAGACTTCAAAGACGCATCGAATTCGCACAGAATCTGGTACAAGACTTGGAAAAGTTAAAAGTTCTTGCCGACGATATTGTCTTGCGTGAAGCAGAGAAGATGAATGGAGTCCGATTGGAGGTTGACGTCGTGGATACGGTTTATTTCCCTGTTGCCAAGTTCTTACCTCCTGTGCTTGATAAGTCTCTCGTGTACGTTGACATTCCTCCCCTCCATACATCTACTAACCGATACTAGACTTGATATTAAATTGGTCTTCACGGATGCTTTGCTCAAGCTCCAAGGAAGAGTCGATGGTCGCTTCTACACCACTGCAACGTCATTTTCACATGACTTTAGCGAAGTATTCCGACATGGAATTATCAACGAACCAGTTCCCAAGCCGGAAACGGCAGCTTCCAAAGAACTCGAGAGATCATCTAACATCAAGAAGACTCCACTGGATATGAAAGAGCGTCGACGACTAGCCAAGAGAATAGTCAAAGCTGTCCAGCCACTTCTAGAAGCTGCAGTTCGCGCTGAGGCTGAGATCAGTAGTAAACCAGTGGACCGAGAGATCAAGCTTCTGGAACAATTACTTGACTCCTGTTTACAAGCAGGTAACGACTCACTTTCCGTGTCTCTGGGTGATGGTTCTGTTGGCGAACGTGAAGTCGAGCACGATGCTGAATTGGCTGAGTCTAATGGAAATGGCACCATCCACGTGAATGGGGACTCGACTGAGACTATTGATGAGCACGATAAGGGCGACTCTGCCGATGTGGATATGCAGGATGATAATGCTCCAGGCGAAGACGAAAACACGATCGTGGCTGCAACTCCTGCTGATGACACCATTGATACTGGTCCTGTTACTCGGGCCAACAAGAGCTCCCCATCAAAGGCCAGTGTCACAAAATCTACCAATACACCTCCTGACACGAACGGCTATGTGCAAGCTCCTGAGGTTGTACAACCTGCTCCTCCAACACCACCAGTCTCAAATGGTGATACCAACACGGATGCCGACATTCTGACCAATGGTGGTATTCCTTGGTACGTCAAGGATTTCGAGCCAGAAGGAACCAGTCTTATTCCGGGCAAAGATGCCATGTCGAGTTTCAGCGAGGAGCTCAGCGAAATGGATGAGGATGATCTTAGAGGCCTAGGAGCAGATGTGGCTGCTGGAGAAGCTGCTGGAGCTGTCATTGCTAGTCCCACAAAGCCGAAGAAAAGCAAAGCCAAGAAGAAAGGAAAGGGCAGACGATGAATTTGAAGCTAAGAAAACGATGGAGGCGAGCCTTTTTCGTTGAGATGTATTTGATACTGTATCATAGATCTCCGCGCCGCTATTCAATACCCGGAGTATGGTGCTTTGGGGTCATGGAGTCCTTTGATATCGGTGGATCACTTGGTCTGCTTTGCTCGCTTTTCCGGAGGATGCCACATGAAGCTATAATTTTGTAGTCAACGTACCTTGTAGTATTACTTTAGCTTAGTCGAGAGGGCTCGAAATCGCGTGAATTTCAATGGATCAAGCTTCTCAAGAATCCCCTTTTATAAGTGCATGCATCAAAATGTTCCGTCTCATGTTAATAATGTTTATCACGTCCTCTTCTCGAGTTTGAGGCTTTTCCTTTTTGATGATTTGATTGGTGGATAAACTCCCACTTCGGCCGCTGACCGCGATCGGATGGCAGAACTTCCCAAGCTTTAATTTTTACGATTTTGCAAACAAGCCTCTTCATACGGACAATATCCTGTCTTGAAGGGACTCGATTGAGTTGTTTGCGTGGGTCTTGGGACCGGAGCAGATGGTGGGTTGTCATTCTGATTCGCCGTTTTACGCCATCGTTGAGATGTTTTACTCTCGTGGCTTGAGGTGGACGTAGTGCGCAGTTTGGAATCTCTATATAAGAACCACTGTCTTCGTCCTTCTCTTCTTCCTCTGATCCTTTTCCTCTCATCCTTTTCTATTCTTCTTTCGTTCTTCGAAATCAAGTGACAGCTCCACCCTCGCCTCATCTCTCATCACACAACACAAAATGGTCTACCCCGAAACCTTTTCAGGCTTCCAAATCGAAGACCCCAAGAAATGGACTGAATTCCACCTCAACGAATTCAAACCAAAACCATTCGGGGATCACGACGTTGATATCAAGATCTTGGCTTGTGGTGTTTGTGCGAGTGATTTGCATACCATAAGTGGAGGGTGGGGAGAGCAGCATTTTCCGCTTTGTGTTGGTCACGGTATTTCTTCTTTGGTCCTGAGAAGGTTTTTGGTGCTTGAAAGGCCATGGAGAGGTAGACTTGGAGGACATGGTTTGGTTGGAGTTCAATGATGAGGGCGAGTAAAGTGCTTGCATAAGCTTGCGATACTTCAACCTTGAGCTTTTGACTTAAGTACAATTGAATTTTGTGGTAGTATCTCATTAAGACCATTTCCAATTGAAGGGTCGTAGTTCCCACATGCTTATTTCCTTTGTAAAAATGGAGCTGTAGCTGAAGTTGTGCACCTAGTCGCCACTTGTGAAGTGCGGATTCCCAGGCAACAGAAGGATTCCTTGGCAGACGTCTCGTGGTACACCCAAACCCCAAATGCTTGGTTCCCAACTCCAAGTGTTAGTGCACAACGCCGCATAAGTCGTCGATCACTGCATGGAAGCGCAGGGCTGAGTGCAATTCCAGTTTCTCCTTCCGGCTACTGCATCTTGAATAGAATCGTGATTGGCCGACTTCAGCGTCAGAGCATGGTGATCGCTGCCGGACTCCGCCATGGCAGCTTCCTTCTCGCTTCTCACTCAGCCTTGCAATACGATGACGATCTTCTTCACGTACACTTGAAACTAAACATGCTTGTCGAGAAAGTATATAGCAAGCATGCATATCCCCGAAAGAGCTCGAAGACAATAACTTAACATTAAAAAATCATCATGTCGACCTACGCATTTAGTATACAGTCAAGCCAGACATTAGTAAATGAGAAAGCTCCTCCTCCTTCGTATGAGGTCGCTGCTTCTCAAGATGGTTCTCAAGACTTGAAGGCTTTCCCTCAAGCCCCGGCACAGGTACGTCAATTCCATTGATTGACTCAAGATGTTCTCCCACATTTCTTAAGACAGATCAAGAGATCTAAATCCCAAGATTTCAATTGATTCTCTGAACATCTCTATACAAATCTGCACTCCCTTCAAGATCCTCACACTAACACATGAAAAGCCAACACCCTTCCGCTTCCCCCAAAACTTCGGATTCTACCACGCCTCCGGCTCCTTCTCAGACCTAGTCATCGCCTCCCAAAAAGACGACCCAAACCCCCTCTTCTACATCAGCACCCACGGCGGCTTTTCTTCCCAACCCTCAGTCGTCCTGCACTCCTCCCGCTTCTCCACCTCCCCACCCCTCGCAACAGCAGACTTCCACTCCTTCTCCTCCACCATCGACATGTCTCTTTACCTCCCCGGCTCCCCCAACCAAATCTCGTCCATGGAGAGCTCCGGCGCATTTACCTACACGCGACGATTCAGCGCCCGGATGCCGTCCGGCGGAAAGGAGGCTTTTGAGTGGAAGAATAGTCAGGGTGTGGAAGTGCAGTCATTGCATGGGAGGGGTCATGGGAAGAAGTGTATCAGGGTTGCGACGGGAGAGGTGGTGGCTGCGTTTACGCATCCGGATATGAGTCGGAATAAGAAGGGCAAGATGGCTTTCTTGGGGGATAGGGCGGGGCTTGGGGAGGGGTTTGAGGTTTTGTGTGTTATGGCTATGCTTGCTATTATGGAGAAAGAGAGGAGGGCGAAGAGGAGTAGGAATGGTGCTGTTGCTGGTGGCGCGGGAGCGAGTGCCGGAGGTGGTGGATGTTAGTGTTTGGATAGGTGTGAGAGTTTATATATACCCGAATTTGATTCTTTCGTTTCTTTCTCGTCTATGTATATACCAGGTGCCAATACTTTAACAGCAAGTCGTTTTGATAACACAGCTAGTCCATCATTCAGAGGACTTGCAACCCAAGTCTGGCAGAGCTCATAGCAAAGCTACAAGAATTGTCTGGCTCATCAACTTTTCGAAAGTCTTCAGCAGTTCGCGCGAAGGTCTCGTCCACAGTCAACCACATTCAGTCGAGTATCGATCTTGATAACACGCTCTGCCATGCTTGCAAAGGGATTGATTCAAATTTTCGTTTGAAACGAGTCTGAGATAGTTCTTTCTCACTCACATTTTTTTGCTCCAACGTGGAAACTTGGCTTGTGATTCGTTCAAGCACGATGGGCGCAATTCGCACATATCGCGCGAATCGCGCAAGTAGCGCAGATTGCGGAGTTATCGAACATGTTCAATACGAACAGTCCATCTAGATTGACAGTGCAACATCTATGGTTTATTGATCTCTTTTTAGCGTCTAACATCTCCATGAATCGTAAGCTAGACTATGGACGCATTACCTGAGTTCACTAAACATTTTCAGACGCTTTCTCAGAATGCTCAAACGAGTCTTGATCATGCTCACCACCCATCTTCTTGCCCACCTGAGCCTGAGGACTTGACAATGACATGTGGTGCGTGGCCAATACATCACCCTGTGCTCTGTATGCCTGCTCCATCTTGGAATACAGTGGACTTCTCATCGCGAACATGGCCTCGATTGATTCGAGTGAGCGATTCGCCGTCTCGGGGTAAAAGAAAAAGACGATCGGGATCCAGAGAAGATTGAGGCCAGCGAAGAGGAAGTAGGTCCGCGACGCCAAATTAGCGAACATGACGGGATTAACAAGGGTCGTCCATCCTACTCCAATTGCCCATCCAGTGATGCCAAATCCATTACCTTGCGCTCTCATTTCTGAGGGGAATATCTCGGTTGGAATCAGGAAAGCGACAGTGCCCCATGTAGCAGCGTAGATTAAGTTGAAAAGAAACAACATGGCGACGGCTGCAGGGGCAAAGGAGGATGCCTTGGAAGGGTCGTGGAGTGATCCCTCGTATACGGAGGCTGCGATCAAGTTGACGATGAAGAGACCAAGTGCACCGCCCATCAAGCATCGCCTACGTCCAAGTTTGTCGACAATTTGAGCACTGATGATAGTACCGACTGCAAGGTGTTAATTCAGTTGCAGCAGAGCTGCAAGGGGACTCACTTATGCCGATTGTGTTGATTCCTCCAGCCAAGCCGGCTTGCTTGATGGTGCCGTAGCCAGCTTGCTTTAAAAGGACGGGAGAGTATGCTGTGACTGCAGTTATTCCAGTCCAAGAAGCCATAATCTGCAGCCAAAGGCAAAGCCATGCACGTCTACCAAGATGCGCTCCATTTGTAGCACGTCCCAGGAGGACTTTGATGAACTGTGTAGGCGAACTGGGCTTCGTTCCTTCAGCAACAGCACAAATCTAAATGTAAGAAGTCAGCATCGACCTACCAATGGACCGATGATGGATGTCTTGCCTCGAGAAATTCTTTGTCAACTTCAGGTCCAGTGTTCCCTCGTACGTGCTCAAGCACCTGGAACACAATCAGTATTTTCACTACAATAAAGCAAATATCGCGCTTACCTCTTTGGCTTCTTCAAACTTGCCGACTGAAGCCAAATATCGAGGAGAATCGGGAAGGAATTTGATCCCAGCAAGCAAAAGGAGTGCTGGAAAGCACTGGAAAGCCAGGAGGAAGCGCCACCTGACTGCAGACATGCCATTATCCACAAACGAAAGCCCAAAATCTTCATCGGTTAGTTTTTTTATCCTACAGGGTGATTGAAAAGGGGAACTTACCAAGCCAGTATGCGATACTGATTCCTAGATAGTTTGCGATGAACACATATCCAAGGAAGCCTCCGCGATGGCCGGCCGAGGATATCTCCGCAATGTAAACGGGGACAATAGCAGTAAGTGCACCTGTCCCAAGTCCAGTGACAACTCGAGCGACCAGTATGAAGTCAGAGGACTGAGTAGCAGACTGTAGAGCACCACCGATGAGAGCGAAGATAGCAGCAAAGAAGACGCCATTAATACGCCCAACTCTATCTGCAACCCAGCCACCACCAAAAGCTCCCACAATTGCGCCAAGGTAGTATATGGATACAATACCGCCTTGATGGAAAGTGTTTGTGACTGTTCCATCAGGGAGACCAATGCCAACTTCTGTCACATAGTTGGGACTAGCATTCACCTACATCATGGTCCGGTTAGGATTTGTGTCTCTTCAAATGCAAGTATAGATTCCGTTACTGACACCTCCCATCACTCCTTGGTCATATCCCTCAAAAAATATGGCAATCAAACTGAATGTCTGTATGAATATTGCGAGTTTTGTCCTCGACCTGCAACGTTCTGGAGTTAGGCATGGCTCTTCAAGATAAGAATTCTCAAAGGGACGTACAACTTCTTCCAGAATGTGCCCAAAGCCATGGTAATATATTGGTGAACGAGAGCACAAAGAAAAGCTATGTTCGATGGCGTCTCGAATATGCAAAATTCAGATCTTTGCTTGGTGAGAAAGTCAAGGGGGCAGAGGAGGCTTTTAAGTATCCCAAATTTTAAGAAGTCGCTCCTTCCAAGAAGAGCGTCCAAGATCCCTCCCCATGTTCTTCCAGTCAGGTGTCCAGACCCGAAACGTTGGTCTCTAACCCGCCACTTCCCCAGGCTTTGCTACTTTCTCCGCAATTACAATGCGGGAATAAAGAGAAGTGGAATTTCACCCATGTCAAGATGCAAAAACGCTGATTTTCTTAAAAGGCTAAAAGCCTAGACTGGACTGTGCAAGCGTGTAAGCATGTAACCGTCGGCTGGGTTAACATGAAAAATCAATTATCACTGGCCAAAGGCTCGGGGATAGAACTCCACAGCTTAAAAGGCTTTTATCAATACATCTCGATTCCAATATGCGCGTGGCTTTCTATTTACTTCAGCTGTTATTCCCAGCATTTGAAATCATGAAGATTCTTCTGTCTCCTCGGAAAGTTTGGCGGACGAACGGCTCCATTTCTTTGCTCCGTCGCAAATTTCTAAAGAGTGAAGTCAATCTCTGGGGAAGGCATATTTAAAGTTCCCGCATCTGGTCGTTTGTGCATAGTTCTCTCAGCGATTTATCACTTTTCAATCATGCCTTCTGCCACAACAAATGGCGACAGCAATAGGCATTCCAACGGTCATTCGAATGTGAACAATGGATCAGCAATGCAAGGTCTTGATTTAACGGTGCTTGGATTGAACAGTGGTACCTCCATGGTAAGGATTATCATACTTGAAAATCAAGTAAAGACTGACAGTAACAGGATGGTATCGACTGCGCTCTGTGCCGATTTCGACAAGAAACGCCCACCTCGCCAATGCATTTTGAGCTTCTCAAATATGACGAAATCCCCTTGGAACAAATGATCAAAAAGAGAGTCATGAAAATGATCCTGCACAATACCACTACGCCCGAAGAACTCAGTGAAGTCAATGTCTTGCTCGGGGAAACTTTTGCATCTGCTGTCAAGCAGTTCACGAAGGAGAATAATCTTCAGCTTTCGGATATCGACGCACTAGGATCTCATGGTCAAACAATTTGGCTTCTTTCTATGCCTGAAGAAGGCCAAGTCAAATCTGCCCTGACAATGGCGGAAGGTTCCATACTCGCTGCACGGACTGGCATCACTTCAGTGACCGATTTTCGGATATCTGATCAAGCAGCCGGTCGGCAGGGTGCTCCACTCATAGCCTTCTTCGATGCCCTCCTCCTCCATCATCCCACAAAGCTGCGTGCTTGTCAAAATATTGGTGGCATCGCAAATGTTTGCTTCATTCCACCAGATAGCGAGGGTGGCGTTGACGAATGTTTCGACTTCGACACGGGGCCGGGTAATGTCTTTATCGATGCCGTTGTTCGTCATTATACCAATGGAGAGCAGGAGTATGACAAAGACGGTGCGATGGGCAAGAGAGGCCGTGTTGATCAGGAGCTCGTCGATGACTTCTTGACGCACAAGTATTTCCAATTGGAGCCTCCAAAGACTACTGGCCGTGAAGTCTTCCGAGATACTCTAGCATTTGAATTTATTGAGAAAGCGGAAAAGAAAGGACTGAGCCCTGATGATGTGGTAGCAAGTATCACCAGAGTTACTGCACAAGCGATTGTTGAGCATTACAGGAGGTATGCACCCTCTCAGAACATCGACGAGATCTTCATGTGCGGTGGAGGAGCCTACAACCCAAACATTACAGCATTTATCCAGAAGAGCTACCCAAATACCAAAATCATGATGCTTGGTGAGGCCGGGATTCCTGGAGCAGCGAAAGAAGCAATCACTTTTGCGTGGCAAGGAATGGAAGCTATTGTTGGGCGGTCAATACCTGTTCCCACGAGGGTGGAGACGAGAGCTGAATTCGTGCTGGGTAAAGTCTCTCCTGGGAAGAATTACAGAGAGGTCATGAGAAAAGGGATGATGTTTGGGGGAAGTGCTGATCATCTTGCTCCTGTAAAAGAGCTTGTTAATTATGTGGATGGAAAGATTTTCGATAACATATGGTAATTACGGATAGAATTCAGCGAGAAGGGTCGAAGGCGTATTAGGAATTAGGAATATATATTTCGTGTCTTGAATTACTTTGAACTTTCTGTGGAATTATGCATCTTCTTTCTAATTAGTTTCGTAAAATACCTCCATCCCTCAAGACCATAGGCGAGCGAACCTATCAGGATCGAGTCATATAAGTGGCAACCGAGACGCTCGCTGAATCGCTGGTAAACAAGCCTGAGCGCGACGATGACGGTGACGCCTTCCACACATTTCCCAAAGATGCAACAAACGCAATTTTGACCCCAATCACTTCTATGCGCAAAACGCCAGGATTTATCGAGCAAATATAATATAATCGATGAGATTCAATGTCAGACCCAGTCTCCGTACCAAAGAAACGAAGACGTATCTCAAGAGCTTGTGACTTCTGCAACAGACGCAGTATCCGATGCAGGCCGAGTCAAGAGGATAGCGATCGATGTCAGAACTGCGTAGATTTCGGCGTCGACTGCACTTACAAGCGGCCAATGAAGAGAAGAGGAAAACCCCAGCAAAGCACTCACTCTCAACTTGATGAATCAACTGGCGAGCACCAGGAACTCTTACCGATATTACCGCCAACGAATCTGCAAAAAAACCACAATGCAATCTATGGCGCGTCATATGAGAGCCCAAGACCTAGGCTAGAGGTCAAATTCTCTTTTGAATTGAGTGAAGATCATCAGGAGATGGTTCGAAATAATCTTGCGAAGATTCAAGACCTTGTCACTGTTTACTTCGAAGTTGTATATCCAATGTGAGTGGTGCTAAATCAGGCTTATTCGACTCTTGAATTGGTATTGAAGGCATAGCTTCCAAATGGATATGCCCTAATATAAGCTCTCTTGCTGCTGAAGAAACAGATGCTTCCTTGAAAGATGTCTGACAGTACCAGATTCCCGTTCTTCCACAGACCAACCCTCCTCCGCAAAATCAGCACTCGAGAATACCTATCCGACAAGGCACAATTCGCTATGACAATGGCAATATGTGCTTTGGCATCTGCTCGAGCACGTGATGGAGCCCTATATCCTTCCAAATGGAACCCAGACTACCTCCGAGAACCTGCATCCGAGCTTTTCTCTGATGCTGCCAAAGCTGTCCTCCCTTTAGACTGGAGTGTTATGCCTTGTCTTGACTGGATGCGGACGTGTGCAGTGTTAGCCCTTGTTGGAATACAGCTTGGCAATATTAAGATGATGCATCAATATCTGGGTATATACCATACGCTCGTTGCAATGGACGGACTTCACGATGAGAAGAATTGGCCTAAAAATATTGACATGGTCGAAGTTGAAGAGCGTAGAAGGCTGGTTAGTTCCTCCACATCCAGCAAGCTCAACTACTCACTCTTCTAAGTTTTGGTCTATCTACACTCTGGAGGTCTACTCATCCATTGTCTGGGGCGGCATGATTCGCTGCCGTGAAGCTCAATCTCGAGTTCAATATCCAAGCGAACTCGACGATGAGATGTTCTCTTCGACAGGCATCGAAAACCATCCCAGCTCTCCTACAACACGACAACTAAATTCATTTCCCATGCCCGTCATCGCCGACACCAGCTCTTGGCTCCGGGGATGGAACTTTACCACAGAACTGTACCGGATCCTGGAGCATGCCATGGATGAGTTCCATCGCCGTCGACCACAGAGCATTGGACCACTCTCACCATCCGATCTATTCCAACAGAGCGCTCCGCCTCAGTCTGTGGTGCTTGACAAGATTATCCTCATGCATGACAATTTACCGGCTAGATTCAAGGAGACGAGAAGTGTCGTAGGTGAAATGACGGCTGATAGATATAGCTTCCAAGCAGCCAACATTTCAGCCACGCTCCAGGTGAGTCCCTTGTCTTTCTCTACGCGTATGTATTAACCAGATCAGCTGGCGCGCATGGTACTATTTACAGCAGAGGACGCCACACTTGAACAAAAATGCGTCATTGCAAGAGAACTCCTAGATGACTTTGCGAACATTCCCATCTTCTTTCTGAAAGCAATTTCATCGCCTCTCCTGCACCATCTTGCCGGAATTGGTGCAATTCTAGGGTCTGTCATCGAGGGACAACTATCACTTTCCGAGTATTTTCAAGTTCGTACAGTATTGTGAGTAGATTACATGTCATCTCCATTCAAATGAAGATGCTGATGCCAGACTAGATTGCGGATGGCAGATCTTCTAGCGAGTCTCGAAGTATCATTAACTCAAAAAGCAGGTGCCAGCGAGCGCTTGCGTACCTTACTCGCTCGGATTGACCAGTACATGAGTACTCAGCATCTACAAGAACTTCCTCTTGCGATGCCGGACGTCCCCCAACAACAAGGAGTCGAATGGGACGGAGGCGCGCAGAGGAATTTTGATGGCGGTAGTGTCCCTGGAATGGATGCATCGTTTCAACTGCCACAGGAGCTGCTGGTAGATTGGCCTTGGCCTCTGGATCTTACTCAAGGATTTGGAAATTTCCGGGGCATTTGATTGGGAGTATTTTTCAACCATCGATCTCATATATTGCAATATAAACCCATTCACATGATGCAGCGAAATGTCAAAGGACCTCCGCAAGTAGGTGTCTAGGTAGGGCCTGAAGTTACTCCACTTTAACACTTTTCTATACATGTACCTGTACTGAGATTGTTACTCGGGACACCCGGTACTTTTTGAAAAGGAAAAAGAAATCTCAAAATAACTTGATGCTGACAGAATTAAAGCAGACCATTCTCTGCGGAAACGGATGCTTCAATCAAAACCCCCTCTCTCCACTTTGTGCTTGTTTGCTTACTCACAAGTCCTCCACTTCATCAAAGTTCCTCACAAACAGCGTAAACCACTTCACAGCATTAACATGATTCTCCACCGAAGCCTTCTCATTAATCGTATGAATACCTCCCAAACCCGCCTCATCATCCCGATCATATCCGGGCGCAAAGCGAAAAAGATGTTTCGACAGATCCCAAAAGAAGCGTGTGTCAGTGTTCCCAGTCATGATTCCTGGCGTGACGATTACTTCCTCTCCGTACACGGCTCGGACGGTGGCGGCGAGGATGGAGAAGGGACTTGTGACTGAGCCGTCGGATGGTGTAACGGGCGCGGGGTCGAGTATGCCGTTGTGGGCTAGACTGATGGAGGACGCTTCTTCGATGTTGTCGAATGCATGGAGGGTTAAGTTGTGTTTTGAGGACACGTGGGCAGCGACTTTGGTGAGGTGATCGAAGATCACCTGGGCAGTTTCGCCTACTGTTTAGGGAGTCAATATGATGTATATGAAAGTCTAAGGTATCAAAGTATATGGTTCAGAGAAGTGAACGTTAGAGATGACATTTTTTTCGCTTAGAGGTTTGAAAGGGAGGAAGACACGTACCATTGATCCGATGATTGATAATTGCTTGGGCGCGCTCTGGCAAAGCATTGACTTTGACGCCTCCAGAAATGATATCTACAGCTTGCGAAGTCTGCAACAGATACTTAATGCTTGCACCTTGTTTAGCCGCTTCCAACGCAAGCGGATCATGATGAGCCGCGCCAGTGCCACGAGATTGCAGCCGTTCATCGAGAAGTTTCTTCAGCTTGGGATCAAACTTAGGCGAATAAGCAGCTCCACATTGGAGTTGAGTAAAGTACGGATTCTCATCGTACAGCTTAGTCCGGTATTGCGTGGATTCGATCAGATAAACCAGCTCGCTGAGAATACCGATACTGGTATGGTCATGTGGAATCGAAGAGTGGCCGCCAGGTGAGCGAACGGTAATGACAACATTAGTTGATCCTTTCTCAGCGGCCCCAGGCTTCGCAAAGAGAGTTCCCCAAGCTTCCTCAAACCCTGCTCCTTCATCGACGACAACGGCGAGACCATCGTCTCCATACCGTTCATGGAGCACAGCCGAGATATTTCCCGCTCCGTGGAAACCGTGCGTTTCTTCGTCGAAACCGTATGAGAGTAAGATTGTACGTTTAGGCTCAAATTTAGCCGCAAGAAGTAATTCGACAGTTTCTAAAGTCGCAACAAGCTGGTTTTTACAGTCGCTTGAGCCACGGCCCCAGATGTATTTCCCATCATAGGCACCGCTCCAGGGTGGGTATTCCCACGATGCAATCTGAATGGTACTAGTCAGCGTTGAGTGTTAGGAGGAAAGTCATACTCACAGTATCAGATGGCACAGGAACTGTATCCTGATGAGCCATGAGGGTAGTAGGTTTCAGATCAGCATTGCTACCCTGCCAAGTATAGAGCAGTCCAAAAGTGTTGACCTTTTCCACCTTTAACGTTTCATGAACGAGTGGAAAGGTCTTTTCAAGATAATCATGAAAGCCATAGAAGACATCCCATCGTTTATCGACCCCGATTTCACCTAGATCATCAAACGTCTCAGTCTTGATTTTCACGGCGTTGGAAAGACGCTCGATGGTGGCATTTTTGAAGGCCAGGCTGGAGATGTAGTCGAATGCTTTCGACAGGTCGGGATTGTCTTCCGGGAAGAGGGCAGCGGGTTGAACACACCGTGCTGCGTAATTCGGAGCAGGTTTGTGTATCCATGTGATCTGTGGCGGGGCAAGATGGAAGATAGTTACATAGGCAAGTGCAAATGCAAGTGGTATCAATGTCCTGACAATCCTTTTGTGGACTCGGCTGCCGCTTTCAGTCGTGCTATCACGGGCAATTGGTGAATTGAGATCTGGTTTCTCCATGATTGAGTTCCAGATTCTAGATAGATGGATTATGAAGAGAGGATTCAACACTTGAGCATGGGGAAGCCAAGATACAGTTCACCCCACTCTTGGCAGCTATGAAATACAGGGGGCCAATGCCGACATCAACATCATTGACTTTGGACTCGGGATCCGTCGCGGGCTTTTAGACTGTCTTGACGCCTTTGAATTTGCAAATATCACCATCGCTGTGTTTTGTACGTTGTTACCTGTTGAATAGAGGCATAGATTTGCCACGAGATCGCGGGGTAAAGTTGCCCCTCGCCAACATTTCACCCCTCAGAATATCCAAGCTTGAGGCCAACATTTCATCAAACGACAACCTTTGTCTAGATTGACAGTTACCCTACTTTCATCTCTTTCAAATCCTAAAAGTAACTACCAAGTCATCTGTCAACAGTAAATTATCTGTCGAGAACAAATAATCACATCGGCAAAAGACTGCCACTTCTGGATCCACTTAGATATTGTGCCTTTTTTGCATGACGCGGCAGGGATGTTTTGTGTGATCGGTCGCTTTTACACTTGTATTGTTGCACTGTATAGGCCATACTATGTTCTGATGATCCAGCACTGAAGATTCATATAACCTACAAAGTGGGTGTTTTGTAAACACCATCAGACGAATCCTCGAGACTATTCCTTGATTTCCTCCCTTATCTCAACATCTAACTTCTTGGAATCATTTCTCCGAGGTCTTTCCCCTCCATTGATCATCTAGGATTACTTATCTACTCCCAATACTTTTGACAACAAGCTGTTGCAACAGCACAGCTAATCCACCACCCAACGCATCCCCACCAAAATTCCCAAGTCCAGCATAACTCATAGCAAAGCTACGAACCTCATCTGGCTCACCAGCTTTCCGAAAGTCCTCAGCTACCTTGTAATTCGTGCTTATGAATCCTCCACCGACACATCCGCCAACCAGAAACATGACCATCACCCAGACTTCGTAGTAAGTCAAGAATGGATGATAAAGCTGGATGATGCCGATAGTGAGCAAGATAAGTTGGAGAATCGTCCATGTCCAGATGAACGGGATGTGATAAAAAAGCGAAGAGGGTGCTGAAGACAAATTGTGCGTCTCCGTAGGCGAAGACTGAGAAATTTAGCGAGGATATTCAGGGTGAGTTTGTAGAGAATGAAGACTTACACACAATCTGGAACTGTAGATCTCCCTTCGGAGCTTCTCGGAATCTTGCTAAAGTTTCGACTGCAGAAGTTGTGCAAATGATCAGTGGCGCAACGTACTTTGGTAGGATGATTTGGAACAGAAGTCCTAGACGGGTACGATGAGGGCTAAATCCTGTCTTGAGCATTTCACTCGTATCACTTTCCCTCTCCTGTATGCAAACTCCTTCCTTGCGTTCGACTTTCCCTGCTGCCGTCGCAGATTCGGTATCGCCCTCACTCCCTGTATCTCTCTCAGCCTCACTCGTCATACTTTCTATCGTCTTGCCCCCTCTACTCCCTAATCTCGACCTTTTCGCCGCCTCCCTGCATTTTCTATTCATAAGTACCCACCACGCGACCAATATACCCAGTACTGTAGGCAAGAAGACCAAGAAGCTCCTCCTCCAATCCTGTCCAAAAGCCACCATGAAACCCATATAAGTCGCTGGGCCAAGCACTGCTGCAAATCCACTCCCTACACTCAAGGCCAGGACCGCTTCCTGAGGGAAGAATGCCGCTACAGCAAGATAAGTGTTGGTCCCGAAGGCGTAGACGAAGCCTGCGAACATCGTTCCTAGGACAGGGCCTGCTTTAGAAGTGGTAATGGAAGAGGATGGGGAAGGGAAAGGCAGGGTGCAGATTGTGTAAGAGAGGAGGGAAAAGATGACGCAGATGAAGGTGCAGATGTTGTAAGGGAGGAACCGGGCAAACAGAGGCGTGGAAAATGAGGTGATGGCAGCCGTTAAAGAGAGTGAGATCCCGTAGACGCCTGTTATGCCGGCGAACATTTGGTTTGCTGCCATTGTTACTACCATTGTGGGAAGTGCGATCTGTAAGGGGCACATCCTGTTAGATTATCGATCATGAGTGTTGAGTATGGTATAGACACGTACGAGGATTCCCATGATGAAGAAGGCAATGGTGGTTCTGTTCAGCCTCAGCCTCTTGCTTCGTGGTGAAGATGTCTGGACATCTGATTTCGATGTTTGAATGAGGTGCGCATCATTGTATTGTTGCGATGAACTTTCTTTCGTTTCATTCATGAAGGAGGTGAGAGCTTGAGCCGGCGCCTCCATGTTGGATACTTGGAACAAAAGTGAGTTTGTCTTTCAATGTCATTTTTCGTTGCAACGAGTCAAGGCAGGTGGTCTGATAGAGCGGTATCATAGAACTGGTCCCTGGAAGGAGAATCTAAATTCGGCTCCTTCCTACTTGGGACTTTATGATGTTTGGTGTTCCTCGAAGCGAGCACTTGCTTATTATTGTATGTACGCTGCGTCACACAGATCTCACCATTCGGGCAGCACAGATCCCTTCAGCGAAGAGTACATGGATAAGTGCATATCGATGAGCTAAGGTTAACGGCTAACGGTGATACAGAACTATGAAAATACAAAATTGGGTTGAACATTTGCCTGTTTTCAGTGGTTAGTGAGTACCAGACGCCAAATCACGGCTTAAAATAGAAGATTGTAGCATGTACCTCCAAGTTGCGGCCGAATAGAAAGTGCTGAAGACGTGCTTCCTTCATGGAGCATTTTGACTGATACTATACTCAATCCTCGTTACTTCTTCCTTTTTGTGGACGGTAAGCTTCTTGATTTGGACTCGACCGACGACGCCAGTATTGGCCACAAAGGGAGCACCGCAAAGATACAATCCTTCATTTCCTTCAAGTGTGATAACCCGCATCAGTTCAATCGTGGTCTCTGACTTTGGTGGTAACCTGACACCACGTTCAAGCGCTTCTTGCCAATTCCATCTGCGTGTTTCGAGTCGCACGTTCTTGCTGATTATCTCGTTAATCTCCCGCTGGATATCGCGCTTGGCTTGTCTATGTTTTCTATCGAGCATGCCACCAAGTTCGACAACCAAATTGGGTGAGCGGTCCACTCCATTGAACGTGAGGTCGCCGCTGAGAGCGCCGCGGAGATGTAACCGTTGAACGGCAACAGCGATTAGGTGGCCGGCAGCATGGGTTCGTGAATGCAAGAGTCGTCTCTCGGGATCGATCTGCTGCATAACGGCTTGGTGTACACGAAATGGGACATGACTTGGTTCGAAAGTGCCAAGATGATAGACAACACCTGGTTCGTAGAGGCCGAAATGATCATATACTTCATCAGTCAATTTCTTTCGAACATCTTGGACCGTGAATACAGTGTTGGGTCCTTCTTCTGGGGTGGAGTAATGCGAATGAATGAGTCCTAGATCGCAGAGTTGTTCACCAGTGGGGCAGAATAGTGTTCTGTCGCAAATAACAAGGTAGCCATCCTCGGGCGTGTAGCCAAATATTGCTTTGACTCGGGCTTGAACTTTCTTGTCAGCCCCTTTGCCGCACGCGAAAACACCTCTGACAAAGGCTTCGGTACTGGAGAGCCATGCATTCGTCTCGTGCTTATACAATGGGTATGTGAAGTTCAGCTGTGCTTGTTAGCCTCATGTCTTGTGCTACACTGTATAAAAGTACCCAGAGCACGAGATGATATAGAAGCGAGACTCACTTGAACATCGTCGTCCAGAGGGTGTGGCGGCATGTTGCTTTGGAAATAGCTCCCTGACCTGGTAAGTAAACTCTTGGCTGCGTAAATCTTACGCTCGAAACGAGTAGCAATCTGTGCGACAAAAGTTCACAAATAGTTAAGATCAACGCTACTTGATTGTTCCTTCCAAAATTTGTTCCTTCGCTGATCGCGATGAGCCGTAATGATTGGAATTTGGTGCACAGTTGACAAGTTAGGAAGGCACCCACAAGGCTCTGCTGGAGCCATCACTAACTCGCTGCTATAGCTGAATCCTGACAAAACAAATGTTTCAAATCTTGAGCCGTAATAGAATGTTGAAGGATGGAAGGTAAATGCGTCAATAGCCTCAGAGAAAGTGTGCAACATTCTAGAGTAGCACTGTGTCACTGCTTTTTTTTTTTTTGAATGTCTGTCAAGTCTCATAGAAACAAATATCCAATGAGTTTGTTGCATGATCCAGCTATATTGGTCGTTCCATTGTTCTGCTGATACCCGGGAGAAGGTACACTGAGAAGACGTACTGGCTGAGAAAATGAGGTAGCACTCTAAACCACTGTCGAACCGCGTGCATTGTCAGCGTTGCACGGCCAAACGGTTGACCCACCTACATAAAGCACTCTGTACCACCATCGCCAAGCTACTAAATCCGAACTCGAGAGTACAAGACAGATATAGATCAGCCCATGAATTTGCCAGGAATATGCACGCTGGTCCGTTTCTCGGCATAATCCTTCATCGAGGACCTACAAATCTGGCTATTGCATGGCCTGTTAGCAACACGCATTTCCCATCGGGCTTCAATACCCACTGTTTTCACTACCTAGATCGCTAGGACATCATGAAGGCAGCATCTTTCTTCAATCTGACCTTGGGCGTCAACTCTGAAGCTTCCGAAGAATATTTCTTTGGGGCTTCTGAGAAGCACTCTCTCCAAACAAACTGGAAGACCTTCGACGAGCAGCCTCTAAGCTCAGCATCATTTATGGATCTTCTAGCTAACACCATCCCACTGGTGAGGGCGAAGAAATTTCTGACATCAGAAGAATGTAAGAAAATGCTCGAAACCATCAGAACGCACCAGATTGTAAGGGCATCGCAGGACAGAGAAAACAGAACTAACTGTGATCAGGGCGAATACAATACAACCAATGTGTGGCCACGTGTAGGACAAGTGGGCATTACCCAATTTGATCATGGTCCGTTCTTGGTGAAAGCAGATATGTCGCAGCAAGAGTTGACGAACTTGGTAGATATGAGATCGTATTTCGAGGGCGTTGAAGAAGCCAATTCTCTGCTCCGCCGCTGGAAAGACGAAGCTGGAATCGATATAATAGGACGCATCCTCACAACTCTACAGCAAACTACAGGCATGCCTACCCGAATTGCACGTGAAGGCGATAAGGAGTATTTCGCAGGTCTGATGCGAACCGTTGATACTGGGATCCAAGTCCATGCGGATTACGCACCATATGTAAGCTCTGTTGTATAAATGGAAAGTTCCATGTTGGAATTTACTTCTTCAGCGGGATGTGGCTGACTCATGGGAAAACCAGGAAGGCATAGGATGGGAGATTAGTGGCATAGCAGCACAATTAACCTAGAACATCCTTCTGAATCCAGTCCGTAGCAGCGATACTCTCATCTTTGACCGTCAATGGCTGGCGCCCGAAGACGATGTGGCATGGCGCAAGGCGTTTCCGCGTTACGCACACGAGCCTGGTGTAATCGAAGGTCGTGCTTTCAAGGCGATGAAACCGGTTCCTGGAGACCTGACGTTCTTCAATCCTAGGGGAGATCAAATGTGCTGTGTCTCCGGTCGCTGCGACTGACCACGGGTAAGAACTATCACGAGGTGAAAGGTTGTGATTCCAGGAAAGAAGATTTGGAAGTGCCACTTCGCTTCACTGTGAGCTCGTTCATAGGATATCTGCCGGCAACAGAGTCTGAGCCGGCAACGTTGATTTTGTGGTGGTCGTGATGCCAAAGGACATCAGCAAACAATCAAGACAATGATGTCAACAGTAGCAGAAATAACGTATCGCATTAGATGGGGAACTATGTAGCTGAAAGCAAGAATGAAGAATGGTTGATCTTGTGCATCTCTGCTTCAGGAAACTTCAGGTGCACTGATGATGCTAACAGCGAGAAGATGTTTTCGATCTAATGTCATAACTTTAGAACATCACTTGATGATACAATCTGCTTACGAAGCAGTTGCCAGATGTTGAAGGAGCGAAAGGATGATAGAAAATGGAGAGTGCGAGATTTAGACTTGAAATAACGGGTACAGGCCGTAAAACCTACCTCTCCGTCGCTTAAAAAAGTGGCCCTTTTTGGCATGCGAGAACATCAAAATCTAAGATACCAAATTAACTCTTTCTGGACACTCAATTCCATGAAAAGAATTCCGTCTTTAGAGATCCTAGAGAAATACTTAATGAATGTTTCTGTATAAAATTACTTTCTGAGTTATTAGAGCTTTCTTGACAATTCTGTGAATTAGTTGAAATTACGCCGTTGGTCACATCCGGCCACTTATTTAAGCGACGGAGAGCCGACCTAGGTGGATCTCGCTAAACCCGACCTAGCGCTGTTCCACAGTACCATACCCCTCTTTTCGCAAAAGGCTTTATAATTTCAAATAAGCATTTTCAGCTCATCAACCATCCATGCTGGTGTATCGGTAACATTTCCGCCTCTCAGTGTTTACACAAGTTCGCGGTAGCGCAGGGTTCGACTCCCTGGCATGGAAAACTTCATTTTTTTGCATTTTTCCTCTACATCCTTAAGGATTTTGTTTGATTTTTTCTGTTTGGGAATCCTCAAGTGATGGATGAGTACGGAGATCGCGGCATAAAGTGCCGGGATTACAGCGCATTCGAGCTCATGATGCGCTATAACCTTTCTTCAACTCCCTGAAATGCCCTGTATTTATAGGCTTAGAGCCCTGTAGTACGCTAAAATGGGAATCCACCACAAGGGTGTCAAACTTTTCAGGGGTCTTTAGTGAGGCACAGCGTTAGCATAGCAACCACATCGCTGAATAATGATAAATTATAGGCTATGAGAGCACGCTGAAGCGAAGATTGCCCTGCAATTATCAGCACTGACTTCGAATTGGTGTGGTCCTTGCTTGCCTTTTTCAGTGTCTTATAGGGCTAAAGGCCTATATTTATAGGGTCTTCCACCGCTTTGTGCGCTCTTTATGGCGCTTTACAGTGGAATACTCGCTCGGTTGCACTGTACTCTCGGCACTTTATGCCGCGATCTCCGTACTGCTGTAAGGCAAACTACTAAACGAAACTGCACCTCCGTACGCGAGGCGTATCAATGCTGATAGGCTGTGAAGATATATATTTTGATATTTGGGTCATTTTCATATGAGCTAAAAACTAGCAACTCACAAAAACCTCCTCCTCATCGCCTGCGTAGAATTACTCCCCATCGTCACATTCCCATAAACAATCCCATCCTCACTCTCCTGTGCCGCCCACGTACTCTTCAACCCCCAAACATCCACACTAACCTCGACCCCCTCATTCAACCCCGCCGTCCTAACCACCATCGTATCCAGCTCTCCTTCAGGGAAGAACGTCATCGTCGCACTATTCCTCCCTCCATCGAGGAAAACTTCCAGGATAGACCGATCCATCACTCCCTCTAGCATGAACGTCCCGTTTGCGTTGATGGGATTTCCAACACTGAACTTATCGGTGAAAAATGGGTTCGTTTCCCCGAATCCTAGGACTTTTTGCCGGGAGATCCAGAACGGATTATCGCCCCCTAGAAAGAAGCCACCGGAAACGGATTCCTGGGTATACGAAGACGAGAAGGTGAAATTGATTGTGCCCATGGAGTAAGTGTCGTTGGGAATATTGGTTAGGTTGCATTGGAAATATATAGCTCTGCTTTGGAGGGAAGAATAATCGACCATAACGGTACCATTTCCGAGGCTGGAATTGCTGGCTAGGACTGAGTCGTAGATTGGCGAGATGTCGTAGGGTGCATTGATGAGGTCCCATCCTGTGCGCGTCACGTTTGCAAGTCGGGTTCGACGAGGGACGCTCATGGAGCTTCGCCAGCCTTCGGAGTCTCCTGTGGGGACTTGTTGAGAATATTCCCAGTTGCTGGCCCATGCTATGAATACTTGCTCCTCGTCGTCGGGGATCCCGTAGAAGAATTGTCCAGCGTAGTTGTCTTTGCCAAAATCAGCGATGCGAGCAGCACCGTCAACGGGTGTGAAATGGGTGCCGTTGAAAGTTCCTGGGAAGTATTGCGTAATGGATCCTCCAAGTGGTGCTCCAGGGTTGATGGAAATGGCGAGGACGTACATTATGTCACTAGAACCTTCGACTGGCATGGCTACCAGGTTGGGACATTCGTATTGGAGACCAAGGAGACCGTGATGTGTGAAGTTTGAGCCATGAGTCCAGGTCTTCAGGTCCGGAGAAGTAAAAATGCCAATGACGAATTCTTGGGCGTATGATACAACCATAACCCAGTGATCTTGATACCAGATGACTTTGGGATCTCTGAATTGGTTGGAATGGAACTCGGAAACGAGGACGGGGTTTCCGGAATATGGCTCGAAGGTATAACCACCATCAATGGAATAAGCAATCTCTTGAGTCTGTTCATAGGCGGTATTGAGGGTATAGATTGCTACTAAGCCGTTGGTCTGATTTGGGAAGAATCCTGAAGTATTGTTGACATCAATGACAGCACTTCCGCTGAAGATCTGAGAGTCTGGTGTAGCGTAGATGGCAATCTGCTGGTTTTCCCAATTAAAGAGATCTTGAGAAGTAGCATGACCCCAATGTTGGTTTCCTGCCACGGTAGCAGTGGGATTATCTTTACGGGATTAGCATTGTCATTGTTCCAGAATTAAGTCTTACATTGATAGTATAAATGCCAAGTTCCATTAGCATCTCTGTGACATCCATTTGGATCGTTCATGAAATCTTTGGGAGGAGAGAAGTGGACTTGTGGCCGCCAAGCACCGTTGTAATCTCCAGGAACAGGAGCATTGGTTGGTACTCCAGCATCGAACATAGAAGAAGTCGATGTTGGCATACTCGAATTCTGTGCCACTGCAGCGGCGGCGAAGAGTAATGTAAAAAGCATCATGCCTTTGGTCAAAGTAAGAGAGGTTTTGTTGGTTGATTCTGATTGAATAATCTCCACGCTCCCATTTCCATGGACTCTGGTCATCTCTTATACCCTTCCTGAAGAAATAGACTTTCATTCAAGCTTACATCGAGCCGCTCTGCAGCAATCCATCAATGTATGTCACTCATCTGATCATAGGTTGAAGTTGGCCAGCCCCGCAAAGCCTCTCCCAAGCTTCCCAGCCTTTCCCCATATTGCGGGGTACATTTTTGAAAGCATCGGTACGATTGGTTTGAGTTTCGGGTCCACTGGAAAGACTTTGAACGGCTCAATCAGTCCCATGTATGGCATATGCAGGCGTCGTGGTCGGACCGAGAGAAAATGCGAGCCGCTGTTCGTCTGAAGAACTAAAGAAACAAAACATCGTTATACTGCGGGTGAACTTCCGGCTGATTGACACTCTTTTGACGCTGAAATACTGCCGGAACGATGGTAGTTGCAAGCCAAAGAATCAACGGCAGAACCCTAGAATCTCATCTATGAAACTCATAACAGCGGCTATGGAATCACGACTTTACTGATATTTCATGTCATGTTCGCGATGTTGTTGTGAAATGTCTCTCGTGCTCTACCCGCTTTCCGTAAACCCCTTTACGCGCTCGAGACACTGACAGCCAATTGACCCATTCGAGCCGACCCCTGAATGCGTCCCGACCAACCAGAAGACCAGATGTCGCGTCTCAAGTCTCGTCCTCGTTCATAACAAATACCGAGACGATGAAACGGTTATTTCCTCTTCCGGCAATTGTTTTGATCTGGCCTTGCATTGATTTGGGCCCTGAGATAGAAAGTCGCGATGTATGGGATTGAAAAGCGCGACTGAGGTCTGCCATCTGGCCTTGAACTCTGCACCAAAGTGGAGAGCGTTCCGCAGCATCGTTTAGGGGAACGCAGACTCAGAAATCATGATCCATTCCTCTTCTCTTCTCTTCCCATCTGATATTTTCCCTCATCATCACAATTCTTCGATGTTGCGGTTCCTGTCCAAAAGTGAATCTTGCTGACGCACGGGTTCGAGATTGCTATTTGAGTTGCCAGGGGACGGACTAGGCGGCTTTCGGTTAGGTGAGCCTCAGCGATCAACTCCCAGAAATATCGACTTCACCACCAAGGGACGAATCATACCTACCACCACCTCCGAGGACAACAACAACAAAAGACGACTGCTTGTGCTGGACAATTGCTGCTTTGGGGATCGCAGATATTGTCATAGGGGAGGAAGCTGGAAAAGACATTTATCCTCAACGCTGTCGGACATTCGAGACGATAGCAGGTGGCAGGGCAACAAAGGCAATTCACAACGCTCTCAATCGAGCACGAAAATTGCGACGAACGTCCCACTGCACAGCTCTCTGGAGCTGTTCCCGGGCATTTCGCTCGTTATTAAGCTTGCGACAAAATCCAGGAGGACTTTAGACAATAATTGAGCTGGGTGCCAGGCCGACATATCTGGAGCTCACCTTCACCACGACGACCGTCAGGCACAATGGGAGCTAGCGAAGAGGTGTATGGCTCTGCCATATCCCACACTCATATCACAAAGACCACAAGCACCATGCATATTCCACCAGTTGCTACCCCACCTCGCAGTGCAACCCCTCCTCCCGTTGGAGAGAAGAGAAAGTCGGAAAGGAAAACAACTGAAGAGAACATGCCTCGAAGCAATCGAGCGACCCCGAATGCCGAAGCGATCGATCCAAATAGACTGAGTAAGGCATTATTGAAGGACTTTGACGAAGCTGGGAGGCACAGAGATATCACACCAGGCGGTAGTCCAAGTAGGAAACGGCAGCGCGTATATGGCGATAGGTAAGATCGATTTTTTTGGTTTTCGTATCTTTGGACGCGCACTGGAATACACTTTCCCAGTTGCGCAATCCAGTCGTGGTTGTATTTGGAGTCTATCCAGATCTTCCCAGACGCTTGAATCATCCAAAACCTTCCCGCGACAAGGATGGGGATAAGAATCGTTCAGATACTGACTGTCTTAGGTTCATTCCGAACCGAGAAGGACAAGATTTGCAGGCCAGCTTTAGTTTGCTGCATGACGAAGGTTCTCCTGCTACGCCGTCCAAGCAAAAGAAGCGAACGCCCCATGGGGAGCTTCATTTTCAGAAGAGTAAGCAATGTTGTCATGCCATATTCGACGCTAGTTACTGACAGAACCTAGCTGAAGAAGCAAATCAAACCTACTCGAGAGTCCTTCGAGGCGAGATCTTCGACAATACGATACCTCAACCTACCCCTCCTAATCTTTCGCCAGACGTCGGCTTACCCTCATCACATTCTACTACCATCAACGATCCTACACGATCACATACACCACCTAATAATGGATCTAATACCTCCCTACCCGTCTCGATGACACCATCCACTCCTCACAAGAACCTCTTCACATATATGTCTCCACGGCATCACACGAATATTGCTGGACATCCTACACCTTCGAGAACACCACAGAGTAGGCATGGTCCCAATCTCAATGCCAGATCGGAGATATACAGCTTATCACCAGTACGACTTGGCAGCCAAAGTATGCTTCTCAACCCACGGAAACAACCTCGAGCCGTCAGCAAAGTGCCATATAAGGTACTTGATGCTCCCGACTTGGCTGACGATTTCTATCTGAATCTTGTGGATTGGGGTAGCAGCAATGTGCTTGGTGTAGGACTTGGAAGCTGTGTCTACATGTGGAATTCACAAAGCGGAAGAGTTAATAAACTGTGTGAGCTTCCAGACGACACTGTCACGAGTGTATCCTGGATACAACGAGGGTCACATATTGCAATTGGCACTGGCAAAGGTCTTGTTCAGATATGGGATGCAGAGAAAGTACGGCGGTTAAGGACCATGACCGGACACACGGCTCGAGTGGGATCTCTCGCTTGGAATGACCATATCTTGACTTCTGGATCTCGTGATCGCCTGATCTACCACCGCGATGTCCGAGCTCCAGATCAATGGCTTCGGAAGCTTGTAGGCCATAAACAAGAAGTTTGTGGTCTGCGATGGAACTGCGAAGACGGCCAACTCGCTTCAGGTGGTAACGATAACAAGCTCATGGTCTGGGACAAGTTGAGCGAGACGCCATTGCACAAATTTAGTGATCACACTGCAGCCGTGAAAGCTATTGCTTGGTCACCACATCAGCGAGGCCTACTCGCTTCAGGTGGTGGTACCGCAGACAGAAGAATCGTCTTCCACGATACTCTACGAGGCACCACAATCAACGAAATTGATACCGGCTCCCAAGTTTGCAACCTCGCCTGGAGCAAGAATAGCAACGAGATCGTCAGCACTCACGGCTATTCTCAGAATCAGATCGTCGTTTGGAAATATCCTAGCATGACGCAAGTTGTCAGTCTCACAGGACACACATATCGTGTTCTCTACCTAGCCATGAGTCCAGACGGCAGAGTCGTGGTTACAGGAGCAGGTGACGAAACGCTACGGTTCTGGAACGTCTTTGGCAGGAAACCAGGGCAGCGAGAGGAAGGCGATGCAGGTGGTGGTGGGAAGTTGGGTGATTGGGGTGTAATAAGATAAGGGGAAGAAGATACCTTTGCTTGTGCTTTACTATACCACTCTCGATTTTACACAGCCGGTTCCTGGACTTGGTGGGTTGGAGTGAAGTCGGAGTTCCGGATGGAGCGTTGCATTCCTGGCGTTTGGCATTTGCTTCTTGCGCGCTTGATACCGAAGAGTGAGCAGAAGGGAGGCGGACATTGTATTTGACAGCATAGCAGAGGCTTTCAAGATCTCGGCGCGAATGGAAAGGGAGAGCAATGTTCGGGACAGCTGACAATGGCTGCAATATGGAGGTCTTTGTATTAGAGCTGCGTTTTTCTCTCTTTCTAAGAGGAGCAAACGGCAGCTAGCAAGCGGATCTGGAATCAATCTCAACTAAGCTAGAGATCTGAAACAGAAAAAACACTACTTCATCCCAACCAACCTGAATCCAGCTCCCCACTGAAATGAAACTCGTGATGATGATTGATCATCCTTGAGGTACGTAGGTATGAGACAGAAGCCCCAAAAAAATCTGATTTGTTGGACCAAAACCCTGACGCCGTGGTATACCCCCGCCCTTTCATGCCCTCGGCCTGTTCTTCTCGAGATAGCACATTTCCCTCGCAGCTAACTTGCAATTTAATACATTCAATACAATAAACAAAACCAAGCATGCTTATGAAGAAACATCCGAACCGATAATTAACTCCCACCCACTCGATCAAGCAGGTAATTCCCCAATCTTTCTCTCGCGCGCCACGTCCTTGGCTCCGCCATCTATGCCTGTACTCCCAATCTGGTCGTTCAGCAAAGGGATCTTGTCCACGCTCCTACTTCTCGAGTGTGTCTTGCCCCCTTCCAAAGCTGGGTCCCCGATCAAGGCACCGAGTTCGGCGCCACCGTCGACTTTCGGGGTCATGAGAGGAGAAGTCATCATGTCTGGACTATTTTGCCATTTCTGAACTTCGCGTCTCATGGCCTCTAATTCGTTCTGGAATCGTTTGCCGAATACGTCGATGTAGTATGTGGCTCCGTTGTACACTGACCAACAGAATACAGCGAGGAGGAAACCGGCAGATGCGTAGCGGTACCAGAACCAGAGGGGACAGGGCAGCATGGTGAGAACGGCGTAGCAGTATTGGATTAACATGAAGGCTGGTTCTTGCAGCTGCTCTGGGAGTGATAAGACGAATTTACCGATCCAGACTTTGGAGTAGGAACGTCGGAGCCAGGTGAAGGATGTTGGGCGGCCGGCAGCAATCTTCTCCCGGCGGCGGACCGTGATCATGAAGTGGTAGGATAACTGCCAGACTGCGTAAGGGATGGTGGCCCACAGTGTCATGGCAGGGAGAGAGTAGTGCTCTTTGGATCCTGGTGGCGAGGTTTTGATTGTCCAAATAGCAGGGAAGCGTTCTTCTTGCAGACTATCTGGAAGGAGATGTACGAGGACGTGTAGTGAGACACAGGGCATGATGTGGATAAACAAGCTGGTAACTTTGTCGAAGCTGTGGAATACCATCGAATTCCGCCACATAGCTATCGCGATGGCGTTGTTCCCGAATGCTAGGCAGTAGGTGGAAATGAACAGACGTTTCGACTTCGGGAAGAACCATATAGTGCACATGCACAGGAAGTTGACGAAGTAGCAGAGATCAGCCAAGAAGTAATGATATCCTCTTCGGTGGTATGTATAATATCGAATCGGCATGAAGTAGAGGAGCTGTAGAGTATACCAGTAATGAAAGTACTGAGGATATCCACCGATCAAGTATCCACTGATGAGTACGTTTAGAACTCCGCAAATAAATGAGATCTTCTCTCTTGCCGTGACAGCCTTGGTATCGTTCCAGCGTTTGGAAAGTTTGTCGACGCTTTCGCGCATGCGTTTTCGGTATCTATCCAGCTGCTCGTCGGCAGGCGGCACTCTTCTGCGCCATTCCTCTACCACTCGATCTTTCGCATATGACCCTCTAGACCGCAAGACATCTCGCTGTCTCCGTACTTTCTCTGTCTGTGCCGAAATATTCCTCTGCAGCTTCTCCAATTGCTGGGGCAAAGCGAAGTTGTCTAGTAAATCAAAGACGGTGAGCCTGTCCAGAGGTGGAAACGCTTCCCAATCTTCCTGGTACGAACTGCTGCCAGAAAATGACGGATTTCGTGATAATCGTGGGCTGCCCGGACTCGAGGCAGAAAGGATGGGTGTCCTGCTGCCGTCCGGGGGTGATGAGCTTGTTGAGGAGGCTCCAGATACTCCATTTCGCAGAATTTCAGGCGACAGACTTCCATTGTCGATCGCATGCTCAGACTTCGCGCCTGGTATAGGTATTGGTTCGGACATTTCGAGTATTGTACGCTTGTGTGCTGTCGACGACGTTACGCCGAAGGATACTCTCCGTAGTATACTGCCTCCTCGAAGCACTAGACCGTCAGCCATAGTTACACCAGCTGTTGAAACAGGGAGATGAAGTTTCTCGGAGTGGTAAAGAGGTGGATAATGATATATAACATAGGGAACAGAGGTATGCATGAAACACTTACCAGGACTGCCACTATCAACGCAGGGCGTTTCTTGGGGATCGAGTAAGAGCGAGTGTGCAAGTGATCAGAGGCAACCACCGCATGCAGCCAGAAGATGCGGTGACTCCACCCCACATGAACAAGCAGTTTACTAACGGTGATAAGAGGCGGGACTTGTGACTTTGGCAGAGTTCAGCAGCGACGGATCGATGCGTGAGGATGTGTGAGGGTGCTGGGTGAAGCTCTACGCGTAAGTGGTTGAGATCGAATCGTGGTCGTGATGATGGCTCTGATTCGTCTAATATATTGCTTTAGTTCAGAACATTCCGAAGATCCAGCAAGACAGAGCGAGAAAATAGGGATGATTTGGTGGCAAGGGAGGTGAATGAGGCCAAAAGGTCGGTAACGAGCAAGAATGGTTGAATGTTTGAGAAATTTGTTGATAGTTGTGGTCACTTTTTGCTCAGCAGCCTTGAGTGACAAAGGACACTTGCACCAACTTGGGGGAGCTTTTTCATCGTCATAGTGCAGGGAGGTGGAGGTGGTCCCTATTCTGACCCCTGATCGCACTAAAATCCACTTTTCCTCGTGATCGTTGGACCTCCGTGTGTTTGAGCATTCATGACGAGGACGAGACAACAACGCGACAAAGAGTATCTATCTTTGGCTATTTCTTCAATAGCAACAGGTCACGATGTACAGTACTTCCTGGGACATGATTCGACACTTCTACGATCTAGTGCGGACTTGATGAGACAGTGTCACTTGAAGCCCCATGGTACCTAGGTACATGTGCAGGTTTAAATGGCGACGAAGTACCTCTGATGGGACACCGAGAACAAGAACCTTCAGACTGCAGTGCTGACTGTTTCCCCTGATGCTTCAGCCGAAGCAAATTCTGAAGCCGTATGAAGTATTTTCAACTGCTTCAAGGTTGGCAGTGCAGGAACCGGATACGGCTTCGAAACCCCAACCACCAATACCGTAAGTGCCGGTACTTGTACCGCGTATCTTGGTTAACGGCCCTCTCTCCGTGTTCTCCATGTTGTCTGAAAGTGCATTTTATCGAGCAGGCTATTAGTCTTTTTTGCAGAAAGGTGGGTAGCTTTTCTTCATTTACCGGTTTATATTATCGAGTAATCGGAGTTCAGGTAATTCCTGGAAGCTTTTCTTTGTCTATCTACAAGTGTCCTAGAGATAACACATATGCTATTAAGTTAGTCCAGTAGACCTCGGCCATAGAGATATGGTGACTTTCCCTCTTTTCTGTTTCGAGTCACTGGTTGTATAATCGGTGCTTGTGAGTGGCCTGGTGCTTCTCCTTAACGTCAAGTGTCCGTAACAATGCTAGTAATTTGCCACAGCCCGGCCAAACTATTCTTCTTTGATTATTCGACCAGTTCCAGACCCGCACATAGTCTTAGCCTGATATGCCTGTATATATACGAAAAAAAGAAAAACGGAGATCGAAAGTGTGTCAGATTAGCTAGTTAACTTTTTTTCCGGGTATTGTTTCGGAGTCCTGAGACTAAAGACTGCAGAGAATAGGTTGCTATACACTACTATTGCTAGGCTGTAGAAGAAAAGCTTGGTCTTGAAAAAAAGGTAGCAAGATCTATTGGAAAAGTTCTTCAGTATCTCCCATAAGAATGAGATCTGTAATGTCTAACAATAGACTATTTCTTCAGAATCCAGAAAAATAATGAGCCATGGGGCTCCTTAGCAATGGGTCTTACCTAGACTCTTAAATCTAATTCCAATGTCCCACAACCGCAGGATAATTGAGTGTGATACGTAGTAAGTGAATAGGTATGGAGTATAGACTAGCATCCGAGCCACCACATCGAGTCGAAGTATTAAAGAACGGATGAAACACAGCATTTGTTACTGCTATTATTATTATATGCTCACCTTTCCAGCTCTGAATCACTTCTGGCAGAAACTTGTGGTGGAGGTATCACGTGCATGGTATCTCAATTCATGTCGCGTTCTGTGAACCGCGAATAATCGAGAACCGCGATTATATCGACAACACCCCTCTTCGAGAACGTTCAACTTCTCTACACCAAGATCGCGCTTCCAATGTATCTGCTGACCTCTTGATCAACTTGATACTCCTGGTTTCTCTTGTACGGATAGGCACAAGCTGTTGTCTGCGCGACCCCTCCTAATACAAACCCAACGCGTGAAAAGTCAAGATGGGCAAACTAATCCGCCTGGAACTCTTCAGTGAGTAAATCGCATATCTCATCCGAACGTGGAAACTTACTGCTATCAGATTTCAAGTCATACAAGGGACATCATACTCTTCTCTTCGGCGATTCTTATTTTACTTCCATTATTGGCCCCAATGGCTCCGGAAAGTCCAATTCGTAAGTGGTTAACTTCTCCATACGTATGCTTCTCTAACGCGCAGATAGCATGGATGCGATTTCCTTCGTCTTGGGCATCAAGTCGTCCCATCTGCGATCCGCCCACCTCAAAGATCTTGTGTATCGTGGACGAGTCTTGAAAACTTCGAAAATCAACGACGATGGATCGGCAGCGGCACCTGCGACTAATGGCCATGCAAACGGAGATGGAGAGGCCTCAGAGGAAGAAACGCAGTCGCAACGACCAGGACGAAACGATCCTAAGAGCGCTTGGGTGATGGCTGTTTATGAAGACGATGCTGGTGATGAGCAGAAATGGAAGCGCACAATTACCAACCAAGGATTCAGCGAATATCGCATCAACGATCGCGTTGTAACCGCACAACAGTATAACGAGGCATTAGAGTCTGAGAACATTCTCATCAAAGCTCGCAATTTCCTGGTCTTTCAGGGTGATGTGGAAGCAATTGCGTCGCAATCGCCCAAGGACCTCACTCGGCTTATCGAACAAATTTCTGGCAGTTTAGACTACAAGGCAGAATACGAGCGCTTACAGGAAGAGGCAGAGCAAGCTGCAGAGAATCAAAATCACAATCTTCATCGGCGTCGTGCTATGAACTCCGAGATCAAACAATACCAGGAGCAGAAGAAGGAAGCTGAGGCATTCCAAGCCAAAGCGGACGAGCGTGACGATGCTATTGTTTCTCATATCTTGTGGAAGTTGTACCATTTCCAACGCGTAATGGACGAGTCATCAGCCTCCATTCAGGAGCATCAAGACAATCTGAAGGAGTATCGCCGAGGTGTCGAGAAGTTTGAGAAGACCCTTGAAACTGCACGTCAGGAACAATCCAAAGTGGGCAAGGATGTAGCTCGTGTTGAACGTGGCATCAAGAAGAAGGAAAAGGAAGTGGAAGCGAAGGAGAATAGCCTCATACCTATCGATGAGAAGGTCGACCTCACCAATTTGGAAATTGAGAAGCTTCGTAAGAAGATCGACGCGGTGATCAAAGAGCGTGATGGACGACAAAATGATCTTCAGCATACCAAGAAGTCGCTTGCTACTGTAGAGAAGGCGCAGAAGCAATTCGAGAAGGAGCGTCAGGAGAGTTTGAAAAAGCAGGGCAAACAGCTTAGTGATGCTGATCGTAAAGAGTACAACACTTTAAGATCTCAAGTCGTCACCAAGACCTCTGCCAACCAAGCCAAGCTGGACAATCTTATACGACAAACAAGAACAGACGAAGTCACAGTCAACAGTCTGAAAGGAAAGGTCGAGGCCTTCCAGTCTGCAGTTGAGAAGCTTGAAGAGGAGGTCAAGACGATCAATGAGCGAAAAGAGGCTACTAAGATGTCTGTGAAAGAGATTTCGAAGGAAATCGATGCGAAGAAGAAGGAATTCAATCACATCCAATCTGAGCGTGTCCGCATTAACCAACTACACACTGAGAAAGAGGAAAAGCTTCAAGCTCTCATGAGAACGATCGCTGAAGCCGACATGGGCCGGAGACAAAATGACAAGGAGCAAAGAACCAAGGAGACCATCGTTGCTCTCAAACGCCTGTATCCTGGCGTTCGTGGCCGTGTTGGTGACCTTTGCAAGCCAAAGCAGAAGAAGTATGATGAAGCTATCATTACTGCGCTTGGTCGTGACTTCGACTCTGTCATTGTTGATAGCGAGAAGACTGGCCAAGTTTGTGTCCAGTATCTGAAAGATCAACGATTTGCCCCAATGACCTTCATTCCTTTGGACAACATCAAGGTCACAGCTCCTGATGCTAATCTCAAGAGCCTCTCCAAAGCACGACTCACTATTGACACCGTCGACTTCGACTCGTCGCTGGAGCGAGCCATGGCTTATGCTTGTGGCAGTTCAATTGTTTGTGACGACCTCGCAACTGCAAAGCACATCTGTTACGAGAAGCACATCCAAGTCAAGGCAGTCACGTTGGAAGGATTCGTTATTCACAAAGCCGGTCTAATGACTGGTGGTCGAGGTCCGGAGAACAGAGGTACCAAGCGGAAATTCGAAGACCACGACATCGAACAGTTGAGGTCTCAGGCCGAGAAATTCCGTGAACAGATTGAAGCATTACCCAAAGTCAATCGTAGAGGTAGTGCTGAGGAAACTCTCCAGGCGGAATTGACGGGACTGGAGCAACGTTTAGCCTACGTGAAGAGTGAGCTCGCTGCATTCGAGCAGAACTTGGCAAGCAAGAAGAAAGAGCTAGCTTATGAGCAGAAGCAGCTTAAGGACATGCAACCAAAATATGAGGAGAAGCTAGCTGGCCTCGAGCGAATTCGACAGACAGTCGCTGAATTCGAACAAGCAGTTTCCAAGGTTCAAGACCAAGTCTTCTCTGACTTCTGCCAGAGACTAGGCTATGCCGATATCCGAGCTTATGAGGCACAACAAGGTCATTTAGAGCAAGAATATGCGGAAAAGAACAACGCATTCGAGGTTCAGAAACAGAAGTTGGAGCACCTGTCGAAATGGCAAAACGGAGAATACCAGGATACTGATGCTAGAGTCAAGCGAGCCGAAGCTCGAGTGGAGTCTCTTGAGCAAGATATACTGGGATACAACTCTGAGAAGGAAGAACTGGAGAACGCTATAGACATTGACCGAGCCGCAGTCACGGAGTTGGAAGACGAGGTTCACAAATTGAAGGAGAAGCTAGCAGCCAAAAACGAGAAGGTCAATTCCGCAAAGAACGATCTCCAGAAGCGAAGTAAGGAGATTGACAATCGGACGAAGGCAATTGCAGCTCTCGAAACAGAGGCCCAGCGCAGTTCAGCAGGTAGATATGCTCTGCTGCGAAGGTGCAAACTCGAGCAGATTGCCCTGCCTTTGAGTGAGGACTCAAGAAAACTCGATAGTCTACCCATCGACGAAAATGTCATACAGGCAGATCCTGATGCCATGGATGTCGATGAAGGCGACGAAGCACCGCAAGAGCTCATGAAAGACTATGGCATCCAAGTGAGCTTTGAGGGCCTAGATGATGATTTGAAAAATGTAAGTATTCTCTAACGCTTCAAAAATCACAAACTAATTGGATTTTAGTCTGACGAGGATGACATCGAAGAACAGCTTCTGCAACGCATCACGGACTTGGGCAACGAATTGGAGAAGCTAAATCCAAACATGCGTGCTATTGATCGACTTGATGGCGTAGAGGCTCGACTCAAAACAACTGAAAAGGATTTTGAAGATGCGAGAAAGGCAGCCAAGAAGGCTAAAGATGAGTTCGTCGATGTTAAAGAGAAGCGTTTCGACCTGTTCAACAAGGCTTTCACCCATATCTCGGAACAAATTTCCCACGTCTACAAGGACTTGACAAGATCTTCAGCATTCCCACTTGGTGGTCAGGCTTATCTCGACATCGAGGACAGCGATGCACCCTACCTTTCAGGCATCAAGTACCATGCAATGCCTCCGCTCAAGCGTTTCCGAGACATGGAGCACTTGTCTGGAGGCGAGAAGACAATGGCTGCTCTTGCTCTTCTTTTTGCGGTACATTCGTACCAGCCAAGTCCCTTCTTTGTCCTGGATGAAGTCGATGCTGCACTTGACAATGCGAACGTTGAGAAGATCAAGAACTATATTCGAGAACACGCTGGTCCAGGCATGCAATTCATTGTCATCAGTCTCAAGACCGGTCTATTCCAGGGTAGTGAGAGTCTGGTGGGTGTTTTCCGTGACCAGGAGGCTAATAGTTCGAAGACTTTGACGCTTGATGTGAGTATGCCTGATATCTGTTACTTCGAACCATCGCTGACCTACTTTACAGCTGCGCAAATACGTTTAAGTGAGCATGTTGTTTGTTCGAGTATCATGTATGATTGTATATGGCCTGGTCTCAGCAGAACCCTTCATAATGATTTGATATTGCATTGCATTGATTGGGAAGGGTTACAGGGTGAGCGTTGCTGGATACTTTGATCCCCAATTCCAGCTAAGATTCACGCAAATACGAAACTGCATTCGCACAAGATAATCATGGTGAATTACTCTCAAAAGATATTTGACACAAACTTCGTTCATGATCCCTTGATCCCGGATTCCGGGTAGACATCTGTCTTGCACGAAATTAAAAAGGGGGTTCCAGAACATCTAGCATATCTCCGATCAGCTGTCTAGCACCGAAAAACGAACCACCATAAACGCCATGCAGACGCCACCAAATGGCAGCTATCCCCTTTTCCCCTCCAAATAGCAAGAAATTCATGCTTCGAAAACGCATGAATTCAAACCCTTTCTGAAATCCGCATCTGCGCGTCCCGGCGTCTCGGATCTAGATGCGTTAATAAGCAAATGGTGGTGGGTGGTGGGTGGTGGCAGCTGAGCCCGGCCCGTATCGTGTTCAATAGAACCAAAAACGCCTCTTTGGACGAATACGGAAACCATGTGTGAAAAAGTAATATTTTCAGCTGTCAGCTGAAAAAGGGGGGTTCATCTTTCGACCCCACGTTTTATTTTTGTTTCTTTGCTTCTGCTGCTTCTTCATTTCTTGAGTTGCGATTCATAGTTGCGTAACTTGAGCAATTTTTGAATTTTTTGCGTTGGTACCGGTCTTCGTCATACATTTTATGTTTTTGGTGGGAGTTAGGATTGGATAGGAAAGGGAAGGCACGACGGAGGGACACCGGATTTCTGCTTGAACACCAACTACCTAACAGATCCATTTCTCGTTAATATTTCGGCTTTTTCCTTTTTTTTTGTTCGTGATTTTGCGGATCCAGCATTCCACGACGAGACCCTTGATTCAGATTGACGTATCTGATTCTCCGAAGGGCGAACATCAGGAGGTCAGGGAGAGCAGATTTGTTTCTAGAATGTGTTCTTCTGTATCGAAGTCGTGAGTTTTGAGTATTGTAAGTTTACGGAGAGTGAGTGGTGTCCTGTCGCACTGTGGGAATTGACTAATTGATGTGATAGGAATGCGTCCAAAGATGTACAGACACCAGCAGCCATGGAAGCCACGGGCGATGGCCTACACAGCGATGCCTTTCCCCAAGAAATGGATTCCGATAATGAGTTTCTTGACTGTAGCATTTATTGTCTGGCTGGTTAAGCCGCTCCTTCCTGTGCCGACTGTGACGTGGGAATATCCTCCGCAGGCTGGGGCAGGAGCTGAAGCTGGGACGAAAGAGGTGGTACTGCAGACACCGAAATCCGCGAACGAGATTGTGGTACAGAACACCACTGCTGGCAGTAATGCGACCGAGGTAGCACCAGCGAAGGCCGCAGAAATTACAGAAGTGGAACCTTACCAAAGCGAAGCAGAGAGGCAGAAGAACCTGCGAGTACAGATCTTTGGACCAGGGACTCCCCAGCCGGTCGGATACCAATACACGAAAACGCTGGTTGTTCCGAAGACATCGGAAGAGGATACTGCTTGGATCACCGAGAACTTCGGCGAGAGCGACACGATTAAACATGCGATATATACGGTGGATGACTTGAATTCACCACTACACCCGCCGAAGAACAAGGGCCATGAAGTAATGGTGTATCTTTCTTACATTATCGACCATTACAACAACCTTACCGACGTCAATATATTTATGCATTCCCATCGATATGCATGGCATAACAACGAGCTCCTGGATCTGGACGCGGTGCAGATGGTATCGAGGTTATCAGCAGAGAGAGTACAAAGGGAGGGATATATGAATATGCGATGTGCTTGGGAGCCTGGATGTCCAAGTTGGATGCATCCTGGAACCATCGAAGAGGATGTCAATAAGCAGGAGGAAACAATGCTAGCAAAATCATGGTCTGAACTCTTTCCTCTCGACCCGATACCTTATACATTAGCGCAACCTTGTTGTGCACAATTCGCCATTTCCAGAGAGCGGATTCGGAGTCTGCCACTGGCAAGATACGTATATTATCGAGATTGGCTGTTGAGAACAAGTCTGTCTGATTACATTAGTGGGCGAATTTGGGAGTATGTCTGGCAATTCGTCTTCACAGGCCAGAACATTGTTTGTCCCGCAGAACATGTCTGTTTGTGTGATGGGTTCGGTGTCTGTTTCGGAGGCCAGGAGGAGTTTAATCATTATGTCCAGAAAAACACGGAACGCGTCCAGGCAGAAGAGGAGTTGCAAAAATGGATCCAGGATAAGGACACTTGGGGTTCTTACTCAGAGCAAAATACACCAGAGGACGAGCGAGTTCTGAAGGAGCCTCCTGAAATTGGCAAAGATCTGGAGCTTAGGGGCAGAATTGACGCACTGACAGCATGGTGTGAAGCCAAGAAACAGAAGGCCAAAGAGCATGGAGATGTGGCTATGAACAGAGCTAAAGAGGCAGGTAGGCCGTGGAAAGATGGAGACGGTTTTTGAGCTTTGGGTTGAAGATCAGATGGATGATCCGAGTCGCTCAGACCATTGAGGTGGGAATAGAGTTTGTCTGGGCTCGACCACATGCAAACGCCATCGAAAAGGCTTAACGTCGTAACAGTTTGTACACTTGTCAACGGCAGCAAACGAGCTTTTAGCATGATCAGGAATGGTCAAGCATCGAGCCGGTTGAGCAGAAGCTAGTTGTACAAACACCAGAGCACAAGTTCGCTGTCTGGTTTCTGGGATTTTGCTATATAATAGCTGGTGTTTGGAGTTGCATATGGGTTGGCGTTATGAGTTTCAAGGAGCATCTATGGGGAGTTAGTAGAAGGAGAGTGCCAATTACTGGCTAATCTACCGCCTGGGAAGCAGATACCAATGAACAGCAAATTCATAGCAGATTTAAGCTATCTTCTTTTCCTTGAGCAATCTGCCCGCACGGTCTTGCAGAGAGCATCACTTCTCCTTGACAGTATGCCACTTGCGTTGAGAGCACTCGAATGATATTCGTATCCGAGTAATGCCTACTTCTTGAGAAGTCTGATTAGGTCGGCCTCGAAGTATTGCCACACTGAAAAGAAGTGACCCAAAGGAATAGGTACTGTAAGGATAAGGAACGGCTCGGTAGCCGATTCCACAAGCGTAGCTCTCAGATCTTTGATGTGCTTCTTGTGCCTGACAGGTGTGAAATGAATTGATAGTCGCAAGAGCCTTTCCAGCTCCAACGGTCCCTTTCCCTTTCTGGAAAATTGGCAGCAGACGCTACGCTATATACACTTCCCCGGAACCGAGGGCAGATCACATAGCGCCAATGCACGGCCTGTTCGTCATCTCGTCATGCATGAGTCGTGGAGAACGCCAGAGCTAAGCTGAGTTTGACTGCTAGGTGATGAGAATGGGCAATGATTGACATTTGGTGGAAAACTCTGTTGTTCTTTGTGCCGAGTTGGGACGATCCGTTGGAAGCTACAAGTGGGTATCCGTCTGCTTGGACCCGAGCTTTGCCGTGAAGAACGTTGAGCTGGATGCATGGGCTTTGATGCTGTGAAATCATGGTGGTGCTTTGAAAGGTTCGGATCGCAGTGGAGTTGCTGGGCAGAAAGAACAGACTGGTCTGGCTTTTTCAATGGTTCGTGAATGTTGAGATTCAATATAAGCAGGGAAAAACTTTATTGGCGAGGAGCAGGCGAGGAGCACCCCATATATCCGGAAGATATATTGTACAAGGTTTCTGTCGACCAGGGCAACTGGCCGGATCTACAACTCCAATCTCGTGGTATTCCTCTTTTGGGAATGTTGTCTTCTCATCTCTTTCTCGTGAGCTGAAAAATACATGCGATGCGCATTAGACGCTTGAATCCAAGCACGAATCCTCCGATTGCCGAACCCATCGTCGAACCCACGAGGATGGGTTCGAAGATCGCAATGGTTTTGTTTTGTTTTGTGAGTTATCATCTCGAGAAGCCCTGCAGGTACGCATGGAATGGTGGACAGGGGGTTAGCCGAGCATCACGATGACCTGTGATTCGGAAGACGTGCAGGAAGACAACGACATCTCTCTTTTCTTTTTTGTATCAAATATACAACGCTGCGACGACTCGTCCTCCATAAAATGTATATAGGTGGGGAGAAGGAGGTAAGAGGAGAATGAAAAGGAATTTGTTTGTCTGCTTTTCTCGCATCTTGTCACAGACTCGTGGTCCAAGATGCGCCTTCCCATCCTATTATCCCACTCAAGCATGGACCATAGGCGGGCTTTGAGAAAGTGCGTCTGTGCAAAAGACGTTGTTAATCGTCACTTCTGGTGCGGAATCGATGGCCAGAAGAAATATGCTTCTGCAGCTCCACCATTACTGGCTCTCCTCTCGGGATTTGGAATGGCACTCTTCTTCTTCTACCGTTCGACGCCGCTCCACAGGTGATGAAAAGGTTCATACTTAGCCCAATTCCACTTGCCAATTGGCAGTCTTCCGAAGCAACGATCCATTCAAACTATATCACGGCACTCAACACTACTCGAATCTAGCTAGAAGACTAGGCCAAATAGTGCCGCCAAGCTCAAGCAGCTCACCAAGGCCCACCCCTCCCATCAGTGGCAAGCCTCCAGCTAGTCCTTGCCGTACCTGACGTCTGCCCTGTCGTGTTTATCATCAATGCGAGATGTCAACCTGGACTTTAGTACGTCTACATTCCGTTTGCTCTCCCACTACTCTCAAATAGTATATAGACTTTCAAAGTCCCTGCATCCTACCATCCAAGTCCTGGCCACTGCTGGTCAAGTGCATTTTCATTCTGCACTACTGCCCAAGACGGAAATTCTATTCCTTGTAACTGACGTCTATTTATTCATTTTCAGTTCCCTCCCACTTGTCAGGACGACATGAATCATCTAAGTACTCACCACAGCCCCAGGCGCCTCTCGCCCATCACCGACGTTGACTCAGAGTATGGTGCGGAAGTGAAGGATATTCCATTGTATAGGAATTACGGCCCTCAAGTTTCGAACGACACGAAGAGATTCGGCAAGACATCAGTTGAGCTTCCACGCGAACCTCCACATACCCACGAACTTGTCGCTTTGGTTACAGATCCGCCTCCAAATTCTATTATCCCATTACGATCAAGGTTAGTTGGTGAAACTCTTTGAATATGTTCCATGCTTACCGGGACAAGCAGTAAAAGTCGAGTACCTGTAGATCAGCTGGGAACGGGACAGGTTGAAAACCAAGATCTTGTGTTACGTCCTTCTAGCGCACAGCGTCATCGTCCAGAACAGCTAGACATGCCTACTCCAAGGAGACCCGACTTTGAAAAGTTCGAGAAATTCGAGGACAGACCAGAATCTAGAGGACATCGCAGAGGAGTGCCAATCTCAATGCAATCTCCTTCTACAGATAGTCCTAGATCTCAGTCGCGAGCTTCCGAACGATCTTCGTATCAGACCAATGTCACATCTCTACCCGCCCTTCAGCAAAAAGGCGCAGACGAACATGACCAACTTGAGCCACTGGATGAGGAGGACCTCGACCCTGGCTCCTTTGATCTGGTAGCACCAGCAGATACTGGGATCAAGCAGTATTCCTTGGAGACCAGATCTGAGCAGTTGTTTTCTACAGAGCATTTGCAAGTCATTTTCAATGATCCTTCGCTCTTGCTACGCTTCACTGCGTTTCTCAGTGCTCAGAGAACTTCTTCGATACCTATCCTAATTTATTACTTGGATGCCATTAAGGCTTTGAAAGCTATCAGCTACTCAAATGCCATCGCGGAGGCTTTAGATCCCATAGGTGGTTTTGACTTCACACAGACCACGGCCTCAAAGACGATCAATGCAGATCTAGAAGAAAAATCAAAACAAGCATTTGGCGTTCTGGTCAGAGAGGATTTGCCCGCTTTTGTCACGCATACCTACATTCAAACGGTCAGCTTGTCGATTCAGAGAAGGATCACTGGAACTCTTCCATCGAGTTTGAGAGAAGCTTCGGAGGGCTTGGCAGAAGTCTTTTGTTTGACTGACCCCTCGAGACCTGATAATCCCATTGTCTTTGCATCAGAAGGTACTTTCCCCGCGAGCCTATTCGTTATTGGCAGCTGTTAACTTGTTCCAGAATTCCACAGAACTACGCAGTACGGCATGAGCTATGTCCTTGGTCGGAATTGCAGATTTCTTCAAGGTCCAAAGACAAACCCATTCAGTGTCAGGAGAATTCGTGAGAAGATTGACGCTGGTGTGGAGCATTGTGAAGTCTTCCTCAACTAGTACGTTATGTGACACTGTCGCAGTCACCTATACTAACCCCAGTACAGTCGACGAGATGGGTCTCCTTTCATGAACCTTTTGATGTGTGCCCCCCTCTGCGATAGTCGAGGAACGATCAGGTATTTCATCGGAGCTCAGGTCGATGTTTCTGGTCTGGTCAAAGAATGCTCAGATATGGAGTCGCTAAAGCGCCTTGTAATCATGTCGGAGGAAGCAAAAGCGGACACAAATACAGACTTCGGCAAGCCAGCCAAAGATGAATTCCAAGAGCTTAGCGAAATGCTAAACTTGCAAGAGCTAGACACAGTCAGGCGATGGGTAAGAGAGAATCTTCTAGAGGTGCATCGCTAATGTCTTTGAACATTTGCTGACACCTTTTAGGGTGGACGAATGCATAAAGAGAGCCAAGAATTGGATGCAGAAACACACGCAGGCGGGAACTGGGCGAAGTCTCGTGTTCTGATTACTTCAGGTAGTCCTGATGGAAGCAAGGACTTCTCTTCCCTGAGCCGAGGAAGTGGAAGATTGAGTGGCATTTACGAGAACTACCTCTTGATCCGCCCATACCCCAGCTTGCGCATCCTGTTCGCGTCACCTAGCTTGCGGGTGCCAGGCATCTTGCAAAGCCCCTTCATGGCCAAGATCGGCGGAAGTGATCGAGTGCGAAACGAATTGACTCAAGCTCTCGCTGATGGTCGAGGTGTGACTGCCAAGGTGAAATGGGTCTCGAAATCTGATCTGGAAGGAAGAAATCGTTGGATTCACTGCACGCCACTCATCGGCAGCAACGGTGTCATTGGTGTCTGGATGATTGTCCTTGTCGATGATGAAACTTCGACAGCGCCTGGCAAGCGATTCAAAATGGCTCCTCCTGTCGATCCAAAATTCGGACGATCATTGCCTGTTCATCTCAAGGATGATGGTAGCCTAAGAGATTTTGCTCTCATGAATGGAGGCCGAGAAGGGAGCGTCAGAGGTGGGCAAGGAAGTATTCGGAGCTTTCATGATACTGAGAGGTCCGCGAGTCCTTATTCCCTGAGGATCGAGTAACATGTTTGCACGAGTATGACTGGGTGGTTTTGTGATTTCTATGTTAGTGGATTGGCTGGAGGTTCTTTGTTGTATCAGGGAGTACGGTAGGTGGCTGGTTTTGAGCGATTGCGGTAATGCTATGTGTTTCTGGGCGTAATGACTGTTTGTGTTATCATACGCAGGCTAAGTGGAAACGAGAACCAGGACCGGAAAATGCGGATGGTAACTTTCATGTACACATGCAGCCGTTTCCAGATGGGCTTTACAATACATGATTCGATGACAGTATTTTATTTGCCTTTGAAGGTGACATATATTGAGCACAAAAAGGAAAGTAAGACTACTCGTATCTAAACCTGTACACATTCCAGCATCAGAAAACAATGTTAAGGTGTGTTTGATATTTAAGAGCAAAAGTACTTCGCTTACAACGTGATTCTGAGCGAGTCAAAACAACACTTCCGGATTTTAATAAACATGTCTTAATGCCAAGAAAATGTAAGTTGAAGTAGAACATAATGATGATGTAGTTTAGTTTATTGTTAAGACGCAGCCATATTTTAGTTATACAAAACATTCAAATAAATTAAAAACTTATTCACTTAAACCATCCAAAACCTATCATCCTTGAGAAAAAACTATCCTTTTTCTAATATAACCCCTTGATTCCAGGCTTAGAAGCACGCATATTCATAGAAAAATATTATAATTTTAGTTCCAAGGGAAAAAGTAGAAGTATACACGCCCAAGTAAAGCCCTTTTAAAAACTTTAACTAAATAATACCTCTCTAGACATAGAGCCTAAGAGGGAGAGAGGCAAATGGAAGCTAGTCTTGCGCTCCCCTAACTTTCCACATGGTACTAATTTTAATATAAGTATCTTAGGTACCCTCCACTACTAAATATCCTCCTCTCCTCTTGCGTAACCTAATTCGATTATATATGGCTGTGGCATTGGTACAAACAAACTCAAAGTTTGATAGCAATTGTGGTATTATTATTAAAGTATCGTAAAAAAATTTCTTTGGCGCCAAGACTTCCAAAATCCTCCACTCCACCCTAATTGATTTAATTTTAACTCTGCAGACAATATAAAGGTTACTAGAGGTTCGTAGGGGACACCGCGGAGTAGTGTGCAACAGCTTTTTCTCCTCGTACAGGTGTTGAGTCTTCGCCCCCCTGAAGTAGAGTATATGAACTGGAATAAGACACAATTGCTTTAAGAAGTTGGTAAGTATTTGAGTTGACCTTGAAAATCCTTGAATCTGACAATTTTATATGGACTTCATAAAATTCAAACCTATCTAGAAATGGGAAAGTAATAAGAACGATTTCGCTCCAAATTACCCAATCCTCAACAAGTAACCCAACCTATTCCCTACTATCCCCATAATCAAACCCCCAATGACTCCCCCTAAAATGCTTCTCCCTCCCCACCCTCGAAATCTCATCCACCTCCCCCTCCGTCAACTCAAAGCCACCCGCCTGCAAATACCCCTCCAACCGCTCCCGCTTCCCGCTCGTCGTCACGGCCACAACACCCATCTGCACCGTCCACCGCAACAACACCGCTTCCTCACAAACCCCATACTTCGCCGTCAACACTTCCAGCACCGCATCCAGCGGCCCCGGCCGCGCCTTCCGGATCGGTACCAGCGGTCCGTAGGCCGCGGTTCGGATCCCCCGTTCGAGGCTCCAGGATACGATGCCTTCGCGTTGCAGGTAGGGGTTGTATTCTAGTTGGTTGATGGCGGGGACGATGGTGGCGATGGAGAGGATGGAGAGCAGGTGGGACCGCAGGAAGTTGGAGACGCCGATGGCGCGCGCTTTGCCGGAGCGGTGCACGGCTTCCATGGCTTTCCAGGCGGTTTGCAGGGTGAGCGCGGAGGTGGTGAAGAAGGGGTTGTGGATTAGGTAGAGGTCGACGTAGGAGAGGCCGAGTTTGATGAGGGAGGTTTCCAGGGCGGTGGGGATGGTGGTCATGTTTGTGAAGACCTGGGTGTGTTAATCAGTCAGGGAGGGAGAGGATGAGGAGGGAGAGGATAGAGGAGGGAGAGGATAGAGGAGGGAGAGGATAGAGGAGGGAGAGGATAGAGGAGGGAGAGGATAGAGGAGGGAGAAGAGGATAGAGGAGGAAGAGGGTACTTTGGTGGTGATGAATAGCTTTTCGCGGGGGATGGAGGATTCTTTGATGGCGATGCCGATTTCCGCTTCGGTGTTGTAGACTTCGGCGCCGTCGAGGTGGTAGAAGCCGAGTGAGAGGGCGGTTTTGATGGATTCGACTGTTTTGCGGTCTATTTGGTCGAGGTTGCTGGATTTGAAATGTGCGGTACCGGTTCCGTATGCGAGCCTGTTGGATGTTAGATCTTGAGTGTGGAGAATGAATGGAATGAATGTCGTGGATAAGGATAGTGTATTCAAGGGCTTAGGAGTAGGTACGGAAGTGATCGTGATTCTTACATAGGGATCTCGGCACCGGTATTGAGTTTCGCGGTTGGGAGGGTATTGGAGGCCATGGTTGGGAGACAATGAACTGGGCAATCTTGAGTTGAACGACTGCAAATTTGCCTTTGGCTGTACTGTCAAGTCTACTTCTTAATGGTTCTAATCTTTAGATGCTCAAGACGCAGACTTAAGTGTTGAGACGTCCCTATCGCAGCTTCAAGACCGGGGTGTCCGATGGTGATAAGAGCCAATATCAAAACCCGGTAACGAATTTGGCTTCTTGGAAGGATTGTTCGAAAAGAGATGAGAGCTTAGTTACTTGACAGTCTATCAAGCTTCTCTGTGCAATAGTTGAGTGGGCATGGAGGGGTTCGATCAAGCATTGCGGGGTCTTGCAAGGGTGGGGGCTTCAAGAACTTGATTGGATCACTAACTCCTATCGTGAATAATAAGCATCAAGACCAAGAAGCTTGAGCTTGACGACAATGAACATCGATAATATCAAAATCACAAAAGATGTAATACACAGAATTCAAAAGATCCTTTGGCTCACCCAGCTCTTGCTGAACTCGCCGAGCTATTGCAAAGTGACAGCAGAGCAATGCTCGTAACAATTTTCAATCGTAAAATGCAGCTGTACCCACCGAACTTTTGAGGCCGGGAGTTATGTCAAGTGAAGGAAGAAGAAGCACAAGGCTCTTCCATATCAACTCAACTTTATCGTCAGTAGTCGTAGACGTCCTTTTAAGGATTCTTAAGAGTCTGCAATGAACTTAATCTGGCCAGATGATACAAAAAAGAAGCGAGATAACTTTGCTCTCCTGGGACTGCTTGAACCTGCTCATACACCTAAAGTCCGGGACTAGCAAAGCTTTGTGAGCCAAGTCAACCCGAACAAGAACGCGTTCCTGAGTTCCCAGCTCTGGCAAGGGAACATCCTCGCATGCATGATATGTCAAAGTCAGTTCTTGCGAGTCATCCAGACGTTTAGTGTCGAGCAGAAGAAACTTATCGATGTTCTGCAGAGGGACGGAAACAATTATCTGGGGTACAGGAAACATGAGCGTCCGCGCGTCTCTGGATCCGAAGGAAGCGCATTATATATATTATACCATGCGTTATAAGGAGAATGTCTGTCCCTCTTCACGGGTGAGGAATTGAGATGTTCCGGGTTGATGTTTTTCCGGCGTTAGGCTTAGAATTAGCCTTCAGCCTTCGGTTGCCCTTCCCTTGTTCCATTTCACCCATCACTTCTCTCTCTCCCATCTTTATCTGTACCATTTGTCTCTTCCATCAGCTCCTCTCTTCTTCTCCCTTCCGAAATCATCGTGAAGATCTTTATTCTCGTCACAATGCGTTTCCTCATCGCTCCCATCAATAGTCGCCGCCGCCACCTGATCATAACAACCAACTTCCGGCCCTCGCAATTTGTTCCTCCTGGGGCCCTAACTGGGCCGCTAACACTCCGGATCTCAAACAACCGCGACTGTCACCGGGCAAGTGAGTATCCGTTGCTTGGCGCCTCACACCAGTCTCAACCCCTTCGAAACGCTGCTGCTGCAGCTTCTGCAAGGAAGCTACACCCACTGCAAAGGAGCGTGCCTTTCGCAGATCCTGATAGCTGATTGCTCCAATCCGTACAAGTGCGGAGAGCTGGAATTGCAACCCGCCGGGAAACCATGGAACGCTTGGACGGGAGTTGCTCTTCTAGTCTGGACATCAAACGGATAGAAACCTGGCAGGTCCTCTTTCATCTCGAGATCTTGAAGTCAGGTATCTCTTCAATTGTTTTTCATGTTTTCTGCAATACCATAATATCCTTCTCTCGTAATTCCTCACGTCCTTGTGATCTTCCCATGACGTGCCAGTTTGGCGCTGTGGGAGCTTCGCGACCTCGTTCGAGGTGATACATAACATTGGAGGATTGGGGTTTCAAGAAGTTCACGATGTCGACAAAGGATGCAGGTGCTGGCTTCGTGGCAGCTGCAATGCTGTCGAGTCCCAGTGGAGCAGTGGTGGTACCAGCTATGCTTGCTGTTGTACTGGCTGTGAGCATAATGGTTGCGCTCAGCAGAATTGATGAGCTGGACGAGAAAGAACCACCATTGTTAAAGTCGAGGATACCATACTGTGGCCACCTGCTGGGAATGCTGAAGTGGCAGGTGGGGTACATGCAAATGCTGAGGTAAATTGGAGTCGTTGTGCGCAGAGGCGCATGAATTCGCATTATGTGTGCTAATGACACTTGCAGTTCGAAAGTACCTTCCTACTCAGCCTTCACATTGAGAGTATTCTCAAATAGAATATATGTCATCTGCGATCCATCCCTCATTCAAGCGGCATACAAGAATACAAAAGCATTCGATTTCGGTCAATTCGTGGTAGAATCATCTCAGCGAGCATTCGATATTGGCGAACAAGGCATGAAGATCATAAGAGGAGAGACAGCACCAGGATACGACCCGCATGGCAAGTTCCTGAATGGCAACGACGGAGATTCGTTCTTGAACGAAAATCACAAAATCATGGTAGAATCACTTTCTCCTGGCACTGGTTTGTCGGAATTAAATAAGGGGGTCCTGGAGAAAGTGGCAGGATTCCTTAATGTAATTGACGGAGATGGGGAGACATTCGGTCTCTATAGATGGATTCGAGACGTCCTGACCCTCGCCACGGCAGACGCTCTCTATGGATCCGCAAGTCCTTTAAATAGTGACCATAGTCTTATAGACGCATTATGGTGAGATGAGACATATTCTTCAAAGATGCTTAGACCAATGACTAACATCAACCAGGGATTTTGAAGAGAACATGACACTTCTTATGCTCAATTTCCTTCCAACATTTTTGGCATCAAAGGCGTATCAAGGCCGCCTTGCCATTAAATCAGCATTCACAACCTACTACGCTGAGAACAACCATCTCGGTGCTAGTAAACTCATCCGCTCACGGCTCGAGTGCTGTCAAAGATGGGGATTCAGCCCCAACGACATCGCCAATTTCGAAATCAGCACTCTGTTCCTAGCAACGACAAACTCGATCCCAACCTCCTTCTGGCAACTATCCTACATCCTCTCTTCACCCTCCCTCCTCTCCGAAATCCGCACAGAAGTAGAATCCATCGTCTCCCGAAAAATCGACCCAACGACCGGCGAAGAGGAAGCCGTAATGGACATCTCCCACTTCCAAACCCACTGTCCCCTCCTCCTCTCCACCTTCCATGAAACCCTCCGCCTCGTCGACGCCGCTACCTCCGTCCGCGCCGTCACCCAACCCACGACCCTCACCTCCTCCACCTCCCCCACAACATACCACCTCAAATCCCCCTCCGTCATCCAGCTCCCGTCGGGTATAACGCACACGAGTCCCCAGATCTGGGGTCCCTCCGCCTCTTCTTTCTCCCCTACCCGCTTCCTGCCCTCAACCAAAGCCGCGCTCCCGAAATCGACCCGTCGCGCCCAGGCAGCGGCCTACTTCCCGTTCGGCGGCGGCAAACATCTGTGTCCCGGCCGTCATTTCGCGATGATGGAGATTTTGGCCTTCATAGCGCTCATCGTGGTCGGGTTCGATGTGTGTCAAGAGGGCAGCGAGACGGCGGGTCTAGAACAGGTCCCCGAGAGAGCATTCCAGAAACTGGGGACCGCGGTTAGGAAACCGGTTCGGGATGTAGGGGTGCGTGTTAAGAGGCGGGAAGGGTGGGAGGGAGTGCGGTGGCGGTTTGGAGAGGGCGAGGAGGTGGATTTTGGGGGCTTGGTTGGGGATGGTGAGGAGGGGGAGAGTGAGGATTCGGAGTAAATTTTGTTTTGCGATTTTGCGTGTAGGAGGGTGTTGGGAGTGTTTATATCTGAGATGAGAAGAAGCAATAGAAAGAAAGAGGGATGAGATATTGCATGTATATAGAAGGACGACGATTAACCATCCATCCATCCCTCGCGATCTAGAGGTCTGGATACTTTTCTTGATCGAGCTGTCGGTTGATGGCTAGTATATAAAACCAAACTTTATTCTTCAACTGAGATGTGTTGTCTTGAATAGTGGGTGGTGAGTGGTGAGAATAGTGAATCGGGGAAGCTGGTGAATTTGGTGAAATTGGGGAAGTGATAAGTGAAATCGGTGAATAGGTGCGATGTGCAACAGAACATTACTCTTGGTGCTCTCTAGAAACTTCTACTCAGCACATCAGTTTATCTATCCCAGACCAGGTCCTGATCTCGTATGAACCCCCTCCTCTTTCCACATATTGCGAGAACCAAGAAGCAAGAGCTACTAACATTTGATACAATTTGTGTACTTATGTGTTTTTCTCACACGATGTGTGGGTGGGGGGGGGGTTGGGGTGGTTTAAATACTATTGTATCAAGAATAAGCTGAGTAGACGCTTGAGCTGATCTTTATTCATTTCTTCAGAGCGTGGAGTTTGAAGAGGAGGGAGGAATATCCATTGTCACTCAGTCGATTTGTTCCTCCCACCAGCCGGATCATACTATGTTGCATTTCCATCCTCGACTGAAAATCTGGGAGGAACAAATATATCTTCTTCTTTACCTGAATTACAGTCTGGGGAGTCCGTCCGTAGCATGGTGTTCATTAAGTGTGTTTGACTTTAAAAGGACTCGTTGATTTAATAGAAAGATTCGGATTCTTCGTGTTGATGTGGATAGGCAGACAGTGTAAATTTAGTGAAAATGGGGAATATGGTACGAGCTAATATTGAGATGAGGAAGGAAGAAATTCTTGTTGTCGACTAATTTTTGTTGTCGAGTATATCGTCATTGTCAATGACTCAAACTAAGAGAATGAGAACACTACCACGAAACTGCAAACGCTTCATAAGATGGTTGAAAAATCAGTATATAGTCTATCCCAGTGGATCAAATCTATTTTCCCTTCCCCCCCATTGAACGCAAGTGCCGCTTGTCCCGGCAGACCGAAAAGAGAACTCAATCTTTCTCTGACCTTGTGCGATGGAGGAGGTGTTTATATATCTAAACCGAGGATGGTGTGTAAGAGAGTGGGAAGTGAATTCTTGTTGGAATGGCAACATTAACCTTACTGGACTAACTAATTCACTTTCTTCTCTATCAAGTGAATAGTTTTGCTGAATTTCGCAGTCCATCAATTTGTTGCAAATAAAAAAAAGTTTAGGCACGTTGTAGCTAGTCCCGTGAGAGTTTAGCAAAAGTTTGTTGCATTTCGCAGCACTATCGATTTCTGTCAAGAGGAGGTAGGCTCGCTCTAGCTCGTCCAATGATGTTGTAGAAGAGGAAGATCCATTGTGTTTCGCAGGTCGCTGCTCGATGGCTCCGTTTCCCAGGCCGGTGAACATCGAGAGTCGAGTGACGATGCGTCGGCAAGCAGATCAGCTGGAGTGAAAGGAACGAGGAGTGGTGTGGTAAAGATTAAATGAGAAGGTGGAAGTAATGAGATGGGAAGTAGAATAGAAAGAGTCGAGGAGAGAGAAAGTTGAGTCTGAAAGGTCAGAAGGTTCAGTCAGAGATTTTGGTTGTCAAGATGTCTGGAAAGTGTATAGAGAAGGATGAGGTGGAGATTGTACGACATCAAGTTGTGAATTTCAGGTATGAGAATGTTTGGCGAGTTTGAAAGATGGAGCTGGATCAGACAATTGAAGGTAGAAATAAAGTTGAGAGAGTTTTGAGATAAGGAATCCTGAAGGCAATGGCGAACGTAATGGATTAGATATTCTCAACGCATAAAGGTAGGGCATCAGACTGGGACATTGTGAGGCAGAATTCTTGGAATTGTTGTCGAGTCTCGACAGTGAAGAGGAAGGTGATGTCTTGGATTTCCAATATGAGAATTACTGAGGAGAATCTGGACTATGACACACGGAAAAGATATCGAGAAGAGCACATGCATGCAGACGACTAGATTGGGCTCGATGACATGGTTTAGAGTTGTCATTCCCAACACAAACGAAAGAGTGTGCTGGGCAAGTGACTTGAGAATCTACACTTGCAGAAACCTTCTCACCAGGCTGCAGCTTCTAGCTTTGTGGTAGGAGATGTCTTCAACTAGTAAGACATTCTGCAACAAGCCTCCTCCCACTATTCATGTATTTGCATTTTCCACCAGAACGCCTTGGCAATCTTGCATCAAAGCTTTGTACTTTCTTGTAGAGGCATGGCTCGCGCGTGCGTGCCGATCTTGAGGCTGAGACAGATTCCGGTGAGGTGGAGCGGAGTGGAGTGGAACGAGGCTAGAGGAAGATTTTCTGCAGCAACAGCTCAGTGGCTGCAGTCACGAGTCGAGGTCGGGCTGTTTTCCAGAAATAGAAACGACAGAAGTGGAGGAAAGGCAAAAGGTCCCATAAGGTAAGAAAGTTGACGATCAAAGACCGGAAGATTAGATGCATAGATGGACAAGGAGATCAAAGAGGCTCAGGGGGGAAAGCCGAATGGACAGATGGTTCGAGAGGGGGCATCAAGAGGAAAGCTCTTGAGACTGGCAGGGGGTGGAGAAGGACGGGACGTCTTCGGAATAGAATCTCTAGAATCGACATGAGCCTCGATCGGAAGATCCCAGTTAGCTGAGCGGAACCGTCTGTGGAGGAAGTGTGCCGATAGCCTTCTTTTACCCGGAGGCCCAATCGCGGTCCCGAAAGACATCGAATCTGGTACGGTGGAGAAAGAAAGGGTCTTCTGTCACTCCAGACTTCTACGGTCAAAGTTAGTATCAAATAGACATGTTACTTCAATCTCTAGGGACCTTGCACAACGAGAACGTTGGGTACAAGAGCCCCATTTGATGCCTTTCTCGATAAGTAATACATATTTTCGTATGTGGCTCACACTTGTTATGTCCTGCGTAGGACTAGAGTAGGACCGCATAGTCGCTTGTTGTAGCTCCTAGACTATTTGGCACCGGACTCGACCTACGAGGCCAGAATGTCTAATTGTGCCTGACAGAAGGCCAAAGAACTGGCAGCGCCGGATCAAGAAATTTCAGGATCCCCAAGCGCAACATGAAACGAAACAAGTCGCTCGAAATGGTGCTGCGGTTGTTTCTTCGTCCGAATTGAGTGAATGGCGCTGGGGAAAAGTCAGCAGCTGCAGGAGAAATACGAGAGACCGTGCGAAAGAGACTCTGCACCTGCAGGTCAGTCAGAGCACAGCAGTAGCGACAGAATGTTCAGCATAGAAGGTGGCACGTAGAGGATGGCGTACCTTGACGTTTGCAAGTTGAGATGAAAGTTCCACCAGAATTGGGTACATTACAGCAGTGTTATGCCGTGCAACATACAGTACGTGGATCGTGAGACCACGAGAAATATTGGCATCTCGCACGCTTCACACTCCCGTGGCCGCGCCGCCAACGGTAGTCCGGTTGATCTCCCGTCAGGATATGTCTTATGATTGGAATCAATGTGCAGAGGAGACCCTCTTTGTGGCTCGCATGATGGGTCGTCGAGCTGAATCTCGGTGCATGCGTGCAGGTACTGTATTCTCCGCAGTTCCGCTGTTTGCTGTCTCTACCTAGGTTCAAGGTCTGATTGAAGCGAGACAATACGACCAAAAAGTCGCAGGCCAGCCACCTCGCCGCCGCCGCCGCCGCCGCCGCTTCATGTCGTCTCGTGTCTGCAGTCTGCTGTCTGCTGTCTGCTGTCTGCAGCTCTTCGCTGTTTGCTGGCGGCGTTGGGAAAGTCCGTAGATCAGATCAGGTCAGAGTCAGTTCGCCAGTCGGTTATCCATATTTTTGGACTATTGAATATGAATAACGAAGCTAAAGCCAATTAAGCATGATTCGGCTACTTCGTCCGAGCTTCTACTAGTACCTATTTACCCTTCCTCACTGCGCTAAGATCGGACTCTTCTCCTTGTTCCTGCATTTTGTATCCGCTCGAGCATTCACAGGGGATCCAAATCGGGAATCAACAATGGAGAGGACAGCTGTAAGCGACTCTACAGTATTCATTTCATCACACAGTCTCGACCAATCGAGGCTGGTCGGGACCTGCGTGACAACAGACTCCCAGATGCTCCGTGCTCCAAGACTAACTAACAACATTTTGTGATGTTCGATCCTGGAGCTAGACTCGCTTTCGAAGGTTTCCCCGAGCACACCTAGGACTCGAACACACCCAGCTATCTATCTATCTACAATATCCGTGCAACCGTGACACTTGCAGACCACCACCGAGAGAGTTCCTAGATACAGGAAAGTGAGACTTCAATTTTCCGCAGGGAGCACGCCGAGCCACAATATTGAATAGTGTTCGCGCTCAATGCCTCGATTCCAATCGTCGGGTCCTCGCTGGACATCATTCATGCGACCCCAATATCAAATATTTCTCCGGCGCTTTTTCCTCTTCGCGGAAGCTCGCTCTCCTGATGATTGGCTTGGACCCTCACCCTCGTCCAAAGCTTAGCCCTGGTGGCATCACGATGCAGACGCCACTCGACTCTGTACCTAGCCGACGATGCTTGTGTTGGCGTCGGGGTGTCCCTGGGACGCTGGTCAAAATAGTCATAGTTGCAGAGAAACATGGATCCGTGGGTTGGAAGGACAGTGCCATGTACAGTACGAAGTAGGCTGGAAGGTTCAAGCGTGCCTGCCAAGCTCTCGGACTCTTGCTCGAGTAGCCTTGTCCAAATCATCACAAGGTTCGATGCCGGCTGAGCAAGGTGGGAAACTTGGGAAAGGTCGGACCAGGCGTAATTGCTATATATGCTCTGCTTTCCTCCATCGTCATGTCCGGATTCAGACTTGTTCTCCAACAGTTATCAAACTGCGTCTTTCTCTCGTCCTTCTTTTCTTTCACCGAGTACACGGAATCATTTCGACGCAACCATCATGTTGAGCCTCAAGTCTCTCGCTACTGCTTCGGCAGCCTTTACTCTCCTTTCTGGCGTCAATGCCGGACCTTCTGTTGATATCGTCAAGCGAAATCAAGAACCTCCTGGACCTTCTTGCACCGACTTCACTCCTTATGTCTATGCAGGATGTTTTCAAAATTTGGGTAGTCCATACCCGGATACTCTTCTATACACAGGTCCAAATACCCAGAACATGACCGTGGAAACTTGTGTGGCTTTCTGTAAGGGTAAGTCTTCCTCCCATGCCTGCTTTCCATCTTACTGACCTCGAAATAGGAAACGATTACAGATATGCAGGTCTGGAATACTATTCCGAATGTTTCTGTGGTGCTTCCGTCTACGGTCCCCAAGTCGATGAATCCCAATGCAATGTCCCATGTACCGGAAACGCTTCCGAGACCTGTGGTGCCAACAACCGCCTCAACATCTATCAAGATCCCACCTTCCCTGTTGTAAACGACAGCATCATCTCGGACTACCAATCCATTGGCTGCTATGCCGAAGGTACCAATGGTCGAGTCCTCAACTGGAGACAAGACCAACTCTCCACCACCAACATGACCACTCAGGAATGTCTGTATGCCTGCAAGGACAATGGATACCCCATTGCTGGACTTGAGTTCGGACAAGAGTGTTACTGTGGTGTCGTCTTGGGCAATGGTACAACGCCATTGAGCTCCACTTCTTGCAACATGCCCTGCACAGGTGACAGCACGGAGACCTGCGGTGGCAGCAACGCCTTGAACGTCTATGTTGCTACTGATTTGGAGTCAAGCCAGCCTTGCGGTAGTGGTGGATCTTCGTCGTCATCTTCGTCCTCGATCGTTAGCAGCACGACATCGATCTCAAGCAGCTCTACTTCATCTGTTGTCATCACCACTTCTAGTTCATCATCAATCAGCTCGTCGTCATCAAGTTCGTCGTCAATCAGCTCTACACTCAGCAGCTCTTCCAGCAGCACTTCCTGCACAACCTCTACTACTTGTAAGTGATCCGTGAGGGTTCTTGATACTTTAAAAGCACGAACTGACTTCGAGAAGCTTCGTCCTCTAGCTCAAGCGCGAGTAGCACATCAAGTGTGGTCAGCAGCAGCAGCAGTTCTAGCAGTGAGTTCTCCAAACACTCAATCTCAGATGCGGACACTAACTTGCCAGAATCATCTTCCTCATCTTCGTCAAAGCCAGCAAGTAGCACATCCTGCACTACCTCAAGTAGTAAGTGATGTTTTTATCTCCAATACCTTGAGCCCAAGCTAACTTTTCGGAAGCATCCTCGACCACGATCAAGACGACGACCTCCTCGCCACCAACAACTTCTACAAGTAAGCACTTTTTAAAATCACTTACGATTCAATGCTAATTGTTCCTAGCTTCCACAAAGACCACCGCATCTCTTTGCACTTCCACCTACACCACCACTCCCACACCTACTTGCGAATATTCATGCGGAAACTGGTGCTCAACACCCATCCCAACCTGGACTGACTCGAACTCTTGCTTCTCCGCTGTCTCTTCTTGCAACGTCCAGCTCGCATCTTGCTTCCTCCACGCTGGTTTCCCAGCATCCTTGAACTGTTTTGAGTTCTCCAGCTGGTGCACATCCATCTCGCAATACTGCGAAAAGTACTGCCCTGGCGGGAACTGCAACAAGCCAAGCTGCACCTCCAAGCTCCCCCCATCTGGACCATCAGCTCCTTCTCCAGTTTACTCCACCAGTGTCTACACCTGCCCAGCAGCCAGCACCTCATCCGCTAAGCCAACCACCACCTCCAAAGCTGCCGCCTCAACAACAAGCTGCGTCCCCATCCCCACCAACTCAAACATCTGCACCCAGCCCAGCAACCCAGGAAAGGGATACACCTCCAGCTCCCCAGTTGGCAACATCCCCCTGCCATGCCTCACCTGCAACAACATCCAATCAGACTACAATTCCGGCAACTGCTTCAAGCTGTACACCTATGCCAACTCGGCCCAATGCCCCTCGTACCCGCGTTCCGGCTCCTCGGGCCCCAGCAAAGGATGCAAGGACGCGTGCGATAGCCAGTACAATAGCTGCATGAACGTCTACGCCCAGGGATGCCAGGGCAATACCAGGGGCGATACGTATAGCAGCGCGAGCCAAAAGTGCCAGAACCAGTGGAACGACTGTTATTCTGCGAACTCGAATGTTAATATTGGTAATAGATGTGGAAGCTTTAATTCGGGGTGGTATTAGAGGGTGGAAAAGTAATGGGAGATGAAGGGGGAGGAGAAAATTTTTTTTATTTTGTAATGTGTTAATCTTAGTATCTATTGTATGCTTTTTCTGGGGGAGAAAAGGGGGGGAAATGGGGATATTTTGGAGGGGTAGTGAAAATGCGCGGGTATGAGAGGAATATAAATTTAATCTTAAAAACAAGCAGAGCAGAGTTCTCGTTTGAGTACGTGTGATTTGGATAAAACATAAGTATGCTTGAAGAATAACTCGACTTGAGCAATAGATCTAATCCTCTCCGCCTTGGATGATCAACATCCTCAAAGAAACGAAGAAATACTACAGCACCCTCAGTTCAATCAATTTTTTACTACTCCCCCAAAGACTTCTAGCCCGAGACGATGAAAGATATACTACAAAGTTATCGAGGAGTCAGGTAATACTATAAAATAAAATAGAGTAAATTTGGTGCCTGGAAGGATTTTACATAATGATTAGAGAATATAAGCAAAAATGCTAGCAAGAATCTGTGATAATACTATTATTAGGAAATTCACCAGAATTTCCAGAATCTCCAGAATCTCTATTTTCACTCCTTTGTTCCGGAGGGGAATCGTGGCAATTTCCATCATTCTTTTACTTTGTTACATATCTCATCGGCAAGATCTTTAATTAATGCTCGAAGAGCCATTGGGAAAACGAGTCACCTACGTATCGGCACGAAAGACCTACAATATATCGACACATTTGATCACATCAATTTTTGAAGATCTCACTCACTCGGATCATAAAAGAGTCAAAATGTTGAAATCAGTTTCCATTGATCTACCACCAGCATGTTTTCAGAGAAGATCGTGCCAGCTACTTGCTTCCATTAAACGCCCTGACAAAAATTGTACACGCCACCGAACCCACCCACACCACACCAGATCAATCTACTGCTTATTCCTGAGATGCGGTGGAACGAACTTGCCTGCTGCTCCGCTGGGTCTAAGAGAAGCCTCGCCCGTAGGAGGTGGTCTCTCTTCGTCGCGACGCTCTTCCTCACCTCTGCCAGATCGGCCGCGGAATAAGGGTGCACCACCAGAAGCGTTACGGCCTGCAGCAGCTGGAGGAGGAGTGTTGTCAGAGGATGGCCCGCCGCTGGAAGCTTTGGCCGCCTCTCTATCTCTCCAGCTTGGCTTGCCGCCTGCGAGAGCGAGACGAGGAGGTCCGGAAGCAGATGGTCGCTCGGTAGGACGCTCGTTACTGTCAGTTCTCTCCATGGGAGCAGCGCGACCCATGGGCGAGGCGCGTGCCATGGGAGACTCGGTGCGTTCAGATGGGACTTCTTTGCCTTCAGCTCTGAGACGTTCCTTCTCGCGCCATCCGAGCTTGGCACCAGCGAGTGGCAGAGGTGGACGAACTGCTCCAGCGCCAGCTTGACTTCCGCCTCGTTCCATCTGAGGAGCGCTTCTCGATGCCGCTTTGGCTTCAGCGCGGCGTTTCGCGGCTTCTTCCTCTCGTGCTGCTTGCTTGGCTGCCATCTCTAGAGCTTCTTGTCTCTCCTTTTCGCGGATAGCCTTGAGCTCTGCAAACTCCTGTCTCTTCTTCTCGTCGCGAGCGGCCTTCTCCTCGGCTTCCTTGGCAGCACGCTCTTCCTCCTCACGTAGTTGTCGTTCTCGGTCCTCACGCTCCTTCTTCTCTCGGGCCTTGCGGTCTCGGAACTCCTTTCTGCGTAGTGTCATCGCCTTCTCGAGCTCCTTCTCTGCATCACGGCGACGCTTTTCGAACTCATCCTTTCTCCGCTCAACAACCGTGGATCTGTAGCTTTCGTAATGGCTAACCAATCGACTCAGTCTGTGCTTCAGCTCAACGTTCTCCTTGTGCTTGGCCTCAGCCTCCTTGAGAGTCTGTTGCTTTGTCTTTTGGTAAGCTTCGAAGTCCTTTTCGCGCTGTTGATTGTAGTCCTCTGGTAGTTTCTTGGCTTCCTCCTTTCGGAATGCTCGCTCAAGATGGTCAATTCGCTTGCCAGTGACACGAAGCTTCTCATTGATGTCGTTCTTCTCACGTTCCAATTGAGCAAGTTTCATAGCACGTAGACGGTTGGCATCGAGGTTATCCAGATCTTCAACATCGATATCAATGGCCTTGGGACCAATCTTGAGATCTGCGATCTGCTTCTTGAGCTCTTCCTTTCGGACACGGTCTAGCTCAGCCTTCATACGCTTCTCTTCACGGTCCTTTTGTTCTTGGGCGAGACGTTTATCTTCAGCTTCTTGGAGTTGGGCGGCCTTGATTCGTTTTCGGGTGGCATCTTCCTTCTCTTTTCGAGCTTGGATTTCAGATGCCTCTTCCTTTCGCTTCTGGATGACCTCCTTTCGTGCTAAAGTCTCTAAATGTTCTTGATCAGCACCAGCTCTAGCTCTAGCATATGCTGCATCTCGTGCCCTGATTCTTGCCTCATTGAATGAAGGGTCGATATATTGACAGGTGATGAAGAGAGATCTCGCCAGACGAGTCAATTGGGTCCGGACAATTTCGGAAGGAGTATTTTGAAGTCTTTGCACGGAAGATGTCTCACTCTCAGCTGAGCCACCACCAGAGCCGGCGTGGATGGCCTTGGTAGAAGAGAACACATCGGTATCGAAGCTGAGAACACCTGTAGCATGATCCATGCGAATAGCCAGATCACCCTTTTTGTTACCGTTCATGATGAACTTCTCAATTGTGTCTCTTGTGACTTGGAACGGCTCCGGGAACTTGGCAAGGTTCTCAACAAATGCAAGGTCGACGGTTTCGTAGACTTGTGACAATTGTTGGAAGAGTCTGGTCAAGATGACTTGCTGAAGTGGCAAGACATACTTCTCCATGTCCGCGTCGGCTCCAATCTTGGACAGAATGGGTGAAATCTTCTGGCAGATAGAGAGAGGGTGAAATTCGACCTCGAGGATTTGGTAAAGCTCGCGAATCTCAGGACGAGCACGCTTCAAGAGACCTTTGCTCATGGCGTCCTTGAAGAGAACAGCACGAGTAGGAGCTTGAGCCATGCCGAGGAGGTGAGTAAGACGTGAGTTCTTGTTCTTCTTGGCCTCATCGATGTCTACCAAAGCACCACGAGATCTTGAGGTGCTGATGACTGGGATAGCAAGAGCAGACAACAGGACGAAAGAGGCAGCCTTTGACAGATCAGCCTCAGAGGTTGACGGGTTGTCTGCTTTCTTGCTCTGGCCTGCCGCAACCATAGAAGCAGATTGACGGAGGAGGTTGTAGTATCTAGACCAAGCAGCAGCATGGAACAGGTAGTTCTCTCCGACCAAAAAGATCCGGGTTAACTTCTCGTAGTAGTTGGCCATCATGACGTTCTTTGGGGGACGCTTGCTGAGGTTAAGCAAGGTATGGATATCCTCAACACTCCTGAAAGCCTCCTGCCATAGCTCAAGTTCAACCGCAACGTTCAGTTGCTGGAAACGGGTCTCGAGATGGCGTTGAAGGGTATCCGGATCGTTGAGGTTAATAGCGTGCATCTGAGCAGAGTATTTCGCAGCAGTCTGGACATGGTTTCGGAGCAGCTCGCAGAGTCTTCGGAACTCGGTCTTCCTGGTGTACTTTTGGCAGAACTCAAATGCTTGCATAGCAGTAGTTTGGTACATGATCTCCAATCTCGCATTGTTTCTGAGGATATCCAGGACAGTCCTGTATGTCTCCCACAAGAACTTGAGCCATGGCGTGACGATAGCTCTATCTGTGCGGTCTCGGGATTGTTCGCCGGATACAGTCGAAAGAAGGATTGACTCTGGGGTCTCGGAGGCTTCGAGATCGTCGACACTGGCAGTCGCGGTAGTCGTCTCGAGCTCGGATTGGACTTCATCTGCCTTGGCCTGTGCAGTCTTCACTTTCTCCTCCGCCAACTCGATGAACTTCTTCAAAACCAGCTGTAGCACGCGTTAGTCTCCAATATGAAAGAGAAACGCTATGTCCGCCTACCTCGATCGTGCCAACATTTGTGTTCTGACTGATATTCTTGTATTGATACAAGGCATCCTTAGCCAATTTGCCCTTCTTTTGCTCGACAGACTGCTCGACGAGCAGGAGCATAACCGGCTCCAAAGACGCAATAGGAACATTTCGGCTTCGCTTTGAAGTGATATGTTCGTGTAGAAGGACCAGCGCCGCCTGCGACTGGCCCACGCCCATGAGCTCATGAGCGCGTTTCAAGACATTCTCCGGCTTCTGATGAGGGGGTGGAGGCACTTTAGGATTGTCAGTTTCTCGCTGTTGTTTCCTTGTTCTAGTCTGAGCGGGACGTGGAGATATACATACTGCTGGGCAAGCTCCCGCGCGGGGGTATCGGTTTCGGGGATTATTTGTATGCAGTTCTCACTGTCGAGTTCTCGAACCGAATCCGAATATGATGAATGCTACTAGATCTTGCGTCGCGAGAGAGCGTGAAGGGCTGCGACGAAGATTTGTGATGGCGATTTGTGCGCTTTGCTGAAAGTTCAAAATCTACACTATCTCTAAGCGAACATGTGGGAAGTGGCCCGACTCTCGCTGAGCTTCCTGCCTTGGTGCCTCAGGCCTTGAGCCTACCTAACTAAACTGAGCGCACCATTCCTGGTTCTTGCAATCTCCAAAGACCGACCTCCTCTTTCATCGTCCAAAAAATTCCTCAGCGACTCGTCGCAGACCTTGAGACCTCAACGACCGTCAATTACATGTGCGCGAGATTGTTCTTTGTCGACTCATTCAATTGCTAATTGTCAAATCAGTTCATCAGGAGCGCGACCGCCTCGGGCACCTATCACCTCCAAAATGCCTTCAGGATACTCCTCTCGCGAAGACCCTGGTCAGATGAAGAAGAACAAGCAGTCAATGGCGGATCTCAAGCTACGACGTCTCACCGAATTGAACACTCGTCTGAGAGAGGATTTGGAGCGCGAGCGTATCCCTGTGTCCCAGGCTGCGAAGAGCATTATCAACTACACCAACAGCACGAAGGACTTCATGGTGCCATCAGTTTGGGGAACAGTCGACAAACGCGAGGATCCGTACACACCACAACGTGAGTTGATTCTTTTACTGCTTTTGGTGCTGCCAGGCTCCGTTTAGAACCCACAGACCTTCCCTTTGAGCAATGCGCAAGCTTTGCTCTTGAGCATCTTCAATTTTTCTATTCATTCAAACACATTCTAATACGATGTACAGAATCTGGAGGCTGCTGCTCGGTGATGTGAGAGGTGGACAAATCGAATATCAGACAAGAATCAACACTCGAGAACGATAGGATAGAATGCTCTGTGCGCTGCTTCCACGATGAAGAGAGTGGAAAACCACCAACAGGCGTTCATTGGCGTACGGGATTAGTCTGCAATAATACCTCTCTACAGCGTTGCATTGAGCGAAAGGCGGTTGGTTGTCACTTGTCATTATGAGACTGCGACGACTCGGGGAGGAAGAGCATGTAATATTTCGTGTTTGCAGTAGTTACTTCTTGTGTATAACTTTTCACGATGGGACATGAGGACCTTTCAATACAATAGCAGGCCGGCAAATGGCTTCTGATCAATTGAGCAGATGTTGAGATTGGAAATTATTGCCTCTCATTTCGCTCTGTCAGCTTTTGGTGCAGTGTGTTCCCCAGTCCAATCTCGGCAGTGCCAAGCGGAGCTGCACCGGACAAAATCTAGGGAATCCAATATCAAATTACTTATCAGATAGGCAAACGGTCAACATCGATGCCACAAGCTGTCAACGAAAAGCCACAATCTCTTGAACTTCGTAATCCCAGTACAATTACAAATACCAGCGCCGAGATGGAGCAAGGACCATTTCCCCGCGTCACAATCCAATTCTGCACGCAATGCAAAGTATGCACCTCACTTCCCCGAGAATCACAGACCACTGACACAATCATACCAGTGGATGTTGAGGGCAGCATACGTTCGTTCCATCTCATCTTTTTCCTCTCTGACACTGCGGCACTCTAACTCCGTTCCCAAAATCCTCCATACCCGGTTTCAGCCATCACAACCTGCATATCCAGCCAGGGCGGCTTGCTCTCCCCGCAAATCCCAAGTATCAGATATTCGGAGATCTTGCCGACACGTGATGCGTGTCACGATCTCTCCCTCTTGAGGATATCTGTTGTGGAACGAGGGAGCTGCAGGCTACGGGAAGATCTCAAGCCGCTTTGCTCATGCTCCAAGATTTGAATGTCTCAGATGTCAGTGGCTGATTATTGGCGATAGTTTGCTCAAGAGCTTCTGTCGACTTTCTCAACATCGCTTGGAGAAGTGGCATTACAACCCTCGACGGGAGGGACGTTTGTGGTGCATTTGTATAATGCTGTTCCTGATGGTTCTGGAGTTGAAGGAAAGGTGACCATACAGCAACATTTGTTGTGGGATCGCAAAGCAGAAGGTGGCTTTCCAGGTATGTTTTGCTTTTGATTCTAAAACGCTTTTCACTTCAAGCAAGAACTACTCTTACAGTACCATCATCTTCCTCTATGAGTCTCGGTCAAGTAATCTTGATGTATACCAATTCATAGATGTTTGCAGAAGCATATTGCTCTCTCCACACCGTTCTCTCTAAGCCAATCCTCCCTCTTCCACCCAGGCTTTTTTTGCTCCTTGCTAATACCATCTTCAGAAACAAAAGAACTCAAACGCCGCGTCCGCGACATAATCGACCCCTCTCGCGATCTCGGACACGTAGACGGCAAGAAAAGCACCCCAAAACCTCCTCCTACTACCACTCAACCAACAGCCCTCCCTCGAGCCATCAACCGTCTCCAATCCTCTGACTCTGCAACGGGAGAGAGGAAGTTTACGCCCATGGATGTAGACGTTAATTCCAGACCTGGTTCCAGTGGGGCGGAGAAGGTGGTTGTGGAGGAGCAGGAAGGAACGGGGGTTTGTAGACCGAGCGAAGATTGTGAGGATTGTGGTTGATGGTCAACATTTGGACAAATGAGAGATGGAGATGGAATAACCGATATGTAGAAATAAGGTAATGCTTTATGTTTAATGAGTAACGGACGTTGAATGAAATAGATGTCCTCGATTTTTACATTCACAACTGCCGCGAGCCTGACTGATATGATTGATATTGATATGTATGTATACTACACTCTACTTCACCTTCTATAATTCAGGCTGTGCCTCAAATCTATCTCCAGAAGTAAAACCCCTGTTAACCAGCAAGAGTAGAAATCTGCAACCCTGGTAACTTCAGAACCTTACAAGAAGTCCAAATATCAAAACAGCACGCAGTAACTCTGCACTAACCAATAGCCTCGCAACCTTCACAACTCTATTCCAGCTGAATGCGGCCCAGCTTTGCTACTCCAGAAAAGGAAGAAAAAAAAGAAAAAAAAATTCTTTTCGAAAGAATTGAATAGCAAAACCTTTCCTAGATACCAACCAGAGAGTATCTAGGGGGGTAACAGATTCAAGCGAGGTGTAATGAGTAAACATCGTAGCAGGAAACAAGAATCTGAATTCGATTGTTCTGGGCTCGACCATTCGGCCGCCCTACTGCTCAAGTACACATCTTTCTGTTTTTGATGCTAGGAAAATGCTTATTTGTTTCTATATCCCAAGCAAGCCTGGCGAGCGCGAGCTAGCCCGAATCGGACTATCGTCAACAAAAGGCAAGGCTGAGCTGATGAGACTGGTCAGACCCTAACTTATAACCTTTTCCATAGAAGAAACCTAATTGAGATTTAGACCTCTAAGCACTCTACAGAAAGCTTCTTATCATCCCATGACTCCTACTAAACATCAAATAACCTTAAATCATGCATGATAGAACCAGTCAGCACGCAGAGGCCGAACAAGTGGATGTAAATCACAAGCCGATAATGCAGCCACGAGTCAACAGTCATCTGGGAAACTAAACAAGATGTAGGAAATTAATTTGATTCACCCGCGAACAGATCAGCGTGAGCAATTGTGGCAGAAGAAACGGCTACGGAAAGAGGAGGCCACCCCAGTTATCACTTGCGCACAGAGAGAAGAGGTTTCGTGCATGCACGAGTCAATCCACCCCACCAGTTGGACGAACCCCGCAGTCGAAAAACTCCCCAACCACAGAACGCCCCTCCGACCCCACCACCAACCACACTTCCAGCAAAACCAAGCAAGGGCGAATCGAGAGTGCTACACAGACAAAGGTAACCTTAACATTGCGTAGAAGAAGCAACCTCTCCCACATCGTAATCTCATATACACACAAAGATGCCTTTCCTAGCCTTGCCATGCCACCAACTAGCCACGAAGAGCCAGTCTATAGAAACCAAGTCCGAAGAAAAACCTGCTTGTCCATCAACCCGTTCTTTTGTGTAACTTTCATGTCGTGTCGCTTTCAAAGTCGTAGTTTCGTGTCAATCGCGATGTATGGTCGTTGGTCGTGATAGCTCTGCGATGAGAAAAAGGAGATGTGTACAGTTGGGATACGTCGTCAAAGAGGAAGCTTCGTAACGCAAGGTACGCACGCGTACCAGTAGGTATGTTTATGATGAGGAAAAGAGTCGTCAAGATCGAGAAGACGTTCGGGTCTGGCAAAAATCGATCGATCGAGGCGTACGCGGAAAAAAGGCAAGGCGGATCGAGGTGCGTGGGCGAAACATTGTCGTGAGACTCGAGGGGAAATCGCGAAGGCATGCTTATCTGCGTCCGAACCTGCTATACACAAGAAAGTTCGTAATTGTTCATTTACTTTTTGGACTTCCTCGGAGGAGTGACGGGCCTACTGGCACCAAGGCCACCGTAAACGTACTTTTGTTTCTTCTCCGCTGGTTTCAGGATCTGAAGATTAAAAGTTAGAGAGAGTTCGCCTGCTTCGGGGGTATAAGGGCACCAACCTGGAACGAGCATAGCAAACTCTCATCCACGCTCATCATAGCTCCTGCATTATCAAACTCGCCGCAGTAATTGGGTGCACTGAAGAGTGTGACCAATTGCCGCTTTGAGAAGAATTCGTAGCCGTCTTCGACAACTTGATGAGCTCGGCATATCAAATCCATGTCATGCTTCTGGAGGAATCGAGAGACAACATCAGGCCCGAACGTGAATGAGACACCTCTGTCATTTTCACTCCAGCCGGTGATATCCTTGTCTGGGTCGGACCAGAGAAGATCGCAGAGTAGACCGCAGTCAGGAATCTAGATTTATTAGTAAGAGCTCAAGCCCTCCCTCGATGCGCCGAGAGACGGCAAGAAAAAGGAAAAATGTGCACTTACATCAGTTGGGCGCATGACACGACGAATTTGCTCCATAGAGTTCAAGTCAGGGCTCAGACCACCATGCATTGTGAAGATCTTCTCGTCAATGATTGCGGCGATTGGGAGGCAGTTGAAGCAATCAGTGAAGGTCTTCCAGAGCTTGATGTTATACCTCCTCTTGCACTCATCGTAGAATCCATAGATACGGTTAATGGAGGCGCATTCATGGTTGCCACGAAGGATGAAGAAGTTCTCCGGGTATTTAATTTTGTACGCAAGGAGTAGGCAGATGGTTTCCAGAGATTGCTTGCCTCGGTCGACATAATCACCAAGGAAGAGATAGTTTGCCTCCGGTGGGAATCCACCATACTCGAACAAACGCAGCAGATCATAATATTGGCCGTGGATATCACCGCAGATCTGCAGAAGCATATGTTAGCATATTCGGCTTTGTTGACTTTGGCAGAAGGCGGAGAGTGCAGCTGCGTACCTTGATAGGAGCCTCAAGCTCTAATAGAATCGGTTGCGAGATGAAAATCTCACGAGCCTTTGTGCACAGATAACGGATCTCTGCTTCTAGCAGTTGTACTTGTTTGCCTGGTCGGCTTCCTCTGACCTCCAACAATCTATCAATGATGGAGTCAAGATCGACATCATTTTGGTCCGCCATGGCTTCTATCCTCTCTTGGAAGAAGGGTGACGGGGTTCTGGTTGTGGTTTCCGCAGTGAGAGGGGAGGGGGGATTATCTGCTTCCTAGAATTGTATTTCGCTGTATGGAGGACTGTGAATCACTTCCGGTACTGTTACGCGTGGCGGATTAGCATGCGGCTGACAAAAGTTGGGAGGATGCAAATTTGGTGGGCGCGATGTGGTGAATGTCAACGCGCTCTGCAGATGTCAAAATACATACAATGAAGTAATGTCGGCCTCAATGGAGCTTTCTGCAGAAAGCTACGTCAAAGGTAGAGGGCGCAGAGACGGCACACGAGTTTGAAGTATTCGCCGCAGGAGACCAGATTCACCACAGGGACCACAAGAACGGTGAGTAACGTAGGGTGTGGTATCGTGAGGCTGTATATTCACAGCTATCGTCTTTGATCGCTTGACAGCGAAATATGCGATGAGGGTGAATGTATTGTTCGTCGTTGTGTTTTGGGACTCGAGTTGTTGCGGGTTCGTTCGGATTTGGATTTGATTCTCAAAACAAGCGCGGGTCTGCCTTGATAAACGAGGACGCTTCAAAAAATGGCTACGGCTGGAACTCTGCTCCGTACCGGATCAGATGGAACGCAATGGCCGAGTCGATCTGCGTGCAATGAGAATCTGCTGGTGTATCGTTCGACTTGGGGGCAGAGGGCGAATATCGTCGGATACTTTTGTGTGAGATTCGTCTGTGTTTGAGAATTCGTGAAGCTGGGCGCTGGGCGTGCTTTGTGGAATGCGCGGTGTGGGGTTTGCTTGAAGAATGTAGAATGACTACGGTAAGTGGGATTTCAGAGATATCGTCAGTTCTTCAGTCAGTCAGGATCTGCTGGGTCGTCGCTGCCGTCGATGAGTCTCGATGGGTGATTGTTGGTAAGAAGGGGCAAGTTGCTTCCAGCAGCAGTGTTGCCTCAACTCTCGACCTCCTGGCTCTTTGCTCCTGGGCTGGGCAAGCTGACTACAGGCCTGGGTTTCTCAAACAGACGCCGCCTCTGCTGTAGCATCCAAGCAGCGACGAGTTCTGGCGCTTACGCTGCGCAATACTACGCCGTACCCTGCGAATCCCGAGCCGCTTCAACACTCCTTACGCAGGATGGAGGCCCAGCAATTGGCAGCAATTGGTTCCGACAACCTCGAATGAGCTTAGTTGTACTTTTTTTTCGCAGACGGCGAGGAACGCCAGTGACGATTTCTCTCCACTTTATCAGACGCACGCTCTCCACATGTACAGCAAATACGAAACTGACGTAGAGATGATTGGAGAGTTTGGGGATCTGACTCTGTTAATTATCATTCATCTACAAAATATGATATGTTGCTCGCGTGTCATCGGTTGGGATCGATGATGGCCTATTATCATTATGCCTTCGGATCTTGGATACTAATAAAAGATCGAACTTTCTGGACTTCAGGGGTGCAGATCTTATGATTGGTATAAGTAAAGATGGTCTCATCAAGATCTTCCCTTTCATGAGGTTGCGCACGGTTTGTAGCCTGAGCAGTCTCAGACACTCGTGATAGATATCTAGTACTGCGCAGAGCACGAATTTCTTTAGGGATTTCTGAATACTTAATTTATTTTGTTTTCAAACCTACATGTTATTTCTCAATTGTCAGATGTACCTAATTCTCGAGGTGATTATACCGTCCCGTCAATTGCACATTCATGTGTTGCATCTACAACATTTGCGATATGAGACTGAGTGATACAACACATCTTATACCTTCGTCGGGTGACATCTTTATATTGACCCTGTATGATGTTCAAAGGTCTACCATTGTTGTCTCGTTACATCTTCAAAGCACAGGTAGTTAGTAACAAGTAACGCTCTTTCTGATTGTTGTAAGTATGGTGGCAGGATTTGCGTGTTGTGAATCACTGCATAGTTGCATCTAATCTCACCCAAAATAAATGATGAATGAATGTCATTTGTCCTCTGATTCAGACAGAAACTTCCTAGAATTGTGATCCGGTATCACAACAGATTGTTTTGTTGCTCAACCTGGACGGCGAAGACCTCTTGTATCACATCCAAACTCGAATTGCTCATTCTGTGATTGGTATGGCGGGAGTCTCCGTCGTCCAAGTCTGTCAAGACTGGAGCTGCGGGACGTGTAGAATAAGAATTTGTTCGTTGAAAATTTGGTCGCTCAGCATGTAAATTCACAGGATGTGTTCTTGAACTCAAGGGCCGAGGAAAGCAGTGGTTGATCAGAAATCCAATAACAACAAAATCAAACTCCAAATCCACACTCAATCCAATTCAAAACGCTACTTTTCCAATTTGTGTCAATTCCAGTCTTTTCAACGCCAATCAGATCGTTATCCTCAATGCTCATCAATTTAGTCACCAGCATCCACACACATATCCCCTCAAACATTCCCGTTTCGTCCCAAAACCAGATGTGCAATAGTACTAGCATACGGACCAGGATGAAACGGCTTCTCCAAGTCAACGTTTTCATCTGAGTCCCGGGTGTTAACGCTTTCATCTGAGTCAGTACTCTGTTGAGAACCTTCGTCGACTTCCGTAGGGCGCTGAAGGCTTGTATCGAGACCATCACGACCATCATCACCCACATCGCTATCATCATCATCATTGTAGATGTCTTCGGAGCCTGCTTCAATGCCATCTGCTGCTGTTTTCTCGCTTCCCTCCGCATTTCCACGAGCTTCCGGCTCAGCGGCGGTTGTATCGTCATCTACCGGCAAAGCGACTTGTTTCCGAGTTCTCTCCTCATAAAGATCAATGTCCATGGTGTACGCTGTCAGAAAGTGTAGGACGTGAACTTCGCGGTCGCAAACCAATTGGTCACCATTTTTCGCCGTCTCAATCTTGTCTTTCGGGTCAAATCGTCGCACGCGCCCAATTGCCTGTCTCATCGTTGCATGGTAGCGATCGTGGGCATCCGTCCCAATGGTAAGATACGGTGAGAAAAAGATGACCCATTTTGCGGCAGTCAGATTACTATTAAGGACATTAGCAAGTATTCCACATTGGCAATCTGGCCAGCTTACCTGCCTGCGGCTGAATCATCTTCAATGTCAATGAGCAGAACCGTTGCTTTATTCGCTGTAGTCTTACATTTTACATCTTTTCCGGTTTGGAAATCAGCAAGAACAGTGTCGAAATTGTTGAGCGGCTTGGCTCTTGCGTCGACCAGAGTGGCATACTGAAGATACTCGAGATCCATGGCACTTTTGAGTGTATTGAACGTGGTCCTAGTCCCGTCGTCGTTAAAGAACAACAAGACCTTCTCATCCATGTCTTTGATTGATTTCAGCTTGGCCATCAACTGATTGATCTTTTCGCCGGGTATCGAGGCTGATTTTGCTAGCGAAGTGACTTCCTGATCCACTTTCAACTTGCTATCACCAATCTTTTCATGTGTTTCAACTCGCACGTTGCATTCATTAGTAGGACATTCATCGAGATGCTGTCCAGAACAAACCTGGCCGCAATTTGTGGTCAAACATGTTGCTAAGTGCTCCCCAGAATACAACTTGCAGATCGTGTGTCCACACCTACTCAGGATGATTCTCTCCTCTGGTGAGGTTATCGTCTTGAGGCATTTGGCGCATGGTACTTGCTTGACTGTATAGCTGTCGAATATTGCTTGGGTAAATCTGAGTGAGCGTTGTCGCTTCACAGCCTCTTCGACAAGACTAACCAGATTTCCAACAGCCAGGCGGAAGGGCTTTTCCATTCGATGCATGAATTTACCGTAATGTTTCACCATGCCGGATGGATACGGTTCGAAGCTATCTTCTAGCTTGATCTTCTCTTTGTCTTTGGCTTCTGTTGCAGCCTTGTTTCTGTAGGGATCCTGCACCTCCACATCTTTAGTGAAGAATAAGTTCCAGTCATCTTCAGTTACATTTTCGGCAGCGGCTAAGACTAACGGTGTTATCTTATCCTGAATGCCGGCATCTCCAAAAGTAACTGCAGAAGACTGCAAACGCTGCTGGAACTCTGCGAATCGACCACGGCTTGGCATACTCTCATCTTGATCTTTTAGCCACATTACTTTCTTCAGAATAAGCTTGATATTCTCGAGACAAATCCGTAATCTTCACTACGGAGATCTAGGATTATATCGTTGGTAGACTGAGACTTAGACCTTTGACAAGGGCTGTAGTGCGCCGCGCGCCAAAGTAGTGTAGCGTCGGTGGTCCCACGATGTCCGCTATTCAATTGTTCATCGTACTCGCTTATCTTGTCTGGTCTCTTACTGTAAGCAGCGGTTCTGGAGCTGGTGGAGTTCTCTGGAAGATCTGGAGCTGCTATTCCGTGCTCGAGATCAAGGTAGCTCAGTCGCTCAGCTGGAGGCTGGAAGACAAGCTTGATGTTGTCAATCTTTCCGATATGTACACTACTGGCGTCCTAGTACATGTCAGTTCCAAGTGCCAATGAAGAGGGGGAAATAATATCACTTTTCGAAAGTACTGATTCAAGAAGTTCTGAGCAATATCATGCCTTCGCTTCTTCCAGGGAAGTGATGGAATAGACCGATGTATTATGAGTTTCTCGTATTCTGTCATGGAATATTAGTTGAGACGCCCAAGCAAGAAAACCAATTTACCTGTCAAGTTCTTGGTTGCACGGGTCCAGTCCTCTGCTGGAATAGAAGAAATGTCGTCAACACCAAGTTTGATTCCTATCAAATCAGCCATCAGCTTGACGTCCGCAAATCCATTTCGAGGTGGAGTAGCGGAAAGGAGCCACTTCGCATGACTCTTGACTTGTCGCAGCGTTTGGCCCGTGTCTGGTTTGATCTGTTGAAACTCGTCGATGATCACTCGTGCAAAGCTGAACATTTCGAGGACGATTTCCTGCTTCAATTTATTGGACTCGGAGAGACCGCTGACGTGGCCCTTGATTTTCTCGCAGGCAGTTTCATACCACTGCGACTGGATTCGAGCAGGAGGTTTGCTCTCGAGTTCGGCCTGGCCACTTACTCTCGCCAAAGCCTTTAGATACGGAGCGTCATCGCACAGCGTCCGTGGCATGAGGATAATGTCGGCGTTGCGGAAATCTTGGACCGTATACTTTGCAAAGCCTTGTGCCGTCAAGATGGTGCAAATCTTCATGGACGGAGTGAAGGTCTCGATTTCAGTCTTCCATTGTTGGACAATATGCCGGGGGACGAAGATCAATGTTGCCTTCGTAGGTATGTAACCATGTAACTCCTCGCTGCGCACCTGAGCATGTTGTATCAGCGCCAGTATTGTCGGAGTCTTGCCAAACCCAACATCAGCGGCCAGAATTCCCACTCGTCTCGTAACTTTTCTTGTCGCTCTGCCCCACACTCGGTAACCGAATTCAGCACATTCCGCCTCGACAATCTCCTCTTCAGTAAAAGGTTCTGGGTACGTCTCCTGTGACAAAGCCCAATTTGCAGCTCCAAGTTGTTCCTTCCGCAAAGGTTTCTCGGAATTTCATGATGGGAACTTCAGGTCTGAGATACCTTCTTCACTCTCACACTCTTTGAACCTGCCCAGGATATCTCTTGGCATAGACTTGTCATCTGTGACGAGTCTCCACTCTGCTTTGATATTATCTCGATTTCCATCTGTAGTGAGTTCATCAACTGCTTGGTGGACCACCGTCAAAGGGTTAAGATGAATTCGAAAATTCAGCTGCTCTTCCTCAATACAGTAGGTTTGACTGAAGGGCGGCGGCCTCAACTTCATTTTCCTCTCGTATTCTCCTGCTTGAGCAGTGTCCTCGGAAACTGCGACTCGACTTTCCCCCTTGGAACTTGCCAGAATTCTAAACAGTTTTGGGTGTTCGGGGCTACATTCGAGACACCGTTTTTTTACCTCATCCTGCGAGACCTGCTGCCACGTTTCAAGTCCCCAGATGTGGGGTTTCATCACAAGGCACCGAGCAAACAGGTAGCGAAAATCTGTGTAGAATCTTAACGCGTTCTTCTGGTTGATCGTAACACGTACACTCTTTTCATACCTGTTTGCAAACTTCTCCGCAATCTTGGCATTGCAATCGAAGATGGTCCAGGTATTGCTGCAACCGAGAAATTCCACCGAAGGTGCCAGTGGTGGCATGGATAAGTGCTGATATGTGATGAACTCTCCAGAAGAATTGCCCACTGGATCAATGCTCATGATGTCGTCAGTCGCCACCTTTGACCATGTTCCATCGACGTACAGAACCACAGGAATTTCGACGACCGGCTCTTCAAGAGGGCTTTCGTCGAGGATCGTTCCTTCATAGTCCAACTTGCTGTAACGCTTCGATTCGCTATCCGCAATTTCCTTGAATCTGATTTGATCAAAAGCGGGCCGGCATGAAAAGCGTCCAATGTTGCGTCGATACTCCCCAAATCTCAGTCTTCTCGGGTCTTGTGTAAGTATATAGCAATGTCCTCTGGGGTCACCCATCTGTCTTTGGTGATCATAGAAGATAAACTGAGGCTGACCTCCTGTCTGGACCCTAGCGTGCAACGAGTTGAAAGCCTGACCGCATTCTTGGTGCAGTTTGTAATAGCCCGTGACATCGAATTTGTCCTCCTCATCTTGGGTCTGAAACGCGAGAGAGAAACCGACGGAGACCTTAGTGTCCAAGAAATCAGGGATACCACGGAGAGATTCGAACGATTCCACAAGACCGACATCGCTCTTCAGTGTCAAATGTATCTCTCGCTTCGAAGGCACCCAAAGCTCCAACATCCCAGCGGTAATTGCTTGACCAAGCTCCGGCTTCATTCTTGCAATCGGGAACTGTTCAAACTGAACACGTCGAGGATCATCAAATGACCAGTTCGTTGCAGCTTTTGCGTAGAGGAGCCACTCCACTTCATTCTCCGAAATTTGAATCACGGCTTTGGCATAATCCGACTCGTATGTGACACGCCAGATATCCATACGCTCTATCGATGTCATGAACGTGTGCGAACTCAAGGCTTGGCTGATATGACCCAGCAAAGCCTCGTCGCCGATCTCAGTGACTTTGAGCAGTTGGTCGATCTTTGTCTCGTCTATCAGAAGAACTTGATTCAAGGTTTTCTCGAAGTCTGCCGGATTTTGGTAAGCTTTAAGCGAGGGTGGCCGATAATCGTGCTTCGGATTCTTGGGATGCTTCTGGCATGAAGTATGAGAACAAATACGACATTCCCAGAATGTCTCGTGCGCTGTGCGGTGGGGACCCTCGCAACCACAGAGTCTCCGTGTAGATCGAGCTTGTGCTATGGCTTCATTCGTAGAGAGTACGGCAGTTCTGAATTCAAATCTGTCTAAGACTAGGTTTCGGAAATTGTAATCCTTGCAACTGGCTAAAGCAAGCAGAGCTGATATCATGGTAGCCCCAATCACTGTGGAGCTCATAGCATTTCCTGCCAAGTTCTGGATTTGTTTGTCTTTGAGATATGATAGGTCCATTCGATTTGGTGGCAATCCTTGAAGAATGAGGGTTTCTCTGCCTGTCAGCTGTCGACCAAACACGGTCAACCAGGGCTTTCCGGCGGGTGTAATGCATCCGAAAATGCCATTTTTGTCTGTTCCTCTATCTCTGTGTATGTTTTGGCTTACATCGAGAGATTGACTGTTGTAGATCAGCATATATCAAATTAAATCCCTACAGAAGGACCTACCTGTAGTACCGATCGTCATATCCTCGTTTGATTCCTCGTAAGTGCGAGATCTCAAGAACATCCAAGATACGATTCAACGGAGGATTCTTTTGAGTCCAAAAGTCTGGGATAGCCCGGAAGCCGCTCTCATTCCATAAGGTCAACGAACGACCGGTTCCGAGTGCTAGATTATCTCTGAATCTTCTCATTTTGATTTTGCAATCCTCCCAATCGTCCCTTTTCGTCCTTTTCTCGATTTCAGGGTCACCAAATTGAGAAAATGCTTCTGGTGTCTCTTCCGCAGACAAAAGCAACATGGTCTCAGCTGAGACTGCAGTCGTTTGCTTGAAGCATTTGACGTAAGCTTCCCATGTCTCCAGAAGCTTTCTCGCCTCATCTTTTTCCTTGAATAAGTCCAGATCAACACACAACATGTATCTGCGATTTCGAGTTTGTGGTAGGTAGAAGTCTTTGATATCAAGCTTCAGGATCTTTGCCATATACCTCTCCTTTTCAATATCTTCTTCAATCGTCCTCCAGATAGCGTCTGTTGCGATCACGTTCTCGAATAAGACAACTTTCGGTCTCGACTGCGTGATGTAAAGAAGGATACATGAGAAGACATGGCCAGATTTCCCTTTTCATAAAGAGTCTTCCTGCTGTGGTTCAATCTTGAGAAATCAACACAAGGAAAACCAGCAACGAGAATGTCGAGCTCTGCAGGTACTTCGGCTTGACTTCCGTAGACCGTCGTTCTATGCATTATCAGTAACATATTTCGAACCATGAGGTTAAGACCGCTCACCCTTGATAGTGATGGTCTACTAGAACGAATTTTGTAACGTCTCGGAAAATTGAGACATCCGGCCAGTTTCGAGCAATATATCGCTGTTTGAAAGGTTCGATTTCCGCGCTGAAGCAATGTTCATGTCTGAAGCGATATTCTCCTGTACTCTCGAACACTGTTCAATATAAGAAATGTATCGTCGTTGGAGAAGGATTCACCTTACATTATTCAAAGAGTTCCAAGGCAATGATTGGGCACTCTGTTCCGGAGCACATCGTGCCTATTCGCAAAGGGCGCCTCTCGAGACCGCACAAGAGGACAAAAAGGTCTTGTTCGCACTCCGTACGAACCTTATAAGTCATGTGGTCAAACATCTCTTGTAAGGTATTGATCGGAACCCCATTGTATGAATGGTCAAAACCGTACGCCCATTTCCAAGAATCAGATTCAACCACGTCGTCTGCTTTCTTCGCTTCTAGAACCGATTTCAGATCTTGTTATAGTTTTCACAGGGGGCAGGGTAGTACTCACTACGGTTCCCTGTTTTGTTATCATCAGCCCCTTTTTTTGCCTCGCCATCTCCTCCGTCGTCGTATCGTTCCTCACCACTCCATTCTCCAATCCCATTCTCTTCATCGCTTTCATATGCATCTCTCCCTTCTCGAGACTCCAGACCATCATGTTCGATGGTACCCTCATCGGGGTGGCCGCCTTCAGAGTCATCGTCAATCACTGCTGGGTCATTCCCTCCTTCTGATGGGCTTCCCTCGCTCGTATTTTCTTCGGAGTCTCTTGAAGCAGCTTGAGTAGGAACGTGTGACTGCACTGGGCCAGCATTTGCAGGAGGTGCGGTATTGGTAATTGGTGGACTCGCTTGGAGGTTCGCCCTTTGGTTTTCGCGCAGTTGTCCCCGTGTTAGCGGCGCCATGGATCCACCGCTCACTTAAGGAACGGAGTTGCAACAGTCTGTTTCAAGCCAAGTTACCAGAGGTACGACGGTGTTGCACAGCTCATCCAAGTCAATCTTGGACGAAATCTTGGGAAGTCTGATGGAGCTGAACAAAACGGGAACTTCCCAGCATTTATAGAACTCATCTCGTCCACAGACAATAAAAGGTCCCGTCGCAATTGGAGGCATCTGTAATTCAATGATAAAAGGTCTAGCATGCTGCTCAAGGCGGGAGTGCGCAGCACGACGACCTTGCAAGATAAAGGCACCCCAAAGAAGATACATCTTGAGATCTCTTCGCAGCGATATAACAAAGCTGAGGGTTGATTGACAAGCCGGCTAGACTTTTGCAACTGAAAAAGCATTGAAAGGGGCAGACTATAGTGAAGCAAGAAATGTAAGGTACAAAGTACCGTACGGAGCGTTTTCTGTCTGCATACTTCCACAGATGTATGAAATATAATAAAGAGTTTGGTGAAAGGGAGCGGTTAACAAATTATTCCTTATTATTCCTTACCTAATTACCAAACGTGGAGATGAGAAGGCAGGAAGGAGTGAATCGCGGTCGTTGTAGACCAATTGTATGACTCAGCAAATGCGGCCGCGCTTTCCCAGCCCCTTTTCTACGCAAGTTTTCGCATTCACTTCGATAGAAAGACAACACAAAGGCAAACTATCAAGGTGGGAAAGCACCCAATAATCACTTCTCGTATTAGACGGCTGATTGTATCTTCTGGAGCTGCCAGCAACTTCGATGCAACAAAGATGCTCATTTCCCCAATGAACCATGACGATGACGATGATGCTGAAATGTTGATTTAGGTGAAAGATCTCGGCCATGTCCACAATTGTGCTGCACCCTCCCCTTCCTTGCCTTTGCAAACATGCCTGCAGGATTGTGGAGACTCTTGCCACTATTTTCCTCAATTGAGGAAGAAAAACTACGAACCTCCATATTAACTTGAAAGTGCAGTATATTGATTGATGAAGTCATTGCTCATGTTTGAAATTGTCAAGTGCATCAGAACAACACCCAGCCAGCTAATAAGTCAAAGTCGTGTGAGCTTTGCTTTGAAAATGTGCTGTTTTCTATTGGAAGAGAGCAAAGTACTTTCAACAAAGGCAGCCACGGCATGAAATGAACAAATTGCTTTGTTTACTCAGTTCTACTCTGCTCATGTGTCAAAATGTTCTGCTTTTTTGAGATTTTAGCTCTGGAATTTTGTTACACGTTACGATTACAAAAGTTGCGCATGATTCCAAGGCTGCAGGGCTGCAAAAGATTACCAGCCTTGAGCGACCATTTTCGTTATAGCCTTCTGTAAGCCCGCCCACATATCTCAAGTAGATAATTACGTGAAACCACAATGTACATCCTAGATTTAGCTAATATGGCTCTGATAAGTCGTACAAAATCTAGTTACATGCATGCATATTTCTTTCCTGCCTTTGCTTCTACCAAGAAACAGCACCACTTCCCATGTACTCTCCTAGATTCTGAAAGAACATTTGCGTAAAAAAACGGGGCGCCTACAGGCTTTGAGGTCGTGTTGCCAAATACAACCGAAAGCCTCCATTTGTCAAGTGCAAAAGGCTCATGCTACTTCATATGCTTTAGTGAGGTGTGCCTCTCGCGGGAAATTTCAATAGATTGAAAGGTTTGGTGAAGGGTCTTGAGTTGAATATCAACATAGGGAAGATCGCCAATCCTCATTGCTTGACTGTCTTCGAAGCACTGGGCTGATATTGAACATTGCGACTGCTTCGCAATAATGAATAATCGGTCTGGCTCTACACTTCCAAACATCCTACTCGTCACTGCCATCATACTTTTGTCAAGTATCTACAGCACATCCTTAAAGTATGCCTCTCTGAAATGTTGGAACAGTCTACTGTGTTGTAACCAAAGGTCAGTAGTCACTTGTAAGAATATTTAACATAAAATAAAGAAGTTCATGACTTCTTTTGCAATCAAAGCAAAGCATTGCACCTCCTCTATACAGAGGGGATGACGTGCTACTACTACAGCAAGAAGATTTTTCTGTGTTTTTGACCAAAATACTTTTTCCGCTTCATATGATTTAGTGAAACTTGGCTCAGCCGCGGGCGAGATCTTGATTTAAAGCATACAAGCTGTCTCCGCTTGGAAATGTCTGACTGTCTATAAGCCTGTGAGAAGTCTTGAGTTCAAACATGATTAATTTGTTTTCTAATTTTCACAGAAACGGTCGTTGATGGTCTAAGGAGGGCAGACATCAATCCCTCGCCTATCATGGGAAGATAGCCTGCATAGCTGACATGCATGAACTTGACACCTAGGTCCACCTCTCTGTCACCGACTATCTAATATCATCTCCAAGTGTCGTTACATTCCTCCTTGTTACCACATCCGTTATCTCGCTCTCCTCAACATCCCTCCTCGTACAACAACAGCGAAAAAACTCCACTCTCAAAAATTGTCCAAACACCAACCTCAAAAGAGATCACAAACCCCCGAACCACAAACCCACGAAAGATCAAAAAAAAAAAAAAAATCATTATTGGCCTCTGCAGGAATCGAACCCACATTCGACTCTCCCCGGACACTCGGGACAGTCCGTGTTACCATTACACCAAGAAGCCTTTTATTTTCTTATACTAAAAAAACGCTTACTCGAATCTATAACTTGCGTGGATTTACGGGCCGGGCGAGTGAAATGTACGCTTCGGACGCATGTCTCTTTGACTAGAAGTATGCTTCATGTTTATCATCATCAGGCATCGTTTCCTTTACACGCAAAAAGGATAAGAGTTCTGCTTGTAATGTACGGAGGACTAATTGCAAAAAATGTAGGCCTTTCAAGGATTCGAACCCCGCCAAGAGGTATGTCGAATCGACAACCTCCTTGCTACCACTACTAAAAGGCCCTTCTTTCTTCTCACTTGTAACCAGAACACTTCTTCAGATGTACACGTTCAGCGTTTTTCAGGACAAGCGCAACTGAGATCTGTGCATAGCGCAAGCGTACCCTTCTTTAGCCAACGTCCCTTCCCATCAAGCATCGTCTCCTTTCACACCCACGCAAAAAAGGTATATTCCAAACAACCGCCCAAAAATCCAATGCTCCATCCTCTAAATGACAACAAACCACAAAAGACCCAAAAAAAAAAGAAAAAAAAGAAATTAGCCTCTGAGGGAATCGAACCACCAGTCTTCCACCCAAAGCACTTGGGGAGGAATGTGTTACCATTACACCAAGAAGCCTTTCTATTCTAGTTGATGAATGAAAATCACTTATCTCGCTCTATGTGTCACTTGTGTTTTTGGGATGCGCGCCTGTCTGCTTGTAAATGATATTCTCTGAATCATGCAGCCGACGCTTCTATCATTCTACAGCGATGAAACTACAGACGCAGATGCACATTCAGACTCTTTGTAATGAATTCGACACTTTTGATCTCTTGATCTTGGATTAGTAAGCCTCTAGAGGATCTGAGAAATGCATAGGTCATGGACATCGCAGCAGCCACGAGAGTTCTTCGATTATAGGTATTTTTTCTAGATGACTATGACAATTTTCCATGGACAGACTACTATTGAAAATCCCTCGCCCACACTTCAAACCTATCTCAAAGACCGGAACATCCCCGGATATTCAAAACTCCAAGTAACTCCTGCTACGATCCTGTCTCTTTGTTTCCTGTCTCTTTGTTCCCTGCCTCTTTGTGCTGTAGTTGGGGATCACGTGGGGAGCTAAGCCCTATTAGGCTTAAAGCTAGGGAGCGCTACTTTCCCGGGCTGATGACTAACCGCGTCTTAGTCACGTGCCAGCCGTAGCTAGTCCTAAAGGAGATAAGAGAGGAAGCTCGGACCACTGCTTTCGAATATATCTTAGCAGCTCGTCCTTCGACCTTCTTCCTCTCTTGTCTTTCTTTCCACCTACGACGCGTAGCTCTAGGTCTAATGAATTCCCTTCCTCTGCACCTTCTTAAGAGCAAGCCGTGACAACTCTAGGATATTTTCAAGCCACACCTACTGGCACCATACCCACAAGCTCCCAAGTCAACCATAGACATTCAAGGACGAATAAGTTACCATGGCATCCTATACGGGTAAAGCTTCTCTGTCACCGCTCGAGATATCCTGGATCCAGTGAATTTCAGCATCCTGCCCACCTCCATTTTTGAAGCAGCCCATCTTGAATTGCCGACAACTTCACCGTCATCAGTGTCGGTGAGAATGTCGGTCAGTGAAGGGGTGATTAGCAGCCTATTATTTAACGAGGCTCTGGACCGACATTGTGGAGTACTTGAAAGAGGGCGAAGCAAATAAATTGTACCACGCAATTAAGGTAAGCAGGGCTTCTAGGTACCGAAGATCAAAACGAGCATTACAGAATGTCAAGGCACGGATTTATCGAATAGTCACATCATATGAAATGGGCCAAAAGATGAGTATGTATGTTCAACAGCGGGAAAAAATTCATTATGCCACCCACCCCCTTTTTCCGTCCCATCCACACCAGACCCACATAGCTAGAGAGAGGGAAAAGCAGAACTCGAATCTCGAAACCCCACACGCTCATGCAATACAACAACAAAAAAGGGAGTTATGCCATCATTAAGAACCAGAGAGTTTGCAACGTTAGAGATTAGAAAAAACGCCCCATAACCCAATCCTATAATCCCATATTTTACAAACCCTCACACACAAAAAAAAAGACGATCTCTGATCGCGTCCAAAAGCCAAATCAACCCCATGCAGAAGGAGATCTAGCTCGGGAAGAAGAAACCCCAACATAACCGAAATCATGTAGGAATGCCCTATGTCCAGGAAAATAAGAAAGGCAGCAAGAAGAAGAAGAAGAGACAAGAAATGTGGATGGAAAAAACGCAAGCAGATGACCGTCCCAACCCGAACGCTATGCATGAACGAGACCCAGAACCCTATGTGAAAAGAAAACGTATCGAGCTTCGAAATGCCGAGGTCGATGAGAATGTGAATGCTGCCGTAATTTGTAATGCAAAAAAGGTCTTGAAGCCGAATCGGAAAAGGAGCAGAGATGCAATGCAACTTTTGGAAAGACCAGGGTATCAAGAACAGCCTCCCAATGCAACTTCCCCTCACATCTGCTTATGCGGTCGCCCAATCAAGAGGATCGCTTTGAACATTCAGCCTAATGTTCGACCACTATGTATTGTTTGTTGACTGTTGGCTCGAGGTGTGGTAGGACTCGGCCGTATACTGTTGGCAGGACTGTAATCTGGTCCGCCAAAGGGTTGGTTGGGATTTCTTGAAGTATCCCATCCTTCTTCACTTAAAACGCTGAGCCAGCCGTTGCCGACTTCGTTTCTCAGCGCTTCTAGTTTCTTTCTGTATAAATCTCCACTGACTTTCCAATCTTGTGAATCTTTCACGTTCTGTGACTTGATCAATGGAGCGTCGTACGACATCGTCTCTATAGGGGGTAGTCGAGGGACCACTGATGTGTCGATACGAGGCATGTCGGTTTGACTTTGTGATTGTCGAGGCTCGGAAGGTACATAAGACGGCACTGTTCGAGGTGATGGATCGGGACTCGGTGCTATCCCGTATCGACTATCAATTCCTGATACTGAGCGTGTTGCCTCCTCCGCTGAGAACTTGACAGCAGGCTTGTGTGGAGAAGTTTCTGAGGTGGACAGATCTACTATCCGCCGTTTTGGTGTCCTCCTTCTCCGCCCTGATGAGCTGATGTTGATTTCGCTCGTGGTTGCAGTTGGTACGGGACGCTCTTTTCGGAGGACAGCAGGCTCTCGTTGTGCTGGATAGTCGATGATGGGCTTGTTGACTTCCACGGCAGGGAGACCATAATCTTGTGGAGGTGGTTTGACCACAGGAACCATAGGCTTCTCGGCTGCCCGTTCCACCAATTGGCGACGCTCACTATAACTAGGGCCATATGTATCGATGAGAATATCTTCTGTGTATCCAGGGGTATTCCGGAATAGGTTGAAGATAGTGATTCGATAGCTGCTGTGTGTCTTTGTGAAGGGGTTACCAGACACCCAAATCTCTCTTATATCCGGAATGCCAGTCAATCTGGCCAACTCTGTTGGATCCGTCATTTTATTGTCCCGTAGATCTAATCTCTCGAGAGGGTATAATCTTTCCACGCCGGCAATTGATATCAATCGATTCGATCGAAGGTTGAGGGCAGTTATTGCTGGCAGAGGATTTCTTGTCAATGAATGAAGCGAATCAATCATGCAGTTGGAGAGGTTGAGAGCTCTGAGGGCTGTAAGGGATGCTAGACAATCAGGAATCTGCGAGAAAAGGTTCGCAGAGAGGTCCAGCGAATGTAGTGTGTTTGCTAATGGAGACAAACTAGACGTAGAAACCGATGTAAGCCCATTGTCAGCCAAGCTAAGATGCTTGAGAAATCTCCATTTCGATGAAGGCAGGATTCCCATGGCGAGAAGATTTGACGAGCTACCCCGCAGGTTGTGCCAGCCATCTGACATGCTCGAATGTGAGCTGCCAGATCCAGATCTCTTGACCTTGTATGATCCCCTGAGATGACCATGCGCCGAGCCAGTCCTTGAACTTGGTGGTCGGACAGGAGAGTTGCTCCTCGGCCTTGACTTGGTTGGTGACTTCGCTCCATCAGAACCTGATCGCACAAGTGAAGCACCCCGGCCATCTGCCTCATCACCAATATGTACTCGCTCGTCTGGAGATCCAGGCGCGGAATTGGATTTGACCAATTCGGCGTGTGGCATAGTCGGGCTTCGTTTTGGACTCGAAGAAGAGGCTACCCATGTAGAGGTTGGTGACATTTGGGCTTTGGAGGAACGGCGTCGTCGTTTGTCCATATCGTCGAGTACGATGTTTATGAGAAGGTCCGCTGGGTCGTCAACACCTGCACGTTTCACTGTCAATGATCTCAGCTGCTCAGCGAGACGGTCCCAGCCGAAGAATTGCCTGATATCAATGTCACTGATCTCCAAAGCACTGATGTTCTTGAAAGCGAGAAGGGGCACAGCGCTGTCAAATGGAAACTCCTCATAACCTTCGATCAATCGAGCTCGACGGTCCGGAGCGAGTCTCAAGCAGGGGATCTTGGTAAAGGCCGAGTATAGGTACTTCAAGTCTGCCTCAATCTGTGCTTTCTGCTTTTCTGTTCGGGCTGCAGAATTGCCAGAGCCCAATCCAAAGCTGGACCAGAGAGAAGACATTCCAGACATTACACTTCGAACACTGGATACCGAGTGAATGGATCCATGGTCCGAGCCTCGACCTTTGGGCCGTTGGGACTGGCTTAGAAATGAGACATAGTTTGTCGTCGATGTGTCATGGATGTTCTCCAGTCGCACGTTCATGGGTCCTACAGCGATACCAAGATCTTCAAAGCGCGAGAGCAGATAGAAGAGGTGATGGGGCGTCAAGGCAAGTTTGGCAGGTTTGATATTATGGGACGCGAAAGTCAGGTAGGGGAGGGAGAGGGCAGCGGCAAGAGTACTCGATGTGGAGGAGGAGGAAGCAGAGGAAGGAGGGTTTGTCGCCGTTGGTGATGTGGGTGTAGCTGAACTGCCAACGGCACCCGTTGTTGCACTCTGGGACGAGCCATTCTTAGGAGCTTGTTGGCGTCGTAATTGTAGAGCATTTGCGAGCGCCTTCTCGTGCGTCCGAACAAAGTGGGCCAAGTTCTGTAGAAATCGATTGTTAGAAATTTCCTCTAGAGATTAGGGAGTCCAAGTGTATACCTTTATGAAGAACTGTCCATCCTCAGTGTCCATCATTGAGAATGCATATGGTTTATCGTGAAACGGAAATAGAGTCTACAGCCCTTCGGCGGGATAAGAAACCCAAGAGAAGGCTATTCACTTCCTTGTATCTTTACGACGGATCACGGAAATCTCGTGTGTTGGACGTACGACTCGGCGGGAAGAGGGGGGTGGTCGAGGCGGTCTGCGTGTAACACAACATTAGCTTGCTGTCTGAATGATAACGATGGAAGATAAAAGTAGTGGTGCGTGAATGAATTCCGGAAGGCCATCCGTCAAATCTCTCCAGCCTCGAGTTCGGGTTGTATGTGCCTTCTGTATGCGCAGGCAGATTTCAGAGAGACGACATGCTTCCAAGCACGACGGAGGAGTGCATATGACTTATCACCGCGCGCGTCCAACACACATGAGACGCTGTGCACATAAGGGTAAGGAGAAGTCAGAGTACATACCTATACACCGGGAGGGAGGAGTTGTCGTCGGGGAGAGGTGCTGGGCACCGGCGAGCAACACAGCTCTGAGCACTCACACAACTGAGGCAAAAGGAAGGGATCGTGAGCGAAGGACGTCTCGGGCGAGTTTAAGAGGTCGACGACGATGTCTCTTTGGGAAAAGTTCTGCCGCCGACAAGATCTCGCAGTGACCAATAGTGGAGATGGGTGGCTTCACTTGGAGTTTGTGTTCTCATGCGGGCTGCGAGTTCGGTCGAGCCTTTCGTTCGTGCAGGCTCCACCACTCGGCCAGGATGATATGCGTCCAACGGGGTTCCCTGTCAAGGGTTTCGAGGTGCAGCACAACAAGTGCAGCCGGGACGCACACACGCAGCAGAGGAAGAGAAGACAATAAAGTAAAGTCTGCGGTACGGTACGGTCTCTGGCCCTATAGAGGAGGAGGAGGCAGGGCAGAAGGAAAGAAGAGGCAGCTTGAGGATGGATCAGGGAGTGAGTTGAGAGGAAGAAGATAATGCACGTCCTGGCGGGAGGAAAAAGCACTCCAGCTCCCCGGATGAGACCGAGATCTGGTGGCAGCAAGTGGCAGGAGAGGAAGCAGACTTTGTACAGATGGAGGCTTTGGTGGATGGGTTGACGGTGGTTGACAGGTCTGCGGTGGTGGTGGTGGATGTATGAGAGCAAGCTGGTGAGAGACTTCGAGTGTCAATTTGGCCTCCGAAATTGCTGGCGCCCAATTAGCGGGGCCGCGCTTCTGGGAGGCCGAAGATTATCTGAGTCTGTGCTGAACTGAATCGAACACGCCGGAGTAGACACCTACAGGCTGGGATGGGATGGATGCGATGGCAGATCTGTCTCTGTGTAGAAACACCGCCCGCGACCTGCACGATCGTACACCTTTTTCCTCACAGCTTCCAAATTACTGGTCACTTGGTTGCAGATGAACACCGGTGGTGGGCTCAAACCACCAGAAACAAACCCTCTGTGCTGCACGCTGGTGGATCGATGTCGTCGTTATGGCTTGGAAGTGGGGATGGATGTTCTAATACATGGGTTTTCCTCCGTCAAAAGATTTTGATAGTGGGCACTCTTGCTTCAGACAATGCGCCTATGGGTGTTTGAGATGGAAAAGATGCCGATGAGAGATCGTTGATAGGCCTCATCAGTAGGAGAAGTCCAATCAAGCACTGAATGGCGTGCAAAAATGCTGAGATGGTCGAACTCTATTTCCAATGTTTGGTAAGTAGAGAGACAGACGTTCATCAGATTCGAATTCAGCTACGGTGCGGTGCGATGCATTGCAGTGCGGTTCAGTATCAGCGGGTAAGAAAATATCTGCAGATGGCGCTGTCGCTTGTGTCCGTCCTCCTTCCAAAATTTACACGATCATCGCTACCCTGAGAGCTTAGTCCACTACCCCTCCAAACAAACAATGCCCTCCGAGACCGAGACCCTTCAAAGTTATACCATGACTTCTATCATTCAAGCATCTCTCGACTCAATATCTTGAGAGTATACCCGCTCCCCGTCAACAGCTTGCCTGAATCGCGTCATTGTCAACAAGCACAACCATCATCCTATCCTGTGCTCTTCCGATGTCCGTCACCGCCGTGCAACTAATTGATCGACGACATGGCATGGGATGGGATGGCAGACGACGACGAGATTGCTTTCTCACGAGGTGGATCATGCCATCCTTGTCTGGTGGGGGTTGACCTTGAACCCTACAGTAGAGAGAGACAGGAGTAGAAAAGCTCACGGACGCGAGGCGAGAGAGGAGGGGTCTTAAAATTGCTGCAGCAAATGCATTCCAGCCGCGAGAACCACAGACTCACCCACTGCTGAGCCAGCCGCCCAAATCTCACGAGAACCTCCAATGAAACCTCATACTTGCCTTTCTCGTCCATCGCACCCCGTCGTCGCCTCACTCCAATATCCTCTCCAGCATACCAACGTGCTAGGGTGCCGCCAGAAGAGGCTGCTTTCATGCCGGAGACACTCCTCCTGTGTCTTCACCGCGACTTCGAAGATAGTTTGCCACCACACACACACACATCTTCATCCTTTGCTCAGTCACCCACACCTTCAGATCATTGCTGACACAGTCACACCAATATACGAGACAAGCGATTCATCAGCCTCAAGCCTCGTGAGAAGGCGGTCTTAGAAGGGTCGATCCCTTCTCAGGCACACATTGGACTTGTTTCACCAGCCTTCCATCTCAGTCAGCTACTTCGGGACGGCAGCTCACCGAGTGCGACGCAACACAGATTTCCTTTTCTCTCTTTTACGCATGCAATGTGTGGCTCAGGTAGGTGGCGGGCCAAGAGATCTGAATATCCTCATGTGTGCCAAAAAAGCAACGATGACCTCAATGTACTCGATTCATGGATGCCATTCGACAATGGATTACTCTGTACGGTTTCCCGAGGGAGGAAAGATATGTTTGGCCATTGGGTGATTTGGGGAAGGATATCTTTGTCTGCATATGCAACAAGATGAGGTTAACCAGTAGAGATGCCTCTCGCGAGCACCGTGCAGCTCGCCAAACCACGAGTGTGGGGTTTGGCCGTGGCCCGACGGGACATCTGAGGAAAATCTTCATGTTTAATCATGGGCATCGCAAGTCGAAGTGCGACAGCTGACTCTGTTTTTCATCAGATATCAAGATTTCTGACTTCTCGCGCCCCCAAACCCCCGGAACTCTCGGCCACGTTCCAGAAATGGAAGCATAGAAGCATGGGAAAATTTAAGCACGAGTGAGTAGTGAACCAGAATGTCGCCGCGCTGCGAGCAACCGCGCAGGACTGCAGGAGGAGTTTGTTGCAGCAGCATGTTTCGACGCTGCACAACACTATGCTGCCTGGGTATGTATGTATGCTACCTACCTCTGCGCGGGGCAATATCGTGAGTTTGATCAAACGCCAAAGGCTCCGCGTTGACAGCGGTACATTAAAGCGGTGAACGATGGAGGGGTCGAATCAGATCCGGCCTGATAAGGTCCAGAATTAGAGTTTGGTCGATGGAGGGGTCCTCACTCACCTCCTACAGTACCGCGAGACGCGCCAGGATTATGGAAAGCGAAGGGAAGGGTTGTGCTTAGTGCGGTGATGTGCATCATTTTCTCGTCCGATGCGAACCTCGACGATGCCAAGTCTGGGCGTGCAAGAGCGGCATCGGATATATCGAAACACCTTCAAAAACATCGTGAGCTCTGCTTGCTCTCCCCCAGTCATTGTTACCGACTAGGGCAGACCGCTCAGCAGTGCTTCACCGTTGTTTGATCGCGATGCTTTTCCGACCACAAGATTTACTTTATCGGTAAATCCACGGAGCTCTCGAGATAGGTCGGAGCATTTTGCTCGGCTCAAAACTCCATGTTGTATACTACCGGCGAACTACTTCTGCAGCAATAGTCGCGTTCGGGGTAGATCTTCACTGAAGAAGAGCCAACATCGAATACATCGGAACGTGGCATTTGCCAAGCCCTCTTTCGAGTCAGAAGCCTCGGCCACTTTCAGCATTCCTGAGTGTCGGTCACGATCCAGAAATCGTACCTCAGATGACTTCTCTCTATGAGACTATGATTCGGATAAACCTGCTAAGAGAGTCAAATGATTGAGAAGCCTCGACTTGATGCCCTGCTAATGAAGGTATTTTCATCACGTGCGTTGTCTAGTTCTGTCTCACTTCCAAGTTCACGTCACCTTGCAATGTTTTGCAAATTCTCTCTCTCTTTTGGATAGACACACCGTATTCGGAATCTCCATAATTTGACACAAACCCATCACCGCCAGCCACCAAAGCTTATTTCGCTATCGGCACTGTTTCAAACCTTACGATCTCCCAGTGGAGACCCTTCACCTCCAATCACGGGGATGACCCCAGAAACATGGAGACACGTCCAAGTGAACGACGTCATCGCACCAGAAAGATCAAAAGTCCTCCGAGCAAGTCGTCCTTGCATTGATAGGGCATCAATTGCTGTGGATATCAGGCACACGGTGTGTGTGCTGTCAATGCCGATATCAGGAATAAACAAAACATCTACTTCCGTCGGTGAAGCAACGATTACTTTTTTCCCCAAGTGGAAAGGGCGGCATTGGCTCTGTTCCCGGGAATGGTGCAAGGCTGGTATTTTTTTCGTGGGCGGCACTTCAAATCCGCGTCGTTCAGGGGTGGCGGCTATTATGAAGCTTGGGGGTTGAGGTACAGCATTGTGCTTACTGTTACACGGCGTAAGGAGTGATGGGTGTAAAGGTGCCTGGCTGTACTTAGGAGTAAAACGGCGGTAGGGAGGTATTTCGTGCATGTTGCAATATTGCGTGCTTTTTGAGGCGGATGTCAAGGGTTAGAGGTGAGGAAGAGAAGTCTGTTGTGCGGTCATGTTTTCTGGATGTTTGTTCAGTCTACTGTTGATGGGAAAGGTTTGAGAACTTAGCCTCAAGTTCATGTCGGTGCACAGTCTTGGTCATTTAATACGTTTCTTCTCTCAAGAAATGGCCTTGCTATTTTGCTTTCATCGTTTGTGTTCGAGGTCTCGAGTGAGAGGATCAGAGTAATAGCAGCCATTGTATCCGGACTAATGGAGATTTGACAGCAATGAGTAACTTGACAACAATCCACCCATCTTGCTATCTACTTAGGCATGCTTGCCTCTAAATTCTTGCAAGTCCCAATAGACAGCAACACATCAACATTGTCTCTTCCTTCCTGCTTTGTTGATACATGATGAAGTACAATATTCATGAACTTTACTTTGTATCCTTCCCAACGACTGTCTTTCACTTCAAGTGAATGATTCGAAGACCTGTTTTTTCTATAATCGTTTTTCCAACGACCGTCCTTTACTTCAAGCGAAACAAGTGAATGAGTCAAAAATCCGTGTTTTCTACAAAGAAAATTAATTCACTCGTCTCAACGACTCATACCTAGCGGCCGCCGCGGTCCCGCTCCGCCTATATATACCTCCAGCGGCCGCCTCCGGAATCCTCTCTCTTCAACGCAAAGAAGTCCAAGAAGTGAGAAACCTTGAGGACCCAAGGTTTCTCAAGACGCCCAAGACCCCTGGCCCTGGCTTGTGTGGTGTTTTGTGAGGGCTTTTGAAGGGCATTGTCCTGTGACATTTACGATTCAGAAATATTTGATGATCTTTTTCCCGCTTGAAGTGGGAGATGAGACGTGAGGTTTTTGTTGACAGCAACTGGATATGTTAACAACCCCCCCTCAATCTTCCTGCATGAAACACAAATCCCAACCGTCTCAAGCAATAAATTCATCATCAAAATACAAGGAAACAGAATAAGTTGTCCTAAACTCCTTCCCAAGAGTCCTCCCCTTGCCTTCCGCTTCAAGTGAATAATCCCAAATCTCTACGGCTAACAACAAATACTTCACTCTTCTCAGCAACTCCGTCCGCCGTCCGCCGTGTTCCGGCCCTGCTCCTCCGTCTATAAATACTTACAGCCGGCGCCAGCGGAGTTTCTTTCTTTCTTTCTTTCTATTCAGCGAAAGAGACAAAGAAAGGGCAAGGATGAAGGGGTGCCGGAGCGGGAGCGGGGTTTGGGTGTGGGGTGGGGATGGGATAGAGAGTTTTGTTGACAGTTGATGGGGTTTGTTGTTAACGAATTGTGGAATTTCAGATAAAAGGAATGTATTTCACTGGCATTTAGGAAGCTTGTGCAGCATAAGGACCATGTCTGTCTTTCTGCCCAACAAGTTCCATCATGATTGTCTGGTTTTCCAGCGTTGCAGATCAAGAAAAATGGAAGTCTGTCTATGTATCCGAGATAAAGCGTCGTTGTGGAGGTGAAAGAAAGGAAAGAAAGGGGGTTCGATATATATCTTTGACTTGGCTCGCAAATTTTAATCTTTCTAATGTAGGTCTTTCAACTGGACATCCTGACGTCTCGTCTTGTTTTCTGCTATTAACTGCTTATTACGTTGTCGATAAATTGTTATTGTCAACTTGCAACTTTGGCTGTACCGCATCTTCAAACCCCCTCAATTTTTTGCAGCTACTAGAACAAACATCTGGTTCCCGGATACATAGATGTCCGGCTCCTCACACAACATTGTCGTGATCGCATAGACGCAGGAGCTGTTGTGGTGTTTGGTCTTGAAAGAAATAGCGGAAGGAGGCGCGTTTTTTATATTACGAGGGTGGGAATAAGCGAGGAGATTCTTGAATCGGGATGAATTGTTATGTGTTTGTTTTTGTTGTTGTTGTTGTTAAGTGCATATGTTGATGTCAATCTATAATTCAAATTGTGAAGTCTTGTTTCGTTCTACTCAGGTCTAAGATTGCGCATTCCAAGGCTAGGTCAGTTACGCGACGTTAGCCCGGAACCATCGCTATCTTCTAGTTCCTATCGTGCTTTGCGGAAAACACGAGTTCATTTTGCTCGTGTGTCTGGTAGAAAAGAGAAAGATTGGGAGGAGGGGTTGTTTTTATACTTCGAGAGGTTTCGAGTGGTGGAATCTATTCGAAGGGAAGGGGTGAATAAAAGTCGTTTTCTGTTTTCTTGATTTTTTAGAATCTGGCTATTTTGAGGCTGTCTTTTGTTCTCTGTTATTTTGTTATTGTTAAGTGTATATTTTGTCGTTAATATTTTTTTTCTTTCTTAAGAATCTCAACTGTGATCACTGAAAAGTTTCTTTTCGTTCTGAGCAAGCCTGAGATAAGGCAGAAAGGGTCCCGGGGACCATGTCAATATCTTCACACACAACGCCAGTGGGGAGTTGCTGCCGGGCGCAAATCTGAGCCACTTTCCCTCTCTTTCATGTCTATAAATACTTCCTTTTCGCTGATCTTAGAGGATCGGCGAACGAGTTCAAGAACTTGCAAGTCTTCCTGTCGTTGTGACTGGGGACAAGTGGTTATTGTGGTGCAGCACGGTTGTGGTGGTTTGAGACAAGTGGGTAGTGGTGGGACGGAAAAAGCGGGAGGGCGTTGACAACAAGAAGGATGTGATAATAAGAGAAAGTTAACAATAAAATCAAGTTAGCAATGAAAAGAGTTACCTAGCCTACTATGCGCAAAAATTCTTCCTTCAATCTCTTAGACGATAATATCAAGAATAAGGCTTGAGCAGATCAAAAAGTGTGTGATTATTTCGCGACTTTTCAAACTGCAAAGTAGTACTTGGGGAACATGAGCGATAACAGCTCAAATATGAGACTCTTGCTGTTATGGATATGGTTGTACTTATAACAGGCTAGCCGATTCGGGCATAAAATGAGCTCGCTAAGTATTGAACAAGATTCCCATCCATGGCAGCCTGGTATTCCTGAGCAGAATATTCGGATTTCCGTTTTATCACGAGAATGGGCATTACCTGGCTGTTGTGCATGCAGGAGTTTTAAGTTTGGTAGTGAATGGAAGAACGCAGTATGTAGAACCTTGTCAAAGCAGAGTCGGTTGGCAAATCATGGAGTCTTCTTTGTTTATGTAGAGATCGAGAGTCTTCTTAGTAGTCCTAGTTTCCCCTAGGCTGCCGTTCAAAACAGACTATCCTGGCACCCCAAGCTGATTATTTCGGGCGCCAGATTATAGCGCATGTAGCGCACTCAGTGCCTTCAGCGCATTCAGTGGGGTGTTGGGCGCTGCAGTAGAGTACTCTAGATTTGAAAAGAGTCTGTTCATGGTAGCGAAGTCGTATGTCAATTGGAAATATTCATCCTTTCAATTTCTTATCCCTCCAATCAATCTCTGATGCTTTTCTGTCCCCGACTCTCCTCAATTTTCTCTAACTCATCGTCAAGATCAACATGAACCCTCAAGTCCTTCTCCCCCATAACCTTCCACGTGCCTCTCAACTCCTCAAATTCCAACCCACTCTCTCCCAGCATCTCAAACCCTAGGATATAAAGTTCCTTAGCCCAGGGACATGCTCTTAATGCTCTGTACCATATGTCCTTCGCAAGACTTTTATCCTTGCCAGTCTTTGACAATTGCTTCTCGTTTTGGACAACCCAGACCAGGTAAAATCTCCACAACCCAGGAGAAGATCGAGACATTGGGGCTGAGACGGCCTTCTCGAAGGCTGATTTCACGGAATGGATATTCCCGTAGGTCATCTCATATTGGATAGCGAAGAACCGGGAGGTGAGACAGTCGTTTTCTGGTATTAGAATTGTGGATAGGAAGAGGGAACGGACTCGATTCTCAACTCTTAGACGAGCTTCATTTGCTGTATAAAGGGCGAGGAATAGAGTATTTTGTGGGAAAAGGGCCAGGAAATTGGATAAGTAGACACGAATTAGAGAGGGACGGTAAGGACCATTTCTACAGTGAAATTGCAAGAGTCGAGCCGCCGACTGAAGGAGAATCTCTTGGTGATGCGTATGGTTCCGAGTAGCAAGTGCTTTAGAAAAAGACATGAGGGTTTTAAGGGCCGTGGTAACATCGCCTTGAGTTGCGGATGTTGGTTCTGTGCCTGATGTCTCGCTAAGATAGGCGAGAAGTGTTAGGCCTGGTAGTAACGTAAGCAAAGGTCCTGAGTTGGAAGCAGCATGAAAGGTAAAAGGAATGGGGAGCTCCTTACATTCTGCATACATTACTGCATGTTTTGGGTCTCCTGTAGAGAGAAGAAAGTCTCTAGTAGAGCGGATATGGTGTTTGGCTCTGAGAAGAGTAGCAGGAGTTGGAGTAACGCCAGAATTTGGCACTCCGTCTGGGATGCTAAGGAGGTGCCTGAGTGTAGAGATTTTGTCTCCATCCTCAAGACAGCACCATGCCAAAGATTTCCACGTTAAAATCGAGTCAGGTTTCGATTCTGTCTCTGAGCTTGATCCATTCATGTTGAGAGCGGCAGTGAAAACTCCATTCGCTACATCCTTATTGCCTCGAGACCATTCAATCAAGGCATACGCATTGTAAAGTGTGAGACTCGAGGGATGTCGCTTCAAGAGGCTTTTCGCTACCTTCTTAATCGTCTCTGGTTCGTTGAGGTATTCGAAAGCCATGTGGTACTGTGCAAGACCTTCCGTAAAGGAGTCTTGCGTGAGTTGTTTCAGAGCATTCCGAATATACTGGTAAGGCACAGGGCCAGTATCTCCACCATATAAGTCGTCCCACTTTGTTATTTGGTAAGACGTATTGTCTGTGAGTGACAACGGACGAATACTCTGGTACATGACGTGAAAACATGAGGTGAGGGTAATAACCTCAGTATCATCCTTTGCCTTTACAGAAAGTTGCTGCTGAAACTTCGCAAGATCCCAACCAAGAGAATCGTTCCTGATGAACTGCTCCATGAACCAGCTTCCTGGTAATTCGTGATCACTTGCTGTAGGTGGCAGCCGACAGAACGCCAGAAACGCATCGACGCACAAGGAGCGTAGATTGACTGGAAAGAGTATTGAAAGTTCTTCAATATCAGAGAATAAGATCACTCTGAAAGGGTCATCCTCGGCTACTTCATCCATGGTTCTCGCAGGGGTCCGTGAGCACTTCGAACGCTGTCGTTCCGCAGCAGCCCATGACTTGAAGATTGTCGATGGTCGAATGGGATCTTGCGCCTCGTCTGTAATAGGTTCTGGCACATCAGATGAAGTTTCGTCGTCTACATATCGGCGCCAACCCAAAGCACCGTCTTCACCAAGACGTGGTACCTCACTCTCCCAAAACTGCCGGAATAGGTTGATATATTCTTCCTTGGAGAGCAATGAAGTTGGGCCGCAAAGGTTCAGTTCTAGCAACCCTTGCCAGATTGCTACAGAGAGTTCTGAGTAGCCAGACTCACGAATGAACAGCGTGAGTCTGAGAAGGACGTAAAGGACTTGTTGATAGAAGGAATCTGCAGATTCGTTGTTCGACTTCTCGACAGCAGTAAGAAGTAGTTTGATTCTGCTTAGATAAACTTCCTTAATCTCTTCGTAACGAAAAGCTGAGAAAGTTGATTGTTTGAAGTCCAAATACTTTGTCCATAGGACCAAACTATCGATATTCTCCCTGGCGATTTGCTCCCATCGATCTGCTTGCACCTGCAATTCCCAAATCTTGGCGCCCTCTGCCATCAGCTCTTGCAGCAACTTCTCTCGATCGGCGAGAGATCGTGTTTTCTCCAAGGCTTTCTCGTACATGTGAATTTTGATGTCCGCTGTACTCCTGATCTCGGCATTGGTGATTCGGCGATGATTGTCTCCAGTGCTAATCAGGGCATCTTGATGACCGATCAATTCAAGCCATGCATCGATGTCATGTGGACACTCATCAACTTTCCTACGCAGTCGTACATTCTTGTCGCGGACAGCCATATCTAATCTTATAGCTCGTCCCGCATCAGACCCGGAGTCGTCACTTTCTGTAGCATATTGCATGTCATGGTCTTGCGGTTGATCTTGAGCTTTGACTTTGCCATATATTGACCTGTAGTCTCTGCTGTCTTGCTCTGAATCGGAACTTGCGTTCTCGCCATTTTCTCCTCTCATGCGTTTCTTGCCTCTCGCCTGCAAAGAGATGAAATTTGCGTTCGTGTCCTTGGCATTATCCACCTCGGCCACAACCTCTGGTCGGAGTCTGAGGAGACGTGGCTTATCTTTCTCGACCCTAGAAAACACATATTTTTCTCGTCCACGAAACTTGGGAGATTTCCAATTCTTAAGGGTTATCGCTTTTCCATCGTCGAGGTCTCGGTCAATCTTGAGATCTAACGAAGCCCCTAATACGAAACCACCTCCAAACCGATGGTATGCAGGAACACTATATCGATGAATGCTTCCATATTCAAGGTTCTTCACATCGCCCTTTCTATCGATATTGAAGACAGCCGAACTCGTCTCATCTGGGACGACGCGTGACACTTCCAGGTTCGTTCTTGATGCATGAATCCTGTCTCTATCTCTCGATCGGTGCCGTTTGTGATGTGCTGACTTGCGGTCCTTCTCTTGCTCGCTTCTCGAGGAGTGCCTAATCTCTTCACGGCTCCTAGGATTCGCTTCTTGTGGTTGGAGAGGCCTAGGTCGAAAAGATGTGAACTTGGGAACCTTCGTCTGGGGTTCTGACATCGCGTACCACCCGAGAACGAAACTGTACTATAACATATTGTTCAGAAAGTTATATTTGGTGAACTGGTTACGAGGTGAATCTGGCTTTCAAGTTGAAGGGCCCTTCCAATTTGAGTACAGTCACGTGTAGAGTACTAGCGTACATTATTATCCCGAAGTTTAACCCGCGCAAAAAAAGTTGATATCGATAAAGAAATGTGGTGTAGCTTTTCACATTTTAGAATATCTCTGCACCAAGAATGGTTTTTTGAAGCCCTGCACCAGCTTTTTCAAAATGTCGACCGCCTTAGCAGCGCAGCTGTCAAGAATAGCTGCCAATTCCGAGAGTTCTTTAAATCTCAAAGCGCAAAAGGCGAAGCACTCGAAATCTCTAATTTTCGAGCCCAGGATAGCTGCCTCGCAGAGCTTCGAAACTATTTACACATTATGCCACGAGGGTTTTCAGGAATTATGTCTCCTAGACGGTCGATTTGCGGAATTTCAGAGAGACATTTTCAGCGAACGCAGCCAAGAGAAGGATCGGACGCAATTGACAGCAGCAGAGAATACTGAGCTGAACGCAAGATTGGAATTATTTCTGGGGTTGGTTGGAGGTCGACTGAGACTCAATCCAGCAGTAAAAGCTGTTGAATGGCTAGTTCGAAGGTTCAGGTATGTACTTTGCCTCAGTAAGACAAGATATCTTTGTTGACTCGACTTGTGTTTTATAGAATTCACGAGTACAATACCCAGTTTGTTCTTTTGACCTTCCTCCCGTACCATACTCTCCCGATATTCACAACTCTTTTATCGATCTTGCCGAGCGCCATACCCGAAGAATGCAAATTCCTTCAGCCCTATATTCGATCCTTGACACTCCCTCCGAGGCACCCTATTGTGCAGGCCGCTACAAACAATGTTCAATTTGCTTCGAGCCTCAACAATTACGTGCTACGGATATGTCAGGCACGGCAACATTACGCAGCACTATTGGCGTTTTGGGCAGGCATAATGACCGAAGCTACAGGTGGCATGTTGGATAAGGCACGGTCAGGAATTAAGGCAGTGCAACGGCAAAATGAGCAGGAAGTCATCTTGAGGCTCTTGCCTACACTCAACGAAGGGCTGGCTATGAAGAAAATCTCGGATCTCCGTGTGGGGTGTTATATGCTTCTCTCTGTGATGGCATCCAAAGGAGGACTGGACGACAAGCTCCTGACGGCTATGATGGAAGCCGTTGTCCTTGGCTGGACGAGTGAGACTATAGGGCCGGGTCTGGTATGTCTGTGCGTCCTTGCACAACATCGAGCAGCAGCTCAATTGACAAAGAGACTCACGAAGGAGCTATTAAAGATCCCAAACCTCTCGGCTCTTTTTGTGGAACACTCGAAACAGCGTCGTGTAGACAATCTTGCCAACGGCCTCTGCCTTGCACTGGTGGATCGACTCCGAAAAGTTTCAGATATTAGCGGTATTCCTGTCATTCAAGATGTCATTGAGCATGATATATTAAGTGATGCTCAATGTTGTGTCATTGTTAAGGCGCTAGTCCTCGTCGCATATCAGATTGAAGACAGCACCGATGCTCAACGACAAGCACGCTCTCATTTGGCCACTCTCCTGGTCACTCTCACGCAGATGCCTGGACGCTCTGGCTCTTTAGTGGCAAGAGCATTGGCTGATACCGAAGTCGATATGGATGAGCTAGAGTTGAAGCTTCAGATGGCCATCAGACCCGCTGAGAGATCTGAACTTCTATCTGAAGATGCCGATTTGGAAGATTCCATAGAAAACGTTTCGGGTCCGACCTTCAACACCATTTTAAGCCAGCTTCCGAAAAAGACCGTCAACGAGTTGTCTTTCTTATCCCACGATGCTTCGCACGTATATCCAGACCTTTGCCGGGCCTTTCTTGCTTCTGCATCCAATCAAATCGACATGAAGGCTTTCGACGAAGCTCCAATCTTGCGGCGAGAATCGGCTTCAGAAGATACCTTATACTTTTCATTTTACATGAAGACCTGGTGTGGTCCATTTCCCGTTATTACACGGGCTTCTGCACTTCAGATGGCCACACGAAGCTTATCGAGTCTCAAAGTATCCGACGAAGATTTTCAAGCTGTTTTACCGTACGCAACCGCTGCTCTCGGTGACCCTGCCGCCAAAGTACGTCGTGCAGCCGCGGAACTCATCATCGCAATCCGAGAAAAGTACCCATCAAGTACGGAAACGAAGAAAAAGTCGAAACAACTTCGCCGATGGGCTTCGGGAGACTTGTATGGACTAGGAGCTCATACCAGTGACTTGGTGTGGCTATCACCAGAAGTTGTAGTTCGTCTCCTCAACGATATGATTGTTCCAGCCTTGGAGGAATGTGTTCTTGACCAAAACCACATCGAGCATGTTTTTGAAAAGTCACTGAACAGCTTAAAGAGTACGGAAAGCACCAAGAAATCAGACGTTGGGCGTCTTCCACAAGCTGCAAGAGCAGCTATTTTGTCCTTCTTCGCTGGCCATGCCACGCATACACCCCTTTTCGGCGTGAAGCTCAGACTGCTCAGTGTTCTGAATCAGGTTCGAAGTGTAGCAGGAACATCGAGAACCAAAGCTCTTCTTCCCGCTCTCCAAGAATGGGCCTCTCTAAATGTCACCGAGGCCCTGAAACGATGTCAGGATGAACAAGTCGATGTTTCGGAGCTGAACAATCAGATGCTCTTGATTGTGACCCCTAGTGACAAGGATGGACTCCAATTTCTAGCGAGTATCATCAGCGGTGATGTGGCCTCCGAAAGATCTGAGTTGATGAAAGCTACTTTCACAAGACTACGTGGCATGTGGTCCTCAATAAAAGACGAATTACGATTGAGTACGGCTCAGATGCTCATGGACTCGGCTCAATCGTCTGGGAAAGGCATGGCAGCACATCGCGAGTTAGCTGCAGAGGGCTCAGCTGAGCTCCTACGGACGATACCCCTGCCAAGTGAAGTCCTCCTTACTTTCCTTGAGCAGCTTCCAACAGCTGCGAAGCTTGCAGATAAGTCTCCTGCTACAAAACGGCGGAGAACTAGCCACGGCGAAGTGGCGCGGGCAACGCTACAAGACTCGACACAGCTTACTACTGCTATAAGGAAAGTCACATTTGTGCTCCAATTGGTTGATAGTTCCGAGCCAGCTAGACACCCTGAGCTACTTAAAGGGCTTTTCAGTATCTTGGCGGAGTTGCAGCACTTTAAAGTCCAAGTAGGATCTGAACTCGCGTATCTGCAAGGCTTGGCCCTAGGTAGCCTTCTTGCTATACTCAAGTCACACAAGTCAGATCCGAGCCTGAAACTTGATCGCTCTGCAGTTCGTGCGGACCTTCTCGTTGATTGCATACAAAAGACGTCCAGCCCGCAAGTGCAGAACGCCGCACTGCTTCTCATTGCAGCTCTAGCTGACACGGCACCCGAACTCGTGCTTCACAGCGTTATGCCAATTTTCACTTTCATGGGAAGCTCGGTATTGAGACAGAACGATGACTACTCTGCGCACGTCATTAGTCAAACCATTCGTGAAGTCATCCCCCCTCTGATATCATCATTACGGAAAGAAAAGAGCAACCCAGTCACCGGCGCCGCAGAACTTCTATTGAGTTTTGTGGCCGCTTACGAGCACGTTCCTCCCCATCGTCGAAAATCGCTCTTCGCATCTCTGGTCCAGACTCTTGGCTCCGAGGATTTTCTCTTTGCCCTCTTAGCCATGATGGTCGACAAGTACGGTTCCACCGAAACTATTAAGGCATTCGCCGCTGAGTTATCGGGCTCGTTCGGTGTTGAAGTGCAACTGCAATCCACTGTCAAGTATCTCGAACTAGTCGGCGATGTGCTAAAACCAAAACCGACGTACTCAACCACCTTGCTCAGTGCCAACGATGATAGCGAATCGGATGCCACCAGCATTGCACTCAACGAATTGGCTCTGTTGCCACACCTGCTATCTCAGAAGCGTCTTGTCGCACAAGTTGCCAAACTACTCGAACGTGATGACATGGACGCAGCGAGAATTCGAGACCTCTACTCGATCCTCCTAGAGAGCATTCTCAATCTGGCTGATTCTGTAAAAGAACAAAAGCGATTACACACCGCTTGTGGAGATGTTCTTGAAAGTTTGCTTGGCCTTTTGACGACGAGCGAGTTTGTCAAGTCTGTTGAGGGCTTGCTTGATAGGCCGAACGAGACTTTGCGACGCAAGATTCTGCTATCCTTGAAGGTTCGCATTGATCAAGAAAGTGCCTCTGACATTGCATCCCGCACTGCAATGCTCGGGTTTCTACCACAACTCACAGCTATCATTCGCGAATCGAAAGATGTGCTGTACAAGCATACTGCAGTTGCTTGCGTGGACAAGATTTCAGAGAAGTATGGCAAGAAGGACCTCGAGGCTGTAGCAGCGGCTGCCCAGACAATTGCTGGACCATACTGTCTTGGTCAGCCGGATAGTCATTTACGCGTGATGGCTCTCTTGTGCCTTGCTTCATTAGTCGAAATCCTTCGTGAAGGTATCGTTTTGGTCCTCCCAATCGCCATCCCAAAAGCTTTGGAGTATATGACGTCTATTACAAAGCCCGAGGTCGAATCCCAGAAACTGCTCAAGGCCGGCTACGCTTTCATAAGTGCATTAGCACATCACCTACCGTATATGATTTCTGGAGGCTACTTAGACAAGCTACTCGAAATATCCAACTCGTCCGCTGAGGCTGAACTTGACGATGAGACCCACGAAGCCAGAGTCCAGTGCCTTCAGCTTGCTGCGAAACAAATCGACGCTAAGAGCATGTTCGCGGCTTTGGAGAAAAACTGGGAGCGTGCGGCTTCAATCGGACCATTGGTAAGTCTTATTCGAATTTCGTCTAACCAGTCTTGCTAACAATATGCTAGGCTTTGCGTGAATACCTTGAAGTCCTTAGTACTGCTATTGATAAGCACCAAAAGAGCGTTGTCACCAAGTACTCGCCTATTCTCTCGAAAATATTCCAGAATGCATTTGATCTCCGGCGCCAGTGGACTGCCACTGACGATGATCGCTTCTCAGCCGATGCAATGTCCGAAATTGAATCAGCTGTCAATGATGTGGCAATCAAGATGATCTACAAATTCAACGATGCTACATTCCGACCCATCTTCTCTAATCTCGTTGACTGGGCTGCGTCTTCGCTACCTAAGAAAGACAAACTTGGAAGGAACTTGCGCCTCCAAAGCATCTACGGTTTCATGACAGTCTTCTTCGACAACCTCAAATCGATTGTCACCAGCTACGCAACTTACCTACTTGACAATGCCGTTGAAGTACTAAACGCCGTCAATCCGAAAGACGACGTATCCAAAGAACTCTGGTCTAGAATACTGCAAACATTAACCAAGTGCTTCGAGCATGATCAAGACGATTTTTGGCAGACTCCTTCTCGTTTTGATGCCATTGCCCCTGTTCTTTGTGCTCAGTTTACCCACGCCTCGACTCTGCCACTCCTTCAAGACCTAATACCTACTATTGTCGAGCTCGCTGCCGCAGCAGATTCGCAGGACCACCACAAGGAGATCAATAGCGCCATTCTAAAACACATGAGATCTGAAACAGCGAGCGTTAGGTTGGCTGCTATCAAATGTGGGCAGCAGTTGACTGACAGATTGGGTGAGGAATGGCTCTCTATGCTTCCAGAGATGTTGCCGTTCATCAGCGAACTGCAGGAAGATGACGATGATGTGGTGGAGAAAGAGACACATCGATGGATTGTAAAGATTGAGAGTGTGTTAGGAGAGAGTCTAGATGCTATGCTTCAGTAATATACCTATGATACCATAGCATTGCCGTCAGAGTCTATCGTGGATATAGGTATATTGGAAAATCAAAATGTCCGTCATGAAGTCAAGTCCTCAGCCTAAGGAAATAGGCGCACCCATATTCGTCGTAGTCAAAGTGACCATGGCATACCTCTTCGCGTCCCCCAAATTCTTCTTGACTGCCTCTGCATAAATTGGAATGTCGACGTCGAAAATGAAAACTAGTTCTGCAACGCTTTGCCCTAATTTCTCAACCAATCCCTTTGCTGCCATCACACTCCCGCCCATCCCAAGTAAATCATCAACCAAAAGTACTTGCTTTCCCTCTTTCTCAATACCCTCGAAAGCATCGTCTTTCATCTCAAAACTATCAGGTCCATAATCCTTATCATAGGTAACGGAAACCACAGCCCCTGGCAGCTTCCCCTTCTTCCGGACCGGGACAACCGGAAGCGAAAGACGGGATGCAATTAGAGGACCGAAGAAGAAGCCACGAGCTTCGAGACACACGATTGCGGAAATCTTGGTCAGGTCGTGAGTTTCCTGGATGTGCTTTACGAGGTGCGAGATTACGATCTCGGTCACGGCTGGGTCCCGGAATATTGGGAAGATGTCGGCGAATGGTTGTCCCTGATATTGATGAACAATGGCGACTGGGATAAGTGGGATATATTGATCACTTACTGGGTTGGGGTGTCCGATGTAGAGCTTCAGCTTCTCGAGAATGAGAGCTACGTCCTTCGGGTCTGTCATTCTGACTTCAGTGGACGAACGTTCGTATAGGTTCAAGTTAAGTTCAAGGAGACAGAGGAAGTGACTAAGCTATCCCGATGAGCGATTTTCGAATCTTCGGAGTCGATCTTATCAATGTTGGTCTGGAAGTAAGGTTCGGAGGTCCCACTCTTCAGCCTTAACCGCTTCTTATCTTGGATTTGGCCGCATTAGGGGCCGACCTTGACAAGCGACAACCAACATTGTGTCACCACCACGTCTCTTCCCCATCTCCTTTAGACATCATCTCATACATTACTCATTCAAATATTTCTGTTTAGGACCTTGAGGCCTTGTCTTTCATGGAAAAGGTGTGTGGCACGTGAGAAGTTCTCATCCTCGCCTCTATCCCTCCCGCACTCTATCTCTTACATGGCATCATATTCTTCATATATATCGTCCTCCACCCGTCCTATCAGTGCAACCACATCCAGACTTCATGAACTCTTCCATGCCGCTCACATCGATATGTCCTCTCTTACTCGGCCTTTTTGTAGGCACCCGCCCGGGACATAGTTGTGGAAACCTACTACAGGCTCATATTAAGTTGCCAAATATGCATCCTGGTACCTAGACGTCCCTTTTCAGTCTTGTCAGGACACAAATGACGGATGCAAGTGCTCCCCCAGATCTTGAGTAGACGATCATTTACCCGCTGCCGGAATGCGCCTGATATCTTGTGCCTCGATTTCCAACTTGCATCCTGACGTCGCTGCATTCTGTCCCGATTTCCATGCAAGGAGATGCTGTCAAGATCATTGAGCTCCTTGCTCGCTGTATTGCTGTTTCTTACAGCAGCTGAAGCTGGTAGATTCAGCGAGTATGCTCATCGGAAAGGTTATGGTCCGGATCTGAGGCCAAATGGCTTTCTTATGGATGAAAGCAATGCCGCGGCGACAAACACCACGTTTCGTTTCCTTAATAATGCCACTCAGCGTAAGGTCAAGTGCAAGACCCAATGTGGGTTTCTTACAAGCTGATTGGAAACAGCATTCCAAGTCAATGCTCTTCCTGATATTCCGTTCGATGTGGGGGAGATGTATGGTATGTCTTGTTCCATTACTAAGTAGCTACTGTTTCCTTCTGCGAAGTCGTCTCAAGCTCGTTGCGTTTATCATTCCATGGTCTAACTGTCACTAACATATTATTTTCAGCTGGATTGATGCCAATTCACAACGGCGATCCATCTCGTTCCCTGTATTTCGTCTTCCAGCCCAAACTCGGCGATCCCGTCGATGAGCTTACAATATGGCTAAACGGAGGACCAGGTAGCTATCTCTTACAGGTATACTGTAAACACGCTGATTGTGTTTAGGTTGTAGCTCACTTGAAGGCTTCCTCCAAGAGAATGGCAGATTTATCTGGGGCTGGGGACAATATTCGCCAATGATCAATCCGTACTCCTGGGTCAATCTTACGAATATGCTTTGGGTGGAGCAACCTGTTGGCACTGGCTTTACGCAGGGGAAACCACAGGCGTCGGGGGAGTATGACATTGCTTATGATTTGTAAGGAATTCTCTAGACATTCCTTTCATTTACCTGCATTATTTCTCCTGTCGTATAATCACTGACTATTTCTAGTATCGACTTCCTCATGAATTTGTATGGGCTTTTTCTCTCCCTCCCAAAATTGGCGATGACTAATTTTGAGACAGCGAGACGACTTTTGGCATCAAGAACTTCAAAATTTATGTGACTGGTGAGTCCTATGCAGGGAGGTACGTACCGTACATTGCCTCCGTTATGCTAGACAGACATGACAAGACGCACTACAACATATCAGGTAATCCCCTGCCACTGAAAAGAATGTCCAGATACTGACTTACTTCTCCCATGAACAGGTGCTCTCATGTACGATCCGGTGATAGGCAGCTATGTTTATGCACAGCAACAAGTTCCATTAGTACCATTTATTGTCCAAAACAACAATGTCCTAGGTCTCAACGATAGTTTCCTATCCCACCTCAAAGGCCTTGATAGCTCCTGCGGATACGCAGACTACCGCAACAAATACCTCTCCTTCCCACCACCGGGCAACCAACCCGCTAAATTCTTCAATTATTCCACCTCCTCAGACCAAGCATGCGACCTCTGGGGCTTTGCCAACAACGCAGCTCTGCTAGCTAACCCCTGCGCCAACGTTTACCAAATCGCCACATACTGTCCCCTCCCCTCCGATCCATTAGGATTTCCCACCGATCTAATATACTCATATCCTGGCCTCCCAGTCTACTTCAACCGCGCCGACGTCAAAGCAGCCATGCACGCACCCCCAAATACCACCTGGTCCGAATGCAACGGCCCAGTCTTCATCTCCTACTCTGGCGGTCCCGAAGACGAAGGCGATTTCTCGCCCGACCCCATCCAATTCATCCTGCCCCAGGTCATCGAGAATACTCACCGAGTCCTGATCGCCAACGCCGATCTGGACATGGAGATCATCACCAATGGTACGCTGCTTGCTATCCAGAATATGACTTGGGGCGGGAAATTGGGGTTCCAGAATCAGCCCAATAGGTCCATTGTTATTGAGTTGCCGGACTTGCAGTATGGGGATACGTTTGCGAGTAATGGGATGCCCGGGATGGATAATCCGCAGGGGATGATGGGGATACAGCATTTTGAGAGGGGGTTGATGTGGGCAGAGAGTACGTCAAATTTCTTTTGGTTTCGAGGACATGTCGAGTAGCTTCTTGATGTTTTTGTGGGATCCATACTGATTCTCAATAGCTTGGATGAGTGGGCATATGCAGCCGCAGTTTCAGCCCAGGAGTAGTTATAGGCATTTGCAATGGCTGTTGGGACATATCAATGAGTTGTAAGATCTGGATGGTAGTAAAGATGGTACATTGGGACAGGAAAAGAGTGGAGGCAATTTGGGAATGCGATTTGTAAGTAATGAGACATTGTAATGTTGATATACGATCAGAAATACGAGTACCTTCGAAGCTTAAACGTCAGATAAAACGTGGACATAGGTCATGTAATCATGGTATATGGTGGGAATATTCACATGGATCCCTATACGACAACTGTTGGAGATATCAATTGCCTCGCGACTATTTTCTTGATGGGCAGGGTTAGTGCTTAGACTTCAAACAATATTGTATGTTTTTCATGACGGGAATTCATTCATATCTGGTCACGCAAGTGCCACAGCAAAATCACTTCATATCTACTTCCAAACTTGAGAGAGATGATGTTCTTGTTTGTGCAATACTAGCTCTTGTGATATACAGCACTAGCTACTCTGTATGCAGTGGCCCAGCCACCAAGATGCCTGTTCCTTTCGCCTTTGACTATGCATCACTCTATATCAGCGGACGTTGCATCCCAGGAGGTGAAGTGTCGATGAATCAAAGCAACTTAACGCCTTTGATATCCACCTGAGGAGGCATCCAGGCAGGGTTATTGACAGCGTGAATTTGCACTGCTTTCACCAGTACTCTCCAGCCACGTCGATGCTGCTGCATATCCATGCGACATCCAAAAGCACGATAACCTTCTGTCACCAAAGCCATGTACCGATTGTTTCCAAGCATAACCACCTGTTCTGGCCACTCCGAGACTGGTTTCTTGAAGTACCTGACTGACTTAACATGGCTGGTGGGGTCGTTACTTGGAGTTAAACAGTCGTAGATCTTGGGTCCAATTATCAATTCAACACTCTCGAGACTACTGAAAGTATTGAAATAAGTGGTCCAGCAGTCGGCCTTCGGCTTGTGTCTTTCCACATGCTCCATATTCATTGCCAAGTGTCGAAGAGCTCCAAGAACAACAGGATTGACGTCTTCGAAATGTGACAACCCGCACGAGTGATTGATGACGAACAAGGTATCGATATCGGGGCGGAAGTACGAGTTGCCATATCCTGACGGCTGGGCATTGACGACCGGGACGTAATGCTCCAACACCTCGCTCCGTGCTTCTCTACATGCATGCAGGAGTGGAATGAGCAAAGGATCAATGGACCATCCAAGAGTGCGCAGCTGCACTCAGCACGAGAACTTGACCACTCTTGGACCTGGAAGTGCTGAGTTCCAAATCTTTGTTCTCAACTCAAATGGGAGATTTGGGAAGAGCGTGAACTCGGTAAGTGGAGGAGAAGTATGCTGTGCCGACAAGCCTCTCGTAACTTCAGAAGCTACACGAGACGCGTGTTGTGCCGGGCCTCTTCTCGCCTATCGCGAGGGGCCAGAAGACTGATTGGGGATCAAGAGAGCCTTGAAACTGATTAGCAAAGGCTTGAAGCTGATCGACTGGTACTTAAGATATCGACATTGTTTTCCTGCGCGCGTGTCCGTGGGTAAGTGCCAGAAGGGTGCTCCGAAACGATTTGAGCCTTGAAATTGATCAGCTAAGATTTGGCATCGATTGACAGGCACTTACGGTGGTATTGACATAGCTTGCCTCCAGGGTAGAAGAGAATCCACCTGACACTTGGGTAACGACCTGTACAAGAAATTAGCGACTGTCGAGCAAAGGCTCAAAGAGATCTCACGTTTGCTGGTAGCTGGCTGAAATACCATGCTTCGAAATCTGTGGCCAATGGGGTGTCGCGTCCTGATTCGCGAGGCTGCGCCATGGTGAAGGTGGATAGTGACTTTCAAGAGGATCTGGGGATGGTTGGTAGGAGTTGTGAGGCACAAGACGCTGCTGTGCTTTTCTGTGATTGGAATCTAAAAATAGAGTGTCATTAAAGAGAGAACGAGGAGGTTGAAGGATGGTGAAGAAGAACAGAACGAAATGGGAAGGAAGTAAATAAGGCAGGAACGACGCTAGCTGCTCGCCAAATTAGCAGCTCAGGATCAGAAATGAGGTGAGGTTGATATATTGAAGGTCAGACACAAGATATCACATTCATTGAGAGGAACTTGTTTATGTTGGGCTCGTGAGGAGAGAGGCTGCTGTATTGCTGCAAAGCTGCATCTACCAGATCCGCCATTCACTTCTCCAGCCTGGCTACATCTACCACGTCAGAACGTATCTGTAATTACCATTCCCCCGGTATCATGCATCCTGTCAAATAGAAGCTGGTTCGATTAGTCCTTTGATATCAACTTCAAATGTATGATCTGTTGGTAGCAAGATCTCCGCCAAAGCCTTCTTGGTGTCCTTCGAAGCCTTCTGTAGCTCCTCAAGGAAGTAACTCGTACCTGCCCAGCTCAAGAATGCAGCGGTAGATAGAGCTCGTCGTTCCTCCTCAGTATACAGGGCGCCAGCTACGCGAATGGGCCACTCCGAAATCGGCTTGGTGAATAGATCTACAAATGTGGAGTTGACTTGATCTTTTTCAACAACAGTATCAACTAAGGTGAGCGTATTGAGAGCCTTGAAATCGAGAAGATGCTCAATGAAGTGGCTAGCTGCATGCATTGTGAAAAAACGAGGTCGAGAAGGATCTCTCTCTCTGACAATGTAGTTAGGCCACTGAATAAGGTCCTCCAACTTCTTCAGCGGGTAAGCAATACGGCGAAGTCTGTTAAGCAGAATCGGATCGACACCAAACAGAATCTTGTCGGTGAAGAATCTAAGGGTGTTAATGAAGAGGATATCGATCTCCGGATTCATGTAGACTTTCGGACCAAATTCAGTGATTGACATGTAGTGCCTCAAGACCTCTTCTCTCGATTCGTGGCAGACAAGCAACAATGGTGTTAGGAGAGCTCGTCTACCGCGAGTCTTGTACTTGACGACTCTGGGACCAGGGAGAGCATGCTTGTAGATGTGACAACGTAGCTCAGGGGCAAGTTTTTCGAAGCAGGTGAAGGTGAACTCTGGACTGGATGAAAGTTCTTCTGGAGCAACTTCTTGCGCAGCACCTTGGATAGCTTCATGGAGGACTTCTTGGGGAGCTCCTTGGCAAGCTTCATGGATACTTTCTTCGTTAGTTTGTGCTTGTTGTTGAGGAGCAATCTAAAATTTGAATTAGCTTTTGGACCATCTGATAAGAGCATAAACCTACAACAGGAGCCTTGCGATTGGTTTGCCAGCCTTTGACGTCAGGTACATCCTCCAAACCCATCAAGTCGCGACGAGGGACTCGAACATATCCTAGACAGCGGTTGAGAATGCCCCGCGCAACTCCCATTGAGAATCGCTCCATGGAGACCATCGCAGCGTTGGGTGTGCGCAGTGAGCGGACGAGTTTGATGGAAGTTGAAGAAAAGAGAAAGGCAGACCGGAGAGGAAGGTCTCATAGTAAATAAACTCGGATCGATCGAGCTAACGATCAGGCTCGGAAGGGAAAAACATTGCTCAAGATTCGCATATCGATAGCAAAGCTGGAAACAAGAAAGGCGGTAAGTCCCAAGCTGGACAGAAAAGGGCTTCCATAAATTTAGCAGAATGTCCTGGCGGTGATGGGATTTTTGAGAGAGTACAGGTCCTGAAATGACTTCAGCACTCGACCAAGTGACACCACTTCTACTTGTCATTGTGCACATACATGTTGTCGGACATTGACAATATGTTCCTCGCTCTATGCCCCTTCACTCTGCATTTGTCGTTGTGAAGCTTTTGATGGAGGACGTTGTCAAGCTCGCTTATGAGGCAGGATGTCTCCTTTCTATGTCCCCACTTCTCGAACGATCCCATTGGCTGTGGCGTGTCTCTTGAAAATAACTTCAAAAACTTCACAGAAGACGCACGAAGTCAGGCGAATGCTATTGTGATCTATTTGGTACCATGAATTGTGTGAAATCTGTTAAGAAAGGACTCCAGACTCGATTGCACGTCTGCACGCATCCTCGGCTGTCAGCTCTCTTGTCAATGCACCCCCTGCATTGATCATCCAGGCTACAGACGCATCGGCCCACAAGCCCACACGCCTCTAACAACGTCCCCCCATTTTATCAGCCTTCTTGAGCAGTATTTCTATTGATATGCCAATCGAGTATCTCGAACTATGGCTGCAGCCCGACGAGGTCAAGGGCCATTGAACCTCGACCTATTGAATGGCACGACTCCAGAGCTCCCGCCCTTAGCTGCCCTTTTCCTCATCTACTTCGATATCAAGGCCGGATATACAATTGGTTGGAAGCGGTCATTACCGGGCATTGAGCTCGAGGGAGTGGTGGAATATAAGAGTCTGCCATCAGGATTACATACAGTGAAGGAAGATCTCATATACTTCGTCCACGAGAATCATGCTGGACTCAGTGCATTTGTCAATGCGCCCGCAGCAGTGGAGTCGAGGAATGCCCGGATGATAGCTGTAGGTGTCATGGTGCCTCTGAGCTATGGCCGACTTGGGAGAAGTTGGAAGCATGCTGAGAAGCTGAAAGAAATGGCAAGGTGTGCTGTATCAAATGCTGGACTGAAGAATGCTTCTAACTTTGTGCCTCTAGTGAACTGATCATTGACACTTCCGAGACGAAAGTTCTCGAGGAATATTGGGAAGAGCACAAAGCACAAGGGCCAGCACCTCCTGCAGATTCAGATTCGTTGTTGGACTCGCCCTCGAGCATCAGGTTCAAGCCTATAAGGACGACCCCCTCTAAGCTTAAAGGACATACGAGAAATCGCTCAGCGTCGGATGGTACCGCATTACTTCCCCCAGGGCACACATTGTCTACCTATCACCCAGCACGGAGCTTACTACGACTCCTTGAGACCTTTGGCCCTCTCATATTTCCTATACACAGAGCCGCCTTGTTACGGAAAAGAATACTCATCACCGCACATGCTCCTGTCCAAGAAATATGTAATTTTGGTTCGTATACCTTACACTCTAAATATCCAATTGCTGAGAAACAATAGTCTACGACATATCAGTGCTCTCCAATATCCCCCTCGCCGTGACAGACCTCCTAGCCGCCAATGCCCCACCTACTCGTCTCCGGCCCCTATTCGCAATCGGAGTGCATGACATTCCCCTCCTAGAAGCCGACCTCCTCGCCTCTGAACAACCACCTGTGAGCTCTCCAGGCTCAACACAAACGGAGAGTGAAGATTCAGGTCAAGGCTGGATAGCATGTACGACAGACAGTATCTTAGCCATGAAAAATACCCTATACGATGTCCTTATTACAATGCCACCTCCGTACTCCGAAGACGCTACGCAGAAAGTCTGGCCAAAAGTAGAGTCATCGAAAGGGGTTGAGCTGAAAGCTACACAAAGAGACCTGAGGCGATATAAGACATTGAGGTGGGGATTAGCTCGCTCTTCATCACCAAGTAGTCAAAACGACGATGAAGAACCTGTCCGAGCTAGCTCGAGCAGTGCCTCCGTGCCAAGAGAAGATCTCCTCGATCTCCCGGACACAGACCATATCGTAGAACCCCTCTCCTGGTCCGCACTTGCATACTCGGGATTCATGTGGTGGGCATCAGCAGGCGAACAACGTCTTCACTACGAAGAAGAAACCGAAGCAGACTCCCAGCTACTGTCTGGCCTTTCTTTATCCCCATCCTCACCAATAACTCCTCGTTCACAAAGCTCACCTTCCCTGAAAAAATCAAAGCTCAATGGACCACCAACAGAAGCAGAAGCACAGCAGGAAATGGCATTAATAGCTTATTTCCACCGACTTACTACTCAGGTTCTCTCTACATTATCGGACATTGTTGATGCCACAGACTCAGATGATGAGAGAGAAGCTGATCATTCTCCTCTCCACCCAACTTCTCATTCCTTAGAAGATTGCGGAGTAGAAGAAGAGGATACAGGACCAGCAATGTACGTCGCGAGTCAAGACATCGTGAGAATGGGACTCGACGAATGGAGCATAGCGGACCACGAATTCGTGGAAGAAGTATCCAAGGCGTATTTCGGGCGGAGAGCGAAGGTAGAAGGAAGGAATGTCAATGTTTGCGGGATCAGGATTTGTTGATGCTTCTTCCGTGCTCTTTCTTGTACACCGTTGGTTTGGGAGCACGGAGTTGAGGCTTTTGTGTAATTTCTTGTACGAACGAGTCTAGTATTCCTACACAAAAGCTGTGGTTCAAGGAGAATGAATTGAATTGAATTCCTCATTCTATATAGTGCAGTAGTGATCAAATGCTCGACTCCCTGAACCCAATGCGCAAATCAAACATTTTTCAGTCTCAACGCCGGCTACCATGCCACCCCATATTTGTACAAGTCAAAGCCGCCCATTATCATAGAAGAGGTATGCAGGGATAAGAGAGTGTTTTATTTATTCCTCGTCTGTATCCGTGTCTGTCTCACTGGTATCATCGTCCACCTCTCCATCTGTGTCGCTCTCCTCGTCACTCTCTTCTTGTACAACTGGCTTCTTCTTTTTCTTGGGTGGTGGACCCGTGATCCCGCCTGACTTGAGAGCCGCCATTTGTCCTGCTATGGAGTCTAGATATATGTTAGCATTGGTATTGAATAAGGTGAAAATGGATAACGTACCCTCATCAGGCTCGCTGATATCATCCTCCGGATCAAACTCCTCTGCCTTGCTCGCGTCCTCGACGACCAAAGTGACCTCCATCTTCGTGTCAAACCCAACGTAAGAATCACAGATTAAATGCATAGCAAAAGTGTAGTGACCCGCTTGTGGCGGTGCCTGGAACGAGATCTTCAAGGTCTGCATATTGAATGTAGGCTTGTTATTCTCGTCGAAAATAGGCTTGTCGAATGCTGTGAATGTGAAAGGAGGAACGGCCATCTTGCCTTGCTTGCTGTCTGAGAGGAAGATGTGCCATCGGGGAGAGTAGTCGCGGGCGAAATAGGGGGCATAAGCGAGAGGTGGGAAGACTGGCTTTTCTTCAGCAAGGGGCTTTCCATCTTTGCCGAATTTCTTTTTGCGGCCCATGATGGCGTCAAGATCATCCTCATCTGGGTCCACGTCTTCGAGGTCGAGTTCGTTGATTTCGGGGATGTTTTGGCTTCCAGGCGGGATGAAACGTCCCTTGATGACGAAGGATACGAGAGATCCGGGAATGATGAACCTTTCTCCGGGGACCTTGAAGAATGCCTTTTCGACTTGGAGATTTGGTAGTTGCTTTGCCACATTGATTGCCGTCTCATATTGCGCCTCAGTCAAGAGACCCTTACCAACAGAAAGCTTCTTTCGGTAGGCTTCGGGTAGTCGCATGTACTGTTGTAAGTCCAGGTGCGTCTTAGCATCACCCTCGACCGCTGCTGCGATCTCAGGTGTGAAGTGAGGTAGTTGAAGAAGTGGCGATGCTCCAGGAGGAACAGCCTGGATCAAATTCTGGGAGGTTGTGTATGAATTAAGTATGGGTGCGACTGCGCCGAAAGCCAAGGAAATAGCAGTGAAGGAGTTGTTAAGTGCGTGAGCAATGGGCGCAACCTCGAACTTCGCCTGGTTGAGTGCTGGGTCGTCAAGCTCGACACGGCCCAGGTACGACCAAAGCAGTGCAAGAGTTTTCCTTCGGACGCCACCTTCTAGATCTTCTAGTTGTAGTTTGTCCTTCTCAGTAAGACCTCCAACATGGCCCCAGACAGTTCCTTCTTTCAAAATCCTTGACTCGATTTTTGCAAGGTCGGAATCTGCTTTCTCTCCCTTTAGGACTTTTAGGAATTCCAGTCCCGTACTCAAAGCTCCAATGATACCACCCTCTGTGATATCTTCCTGGTATTTGCGGAATAGTTCATTGGCGCTGTCGATGAGGACCTTCTCCTTGGACATGCTCTGCGTGCCGTACCACCAAGAGCCAACCAGATATGGTAACAAGACACCCAAAAGTGCCGCATAGACTAACAAAACGTACTTCCCATTGCCTTCCGAGATGATGAACTTCGGCAGTGCGATACCGATACTGAAGCTCTGCTTCCCATCTGGATGTCCGAATTGGATATAGTTATTTCGAATTTCCTCGTCTGTGAGAGCTTTATATGCCTTCGTGAGCTCGACGAAATAGTCGTTCAGAGACTCGAGTGTCTGATTCTTTGAGGGGTCGGGTCGAACTTTGTCGGGATGGAATTTCAGAGACATGCGCTTATAGTGTGACTTGATCTGTTTCTCCGTAGCACTCTGTATTCTGGTTAGCCCTCTCATTCACTCATAGTCGTCCACGAGTCAAAAATTACCTCTGAGATACCCAGAATATCATAAGGATTCCATATCTTGGGAATCGTCCTCGCCGTGACATAAATGAGATATGCCATCCCCGCCATTATGATCCATCCTGCAATGACGGCAATACCCCTCTTAAGCTTCCTCTCTCTCCGCTTCTGCGCCTTGCGCTGATTATCAATCAGATCGGCATGCTCTGGTCGGAAATCGGTCTTTATTCGAAGAGCATGTGCACCAGGTTCGGTGCTGGGTTTAAGGACAGAATACGTGAGGGGAACAGTCACAATTCCGACGACAGTGAGGATGAAGAAGGGGAAGAATTGGCCCTTTGAACACCGTTAGCTTCTTATCTTCCATTCCCAAGGAGGAGAAACGAGTACCTGCTCATCGTACGAATAGTCTGTGCCACTCATCTTTCCAAACTTATCTGGTCTTCAAGACCAAGACCAGTACTTATTTACTGCCTATGCGCAAATATATTAAGAGCCTTGATAAAGAAGGAAGAATATTGTCGCAATAGAGTCACAATTCTGTTCGTGCAGCGCGAGAAAGAGTGTGCTGTTTAAATAAGGAACAGAGCAAAAAAGACCCGTGGCTCGTGGCTCGTCTCTGGAATTCCGAACTGGACTGTGAAATCTGTCTCCAAACTTCCACGCCTTTGGTGCCGGGGTCTAAGCGGCGCCGACCACACGATCAAGCTAAACTGTTCTGGGCTACGCTTAGAAGAAGTGCCGCCTCCGCCTTGCTGACCAGCCTATCAAATCTCGAAATTCGATAGCTGAAGATATTTTCGTGGAAACGATTGTGTTTTCAGACTGGAAGTGTGATTTCGACGATTTAGGTCCTCAATACAAATTCTAAACTTTCTTTGTTCAAGTTCTAAATCTCATTAGCTTCATAAACAATACCCACAGAAACCAAACACATCCCTTTTGTCTGATTTAAGCTTCGACAATGGTGATTGTGTCAAGTCGTAGTGAATCTCTTCAGAAAGGTTTCGAATGTTCCAGAATCGTAGGAATTTTTGTTATGAGCTGCAAGCAATGTTCCAGTACGTTGCATACAATGTAGTTCCAAGATGTGAAATGTCCTGTTCTAGAACAGGTTCAGCAATACTATTCTCTGGGAAATTTATTGATTCGGTTGTCAACTAAGCTACACGATATATGCTCATCCTTCTATAGTAATTAGCCCGTAGATGCTCAATGCCAACTCCATCGCTATGCTATGCTAGTCTTCTATCGTGATAATTTTCGCGTCCTTATCATCAATATCCTTCACCTCTTCTTTGGCCAAAGCTCTTGCTTTATTATGCTTCACGAATACAAAGCTAACCTTGCAATTCTCACTCTTTAGCACGTCGACAAGGACGTCATCGTCGAGCGTTCTCCTAGCCTCAGTCACTGCATCTTCTTCGTCTCCGAAGACATCCTCTGTCTCGCCTCTGAAGATTGAAGTGTCGAGATGATTGAACAGCATCAAAGCTTGCATCTTGCCCTTCGATTTCTTCAGTCGTTTCTGTTTTGCTTCGTCTGCCAATTTTCTCTCAAGAGCCTCGATGCTTTTCTTCGTGCCCGGTACCATCGCACCTCGGACCAGAGACTTCAGAGGAACGAGCATTTCATCGTCACTGTCGTCAACAGCCTCTTCTGCGTCTTCCTCCTCCAAATTCTCTTCCGAAGTTTCAGAGATATCTGGAGGTGGAATATTATTACCAAGACCTTTGCAGTCGCAACCCAATAGATCATGAGTTTGGCATACAGATGTAGTATCAAGCTTGAACAAGTCCTTTAATTCAACAGCCGAGAATGAAGCCTCGTTCTTCTTGCCATCAACGACGCTATCAGCCAAGCCCATCTTGCTCACTTGGCGCTGATAGATTTTCTCATCTATTCCTCCAGCCATCAAGAACCTGTAAATCTTGACAGGTCGCTTCTGTCCGTGGCGATGGATTCGAGCCATGGCTTGAAGATCTGTGGCAGGATTCCAATCCGTATCGAACAGGATAAGCCGTGAAGCTCCGATGAGGTTGATACCCACTCCACCCGCCTTTGCTGACAGTAGGAAAGCAAAGCTCTTTGTTGCAGGAGCCTTGTTGAAAGATTTGACAAGATCCTGCCGTTGATCTGTCGGAGTCTTGCCATCTAAGCGAGAGAAGGGCAGTGACATAGATGCTAGATGCTGGCCAATGAGGTCAAGTGTCGACGTCCAGTTGGAGACAATGACAATCTTCTCATTGGTTTTCTTAGAGAGCTGCCTGAGCATCTGGTCAAGGACGCGGAACTTGGAGCTAGATCTGACTGGAGCCAGTCGCATGATCTCATCAGGAATAGCCTGCAGAAGCTCGGCAACTGTGACATTGCTTGGTGCGCCCTCATTCGTCTTCAACAAACTCGGCGCGTTGCAGACTTTCTTCAGCAAGGTAATGAGCTGGAATGAAGCTTGTTTACTGCCAAATGCGTTGCCGAAAAATGGAGAATCGAGTACGTGCTTGTAGACTCTGATCTGAGCATCAGTTGGCTTGCAATAGACTACGAAGTCTGATTTCGGCGGCAAGAATTTGGACATGACATCAGCCGTGCGGCGTAGAATGAAGGATTTGGTCAAGCATGAGAGCTCTTCCTCTCTTGCCTTGCCTTTCTCGACATCTCGTTTGGAGGCCTCCGGTTGCCGACTTTTGACAATCGGCAGTTCGAACTCTTTCTTGAAGGTCTTGTAATTTCCTAGAAGACCTGGATTCACGAAGTCCACCATAATGAAGAATTCCGAGAGGTCATTCTGCATTGGTGTTCCTGTGAGGACGACACGCATCGGGGTATTGAGATTCCGAATCGCTTGAGCCGACTTGTTCTGAGCAGTCTTGAGCCTGTGGCCTTCATCTGCGATGATGATGTCAATGCCTGCACCTTTCTTCAGCTCGTCCTGTACCGATCTTAATTTCTCGTAGCCAATAATCATCACGCTATAGCTCTTTCCATGTGTGAAATCAGTTAGCTTGGTCTTCGCGTTGTCGGCGACAATTACACCAAGTCTTTCCTTCCCTAGCCATCTCTTGAATTCGTCACTCCAATTCCGAATCAACGTGACCGGGCAAACGACGAGAGCTTTTTTGATTACTCCGTCATTAGACCCAGCAATAGGATTCTGCTTGAGCAGAGTCCATAAAAGGGCAATGGTCTGCAATGTCTTACCTAGACCCATCTCATCTGCCAAGAGAGCTCCTTGTCCGTTGAAATCACGCATACCCATCACGCACTCGTACATGAATTTGACGCCTTCAAACTGGTGAGGATGAAAATGTTGGCCAAGGAAGGGATCTAGAACAACGTCCACAATCTGCTTGCCTTTCGGACAATCGATTGGTCTCTTCATGACCACTGCGCCGAAAGCATTTGGATTGTGTCGTGGCGTCGGTGCTCCATCTTCGGTCTGAGGAATAACTGTCGTCGAGAGGAGGGGATTCTTGAATTGAGCCTTGATTGCTGAGGTCTTGGAATAGAAGCTCTTGGCAGTAATTTCCGATATCTCAGATCCATCATCTGCCTTCTTCTTTCCTAAAAGAGGCACTTTGCCTTTCGGCAAAGATATGGGTGCTTTCTGTATAGAAGGCGGCTTTGGAGTCGAAGTGGTATTCCTACCAAAGGTTGTAACAGGCTTGGTGGCAGTGACTTTCAGGAATGGTCGTCCAGATAGGAAGTCGTCCTTTGAGATGATAGAATCTACTTCAACCTCCTTTCCGCCGATGCTCAGAGTGCTTCCAGGAAGCAGTGGTTCCTTGTATACACACTTTCCCATCTCTTTACCATCGTCTCCCTGAAGGCGTGCGTAGCCACCGTAGACTGATAGAACACCATCACCATCCCAAGTCTTGTGCTTCTTGTTTGTATATTTACGCCTATAGAGTGGTTGTCAGAGTATATCAATGTACAAGAGTAGGTTGAAATACCACAGCACCAGATAGTACCCCTCAGGACAGTCATTGTGCAAGTCAGAGCTCGATTTTGGTTCACTGGAGTTCTTAACAGCAATCAATGGTTTCCTTGGAGCAAAGACACCAGCAGAGGCAGGCACAGATTTTGCGGGAGGTCGCTCGTCACTGGAATATACAAGTATCTTCCGTTTTTTGTAGGGGCGAGGTTCAGATTCGTCGTCTGATTCGGGGATTCGCTCTTCTTCTTCGACTGGTTTCTTCGGAGCGAAGCTCTTAGGAAGCGGAGGCCGGAATGGTTTGTACATGTTGATGTGCCCAGGCTGGGCGGGGTACGATTGAGGTTGTACAAGTCAAAACGCGACCGATGTACGCGACAAAGAAACGCGCTAGTCTGACCAGCACGTGCCATTAGCTAGAGCCATTCCAGTTTCTTTATTTGTCCCATCTCAGTCTGCATATTCGTCCTGTGTAATTGACCCTCGTCGTTGTAAAGATCAAGCCAGTGTCAATCTCCCAGAACTCTTCGACTCTTCAATCTCCAGAAGCAACTCGTACAATCAAATAACTGGATACTACCGGTCAAATCGCTCCACATCAAACCAAATAGTCCCCCCTTGCGACCTCCAGCCCATTGCTCTTTGAAGATCCAAACAACAGAGTCTTCTCATCATCCTGCAAAGTATGACGCCGTTGTATGCCATCTTTCATGTGGTGGTAATACCTTTTTTTGATAGAGAGCTCGAATTGAGTCAAGGAATAGTCTTCTGCCCACATGCAGTAGGCAAACTTTTCTCTCGAATCCAGACCCTGGCATAGATCATCGATCGCGGCACTCCGTTCATCGTTAGGAATGCTACGCAATGCGAACAACAGTCTGTTGTGCGTCTCCCAGTAGACGAACTGATCGTTGGCGAATTTGAAGCTGACACAGATGAATATTACTCCCCCCCAAAGACTCAAGGACATCATGAGGCCGCTGGGTCTGCTCGGTAATGTCTGACAAGCTGTGTCGCATGGTTGGTAATCTTCGTAGTAGACGCTCATGAGAAAGTTGTCGAGCTTGACGAGGAGAGACATGATGATTCGAGCGATAAAAATCATGGCGAATTTGGTACTTGGATAATGTGATAAAAATGGAAATGGAAACAGGAGAGCTCTCATTCTTTTATGTTGACATTTTGAAGCTGCCATGACGTCGACATCCGCGCAATTAGGTACATTACATATCGGTCCCATACTTTGATCCTCGACAGACTGCTGCTAATGGGTCTAGGGAGGCAGAAAATGTTCAGGGTGGATCGAAAGATGCAGTAATTCGAATAATGCGATATTTGAATCGAAAAGGCGAAGATGCCGAGGAGACTAAAAGAGAATAGTGCGGAGCGGCATGGCAAATCGCATGAATGCAGGTCTAAGGGGATATAAAAGTTCAGTTTACTTGAGATCAGTACTAGAGTATATATCAATGGAACAGAAAAATTGGACAGATACGCTGAGTTATAAACTCGTACTCTACTCGCGTATCACTTCGTTGGTTCCTTCGTCCGACAGAAGTAGGGGCATCATATCGAGCTAACTATTGTCAGTGGACTATTGTTGAAATTTTTGTTTTGAAAAAATCATTCAAGTACACCAATGATTGTCCTGCAGATGAAGGGACATAACAAGCAATCGTGGTTCTCGATAGGGTTTTTGTTGTGTCTGGAGAGACTAAGGAGAATGGAATGAATGAATTATCGTTGAATTTAGCTCCGAGGAGGAGTTCTAAGCGAGTTGTTGAGTGTCCAACAAATCGATGAGCATTATGAATTCGCAATAAGTATTTCTCATCTAAAAATTATTAATTGCAGAAATATTATACAACAGTTTTCTGATTATACCTGAATGCTGGGAAGAATGCAATACCTCATAGGTTTAGTGGGTTATTTTGCTTCAGAGAAAAGACCACGGATTGGCCAGCAAATGAAGGGACATTGGAATGAGTTCAAACATGGTCAGCTTTCGTTTGAAACTCATCACTATGGGAATTGCAGTTTTCAATTATTCAAATTTCACTCATCGAATGATCTGCACAATCTGGGACAAGTAAAGGTTGGTACCAAATATTATACTTATCAACTACCAAGAGAGCTGCACTATTCAAACAGCACATTCATGCTCAAAATCTCCAATTCCGCCTTCCGCGGCTATGCTCTCTTCTATCCATCCCTTCTCTATCCAGACAGCGAGCTCTAAACGGTTCCAGCCGTGAGCACACGACCGTCTTCTACTTCTATCCTCCTTTTTCTACTTCTGCTTGATTTTGCTACTCATCCTGGTCTCTCCATTTTCTGGTCTCTCCTTTTAATAGACATTGACCACCAGAGACACAGGGCTGAGCTATATGAGGACCAATCACTTCCCATTGCTCCTCTCGCATTACACCTTCGTGCAAGCGGTCCGCAGAGTTGACCTCAATGGTAGGTGATCTGTTACGAGTCGTCGATCAGGATCCAGGTCTCTGGTTCGGAAGATGGGGTTGAGGATGCTGAGACATGATGCGGCGTTTGAATGAATGTCCAGTCTCCGGTGTTGGAAATGGTGTCGAAAGAATGTGGTTCTGGAATCGAAATAGAAAAGGTGGTATTATCGAGGAAATGTGACCCTTGTAGTGACCCTGACCCGAACGCCGAGGAAAGTGGGGCCGGTAATGACTGTGGGATATCGATATCGGTGTTGGAAGACATGAGGGGTATCTTGGTTCGATGTTGAATCGTAGGTATTGGTGATGTTGTGGTGGAAGGAGATAGGAGTCGTGCAATATCCGCATCATCGCTCAATCCAGAAAAGGAGAGGTACAACGGAAGTGAACGCCAGGTTGAACGCCGTCGAGAACGCTTGGGTTTGCCACGTCGAATGATGAACATTGGGACAGGATGCTGGACAGGTACATCACACGAGACTGTGTTTGACTTGGAGACTTGAGCGATGTCCTCGTCGTCTTTGTAAAGAATGCCCATACGATACAACTCCTGGCGAACGATGCGTAAGCATACATCTGCCTTCCAAACAAACTTTTCCTGCAACAAGAAAAGGGAGTGGAATGGAGAAGGAGGATATCAAGGATCGATGTAGTCGAGGTCGCCGAAAAGACCGAAGACAACTCCTAACATCGCCTCATCTGGGATACTCACTTCATCGTCGACGTCTTCCCCGAACAGCCTTTGCTGCTCGATTTCCAACTGTCTCATGTCCATTTCTGCAAGTGCCTTTTCCTCTGCTTTCCTTGCCTGCCATCTCTGCCAACTCTGGTCGAAGTTCTGACGGAGGAGGGGCGAAGGTTTGGCCTTGTCGGAAGGAAGGTATACACTTGCGTCACGGGCATCCAGAAGGCTGTCTGTGTAGTCGAATGGAGCGTTTGCTTTGCGATTCATCGAACGACGAGTGCGTGAACCCGGGCGCTCTCGACGCCTGTTCTGACGATGATGCGGCATATTACTTTGTCCATTTAATATAACCATGATGATTGATGTTTTTAGGAGGTAGTTGGGGAGAGATATTCTATCCTAGAAGGATAGGGAATGTAGGAGGTCTGCGATGAAGAGAAAGGAAAGTAAACAATAGGGAATGAACATGGCCTTATATTGCCTCCATTCGACTCATCGCCGTCGTCGTCGTACTAGTCACGGGTGGTGACTCGATTTTGATAGACTGACCAATATCATGTGGTTGTAGCAGAAAGTTCCACGATTGGCCACGAGGAGGACTAGATCGTCCCAAAGTGAGTCATAAGCCCCAACACTCGTTGGGACAACGTGGCGGTGCTCCATTTTGATCCCTGCAGAGATCCGGGGCAGGCAGACTTCTCAAGCAAATGCTGGACATGAAACAGAAAGCGAGTGCGACATCGCAATCCCGAATGTATGTGAGGAAAAGCCGATGAAAATGCCTTGAGATGTTACGAGAAGTGGTGTGCGAATTTCGCTTTCGAAGATGGTGCACGGGCCACAATTTGCCACTCAGCCACACCACGCGGACGACAACATCGAAGCATCTCGTTCATTCGCCAATTTATTCCCTTTCAAGTGAAGGCGCAGGTTTCTTCGAATGCTTCCATGTGCATCATAATAGCGGCTGTGCTGTAGTCTGTCCCGGAGATACGGTCCAGATCTACTTCCTCCCGAGGTCTGCATGTGAGAATACGAATCACGTGCGCATTAAGGGGCTCAAGGCACCCGACCTCACCTTGGCCACAGAGTCTAAGCGGAGGAACTCTGTCATCCGAGATGACTGACTGACCGAGGGAGCAAGTTTTTTTTCTCTCGCCATGTCCGTCTCCGTTGCCTACTGCCTGTGTTTCTGAGATATCACGGATAGCTTCATGTCCGAGTTAGGCTTCAGCGATGACTACGTTCCACTACTATGCCACCTTGGAACGAGGAACATTTCTTGACTCATTATATACCTTCCAGTTTGAGTTGAATGTCCGATATCCTTCAGGTCACCTCTCACATGAGCACCGTGGAGTCCGAAAATACTTTATGTGATAACTTGCACGTCTGATAAGTTGACGTGAGAGAATGGTCACCGGGGAAGACCATAGAAGTGCAGTTCGAACGCAATAACAATTTAGCATATCACAGACATTGATCTCACCATCTAAAGGACGGAGTCCAAGAGAACAGCGAAGAAGACTTAGCGAAATAGCTTGAGAGCAGGGAAAGAAGACAGTCGCTCATGTATCCCATCATAGCAATGGATCAAATCGCTTATGTGATTCTCGACTTCACGATGAGTAAGAACGGATATAAAAGCCGAGTTACATGTCCTATGTCTTGAACGGGAGCTTTTCTTCGTGTTGCTGGGGGGTGACTGCAGCCTACCGACGGCAACATGACTATTGACTCCCATGGCAATGGGAACAGGCTGCCGCCGGGCCGTGAAAAGATATTGAATGTGGCAATGATGTGTTCCAAGGCGGACAATAGCATGAAAGATCACAGTCTAGGAAAATTGATCCGAGAAACGGAACGAGATTTTATCGAGGTGTGGAAAATCAAGGACTGGTGCAAATTTCAGATCGAATGTCAAGCGTAGAGGAGAAATAAAAAGAAGTAGAAGAGGTATCATCAACGCATCATTAGCATTATCGATTAGGTTCTCTGCGTCCAAAACCACTGAGAGTATGCAAGTCTACAAACTATGATACCGAGTATGTCCCGAGGATTGCTCCCCAGCTCAAAAACGATCCCAAAATTGCTGGTGACTATCGCAATAAAGCAACGCTTTTTCCCTTCCAAAATCCATCATTTAGCCAAAAGCTGCAGCAGCAGTTAAAAGCGGAAACTTCAGAGCAGATGGACGGAAGGAGAGGGGTCGATATTTAGTTGGAGATGGAGGTGATGACGGCGTGGAGGGGACCTGTTGCCGTGGGCAAGTTGCAAAACAGACCCGCGGCGTCTGTGTAGGTCAAGCTGACGTTCATTGAGGCGAAGTACTCAACGTAGTCGTATGGTGGAGGATAAACCCTGTGGTTGATAGTCAGCATCGTTTGTAAGTTAGGAAGGCTTAAGAATTAACTGACGCAGGATCAGACCATTCGTGAGCCAACTCAAAAGAGAAATGGCAATGGTCAGTGTAAGAACCAAAGTACCAGTCAAACCATTGCTCCTTGCCGGGAGCAGTGGGTTCGGTGCAAACAAGGTACGAAGGACCCATAGGACCGGTGCTTGAAGTTGCAGTGTCGGTCCAGTTAGTCGAGCAGGTGGTTGATGTGTTTGAGTTCGGATCATTGAAGACGACTTTGAATTCATCAGTAGACTTTCGATGAGCTTTGGGACCAGACTTACATGAAACAGAGCGGTTGAAGCTACCTTGAGTAGCAAGAGCTGTGGAATTGGCGGAGATGGAAGAGATCAAGAAGTCCTGGAGGACGACCGCATCGGTTGAAGTGACAACATGGTTGCCAAAGACTTGGGGGCGAGAGGCAGCATTGCTTCGAGATTGAAGGACTTGAGGGAGGGCTTGGGAGAGGATGGCAAAGCCAAGGATGATGCTGAGAATGAAGCAACGCATGATAGCAGCTTGAGTTTTCAGGTAGATGGATTTGGCTGTGTGGAGGATCGAGAAGTGTAGCGACAGACTGGTGAGCAAAGATACAATTGAAGTCTTTGAAAGGATGGCAAAATCTTGTTTGTGTAGAAGGAAGGCGGAAAGAAAACTCTTTATGTAGCTACTCTCAAAACAGTCCAGCCAAGAAAAGCACACAACCGAACCGTACGATAATCCCAGGTGAATTTTTTCCCCGAGTGAACACGAAGGAAAGGCCAGACGGTTTTTTGACTCCCGATATACGATTATTTGAAAGAAAGAATTGATCGAGTTCTTTAAAGTTGTACGGCCTCCCTAGAGTCAGGGATACCCAAGAAAGCTGAATAGGCTGTACGTCCAACGACGGACATTGAGAGCCCCATGACTCTACTTAGCCAAGTCTAAAGCTTTGATTCGTTCCTGAAGATCCCAACTTCTTCCAATTGATGCGTTGCATTGCAACCAATTACATTGTTGGCAAGTGTCAAGGACCGCTGACGATCGAATAAACATTTAAAGATGAAACGCTGGCCAGTCCAATTATGGAGATCTTCTGGAAGCGAGCACGTTCGCGATGTCATGCCAAGATCATTCAGGGGTTCGAGGTACTAGGTACTTAACACAGGACGAACAGACATACCGAGGTGGTATATCTTGAGCTGAATTGCAAAATATCGTGAATTGGGCATGAGCACAGCTGCCAGCAGTTGTGTTTATGTTCGGACGCGCAAAGCAGACGCCACCGCTTCAGAGGCTGTGCATCTGATCTCTCCCGATGATCTGAAGTTCAGGGTCCCTCGTCCCTGCAGCATCTCACCCATTTCGGATGAAAGCTCGCAACCTTGAAATGTCCAAGATTGAAAAGGACAACCAAGTTTTGCGGGTGGCTGCATCAGGACACGAAGCTCAATATGCATTCAAGTCAGTCAAGTCAGCGCGAAGGATCAATGGTTCGTCCACACCTTGAAGAATTGATGCATATCCATCCGCATTCAGAATTTCGGTCTGAAGAAGAGATGAACGGTGAGCTCTTCGGATCCTTCGGCAAGCCCTCGGGAGATTTCTGTAGAGAGAATTTAGGGCAGAGAGAGGATGGAGATCTTCAAATAAGCTTCGCTCCCTGAAAGACAAGTGGCCAGTGAGGTCACGGGAGTGTCCCAATGCTTTATCTCTTGTGGGGCGCTTATCAATATATATTTATTATTTATAGCATCCGGTCATCATCTGCATTGCACTTGAAGTGAGGGGTTTGCAGGTACCGGCAAGCAGGCGAAAAAGGGGTTAGGAGACGAGCGTGTTTGGACATTTACCACCACAACATTGGAACATCACAAAACCATAACACTTATTGCCTCTTAGCTATCTTGTTTCAGTCTCCCACATGCTTTTCATGAGCCTTGAAACACTTCTATCCCTCTTGAGTCAAACGTGCCCTGCCACATAACGCCGTGTATTTCTCTAAGCCGTCTCACAATCGGAGAGACATCTCCAATGAAGAGTTGTCAGTGCTGTACGTACAGCTTATTTGTCCTGTCGGTCTCGCATCCCGAGCACGTTCGATGTTCCAGAGCCCTACACCCCTCTCAAAGATAGCTTTGATACCGGGTACGCCGTGGGGTCGAGAGCTCAGCTGGAAAATGATCTCATAGCTGAGCAGTTGATATATCGAAGTGAGCATTGTCCGGGACTTGCACCTGCTCTAACATTGGGATAGAACAGAGCGCAATAAAGCCCTGATGCTGAGATTATCCTCATGTTGCATTGCAGCATCTTCTGAGACCATTGGTCTCTAGCCGCAGCTGTGATTGTTCTTGACGAATCCACGTTGATGCTGCTCCAGCTCAGCCCCAACTGCAAGCAAGCATTCCCGTCGTCTCGCCGTTCGAGGTTCCACCACCCTTCCCTTCCCCTCGACGAATTGCTATTATTATCCTGCCCCGAACAAACACAGCAGTCGTTTTGCAGTGCACCAGCAACAGAGCGGTATCTTCTCATCGAGCCACATTGCCACTGCCCAAGCAATTGTTTCGAAGAGCTTCAAGCGCGCAGAGTCAGGCCCTCCTGGACAGGACATAGCCTGCTTTGCTTGCCTCTGACCTGCTAGAGCTCCTGCTCTAGCCCCACCTCAAACGCTGGCTGTGCAGGCATCTCTATCTATCAGCACCAAGCACCACCACTCCTCCCCTGAGTCTATCGTGAGCTCCGGCCACGAGTGTGCATGCACAAATGCCATCCATATTCACACACAAAAATCGTTCAAAGCAGGTGTTGAATGATCGTCTTTTTGAAAGAAATTCAAATCAATCCAGCAGCGGAGGGCAAAATTCTGGTGCAGCCTCTCCTAACTTCGCCGCCTCAGACGAGGAGCACAACACACGAAATCCCCAACATCAAGGATTCGTCCAACAACCTTCGCGCCCTGAAGCTCAGCAGCAGGATCAACAACAGCCGTCCTACAACGCGCCAAATATCGTGCCAGACATTGATTATCGAGTCCAACAAAAGCCCACCGAGGTCCCGACCCGGTCGCAGTCGACGCGGTATTCCACTGGCTACCAACAACCTCCTGCTGCTCCCCCGCAGAGTGGATCGAGTGACGACCTGGGTCTGAACTCCAGAAGATATCAACAGCAGGGTGGAGCCCAAACACTGCAAGCACCTGCCGCCGAACCCAAGAACAAGAAGAGTATTTTTGATCGGATGAGATCGTCGGGTCGAAGCTCTGAATCGAAACCTCCTTCCCAAGCATCCTACAACAACACCACTGGGCTAGCTCGAAGGTTGTCCAAGAAAGAAAACCCTCCGGTTATTCGCACCGCACCACACTCAGCGCAGAGGGAATCTGGAGATCTGTCGCAGAGGGCTGATTGGCAATTTCCAGCAGATTCACGATCACACCTGCCTTCACCGCAAGAAGCAAACGAAGACGGTTTGGATCCATATCTTATCAGAGAATCAGAGCCGGTACGGAGACAATCACAAGCCGGGCTGCTCAAGGAGGAAATTCACCAGCAACCTACCATACGACCTGTTCAGAGTGAACCTGAACCCCCAATCTATACCACCGACGAGGATCGCCAGCAATTCGAGGCACAACAATTACGAGAGCAACAAATTCACCACCAAGCTTCTGAATCCTCCTCGCAGATTTATTACCAACCACCAGGTCAACCACATCTCAATATTTCTCCGACTTCACTAGATCCAGGTGAAGGATATCGGCAGCAGAATCCCGAGACCGTCTCTCAGCTGTCAGCGTACGAATCGCCAACAGAGCCTCAACAAGAGCAGCGTCCTGTATCTGTCCAATCGCAGAACGGACAATCACCGACAGCCCATCCTCAAGCACGAGAGTATCCCAATCGCACAACCTCAATTCCTCCACAAGGTCCACGACCGCTGTCTCAGCACTTAGGTAGCATGGCTCCTCCTCCAGGTGCTGCATCTGTAAGCCGAAGGGCTCCAGAAACAAAGACTTCAAGTAACCAAGGACAGGGACAATCCGAATCTCGCGATGGTCCACCACCCAACTATTCGCGTGGTGCCTTCCCCACTCCCCAGCCACCTACACCTGGCATGAATCCAGCACCAGCCGGTGCCTCTGTACCGCCTTATAGAGGCGGTCCTCCACAAAGAGGAGAACAATATGCAGCTACGGAGCAAGGACGTAGTACTCCACCTCCAGCACCAAGCGAACGAGACGTCAACGACGCATACAAGGAGCTATGTATGTGTAGAATCAACGTGACGAGCCTGAGTAAAGAGCTGATTTGTCTGCAGTAACGAAATACAAGAAGGTGAAAGGCCTATATTTTGACAAAACAGCCCAGGTCGAGCAATTACAAAATACCCTTGCCAATCAACGACTATCACAGTCAAGAACCTCTCTCGATGACAGCGAATACATGACCCGCTTCCAACGGCTAGATGGCGCTATCACCAATCTCGCATTCAACATCCGCAAAGAGTGGAGATCCGTCCCAAACTGGTTATCACAATACGTGAACCAAGACGCGATCAAGATAGGCAAGCAAGAGATGACTGCCGTAGGCCGAGCCTGCATAACCAAATTCCTCGTTGAGGAAATCTTCACAAATTGTTTCCATCCCGGGCTCGAAGGCGGATTATCCGCCGATCTAAAGAACATCGAGCAAAACATTCGCCGCTTCTCGCCCCAATTAAACAACCAAGAAGAATCAGACGCCCTAACAGCTAAGGTTCTACAATGGCGTCTCGCCACCCTAGATGGATTAAAAGATGTCCTCTCCTCTCCCGAATCAGAAGAACACAAGAAGCAATTCTCCCGCATGGCAACAGCGAATCTGAGCGCCAACCTAATCAACTATCTATCAGAACCAGTCCCAGCAGGAATAGAAGACAGCGCACACATGATCGTCGAGCTCGCCGTGAGCGTAGCGTCCAACCTCCCGCTCGAAAGCAGAGATATCTCAATCGTGTATCCCATGCCAGGCGATATGCTGCAACCCTCGATGATGAAAGTCGAGTCTCAGATCCCCGTCCTGGAAACCTCTATCTCAGACACGGCGACGGAAGGAGATACAGCTAGCACAGCGAGCGCAGATAAGGACGAGAACGAGAAGGGAGAGAGTAAAGACGGCAAACTCAGAAAGGAGAAACCGAAGACAGGCATGCTGCAGGCGATGATGGGGAGCAGTAGTAGCGCAGGCCAGAGCCGAAAGGGGTCCGTTGCTGAACCTAGCAGTGAAGGCAAAAAAGCCGCTGCTGAGGATGGGGCGCAGAAAGTTAGGTTTGCGGGTTTCGTGGGCGTGGAGGTTAGGGGGAGACAGGTACTTGTTAAGGCTCCTGTTTGGACGGTTGCATGAGAGTCAAAGGGTATAAAAGTTAGGTGGGTAGAATAGGGGTGTGGGATGTGGATACGACGAGACATGATATGAGACTTATGAATTTTTATGTATTTACATGATACCATCTCATTGTCATCATGGTAATCAGTCGGTTAGGATCAGAGAGTGGAAAGAGTTCACACTTGCATGCATTCATTATGAAACCATTTTTTTGATGAGATGTTACTTCACCGTACTGGTTAGTGTGAGGTTCGTGAGAGTGAGAGAGAGGGAAAGACGCTTATAGGATAGCATAGTGGGGGGATCTTTTCTTGGTAGATGTTGAAATCGAGCGCTTCGTTGCTTGTGCGTCTATTATAGTACTGTACTTGGCAATTGTGGATGGATCTCTCGTCGTCAACATTACCCAAGATATTTTTTTGAGGGGGAGATTGATGTTTCTCCAGTACCGCTTGACACTCAGATATCTGCGCTTTCCACGCCATGAGCGCCATAGGCGCTGTCCCCGCTGTCTGCGCTATACGCGCATACAGCGGATTTTGCTGAGAGCCGAAACCACAAAAACCAGGCTCTCGATGAACATCGCGGAGCGTGAGAAGATTTTGGGATAAATGTCTGTCTGCAGTAGAGCGACACATCTCACTCACTCTCTCCTCCCATCATCTCACATCTCAATCCTCACACACACAAAACTTTCAAGAACCTTTTTATTTTCTCTCTCCAACCCCCTTCTCCCCTCTATCCCGCTCATATACCACTCACACATCCTGCATTTACTCAATATCCAATAACAACAATCTACCCTTTATTCAATCATCCATCCAAACAAATCTATCCATCCCTCTGGATGAAAGTGGGAAAAAAAACTCCGTCGCTCATGATGTTGTAGTTGTAAATGCCCATCGCTTCGCTCATTTTCGCTAGACTTTTTGTTTTGCTCGCTCGTTCCGTTGCTGTTGTCAAATTCCACATTCCACATTCCATTCCAGACTCAGACATCATTTCATCTTATCTTGACTCGACGCTTATCTTCACCTCACCAGCTCTTTTCTTCCTCTTCTTTTCTGGTCTCAAATAGCCTATTTGTCAAGAGGAGAAAAAGATCAAGTCCATCCCAGCCCCTCCAACGTACTCCTCGAATCCCCCGTACTCATGCCACTCACCCCCATACTCCGAATCAAACTACTCTTCCTCAACTTCTGGATCCCCACCGCGATCTTCCACGCCTCGCTCTCATTAATGATAAACACGAACCGCTTGCCATCCGGGTCTCTCACCGTGACTCTCAAGATATGTAACTTCTTGCTCTTCATCTCGCCCGTCTGTTGGAAATCAACCTTTCTGTTAGCTTTATGGTTTTCTTGCTGGTGAAGGGGACGAAAACGACAATTGGTACTGCAAAGATGGAGCATTTCGGCGACAAGGACGTCGGTTTCTTCCGCACTGGCAGGTTTTTCCTTATCGAGGCCCCAGAGACGACGAATTGCGTTTTGTTTCTGTTTAGTGCTTGAAAAATTCGACGATGCAAAGGGGGAGGACGCAGCGCTGGAAGAAGGGGTGGTGGTTGAAGCAGAACTGTGCCGGAACGATGGACACCATACCTCTATTAATTTCAGACCCCACGCTTTGGCGTCCCATTCTCGCTGGCCGACTCCACGGACGTCGTCGTCGATGAAGAGGCCTTCTGTTTCGCACCTGAGGATCAGGCCGTCGGTGATGTTGCCCACGCCAGAGATGAGTTGGGAACAGGGGGTTTTATAGGCTCGCGGCATGTAGGCGTACACGGCTTTGATTACGATCTTCGAGGGGTCTTTATTCGTATACGGTTCACGGCGTGAGGGAGGAGGGGTGGTTCGAGACGTAGACTGCGAGGCAGCATACGAAGATTCCGAGTACAGAGAAGAAAGAGACTTCTTATGCACCGGTTTCTTGGGTTTATCGTAGGGTCGGTATGAGTAAGTCTCATCTTCGGTGCCTTTGTAAGTTTTAGCAGTTGGCGGGGGAGGAGGTTTTTTGGGAGGCGAAACAGGAGTGGTGCGAGGTGGTGTTGCTGGACGGCCCTTCGGCCAGGGATTTGTCTTCTCCCCAACCGCAGAGAAGGCGTACATACTTCCCCGAGGCTTGGATTCTTCCTCTGCTCGCTTTGCAGCCCGAGCTTCGGTATCCTTACGCATTTGCTCTCGAAGAGCTTCATCCTTCTTTCTCTTCTCTTCCAATTCCCTTCGAGTCTTCTCCTTAGCGGCTTCGTACTTCAATTTACTCTCGCGGACGATTCGTTCCCTGGTTTCCTTCTCTCGAGCTTCTTTGAGTCTTTGTTCCATGGCTTCGATGTCTTTTCGCTTCTTTTCAAGAGCCTCCTCTTCCTGGCGGCGTTTCTCTCGAGATTCTTCTTCTTGACGCTTAACTTCTTCCTCTTTTCGCTTAATTTCCTCCTGTCTAAGCTCCTCTGCACGTTTGGCCGCCGCAGCTGCAGCTTCATCGTCACGCCTCTTCTTTTCCCGGGCTTCTCGTTCTCGAGCATCCTTTTCTCTCGCTTCTCGAAGCTTCCGCTCAATCTCTGCCTTTCGTTTGGCATCAGCTTCTCTGGCTCTTCGTTCCTCTTCCTTTCGTTTCGTCTCTTCTCTGGCCTTCTCCCAAGTTGACTGTCTTGAAGTACCCCCGCCAGGCGTACTTGGATCTGGTCCGGGATTTCCACCGCTAGCGTTTGTTGAGCCAGGTGGTGAACGTTGGTGCCATTGTGATCGCTGTCCTGCGCCCGCACCAGCACCCGGAGGAGGCGCCCCAGCCCCAGGCATAGGTCCCGCACCAGGTGTAAAACCAGCTCCATAGTTAGGTGGTGGACCCGCATGTCCATTCGGACTTGGACCACTGCTTGGAGGGCTTTGCCAACCATGTGAACCTGGATTTGCACCTCCACCAGGTCCTGGTCCTCCATCTGTTGACATTCGACCCACAGACCAAGCTCCCACACCGATAGCGACCACAAACATCATCATACCCGCTCCACCAGCTCCTTTTATGCTATTCCACCAGGCCATTATTGCGGGAGCCAAGGCGTGGCTCACCAGAACCAACAGTAATGCGGAAGCAAAGCCTGCAGCGAAGCTGTTTACATTCGGTTTGAGCGAAGGCAGGTACAGAAATCCCGAGCCCGACGAATGCGGCGGAATGATAAAGATATCGTATTTCCCAGGAGGCAATCCCGAGGATTTAGGATTCTCTCCATGCGGAGGCGGAGGCGGTGGTGGGCCATCCATTGTCGAGGTATCGTTGTGGTGATGGTGGTGCTAGACCAACCAGCTCGCTTCCGCAGCGTTGTGTACCAAATCAATATGTACAATCGAATGATTATTGCGCTTCAAAAAACTTCGGAGGGCGGAATCGAGGATAGGGGTATCAAAGGGGTCGTAGAGGGGTCATAAGGTCGTGAAGAAAACTAGATTGGTCGGGAGTGTCAGTTAGAAATCTTCATCAAAGGAGTGTGTCAACACGGTACCAGAAAACAAACAGAGCAAGCAAGTGCAGGCAGGCAGGCAGGCAGGCAGGCAGAAGAAGTGAAGCAAGACTCGCAAGTGCAAGAGAATGCAACTCCAGACTCCTCTCTATGATCACAATTAGGTACGAGTCGCAGGTTATCCAGTCGGGGTTGGGTGGTTGAGTGTCGTGGCTTTTTGGTCGAGGGTCATAAAGTGTTTATCTCGCTTTCGTCCTGTCTCGCTGACAAAAATTGTGCAGCACTCGAGCTCGGTAAAGGAAAGCGCCTCCGCGCAAGCTAGACCCGGGAACTGCAGCGCGATACCGTACTGTACAGCGATTGCGGGCGGCACGAGGGATTGGGATGAGGACGAGGATAAGATGAAATCAGCAATCACGACAAGATCCTCACTATTATGCTCAGGTCATTATCATTGGGCCTGTTTCAAGTATTTTCATTCAATCTTCAGCAGAAGGGATCAGGCACACACACTCAATTGAGGAGAGCATGAAGATGGTCAAGAGAGCTGCACCCTTTTCCCTTCCCTCCACACCGTTTCTTTTTTGCCCGATCGCTGATGAAGCTCTCGTGCAGTACAGCACCCCACGCCACGATAAACACGTACAAAAAAAAAATCAGCAGCCTCTCAGCGATAATCAAAACAAACGGAATCCTCCAATGACCTCCGCACTGCCCTTTCACGAACTCGACACGTCTGCACAGTGCCCAATCTTCCCTCCTGTGCAGCGAATGGCGGCCCAAGTCCCAAGTCACGGTGTAACTGTTACATCAGCGTCTGCGTCGAGGGCGTTTTCGTTTTGCTTTCCCTCGTTCGATCGATGAGGAGTGATGGGATGGGATCCGCAATTATTCGGTCACACGGCAGCCAGCAAGAGCTTGGGAACGGTGGGAACAGCGAACCAGGAGACTGTGCAAGGGGACGGGCCGTCCTCTAGGATTGCAGAGTTGACAGCTGGGAGTGCACATTGGCTGCGGATCAGCTCCGGGGAGTGCAACACTACCACTACTTGGGTCTGGTGGGAAATAAATCGCCCTTTTGGGGCTTTTCTCATTTCTTGGGGGGAAGGAGCGTTGCTGGGGGGATGAGATAGTGAGTGAGTGAGTGAGTGAGTGAGTGACGTGCCATCTCCACATCCATTTTCCTAGGGAAGGCGAGAGGGACAGGAATGGAAGTTTCGGGGTCTGGCTGCGAGGGATGCTCCTTGAGCTGGCATGAATTGAGTTCAGTAGCGGAGATTGGAGATTCGATGCGAGAGACAACAACGTGGAAATCGTCCGTTCCTTCCTTCCTTCCTTCCTTCACCAGTTTTGGCGTTTGCATTGAATTATCGCAAGCCTCAATTCCTGCTCTCTCTTCCCTGATGCGAGATTGTGATTTGCCTGAACAGCAAACGCGTCTCGACCTATCACTTCGGATCTCGATCGGATGGCTGTCCCAATGCCGATGCCTGTTTTGCCTATCGTTGCTCACTTTGAAGGCCCTTTGTAAAACTCGATTGTGATTCGGGGGATGATGTCCGTTAATCCCCAGGCATTGACATGCAATATCAAGGCAGAGATATGATTCAGCCGCATGGTGAACCAATTTCTGCAGCGGCAGTGGCTGATAGACCCTGGAAGTCGCGGAAGGTTCACGATGCTCAGAAAGTGACAGAGGTAATGTACCAGCGAATGAGGTATTGGGCTAACGGTGGCAGGAGCGATTTGGAGAACACTACTCTAACTAAAACTTCATTGCAACCATCCTTCCTATTCTATAATGTCCTGTCGAGCTTGCTTGCTTCATTGCCACAGAAATGTGCTGACTGAAGATACCAACTACAACTTCTTTCTTTTGAGAGAGTCCCCACGAGCAGCACGATCAGAAATACCGTAACGTTCTACCATGTGGTTCTCAAGCTCCAGTCACATTCTCCCATTTGCAGGGCCAAACTCGCTACACTGAGCGAAGGATGTATTCTGTGTTTTGCGATTGACTTATCTTTACCTGTCCCTGCTCGTTGTTCATTCGCTGGCTTTGGATTAGTTGTCCCAGATAAAATGACATGTCTCTTCCAAGAGGAAGTTCAGAGCCTGCTGAGAGAATGCAAAGTTCTCGTCGAACTGGCAAGTTTGCTGTATATCTCCAAGAGAGTCTTGGAGAATCCTGTTTGGAGCATCGATCGATGGCCCAAATCTGTATGCACTGGCCGGACAAGGCTCCCCTTCGGATTTCGCGCGTATCATCGCCTTTCCAAAGTTTCAGAGCACTATTCCATGGATTTCGGTGTTCATCTTAAGTCACTCAGCCTTCCGGCCCCCAACGCCCTCAAAAGACCAAGACCAATAGACGAGGAAAACATAGCCACTCACATGACTCTGGGCATTTAACCTCATTTTAAGCAAACGCAAGGCCAACCTGCCCAGCTCCGCAATGCATAACATACTCTGTGCACAAAGAAGAGTAACTCCCTGGTTTTTTCCTTCGTCCTTCAACCTGCAATGGCGGGAAATGATACCATCAGGTCTGTCGTGGGCTGGCAGCCTAATTCAGACAGGCGAGGTACGCTCGCTATCCTCGAAAGCTGCATCTTCACGATATTAGCGTGTACATGGACCATTCTGCATCTCAACGTACCTGGTCCATCTGATAGCGCTTTCAGGATATTGCGGAGGAAAATGGCTTTGGCGATCATTACGGTGTTCTTGCCAGAGATTATCCTCGCGCATGCGATGATGGAGCGAAGTGCTGCAATTTTGTCTCTGCAAGAGCTTAAGGCCCTGGATATCGAGGACCTAGAGGTCTGTTATGATCCCTGGTCATGGGCGCGACTGTGGGGAGCAGTTCGAAAATGGTTGAAGAAGAGATTGTGTTGCTGCTCAACAGACCACTTGGAGGCTGGCGCGAGGCCGTCTCAAAACGAACTGGACACTGGGTCACCTCGCAAGAAGTGGACTCTCAGACATTCATATTACGCAAATATGGGTGGACTGAGGCTAGTATTGGAGGATGGTGGGGTCATCTGCAGCTTTACGATAGCCGCGTTCACTTCTATAGCACTCACCACACGTCAGTTTGGTTATCTGCGAGAGAAAGGGGTCATAACGTCAACTCCAAACATCTTGGAAGGAGAAATAGAAGACAAGGCTAAGACCGACTACTTCACGAAAGGAATTGCCATAGTCCAGATCTTCTGGCTGATACTATCGCTATGTGGAAGAGCCTCACGGCATCTAGCCGTCTCTCAATTGGAGATCCTCACAGTTGCATTTGCAGCTTGCGCTGCTGTTACGTACTTCTTTGCCTGGGATAAACCACAAGGTGTGAATACTGGGACGAAGGTTCACGCAACAGCACCATTGAATATCGTGGATACAAACAGGATCGCCCAGCTTCAGCCAAAGGCGTTAAACATATTACTTTTCGGCGCGACGGACATACGAGAAGGGCCACAGTTTGAGCGGATCCACAATGATACCATCGAGCTATCGAACTCGTATACCCAGCCTGTTTCTCTCTGGCTGACAGTGTCGATCATGTTGTTTGGTGCCATCCATCTAAGTGCTTGGAATTACACGTTTCCTACGCCCACTGAAAGAGTTTTGTGGAGAACAGCAAGCGTTGTCATCACCGCTCTCCCAGTATTCTTCATGTTCAACATGTTTATTTCAAGCGTGTTGCATCAAGTGGAAGAAGAAATAGAAGATTATCAGACTAGCATCGTGTCGCTCTGGGAGGATTATATTGCTGCACGCCGCGCCGATGGCTGCCCTGAGTGGGAACTTCCTGTCCCACACCGACTTGCAGATCGTAAACCAGTGGCATTCTATGAAATAGAACAATATCTATCTCGTTGGACAGATGAGAACAGAAACTTTCCACTCCTCAGGACTTACATCGCGGATCAGTCTCAAGACACCGAGGGCCAAACCCGCGTTAGGAACTTCGAATTCTTCCTGACTCAGCTTCCAAAGTACAGAAAGGCCGATGTTCTTGGCGTCAGTCCTTTTGACCACAAGAAGTATACTCAAAAGAAGTGGGACTTGGTTCAATGGCTCAGGCAACAACGACATCACGAATCTTTGACCATGTCGGAGAAAATCGCGGCCTATGTTGAAAAGCGAAACTTTGCGGGAACAACTTATTTGGTGGCTGGGTCTCTATATGTTGTTTTTCGCTTCCTGCTTATTCTTCTCGCGTTCATTGGTCTCAGGGCTATGCCGGACTCGGTGTATGAGACTACTTGGGCTAAGAATATACCGAGCGTTCAATGAGCTTATGGATGTCTCGGCAGAGGACAATGAAGACATATGGGCAGATGTCAAATTGCCGGTCTTAGGTTGTTTAATTCAAGGAGCTTAGATAGAGGAAGGGAAGGCCGGGCACATCCGAGTTCTCAACAAAGAATGCCGTCAAGAAGCTCTGTTGCATGTTTCTTCACGTATGAACAATATTCTTCTTGAGCTCGTTACTTTGTACCTCGATATGTTGGCTTTGCTAGTATTAGCGTCTACTTGATCGCTTGCGCTTCTTAGTGCTTTGATTCTGAGTTCAAAATCTACTAGAGGCACTGGGATAGTTTCTAGCTCAACTTGCCGTCGCTTTGCTGTTGAGTTCTTGGCTCTATTATCCGATTGTATATGCACTTTAGGATGCACTCAAGGTGCTAGGCCATTTTTATGCATGCTTCTTGCTGTATCTACGTCGTGAGCTTGGAAACTCGAGCGCAGATACCTAGGTTTCGATAGATGAGTTTTTGGGGATGTACAGCAAGCGTGTGGGCTTTGAGCTGCTTCAATATCTGGATCTGCCGCTTTTGGTACTACAAGTTTGGCGCTTCATCATGAGAGGCTTCTGTATTTTTTTGAAGAGCCTAAGACATTATCCTACTCAGCTCTCACATCTCTTAATTTCTTCTTCGCTAAACTAAGACATCACAAGAGTCATCACTTCAATGCACATCAATCACATGGAACAATCAGAGATGCTGAAATCAAGTTTTTATTTCTGTCTCGCAGATGCAGTTATTCTTCGTCGCTGTGTCGTTATTTTCGTCGATCTCCAAATCCACTCCCATTTCCGAATTGAATCCAGATTGAGAGCCATTAAGGAGTCTTTCGTGTCTGTCTATAATGCAGTTACCCTATCTTCGTCGTTCTATGGTCTCAAAAGTTCGATAGACGTGACTGAGACTATAAAGCTTTGTAGATACTGTGCTGCAGCAATCTTGTATTCTATGTGATAATCTGAACGTAAGTCGCTTAATCTCGCTAACCCCTAGATCTGGAGGTAAGAGCCATATCTCCACGTGAGCTCGGAGGAATGTGAGAGAGAAACATGCAAATCATTTCAAAACGTACAGAGTATGTATACAAGTTCGGAGTTTGGCAGAAACAGTAACTCACATGCGAAATCCAGGTCAAGATTATTGACGACATGACTATCCCTTAAATTCCCTTAAGTGCAGATATGAAATACATACTGTTACAATAAGCTAATAATAGATAAGTACTTAATCATCTTGAGAACTTATAGACTTCAAAAGGACGGTCGTGGTCGTGATAAAGTAAATGTAGATTTCCGTAAGATTTAGGCAAGATTAAGAACCCTTTTCGAGTTGCAGAGAGTCCTGTTCTTCTTGTTCCTGAGATCCTGCAACCTCGTGTTTATTCCGAAAATCATGAGCGAAGAATTGCGAGTAGTATCCTAAATTTCAACCAGCATGATGAACGAGCCGTCAGTAGCAGCAGTATGGACTACGCTATCATGATGCTTTGGATGTGAATAAAGAACATGCCTTTATAATGAATTATAGCGCATAAGTACCCAATTATTTTAAGAAAGAGATTTATGGAAGTCACAATTGCGGTTGTTTTAAGGTAAATGTAGACTTCAATAAGTTTCAGGTAAGGTTAAGGGCTGTGCCATCATGATGCCATGAATACAGATGGAGAACATACCGATGCTATGAAGTCTAATGGTTGAGTACTCGGGTAACTTAAGAATTTATGTAAAATACGAGTTTCTTACTCTTGGCAATCTCTCTCTCTCTGCTCGAACTTGCAGTTCTCTTCCATTAAAAGTCTAGTATGAATTTCAAGTGCAGGAGTGAGTGACATTGGAGTACTATGGATCAGCACATACACCAAGTAGTATTAGCACCACTTTAGCTCGCATTCCATACTTCTGAAGAGTGGCATTCCTGCCGGTGTGAGAATTTTGGCCTCTTGTCAATCTTCAAATGACCTGACGGTGTATCGAAGCAGAAACTCATGGTCTGAACCCGACCAGTGGTAGCTGTTTCTCAATAATCAAGTCAGTCTTGGGCAAGATGATCTTGGATGACCTGGATCAAGCATGCAAATGTTGTGCGGCGAAGAGCCATTGTGGCAAACCATAGTTCTTGTCTAATGCTACCCTTTGTTGGAGCTTCTCAGAATCTGAGAAGTCGCGGTCGTCAAATAACGTGAGTGTGACGTTCACTCTTTCCGTTTTCCATCAACACAAGCCCACTTTCAAACTCTTCCCTCCTCAACCACTCACAGATCCGTAGATCTTGGTAATTGTGTTAATTTGTTTCTCTCCTGAGAATGGAAATCACATCTGCATCTGCCAATCGAAGTCTTGATCGCTCGTTTTGGATCTGCCTCAGTGGTTGTTACTAAAGATTACAATCACCAAGATTTGGGAGTGTGATATGAAGACTTTTAACGTCTGTCCGACATTTAAATCAATTTTAGCACAGCATTCAGCGTTTCAGTCTTGAAACAGGATATAATGACCAGATATATGAGCTCGTAACCCAAAAACTCTATATAACATTTCAAGAACCAGGTCGATAAGCACTTGGCAGGTCTCACGGACCCAATGAGCCACCCAAATCACCACAAGGGGAAAACTCGCAGGATTCCCTGTTTGAAAATAGATCGATTGCTCTTAGGCTTTATTGTTTCACGGAGTGCATTCTGTGTCGGTCTGAGCGTCTTTGGTTATTTTGTTTGCTCTTTTGCAAATTGTGTTCTCAACCTCTCAGTCAGCAAGTACATCAACAATAACCTAACATAACACAACGACAGAGTTTGGAACAAGCTTCAGATATAACTCAGGAGTATACCTCCGGAGCACTGAGGTGTCTGAAAGATCCGACCAAGCTTAAGCTTAAAAGGATTTGTCGATCCCTTACTCTGGAAGGAACCAGTCGAGGAGGAGAGTTCCTTCCGAACAGACTATGAAATCTAATTTGCACTTCGTCATGAAGGCACAGTTCGGGAAATGTCCATCCCTTCTAAATCGATGGTCTCTTGTTCGTTGGACGCTTCTGCGTTCCCGCCAATCGCCACAGAGAATATGTTCCGAAGATCTACAATAAGCCTCAAATTAGTCTTGCTCTAACCTAAAATATACCTCGGTAAAAGACCCACAATTGCAGATCGATCAAGATTGAGTTCGTCCTATTTACTCTAGTACAAACGGCTCTCATCTGTGTCGTCAATTTCTGTCGATGGCGTTACTGAAAAGTGGTATTTATTTCGTTGCCCTTGTCGTTGCATCTGCGTAGTTGCCAAGCGGATATACTCCCAATTTCATAATCTACAGCCTATCGTTTTCCTTACACGTACAATATGAAATCTTTTCTTCTATACACAGCACTAGCAGCATTTCCATTGACTGTCTCTGGATTTCCACGGGTTGCTCAGGAAGCTGCCCTTCAATTGTCACGCTCAGTGGGTGCAGTACCTAGAAGCAACGGGAAGCGAGCAGTAATGTTCGACCCTGCTGCTCAGTTGGTGGATGTCACTGGAGCGCATGCGTTCACACCACCTGATTTTGATGCTGGAGATCAGAGAGGACCATGTCCAGGACTGAATGCGCTGGCAAATCATAATTACCTGCCTCATGATGGTGTGGCTGCGTGGATCGATATTTTCAATCAAACAGTGTCAGGTTTGTGAGGTGTTTGGTTAAAGACAGCAGAGGTCTAACAGATCATAGTGTACGGCTTGGGCGAAGATATTGCGGCCTTTCTCGCAGTTTACGGTGCAATATTCGATGGAAGCATTGTTTCTCTGGACCCAGGGTACTCAATCGGAGGTCCAACATCGTTGGACGAGAATATTCTCGAGGGCCTTGGTATACTCGGTACTCCTCAAGGTCTCTCTGGTTCCCACAACAAATACGAATCGGATGCCTCCTCGTGCCGTTACGATTTATACACTGGAGGAAATGACTACAAGTTGATATCTCTCGTTTCGAAGCCCTGTATGCTCTCCAAGCTAACGAGAAGTCTCCATCCTACGATCTATCAGTCTGGACTGTTCATCGCAAGAACATGTTCTTGAAATCTGTGAACGAGAACCCGCAGTTCTTCTACGCACCCTTCGCAGGTGTAATCGCTTCGACAGGCGGTTTCAGCTTTCCACCACGAATGATGTCCAACAAGAGCGCCGAATACCCCGACAATGGTATTCTTGACAAGGAGGTCCTCAAGTCCTTCTTCAGCATTTCAGGGCCTGATGACGACCTGACCTACACCTATGGACATGAACAGATTCCGGCAAATTTCTATCGACGCGCCATCGGCAACGAGTACATCTTTGCCGAATTTCTCGAAGACACTGCCATGTTTGCCAGCTATTTCCCCGAAATGATCAGTATTGGCGGCAACACAGGCACTGTTGATTCTTACGCTGCTATTGATCTTGGTAATCTTACAGGGGGAGTTTATGAGGCCACGACTCTGCTGGAGGGCAATAATCTTGCCTGTTTTGTTTTCGAGAGTCTACTAGCCGCTGCACCAGATGTGTTGAAGGGTGGCTATAGTGATCCAAGCGGGCCAATGAGCACACTTCTTGATAATGTCAACACACTGATTGGGAATTATGCTTGCCCGACAATTGAGTCGTTGAATGAGGGACAGTTCGCAGATTATCCTGGTGCGCAGACGACCTCTACTGGTGGTGGTATCTTGTAGAAATAAAGGGGATGCAAACAATCCCATGTACATAGTAATACAATCCACGTGGCGTACATACAACTTATATCTAATTCAGACTGTTTCCAGGGTAGCTTGGACGGCCGTTGTCCCATGCAGCAAAAAACGAGCATTTCTAAATCCAAAACAGACAGTTAGGAGCATACCAACACTTTGCTCGGCTTTCTCTGTATGTAATTGATATCTTTTGACTTTTCGTCGTTCACCCAGCAAATAATTTCGGACAAATAATCACACTCGTTCGTTCCGTACGTGCTGGACTTTCCTGCTGCCGTTCTTGCACTACTTTCTCTCATCTCGTTTCTTGTTTTCGCAAGGTGAAGGCATTCGGAATGCCGAGACTTGCAAATCAGATCCATGAAGGTTATGAGCTGAGACGATGTGAGCAAGGCATGGTAGACAACCAAAGAGATATTTAAGCATGATGATCTTCACTAGGCTTCAGCAACACTTCAAAAGCTCTGAACCCAAAACACAGGTACTACCTCTTCTTCAAGTACTATCTACGCATAATTACCTTATCATACCCATACATGCATCACATTGAAGGTCTTTGAGGACTGGATCGAATTGATATTAGATTCGTGGGTGACTGTAATTTTTCAATTTGAGTAATCTTCCACTCATCTATATTCATTAGGCTCAGAAGAAGAGCTAGAAGTGGACATATTCAGATATGTGCTACCATATTTTGGACCCGATTCCTACCCATCTCTGAGTTTCCGCCCCGCTTTACTCGATCATCGCGAGGATCTTGGTTCCAAACTCGCTTATGCACGGTAAAGGGGCGAAGCTCGAGGCGGAAGCTTGAACAAATGAAACCTCTAGAGAAAAGCAAGGGGAGATTGGTTGTAGAATTTGGAATTCGAAGCTCAGAGGAGCATTCTTTTGCGAACAGTCCACACCTCGTGATCACAGCATTCTGTCCCTCACGAATCTCAGTCAATTGACGAATTGCGCAAGCTGCAAAAGCTCAACACTCACGACCAGTCTAGCTGTAACTATTATTAAAACGCTCCTCATGTCTGACCAAGACTTGGACATGTGAGTTAAATCATTGTAATAACAGCTCTGCCAAAGTAAGCCCTCCTCTGCCTAACGCGACTTTTATAACCAAGCAAGCAACCTCTCATTCTCGAAAATATGCCATATCTCAGGCGGCATAAGCAAACTTGAAACAAGAATTTCACTTAGTTATTCCAATACTCGCCCAAGTCAACAAACAGCTAGACCTCAGCCTCCCTCTTATCGATTCTCCTAGCGTAGCCTGATCCTCTTTCGTACCACCTCGCTAACCACACATATAATAACAAGCAAAACACCAAATACCGAAGCTACTCTTTTAAACCACGCTAAAACTCTCCACCAATCACAGTCCTCAACCTCTTTAACCCTACATAAAGTTAAATAAGCAGATCTTCTCCCATCGTCCTCTGAGATAGCGGCCTCCAGGATATAGACGCTTGCGACGGTGATCGTGCCTCTCTTATATTCTCGTGAGTGCTTGAAATACGAATGACTCAAGACTTTCCCCTTTAAACCCCATACTAGCTATGGTGTTGGATACCACCTTCGGGTGGTTGAGTTTTTGCTTTTGAATTCTTTTTTTTTGGGGCTCTTTATTTTTGGCAATTGAAGTCTTTTCTAAATGAGGTCGGTAGATGCCCAGACTTCGCTTTTTGCGGTTGCAGTGAATTGCGTGAGTCCCTACCTATCGTGGTTGAAATGTTTTTATGTCTTTCATACGTACGTATCGGTATTGAAGTTCTATGTTTCTTTCCTGCTTTCTTGGTTGTAAGCCTGATAGAGGAGTCTTTTCTATGGCTATGGGATTGGGCATAGTTGATATGTTGCATTCAAGGACCATTAGTCAATATTGTTGTGATTCAGTCATCTGCCAGCACTGATATTAAAACAGCAGGCCGGAAGAGGATGATATATCATAGCCACTGAATCATTTATTTTCATATACAATCATCTAATCGGACCCATTAAGCCATGGTATAAACAAAAAAGAGACAATATCAATCTTGTAAAGCCCCAGGCACAACAAAACAAAGGTATCAAACATAACTTCATCTTCATCCTACATCAACATTATCATACACAAGAATCGCCATGGACATTCGGGAAACGAAAAGAAGACTCCACGCTAATGCTGAAGCCCAAATAGCAGAACCGCCACCAAGCACAGAAGTCATGAGATCTTCTGCATTCTCTTCTTCGCGACCTCGATCTTCCTGTTGACCCTGTCGGCATCTTCATCCACTCTCTTCAGCATGGCGTTCTGCAATTCCAGCTCGGAATTGATTGCCAGTCCCATTTCTTTTTGCCTCTTCACGATCTTGCCCAGCTCTTCCACATCCAAGTCCTGGTCTTCCATCAGTTGCTTTTGGAGCTGCAAAACACCGTCGTTGTCCAGCTCTCTCGTTTTATCCGTCTCTGGAACCGGTGCTCCCAGTACTCGCCCACTGAATTTCGTAACATTCGGTCCAAACAACGCACTCTTATCCTGCTGCGTAGCCACCGCTCCAGCCAACGCACTCCCACTCCCCTTATTCTGACTCTTCACCGCAAGACTAACAGCCAACTTCTCCAACCCCTCCCTCTCTACCTTCGCTGACCCTAATAAATCCCTCCTCCTCCTCAACTCTCCCGCACCAACCCTCCCCTCTCCCCGTCCCGCTTTCTCCCTATCCCCAATGATCTGCAACCCTTCCTCCAGATTCCCAATCAATCCCCCAGCCTTAACCAAACACCTCTTCGCATTAGCCCCCGCCTCATACTGCCCCTGCGCCGTCGTAGCCCCATCCCTCCTCCCCAAGAACAGCCTCGCATCATGCAACTGCCCCTTCAACTCCCTCAACAAATCCAACCACACCTGCGGATCGGCCGCGAACTGGCCCGCCTGCGCCGCACTCCCCCTCTGATTCTGCGCTATCAGCTCATTCCTCGCCGAGCTGGCACTGCCGGACCCGGTACTCGGCAGATTCAGGAAACTCCTCCAGACGCTCGTCTCGCGCCATCTGCGATCGGGACCCTCGGCGATGGACCGGAGATAGGTTTCTAGGCCCTGGCGACGGGACTCGGTGAGCTCGGGCGAGGAGGCGGTGGATTTGAACCAGGATTTTGAGGGGAGGGCGGAGGGCGGCGGTTGGGAGATGAGGGAGGTGAGTTCTTTGTGGAGGGTGGCGAAGTCGGAGTAGCGTTTTTGGACGACGAAGGTGCGGAGGGGGAGGCGGAGGGTGATGTTGTAGAGGGTGTAGGGCTTTTCGTTCGGGGTGTTGGAGAGGATTGTGCTGGGGATGGAGAGCTCGAGTGGTGGTGCCATGATCTTGGGGATGTGACGTGGTGATATAAGGAGGTTATGATTCAGTGGATTGTTCCTCTGTGGAGCTGTATATCGTGTATAGTCGTGGGCAGATTCAAGAGTGGTGAAAATGGATGGTTGTCGTGGATTGAGGGGAAGAGCTGTGTGTTGACGTTCTTGAGGTTGCTTTTGCGTTGAGCTGCTACCTCGTGACAGGGATTCGGAACGAGCTCTTGGCGATAAGGTACGTGCAGCGACGGCATCGATAACTATTCTGTGGGGGTTGCTTTGACCCTCAGATTGCATCACGGAGACTAGCTGTAGCTAATTATTCACGGAAAAAAAGTTAAAAGGAACGTTGAATCATGTTCATGAAGTCCATATCTGAATTCTCTATCTCATCCAGATGTGCCACGAATGTAGCGGATAGGCCATGAGAATTCATCGAAGCCCGTAATTCATGCATTCCAGGCGTATGCTCTTGTATAACTCCAACAGACCAAAGCAATCAATTTTGCAGGCAGCCTCTGCATTACCCATCTGCCATCAAGTCGTAATCATGAGGTATCTAAAAGGTTTCCTGGTCATCAACACCCTCGGCCTCCGCTGGAATCTCAAACCCATCCTCCGTTGAATACAAGATTGTTTGGATATGCTTGATCAACCCATCTTCTTGCTTCTCGATTTCCGGATCCTCCTCGCAAGCCTGTTGAACCAGTAATTCGATGTCGCGAAGCTTGCTGAAGTAGAAGTCTCTCTCACGTTCGAGGCCAGTAACCGTCTCCTTCAAGGTATTGTTCTCTTGTATCAAGGCCTGACTCGAAGCACCTCCAACTCCACCAGCCTTTGGAACTCGAGGGCCTGTAGTGGGTGTGGTTCCTCTTCTCGCAGTACCAGCAGATGTGCGGGGAGCAGGAGCAGTAGCTGGGGGCGGTGCGCCGGATCCTCGTCGTCGAGCTACCGCATCGTAGTCGCCTCCGGGGAAGTATTGATCCCAATACCGCTTCGACCACTGCAGAAACTCGAGGTTGTCTTGCATCTTACATTTGATGAGCTGTTCGACATTGACGGGTCGGTCGATACCATGTCGTGTAAAGCAGTCTGTGTGTTGACATTAGTTTCTTTTTCTGGTTCGTCATAGAATGTGGGGTATCGTACTCTGAAGGATCTTGAAGTTCTGCAGATATGCGTATTCGGTATTGACATTGAATTTGACTCGAGACATCGGGACATCGAGATAGATACTGTCAAAGACTTGGCAGAGGGCGGCACTGAATTGGAAGATGTTAGCCACTCTGGTCAGGGGTAACAGGAGGAGAGATCCAGGGAGGGGAGAGGGAGGGGTCAAGCATACCCAGTTCCACATTGCTCGACCTTGGTGATGTTCAACTGTAGCAGTTGGTTCAACCATTGTACAAGCTCTTGTCTGAGGTAAAAACGCGTTTGTCAGGCTCCAGTACTTTGACCCAATGTTGATCATGCGCCGCGACTGACCTTGATTCTCCCATCTTGAATTGTCGGAAGGAACAAGCAGAAACGGAGATTATGTATAGCGTATCCTAGAATGATGTGTACGTTGAAGAGATTGCTGAGCTCGCAGACGTGCGTGGTGTTGGTCGCAAACACGATTCTTTTGGGAAGCCGCGATAGAAATCCTTGGATCTCCTCGATTGCCAATCGCAAGGGCCGAATATCGCCTAGGCAACTGGTCATCACGTGCAAACTATAATTTTATTCCTGTTTTGCGAATCACAGCATGCATGCGAAAAGTTTTTATGTTATGGACAATGTTGTCTTGTATTTTGAAGACAAACTATGCTGTGCAACTTGATGTGCAAATTTCGATACTTTATGGAGACCTCTCGTATGCTTTCCCCCGATCGACGCCGAGCAATGCAATCAAATGTTCAGTGGCAAAAAGTATGTACAAGAAGGTGGGTATCAAGAAAATCAACGACTGGTGTTCCTCCTCTGACCACTCTCCCTCGCCTCTTCGCGACTTAAGATTGTGCAAATAGAGCGACAGTTGCGCAGAAGTTGTTTCGGTTGTCACTGTCCAAAGCGGCACTAGCACCGTTGACAGTAACCATGTTGGTAGAAGCCTTGGTAGACAATCCATACAGGTAGATTGAGTCTGAGCTCTCCAAAGAAACCATGTTGCTCTGGCAAGACTCGGTGTCCAAACAGGTCTGCGCATAGTTGTCGAAGAAGCTGTACAATCCGGCACCGGCGACGATGACGTCCTTAGAGTCTACAACACGAAGACCCCATGCCTTATTTACAGAAGATGAGCCGCTAAATGTGGGGTCTGAGTAAGCTGCATTGGCAGTGAATGGAGTAGTGGCGTCAGGATTAGACTGGAAGTATGGTGTCTCAGACTGAATCGCGCCCATCCAGACGTTCGATGCATTAGCGAGTTGGTAGTTGTACAGAACGCTGTGTTCAGAGCTGGTACCATACATCCAGACAGGGCCTTGCTGAGAAGCAACAAGCACACCACGACCATTGAAGATGTTGACCTGGCCGTGGTCGCTGAGATCAAGCTCGTGATCCGCAACCCAGAACCAGTTGTTCTCCAAGTAGATGGTAGCCTGAGCGGTGACATGGAGGAGTAAGAATGCACCCTCGCAAGCAGCATTGGCTGGAGCAGTAACGGTTGGATTCTTGGCGCAAGTGTTTGATTGAAGATTGGTTCCGGCGGATCCTCCAATGCGCATGTGGACATCCCACATACCAGAAGAGCCTTGAGAAGTCTCAGCAACGTTCCATTCAACCATGATGGCGCCAGGTTGGGGGCCAAGAGTCTCAAAAATAAGATCGGAAATCTCTACGGATCCAGTGTCACCTGGTTGACCAACTTGGAAGACTGGTTGAGGGTTTGCCTGAGACTGGAAAGAGGTAGAACCACCAGCCATGATTAATGGCCAGATCTCGCCAGTGATACGAATGTTTTTGGGGACCTTGACTGTGCTAGTGATAACATAGGCGCCGTGGTCGAAGTAGACGACATCTGTAGCAGCAGCTGAGTTGAAAAGTGCTTGAATCGCAGCAGTGTCATCAGTCACACCATCACCCTTGGCACCGGCAGCCTTGACGCTCAGGAATGAAGAGGCAGGGAGGGTCTCATATTGCGGCTTGGATCTTGCGAAGACTTTGCCGTTGGAAGCTAAGAGGGATGCAGGCTTCGTTACAGCTGTTTGGGTTCCTTGAGTAAGTGCGCCAGTGTTGGCTCCATTGTATGCTCGTCCTTGCATCCATGATGAGATCTTGGTATTACCGGCAAGGATAGTTCCGGAACCAGAGCTCGAGACAGCAACTGGGACATTCGAGGAGAAATCCACGTTGTCAATGATAAGAGTGCCATTTGTTGCTCCTTCGTTGCTCTGGTAGGCAGTTGAGACACCGATGGGAGTGTTGGAGATCGTGCTGTCAGTGAGCAGGACAGAGCCGACTGTTTGACTTGAAGTACCGCCATTATGCATATCGACACCAATCTGGCAGTTGTTGATGGTAAGTCCTGACAAGGTCCAGACCCAATTCCAGTTCATAAAGACGGCGGTTTGGCATCCATTGAATGTCATATTTCTGGTAGTGAATTGCTGGTTACCAAAGAAGGCACCGTATTTTCCACCATTGAAGATAAGATCAGTCATGAATCCACCGGATCCGTTGTCCATGAAGATACCCTAAGAGAAATAGTCAGCTTGGTTGTTGAGGAGTATGAAATTACTATCTTTGTCGGACTGTCTCTTACCTGTTGAGCATTCGCAGTTCCACCATCAGTGCGCATGTTGAAGACGATGTTTTGCAAACTAGTGGCTTGTGCCACTTGCCAGTGGATACCAGTACCTGCTGAAACAGGCATCAAGGTAGTATCGAGGACGAAGTTGCGAATCTGGCGGTAAAAGTTGTTCTAGGGAATGATAAGTATTGTCCGGCCGAGCATTGGGCTTTGAAACTCACTTGGTTGGTATACCAGTTGACGCCTCCAGAAGCATATGGGTCCGAGTCGATCAAGGCAATGCCGGTAAAGCCAGCTGTAGCTTTGATAGTTGGAATAGTGACAGCATCACCCACAAATTGGGTGTAGTAGAGTTGAACAAGGGGAGCGCTGATCATGTAAGTGCCAGGGGGAAAGTAGACCTATGCAAGAACCGAGTCAGTATTTCATCAATTCCAGAATTTTCCAGGAGTCATGGGACCGAAATTATTCAGAACCAAGCTTCTGTGAATGGGAAACTTACCAAGGCAGGCTCTGTTGTAGAGGAATCGCAGCCTTGACCACAGCGAGTACCGGAGGTGATAGCAGCGTTGATGGCGGCGGTGTCATCAGTTGAACCGTCACCCTTGGCGCCGAAATCCATGACATTGCGGAAAACTTGGTAGCCGGCAGTTCCATAAGCAACAGTACCTTGACGGGCAATGTTGGCAACCCAGTAGCTAGAGGTCGAAGCCGTAGCGGCGGTGGAAGGTGCTGGAGTAGGGACACCAGTCACGAGAGCGAAAAAACGCAGAGCCACAAAAAGGGCGATGATCGAGAATGAAGCCATCGTAAAGTAGTACCAGCTGCTGTAGGATGTTGTTGTAAAGGAATGTGAAGAAGGCTGTTTGATTTTGTTAGTTGTTGTCTTGGGGTTTGTTTATTCGTGACGTCGTAAATAGAAGGGGTGGTCGTGTATCCGAGAAATATTTCGCTGGGGTTCCAGACACCAACTTTGTGTTTTCTTGGAAGGGGCAAAAAAGTAATTTGATTGTGGTTGAACGAAAGAAGGAATACAGGAAAGAAGATAGAGTGTTTTTTTATGGAGTTGAAGGTCCGAGAAAGTGCTGGGGACAAGCTGTCATTGACTCCAGCCTCTATTGTGAATGCCAGTCGTCAAGCGAGGCTGAAAGCAATAGCAAGTGCGAGTCAATGCTAGCGCCAAAGGACAACAATACATAGGTACAACACAACATGAGGGAACGGAATAACTTACAAGAATTATTGACTCGAAAGCGGAAGAACCTCGACGGCGCGGCTGAATGAAAGGAGTGCGAGAAGTGCAGAAGTCTGCTGCTATGTGATGTATAAATTTTTTGTGGGTGGTCTCTCCGTTCATACTTATATTGGGCCCGCCGCTGTCCTCCCGTTTCGTCTCCGTGCCTTTCCATGGTTCAAACCGACCAGCTTCGGTCGAAGCGTCGACCTTGTGCTCTCGAGTGCCATGTGGCCCAAGCATAGTCAAATTCAACTCATGATGAGGATAGTCGCGGGCCAGGGTGTCACATCCAACGAGAGTCATTCCTGCGCGAGGAATGCTAGAACTGGCCCAAATGGGAGGTCTCCAAGCGAACAGCCAACCTGACCAGTATCATGCGTGTTCCTGCAGAGAGTCTGCCCGAATCGAAACGACGGCCTGGCACGTACCGGGACTTGGGGATGGGTGATTCGATACTGTACTATTGGTGTACCTCGCTGTCGTTTGTCCGGGACCCACGATGCAGCATTGATGCTCCCCTGATCATCAAAACCTTCTTCAGGGGCGAGCTGTCAGTGGCTGACGGGGGAAGGTTGAGCCTGGGAATAACTCTCGCATGGACAGGGCCAAGCAGGGTAAGTGTCGACGGAGGAGAGGAGAGGCCAGGAGAGGGACCGGTCGCTGATGCCGGAACTACGAGCTGGATGTGGTAGTGGCTAGAGTCTAGAAGGAGGTTTTAGTACGTTGTGGATGAAAGTTAAGTTCAATTCTGCTTGTACTGTAACGGAGGCACGATGAAACTTCTAGCCTTGTCGGGACGAGTCGACGGCGGGTGGTTGGATGTCGTGCAATGCCACAGGCGTGGTCGGAGATTTCGCAGCGCTTGGGTGGCGCAAACGCTTGTCTCCTTGGAGCAAAGCTGCCGCAGGATTACCAGTCCAGGCGCTGCATTTTAGTGGAGAAGCCTGAAAAGCCAGCCACACGATCAGATGCCAAGGCAGCCCCCAAGTCACAAGCGAACGACCCCTTCACTCCCCCAAAAAGGAGGCCAAGAACCCCTGTTCGGGAAGCATCGTTTCGTCTTGGGAGGTTTTTCCGCTGCCGACCCCAGAGCTTAAGCTTTCGACAATCTGGAGCCATCAGGGCAGGGCAGGGCAGGGCAGGGCAGATCAGGAGATCATCTCGGCACTCCCACCACCACCGATCATCTGCACCCCACAGTGCAACGTATCACTTGTCCTGAATCCTTTTCTCATTTCTATTTATCATCTACACCTTCTTTCGGGCCTTCTCCAGCATCGAGTCAGTGTCACGATGCTGGAGAATGCGGGGTTGAGTGACAGTGTGACTGAACACATCCCAACTGCATCATCGTGGACTCTTCTCTGCTGTCACCCACGCTGTGTTGGCGTCGGGCATCGAATACCTACTTTTCCCAAGCCGAGGCCACTGAAGAAGAAAGAAAAGTTGCACAGGCCTGGGGGTTTTGTCTGCTACGTTTCGAGCAATATGGATGCTCGCGCGTTGGTTGGTTGGTTGAAGCAGTGTGTGTTGTTTCGAAACATGCGCAGGGGGTTGATACACCAAGAGTATCAGACAGATAGACTTCGGACGGAAAAAGCACAAGTCTGCGCTTTTCGCCCCCGATTCGTGGCAAGATGGACCACCTGTTCCTGCGCCAGCAAGCATATTGGTTGTCTTCACGGAGTTTTCTCCTTTTCTGAAAAAGGAATCACAAATTTTCATCTGATGTTCAGATCGAGTCTTGTCACCTTTTTGTTGTTCGCATGGCTTGTTCCTCTCTTCGCACCCTACCGAAACCTATCATCTCATATCCGCTTCAAGTCCTGGCGGCAATGTATCTGAGCTTTAAGGGACCGCCCGAGATGAAATGTGTTCACCATCACGTGGCGACTGGACGTGGAGGAGTGGCTAGGGAGACATTCAAGCTGTAACGAGAACCTCGCCTCCATCACGCGCATTGCTTTGCCTTTGGTCTAAATTCAGCCTAAAAGAATAGTCCATCCTACCTTCTACTTCGAATTACTAGCACTGCTAGCATCAAGAACTAGAAGTCTAAATGAAGATCTTCGATACCCAGTTCCAACACTAACATGTCTACTGACCTAGGGTCTAATGCATTCCTTTGAAGGATGCCGAAGCCTCATCTTGTTCCACCTCCCGGCATTCTTTGTCATTTATTGTATCTTGCTAGATCTGGAAAAGGCACCGAAATCGGTCCGCAATGTATATACAGTACATCTTAGAAGTCACTTTCCTATTTCGAGCCTGCCTCGGACCAGCGGTCATTTGATTCCTGAAATTCTCCTCGAAAGCAACAATCCCAAGAATCTTCTCTGTGTAACCGAGTCCAATATCACGTACCTTGCATCTGCGATCCCCAAACTCTTCGTGCAGGAGATTTAATATCCAAGAGCAGGAGGGGATCTAGAGCCGAGGAGCATAGGAATCTATTTCAGCCGAGTTCCGTATGTGAACCCTCGACACTTTGTGCCGAACAAACCGTGTCTCGTGTCGGCTTTGCCTGTTTATCTCCGAAACATTGTTCTTACAGTATAAGACTAATTGTGTCAGTTTTCGTTCATCCGGTGGCAAGTGATATTGGAAACGGTGCCAAGACTTTGTCCTTGAGGCTCTTCGCTTGCGAAACGCTTCTTGTTCAGCGAGCATGTTTGATGACTGTGAACCGGCATCAACTCGACTAGGCATTTGGAAATAATAGATGTGGCGTTACGAGCATTCCGGGGTTGTCAGAACCAAAATGTTGATGAGATGTGGAAGTTCTTCCTGTCATTTTGATTTTTGAGAATTTTCTGGTAGACTATTTTAGAGCGTTGCAAGTCCTGAGCTAAAGATTTGATACTTGGAGTAGGACCGAGGACAGCTACACAGAGTTCTTAGACTTTAGTATTCGGTCCGTACCACCAAGTGCAGCCTTTTCAGCAACTATCTAGCCACCAAGATCGTGGTCATGAGAATGAAGTGCGGGGAAATTCTTCCGCGCATTCGACTTCCGTCACTTAGTTGCAGCTGTCTATTGCTTTGTGTTTGGGTACTGACGCGTGTCCCACGATTCTTGTGTTAGTTGTGTTTCCCCTCAGCTGCGTACGCGCTGATGTACTTCACCACTTTCCTTGCTATCATCTGGGAGTTTGCACCTCTCTCAGAAATATCACTTCTCGAAAGACCACTTCCTCCGAAGATCGGTGATGCCGGACTCTGCTCACGAGCCTATAATCACCTGCACAGTGATTTAAGAGTCCCAGGTGGTTCCACAGATCCATGTTGCCTGGCAGGAAAACTTCGTGAGTGTCGAGCGCTACACAACGGCATGTGTGGCATAGAAGACTTGATGAGGATAGAATGTTAGCGATGGTGCATAGTGGCCTACGAGAACGAAGAATCGGCTGCTTACTGATGCAGACGAAGCCAGGAAACGAGTACTGAGCTATATGGGAACAAATACCAGACCACACGGTAAGGGATTTTGGATGTTTGGTATCAGGAAGGCAGAAGGTGAGAGCTATCTCTGTTGTGAAGATCCTTATCAGAGACTTAGGTAGGTGAAACAGTCAGGCAGCTTCTGTTCCATGATGTGTTGAAGAGCAATGAATAAAGAGATCGATTTGCTTGCGTGTAATGCCAACAGAATACTCCTTCACAGGTTATCGTCTTTCATCATGCAGCCATCTGTGTTTCGAGGCTTGACCTACTAGTTACGTGTACTTGATGCCTAAAGAATACTTGCTTCGCTCGATATGCATAGCTGTAGGGATAATGTTCGCGTTGACTGAACTCTCGTTGCCCTGATGGTCTTTAGAAAACCGTCTTTAGATCACCCTTTCATATTCTGATGCTCTTCGATACTCCAATACTCCAATACTCCCTTGCAGACGAGAACATATGTTTCGTTTTAGATCACACCTTCTCAACTCAATTTTCTTCCAGAGAGGACGTGTTTGTGACAAACATCATTTTTACACTTATCAAAGTCGATCTTGTATCTTGTCTTGTACCTCAACTTTAGTTTCCTTGAGAGGCTAATTCCTGAACGCGTTCTCGTATGGATTCTCAGAAAGAGGTCAATCGCCTTATGACACCTTCAAAGCAGGTTTTCATCCATAATGCAAAATCACCGCTTTTAATTTCCTCGAAAAAATTCTCGCTATACCTCTGCCTCGCTTATCCTTCTTCGATCCCTTAGCGCCAGGATAAGCTAGCTCAGCCTTGTCCTTTGCACACATATAGAGTTAAATAATCATTTTCCTGTCACCAGCTCGTTAACAGCGGCTAATTAGGCAGGTAGTTCAGGTCATTAACGGGCTGGGGTGGTTCAGTGGTACACGCCTGGCCCGAGCAGCGTTCCTGCACACGCCATTTCGAACGAACGAACGATCGCGAATAAACCCCCCACCTCGACACCGAGGGGGGTTTGCTAAGGGGCCCCATAGCGGAGGCCGCCCCTGAAGTTTTGCCATCTTGAAGTCAGGAATATTTTTTGGACTCTTTCTTTTTGCTGCTGCTCTGCGAACTCGCTTCGGCTCGCTTAGGATCCAAATCGTCCCTTCCCATTTCGCAGGACCGCCTTCTACACTTTCAACAGCTCTTTCCTCAACCCTTCCAAGGTTCTTCACCTTGCTTCTAGTCTGCTCTTTACATATTCAAGATCGCGCTCGCTGCTCGCCTTTCTCCATAAACTACTTTCATTCAAATCTCCCACTTGCATATCTTGGTGCTATCAAGGCTCTCGACTTCGTCCACAATTGCGCATTTCCCCTTCCGCACCGTGGCATTCTGCCTCATTTCTCCACGCTAAGTATCCTTCCCAAAGTAGAGACGTCTCCTTCCTCTTTGGCCCTCGCTTGGTCTACGCTAGTTCTCTTCAAAAGTAAGGTTTGCTTCCCTTCCCTTCCCCTCTCCCATCTTTCACAACAAACTTTCACTCAATCTCTCCCATCTTCAACCACTTCCACCTCCCTATGCCCCACGCCCTTGACTGAGCTTTGTTCTTCGTTCCGATATTCACATCTTCTCAGACGTCTGCAACTTCCAAGAAGAGCGATATTCACATCATTGTAAATCGGTATCTATCTCCTTCGAGAGCTTCATACTCACACCATCTTTAGGCGCGCTACCTAAAGAGTGTTAGCAGCTCAGCACTTCGGAGATCAAGTTCGACTTTCTCCTTCACAATCCCAACCCCATACTCGTCCAGAGTCAAGTCGAGCAGAGCAACAGAGTCCTCAAGTTGTCGCGCTCGTTTTCGCTCGATCTTTAGGAGAGGGCGAGAAATTTGATTGAGCCAATTCTTCGTCACTTTCAACTTCTTACTCACTCGCCACTTTCTCCGCCATGCATTGAGTAGAGGTACCAAAATCTACAGAAACTTGCAGCGTCCATGATGGCCAGGGAAACCAAAACTAGCAAGCGAACCGGTGAGGAGCTTGCCAAGCCTGAGCCAACCAAGAAGCAACGATCTGTGAAACCAGAAGACTTGGAGAACGGTACAGGAGGGAAGAGAGTCAAGTCGGCAATCACAAAATCTGCTTCCGGTGATACTCCACCTCCAGAAGTTATTGATCTCGAACCTGAATTTGTCACCAAAACCGTTGTCAAGGGTAGGGAATGCTTCCCGAAATTCGAGACTGGGGATGTATTCATCAAACTCAGTGAGCACATCTGTCACAAATACCGGCTTCATTCAGAAGTACTGGGACGGTCGTCTTCATGCTTCAAAAAGATGTTAGCTGAGACACCAAAAGAATTCGATGATGCCCTAGTAAGGAAATTCATCGCAGCGACAGGTATATCTGTTCGTTTTGAACTAAGCCTCGCCGAAAATTGCAATATGGGCTATCTTATCCGGACAGTAAGCACTTCTCTTCCTCTCGATGTAGCCAGTATAAATCTAGCTCGAATCCTTTGCCAGAGCTTCCTAACACTTTTTCGTTAGCCTTTAACAGCAATCAAAGGTCAAGAAGTGGTTCTACCAGCACCTGTGCCAAGGTCCGCACGCGATGGACTTGGAGGCACGACGACCGAACAAAAGCCGTCCTCCATTCATCGAAGAACAAAATCCGAATCCATTTCTGGGCAATTTGATGGTACAGCTGAAGATATTAAGGATGAAAAGCCCGATATCGTATCAGCAACTCAGACACAAGATACTATCATACGCGAGACCGCTACATCTTCCGCTACACTTTCCCAAGCCTATGATGATATAAACATCATTGCAGCGAAGACGACTATGAAGGAGGAGGATGCTATGAAAGTAGATCTTATGGAAGTTGCTGCGGTCTCTGAGCCACCATTCCCAGCGGCTCCACTGATTCCTGAGTCGGTCAAACAAGACGCAGAAGTCAAGATCGAATCTAGTGAGCTTACCTTGGAGAGCCAACCTAAATCAGATACTGCTCCTAGTATTGCAATCAAAAAGGAAGCAGATGTGTTGGAAGTAAAGGCCAGCCAGGAGTCCCCAAACCCTTCGCCGAAACTGCTTGGCATCACCACTTCAGACGAGTCAACTATAAAACAGGAAGGCCCCGAGAAAGCAGTACCCGAGGAAGTTGGTACAGCCTCCGAGACACAAGCTGCTATCATTCATCGTACTAGCGACCCTGTACTCCAACAGGCAGATATTGATACAGGAGTCTCCAAAGCTGGCGATTCTTCTCCTGAGAGCAAGGCTAGTGTCACCACCACCGAAGATCTATCTATGACTGAAGAAGGCACCAAAGAAGAAAGTCTCAATGATAGCGCAACCCTTCTCGAGAGCTTTACCGGAACTAACACATCTCCGTTCGGGCTCGGTGCGAAAGAGAAAAACTCCAGTGAAACCGACGATAACCAAACAACATCAATTTTGCAACGAGTTGATGAGCCTTGCGGATATCTCAGCAACTCAACTAGTGGGGCAGAAGTTAGCACTACACAAACAGTCGCCGATATGACCGACGATGTCTCTCCGATGCAGCTCGCTGCTCCCGAGCTAAACCAATCAATAGAGAAGCAAGAAGTCATCGTTAATAACGAAGATCACGCCAAGACCTCTACACAAGTCACAGAGGAGGGCTACAAGATTGCGACTGTTTCCGACTCTGAAAAGCCGGCTGCAGTAAAGAAAGCCAGCAATACTGCGGAGGGAAGCTCCAACGCGACGAGTCTAGCACCATTGAAGCCAGTCGGACCGAGCATGGACCTATTAGAAGCTTACCATAACCTGTTTCTCATCTACTACTCCGAAGAACCAAACTTCAACACTTGCGATATTGAAATTGCACTTGAACAAGTTGAGCTACTTATTACTGTCGCTGGTCTCTACAGCTCAATTGTGGTGACTCGTCCATACATAATCAGCTGCCTCTTCTCCTTTGGTCGAGAGCTTTCTCGAGCAATTGCTCGTGACCCGCCGCGCTGGGTCAAAGTTGCGATCTTAATTGCCTCACCGACAATATTCACAGAAGGAGTGGTACACATTGTGGGCAAAGCTCCCTCTTGGCCATGGTCTTCCACTAAGCGTGAAGAGCTTGGTGCGAAGGTAGAAAACTTCCTCGACAAGAAGGCCGACGAGCTTGAGGCTCTCAGGAAAGGCATGGAGAGGACCCTGTTCTTAACTTCCATTCGCATCAATGGAAAGGAAGTTCACCTTGACAAAGACAACGAGAGCACGCGCAATACCTGGTTCGTCGTCCAGATTTGGCGTGATTGGTATTCTCGATCTCTTAGCCAAGCTGCACACTCCACGAATAAATCGCAAAGCATGGCAAAAATTTATCGTAGCATTGCCAAAGGCGGTGATACGTACTTGCCGTTGGAGGAAGTCCTTGACTTGCTGGCGGCATTCCGTCACACGAAAGATCACGACACGAATTTCGACGTTCGAGAAGTCGCAATGGATCTGAGACGTATGAAAGTCTTCGCGTCGCAGATCGTCAAGCCACTCTGCATCAACAATAGCATGCTGGATGTCGATGCAGAAGGTATTGGACACTTCACCTGCGTAGAGGTGAAGGATCACGAGTGGGCTCAGCTTGAGACACTTGGCTTAGATCATGCTTGATGACTTCGCCATCGTCACTATCTAGGTACTTACCAACAGCTCAGCAAGATATTGGCGAACCTCGTTCTCTTTCTCGCGATACCCCAAAAGCGTTTTCACTTCTGCACATTTCGTCAGATATCATCATAATTATTCTTACGGAGGACATCAAGAAGCACTACCAGGGGCCTTTCAAAATGTATACATACTTATTAGCACAGCCAGAATCAAATTTCACCAATTCTGGCCCTTATCTTCTTTTTTGAATAGTTTCTATTGAATTCATTTGATCGGAGCTGGAAGGTTGACATGAATTTCGAAAGGTACCTCATCACGTGCATTTCCCCCTTTTCGCTGCCTCGGTACAAGTGTGTGCGACCAGGGGTTGACGATAATGCTTTCGCTTCTGGAGGGGCGTTGCGGCGGAAATGTCTCGAACTGGTATGGGCAACCATTTTTGTTGAGGACCCCGCCATGCAAGCCGAAGCAACAATTCATGGTGAGGCCGTAAAGGTGCTTCAGGAGCCATCGACCTCCAAACGTGAGGATTTTGTAGACATATATGGACGCCCTGGAGATGTACTTGCAATTCTCATGATGTATTCCGAGTCTCTAGACTTCCAGCTTAGATAAGTTTACTCGAACCGTCGCCGCTGGGAAAGGAGCTGGTGGAGGCTCAAAATCATTAGTCAGCCGTTTATGCAGGCACCATAAACGAGCGATACCTAGTGCTTGTCTGTCCCAACCATCGTCATACCCGGCTCACGAAACTACCGACTCCAACAAATTTTGCTGGGAAAAGCTGGGCATGTCGAGGGAAAACATGGCCCTTCATGATCCAATTTTTGGCTACATTTGCTCACACGTCAAGCGAGTCCATTTACCTCGGTAGCATTTGACATTCTTGTGTTCTTGGTACCAAGTCGCTGCCGCCCGTTTTAGAAGGGCTTCCGCTCTGTCCGCTAAATATGCTAGGACAGCACGATTGGAACTTTTTTCGAGACAGCAGCGACCATTGTCAACAGCTTCATTTTTTGACCTTGTGCAAAGATTCTTCTCCCTTCGGCACACTCGCCTGCTAGGACACGTTCTATCTATTTTGTTTCCTGCCGATCTCTATCTTGCAGAAACATTTTCTTCCACTTACTCTGAACGTCTCGTGCCCAGATACCATTTTCGTCCCACGAGTCTCGAAACTCCCACGATCCCCGAATACCTCTACGAACGGCCAAGTCCAACACCCGCAAAAATGTCATTCACAATGCCGCACTTTGAGCTACCTGCTGCCGACCTCTTCAAGTTCCCTCCCTCCAACGATCCGATGACACTTGCACCTCCTTCAATTCCTACCTCGACGTACCAGTCCGCTCTAGACATTCGCGTTCCTGTCACAATTGCCATCATATACGCAATTACGGTCACCTTCCTCAATTCCTACAACAGATCCAATAACTTCAAAGCATGGCCAATATCACAAACAAAAACGTTCTTTGCTTTCGTTGTCCTACACAATGTCTTGCTTGCCCTCTATTCAGGCTGGACATTTATCGGAATGCTTCGAGCTTTGCTCAACATCTTCTCCAATCCTTTTGGCCCCTCCGGCCTTTCGGGAACAGTCGATAGTCTCTGCAAAATCCATGGCACAGCTGGCATGTCCAATGCTATCACCTACAACTCAACTCTCTCGCAATGGACCTCCACCTCACCCAATATTACGGACATTCATACACCATCCTTCACTGACATAGGACGTTTCTGGAACGAGGGGCTTGCATTCTATGGCTGGTTCTTTTACCTCTCCAAGTTCTACGAAGTCCTGGACACTCTCATCATCCTCGCAAAAGGCAAGCGATCCTCGACACTCCAAACTTACCACCACGCGGGAGCAATGCTATGCATGTGGGCCGGAATCCGCTACATGTCCCCTCCCATCTGGATGTTCGTCTTCGTCAACTCCTTCATCCACACTCTCATGTATACGTACTATACGTTGACAGCCTTCGCCGTCCCGGTCCCGATGGCTATCAAGCGGAGTCTCACTACCATCCAGATCATCCAGTTCCTCGTTGGCTCCAGCTACGCTGCCCTCCATTCCTTCGTCGGATACACGATCCCCGTCTCTGTTCCCATCACTGAGGTTGTCACGAGTACCGTCGTGCCTGCCGCTACCGGCGTCTCTTCCTCCCTCGCTGCTTTCGCAACTGCCGCTGGTCTAGGTGGTTTATTCAACAAAGTCCTAGGTCTAGATGTTCTTCGCACTCCAGAACACGAATCCAACACCGTAACCAGGTGGCAGATAGTGCAGAAAGATGTCTCTTGCATTGATACCTCTGGTCAAACCTTTGCCATTTGGTTGAATGTACTATATCTAGCGCCGCTCACGTTCTTGTTTGTTAGATTTTTCATCAAGTCGTATCTTAAGCATGCTAGAAATATGCGTTAAGTGGTGTAGTTGTTGTATACAATAGATGGGTAGATGGGTTGGGCGCATAGCGACATAGATGATAGATGAATACAAAATAACTTGGCTTTTAGTTGGTCTTGTATACCTTGTTATATTTGACTCGAGAGTGAATCCTTTAGTTATCAAGCCATCCCATTGCTGTTTCGTCTTAATCATGCTTTGGTACACCACCTTCGAGCAGTCAGATCGTAGTCAAAGAACAGCAGATTCCTAGGTCTAACAAGTCTTCGACGCAAGATCGGACTTCTTCGAGAGAATTTTATTCACTTCTCTAGTGAGAAGGTTATCTGTACTTGGGCTTTTCACACTGGCATGAGTGCTGTTGTAGGTCGCTCAAAATGTTCATTTTTTTTATCAGTAATCTTCTTTCTTTCGGAGCTGGTTCTGAGTCTTGAAATTTTGACAAGTTGGTGTTAATTTATTGAATATGAACACTTCTGAGATAGTACGGTGGTGGCCCAATCGCCATGAACCAATAAATCTCCGCGTGTTATCATTTTTTTTTTCTTTCGTGTAAATGCTTCTGGTCTGGTCTATATCGCTCTGTTGGTTCGTTGCTCATAACTTATTAGAAGCGAATACTGCGAAACCGTGAATTTCAAAGTACTTCCCTGTATGCTTTCTCCCTTTAAAGATACTAGAAAGTCTTGCTGTCAAATTCCGCATCGCTGTCAACCTATTCATTGCCATCTCTTGCTTTTATAGCTCTTGCTGCAGCACAGTACACAAAATGTCGGAGCCGTTGATCGCACCCCAAGCACAACACAGGACATTCTTGTCTCAGCCTCAGCAATCATTTTTGTTGAGGGAAAAGAGAAACGCTCTTGGTTGAGAAGAGAAGAAAAAGCGGGTGGGGCGGCCGCTTGTATTTATAGACAGAGAGGAGATGAATCTTGCAGCTTGACTGCGGCAACGGAAAGTTAGTGAATAGAATCTTAAGCCTAATTGACAATCATTCACGGTGAATATGGCATCTGGGTCTTGTAAAGATACTGGAAGGAAGGTCTTGTTGTCAAATTCCGTATCGCTGTCAACCGATTCATTTGCATCTCTCGCTTGCAAAGTTCTTATTTACTAGAGCACAGTCTTGGCTGTAGACAGATTTTCGGGGCCGTTGATAATCTCACTGACCCCAAGCACAAGCATCATTTTGGTCGAGAAAAGAAAAAACTCTGTGTTGAAAAGAAAAGAAGAAGCGGGTGGGACGGCCGCCTGTATTTATAGATAAAGAGGATAGAGTTTGAGCTTAACGGAAGATTGTTTGCGGTGACTGTTATATTTAAGTTTTATAAAAATACTAGAAGAAAGGTTTTGCTATCAAGATTCCGCATCGTTGTCAAGCTATTTATTTTCATCGCTCACTCCCAAAGCTTTTGTTAGAACAGATAGATCTTAATTGAAACTACACATATTTCTGGACTAGCCGTTAATGATCGACCCAAAGCACAACATGAGACGTTCTTGCTCAGTCATAGCATCTATCTTTGTTAAGAAAAGAAGAAGAAGCGGAGGGGGCGGCCGCGTGTATTTATAGACGGAGGAGAGGAGAGATCTAGCTAGGTATTTGCTGAGTTTTGCACATGGTGAATCTTGCAGCTTGATCGTGGGCGAAGCGAAGTTAGTGAATCAAATCTAAAGCCTAATTGAAAATTATTATTATGAATTTCATATTTAAGTTTTTTTCCAAAAAAAAACCAAAAGAATAGTTTTGCTGTTAAAATTCTGTATCGTTATCAAACTATTTATTTTTATTTTTTTATTTTTTTATTTTTTTTATTTTTTTATTAAAACATATAAATCTTAATAAAAACTCGCTATACATAGATTGCCGGAGGAGCCGTTGATAATCGACCCCAAACACAACATAAGATATTCTTGCCTCAACCGAAGCAACCATTTGTTAAGAAGAATGTTCTCGGACCATGACTAACTTTGTTGTCATTATCTGCGCTGATTGGCTTGAATGGTTCTGGCTTGGCTTAGGTAGTCTTAGGAGTAGGCCTAACCTCGCCGTCACTATCCGTAACTCGCTCTGTGGTGAGTGGCTTGGATTGGCGAAGTAAGAAGAACCGGAGGGGGCGGCCGCATGTATTTATAAACAGAGGAGAGGTCTGGATATTTGCTAAATCCTGCACATCGTGAGTGAATCTCGCAGCTTGACTGTGGCAACGCAAAGTCAGTGAATGATTGAAATGTTGAGCTTGATGGAGAGTTATTTGTGGAGAATCTTGCGTCTAGGTCTTGCAATGACTAATTGTGACGCTCCTCGTTTGCTATATAAAGGGTCCAAGTAAAAGTCTTGCAAAGATCGAGACCTCGATTGATTCATGATTCCTGCGCACACGGGTGCCGGATCCTGAGCTCATACGTTGGAAGGACTTGCCAGGGGTGCCTTCAGGTCATTATGGTCATGGATATTGTTGCCTTTATTGAGTCTCAGCAGCCTTCATGTAAGCTAGGGCTCATTACCACTGTCATGATTACTTTTGTTGTCAAGTTCTGGAATATAACCCTGAGCTCCCCGTCTTATGTATTTGGTTATGCAATATATTTTTGTCGCGAAAGGCTGAAGTGCTGGAATAACTCATCAGTCACCAGTGTGGTGCAGAGGCGCACATGGCTCCACCATTTGGAAGCTTGTCTTAATACTTTTTCGCTGATGGAAGAATATGGGGAGCTCCATCTTTATATATATATCGGGATGACGGATGGGAGCTCGGTGGATTTCTTGTACTCTGTACCAAGACCTTAGACTTGTATCACTACTCAGTCACCAAGGCTCCCGGCCTACACAAGCGCAAGCACTCGCAAGGACAAGCACTCGCAAGCGCATCTGGTCAAAAACAATATGTGAAGTCACAGGAATGGAAGCACAACACATATGGTATCATCCAGCTGGAATTTTCGTGTCATGCCTAGCTACGATCCATGCCCAGCCATAATATCATGAAAAACGCCACGAACCAGTCCAGAAAACATCTAGATCTTGATAGCACTTTCAAGAACCTTGCGCTTCTTCTCGGTACGAGCAACAGCCTTTGCACCCATGATACCACCACCCCAGTGTCTCTTGGCTTCCTCATACTTCTCAGCGTAGCCCTCCTTGATGGCCTGGACCAGCTTTGACAGCTCAGTCTTGTCCTCGGATCGGACATCGGTCAAAGCAAGAACAGCAGCGGTCTTCTTGTGGACTACCGTGCCGAGTCTGGCCTTACCCTTGATGATGGCGTAGGGGACACCCATCTTTCGGCAGAGAGCTGGGAGGAAGATAACCAACTCAATTGGGTCAACATCGTTGGGGATGAGAACCAAAGCGGCCTTCTTGTTCTCAATGAGTCCGACAACGTGGTTGAGACCATACTTGGCGGCGTATGGCTTCTTGCTGACATCCTCCTTCTTCTTGCCCTCCTTGTACTCGGACCGAAAAGACGGCTTTTGGAAACTACGGTCATCCGGACGGAAATGATGTAATCTGGGAGACAAAGGTTTGGATTCACTCGAAACTCTCAAAATGCACTCATATTTGACTCACCCTAGCTTCAATTATGATGTGAATTTAACAGTGCAAAAAACACAGGTGTTTCACACGACTCATACTCAAAACCTGAAAGCTATATACACTCATCCACTGCCTACCTTTCTTCTTTGCAAAACTTCATGCTGGAGACAAGCTCTCAGATGTGTTGTGCAAGAAATCCACCTCACTTGAAGAAATATCGATCTCGGACGTATCCGTGACAATTCGAAACCCTGCTCTAGACTCAGTCCCATTGCTTCATTTTGATCGGTTTCCAGTCCCTTTTGCTTGTGATCTTTCTACCATTGTTGTCAAACTCAGTTCTGTTGTCAACTGACATCCATGCTCTCTATCCTTGTGATCAAAGGACAGAACCTATGTTGCACGCATCATCCCTCCCGGCCCTCAAGCAGCACCTATACTGTTCGGCATACAGTATCCTGTTTGTTTGATCTCTCAATGAAGAGCAGAACCGCGTTTGTATCCTCACTGGCGCCTTTTCCTCCTCGCTAAGTGACCTGGATGTAAGCTTGAATTGAATTTTTATGTTGAATCATTACTTGAAATTCACCAAGTTGAGTGCCACGACGAACAATAATTCACTTGCCAATCCAATATGGTAATTAGTAAGTTTGTGAACGCAGTTGCACACCTCTAAATAATCATCAAACATTCTTCTTATGCATGGACTCTTACTTGGAGGTGTTATTTAGTGTCACGGCTATCTCTTACTGGTATCGTGTATTCGTGTAACGCCAAGTTCAATACGTTCCAGTCAGAGAAATGTAATGACGGACAAGAACCCATAGTATGCATGCTGAACGACGGTTTCTAAAACTCAAGAAGCCGAAGGGCAAATATAAAATCCCACTCTGTTGCCACTCTACTGCAATTCCTACAGCACACTTGGTCAAACCTACAACACAGTCACTAGTCCGTCAGCGGTGACTATGTATCAGGACTGAGTGATAATACAAAATTGCAAAGTAGTATCTCTAGCAATGTGTGTTTACAAGAGCCGATTTGTGTTTATGTTCAGGTCAAATCACTCCAGTTTGGCCTTAAATTGAGAATTTAAGGGGGAATGTCCTAGGCTTAGAATAAATAACAATAAAAACAAACATATTTATAGTTCGGACATATCTCAACTATTGCAAGATGTGGTTTTGAGTATATTGTTATGAAAAGTATAGTAACTTATTATTTAACGAAATAGTAGGTGGACTTAAACTTAAAGTCTTGATTCCTACTAACAGATTCCTACCCTTCGGGGCCTAGAACGTGAATACTTTCTTTATATTTAGAGTAAAACAATCTTCTGAAAATTCGAAGTCCGTTAGTAATCGAGCACTTCAAAGTAGCATAAGTTCTCTACTCTTGAAACGAAAGTAGAATTATCTATGGCAAGAAACAAACATATGATCCGATTAGGAGTACACTGTATGTCTGGTGTTAACACTCAACACTATTGTCAAATCTCATATTCCTAAGTGCTAGTACAATACTCTTTTAGAAGCACTGGTCGCGGGCCACGCATTTTCGTCATCTGTCAGTTGCGAACGACCTAAAAAATCAATCGACAGGGTCCGAGCAAACTCCCCCATGGAGCTTTGAGATCAATTTCCTTGTTGTAAGCAAAGGAAAGAAAATAAAGCTGGAATTTCTGCGCGATATATACTTCGCGTCACGTGATGGATTCTGTCTGCTCGATTCCATTCTTGACTCGAATCAGTTTCGACGGGGGAGTGAATGAGTGCCTTTCGCTGTGATTGCTTTTGGCCGATATCGGCGCTGATTGAGAATAACGTGAATAAGTGAATTCGAGCTGTGTTTTACTGTGATTGAAAGACCGATATCGGCACTGGTTGAGAAAGACGTGAAGGAGTGCGTTTGAGATGCGTCTTGCTTTGACTGCCTTTGACCTACATAGGCTTTGATTGAGAAAGACATGAATGAGTGCAGATTTAGAAGAATGGTATTAGTACGAGTCATCTCGCTGGGAAACTGTGAATTATAAAAAGTTCGCAGTTCTAGTATAATAAACAGAAATGACCGGACTTCGTGACGTGCCTTGGCAGAATTTGAGATAGCACCAGCTCTCTTCTAGACTTGTCTACGAGGGAGTTGAAAAAGAAAATGCTATGAGATGCTGGAAGTTTAAAGTTGTGGCTATAGTCACTGATTAATCACTTTAGCCACCGCTAAATGGTGATAGTCTTTGTATCAAACTTCAGAACTTCGCCCGCCCTCGATTGAATTATCTTGAGCATCAGATTGCTCATTGCACAGAGTAAAACGATGCCCAAGTTAGAGGTGAGGTGACATGACACGGTCCCGTCTTTTTCTTCAGGTGTAAGACAGTAAACGCTTGAAAGAGAGAAAGAAAGAAAAGCGAGTCGAGGGTCATTGCTCACTAGTATCACTACAATGCTTAGTGAGATGAGATTTTTTTAACTCCAATAATCTTTAATTCTATCTGGAAACAAAGTGAAAGGCACTTGCCTGGTTCGATTATTCAAGTTTTCATTCACAAGAGCAACAACACCTATTCCCCACTAACAGCACCTCCCATTTGGGACCAAAAACAAGCAAAAGCAGCCTCTAGCCTCCCAACACACCTTAGCAAAGACTGGCAGAATTAAGTATATAATCTGCATTACTACCGATACCAATACTGATTACCTTGCCGGAAGATGATATTTACCTTCCCATATGTGCAAACTCCTTTCTCACATTAAGTAACACGCAATAAATACATACAAGTCATAATAAGCTCTACCATCTACTCTAGCTCCGCACCATGATACTCAGTCATAGGATTCCCATTCATATCGAACCTCTGCACACCCGGAGGTGGTCCGGCAGGTCTATTCACACCCCCACTCGCAGCCTGCGAATTTCCGCTCATCTCTTGCATTCCTGGCGGTGGACCCGCTGGTCGCATCGGTACCGCTGCGTGTGGGTTTGCGTGCATTTCCTGGACTCCCGGTGGAGGACCAGCTGGTCTCATCGGGACGGCTGCGTTGCTGCTGCTCATCTCCTGGAAGCCTGGTCGAGGAGAGTAGCTCTGTTGTTGTGGTGGCATGTTATGGTTGCCCGAGAGTTCCGTCGCGTTGGAGACCATGCTCATGTGTTGGTATTGTTGTTGTGGGGTTGGGGTGCCGACTGGGCTAACACCTTGGCTTGTTCCTGTTGCCATGGGGCTCACGGGAGGAACGCTTGTTGGTCTTGCTATTGCTGCATTTTGGTGGTCCAGCTCGTTGTAGTGGCTGGGCGGACTGGTAGGGTGAGCGTACACGGGAGGGGGAGAGTGTGGTTGCACATTTTCTGCGTAGGCGCCGTTATTCTGTTCTTGTCCCGGTGGTCGGTACACTTCTTGGGTATTGGCATTTGCAGCTGGCTTCTCTCCGTATACACCTGCAATGCCTGGAGGAGGGACGTATGTATTTGCTGGAGGAGCAGGAGGTTTCATCGTTCCAGCAATCTCAGAGATGCGATTGTTGTTGTTGTACGCTGTGGAGGAGGCTGCTGCTGCTTGATCGGCTTGGATTTGCGCTTCATGAGCTTGAGCGGATGCCTTGTCTTGTCGGCGTTTTCGAAGGAAGAACCAGATGAGGAAGGCTAGGAAACCGATGACTGCAATACCTCCTACTACACCGCCTACAATTGCTCCTGTAGGTGTGCTGGATGAAGAGTGAGAGCCGATGTTGGGTACTGAGGTGGAAGTGGAAGTTGAACTGGCGCTGGCAGCTGTACTTGAGCCAAGACTTGCTCCTGGTGCCACGAAGACCGACGCAGTGGTCGTCTGGCTTGTCGTTGAACTCTGGGAGAGGATCAGATTTGTGGTTGCTGCCGATTCAGTGATAGAGGAGCCATTGCCGCCATTGAGGACAATGTCGGTCGAGGTCGAGCCATCCGTAGTAGTAGGGAGAAGGTCCACATAGAGTGAGTATGGAAGATCTGAGCATCCAAAATTATAGGCCGTATAATCCTCCGCGAAGACGAATGCGTAGAAGCCACAGTATGGGGAAGCAGAAGGGCTGTCGACGTCAGCACGAGAGAACTGATTGAGTATCCAGATACTTTACCAGTATGTATTCGACACAGGAGCGGATAAGGTTGACGCCTTCGGCCAGTTGTAACAGGCTTCTCGAGGTTAGCAGTGCCCGATTCTCCATCTTTTCGGAGCATACCGGTAATCCAATTGTAACGGATACTGAAAAACAGTGTTAGTTATAGTTATATCACATTGGAGTCAGAGGAATGAAAAATGTTGTGCATAGTTGAAGAGAATTGTTAGTTTGCTCACCTCGTTTCACCACAACCTTCATACCAGTAACCACCCGCACTTGTGAACAAACATGTTTCCGAATTTGCACATTCTGGTTGTCCAAAGCCACCAGGAATTGTCCATTCTGTACAAATGTTTGTTACATCTTTCTTTGCCAACTTGACCTTCACCAGCTCATACTCTGGTGCTGGTGTCGGTTCCACAAAGAATGGCTGTCCAAAACCTCCGACTGTCTGCGAAGGGATGGCACCGATTACCGAGGCGGTGGCTGAAGAGAGGAGGGCAGCCCCTGCAGTATATCTGAAGATGGAAGGCATATTTTCAAAGAGTCGACAAGCAGAACCACGACAAGCAAAAAAGCCTTACAACAATGCGTATGCGGGGCATTCATATATATGAATGGGATGAGCAATAAAAGCCATCTGTAGGGTATCGGCAGGATGTCTCGCCAACGAACGCCCCCTCTGTTCAGCTCGCATTCTGTTAAAATGCGAGTCTGCCTTCTGTGAACGCCATCTTTCATCCCAAAGCGAGATGTGGATACGGGACCTGCGGCTCTGCCGTTCTCAAATCTGATGTGATTGGGAAATCAGGAGAGACGAAGGATCGATTCTAAACAAGCGAACCTATGGAAGGTTAAAATAACCTTAAACCTTGGGCTGCGGCAAGCAATAAATGGGAGAGAGGCTAGAGCGAGGGAGAAGGAAAAGAAGAGAGTGTTCACCGAAGGCGGGCCCTGTGTATCCTTACTCGATCTGTCCTGCGAGATGCAATGTGTCGGACGCCACGATGTCCCGTGTGCAACCAAAGCGGACAAGGGGCTCGCCAGCTGAAAAGGAGGTGACCAATCATGCAGGGGTTCAGGTACTCGGTGATGGAACATGATTGGTGCCAAGGAAAAAGGTTCACGGTGAGGCTTTTGTATTTCCAATATCGTGGGTCGACGTGCAGGGGAAAAGGAGATTCGAAGAGAGGAAAGGGTTGCTTTTTCCCGCGGCCCTCTGTAACTGCCCGAATCTGTCACTCATAGCGAAGCTTAACTCCGCAAGGCATGCTATTTTAAGGACGAACCCTGGAGCGATGGAAGATCTAGAGTTCTGACACGAAATTCGAAGCATCTGGTCTTGTAGATCAATGGAGGAGAGAGTTGCCTATCGGGAATGGAGATGCGTAGATAATTGAACAAAACTATGTATCACGTGTTCTTCTCAACCTCGTATCGGCGTAGGATCGTGAAGATGTACTCATGTATGGATTGATCGTGTCCCTTGTTGCCAAATCATTCATCATCTTTTCAAATCCTTAACCTTTGCCTCGCCACCGCCGTGTCCTGTTTTCCCTTTGCTATTCCCATAACCCTCTACGTTCATTTCTCTCATAGCTTTCTCCACCATCTGTATAGCTTCTATACATGCATCACCACCCACTCTCCAGCTGCGTAACGCCACGCCCTGGCCATCGAGGATATCCTTCGCTCTCTTCCATCTCCGTTTCCACAGGTCCAGCTTCTTATTTACAGGCACGTCATTTGGGCGATAGGATTCGTCCTCGGATGTATCTGTGCTATTCCATGATAGGCGTTTAGTTATGGAGCCACCAGTTTGTCTTCGAGGAGGTAGAGCCGGTCTCTCTGAAGATGAGTTGCCCGAACTCTCTGATTGCGCAGGTTGTTGAGAATAGCCCCGTCCAGGCATATATGATCTGACTTCTGGGAGTGCATTATATGCTGCCGAAACCTTATGTCGAGCACTTGCCATGTAAGTCTCTTCTGGCGCCTTGAGGTCTGCCGAGCTTTGAATTTGGGCAAGAGGATGGGGAGCATCAGGCTGGGCGAGAGGACGTCGTGACTTGGGAGGTGGGGGAGGAATTCCGCGAATAATTGCGGCGGGAGCTTCGGACAGACTGCTCTTGGAAGCCACTCCACGTAGAGCTATGGGTTTGGTTGGAGGTGGAGGAGGCTTCTTGCCAGAATCGGGAGCAGACTTCCGTCTGGGCACTCCTGTATCATTTGCAAAGGAAGCGGACCTAGGCATGACCTGCCTGTGTGATTCGTGTACGTCTTGTTGTGCTGGCTCATCATCAAAGTCGATGAGTTTGCCCATCGTTGGACCATCACTGGTTTGTGTTTTTACTTCCGAAGCAGGTCTTTGAGGAAGAGCAGGTCGGTTCTCAAGCACATCAGCTATGCTGGACCTATGCGATTTTTGCGTCTTTCGGCTATCCCAAGAATTGGTGCGGGAAGGTGTGTCTCTTCCACCCATACGACGATCACCACTCAACGGACCCATGGCCGAATCAAAGAATCCTTGGGTTTCCGGAGTGGTGACGTCTCGAATGAAGATAGCAAGAACCTTGCCTGGATTAGCCAAGACGACATCGGTATAAACTTCTAGATCTGCTTCCCCACTGTCTCCAATGAGTATAAACTTTCGTTCTGGAAAGTCTCGCATGATCTTCTCGAGTGTCCCTTTCTTTCTCTCGGCAACTGGCTCAAAAATACCTTGCAACATACCACTGTATTGTTTTAGGTGATATGATCCTGGAGGCAGCCCAGCTTTTTGAAAGAAGCTCACCAAGACAGGAAACAATTGCCATGGTGAATTCGAGACGTAATGGACCCCAACTCCCATGTCAAACATCGTATTGTACCATTCTTTGACACCATCAATAGTCAAGTCGCTTAGATCTCGAATAAAGGCGTTTCTGAAGATTTCTCGGGCACCACCTCCAATAGAGGAATGTTTGATGGTATCGTCCACATCACTGATGAGACTAACGCCTTTAGGCTCAGAGATTTTAACTGCCTCGGTACACGAGAGATATTCTGAAGCCAAGACTCTGACATGCGTAGGGACAAATTCCAGGGGCGCACGAATAGAGAAATGACCAGCTTCATTCGTTTGGACCGTCCTGGAAACAGAAGTCTTTTCATCATAAAAGAACAAAGTGATGGGTGTTGAAACCAAGGGGTTGGTTAAGAAAGGCCTTAGTCGAGCCATCAAATGCGAGTTCGCTGTCATCAACTCAGCATGTGTCATCTCGGAAGGCTGATTCCATGAGGTCCTCTTGGGAAGATGTCCAGGTCCAGGGGCATCATCTGGTGTGCCTGGTGTGTTGAGTCCCGACCTTCTCCCTTCTCCATATATACTTTCTGAATCTGAATCGTACTTTGGCCTCTCACTGTAGCCTCCTTGAGCGGCGACTTGCTCCTCCCCACGGCCTTTTCGAAGAATCTGTTCTGCTTCTTCGGCTATCTTTTCCTGTTCTCGCTGAGCCTCATGCTCTTTGTGCCTGGCTACGAGCGTATGTTCCGGACTGTGGTCTCTGCTAGCTTCTTTAGGAGGAGCAGGTACTCCACTCAATTGTCGTGCTAATCCAATTAACAACCTATTCTTCCGAGTCATTGGACCTCTGTGAGGAGAATAGAGCCAGCCTCGAACGTCAACGTCCACAATAGCCCGATCATCCTCGAACTTCTGCCATTCCCTAGCCCAGTATTCTGCGTCCATGGGTCCATCCTCGTTCGACCAGCTATTCCTTTGACTCCGCCCAGGACTGTTCGAAAAATCCGGATTCGGGGGCTCCTTGTGATGTCTTATTGCATAAGAGGGAAAAAGCACCAGCTGTTCGTCGCCATGTGAAACTATAGCCACATCTGGAAATGCTCCTGGTATTCCCTTCTCATCGTCGTCCCATTCATTTCCGCCATTGCCCCATTTCTCCGAGTATGATTGTTGGTACGACTGTCTGATCTCGTTCGCTGCTTTCAGGTACCCCGCGATCTTCTTCCGTCGAGAGCCCCGTTCTCGACTCTCTCCAGCACCAGACACATCTCCACCAAAGCCAGGCATAGAACCAGACATGGTCACCTTGGGCTTTCTGGCTGTTTCATTGTTTTTGTGTAAACCACCGAATACCCTGTGTGCACGCTTGCGTACTATCTCGAGTATGCTCTTCCCCGCAGCCTTACGTTCCTGATGTCGCTTGTGCCGTTTGACAATATAGTTGTAGATCCGTGATTGAGCTCGGTGCTTAAAATATGGAAGGGTCTCGAAACGGAAATTCGTAAGCTTATTGCGAGCACTGACACGAAGATGAGGGAACAGGTAGCGGAAGAGGCTCTGGCGATGATGAGGATGTCCAGCAGGTCTCGCGCGAAAAGGTAGAGGCGCCACTTTCGGTGAGTGACGAGGCTGTAGGTTGACTGAGGAGCTAGAGAGAGAGAGCCTGCTTGTACTGGGTATTAGCGCTTATTGACGAGTTTCATAGTATGATCAGATGCAGCGAATGCAATGTTATTCCGGAGACGTGTAAGTTTGAAAATTGGAGAGGCTACAGTGAAGTAAATAAATAATGTTCCAGATAATTCAGGTACGACGGCGGGCCTGTTGCCAAGAAATACTGCACGGCGAATGTTGCGCTCCTGTGACGTAGTCGCGATTAAATTGAATGTCACCACCCATTGCAAGCCAACTCGATATTCATACTTTCAGTGTTCGCTATTTACACATGCTGGCACGTCTTCACTTTTCGACAGATACTGTCTGCTGCCGGCAGCTGTAGACAAGGCATGCTTTTCCGATCATGGGAAGAGACTAGACTTGGCAAGGTACTTTGTCGGCTGACATTGAGAGCACTGAGACTTACAAATATATACAGGCAATAGAACGAGCAAATCAAATCGTATGAGACCCGTGGTCTCGGAAAGAGATTTTATTCGTGGAGATGCTACATACAAGGCTTCAGAGCCATCTAAATGCCTCTCATTCGCCAACCCCATTTGTCGCAGCAAAATGCTCATCTGAGATTCCTGAGAACGCCGATGCCAGGAGACTATGCAAATGACACCGAACGCCAGCACGTGTTTATCAAATCTTTCTGTGTCACAAGAGTCCGCTGCTATAGAATCAAGGGTGCTGAGACTGGAAAACGCTTACTTGACCAAACTCTCATGGGATGGTGCAAAGGGCCTGTTATGTTAGTTTTTTTGGTCGAAAGGGTGATGTAGAACACAAGGTGTCCAGGGCGGCGTAAAGTCGACGAGATTTGGGGATCGATACGGTAAATGTGTGAGGAGACGCTGCATCCTGCTATTAGGGATCCGTCAATGCGAGAAAGCACAGTCAAGGTTTGGAATGTTCCGCACAGAATCTATCCAACTGCAGCAATCGAAGTCTGCTGCTGTCTCTTTGCCGGTCCTGACGTTGTGTCCTGGATCGAGTCAGCGTTGCCATCCGGATTGAGACCAGATGCTATCTGTTTTTCAACAGACGTATTTTGACATCAAACTGTGATCAGCTTCTTGGTCGCTTGTGGAGAGTAACATACATCTGCTGCAGGTCTCTTCTTAGTGCTACCATTCGTGGCGGCCTTCTTCTTTTGTGGTTTGGTGGGTTTCACCTCTCCCTCACCAAATAGATCGGTAGGTAGATCGTAGCTGTCCATAAGTCTTAGCAAGTGATTCCAACAAGTTCGGAGTTCAACAATGTGCTTCTTCGTTTGTTACCTTCTCACGTGGCCAACATGTAGGGCACTAGTGTTGTCATCATATCCGTCCCAGCTGCCGCATAAATTCTTGAACTCGTCGACCTGCCAAGCAAGATCAAGGGATTTGGCACCTAAAGTCATTAGCAGATGGGCGGTACATAGAAGGTTCTGCGTCAAAGATTATTCTGCCGGAAGTCCAGCACGTCACCGAGAACGTCAAGGATCCAATAACTTACCATCACGCAATTCCAAACCGATATAGTCGGTTGTGGTGTAGACCATTGTGACATTTTCTTCGTCTGCAGATTTGTCCTCCCCATTAACGGCACCATCTTTGGTAGCTCCGACAGCCAGACCATGACCAGTAGTTTCGGTGCCGATATCTTTGGCATAATAATCGAGGGAGCCGCTCTTCACAGCCTCGATCTCTTCTTCTGTACGGCACCGGTGTACCCGATTGAACCCTTTATTGAAAGGGTGAGCTATAGCAATCGATGTGCCATCAGTAAGCTTGCCAACGAGAATCCGGACCTTAGATTCGACAAAGCCAGACCATAGTTGCTGAGCTTTCTTAGTTGTACTAGCTGTCAGTACATACAAATAATACTTGTAGCCCGAAGTGAAGAAAGTATGCTTGGCGAACAGCTCCTTCCACTCAGCTTTGCCGTCCATGATCCTGTCTGCAATCATTCCTCCACGGCGGAGCTCTCGTTGTATTACAGCCATGGTGGATAAGGTCACATTATGTGTCGTGCACATTGAAGGATATGCGGGTGTGATAATCGGCATTATATGTCGTCGGTCTTGAGGGTAGTTCTAGATTTGATCAGAAATTATCACATGGACAAGAGATAAGAGACATACTTTAGGATTCCAGACTCTAATCCCCATTTGTAGATCTTCAATGTTCTTCAACAAAACCGGCATCGGCCATTGCCACTTTTCCATGATCTTGAAGAATTTCATAACGATCGTTGAGCCAGTGGCTCTTGGATACAGCTGGCAGACACGAGCGACAAGAATGGCCCAAGCTACGCCACCTGGGAATCCATACATGTTGCCAGCAATCGCACGCCGAGCGCTCCAGAGCTTGATGGTTCGAAGTGCAGTCCTGAAAACAGCTTGCTCGGGTACTAGACTAAGCATCTCGTCTGCCACTCTAACACCGTTCAGACAACGGACTTCAGGTTCAGCCAGGCCCTGCAACATCTTCTCGTCTACCTTGGATAGGGTTTTGGGTATCTGGGTCAGGTTTGCGATGCGACCGAAGAGTAGATCAAGATCTATGCCATTATACTTCAATGTCATACAGGGCGCATGAGCATCGGGTTTTGGAACAAGCTCCGTGATTGCACCTGGTGGCGCATGTTTGTAGAGAATGTCTGTAAAGGTTTCGAAGAAGTCTTTGGTAGTGACGTTCTTGGGGGCGATAATGAGTGAATCGATATCAGATCCCGGGCCAATGACTCCAAGTTTGAAGCTTCCAAAGGTCAAAAGCTTACCGCATGCATTCTTGACGATGCTGTCTGATAAACCTTGAGCTCTGCTGACTTCCTTGACGAACTCGTCGATAATGGTTTGAAGTGACTGGAGGACGGCGGATCTGCGAGCGAGTTCGAAAGTTAGTGAATCTATCTTAATTCGATGGCAATGACCACATAGCAAAGGCCTATGCGCATGATATGCAGCGCAACAATTATGAACATACCTCTTTGATGTTTCTTCAGGGCCCTCGTAATTGTTCTGGCGCTTCAACTCCTCGATGAGTTCAACATTGGCTTTGAGGTCAGAGGAAGTAGGAGCTGTTGTCGAGAGAGGAGCAGTGACCCCCAGTGCCACTTGAACTTGGGCCGCCATGACAGTAATACAGCCAACAGAGTTGTCGAGCAACTGTGTCGCGATTGTCGAGGAAGTTGTTGAAAGCGTTTGTCGCAGGACGGAAAGCTTCAAGTAAGGTAAGGCTGACGATTCGGGCTAGCGTAGTCTGGCTAGTGCGATGGCCTCAGTTCGGAAGGTTGAACCGAGATACATTCACCTCCTCCAAGTCTCCGTGGAAGATTTGACTTTTGTGGTTTGAAGTTCTGCGAAAATGTCGAATATCGAGTGGGAAGGCAATGAAGAAACTTATGAAGATCCAGACGAGCAAAGAGTCCTCTTTGCCGCTTTGGATTCCTTTTAGTAAGCTCCTGTCCTGTTGTTTCTCGTACGGTACCTCGTAAGAGCAATCTTGTCTGCAGCTTTCAAAATTTCTGCGAATCTTCTTAATTCACCAAATCGCCCTAAAATAAACTCGTATCAGAAGCTACAATTCCTTTAATTTCAGAAGCAAAGATTCAATCTTAAAATTCTACAAGCAAGAGAACAAACCAGCTGACTTTCACTTACAGCCAATACTCAAAAACTGCGCACTTCAATACAACCCATCTCCGAAGGCAAGCGTTCTACGCATTACCTAGAGCTCACTGGGAACTCCTTGCTGAGCCACCGTTCTCGTATCTAGACACACTCAATGCTGTCGACGATGCCATTGATAAGAATGCCGAGCTCTCACTTGCCATTCTGCACTCGGGCCTGGAATCGTTTGGTATCGGACTACCATCGACTAACCATGATCGGAAAGAGTCGAAAGAATGGCAAGGCAAAGCAACGCCCAATGACCTAGAGAAGGCAAGAAGCACTCTTCGTCAATTTTACCGTGACTGGTCTGAGGAAGGAGCTTCAGAAAGAGAGGCATGCTACGGTCCAGTGATCAATGCCCTGAAATCCGAAGCTTCTCTGCATGATGCCTCAACCATGCGAGTTCTAGTCCCTGGAGCAGGTTTAGGCCGTCTTGTATTTGATCTTTGCTGCGCCGGCTTCGACACAGAAGGCAATGAAATCTCTTATCATCAATTGCTCGCCAGCTCATACATCTTAAATCATTGTCCTGAGTCCCGTGCTTATACACTTCATCCTTGGGTCCATTCATTCTCCAATCACAGAAACCGTGCGAACCACTTGAGATCGGTACAGATACCTGATATACATCCTGGAATGACATTGGGAGCTGTTGAGACTGCTGGCGAAATGAGTATGAGCGCTTCGGATTTCCTGCTCCTGTACGGGGACGAGTCACATAAGGACACGTTTGATGCTGTCGCAACGGTCTTCTTCCTTGATACCGCTCCTAATATCATCCGATACCTTGAGGCTATCAGAAACTGTCTACAAACCGGTGGACTGTTGATCAACATGGGCCCACTTCTATGGCATTTCGAGAACAATGCTCCAGGTAACCATGGGAAAGACTCTTCAGCTCGTAAAGGCGGCGAAGGTAGGCTCTCGTTCAGTGATAAAGACCATCTACTAACGTTACTCCCAGGTATTGCAGATCCCGGTGCAGTTGAGTTGACAGATGACGAAGTTGTTGCTCTGCTTGAGAAGTTAGGGTTCACTCTTGAGAAGAGAGAGTCTGGTATAGCTGCTCCATACATTCAAGATCCTGAAAGTATGCTCCAGAATACGTACAAAGCTAGTCACTGGGTAGCAAGAAAACGATAACAGGATCAAGATTTTGCACAAGATATTTATTGTGACACTCCTTTACTCTACAATTTCTATAGTTTTGCCTTCTCTGGCTCCTCCTTCAACTCAGCCATACCACCTCTAGCCCAAACCTCACCACCATCAACTGTGATTGTTGCACCATTGATGTGTGCGCTTGCCCTGCTACTTAAAAATACTACGAGACCAGCAATATCCTCGGGACGTCCCAGCCTCTGACTTGGGTTCTTCTTTGATAGACTCTCAACTCCACCACTTATCTCCATTAGCCCACTTGCCATCTTACTCGGAAAGAAGCCAGGTGCAATAGCATTGACGAGAACATGTCTTGGTCCTAGTTCCACAGCCAAATTCTTTGCAAGATGAATGACAGCTGCTTTCGACGCTGAATAGCCGAAGGTTGCTTGTTTTCCGAGGGTTCCGATACCGATACCTGCTACGGATGCAGTGATGATTACTCTTGATGGATCTTGAATTGTCCCATTCTTCTGTAGTAATGGGGCAAATCTACCTCGCCAAATCCGTTAGCAGCTATTCATTTCCCTTGGCTGCTACAGTGCGTTGAGTGAGACCCTTTCAAGCAATCCTCTAGAACTCGAATACCCATCCACCCGAACCACATTCCTTCGCTAAAAGTCGACACCGTGAAGGTGGACAAAGCAGCCCTCTCCAATTTGAAAAAGAAGAAGGGAAGTCAAAACTTACAATCTAATAGTATTGAAAACACTCTTGACATTTAAGTCCATCACTTTGGCAAACGCACTATCCGGGTGCGTATCAAAGCTCTCTCCCCAAGTAGCACCGGCATTCGCAAACAAGACATCAACATGATCCGTCGTCTTCCCCACCTCCTTCACCAAATACTCAATTCCCTCAATCTTAGAACTATCTGCTGGAACAGGAATCGCACGAGCGCTAGGAGAGAGGTTCGGAAGAGCATTCAGGGTATCGCAGGCTTGTTGGCATGCCGAGGCTTTTCGAGATGTGATGTAAACCTTGGAGGCTCCTGCTTGGAGAAATCTGAGGAATGTTAGCGGGATCAATGGGGTGTTTGGTGGAGGGGAAGATACCCTGATGCAGCGTGTAGTCCTAGGCCTCGACTTCCACCTGTTACGACGACAACTTTGCCTTTCAGGGAGAAGATGTTGGGGAAGTCGTGGAGCTCGGTCTCGTATTTTATGTTGGACATATTGAGAGTTTATAAAGAATAATCTTGAATGAATTTCGAGAAAATACAAATTGATTGGAATGTCTCGCAAATGAGTTCAAATTGAATGGCAACTGAAGGTTGGAAAAGAAAATAGTGTGATGGTTTACTGATCGTGGAGGCGCAGAATACCCCACAATAAGCTCCCAGCCGGATGCCGAGGTCGAGACTCGCGGCAGGGGTTGAGCTCCTTCTGAGACCTTGCAATGCTTGGCATGGATATTGGTTTTTAAGATGCTTAAGTATTATTTATTTCTGATATTGAACGGACAATTACTCTCCAAGGTGACTCGAAACTTAGTCAAGAATTCACAAGATCTTAAAGTCCCGTAATATCTTCGAACATATGAAAACGTCAATGTCTATTCATAGCTCATTGTCTAAGGTCTAAACCTCTATTGTCCATCTGCCTTCGGCTTCACAATTTTCTTTGCTTCCTCATTGTTTACCACCGATTCTTGCCAATCCGGTCTTAGAAGTTCCATCCCTTCAAGAACTCTTGCATAAGTAATACCACCTAATCTGCTCATAGCTCTAAGGACCTGTCCAGAATTAGCATGACACTGTGGTTGTCCAGCAACGCAACTCACTGCTGGATCAATCAAATTCTTCTCCTCATTCAGAGCGTCCTCTCTAACCCAGAATCTCGTTCCTTCAATGACAGCCAACACGCCCGTCTTCTTTCCAGGGGTAGCCTTACTTTCATACTCCTTCGTGAAGTCCAACTTCCCCTCAATTGAGAACACAGCTTCCTTGACCCTGCTCGCCTTGACAGTTTTGGATGGCGCAGGTGTCAGTCCACTCAACGTCCATTCACTTTCTCCATAGGGTGCGTTGACGGATGTCGAGTTCGCCGCTTCGATGAAATGCTCGGAAATGATATTGATCACACATTCCCCGCTCTCTACCAGATTCTTCAAGGAGTCCTTCGCGTTATCGAATCCGCCTGCATACCCAACAGTGAAGAGTGGCGGATCATGGTTAATGACTTGGAAATAGCTGAATGGTGCAAGATTCGTACTGGTTCCATCCTTCGAGCGAGTGCTGAGAAAGCCGATGGGTCGAGGAATTATGCCAGAAATCAACAGTTTGTAGTTCGATACTGCTGGTCGTCCTTCTTCGTATGGGTCAATCTCGACGTGAGGAATCTTTAGAGATGCACCACCGTCATTCGCTCCGTCGCCGTATTTCCAATCGGGTTTCACGGTCTGCTTCATGTTCCATTCAAGGCTCTTGTCCCATGGTTGCCGACTCCCTTCGACTTTCTTGAAATCCGGATGCGGATTGCGCTTAATTTGCTTCTCGGCGTCCTCTCGTTGTCCCATCTTGAATGTTGGTGTGAAGTTGCGAAGTTGGAGTAAGGTTAGGTGCGGATGGAGGGGTTTATATTTTTGAGCGGGTCGATGGCTGGGTAATTGTTTAGCAAATCCGAATTGCCGGATGGTATCACAGAACGGAACGGTTACTCACAAAACTTGCAGGAGTGAAGTTCGATTTGTCAATGGCATTGGTTTATGATAATGCAGCTTCCTTCATTTTGTTGTATGGTCGGGGAGTAGTTTTTCTTCTCGGTCGAATCAACGTCATCATTTTACAGGCCCTTGACCCCGCCATCCAGGGGCTTCTTATCAGCCTATCGACCGAATCGAGCCGCCGATAAGGGACACCAAGTGAGGGGTATCATGATCAGACGACCTTTGTGTTGAACCTGACTATCACTTGGGGAAGAAGGGACAATTCAAATGTTTAGATAAACTAACGAATCTTGGACATCTTTTGGGAATCCTGAAACTCAATAATTTGGCAGTTTATTCTCGAAAATACTTCTTGCCATAAGTGGGAGTCGTAGTAAGTGATTCATGCTTGAGAAATTGGTCACAGGATCCACCATAAGAGCAGTTTTGGAAGTACGTTTGAAATCAAGTTGATGGTATAAAAAGGTCGATTCAATCATCAAAGTACAACGTCACCCAAGATCTCCTCTAATCATGGCCGGAGTTCAAACATACAACCTCGGAGACTGGAAGCTACAATCTGGACAAACCATTACGGACGCCACTATTGCATACAAGACTTTTGGAGATCCAAAATCTCCAGCAATCATTTATCCGTCCTGGTACTCAGGATGTAAGAATCCTCTTTTATTGTTTTGGATATAGCTGAATATACTAGCAATCGCCGATAATGAGTGGCTCATCGGAGAAGATCATACCTTGAATCCTAAGAAGTACTTTATCATCATCACAGCACTTTTTGGCAACGGTCAATCCACCTCACCCTCGAACTCTGACATTAAGCCCTTCCCAAAAGTCACTTTCTATGACAATGTTCGAGCTCAACATATTCTTGTAACCGAGCACTTGAAGATTCAACATGCACGTGCAGTACTGGGCTGGAGCATGGGAGCTGGACAAACATTTCAATGGGCTACCATGTACCCGGACTTCATGGATATTTGTGTCCCTTTCTGTGGAGCTGCTAAAACATCTTTACATAACCAAGTCTTTCTCGAAGGTGTTAAATCCGCTCTGCTCTCTGCAAAGAGGCATCCATCTGCTGGAGTATGCGCTGATGGAGCTCTTCCTAAAGGCGAAGAGTATAGAATGTGGAGTTCTGAGGAGAAAGAAGTTGGTTTGAAAGCTCTTGGAAGAGTATATGCAGGCTGGGGGTTTTCCCAAGCCTTCTACCGAGAAAAGTTGTACGAAAAAGTGCTTGGATTTAAGGGACTCGAAGATTTCATGGTCAACTTTTGGGAGTCCTGGGCATTGAGCAAAGGTCAGTTGTAATTATGAAAGTAGATTAACAACCCTGACAAAAAACAGATCCTGAAAATATGTTGGTTATGTTATATACATGGCAAGCGGGAGACTGCTCGCAGCAGGAGCCGTATAATGGAGACTTCAAAGCTGCGATGCAAGGAATCAAGGCGAAAACGCTTGTTCTGCCAGGAAAAACAGATCTTTATTTTCCGTGAGTCAACTACCTAGGTACATCGTTCTCTTAAAAACTCTGCTGAGAATAACCTCGACAGACCAGAAGATTCGGAAATTGAAGTTGCAAATATGAAGGAAGGTGTAGGAAACCTAGATGTTTTCCCAAGCATCTGGGGCCACTGGGCTGGCGGACCAGGCGATAGCAAGGACGATGTGAAATGGCTGGACGAGAAGCTCCGTGAGATAGGCCTCTGATGAATGGAAGCTCTCCGCTGTCCTTCAGCAGTCCGGATCATGTGGCTTCAGAGCTCCGTCGAGAAGCAAATAATGCACATCAATAATTAAACTCTGAATTTCCGAACATAGAGAACTTACATGTGTGAATGTGTTTTACTCTCAGATCTCAACTAGGATGTAAAGAGTTGAATGTTGTGATAAGGCTGAGAGCTTCATTAAGCCACCTGGATTTCAGGACAGGGGTACCCCGCGCTAAGGATAGGACCAGTCTAAACTTCGTCAACCACAGCCTTCAAGTCTTGGAATATCATAAAACAAACACAGCAGAATTGCAATGAATGCCACAAACATGCCGCAGCCAAAGGAGCCCATCGAAGTCTCCTTCCCACTCCCAAAGGCCCCAGATACCAAGATTCACCTTCGTCTGACGATTCAAACGACATCGTTACTTCTCTTCCTCACTACCGTGATCAACAACGATACATCGACAGTCCCTCCTCTGGGCTCATTCGTTTATGCGCTCCCAGATGTGTGTCATTTATTCTAGAGACACCGTTGTACAGGACTAACAGATCTTGCAGAGAATGAATCCTGGCCAAACCATTTCCACCCCGCTATATACATACGAATCCTCATTGGAATTCTCCACTCGTCTTGCCAAGTTGCTGGCACGTAAGACCGGAAAGCCTGTATACGTTGGAAATTCTATAAGCTTTGCTAGTGCTGGAATGGGTGGCACAGTGGAGGAAGAGATGGAAGGATTCAAGAAAGTAGTCGAAGTTGTGATGGAAGAGGTTCGGAAGCACGATGGGCCTCAGCTTGTGAATGGAACCAAGGGTAGCTGAGGTGGCACGGCGACTAGGATCAGAAAGATAGGGTATAACCAGAGCAAGGCTCTGAAATGCATGACAGCGGACGAGCCCCGACGACTAATTTCTCACACCACTTGGGCCAGGCGCTGAAGATTGTTCAGCTCTTCGTGCAACCGTCCATTGTGAAGCAGGCCGGATTTAGAAGATCTTCACGCCGGGTCGGCTCGACGAACTCCTTTTGGATGTACAACATCCGTTATGACTTGCAGCTCAAGATTGGAAGGCTGGCTGCATAAAGGCTTGAGGTGGTGGCTCATATCGAGGATTGTGACACCTTCAACCGGCGTCATTACTATGGTTGGTATTCGGTGAAGGAGCTGCAAGCTATTCAAAGATATACCTCTTCATAGCTTCACCAAACTATACCAACGGTTACAAGGTACACAGGCAATTGGTATAGTGCTGGTCACGCTCAATGCATGTGAATACATATCGCATTAACAAACATGTATGCGGAGGGTCTAAATCTCAGCAGAGCAGACATCCTAGCGGAATTCTAGTAGCCGGCAGGAGATGAGTGTAACCCATAACTGATCCGAGTTCATGTGAGCACTTTCTAATTGTCCGATTGAGCACGCCAGTCTTGAATTCAGAGGTATTTTCGGGATAAGGATGGGGAATGAAGTGACACTGGGTGTTATTACAGGTGAACCAGCCTCCTCGAATTTGATGTAGAAATGCATACTTCAATAACACTACCGTTCGGGAGCCAGGTTGCTCAAATATGTCTCAGAAATTTATCATGATATGGAGCTATCGTCAAAGAGATCTTGTTCGTGTGCTTAATGATACATACCCGAAGTGGTCATCGTTTTTAAATATACCTTACCTAGGCAATAGGCCAATAAACTTTTCGGAGGCATGAAAATCTCGCTACGCGAATTTCTTGCTTGAGCCTTGAGGTGGGGTGCGAGAGATCTCCTTCCAACACCTTTCTCCTCTTCAACTTCAACTTCTCCTCATTCAATTTCGATCTGAAGCTGAGGAGAGACGTGCGAAATCGCCAGTACCCGCAGCCTTAGCCTTTCTTGGTGCGGCGAACCACGCGCTCGCAAACACTGCCGTCCACATACAAAAAGGTCGTTCTACATCCCTACCACACGTTACTCGTTCTTTTAATTCGTAAGTACAGTACCTGCCTCTTCCAATCAATTTTTCGCAATCATGTGTTGCTACGAGATTCAGCATCGCTGACCGGCTTTCTACAGATGTTGAAGTACGAGGTATTCTGTGCGACGAATTGATCTCTGCCCTGCGTACCTGCAGACACCGTAAGAATCGACCTACAGGGCCCTCAGAGGCAGGTTCTCGCCATGGCATGGCAACCCGACCCAGCACCATTGAGGCAACTCTCTGGGTTTCTGAAGGACTCTTTAAGTGGGCACAATAAGACGGCGCAAAAGCATGCTGAGGAAGTGAGTTGATACGGCGCCATGCGCTTCCAGAACCTTGGTTTTGAATATATACTGATGTGTACACCTTCGCCTCAGATGCTCCACGAAGCCAAGAAATCACCAGACATCAATAATTACCTCACATACCTTTTCTCGAGTTCTCAAGTTCCACCAGAATTGAGTTACAGCCCCGAGGAGTACCATGCTGTCAGGTCTGCGGCGGCTGTGATGCTGAAGAACAACATCAGAACAGGTTACAAGACGATCCCACCAGCCAGCCTTGCTCTTGTCCGATCATCCGTACCACTCGCATTACAAGACAAAAATGCTTCGATACGCAGCTACGCGGGCAATGTTATTACAGAAATTGTCAGTCGGGGTGGGATTCTTGGCTGGCCGGAAATATTGCCCCAGTTACTGGCATTTGTTGCAAACGATGCAGGTACAGTCACCCCAGAAGCCCAAGAAGGTGCCATGGCAGCCTTGGCCAAAGTCTGTGAAGACAACAAGAAAGCACTGGACAAGGACTATGGTGGACAACGACCTCTCAGCTTCATCATACCCAAACTTATCGAATTCACCGCCAGCGACAAACCTAAAATCCGCTCCTTAGCCCTCGGCAGCATCAATGTGTTCATCCCTCAAAAGCCACAAGCCCTCCTCGGCAATTTGGACACGCTTCTCAATTGTCTTTTCCAGCTTGCCAACGACCCATCCTCAGATGTGCGACGTCAAGTATGCAGAGCTTTCGTGCAGATAGTTGAGATTCGGCCAGACAAGATTCTGCCGCACATCGAAGGCTTGGTGGACTACATGATTGCCCAACAACGAAAAATTGAGGACGAAGAATTGGCTTGCGACGCAGCTGAGTTCTGGTTAACGGTCGGAGAGCACAGCGAACTATGGCAATCTTTAGGGCCGTACCTTAACAAGATCATCCCCGTTCTCTTGGAGAGTATGGTATATAGCGAAGAAGATATTGCCATGCTCGAAGGCGGTGCAGACGATGCAGAAGAGGATGATCGTATTCAAGACATCAAGCCAAAGTTTGCTACGAGCAAGACTGCTCGACTCACAAATGGCGAGGATGCCACAGAAAGCAGCCCAAATGGCGGCTATGTGAAAGTAGGCGGCCCTGAAGAGGATGATTTAGATGAAGGAGAGATTGAGGAATTCGATGATGATGACGACGATGCAAATCCCGAGGACAGATGGAACTTGCGAAAATGCTCTGCAGCTGCACTGGATGTCTTCGCCACCGACTTCAAGAATCCTGTCTTTGAGACTATCCTGCCATACTTGATGACGAATTTGAAGCATGAGGAATGGCCTTACCGAGAAGCTGCTGTACTCGCCTTGGGAGCTGTTGCAGAAGGTTGTATGGCTGTTGTAACACCACATCTGCCAGAGCTGGTACCGTATCTGATTTCATTGCTCTCCGATCCTGAGCCTCTTGTTCGTCAAATTACTTGTTGGACGTTGGGCAGATATTCCGCCTGGGGCGCGAGTCTGAACACTCCTGCTCTTCGAGCTCAGTTCTTCGAACCTATGATGGAAGGCATTCTCATGAAGATGCTGGACTCCAATAAAAGGGTACAAGAGGCAGGCGCGTCCGCGTTTGCTCACCTGGAAGAGAAAGCTGGAGCTTCTATTACCCCATATTGTGCGCCAATCATACGCCAATTTGTCCAGTGTTTCGAGAAGTACAAAGACAGGAATATGTTCATTCTGTACGACTGTGTCCAAACACTAGCAGAACATGTCGGACATGGGTTAGCTCAACAAGAGCTCATCGACACATTGATGCCAGCACTCATCAATCGATGGCACAGGGTCTCTGACCAGTCGCGAGAGTTGTTCCCTCTCCTGGAGTGTCTGTCTTACGTTGCCACCGCTTTGTCGGAATCATTCGCTCCATTCGCTCAACCCGTTTTCGTGAGATGCATTAGGATCATCCACCAGAACTTGGAAGAGTACATTGCAGCAGTTAACAATCCAATTTTAGATACTCCTGACAAGGATTTTCTCATCACAAGCTTGGACCTCCTTAGCGCTATCATTCAGGCGGTCGACGAGAAACAGTCCGCAGCTCTCGTATCCGGCTCGCATCCTAGCCTTTTTGAGCTACTTCAGTTCTGTATGGAGGACCCAGAAAACGAGGTGCGCCAATCATCCTATGCTCTGCTCGGAGACTGTGCAAAATACGTCTTCCCGCAATTAAAGCCGTTCTTGCCTGCCTTGCTGCCCGTCCTCATTAAGCAACTTGACTTGGATGCCATCCTAGATGAGCAGATTGAGGAGAACTTCAGCGTGGTCAATAATGCATGCTGGTCTGCAGGTGAGACCTCAATCCAGTATGGCAAGGGCATGGAGCCATACGTTCCTCAGTTGCTTTCCCGGTACTTGGAGATATTGAGTAACCCCGAGGTACCAAAATCTGTCAACGAAAATGTAGCCATAGCTCTGGGCCGACTATGTCTCGAGAATCATGCGGTTATGGCACCACACATACTCACATTCTCGGAGCCGTTTCTGAAGTCCATCAGCACGGTTGACTATACGATCGAGAAAGCATCTGCTTTCAAAGGCTTCTGTCTTGTCGTGCTAGATAATCCTTCAGCAATGGAGAAAGATCTGGCGAGATTGTTCACGGCGATTGCGAGGTACAAGATGGAAGAGAGCTACAAGACGCCTCTGACGGCGGATCTGCAGAAACTCTTCCAGCATGTAAGTTATCGATTCTACGCGCAACACCAGCAGCTACTGACACAATACAGACCCTCGACGTTTACAAGTCGATGACAGACATCAACGCCTTCCTCGCCTCTTCAGTTTCACCAACTGATGTCAGCCTCCTCCGCACGAATTTCACTTTGTAGATAGGGTATATCGAACGTACCGCCAATTGAAGTTTTTCTAGCAGCAAGGATAAGGCGCAACGGATGGGATCTTGCTTTACTTCGGGCTTTGGTTTCAGCGACATGGTTTACTGTCCTTCATCTTATCATGATCTGGACGATACGGCACGGCGAGCAAGCAAGAGAAAAATAGCATTGTGGTTGCGTTGCGTTTTAGCTGGGTGCTGATTGGATCTATCTGGCATTCGACTTGCACTGAGCATGGATCTGGGCGGGAGAATCTTTGCACTATCTTGTCTTACCTTCAGGCAGGGCATTAGATGGTAGATATTTTGCTTCGGGATGGAGAGCAGGGTTTGAGAAAGACATGCTTGAGATCTACTGTCACCAGGAAAGAAAGAGAAACCTAGGATCTTGCTACATGATGGCGATCTGCTCAATGGGTTATGGAAAGGAAGGATACTGATATTCGTGCAGCGCAAGTAGGTAGATAACACACAGCTAGTTAGATAGGTTTAGTTAAGCAATACCCTTGGGATTGGAGAATTGCATACGGCGTTTTCTCAATTATTGATTCATTCTAGTACATTTAAAAAATGTTCTCGCCGCGCCGTATCTATCTTCTTCTGTACATCCTTTTCTCGTTCCCAACAACCGCGGGTCTTGTTCAACATCCGAAGTTGAATGTCCGAATCTACCTAGGTACCTCTACTTCTCTCTCTTTTGTATCCTCACCTATCACCAACAATCTCTATCCTCACCCACCGCCTTCCGCCTTCAGCCTTGGCACGAAAAACACTCACTGCCGTCCATGAAGTCAATCGCCTCCACACGCGCACCAATCAACCCACATCCTTCTCTGCGGTACTTCTTCAGCCTCACTCTCCGATCCGTCAAATCCCTTTCGTTCTCTCTAAATTAGAGTTTAGTTTTGGACCGGGACACCGGCCGGTAGCTTGAAGAAATAGGGTCAAAAAATTTGATCTGTTCGTGAACTAAGCTCCACGTTCGCTATAAACCTCGAATGCGAAAACGAGCTCGGTACTCGCTCCTGGAGAAACTTAAAGGGTGGACGGACGGAGGGAGTTGGCGGGTAAGCTAATAAGGAAACTGAGGGATTTACCTCAATGATGGGACAAGATTCGGTCGGTTTGGTGACGGCGGCTCGGTATTTGGCGTAGTGGCGGTTGATGATGTGGGTAGTCGTCTGAACTAGAAAGAGTGGAGAGAGTGCGAGCGAGAGAAAGCAGAGGATAGAGACGTTTACCAGCGGGTAAGGTGAATTCTGGCACTTGCACTTGTTAGCTAGTCTGTTACCAGTGGCAACTTTGCTCATAGTATAGGGTAGTGACGGACTTGGTATCCATTGTTTTAGACATGTGGCTCGCGAGAAGTTCCTTGGTAGAGAAGAGAAAGAGGGTCCTATTCCTCTTGGAGAAGATTTAGAGTTGGTGTAGTGTTTTAGATGAGCCTCAATGAACTGCAGAATTAGGAAAGAACGTCTTTCGGAAGTGGAGGCTGCTTGGTGTGCTAGACTTGTGGCTCGCCAGACGTTGCTAGATAGAGAAGGAGAAGCGAAAGAGGAGGCTTTCTTGAGCGAGATTTAGAGTTCGTGAATGAGCCTCAGTGATCCGCGGAAAAGAGGGTTTTCCTGATGGGACGTTGCTACCGGCAGTGTAGTTGCGGATCTTGGTCTGCTAACGTCAGGCTCGTCAGAAGTTGCTGAGTTGTCAATGTACGAAGTTAGAAGGAAGTTGAGGATTTCGGTACTGCCATGAATGAGCCTTGATGATCTTCAAATCCTCGACAAAGAGGGTCTGTAGATGTGGATGCTGGTAGTATCCGTTGTTTCACACTTGTGGCTCGCGAGAAGTTGCTGGATGGAATATGATGTGCTTTCTTGGTAGGAAGTTCAGGGTCTGAGTACTGCCATGATCGAGCGTCAATGATCTACAGATCTTCGGGAAAGAGGGTCTTTGGGATGATGCTACTGATGATGTAGTGCAGGAGGTTGTGGCAGTGGTCAGCGCGAAGGAAAGAGTTTCTCGTATTGTGTAGATCAAAGACTGAGATGCTGGTTTGTTCACAAAACTCAGCTTGAATGGTCTAGTGATTTTGAAAAGACTTGGGAGCGTTTGGAGGTGGTCCACATTGAAGACTTGATGATCTTGTGGCTGAGCTTAGCTTCAGGAAGAAAAAGGCGCCTGTCCAAGGTGAAGATTAAGTGCTTCTGCTGGAAGCTTGACATGGCATACTGAAAACTTTCAGGGTCTCAATCGGGCCTCTTTCGAAGTGGATTGTCTGTCCAAGTCTTGATGCTTCGAAGAGTCACAATGAATCGACAGAGAAGGCGGTGGCTCCGAATAGCAACTGAATAGACAGTGCAGAGGATGTCTTGCTCGTATCTGACATTCGGTCAATATTCTCTATCCTGAAGTAAGAGTATTGGGTTGTTGTTATTTCTGCCTCTTCATCATGCGTTCCCCGGCGTACTGGTTCGTATCTCTGACGAAGATCACAACGACTGCATCAGGAGATATGATTCGATCTCCCGTCTTCATCCCAACCCATCACCGTACTGCATCATCTCTTGACGCTTTAACGTCCTATTCCTCACCGCTTTCCATGGGTGGTCCTTTCAAGTCTGCCTTCATCTATTTGATCTCCATTCATTACTCTCAAATCGTGAAACTGCTGACGACGCGATATGCTTTTGTTGCGCTGTGCATTCTTGCGTAGCGTCACGCCGTGCTTGTTTCTCACCGGCTGATCAATGCTTCGGCCACGCCTTTCCCCCTACTGAGAAACAACGTAACAGTAAACTCAAACGCCGCAAAAGCTTGGCAGGCTGAAACGAAGCATCGAGAGACGAAGGATTAGGACGATGGCAATAATGTCTAAATGATATAACACGGATTGGGGGTTTTAATTGGGCGAGAAAGAGTAATGGAAAGAACTCAGCCTCGTTGATGGGCGATGTGGTGCATCTCGGCGGTATTGAATCTGCTGGCTCTGTGTCTGGCTGTGCTGTTCGGGCCATATGGAAGCGAGTGATTGGGGAGAGGAAAAGGGGGAAGGCGAGGAAGCTGCACTGTCCCCGCCACGGCGTCCAAGATTGTATTGGGCAGCTCGTTCAGGATGTGAAGAGGATTCTAGTAAAACGCGAAGGTACAATTACTGCTGCCTGGCTGGCTGAAGAGTGGAATGGCCTGTGTGAACAACTCTGTTCGAGAACAAATCATAGTGAGGTGGTTCGTGGGGGAAGCATAGCCTCAGTAATCTATAACTCGCGCCAAAAGAAAGGATGACTAAACGACAGGGAATGTTATTCATCTGAAGTCTTACATGTCAGGGTCTTCAGATGAAAATATCTCTGCATGATCAAGCAGAACAGTCGCACAGGAGATTGAGATATTCATTAGGAGTAATCCGTTAGAATGCTGGGTATGTTGGTGGTACAATTACCCCGCAGATTCGCAGATGCAAAGAGGTTCTAGAACTGCACCTCTGCATGCAGGCACTGCAATATGCTACGGTAGTATGAAAACGAAGAATTGTGTTCGAAAGATAATATTTAGTGTAACCTGAAGGGAATATTGGTGCAGCAAGGCAATTGGGAGGTTGGCCGTCGGGATGTCATGTCGAACTCCTCTTTGCTGGGAACCGCATTTGGAGACGAGCTGCAGCGAAGGGAACTGTTCCGTGAGGAAGGCTTGGCGCGGTGAAATCAATTCCCGAGACTCTCATTTGATGACACCACGTCTTGACTTTGGCTTTGCTCTGCTGGAACCTTACTCACAGGCCTGCGAATGATGAGTGAGCAGTCTGCCTCTGTCTCTGCATGTATGAGTGGAGGTGTGACTTCTCAAGTGTCGTGCCAAGACTCCAGATATGGTTCTTGCGGGCCGTGAAGTGGAGTCATTGATATGTGAGAGAGGTGTTTGTTGTTGCATATATTGTTTTCCCCGGGCGTCATATGCATGACAGTGATTTGTGATGTTCCGTTGCTATTTAAAGCCGTTGAGGCTGCTTCGATGCTTCTTCGATGACCACGATGAACCCTTGCTTGATGGGTTATGGGCGTAGAGCAAGGAGAATAGTGCGCGAGAGAGAAAGAGTCGTTGGTGCGAATGCAGCCACAACGACTTTCGTACCCGGCTTGTAGGGGTAAGAAGTGGCAGGGACTGCATTGAACTGTACCTCGACTTATCCACTTAGGTGAGAATACCTCAATGCGAGCGCCGAACAGCCAGATTGATCCAGGAGTGTCGAGCGAAGATCTTCTTCTCTCCTCCAAGTCTTGCAAAGCCTTCGGATGCTTCTCCGATAGCATCGGCTCATCGGCTCCTTCGGTGTCAGAGATCGTCATGTGTTACGCGGACATTTCTCACTTGCCATTATCAAGTAATGGAGGATTCATGAACACAAATGTAAGAAGCCATTCGGAGTAGCCGCAGCGATGGGCGTTGTGAGGATTACTACGTCCTATGCTCGTCGTTCCTTTTTTTCATGTGCTCGGCGTTATTACAGATGGTAAAGCAGGCCATATGATGTGTGCCATGACATGACCTGATGATGAACTGAGAAGCGAGAGACATGAGGAGGGTTATGGAGGAAGCGCACTGTCATTCCGTACCGAAGACAGCAAAGGCTTGGAGAGAAAAACGAGAGGATAGAGTATGATGATAGGGCAGGAGAGCACGGCACCAGCGGAGATAGAGAATATTGAAGGCAGGTGTAAGTACAGTACAGTATGTTCTTGGACGGGAAGCGGTGGGCAGATGGGAAAGCAGCATTTGCCCGTCGACGCTGCTAATTATAGCTCATTTAAACTCACGCTACCTCATTCTTTGTCACGCTTCCAAAAGCTTGGCCTTTTTGCTTGGCGCTCTTCCCTTGCTCTTCCACTCCTTGTCGTTTGCCGTTCCGGGTCAAGAATCGGAGGAAATCCAGAGACGGCGACCGCAAGAGAAGAATGAATGGATGAAAATGAAAAGAAGGATGAGGAAAGGTTGTGTGCGCGTCCCTTCCACCAGCCTCCACTGTCAACACCTTTCTCTGATTCGACATCTGCTCCCTTCTGGCTGGAGACGATGTACCACCACAACGCCTTCTGAAGCTTCAGGATCTCTTCTTCCGCACCCCAATATGCACAACACCAAACGAGCCGTCGCTCAAGAATGGCCACGAGATCCATCTCCCAGCTGTAAGGCCATATGTTGATGCATGCATGCATGCAGACTGCTCGCCTTGCCCCTCACCGCCCGGCTCGCTCCCAACCGCAGCGAGTCAACGACCAGCAGATACACCCCCAAGACCCAGAGGGAAGAGCAGCATTCTTGTACGGTCCAAACGAAGCTATCCCACGATCATTGTCTAAGACGCACCGGAAACATCAGACATCAGGCACCAATATAGTATCAGCCAAGAATGCCGCGAAGCCGCGTGACTGGTCTGTTCGAACCGAATTCTTGGTCTTCATAATTGCTTGCTCGTTTGCTTGCTTGGCCCAAAAAAATTGATACGTCCACATGATGCCTCATCTGGCCGCCGTCTCGATGCTCGAGTTGTCGTTTGGGTTGATGGACCTCCCTGCGACTGCGAGAGGACATCTCTAAAAGGAAGTTTTAGAGCTGCGCGGGTACATCTCTCCTTTGGGCATGTATTCCGGCCGTTTCAATCTCAAGATCTTCCAGATAAATCGCGAGGCTGGGACTGGCTCGCTTTGTGGCAACCCCCAGTTTCTCATCGGCAACTAGGGCTTAAGTTCTCCTCTTGTGTGCGCTGGACCATGGCGTTTCTGCAGTGTGATGCCACCTTCAAAAGCTTGGCCGTGCCGTGGGTCCTCGCGTCTCTGACAACGAAAAAGATCAAGTCCCAGTCTTCACCGCTTTCTTGTCGGCTGATTCAAGGAGAACGCAAATGTTCCCGATCTGGTCAGGGAATCGGCTACAACAGCGTGCATGCGAATTCATGTCTCTTCATCCCACAGCATTACTGAAAGGATCATAGATAGCTTGAACACTCAAGAGATCATGCAAACCGTTTTCATCGTGCGCTGTACGCGGATCGGAGACCGAGATGGTGTTCCTGGTAAACAAGGTTGTACATACGAGGAGGCATTTCCTTTGCCGCATGCCAATGCCAAGGACAAGCGTCACTCGCAGCTCGAAGTCGCTTGCTCTCAAGCATGATCATGGCAATACCAAGACTGGTCTAAGTGGGCTACCAATGTCGAAGTGGCATTGCGAATGCCTTCAAAGCTTCGACTTTTCTTTTGATTACTCAGTCCCCGCGATGTACGGCGACAGCGTGCCACTCAGGACACAGCACGACATACCCGCCAGAAATAACCAGCGCATGCTCAACTATGATATCAGATCTGACAATTCCAATATATCATTCTCGGCGGTACTTCGTACAGCGTGCACAAGCTGGAGGCAAGAGTTCAAATAATGGCGATTTGCAGCTCAGCCAAAGATGCTACGTTGTATCGGTAGTACTCTTCGCGTGCTGCGCAGTGGTCGCATTTACAGCTTTTTTCGGGATTTTCACAAAGCTTCTAGAAGATTAGACGAGCTGGCCCACACTAAATATAGCTTGCAGGGACCTCCCAGTGCTGAACCAAGACACACTTGGCTGCATTTGCACTAGCCTCCCGTGGCATTATGCACCGATCGCCAACCACTGCTCACGCGAACGAGCCTCGGTCTGACGATGCATGAAATATCAGAAAATTATTGAGAGGCGAAGAACCATGAACATTCTTGAAATATGGGTTTCGTGATTACCATTGATCATTGCTCGTGTGTCAGCTCAAGTTACAGCTTCGGCACGCCGCCTCTCGAGGATCCTTTTTACGTACCAAAGGCGGTAATTGGGATGGTCCGGCCATTTTCCTAAGCACGCATGACGTCTAGGGGTTCAGAAGTGAGATGGGACCTGAGATCTCCAAGATCTGAGCCTCCTTACTTGCCGGCACTATCCTGCTCTAGGTAACTCGTTAGACATCGGTAGACTCAGCTTCCACTTGCCAATTTTGATGTGGACGAGGCGCCGACAAACTGGTTAAGCTCAAGCTCTCCCGCTGCAACTTCGGCGGAGCAAGTGCTGGATTCCACCGTGGAATACGGCGTTTCACGAGTGAATCCGCTAGGAGACCCTGAGCCGTACTGGATCCTAAACCCAAGTCCTCTAGCGGGCTGGTATACGGGATATACTCCGGAGTGGCCGTTGACACCAATTTGAAGTCTTGGCGGTACCATCCTGAACAGCCTCGAGGTTAGTTTAGGTCCAATGGGGCAGGTCATGTTTTCTCCGGACTGAACGAATGACTAGGAGGTTAAAGCTTAATAGAGTTTTTAAGTCATGTTCAAGAGTGCTTTGGAAGGTTACGGAGAATCTTCTATCGCCGTCCACAATTCTGGGAGCCGCGAGTATTCTATTCCGAAGCAGAATTAAGAAGGCCATTTAGAGTTTATGAGGCTTTTCGGCTATTTCGACAGCTCAGGTTCCAACCGGCAAAGAGCAAACATGTGCTTCTTCTTCACGTAGTGATGCTGCCACCCAAAACGTGCCGCAAGCATTATGAAGCGGATGAGCAAGGTATGAGCCGAGATCGTCAACGGCCTCCCACTCGGCAACTCACGCCTCTTTGCATGAGAATGACAAAAAGGGGTCGTCGGACAGGGATAAGACATACATCCGCTGTCAGTCAGCGAGTTAAGTCTTCGCGGTGAGTTGCTGTACCTCATCGTAGATCATCGTTTCGCAATTATGGCCCCTTTCGAGCCTTTCCGGCTTGACGGGTTGTCCTGTGGTCCGCCATCCGAGACTTGGCTTTCTCAGTTTGAGCGTCCATGCCGCCAATCAGACTCGGATCCCTGATCTTCGAGGCTTAAAGATAAGTACTAGGAGGTTTGACCATGAAGACAGTCACGGGAGTGTGAGATTCCACATGACGTTCTTTGCTCCTTGGGCGGGAAAGATAAAAATGGACACGAGAAAGTGCGCACGTATCAAGAGACGAGAAAGCATTCCACACACCTTTTCTCTCTCGCTTCGCAGCCTGCAGTGGTGTGTCTCCTGGTTCGGCAGCCCATGCCTGACCAGGTTACCTGGGGCACATCACCGATCTTGATGGAAAGCGGTCTAGCCTGGGGAGGCGGAGTAAAAGAGAACTGACCTCAAGCGCTCAAGCGAACTTTTCTGATGTTGCACCACACCCATGCAGCGCACGCGCCATCAAAGAGACAAACAACCATGTACTTACATTCCACTCTACTTACTGTCATTATTTCTCTGTACTGTACAGTACCATCCCAGACTTGGTATCCAGTCCTCGGCCCGCGAGGTTAGGCAACCATGAACAGAGCATGAGAAACAGCACAGCAACCCCTCCCCCCCAGGGTTCTCCAGCGTGATGCACTCGGAATGGCAGCAGTGACAGCCTGTCTGCCCAGGGTGCACCAGGTGCCAAACCCTTGAGTCTTGTCCCTTCTCGTGTGGTCTCCGCTGTCTCCGGGTCCGCGAACTATATTTCTACTGTACAGTATGAGGTCTGAATAGCTGTGAACTGCTGGAGTGATCTAATTCGATCGTCCGACAGGACCCCGGACAATCACAAAAGACTGTAAGTAGACTCTGGTGGGTACTGTAAGGAATGGTGCGAAAGGGAACGCAAGAGCAGAGAAGAAGATTCCAGTTAGTTGGGTTTGCCAATGGCAAGTCAAACTTATTTTTGGAATTGCACACCACACCACACCACACCATCCACCTCCACCCACTTCTCGGCCGCTACCTTTTACTAGTAGACTCAGTTGCTCACCACTGACCCCTGCCCTGCCCTGCCCTGTTCGACACAGCACAGCACAGCTTATTCCGAATACTCACTCACTCGCTCGCTCACTTTACTCACCTCACCACCAAAACCACGCTTTTAGGCTTCTGACCAATTTTCACATTCTCACCAACGCCCCTCGGCGGCCGATTGAGCCAACTGCTGGATCGTGGATTGCACACACCATGATGACGACCAATGACAGTGGTAAGCACCAGTGCATTGATTGGACCCGCCGACAGTGCTGGCCCAATGCGGTAAATATATTTTTCCGTCAATTGCGCTGCCACAACCACAACCACTACCAATAATGAATCAATCATTTCGACTACGGCTCCGGCTACGGTGGTTACTGTTTCTGCGCCGGCTACTATTCACGACGATGACATCGAATAATCCCCGACTTGCCTCCCCAGCAGCATCAAGCTCCCCCCAGTCAGGACCTGCCTTTCTGATGTTCCTTTTTGGGCTGTTGATGTCCTAGCGGTCCCAGTCGTGGTCTGCCCGTCATGCCAAGCCCGTCAAACACGGTCTCCCCCCGTCCTGGTCGTCGTGCCTCAGAGAAGATGCTGAAACGGTACGGCGTGTTTCCCACACCCAGAGGGCTCACGCTCACACCCACGGTGGTTCATAGCAACTGCCACTAAAACATCATGCTCGTACATATTCCCTACCGATGTCTCCTCCCAGTGCTTGTTAGTCCTTACCAGTGAGCAGCTGCTACGCCTGACCAGGCCGGCGTCCCTGGGATGCTCCACCTAACGTTACCACCACCCTTTCCCTGGCCCATCCCGTATGCAGCACTAACAATGCAAGCGCCTTCCTCTGCTTGAGCCACCCTCCTCACGCCTTCCCCCTTCCAGCGATTCTGCCACCACCCACGTCCGACTATTAAGCTGGGAGCATCGCCAGTTCAACATGTGTTTGCAGGATCATTGAAAAGACCAGACAACTCCAGCCTTCAGGCTCAAAACCCACCACATTCGCTTTGTGCACTCTGCTATTAGGAAGCCCTCGTTGGCTCCTGTCATTCGCTTTTGCGTTGCGTAGCCCCAGGACGAAAAATACTCAGCCTTCACGACTTCAGCAAGCCTTCGGAGGATAAGACGACCCCCCCCCCCCCATCCACAGCCTTGGCTCACCTTCGTTGATCAAACCCATCTGGAAGAACTTGTGTGACCCCATCTCATCACTAGTTCAGGATCTCTGAGTACACAAGCACAGCACAACGGTTTCTGCTTACTACTTTGTACCGGGCTCCACCTCCCACTACCACGACAGCCTTCTCCGGTTCTCAGAACAGCAGCTACGTTGCGTTCCAGCCGCTGCGCCTTCATATATCGACTGGCTGTGTTGTAACAGCAAATATCCCCACCTAGATCGTGCAGCCTTACCACCACACTCGCTTGACCGAATCAGTTATACATATACCCGGCCGCCTCGGAGTTCATTAACACTTCTTGGTACCTGATCCACCCCTTACTCATCTTCTTCATCAACCTCGTCATCACCTCGATAGTCGATCAAATTTAAGACTCGAACATTCGTCGACGGCTTTCACTCGTTCAAGCCTCGTCGTCTTCTTTCTTACTTCTACTTCTTCAGCCTCGTTGCAATGGCCGGACCCGGTGGTGGACCTCCTCGTCGGAGGTAAGTTGCCCTCGAACACTTAATGATCCTTAATCACTTACATGATTGTAGCCATACCAAGTCTCGTAAAGGTTGTGAGACGTGCAAACGTCGACACATCCGTTGTGATGAGAATTTTCCCCAATGGCAAGTCAACAATCCTTGGATCATCGACTGACCCAATACTAACACAAGACTCACAGTCGAAATTGCACCAAGCACAACTGTCGTTGTCCGTACATGGATATGCCTATTCAAGAAGAGAGAGCCGCAACTCCAGAGAAAGCAGATCTGTTGTGGACTCCGGAAATCGAGGCTGAGATTGAACGCTGGCAACAGACTGGAAACTTCCCGTTTCCAGATCTTTACATTTACCCAGCACCAGCTCCGCAATTCTTCTCTTTCGAAGACCTTCGCCTCATCCACCATGTTGCTTCCGTGTCCAGCGAACTCGGACTCCACGATGCGAGCAATTTTACCATCTGGACTCGGCAAATCCCGCTGTAAGTGCCATAGCCTGCATGGGGAAATATATTTCAGAGGCTGATGGTGGCTGACAAATGATTAGTTTCCTCAAGATCGGAAGTGATTATGCCTTTGTCATGCATGCGTTGCTAGCGCTTTCTGCAACTCATCTTGCATGGCTGACGGACTGCCCATTGACAGCTAATATGGCTTATGAGCACCGTGGGGTCGCCTTGAAGGGACTTCATGAGGCAATTGGACAATTCACGCCTGAAAACTCCGATGCTGTACTTGCTGCCTCTTTGCTCTTGTCTTGGCAAGCAACAGAATGGTCGGTGAAGATCTGACATAATCCCTAGTAACATATGCTGACTGCTACACAGGCGTGGATGGACTCAATTGATGCACGGAACTTCTTCGGTAAGTTGTGGAACCACCAACGATTGAGATACATGTGGCTAACCGTCTCACAGGTCATCGACGCCATGCAACCATGGAAAAACGAATCTCAATTCGGAGATTTCATTGCCGAGCAGAGCACCTTCCCGACAGCGCCTCCATCTCCAGCCCCTGGCTCAAGAAAGCTTAGCAATCCACGAAAGCAAGATTTGGATGCTTTGCAGCGAGCTTATGCCCAGCTTCAGAAAGTCGAAACACATCTGAAGGCAAACAATGAAGATGTGAAGGCTATCCAACAGTTGATGAGCTTCGTCAGGGGTGTTCGAAAGGTCTCGCCAAATCATACTGCTGCTCAGCGATTCGAGATGCTCAACCCTCTTCGTGCTTGGTTGTTTTGGCTACCAGTCATGTTCCTGCAGCAGACTCGAGGATCTCCATCCGCTTTGATTATTCTTGCACACTACTACACTGTGGCATTGGTTGTGGAGCCTCTCTTTCCTGAAGTTGGTGCTGCCTACTTTGGGAGTCTGTCATTGGGACCAATTGAAGAAATCGCACGAAGGTTGTTCTCGATCAACGTCTCGCAAGCTCTCGACTCCAACATGCAGACTCCACTCAATCTCATGGAGTATCCAATTGATATGGTCTCAAGCTTCAGAAGCCGCATGGGATGGGTTCAACCAGAGAGGACTGCTTCGTTCCCAAGCTTTCCCACCCATGATTTCTCCATGGCCGAGAGCTATCCAACAAGCTTGTCGCTGTCACCCTATGGCAATCCTGCGTTCACATACAGCCAAGAACACTTGATGACTATGCCTCCCGACCCTATGTCTGCCACAGCGGTTAGTCCCTTGACCTTGGATCCATTCACTGGGCACTATCTTGGAATACCTTCTCCCAGTGGATATGGAGGATACCATAGCCCAGCATCTTCCAACTTTGGGGAAGGATCGATTGTTTACAGTGATCATGGGGATGATTTTGCCCTCTATGATACACAGGGCCCAGGCTCGAATTTCGGCGGGTTTGTGCTCCCGACCACCGTGTGGATATAATTATCGGACGAAAGGATTTAACATCTCGCCCAGGACCACCCCCGTCTTCAAATTCGAGCCACGATCTCCTTTCGAGGATCAAATCAAGTTTGGGCCACACACGCCCTCGCCACGGATGCAGCCGATGCATCAATTACCTCAAATTCCGTCCCTTCCAAGTTATCCTCCTCGCAATCCCTCTCCGGCCGACCCCTCAGGAAAGGGAAAAGGCCGTGAGAATTAATTCCTCAGACCTCACGATGACGACCAGATTTTTACGCGGCCCCTTGAGATTATACGAATCTCATACACCTAATAATATTGTTACCACCACCTTACGACTCTCCTTAAGATCTGTTGTTTAACGGCTTTAACGACCCTTACGATGTTTTGCTATGATATTCATGTACGAATACTAGTACCCACGATCCTTATATACCCAATACCCCACGGTCCTTATAGATACCACAGCATTTGCATGGAAATGGAGTTTTTGAAGAGCTGCTGTATGAGCTCAGGCATGTTAATGTTTTTGAAGGAAAGGGAAAATGGAAGGAAGGCGTTAGACATAGCGGGAATCTGTAATGCTGGTTTCAAGAGCGTCATTCAAGCAACAAAGATGTGTAGAGTATGAATAAAGCATGGCTTTAATTTTCCAATTTGATTGCCCTCGACAAGTGAAGTGCAGTTCTAGTACTCAGGTATGGTTTGGTGCGAGTCAGGAACTTTTGTGAGCAAGGGGTTGGTTTAACCTTTCACGATACTTTCCATGAACCATGGTCATGATCTTAACCTTGAGGGTGTGGGAGGAACTTGCCGTAGACAGGTCGATCCTAGTGGATCCTCACGACTCGACGTCAACTGAGGCTCAATCAGCGGCCTTTTCCCCTTGTCTGAGCACGGCAATCACGTGGTCGCATTGTTAGCGTGGATTACCTACGCCGAAATCGCGTCGAGCAGCTCCCAAAGAAAAGGTACGAGCCTCAAAAAATTTCCCCACATCCGCCGCAAACCCCCACTCCACGAGAAAGAAGGTTTGCATGCAAGATCTGGGCTGCTCAAGATGAGTGGAGGTTGGAATACGAGTAAGTCTTACCACCACACCCCGCACAAATTATCTTGAGGTTCTCATTTACTAATTTTTTAAATTCGAAAAGTCGAATCGGATGCTGTTAGTATTTACTTCCTTGCTCAATATCCACAACGAAGATTGAAGCTAACGCGGATGTTTCTAGGGAGTGTTTACGTTCCTACTTACGAACTTGGGTGTCAAGGATGTACAGTTCGAAGAACTGATCGCACTCGATGCTTCGTACCTCCGACAATTATCCCCCGTCTACGGCGTCATATTCCTCTTCAAATATCCCACAGGCGAGAAAGCGAACACGGACGGGACACCGAAAGACGGGAGCTACGACCACGCCGCCACCGAGAACCTGTGGTTCGCCGCGCAGACAATCCAGAATGCGTGCGGGACGCAAGCGCTGCTGTCCGTGCTGCTGAACAAGGACGGCGAGATCGAGGTTGGGCGGGACCTGAGCGAGTTCAAGGAGTTCACGGCGGGGTTCCCGGCGGAGTTTCGCGGCGAGGCGCTCAGTAACTCGGAGCTGATTAGGGATGTGCATAATAGTTTTGCGAAGAGCAGTCCGTTTGTGGATGAGACGCAAAGGACGGCGACCGAGGACGATGATGTGTATCATTTCATCGCGTACACGCCGGTGAACGGGGTGTTGTATGAGCTGGATGGGTTGCAGCCGGCGCCGATCTCTCATGGGGCGTGTGAGGAGGGGGAGTTCTGTGAGAAGGTTATTCCGGTGCTGCAGAGGCGGATTGAGAGGTATCCGGCTACGGAGATTAGGTTTAATTTGCTGGCGATGGTGAGGGATTTGAGGGCGAGGGCGAGGGAGGTGGGGGATGTGGAGATGTTGATGAGGGAGGAGCAGAAGAGGAATGAGTGGCAGTTTGAGAACGCTTTGAGGAGACATAATTTTGTGGGGTTTGCGGGGGAGGTGTTGAAGGGTGTTATTGGGGAGAAACTGAAGGAGGGAGACGGGGCTTATGAGAGGTGGATTGAGGAGGCGAAGAAGAAGACTAAGGAGAGGTCGGAGGAGAGGAAGAAGAAAAGTGGTGCTGCCGCTGATGAAGATTTGGAGATGGAGGGTTGATAGGATGGGAGTTGTGGATGGGAATGATAATGGGCGGTGCTATGACAAGCCATGGCTGGACGAAGTGTTACCTGAAATGCATGGCCGATATGAGAGATGATGAGAGAAACGGCTTTGGTACGATGGTGGGAATAATAGACGACCTAGAAGATTGGGTCATGGCAATGAATTTACGTTGCGAATCAACAAGATGAATAGTTGTTGCATTGACGTCGGCTTATCTTAGCTTGAAGGCAGGAAACATATTCCTTCTATCTCCTGCATAGCTGCCTAGCAATATGTTGTCACCTATTGCGAAGCGATACACGTATACGCATGCTAGAATTTCTTGCAAGAGCCACAAAGAAAAGCAAGTGAATACTGTACTTCAGTGGAATTTCGCTAAGTTCAAAGACCTGCTTATTCAGGACCACTGCATGCTCCCTAGCTTCTTGCATAGGAGAAATTAATTTCACGGCAGCCCCTGCTCTCCTCTCAAGATCTACACTGCAGTAATGCTCCCGAAGAAGCATGTTATCTAGGATCCCAAAATTTGTCGGACGCCGAAGCCTATTCTAGGTGGGGTTTTAAGATCTGACAAATGTGGGTATGATGTAAATGTAGAACCCCGAAAGAGCACCACGAAGGCTAGATGAATGAATGATCCCAGCCTTCTTTTTTTTATTCAATACAATATACTAGAAAGGTATTGTTGTTGTCTAACAGTTGGAGAGGGAGGCTGGTGCTATCCTGTGCTGTCCTGTGCTGTGCCTCGCATTTGTGAGACAAGAAATGGTTCAAACCAAACACGGAAGTGAGCATCAGAATATGTATGCTCCTCGACCGAAAGAGAATAATACCATGTCCTGATGATGATTCAACGACTGATTGTGTGATCAAAGAAGATTTTTCTTGTTATTCTAGAATTCGATCAGACATCGAATGTTAATCGCATTGAGTTTTGGGCTCGGTACGTAGTGGCTCGAGACTTGACTTGTTTGCGGTCAGCCTATCCACACCACGTCGACGCCACCAAGAAGACTAGGCCATACCTTCTGTCACCTCCTCCTCCACGACCTCACTGTAGCACGACCACAACAAATCCTCGACTCTTCCCTCCCCTACTACGATACCCATTCCACATCTACCTCGCTGGCCGAGAGCGAGGCTCCTTCACGATATCTGGAATCCTCTGGGCTGGAACAGTCGGAGCGTATCGCATTTCCGCCGCTTAGATACTGACGGACTGACGACCACCACGACAACGACAACAACGACCGATAGATAGCTGGCGGCACCACATCACGATCGAGCGCTGCTGCTGGCAAGACGAGAGAAGTATCCAAGATGGACGGTCTGCAGGGGTCGACGACGCTGTCTACGATCCTCAAACCCGCGAGCCCATCAACAACGACGTCTTCTCTCTTCCTCTCGACCGTCACCTCCGAAGCCCAGGCCAAGATCCAAGCCCTGCTCGCCAGCCAAGATACCTCGTCCTTCAACCCGATCGACAGCGAGGTGCGGATAATGCGCAATGATTCTACCATCAATGGAGTCATGATCGGACTGCTGTCCTCGTTTGGGTCAGCTGTCTTGATTGCGTTTATATTTCTCATCGTCTACTTCTTCCGGTATACCAGCAGTGGGAGGATCCTGCTTGATCGGATTGGGAGGCCCGGCGAGTTTGACGACGAGCAGGCGTTCTTGAGAGATGAGAATGAGGCGCTGGAGTCTATGGATGACATCCAGCGGCAGGAGTATTTGCGTGCGAAAGGTACATTTCACATATTCTATCTAGACTTGCAGAGAGAGTGAAGATACTAATGTATTGGAACTACAGCGTTTATCCAAGCCAATCCTCCCGACTCGTTACCGACAGATATCTCACTTTCTCAATATCTGGCGATTCAAGAGAAGGGTGTCTCGGCTTGGGAGTTCGAGCCCGAGTTGGAGATTGCGAATTGCTTTGTGGAAGGGAGGACGGAAATCGAGTTCTTTGATTCGGAATGTTCGACGCTGACGAACTTACCGATTCCGAAGCAGAACGAGGTTTATTACTGGGAGAGCAAGATCTATGATAAGCCGGAGTCGACGTTGATTAGCATAGGCGTGTGTACAAAGCCGTATCCGCTGTTCAGATTACCTGGTATGCTATTCTTGGAGTGAGGTATGGATTTGAAACTGATGCGTGATTAGGTTGGCATAAGTATTCGGTTGCCTATACCTCGACCGGACATCGAAGATATAATCAACCATTTAGCGGACCGACTTATGGACCGCAATTTGTGCAGGGAGATGTTATCGGTGTTGGATATCGACCGCGGACAGGCACGATCTTCTTCACGCGAAATGGAAAGAAGTTGGAAGATGTGGCACATGGGCTGAAATCGCAGAATTTGTTTCCTGCAGTCGGTGCCAATGGACCATGCACAGTGCATGTAAATTTTGGGCAATCAGGATTTGTGTTCATCGAGGCAAATGTCAAGAAATGGGGTCTTGCTCCAATGACTGGCAGTTTGGCTCCACCTCCGCCATATGGGAGTGAGCAGGGCAGTATTTTGCTTGAGGCTGGTAGAGAGGGGTCACAAAGCAGTCAAGGCCATTACCCAGATCCTCGACATGGACGAACACGAAGTGGGAATTTCAGATATGGGCCACCAACGAGTCCTGGCCCTGTACGCTCGCCTACCGATATTTCTCTCGCACACCTCACACATATCCCTTCTAATGACGAACCTGGGGAGTCGAGTGCTTCTGCCGGAGCGGTGGAAAGCGGGATAAGCACAGTGACGCCTGCAAATGTTGGGCTAGGACTGCATGATCACACGCAACCTCCTCCCGAATACACGAGTCCGCAGGCATCGAATGCAAGCAGTCCACGAGGCAGCTCTGATAGCGAGAGAGCGCCATTAGTTAGAAGGAAGAGCACACCTCCGCCTATACCAAGCTACAATGAAACGGTTGCGGAAGATAGAGCGAGGGAGAGGAGTCAAAGCCACGCGCAGAGACCAAACAGAACGAGAGAAGAAGACGGATCTGGATCGCGGCCCAGAGCTCGCTCATGACATTCTGGATGTCAGAGAGGGGTTGATGGTACGATATGGCGTGCGTGGGCTCTGGGCTTCGGTGTTTGGGGGAGGGAACCTCGTGCTGCTTGCTGGACTTAGCGTGGAGAGGAGCCTCGTGATTTCCTCTTCTTCACGAGACGATATGATGGCACTTGTATGGCGTTTGGGAGTTTTCAACAGTCAATCTCTCTCTTTTGTTTTGCTTTGAAGAATGGGGGTGGATGGGTCTTTAGGATACCATGGAGGGAGGAAGCGAAGGAAGGGTGAATATGAAAGGGGACCACGCGAAGGATTATCGATGATGGTGTAGCATAGCCAGCTAGCATACATACCTATATAGCATACCTGCTGAAAGCGTCAACAGAGACTCGAATACGAGATTATGTTCTTTTGTAGGTGCTTTTATGTGCATCGGAGGTTTTGTGCTGTGATGGAGAGGAGTAGGTATGGTGTTGTTTGAATGCACGGCGTGGTTGCGAGACTTCGACGAGTGGGCAGATGTAGCATTCTCGCATTGCTCTGCCTATACCATTCACGTTATTTGTTATTTGTTAATTGTAGAGCATTTTCACAACACTTTACATGAGCAAATGTGGTCTTGTCTCTTGGTGTACTTCACATAGTAGAAGGTACTTTACTTTTCCTAAGACTTAAACAAACATAGGTATTCTTGTCTCTTGAGCAAAAGTAATTATCACGAAACCAACCTGGCTAGGCTAGAACGATGTTTGGGAGACACATAGGTAAATTGCAGCGTTCTCTCTTTCCAAGGTGTTTTCAGACACTTCCTTTGGATGTCGACTACTGACGGTACCTCTATGTGCCGGGGAAACGAGGGGATGGGGGCTTCGAGATCTGAGAGGTGGTTTGGCGTGAGATGAGACTCTGAAGTCATAAGGTAGGGACTTCAGTTTTCGTCTGGACGTTTTTGAAGTTGTCGATGACAAAAATTGTGATGATGCGTGGTGAGGGGTGTTGTTTATTCGTCTGTTTATTTGCAATGGAAGTGCGTGTGTTGTTCTTGAAGGAAGAGTTGTTGGTGAACGTTGATTCTGCGCTTGAACAGACCAGTCTCGGTGTTGGTGTTTTCAGTTGCTTTATCCTTTATGCTTTGAACTCAAGATACTTGTTGCTTAGTTATGTCCTTGTTGTTTATCCTTCTTCTATTTAGGGAGTGAGAGAGAGAGATGAAGTCATTTGAGTAATGCAGTATTATACACGATTCGAGGGCATCGAGTGGTTTGCCGAGGCAGAAATCCAGTTGATTTCTGCGTTATCTATGCTCCAACCAATTCGCTCAGCTCTGCATTATCATCAAACTCCATCAACAACAGACTTCCATTCAAATTACGTCTCCCAGACTCCAAGTCCGCTCCCGAGAAGCTCTTATTCATCCGCGTCCTTATCACTCTCACCAGACAAACTCTCCGAGTCACTATCACCTTCCTCACCACCTTCAATGACAGTCTCAGCCTCGCTCTCGTTCTCAATAGCTTCAAAGTCGTCCACAGAAACCGCCGCCGCCGCCAATCCACTCTTGAACCCATCCTTGACTTGCCAGCGCAAGTGGCTCGTCCGCGGTTGAGTCGATTCTCGAGCTTCGTTAGACTTCATCTCCCGCAGCCGTGATTTGTGGAACGGATTCGCACTCTTGCAACTCTCTTTGTGTTGAAAGAACTTCTTGTTGTGCCATACAGATCGTCGTGCTCTCTCTCTGTTATCGTGTATATGCTTCTCCCAGCCAATCTGCTCGGCCTTGTTGATGAAGCCTTCGGCGTAATCAAACATCTGCCACCATCGGTCTCCTGATTGTGCTGCATAATGTTCCTTCGCAGAGTCCTTGAGGAAGTCCAGCTCCTTGCTATCGTCGGCAACTCTTCGCCAGTAGCCAGGTAGGTAGATCTTGGGGCAGGGTTTGGACTTGAAGCCATGCTCGGTCATATATTGCCATCTCTCGAACTCGTCCTTGGTCTCGCGATCGTCCGCCTTCGTGGGCTCGGGTGCTGGGGTGTGTCTCTTCTTGCTCGCCTTTCCTTCTTGATTTTGCTGCCGAATCTCAATTCCTTTCCTCTTCAAGAAGTCGGCCTCGTCATTGTATCCGTCGAACCAGATAGACCAGTTGTACTTGCGCTTCGGTCGCTCGAGTTTGACATGAGGCATGACCTGCAAGCCATCCTTATCGTATATGACGGTTCTTGTCTTGCTCTTCTCCTTCTTGTCTCTCCTGTGCTTCCTGTCCTTCTTCTTCTTGTGGGCTCTGCGGGCTCTATCGGCTTCGAGTTCTCGTGGGGTGGGATAATCGTCGGAGGAGAGACGGCGGCTGGTGTTTCGATCGGTTTCGGAGGGAGACGAGACGTTGCTGTTGTAGCCGCTGTCCATCGAATCGACTGCCCAAGGATGCTGGAGGCCTGCGGGGCAGATGCAAGGAAATGCGTAGCAACATGGTGAAGGTTCGCTGTTGCAGTGGTATTCGTCTTCTGATTCGAGGGTAGCAGCATCGGAAAGCTTTGTACGCTTGGTAGGACGTTCGTATTCATCTTCGTCGTCCTCCCTTGCTCTCGTTGCTCTCATCATCGGCATCTTGAATATCTCTGATCAACAGAGTATTCAAAGAGGATGAGGACAGTAGGATGTGGGTACAATGAAGAATCAGTTGGCAGTAGGATACTGAAACGCAAGATCCAGGAACAAGAGCGCACACAGCCAGAAGATGTGAGGTGATCTGCGCAGAAAATTGTTTGGAAAAGAAGAATCTTGAAAGTTGAGGAAGGAAGGTTTCTGAAGAAAGGCGTGGGATTTGACCCCAAGTGTGGTAGCCTTGGTAGACGAAAACACAATAGTAGCAGAGTTGCCATTATGCGTATAGCTCCCAACAACAATCCCCTTCACAATACCAAGGTTAAGCGAAGGTGGAAGGTGAATTTGAGCCAAGCACAATGACATTCGATACGACCCCCGACAAGAAGCGAGGGCTGTTCCTCAGGCTCAGGGAATTATTAAAGCGAAAGAGCATTGGAATTGGGTTGACAAAGAGATATACAGAATCTAGTCGGGTAGCTGAAGTTGCGCACAGTGTCTCGCACCTCGCAGCGCAACACGGCTACCAAACAGAACATAGGTATTGAATATTCGTTCGTCATCATTCCATAAATTAATCTATATTATTCTTTTCGCATCCAGTCTCATTGAGTGGGAGTCGTTCGCATCCTCGCAAAGCACTTGCTCCTCGACATCCGAGGAAAAGGGGTCGCTCGCTTAGCAATTCTTCCGTTCAACCATCTTGTCCCACCAGAACTATACGCACAGCAGCGAGTCTGCTCTTGAGTGTAACTTACTCATTTTATCGCACAATGAAGTGGGAATCGCTTTCGAAATATCTGATGTGTTGATTGCGTTGTGCTGTGGGTTGGGCGATGAAGGATTTTTTGACTGGTGCCAGAGAAGCTTCGTTCGAGGCGTGAAAGCGATGCTGTAGAAGGAGTTGAAATCCCCAAGAGCCCCGAAGAGGTTTGGGATGGAATTAGATAGTCTACATAGTATTAGACTCTTTTGGCGGGATATCCACCGGTAGCTAGAATCAATTTTGGAGGAGAGATTGCACATGATCCCGAAGTTTGTTTCTGTCCCGATGTCACTGTTTTATTCCCAATATCTAATCAATCTGTGAGGTGATATATTTATCATCGTGGTGATGAGAGACGTCTGTCTGTTGAGGTCGATGGTATGTGCTTGATTGAGGGTGTGCTTCGTTTTGGGTATGCTGAAGACATTTAAGGTTACGAATATTGTACCACAAGATATGTCCTCTGGCAGATGGCAATCGATGGTCGTTGATTCCATTTCTCCTTCGTTAGAGTTTTATCTGATGTTCGTGTCATTGTCCTTCTTCGTCCAGCTCAGGATCTTTCTCGGGCTTGGTTCAGTGTTGGGCTACCTATTCGAAAACAGAGAAGTCTTATCGACACTCTAGAACCCCGTAATGGCTCGTGGTTGGAAATTGGAGGCTACTTTTTGCGTTTCGATTTCTAGATCTGCTGAAGTGATCAGTAAAACTGCATTTAACGATGTATGGTTCGAGGACTTCTTCTACTTCAGAGCCTTTTCACTCAGCTGGAAATAAAAGTCGTACAAAAAACTTCATCAAAAGATGGCGTTGCTTTGATCGACCATTGGTATGATATATGTTCTAGAGAGGAGACTGACTTTGGATGTCCTAGATAACCTCAAGAGTTCGAAGACGTGAGCATAATATGACTTGAAATTCTCCCACTCCGGCGATGGCCGAGAAGTCACTTACTATATGTAATTCAAAAAGAGACTGACGCTTATTCACGCAAGGATATTAAAGGAAATCCAATGAGGGTGAAGACAGAGCCAGGTCAAACCAGCGGGGTCCTCGGGATTGTGCTTTGATGTCAAAATCCACTTCTTTGTATCCTACAGGGAAACCAAGACAACAGCCTACTCGTCGGCTATGCAAAGAACCCAGCTTTGGCCGACAATGATAATAACAAGTCAGCCAACGAGTAGGGGCCCTGAATATTCGTTCTCTTGTGGTCGGAGAAAGCTTCGAACACTTTGCATTTGCAGACCCGCGGTGGACAACCTGCCCATTTCTAGAGTGACTCTAAATTATAAAGCAGCTCAGTCCAGAACAGCTTCCCAATCCGCCCAAGACCAGCACTACATCAAAATATCAATCATCGAATTTTCTTCGGCATGCCCGAAGGATTTATATCCACTTAACCCCTGGCATGCAGCAGATCTCGCAGTAAGGTCCTTGGCATCTCATTTCTCACCACCCCGTACTACATCACCACGCCTTTCATGCCTGCAAGTTTCGGATTCACTTCCCCAATCCCCTTAATTTCTCTTATTAATCCCGGATCTGAAGATCCAGATCAATGGTTAAAGAAGAGAGTGTTTTGTTGCAGGTCGCACGAGGACCATGGAGTTTCCGTAGTCCGCGGGACTTGCGCGGGGAGAAGGTCCGAGGTCGGGTCGGAATATGACACTTTAGGCTTTGGCAAATAATAAAAGTGCTGGCACTTGAACAATAATACATCTTTGAAGGTGATTTCAAATATTTAAGGTTTATGTGTTGATATTGATATCAAGAGAGCCGTCATGAACGGCTGAGCCTCTTGCTTGCTGAAGCGAACATGCTACTAGGTATCTTCATGGCCATTTTGCGCTAGATGGCAGAGCCGCAGCTGTGGGAACGTGTGTCGGTTACGTGCTCATTTGTAGAGATGATTTGAGGCCATCTCACTTCGCCATGAAATCTTTCCACCTACCACAAAAACTCGCTCGTATACCTCAAGAAGGTCCGCCCTGAGAAAGTACTAGAAGGCTTTCGGGGTGAAAGTTTGGGCAGGTATTGAATTGATTCAGACCAATGGATATACTAAAATAAATATATAACACCGTGTGGCGCGGAAATCGTGTCTTCTCACATACCGTTTTATCAGCATAGCAAGCATACTGATTCGCACCAGAATATTGGAATGTCTGTTTTGACCCAGTTTCAAGCTCTGTATTCAGGCTCTAGTGCCCAGGATCAATTTCTGCATAGTGAGGAGCTGTACCCGTCTGATGACTCCCGGTCCTATTGTACAAATCCCGCCTGCCGAGCAGCACAAAATACAATGGTATTTACAGTCGTCGGATATACAAGTATTTCTTCATCACATCACCCAAAGATTACTCTGCATCCTTTCTTGTCGTCTCGTATCTAGACAAAGGTCAGTCATCTTGCTGTATGAAGCTTTCCATATCGTACCTCTTTCCTCTGAAGGCCCAGACTCCCCAATTACCACAGCTGATATCTTGAGGGTCCAGGTCATTGAGGTCCCACCTTAAGCTCCTGAACCGGTTCTCTCCTGGCTCCATAAGCATGTCCATCTCTCCACCAACAGTCTTCTTGACCCAGTCAATGTCTCGTTCCATGTCGTATTGCGTGTATCCTGTGACCAGGATGGGTACCTTGGTCTCTAATAATTGTGGAATGGTTTCTTCCCATTCATGTGAGCTAGCAGGATGTCCTAGACCAGGATGGAAAAGCATGAAGCAGTCAAAGTACGGATCGTAGGGGTAAAAGTGGCCTGCTTTGTGAAGAGTGTGATAATACTCAACAAAGGTGCTGATCTTCAGCGAGTTCGTCAAGCGGTCTTCGACAATCGAGCCATATGGATTCTCTGGAGTCCGCTCTGGAAGCGGAAACTCTGAATCCCTGTTTGCCATGCTTTCAGGGCCGATAAATATGAGATGAAAAGCAACTCTTGGGAACAAGTGCGTCAATTGCACCCAGACTTCTCTAGGCAGGGAAGATTCAGCACGGGCTCCAAGAATGAAGATTCGAACCGGTGGCGGGGTTGGTCGGAGGCCTTTGATATCTGCTCCTCCACCTGATCGTGGAGGATGAAGGGTATACCGAAGGGCTTACGATGTTAGCCGAGGTCCTGACATATTCCGTTGTATACATACCACTCAAGCTCTTCAGTCCCTCTACAGTTAATCGACCACCCTTCTTAATGTCGTATGGGCTCAATTCATGCAAGACACTTCCAATTGTAATTGGATATGTCAATAATCTCGTAGCTTGCCTCAAACTCCTTTCGTCATTGATAGCTCTAAACTCCCTCGAAAACAAAAATGTATCCCAATTGGTCATATTAACCATCGCTTCTTCGATCTGATCACCTGGGTATTCAAACTCAGGAAAGAAGCGGCCAGAACGCAAATCGTGATCATCCTCATTGATCTCTCTTAATGTATCACATATCTCCAAATGTGCTTCGTAATCGTCCACCCAATGCTCTTCACAGCATGCCACTGGTATACCACAGTCTGGACATTCAAAGCTTACATGCTTGGCTGGCATCCCCCCTGTAGCAGGCTTTCGTGCTTCTGGGTCGTCTGGATTCATTGGCAAACGAGTCTGGTGATGATCTGGGTGCGGGCAATACGCATTCTGTTTTATGAACGTGGCTCGTTTTCTAATATCTGGTGATGGAGATGTCGAAAAGGGGTGAAATAGGTTGTTTGGCATAAGAAGAGGTCGTCCTTCAGTCTCAGGAACTGGAGTCGACTCTAGCCCACCTGGGCTCCGGTATTCTGGAGGTTCGTTCTTGACGGTCTGCCCCCTTTGTCCAACTGATGATACTCCTCGTGTTCCTAGAGGTGACTGAGACGTCGCCTGTCTAGTTTGCAGACTTCCATCAAGCTTTGTTCCTGGCTTTTGTGCTGTAGATATGCCCCTCGAGCTTAACTGCAGTCGTATCGATTGGGATGGATGTTGTCGAGTGCGAGACACAGCTCTGATCGCTGTCAGACATCTCCGGCACGTGTAGGAAGCTGAGTTGTGCATTTCGTACTTTGAGAGATCCTTCGATGATCTGAAAGCTCCGAGCTATTTGTGGTGTGAGGATTCAGGAAGTTCCTCAAAAATTAGCCGCTAGCCTATTGTAGCTAGACTACGGTAGAGCTATATCAAAACTTTTGGAACCGCAGAGCTGCCTATGATTTTTCACTGACTCGATGTGATTTGGGTTGCACCAAGCTGCGTTGTCAGCTATTGCCCCTCAAACTTTTTGCGACAGGTTGGGAAGGTCTAACAACACGGTCGAGTCTGCGCAGAATTTGCGCGCCCTACGAGCATCATGGCGACGGTCACATCTTCCATGTTCATGTACAGCTTGACGGTCCAGCCACCAACTGCGATCACTCAAGCTATACTCGGACAGTTCGCAGGAACAAAGGAACAACAGATTGTCACAGCATCAGGATCGCGTCTGACCCTCCATCGACCAGATCCATCCCAAGGCAAAATCATCACCGCCCTCTCCCACGATGTTTTCGGAATTATCAGAGCCATTGCAGCGTTTAGGTTGGCTGGAAGTAACAAGGGTAAGTCCTTCGATCTATCAATTTGAGCTTCACTTAGTGATTTGAAGCATGGATGGCAGCGCGAGATATACCACCATGATCGTCACCAGCAGCGAGGGGTATTGGACATCGGGTCTTGTGTAAAGAACATGGCTAAACAAAATTGTGTTAGATTATATTATCATCACATCCGATTCTGGCCGCATAACGATCGTAGAATTTGTACCCGCGCAGAACAAGTTCAACCGCCTGCATCTAGAGACATTCGGAAAGTCTGGGATCCGAAGAGTTATACCAGGACAGTACTTGGCTGTTGACCCGAAAGGAAGAGCTTGCTTAACTGCTTCTGTGGAGAAGAACAAGCTTGTCTATGTCCTCAACCGAAATGCGCAGGCAGAGCTCACCATCTCCTCCCCTCTCGAAGCACATAAGCCGCAAACTTTGACTTTCGCACTGGTCGCTTTGGATGTTGGATATGCAAATCCTGTTTTTGCAGCGCTCGAGGTAGACTATAGCGAGTCAGACCAAGATCCTACCGGTCAAGCCTATGAGGACATCGAAAAGACTTTGGTTTACTATGAACTGGATCTTGGTCTGAATCATGTCGTGCGAAAGTGGGCAGACCCGGTCGATCGCTCTGCAACAATACTTTTCCAGGTTCCTGGAGGAACAGATGGCCCAAGTGGGGTTCTGGTTTGTGGAGAAGACAATATCACATACCGCCACTCGAATCAAGAGGCTTTCCGAGTCGCAATTCCTCGACGTCGAGGTGCCACCGAGGATCCCGACAGGAAACGAACCATTGTCGGCGGAGTTATGCACAAGCTGAAGGGTGCAGCCGGTGCCTTTTTCTTTCTCTTGCAAACAGAGGATGGCGATTTATTCAAGACCACTATTGAAATGGTTGAAGACGACAATGGCCAGCCTACAGGCGAGGTCAAGCGTCTCAAAATCAAGTATTTTGACACCGTACCTATCGCCACCAGCCTTTGTATCTTGAAAAGCGGATTCTTGTTCGTTGCCAGCGAATTCGGCAATCATCAGTTTTATCAATTCGAAAAGCTAGGCGACGATGACGACGAGATCGAGTTCATCAGTGACGATTTTCCAACCGACCCAACCGAAAACTACACACCCGTGTATTTTCATCCGAGACCGGCAGAGAATTTGAGTTTGGTTGAGAGTATCGACTCAATGAACCCTTTGATGGACTGCAAAGTAGCGAATCTGACTGAGGACGATGCTCCCCAAATTTACTCGATATGCGGAACTGGTGCTCGAAGCACTTTTAGAACACTCAAGCATGGTCTCGAAGTCAGCGAGATTGTAGAGTCTGAGCTTCCTGGTGTTCCATCCGCTGTCTGGACCACAAAGCTCACTCGCAATGACACATTTGACGCTTATATTGTCCTATCCTTCTCAAATGGAACATTGGTGCTCAGCATTGGCGAAACCGTTGAAGAAGTCACCGATACTGGATTCTTATCTAGTGCACCTACACTTGCGGTACAACAACTTGGTGAAGACGGTTTGGTCCAGGTTCATCCCAAGGGTATCAGACATATCAGGGCTGATCGCCGGGTTAATGAGTGGGTAGCTCCACAACATCGATCTATTGTTGCTGCTACGACAAATGAACGACAAGTCGCTGTTGCTCTCAGCTCTGGTGAAATTGTGTATTTCGAAATGGACACCGATGGATCCTTAGCTGAATATGACGAGAAGAAAGAGATGAGTGGCACTGTAACCTGTCTAAGTTTAGGAGAGGTGCCTGAAGGTCGTGTGCGAAGTCAGTTCTTGGCTGTCGGATGCGATGACTCTACTGTTCGCATATTGAGTCTTGACCCAGATTCGTGCTTAGAGAACAAATCTGTCCAGGCTCTAACGTCTGCACCCTCAGCTCTGTCGATCATGGCGATGGCGGATTCATCCTCTGGAGGCTCGACGCTTTATCTTCACATTGGCCTTTACTCTGGTGTTTATCTGAGGACCGTTCTCGACGAAGTCACAGGAGAACTTTCTGACACACGCACACGCTTTCTTGGACCCAAACCCGCAAAACTCTTCCGTGTCTCTGTCCAAGGTCAAACTTCAGTGTTAGCACTTAGCTCAAGACCTTGGCTTGGCTATTCAGACCCTGTCACCAAAGGCTTTATGCTCACCCCTCTCAATTATCCTGGTCTTGAATGGGGATGGAACTTCAGCAGCGAACAATGCACGGAAGGAATGGTGGGAATCCAAGGACAAAATCTGAGGTACGTTGCAAAATCTTCTTCTCCAAGCACGAAAGATACTATGATGATTTTCTTATCGTTAAAATTTCTTATGTCCAACGTGACAATGAGGATTATAAATTATTCCAATTGTTCCTTCTGAAGTATCTCCTTCTTTGCGTACCATTTGGTTTATTACTTTTAGCTTGTGACTAACACCGAACAGGATTTTCTCAATTGAGAAGTTGACCGACAACTTACTTCAAGAGTCGATACCACTCACCTACACACCTCGTCGCTTTGTTCGACATCCCGAGTTTCCCCTGTTCTACACAATTGAATCTGACAATAACATTCTATCCCCCGCAACCAAGACCAAATTGTTGGAAGATCCTTCAGTCGTCAATGGAGACGCGGCCATTTTACCTGCAGAGGAGTTTGGTTATCCACGAGGTCGAGGACATTGGGCATCTTGCATCTCGATTATAGACCCTGTTACCGAGAAGGCTGTCCTTCAAAAAATCGATTTAGACGATAATGAAGCTGCGGTCAGTATGGCAGCAGTTTCATTCGCCAGCCAAGACGACGAAGTTTTCCTGATCGTTGGTACTGGCAAAGATATGATTGTCAGCCCGAGATCATCTACCGCAGGATTCATTCATGTTTACCGATTCCACGAAAGTGGCAAAGAGATCGAGTTTATCCACAAGACCAAAGTTGAAGAACCACCAATGGCTCTTCTCAGTTTCCAAGGTCGATTACTAGCTGGCGTTGGCAAAGACTTGCGAATCTATGATCTCGGAATGCGACAGTTGCTTCGGAAGGCCCAAGCAGAAGTTGTACCAAATCTGATCGTTGGTCTCCAAACTCAGGGAAGCCGTATCATAGTCAGCGATGTGCAAGAAAGCATCACCATGGTTGTCTACAAATTCCAGGAGAATAAGCTCATTCCGTTCGTCGACGACACTATCGCTCGATGGACAAGTTGTACTACGATGGTAGACTACGAGACAGTTGCAGGTGGTGACAAATTCGGCAACTTATGGATTCTTAGATGCCCTCCAAAGGCTAGCGAGGAGGCCGACGAGGAAGGCTCTGGTCAACATCTGGTTCATGAACGTTCATATCTACAAGGTGCACCACATCGGTTGAATTTGATGGCTCATTTCTTCCCTCAAGACATCCCTATGAGTATCCAAAAGACAAATCTGGTTGCTGGCGGCAGAGATTGCTTGCTATGGGCAGGTCTGCAAGGCACTCTTGGCATACTAATACCATTCGTCAGTCGTGAGGATGTGGATTTCTTCCAGACATTGGAGCAACATCTCAGATCCGAGGATGCGCCTCTAGCTGGTAGAGATCACTTGATCTATCGAAGCTATTATGTTCCGGTGAAGGGAATCATTGATGGGGATTTGTGCGAAAGATATACCCTCTTGCCCTCAGACAAGAAACAAATGATTGCTGGCGAGTTAGACCGCTCCGTCAGAGAGATTGAGCGGAAGATTTCTGTACGTTTTGAACCCTCATTGATACCAATAAAGATTTTGCTAACAACCAGTAGGATATTCGGACACGTTCGGCATACTAGTTTGGCGTTGGCGGCTTTGTGGTTTGGAGTATGTGTATGTGTATAATAAAAGGTGCGTATTTGCACCAACACGACGGACATGATCAGTCCTCGGACTATGATACAGAAAAATGAAAGTCATGAAACCATTTTTGTCTCTCAAACAACATCAATCATCATGATCTCTGACCGGTGAACCTTCTCTTTCCAACGTCATGTCTCATCCTCCCCTTTCCATTCTTAGTTGCTTCTATAGGGTGTTCCTTTTCCCATCTTTCGTCGTCTCTATATGCTTCTATAGCAGCATCAATGTCATAATCGACTTCTTGCAGATAAATCAGTGCCACATCATATCTATATTTCGGAGCAAGGCTATGTCGTTAGCCACAGTTCAGGGGAGTGGATTCTCCACTTTCTCTTGGGAAATGCTGGGCCAACGTACTCGGATACTTTACAAGCAACCATCCACCTTCTCACGATTCCTTTTCGCCTCTCCTCTTCCTCGCCTTCCACTGGCCGTGGACTTAAACTCACTCCTCCTTTATAATATTCTCCAGGAATTATGACCGTTCGTCTGGCCAGCAGTAAATGGTCGGATGTGATATTGTTCGCTCTTCTCAGCGCTGCTATTGGAACGCCGTAGCGGAAGGACAGAGAGGTCATAGAGTCATGCTTGTGATCTAGGAAATGGAGAACATCTTCAGCCGCTTGCGAACCGGAAGACTTCTCTGCTGGTGGCGTTTGTGGATTTGTGAGTGAGGAATAGCTTGGAAGCTCGTCCGAATACCCAGGTGGAGCTTGGGATAAAGGGAAGGGTTTCGAAGACGATGATGGAGGAGTATAAGAAGGCGGATCTCGAAGGCCTTGTGGCAGAGGAGAAGGTGTTGTAGAAACTTGACAAAATGGACCTAAAGTTGTCAGTGGCGGCACGTTTCATTGCAAAGTATATGTCTTACAGTACGTAGCAAACCGGGAATTGTCCTACACGATCATCAACATTCCAGGGCTCCAAATGTCATTAGTTTGAACCCTCACTGCTATACAGTTCCCGCATACAACTCTTCCGCAACAATCTAACCGTCGATCGAGGGCTTTAGGCTTCTCACTCTCTGAATCGTATTGAGGCAACACGTCTTTAAGGAGTTTTGCGCATGTACAGCAACTTTCTTCCATTTTCGGGTTATTGTACGTTCATGGGATTCCGGTAGGTTGTAGAAGGGACGATCTTTCGTCAAGGGCATGTGGATAAATGATTTCAAGACGATGGCAAAGATACATAGGAGGTACTTGTTGGAGTGTCCAATCGAGAATGCATGACGCTGATGCCTGACTTGCAGGAGTCTTATCGCTCGTGACGTGCGATAAGATGACCCCGCCTTTTCCAATGAACGACGTTCGGCTCCGAACTTTTTTATATCCCATTCTTCAGTATGCATGCCAAGAGGGAATTGGCCGTCGAACATCCGTACCTGATCCGACAACTCAGAATGCTGGGATACTAGTTTGTCGAAGAACAGAGTCTAGTCTGTCTGTGTATCTCATCGAGTCGGCGTGGATCCACAATGTTGAGAGTGGGCTGGACTTTGCTCTTGGCATGCGCCTTCGAGCGGAGCTATACAATCTCTGCTATAGCAACATTTCCGATTCTGAAGGATAGCTTTCCAAACATTTGGCAACAAATTAAACCCCTTTCATGATGCATTTCGATCACCAACGATCCAGTTGGAAAGATAGACTCTTCTTACTCAATGACGATGCCAGTCATTGTAAGACGATTTTAAAGACCTTCCCGTCTGGCTCTCTTATCTTTCGTTGTCCACGGGCCACTCGGGACTATCGGGCAAGTCTAAAATCTACCCAAGAAGGTTTGAGAGTGGGGTATTCTATTATATACAACTGTAAAAAACTTCAACAATGATATCTACCCGATGGGTTGTACTAGAATGGACTTTCACTTAGCCCAATCTTCCTCTGGAAAGGCTCTGCTAAGGTATATAAACAGGTGAAGTATCCTTCCTCGATATTGTTGCTCTCAGATTGCCCAGAAGATCCAACACATCGTTACTTTCGTTCAAGATGTTCTCACTCCCCGCTTCCCTCTTAGCATTGGCAGCTGTGAGCCATGCCTCACCTATTCTTGTTCGGGATACCAACGACACAAACCCATTTGTCTTCACCAATTATAATGGTCTCAATTTTACTCAAATGAACACCACGTTGTCCAATGTGACCATCTTCGCAACGGGTATGAACATTCTACTGCTGTCGAAAATTTACTAACCTCGCTCCAAAGGTGGGACAATTGCTGGCTCAAGCGGAAGCGCTCTTGCAACAACGGGATACACAGCTGGCGCTGTTGGCATCTTGACTCTAATCGACGCTGTTCCCGAGATTCTCAACGTTTCAAATGTTGCCGGAGTTCAAGTATCCAATGTCGGTTCCGAGGATGTCACTTCAACTTTGCTCCTAAGCATGTCCAAGCAAATCAACACTTTCGTCTGCGAGGACCTAACCATGGCCGGTGCGGTGGTCACTCATGGGACTGATGTCCTTGAAGAAACCGCCTTTTTCCTTGACGCAACCGTGAACTGCGGAAAACCAGTAGTTGTTGTCGGTGCTATGCGGCCCTCCACCGCAATCTCTGCAGACGGACCGTACAATCTCCTCGAAGCCGTTACCGTTGCAGCTTCCCCTCTATCCCGTGATCGAGGAAGCATGGTTGTTATGAATGATCGTATTGTTTCCAGTTACTACGTCACCAAGACCAATGCGAATACCATGGATACTTTCAAGGCTCCCGAGATGGGAAATTTGGGAGAAATGATCTCCGATACTCCATACTTTTTCTACCCACCTGTTAAGCCGACTGGAAAGAGGGCTTATTCAATCATGAATATCACGTCTATCCCAAGAGTAGATATCTTGTTTGCGTATGAGGATATGTCAAATGATACCTTGTATAACGCTGTTGCTAGTGGTGCAAAAGGCATTGTCGTAAGTACTTCCATCCGCTTCTGTCTACTTCAAGATCGCTAGATCCAAAACCGACATTCTCGACATAAGATGTCGGGTTTCTTGCTAGATACTTAGTATAACTTAGAGCAAAGCTGACTGTTTCTAGATTGCGGGCGCAGGAGCAGGCGGTGTGAGCACTTCCTTCAACTATGCAATGGAAGACGTGATCAACAACCACGGCATCCCAATTGTTCAAAGTACCAGGGCAATGAGTGGAGAGGTCCCAATCAGTGATGTTTCCAGTGATACTGCCTTGCACATCGCAAGTGGGTACTTGAACCCCATGAAGTCGAGGATCTTATTGGGGTTGCTTTTGGCGCACAATAAGAACATGACAGAAATTGCGGATGCATTCTTGGGGTCGACTGATGATTAAACAATTGGTGGAGGATATCCGGGATCAATCACGAAACAGTAATGAGTAATCTTAAGAGATGAAAATAAAAGTACCATGATGATACAAGGATTCTGCTTAAGTTGGTATCATGACTCTGTGAGAGAAATGAATTAGACGTTGGGAGGCGGAAGACCAAGCAGATCCTTTTTAATTCGTTTTTCAAAGACCCAGACAGTTTCTTGCAATTTCGTCGTATTCCTTATATAAGTGCCCGTGTGGTGAAGTGAAGATAAGATACATTGAGCCGATTAGAGAAACGCAGGCTCAGGGGTAGCGAACTTCAATGGAACTCATTGTAACACATGACACCATTTGCAAAATTGGTACGAATACACTTACTATCACAATGGAGTATTGCTTGATAATTTGAGAAAACTATCTTTCACAAAAATGTCAAATCGTCAAAACTTGTAAGTTTTTAACAAACAGTTGTGATGATTACTGCTTCTGGTTCTAACGCCTCCTCGCTCTTATCGACAGCCGAGGTCCAGGCTTATCAGCACCGCTACAAATATCAGAATTCCTTCGACTCTTCTCAAAAACAAGGAGCCTGTAATGTCACTCACAACCATCTATGTCACCCGACATGGAGTAAGTCTTCCCTTCAAATGCAAAACTCGCCTTAACATTCATCTCAGTTCCGATCAACCTGGTCCGTCGACCACAAGAATGGCATTTACTCCTCCAGCATCAAATCACCAACCGGAATTCCTAATGACCCAGCCCTGACCTCCTATGGAGTCCAACAATCCATCGAGCTTGGGGAACATCTAAAAACAGTTGATCCACCAATAGAACGTATCTACTCAAGTCCCTACTACCGCTGTCTCCAAACCATCGATCCCTTCGCTGAGCAACTGTCCACCACCACCGAGGACCCAACTACAGCTCTAATCCGTCCCGAACCCGGGTTAGGAGAGTTTTTCGGCCTTGCTGATTTCCTTCATCCCGTTCCTGCTTCACCGGAAATTTTGAAGAGACATTTTAAGCGATTAGCTCCCTGGACTCCCTTGATTAAACCAAATGAGAAAGGAGAGTCGATAGAGCAGCTTCATGAAAGAGTTGCTTATGCAATGGCTAAGATCATTGAGTATTCTGAGAAAGAAGATGTAAAAGCAGTTGTTATTTGCACGCATGCTGCGGCTGTTATTGCCATTGGGAGAGTGTTGACAGGTGTCATGCCTGAGGATATTACAGAATCAGATTTCCATCCTTTTACGTGTAGTCTTTCGACTTTTGTGAGGAGGAAGAAGGAAGTCATGGGTAGTGCGGTGCCCAAATTAAGGTCAGATGGCGGTATTCCGAATCTTGGATGGAGGAATGGGAACGGCATTGGTGGTGGATGGGATGTGGTTGGAAATGGAGATTGTTCATTTTTGTCTGGAGGTGCGGAGCGCGGATGGTAAGAATTCTTTTCCCTAATTTTGCTGAATAACTGACTAATTCGAATAGGAGCTTTAATGGTGATGAGTCGTTCATACCAGAGGAAGATCCAGATATGATGGATGATCCACCAATCAAGTCTAACTTATGACCGATGAGAAGAAGACTTTGAGAAGGTGCCCATCAAATAGAGTAAGATTCAATCTTGGATATGTATGAGCAATATCATGATTGATTTGGTGAAGAGTGGGAGAGAGCTATTGATGAGGTTGTCATTGTTGCTGGTTTATGAGCAGCCAGAGCCAATTTGGGTAGTCGATAGCGTGGGAGACGAGAGAAATCCATATCTTGAATGTGTTTTGGGAAAGGTAGAGTGAGTGGAACGATCATTTAAGAGAAGAACGAAGACTTATACACATCTCTGCTGTCGTGTGACTTTTCAAATGAGCGAGGGGTGGATTGATCTTGCCGTTGATGCACCCGCTCGCTATATCAACCGCTATGTTGTATCTTGCATCACCAACCCTCCACTAATCTCAACATCCACTACAAACACCTTTCCAACGATCATCGACCAATCACTCAGCCCAAGACTCATTCTGAGGCGTTTCGTTTGTAATCCATCTCAATTTCACCCATTGCTGTGCTCTAGCCCAGGTAACTTATTTCATCGATATCTGCACGAAGTATTTTGTTGTTAAGAAAAATGAGACGGCACCGGAATTTTCGAGCCGCGTAGATTCTGTGATGGAAAACCTGAATGTCAGTCCGGGGTTTCGGGTTGTTATGGTATCACTAATTCTGGATCCGGTATGGTTTAATTTGGGCTGTAGAAAATGGTGATGATGTGGATTCGGATTGTTTCTTTGGCTTTATCTGTTTCATTGAGTGGATGTTAATGCTTCCAGCCAGAGTAGAGAATCTCACATTTATTCTCTCTGAAGGTGCTGGTCAGTCTTAACTTGGTAGCTGTCACATTGGATCACGGAGGAAAATAAGCAAAGGTTTGGAAATCTTGATTCGGACTGTCAATTTGTCCTAGTGCATTCGTTACAAAAGACTCCCAGAACTTATCTTTCATTCATTATCCCCCGGTGTATTCCTTCAGACTTCGATCAGAGGTTGTGCAGGTGCTGCAACATTCTCCTGTTGATTTGGTTGATTATCTCCAGATTCGCCAGTATGTTCCGAGCCAGCTGTAGTACCCTCTCCATTTCCTTCCGTGTTTTCGGTATTCTCCACTGCATTGGCAGCCTCAGCTTCTTGGATCAGACGTTGTCGCTCCGCTTCTGCCGCATTTGCCTCAGCCTCACGAGCCGCAATGTGTCGTTCGCCGACGCCAGGAACCAAACTAGCAAGGAACAACAATAGTGAATGCTCTGCTCTGCGAAATTGTGCCATGAGCCAGCCTCTATCAGCTTGTCGTCTCTCTTGAAGCAGTCTTACAGCGACCTCGGCAGGATCGGGCTCGGTTCGTCTACGACGTGCTGCTGGATCATCTGCCACGGGATCTTGACCTGGTTGTGCTGCTTCAGCAATTGGTGCAAGAGGTACTACTGGAGCTCCAAGAGGAATCAAGCCCTCAAGATGTCTTCTGATTGGACCCCATAACTGCTCTGCAGCACCATTGAAGATTCCAGTGTTAAATAGAAAGACAAGAAATGCGAGGCCGCTGACCATCAACCATCGTGTCCAACTGGGATTACCAGCAGTGAAGAACCACACGAAACCAACCAGGCGAACGATCAACCAAAGCATAGGACCAACCTGTGCAGCCAGAGCTCCAGCGCCTGGATTCCCATGAGCGGCATTTACGGGCTGTAATGGATTTGGACGCTGATTCCGTCGAGCAGCACGGCCTTCACGACCTTCGCGGCCAGCGGGTCGATTGCGAAATTCTGGTAAACCAACTGGCGCTCTGATGACTTGACCTTGAGCACCAATTGGTGAATGTCGTCTACTTGGACGAGGTGTGTAAAAGGTTTCTCCATTGTTCACCAACAGAGCACGTGGCCCGTAGGGTGACGAGAGGATGTAGACTGTAGGTTCACTGGAATTTGACGAGGTAGACGTCGAATTACCAGCTTGGGCAGATGCATTTATATTGGGAATGAGAATTGTGGACGCCGAAGGCGAGCTACTTGTCGTAGCAGGGGTTGGGATCGTGCTTGGAGTTCCGGGTCGAGCAACCCCCGGCCAAGTAGTAGAGGAAGGATTTCCTGCCTGGGCCGGAATGGGATTCGAGGCACTTCTTTGCATGTTGTTTTGTGCACCTTGAGCTGCCATGAATCTATCAGCATTGCGCATAATGGCTTGAACTTCTAAAGCCGGATTTGCATGAGGGCCTGCATGGTGATGATGCTGATGCGGGTGCTGCAAAGGAAGCGTAGTCGTTGTCTCGTTCACAGTAATATGGAATCTTTCTCCGTTAGGCCCAACACCTTCACGAGTATATGTGGTGGTATGGTCAGGCCGATGTATGTTTGGCGAAGCTCTTCCTGAAGCCGATTGGGGAGGCATGTGAGGAGTATGTGTGCCGCCATCCTGAGCTCCATGACGTCCATCTCCTGCTCGTTCTTGCTGCCGCTGATTAATCAGATTCTGGAGAGTCTGAGGTATGGTTTGAGCTGCCATGTTAGGATTAAGTGACGTTCGAAATAATCCTTGATGGGCCATCGGATTCTGGCCTAATGTAGCTTGCTGACCGTTGAACAAAGCTGGTTGGGTTCGAGCTTGGAGGATGCTCATTTCCTGGTGGAGACGCTGACTCTCCTGCTGCAACTGTGCTAGCCTTTGGGTCATGACATGGTTCATTTGTGCCATCTGATGCAGTGCTTGATTTTGTTGCATTTGCTGAAACCCAGGAAGAGGTTGTTGGCCTTGCATTCCCGGCAAGTTTGGACCTGGAATTGCTGGTGTTGATTGTGGCCGATTGATCAGTTGAGGAACGAGCGGTGGGTTTGGTATCGTTGGAGGGGCTTGAGTCGCAGCTACAGCAGGCTGCGGAGGGTTATGTGAGGTTGAAGCTTCTGGAGCTGCTTGACGTAGTACCAGATGCAGATTCTGAGGCTCTCGAGTTGCAAGCTGAATAAAATCAATGGTAAGCTACGCACTTTACAGAATGTGGATGTTCCATACAGCTTCTTTCCCAAACACATCCGTCATGGTTGCGTTCTCGATAGCCAACATACGACCGCGGTATATGATCCGTTGGTGTTCATCGACCGGCTTCGAAGGCAGCTCATCTCGAATCTTGGCCTTCAGTTGCTTGACAGTAGTGGTTACAGGCAGGTTGGAAAAACTGAGAGGCCCGGAATTAGGAGATATTATCTGCAGAGTGAAAGTCGAAGACTCTGATTGTTCCTCTCTCGTTGGAGCATCGGACTCAGCAGATCGCTCTGGTGATGAAGACATGCTGAAGGTTGTTGTTGGCAGGGTTATGGAGCTTCGAGAAGAGAGGGGAAGTTTATCGATACGGTCACGAAAGCATGATAGAGACGAGATTTCACAAACAAAAGTTTGTAGGGCTGATTGAAGACAGCCACGGTAGCAAAAAGAATGTCAGAATCGTGCCCCCAGATAAATCTGTCTGTCGATGTGTTCAGTATGTACCAAGGCGGTGGAGGTTGGCAGTACCAACCCATCGGGTCACTATAAAAAGCAAAACAAGTCGTCATATCGGACGGAGGATCTACGACAGCTTCATGGCTTCTATGTTCGATCACTCAACTAATAGTCGAAGCAGAATCCCTTCATTATGGCTTTCCAGCTAGTAGCAGTATATGCAAGGCCGCGTATATTGTTGCAATGCCAGGCTTTGCCACGACTACCCACACTGCTATCCCAATCACAATCATCGTGCATATGCCGCTGTCATAACTCTCGACTATTCTCAGCGTCCTCAAGGGTGTATCGACAGAAACCCGAATACAAAGAGTCCTTCGGCACACGTTTAAGGAGGGCTTTGGGCGAGACGAAGATAAAGTGGTACCCAATACCAGTTGGCTTAGGCATTGGCTTTCTGGGCCTGCTGCAGTTCTATCGAATCAACGAACGGGAGAAAGCAAGGAAACGTGACGAGGAATTGGAAGACGATGGGTATCTGAGAGCAGTCGGATCTGGTGGAAATGGAGAGCATGGAGGGCGACCGAAGAAGAGAGAACGGATAAGACCTACAGGACCATGGTTTGTTCTCCGTCACCTACTCCTTCATAATTGTCCTAATAAGTATCAGGCAGGTCCAAGTCATGTCGACTCTACCGCTCAAAGCCATGTCCAGGCTTTGGGGAAAGTTCAATGAGCTCGAAATACCCTACTATTTGCGCATTCCTGGTTTCAAGCTGTATTCATTCATTTTCGGCGTTAAGTAAGCTTTCCCCTGCATACATCACTCCCAGCTTCAACTAAGCGTACTACAGTTTATCAGAAGTATCGGAGCCCGATCTTCATGTATACCCCAATCTCGCATCTTTCTTCTATCGAACTCTAAAGCCAGGTGCTCGCCCTCTCGATCCCAACCAGAATGCGCTTCTCGCCCCAGCAGACGGCCGTGTTCTGCAGTTTGGAACCATTGAAAGTGGGGAGGTCGAGCAAGTGAAGGGTATGACATACAGTCTTGATGCCTTACTTGGTACCGACCGACCAGGAACCTCGCCAAATCCAGCCGATCCAGCAAGAATCTTTGCTTCCAAAAATGATGCTTCTCAACAGAGCTCGGTCCCAGGAGGCGACGGAGATGAGGAGGTTATCAAGCACGATGAAGAATTCGCGAGGGTCAATGGCATTTCATATACCTTACCAAATCTCTTCTCAGGTCCACCTCAGAAACAGCGCAGAAAGGCCGAAGATGCATCCACCACTCCCAAGGCAGCTTCAGAAGCTGAAGTCCGAGCCGATCTCGCCCTAGGTGACAAACCATGGTATTCTCGACTTACATCGGAAAACCGAACTGCATTATATTATGTTGTCATCTATCTAGCTCCTGGTGATTATCACCGCTTTCACTCTCCATGTGCTTGGGTTGCTGAGAAGCGAAGACATTTTGCAGGGGAGCTTTATAGCGTCTCGCCATATCTACAGCGAACCTTACCAGGACTTTTTATTCTTAACGAAAGAGTTGTACTCTTAGGACGGTGGCGATGGGGCTTCTTCTCATACACACCGGTCGGCGCAACCAACGTTGGCTCAATAAAGATCAACTTCGATAGAGAGCTAAGAACGAACTCCCTGACAACCGATACCGCGGCCGATCGAGCTGCAGAAGAAGCCTCTGCACGAGGTGAACCTTATAGTGGTTTTGCTGAGGCGACTTACGATGGTGCAAGTCCCCTTTTACATGGCCATGCATTGAAGAGAGGCGAGGAGATGGGAGGGTTTCAGTTGGGAAGTACTATTGTACTAGTATTCGAAGCACCTAAAGGACAACGGCCTAGTCTTGACGAGGGTTGGATGGGAGAGAAGACCAAGAGGAAAGGAGGCTGGAATTGGGCTATCGAGAAAGGCCAAAAGGTCAAGATGGGCCAAGCTATTGGATGGGTTGATGAATCATGATAACATGTAAGACTTGAGTGTGTTGATAATGACTGAAGTTGCATATATAACAGGCGTCTACACATACATGTAAGAATACTTAACCCAGCTATCTCCGAATTTCATGCCGGCAATTGCGGTGGCCAATAATGTAAACGCGTTTGGTCGATAAATCTACAAGTGTCACATTTCTCCATGATTTTGATCATGCGATGAGTTTCAATGAGAAACCTGTATTTGATGTCTTCTGTAGTCTGTTGATAATACTCTCTATGTTGAGTTCCGAGTCAAATGAAAGTGGTGACGTCGAGACTAGTGTTCCCATCTAGTGGAGAATGGGCCACGAAGCTCAAATCACAACTCCAATCATTTCTTCATGTACTTAGCATGATTCTCGTCGTTTCATTGAATATTTGATTTCGAGTTTTGTGGATGAGGATAATCAACATCTATCGAAAGCCAAATCAACAAGCATCACCCAACTTTAATTAAAGATCAAAATGTCGAGCTACGAATCTGTACTATCATCACTCTTGCCTCCATCTCAACCACACATATTCAGTTCTCTACCTATTTCTCCTCACAAGGCACTCATACCATCACAACAGATATCGTCCCTCGAAATTCACCCCGTTCTCGAATCCGCTCTTCACATCCTGAATCTGGATTTACCATCAGCGCATTTCTTGCTGCGTCACATGCAAGCCGATCCCGTGTTCGAAGCCATGTATCTTCACGGCATCCTCCATCGTGTGGAAGGTGATATTGATAATGCTAGAGCATGGTATTCAGACGTCAAGGATCAAGATGTGTTCAGAGCTGCTTGGCCAGGGAAAAACGGATTGGATGATGCTGTGAAGTTCTTGGGGAGAATTGAAGAGAGGAAAGTTAACAGAGGGAAGAGGGATGAGATGGAGGATGAGGAATTAAGTGCGGAGAGTTTGAGGGAAATGAAGGCTGTTATTGGATTTTGTGAAGGGAAATTTGGGACGGAGAAATTGTCGGATGCGAGTCAGGTGTGGGTCAGCATGAGTGAAAAAAATAGGTACATCGCTGAGAAGATGATCACGGGTGGGGAAGGCTGGAGGAGATTTTGAAGTCCTCGTATCTCTTGCTTTTGGTTCCTATCTGGGATAATGGACTGACAGCTTCAGGCACTGCGTATACATATTATACTAAAATGTTATGTGTATCGGCAGCACCGAACTTATCATGTATAACTGGCGAGAGACTCAGCACTTTCCAGTCCCAGATTTCGATATTGAGAAGAACTGCAAGAACTCTGACGCTTTACTGGACTACCAGGAGACGCATAAAGTCTCAAGTACTTACGGTTTGAGGGATAAGATGGTGAAGCCAGACGATCCGATAACTCTACCTCTGCCTCCGCATCTGAAAGCTTTTCTTGAGGCGCATGACTAATACATTACAGTTGAGGCGAGGAACTTGAGACGTGCTAAGTAGAAAAGACGAGATCATAACACTGTCTTACTTTCGAGGACTCTTACAATTATCTCATCCTGCTGAGACTAAAGCATTGAGCGAATGTTTTCTTCTTCCTAAGTATGGCCTTCGAGTAATTCAAATTGGTTCGACCTGCCCAGACCTAGCCTTCCCATATCGATCTCTTCTCCAGAGCCAGTGTTGCTGTCGTCTCCATCTCGCCACGCCGATGAAATTTCCGCTATCTTGCCAGCAATGAACTCAGCACCAAGTCTGGCACCTTCGAGATTTCCAGCTGCTGGTCCAAGTCTCAATCCCCCGAGCCTGCCAGTGACGAATAGAGGCACTTCCTCGTTCTACATCAATTCGTTCGTCAAGTATGGCATTCTACCTACAACTTCAATTGGACATTCCTCTAGAATGGGTCGAATCGCATCCACAGATCCAATATTAGCAGCTTCACCAGTGGCGTAGATGACTTGGTCAACAACGATATCCTGAACAATTTTATTCCTGTCGGATAACTCCAAACTCCATCCACTTTGCTTCTCATCCCACTTCCCATCTCGGATGGTTGTCCACTACCACAATCGCAACTTTTCTTCTTTAACCAGTCTTTTGACGATTTCTCTGTATTCTGGATTAAGGCTTCCTCCTCCCCTGGCCTCTTTCATCATTTCCCACCGTTCGTAGTCTTCATCCGCTTTCCAGAATCGACTCATACTTTCATTCTTGTACTTTGCTAACCAGCAAAGATCTACATCAAAATGCTTGGTTTTGAGAGGGCCTCGAAGGATGAGATGAATCTTCGAGATATTTTGATATGAGGCAACCTGGGCAATCTGGGCGCTGGTGAGACCGCCGCCGATGATAGCTATTGTCTTAGAATGGCTAAGTCCTGTAAGAACTGGAGGTGGGAGAATTGAGTCAGAGTTAGGTGGAAAACAATCAAAGATGTGTCGCACGGCTGGAGTGTTTGGAATATTGTGAAAGGGCGAATCGAAGGGTATCCGAGGTTCCTGACCAGATCCAATGGCAAGGATGGCAGTACGTGCCTCCTTTTTGCCAGTGGAGGACTGGACAGTGAAGAGGGTCGTGGATCTATCATATGAAATGAATAAAACTCGAGACTTCTCGACAATGCCCGAAAGACCGTATCGCTCGACAGTCTCTTGACAATAGTCTCGAAATAGTGCCTGGCTTGGACGGAAATAGTCTTGTCGATTCCGCTCGTCAATATAAGTCGCTTCTTGAGTTCGTTTCCTAGAACACTTTTAACATCTAGTATCGTTATTTGTGACTGTGAGCTTACCCTTCTCTTTGCTTCTTCTTCTTCCTGTGATGCTTACTCAGCTCTTTGCCCACAACACCCTGGATCTCCTTCAACTCATCCTCTCTCCCATTCATATAAGCAAAAGCCAACAGCCCATCCTATCCCTCGGATCAGGATGAAAGAACATCGGACTCCTCAAATGACTAATATCCAATGCTTTGAATTTCTCATTCCAAGCACTCATCCACGAATCTCCATTAGCGTCGAGAACTTTGATATCCAATCCATGATTGGCAATACAAGGTCCGGACACGAATCGGTCTGTACCAGTGTCCAAACGCCGACTGGTGCGAGTAGGCTTGGATCTTCGTTGAGTAGACGATCGAAGGATATGAAATCTTCTGTGCTCGTTCTCGGTGAAGAGTGCTGATGGGAAGGGCTCACAAAGGCGTGCAGTAACGGCGAGACCACAAGGCCCAGTACCGATGATGAGGACGTCGTGGATAACTGTGTCCTCGTCTGACATGTTGGTGCAAGTAACGCAGAGAGAACAGGGAAATGAGATGAGAAGAATATATAGGGTATTCTATATATCTCGACTTACAATGGAGAGTATGGTACCTTGATGGTTATTTGATCAGGCTAAGCCTTCACGCAGCCTTCACGCAGCCTTGAGTTTCCTTGTCTTATGCTCAAAGGCAAAAGTGGACCGCGGCTTTCATGTCCATCACCTTGATGGTTCGAATCGAAGCTCTTTGACTCTCACGTCTTGTACCTGCCACTGACGATTTGGACGTACGTACCTTTGAGTAATCTGGCCAGCTTGGCCACTTCATTATCTATCTACAATCATACATTATCGATTTCCTAGGCCTCCACAGAAGGTCCAGCAGCATCAATCTTCCCAATCAGATCTGCGGTAGTCTTCAGATTCTCTGCGCCGCTTAAGGCCTTCGCAATCATCGTCTCGCTACGTTCTCGAACAATGCGCCTCAAAGAACTGACGAGGAATCCGGATACTAATTCAACAGACCAATTATCAGGAATTAAGCTCAGTACATGACCGATGTCGAACCAGCCGCCGAACCGCTCGAGCAAATTACTGGTCTGTTCGATGCGGTTACTGATATCTTCAATCTTCAAGAACTCCGATAATAAGTATCCGAAAAGCTCGGCCTGCTGCTCTCGTGAAGGGAGGCTCTGCCTTGCCACTGTGCCGGAAACCGGATGGTATATGCTTGAGCCACCTAGGAGACAGTAGTTGATTGCTGTGTCATAGTCCCCTAAACCGTGAGTCAACAGCCGAAGGGCTTCCTCATGATGAGATTGCCTCCCATCAAGAATGATGATCTCAGGAACTAATTCTTGGGTATACAGAGCTATTCTTTCGAGAATCGCAGCTACATCGTATTGCGATGCAGAGCCTTGACTACCTCCGAGAAGCTGAAGCAGTCGGAGTCGACTATGCCACCACTCTTCATCTAAAGCGTTGTCCGTAATGAACTGCCTGTACGTTGGTTTTGGTGGACGTAGAGCCCGATACGATTCATATGTCTGTGCCAAGATCGCCCTGGCTTCTTTTGATTGCTCCAGCTTCATGGTGACAATATCGAGATAGTATGCGATCAGTTCGTTGATATATTCCGCGTGATTCTTGCTGAACACTAGATACTCGAGATATTCCTTGACCGCACCTGGGGCGCCGCTTCGAAGAATTTCGACAACTTGAGTTGGCTCGAATTTGACTTGACTCTTGTCCTCCGCGAAGACCTGCACTCCTAGCTTTGGATTGCGTGCAGCTAGCCAGACCCCGTACTCCTGTACCAAAGCCGCATTTCGAATCTTGGCCAGATATTCTCTGACCCGTTGTTCACCGTCACGGAATTCTCTCCCTTCATCGACTTTACCTTCTACAATCCTGCGCCAAGTCGCAAGCACTTCCGCAGCCATCTTGCGGCTTTGGTAAAGTCGACTGAGAACATATAGTCGATTGTGGGATTCGAGTAAGGAAATAGCTCTCTCGAAACAATCTACGCCGTGATCAACTAGGTCGTAGAGTTCCGTTCTCACAGATCTTCCTCTGGGAACGCCAGCAGGGCTTGATTTGTCCAGCTGAAGAAGGACAATGAGAAGTGCTGCATCGACGCTCTTAAATACTTCTTTCTCATTGGCTATGCTGCCAAATCCCTTCTTCTTTCGCCATGCGGCCAGGAATCGCTTGAGAAACTGCAAAATGTGGTCCGACATGGCATTATCCTGCCTGGGATTCTCACTATTCGTGGAGCTGTTGGTGATGAAGCTGTCTGCTACATCCTTGACGCCACCATGTACCCAAATGCCTGATTTGCCTTCGATGATCTCGTTTCTGAGATATGGTAAGATTGCCAGAATTACACGTGGATCGAGACCACCTTCTAGTAGAGCGTCTTCAGCAATCCGGTACTCTGGTTCTGATGGTGGCCCTGCAAGTACGTCCAGTCCACTCATGAAAAGAAGTAAGCCCGCTCGTTGCCTGATGTATCCCAGACTCAGAAATTCTGTCTCTGTTTTCGCCTCTCGACCTCGAAGGCTATTGATTAATTCAACAAGTTTCATTCGGTCAAGAGATGGATAGGTTTTATCATCTCGAATCTTGCTCTCTGCCATGTCTGATATACTGGCATCTAACCTTAACGCCAAAGGATTTCGTACTGTCCACCAGATGTCCTTCCCAGACCAAGCAACAATGCGGGTGCGTGAATGACCCAATCTCTGAGCAAATTGCAGCTCTTCTTCGTTACGATGTTCTTCCCATCCTTCCGGCTGTGACTCGCCACTTTCGAAGAGCTCTCGCTCACCAGAGACGCGTTCCAGAGATATTGCAGTCCTCGAGTCTACACTATGCAAGGATAGGATAGACTCATCCATAGATCTTGTGGCAAATGGTTGGAAGCGCTTTAAGCGTAACTTGTCCACCACGTCCTGAAAGTAGAGATCTCCAGCATCGACAACAGAACGTAGCCCTATCTTAGAGGTCTGATCTTTCTCTCCTGGCGTGTCCAGCCAATATTTCTGGGTCTCCCCTTCACCAGGATCCTGATCCCAACGCTGGATCTCGATACCGTAACAAAAGCTTTCACCTTGGTCTCGGGTCATAGATGCAAGGATGAAGCCTTCTTCTTCATCTTCAATGTTCAGTGGTGTCGGATCTATTCCGAACCCTCGACCATCTGCAACAATTTGCTCAGGATATCTGTCAAACTCCAACGTTGACCGAGTGACATCTCCTTCGAGATTCACAAACATGCCAACACCAGGATCCCCCAGTCCGGTTCCAGTAACCAGCAAGAATTCCTGAGGGGATGGTGAGACAATATGCGGCTTGAGGTAGATTGGTTCTGGAGCCGGAGGGGGCGGAGGTGCTGTTTGCTCAGCGATTGTAGCTTCAGTTGCCGGTGGTGGTGGGAGTGGCTTGTCTCCGCTGGGACTGGGTTCTCGAGCTAATGGCCTCATTGGACTCCGCGTTGGTGTCGGCGAGGACTCTCTGAATAATCCTTCGGGTGTTTCTCTACCAGAATGATCTCCACTTGTTCCGCGCCCATGTCTTGAATATTGGGCGCTGATAAGTGTACTCAAACTGGTGCTTCTTGTATGACTCTGGGTATCTTGATGCCCAGATGAATAGCCTTGAGCCGATGACGTGCTTCTAGAAATCCCACCACCACTACTCCCAGATATGTCTTCAAACTTGCCACCAACATTTCCTGATTGTGAATCATCGAGAGATGAGATTGGAAATAGTGGAATCTTTGCTAATCGGTCAACATCGAGCAGGGCGTATGAACGTGAATCAGCCACGCAAGCAATTGAGTCTCTGCGAACCGATGTTGTACTGCCAGCAAAGTCAATCGTCTAAGAAATATTAGCATCTCGACTGCTATCGTATAAAAGGGGTTTCACTCTAAGACCACGAGGGTCTTCACTGATCTTGATAACCCGTATCTTCTTATTCAAAGATGCTAGCACGGTAACCGCAGGCTTGCCTCCATTATTATTCACATCCTTGATGTCTGTATTGAGATCAATGCCACCAATCCAATTGCATGATCGAATCTGAGTGCTCCCGAAAACAGGACTTAACTCGGGCAGAGAGTAGAATGTAACTGTCCAATTGCATAATATGCAGGCTTTATTGATTTTTGGGAGAAGCAGTATTTGCTGAACGCCTGGTCGTACTGAGGTCTGAGGTTCGTGGAAGGCTGGGGGTAGCCTCGAGGCTAGGATATAGGATGGCTGTCCTGAAGCATCTTCAGGATCAGGAGGGATTTGTACGAAGTGTAGGATCTCCGAGGCTGTTGTTCCAACGTATAAATTCTGGTCTAGAGGGTGTCAGTAGCTATTACAATGACGGACATTGCACCGAGGAATGCCCCTTCCCATGCCACTCAGTTACATACCTAGAAATTCTACGCAATTGATCTCGATGTCGTCTCGGTCTCCTTCCGCAGATAATGGCAGGTCTTGGAGCAGGCTGCGCAGGACGAAAGGCCCCGTCTCTGCTGCCGCGCGCTTTCTCTTCTTGGAGCTTGCATCTTCCACGTCTTGGGTCTCCATGGTCTGCAAAGTTGTTATTCATGAGGGTATCATCTTAGATACTGGAATTTGGGCAAGAGCGCGCGGCTGCTGCTTCTGATGCGCCGTATTCGCAATGTTGGTGGTGGGATGAGGCACTCACAAGGCTGCTATTTTAGGACTAAATTGACAGGCCTGTAACATATGTTATTACCAGCCTCTCGAAAACAATTATGTTCAACGTCGTATCTGAAATCCATATCCTCTCAAATTCACTCATGTATGTGGAAAATCTACACAATATATCTGGGAGAAAACTAGGCTACTTATTATGCCAAAATTGGAACAGACATTAAGTATTAAGTACTCGTATCAACACGGTTATAGATCTCACATCAAAAGGATCGAATTATCATTTACTCATCGAATCTCATTACAATTCAAATTTAATACCACGCACCAGATATATTTTCTTCTCAAAGTATGATGAGCTCTACGGTTCCTCCTTTGACATTTCTCGACTTACTGTTAACGAGAGTCTTAACTGATTTGTTATCATGAGATATCTTAGCAAAGGAGGGAAGCCTTCATATCACTGTTGCATCATAATCTCTATTTGATTCATGCCATTAAGGCGAACAATTGTATTACAACGTCATTTGGAGATGTGAAGCAGGAAGAAGCTATAAAGGAATCCACCGTATAGAAACAAGAACCAGACGCGAAATGCGCAAATCCCACAAATCGCGAATCGCGCACACAGCGCAAGTAGCAACGAAGTATTAGACAAGCTCAAGAAAAGCATCACCCCTTGCCGATAGCTCAAAAAGTACCTTCCCAAACTCAAATAAAGAGATTCGTCAGTCATTAGTCGTTCCTGTTCTAGGACAGTCCCGTCATTCACTCAGCACTCTCCGTGACTTTGTTAGTCATTGCCGCCCAGATCTCGTCCATCTTCTTCTCAGCTTCCTCCTGGCTTGGAATCTTGCCAATCACGAATCCACCTGAGCGGAAAGACTCATCTGGGATAGCATCCATAGCTCTACGTGGAGAAATGGACATTACTCGATGTGTTGGGTGAATGATCATAGGATCTCGTCCACGGCGTACATGCACATCGGGAGAGTATGAGCGTTCGCGTTCGTAGTATCTGCGAGGTGGGCTCCGATATCTTCTTGGGGGTCCTCTCATATCGAAGTCTCTCACCCAAGGATCTGCCCTCCTATATGGTTGACGTCTCACTCCGGTGTTGTTGACTTTCTCGCCTCGAAGGGTCACAAGCCAATCAGTTGTCTTGGGATCCTTGCCCCATTTCTTAGAACAACTGTATGCATGTTTCTCTTTTGGTCTGACTGCAACTACTTCCCAGATCGTCTTGGCATCTTCGTGGTTCGAGGCATCCATGCGGTCTTCGAGGAGTTGATCGACGGCGACGCCACCTTTCTTGGGGATGGCTTGGATGATTTTCTTCATCATCTCCTTGTGTTTGGCGGGCGACAGATCTCCGGCAGCATACTGATGCTGTTCCTTCAATTCAGCCTGGGTCCTGAACTCGGCATCTGCTCAAGAGTTAGCACCGCGAGACACTGGGTTATGAGGAGCTTTCAGAGCCGAGAGTGGCTCAAATGAAGATGCTAGTTTGTCCGCAACTAGCACGAAAGCGCACGGGGAGGGACATCAACATGAATTGAAAATAAGCTTACCAGTTCCCCAATATCCTGCATCCTCATAAAAGCGAGTCAACTTGATCCCAAGGAACTTGATGCTGCTGTTGGGGTTCTTGATTGGCTCATTCCACCTCAACAACCATTCTTCGTAGATTTCGTATGGCTCTTGACGGATGTCTACCACGGATCTGCAGATTCTGTTAAACATAATATCATGGCATCTGATAAAGAAGAGGCTTACGAAGTATATGAGCGGAAAGAATCATAGCTGCGGTTGCGTGTGTGATTGTCCTTACCCACATGAACATTTCTACCTCGAGGTTTTGGTTCCGCGAAGAGAGTAACATCGCTGGCATCATCCGCGTCTCTGAATGGGGGTGGCTGAGGGATGTGCACTCGATGTACTCTTTCCTGCCTCTCCCTCTCCCAAGCAAGCTCTTCTTGTTTTGCTTGCTCGGCCTTTTCGACGCTATACACGATGTGGGGTAGAAGTGCAGTCAAGTTCTTGAGTTCGTCCGATTGCTCCTGATTGAGAGTCGTGCTATTGAGGTCGTTAGAGCCATTGTGTTTCAATTCATCGCACAAGAACGTACGTTCTGCCAATGTTCTTCAAGATTATGTACTTGACGATATCATTAAGCTCAAGCAGGCTATCTCGAGTATCGTCCAAGCTTTGCCAGAAGTCCTTCGCTTGTTCTTTACCTCCAAGTGACACAGTGATCAGAAGCCATGGGTCAGCTTCTGCGGTAAAAGATTGGCCACCAAGATTTCCATCATTCTTCCATACACCCGAGGAGATTCCCTCGTTGATCAAGACAAGGAATCTCTCGAGGTGGTATCTTGCGGCCTGGCAGATGGGATGGAACACTTCGTCTTTGATGCGGAAGTCTTGCTCGTACTTATTGATGGTAGTACCGAGTTCGGTAAGTGTTGTTGTTGTGAGGGAAAAAGTGGCGTAAAGGTTCTCAAGCCTGCGATCCTGCACCTTTCGATACGTGATGAACTTGGTGAAGGAAGTTATCAAAGACTGTCCGGTCTTGGCAACCTCGAGGACAAAGTCGCCTGGACGTTGAAATGGAGTAGCCATGAGCCCGATTGATGACAATTGTCTTGAAGTTTACTAGTACTTCTCGTGACGTTTTACTCCAGTGGTACAATTGAGTCCGGTGAAATAGAATAGAACTTCGAACGGATTGCTAATGCTACTGATATATATCTTTGCCCCGCATTGTCATAGAGCTATGCAGCCTAGAATTGAACCAATATCTCAGCCCATTTCAAGGCACCAGCAGGCATCAGCACCGACTTCTGCAAACCAAGTACTTGAGACCTTATCTCCATCATGCCGCTTCTCGGACTGTTCCTCCAATGAAGATGGTGTCCCATCATGCAAGACATGATTCTTAAGCCTCAAGCCCAGATATAAATCGGTCATTATGCATGAGCCAGTTCGCCTGAGAGTTCGCCTGAGGGATCCAGACGGCAGTCGAAAGCAGATTGGCCGTATTACATGCATCAAAATGCGTGAAAAGTGTTCATTATTGGGGGCTCCTCATGTTGTGCAGATGCAACTAGATACTCGGTGTGGGATTTTAGTCGAGACACGGCTTGTAATGTTCTTGGCACAGCCGCACCACGTGAGCTTTAGAAAATGCTTCTGATGACCAGAACAAGTCACCGAAGATCCCAGAAATCTTTTGAACTCAAGGATGGGATGCTTCTGGAACCGTTGTCGGGAATGTATGACCATGATTGTATGTAGGAACCAAAGGGGAGAAGTTGTCTCACCGATATATCCGAAACACAAGAGCTGTATTAGACAATCACAGTCTCTGCTCATCTTCAGAGGCTTGTGTGATCTGCCATAGATATCTGACAATATGTGGGCTATCATTTCGGGTGCTGTCCTGGTAATGAAGGATGCAATGAGGATGGTCCGTACAGACGCATGAGACTCCTTTCAGTGCACCAATTTAGCTACGCCAGGGTTATATGCTGCAAAGGATAAATGACAAATGTATAGAAACAGATTTCGAAATCCAAAACTTAAAGGAAGGACCAAAGTCAGAATGTAATAAGAAAAGGGAGAGCAGTCTAGACTTAGAAATTATCCTTGGGAGCCTTGGCTTATTGCAGGACATCTCATGGCTCAAATCAATGGTCTTCCGGCAATAATGAAAAGAAATATTCACCATCTTGGAATCCTCGACTCTGACCCCTTGACTATAATTGAAATGTAATGTACAGAAATGTTTGAATCATTTTGTTTTCCACAGAGTCCGAAAAGCGATGAAGCTCCCGCAAAGACAGGGATGCTGATTCGCCTAACGTTACCCCAAGCTGTTCCTGAGTGAACCTGACACGTTAATAAAGCTACGAACAAATTACTTCAACGACGTTCGATCCATGAATTTATCTGCGAGCTAGTCACCTAGCGGGCGTGGATTACAAAGTCTCCGACTGATGAATACACTCTAACAATTTCACGGTACGATGGCGGACTTCGCAGCAGAAACAGCATTGGCAGAGGCCGCGAGTGCCCCTTCGATCACGGCGCACAATGAAGCTTCAGGCCACGATGGCGACAACAAGTTTCAGAAAGCAATATCGGCGTGGAGAAGTGGGTTTCAAGTCACTCGGGGCTTGAAGTCGTGCTGACATTTGAGCAGACATTGATCTTACCTCCATGATCCCATCCCTAGACAACACAGCTTCCGAAATCGTACAATACCAGCGCGACTCGACTGTGCAGCGGAAAGATTTGGCACAGAAGACGAAGGACTTCCGCAAACTCGATGACTCTGCGAAGCTTGGAGAGATCAAAGGGCTTCTGAAAGGTAGGCAGGTTTCCGGACAGCAGCATGCAGTAGCTCACGAATGTGTCAGCCTACCAAACCTTCATTGACCTCCTCACGAACCATTCGAAATCTACGAACTCAGCATTCCTACAAGTTTACTCGTCACTATCTGAAGCACCAGACCCATACCCGTTGCTCGAAGCCTCGGTTGACTCCCTTCTGCTGTCTGAGGATACGTTGCCGAAGGTCACACAGGAGAATGAACATCTCCAGAAGAGCGTCAGTAAGCTCACGTCCCAGCTTGAAGAGACGGAATCTAGGTTGGAATCCGAAAGGGCGGCCAGAAAGACCCTGGAAGAGGGCTTAGAGACCAAGGTCAAGGAAGTAGAGAGTTCTTGGGCTGCTGTCGTTGAGGAGAAGAAAGATAATTGGGAGGCTAAGGAGAAGCTTCTTGAAGAGAAAGTAGAGAGCCAGGATCGCCTGTTGAACGAAATCAAAGCGAGCTACGAAGTTACGCAGAGGCTCGGAGAATCAGAGAGTGCTGGAAGCAGCGGCCATGTCACAAGCGCAGAACTTGAGATGGTCAATTCTGATCTAGAGAGAACAAGCGTGCGATTGGCAGAAGTTGAGGCCCGGAACGAGCAATTACGAATCGAACTTGCTCAGTCAGCGTCTCAAGTGCCAAGCCAGGCAGTGGTGAACCTCGAGGACGACCCATCTTTCATGCGGATGCGATCAGAGAATTCTTCCTTGATGAGGAAGCTAGACGCAGCTCGTGTGGAGAGAGATGCAAGAAAGCGCGAATTAGACGGAAAACTGCGGTCCCTTGAACGAGAAATAGGCATGCTCAAGGGAGAACGTGATGCTCTTAAAACGAAAGTGCAAAACTGGAGCGACTATGAGGATGTCAAACAAGAGCTTGAAGTACTGAAGAGTATCGAGTTTTCGACAGGTGATGACGATGACGCAGAATTAGGAGACGCTGCAATGAGCACTCAGACAGCCCTCGAAAACGGTTCCTCCGCGAAAGGGAAGGGTGATACCTTAGAACAGCTCTTATTGGCTCGCAACAAGAAGCTGAGTGACGAGTTGACTATTTTGAGAGTTTCTCATCAAGACCTACAAAGCCGACTTCAGTCGATGCAGGAAGAATTATCTAAAAGTAACTCGGAACTTGAACGAGCGCAGCATCTCAATGCGACTCTGGAGAACGATCTGGCCAATGTGCATGACACAGCTAATGCTTATCCATCTGGAGCGTCAGTGGCTGGCACCTTTGTCAGTCGCTACCCCCAATCGTCAGCTCGGAAAGGACGAGTCTCTCCAACTTCTTCGATTATTTCGGGTTTCGACCCACGATCGTCCATGGGTGGAACTACTCTTGAAGCCTTGAGATCTGGAGAACCAGTTGGGGGTGGTTCGGGTATGCTTCCCATGATCATAGCCCAGCGAGATCGCTTCAAGAAACGAAACACTCAGCTTGAAAATGAGCTATCAGAAACGCATCGAACGGTATCGTCGTTACGCCAGGAGATTGCATCTTTACAAAAGGACAATCTAAATTTGTACGAAAAAACGAGGTACGTCTCGACATACAACAGGGCAGGACCGACATCGTCCTCTGCATCCGCATATGCAACAAATCCAAATCCATCTACAATTCAGATGTCCAACTCGACTTCTTCCGGCCTTGCATTGGATCGATATCGATCAGCGTACGAGTCGAATATATCGCCATTTGCTGCATTTAGAGGGCGAGAATCGGCTCGAGCATACAAACGCATGAGCCTTCCAGAAAGAATAGTATTTTCTATCACGAGGATGGTTTTGGCTACCAGGACGAGTCGAAATCTATTTGCGGGGTACTGCCTGGCATTGCATGTCCTGGTTTTCTTTTCATTGTATTGGTTGACTACAACTGACGTGGAGCAACATGCGAGCAATTTAGGCCAAACTGTGGCAGCCGCTGCTGCGGGGCAGGCTGCACAAGCGGGAGCAGATTCATCGTCACATGGCGACTGGAAACAGGCAGGATTCAGCGAGAAGGGATCTTGAGAGTGGAAAGACTTGTATTATGTGTGACAATAGAGGCCTTCGAGCCGAATTTTCCTGGTTCATCTTCTGTCCGCTGCTGCGATCTTGGAGACCAAGACGCCCATTTGGACATCTGGTTCTGGAGTGAGGGCATTGATTTCGACAGACACAGGAAACACCATCCGGCCTCGACCTGATTGATCGCTGTTGTTCAACAATCGGACTTGGCGGTCGGTGATACCCAGGAAGTTTCGATTGAGTCAAACACGACATCCGGTATTGCACCAGCGCTTATTGTTCATGTCCGGAAATGATTGAATTCATCCTCGATGCAGCGTAGAGATAACTTGCCTCTCGACTTTGTTGCCTCCGTTAATTCTTCCTCGCGTTCTTTTCTGCTGTCAGGAACTTCGATACCGCTCATCCGGGCCGTTCATCTAGAATGCGTATCGAACACCTTCTTTACCCAAGGGTAAAAGACGAAATGCACGCCTGATTGGTCACAGAAGAGCCTCAAATCAAATTGCGCAATGCCCAAAATATACCCGTGCTAATAAATTTACACATCTAAGCGCCCGGCAGCTTGAAGCTCCAGGATCTATTTCGGGATGACTCCGAGTAAGTCTCACCCAATAATTTGCAGACCAACGACGGCGACTGGAGCAATCGCGTCTATTAACCTGTTGCAAGCGTCTAAGTATCGATCTGAGCTTCCATCCAACTTGCAGAAGAGGGAGGTCTACTTCCATAGGCGCGCAATATCGCGAGTTCATCGATTCTCTTGCGCGTGTCGCGAACTTTAGGAGAGCGAGCGTCTCGCTTAATTAGGGGGTCAACCAATGAGAGCTTGTTCAAGATCATTACCAAAGCGCTGCAGCACGATATGTACTCGGTCATACAAAGTCTCAGTGTGGAGGTACAGTACTGTACATGCGTGGATCTTGACTCTGATATGGCCTTGCCCTCACAAGGCAAGTCTCTCTCTTCCCCGTCAGAGAGCAGAAATCCAACATGAACCTCCGCTTTCTCCTGCGTCGGAAATGTTTACAGAAGAAAACGAGCAGGCTGAAGTGATCGGCTTGACAGCGTTCTGAGCGAGAACGATTCTCGTCTGAACCTGTTGTGTCCAGCAGATAAGGAGAGATCAACTGTTTGATAGTCTGGAGTCTCTCCTCCTGCTGCATCCGAGACATTTCATGTTTCTTTCCGTCGACTGCCCCTCGCGCCTTGACCACGACGACGCTCCCCCTCATGATTCGCCTGCCAAGCGGGCGGCCCATGGGGCGTTTATTGTCTTGTGGCCAGTCCAGGGCCGTAACGCGGACTCCACTGAACCATTCGAGCGACGAGGGCGCGCAGGGTTGCCCAGGGACCGAGCTCGGCAAGAGACGAGCGTCGGTTGATCGCAGAGAGAGTGGCTCACATTAGCCGGACAGGGAAGCGGATGGCTGGCAGCAGCGGCAGGGATGCGCGCAAGGGTTCGTTCAGAATAGCAACATCCCGGTCGCGCTTCGCTTGGTTGGCGCCGCCATGGCCTGGATATTTGCAGTGCGGCCTGCAAACCGACCCAACCTTCCATATTCTAATTCAAGGATGGCCGAGAGATTGCCCACACTCCCGCCAGACAGACAGCTGTATAAGACCGTTTGAGGTTCCACCGGTAAGCCATCTCTGATTATCTGTGCGCTCGCCTGTCATCGACTGTCTTCGTTTCCGTACTTCAGTTGATTCATCCCATCCCATCCCATCCCATCTCATCTATATATCTTGGGCTTATCCTTTCTGTTTTCGTGTTGGGTTTTCTTTGTCCGACTCTTCAACCTCAACCTCCTCCTCTCTTCTCCTCCTCCGCCCTCACGCCTCCTCCGCTACCTCTTAATACCTTTAATACTCCTTTTCAACTCCGACTTCTCATCATGTTCTGCAAAACGTGGGTCATGTCGGCGCTGTGCGCTGTCGCCCTGTCCGCTCCAACCCTCACCTACAATCCCGGGGCCGTTGAACGACCTGTCGAAATGCAAATCTTGTCAGAGTATTTTCAGATGTTAGGAGATAAGGTGCAGGCTGGAAGGAGCATGTCAGAAGCACCTGTGTGCAATATGAACAACGCAGTTTTACCAGTTGCCTGTGAGGACCTCCCTCCTCTATACCATCTGTACAACCTATATTGACTTTCTTCTTAGCACCAACACCTCTTCCTCCCCCATCCGCTGGACTAAGCCTCAAGCACGTCGCCATCGGTCGAGGCACACAGAACTACTCCTGCGCAACCGGCAACCAAACCGCAGCCCCAGTAGCTCTCGGTGCCTTGGCAACTCTCTACAACGCAACCTGCATCGCATCCACTTACCCCGATCTCCTCTCTATTCTCCCCAACGTCGCTTTACAATTCAACCTCACCTCCCCCGACCAAGCTTCCCTCTCTCCATCCAACCTCGCCATCTCAGGCCACCACTTCTTCTCCAATACTACCACCCCAGACTTCAATTTAAACACGACAGCTATGGACTTGGGATTCGCGCCTTGCTCTAAGAACAACACTGTCGCTGCGCCTACAGGAGCACCAAAGGGCCAAGGAGGCGTAGGAAACGGAGCCGTCGCTTGGTTGAAATTGGTCACAAGAGATGGAGCTACTGGCGGTCTCGAAGAAATCTACCGCGTCAATACCGCAGGTGGAAATCAACCCGCTACATGCGCCGGGATGCCGACTACGTTCGAGGTCCAATACGCTGCTGAGTATGTCTTTCCTCCTTTTCATTTGAAACTATTACAGTAGTTAACAATTTGTTTCAGGTATTGGTTCTTCCAGAAATGAAAAGTCCGCGAGTTCGCAATTTACAGTCTGCATTTCCGGAGCAGGGACAGATAGAAAGGATAGGACAGGACAGGACAGGACAGGGATGAAAGGATGAAAGGATGAAAAGCTTCACTTCACTTCATACAACGCCCTAAAAGCCCACAACGGGCAGGCACGGCGTTTCTGGGGGACTAGGTTATCTTGACACAGACGAATGATCTGTTATCAAGACATATATTTTGTGAGAGGGTTAGGATTTTTGATGGGCAGGGATTGGATACGAAAGGGAGGCGAGGAGACTGGATCACCTACCTAGGTATAGCAGGACACCATTAATGCATAACTTCTATTCAGTATCTTTGGATCCGAGAAGTGGGCTGTGCGCCCCGGTTCGTGTCACGGTGAACCATTTTCCGAGCCGTCGGAACTTGGTATCTGATTCTACAATGACATTCTTTGAAGCAAGAAACGGTTTGGTAGGAGAGATGCACCAATGAAGAGGGCGTTATTTCTAATCCTTCTCGTCGTGCTTGGTCTTGGAGTTGGAGAGTAGTGTTAGAGCGCGAAACTTGCTCGCTGTCATTCTCTTTCTTCATTTCGTCGTGTTGTTGCATCTCTTGATACTTGGCATCAGCTGCACGACCATTGATTCCATTCCATCCCATCCCCCTTTCTCGAACCCCATCCCATGTCGAAGTCTCGACTCTCGCTTCATAGTGGCGAACGTTGGATCCTAGCGATAATCATCACTCCCTCTCGTGTCCTCGGAGCTTTGGAATCCTGAAACGTGAGCGTGCACGGGGTTCACCGTTTGATCTCCAGGAACGGGGCAGGGATTAAGCGAGTGGTGGTGCGCTTTTAGGGATCGTGCACAACAAGGCTGAGACGTGGAGTTCTTGTTTCGAGGGGAAAGGAAAGGAAACATTTGGGATTTTTGCTCTTGGAGGGGGGCGGGTTGTGGAGTTTTCTTTTTGTATGCAGGGGTTGCACAGTGCATGGAGCTCAGCATGGGGTGTGGAGAATATCATTTGATTCCATCTGGATTTGTCAACTCGTCTTAATTTTCTCCCTGCTGAAGTATTCGGCTTCTAGTGCGCTGACAGATACTTTTAGATGGTCAGTGACAGTCCCAAGTTTGAGGATGCGAGCCGTTTGCTTGGAATACATGCTTTATACATTATGCCAATCTTTGACGTTGTGTTGGCAAATGCCCACGAATGAGCGTTCGCCTAGCATGATCAGGAACTTTTCCATCTGATCTTTCATTCTGACCTGTGCCTCCGCCCAGCATCCGCCTCTAGATTTATTGTGCGCGAAGATCTGGTGCCTGGCTCGCTACCGTGAGAAATCCAATTTTGCATTTGATGTGCTTGCTGCTTGTCTGTGGCGAAAGCGGCGAGAGTCATTCGTTGTGCAGCCAACCAAACTGTGCATCTGCGGCGAAAGAATGCTTCGAATGAACATTATTCAGCAGTCAACCCTTCCTGAATTCCGTGTTGGTAAAGAATTGAAGTATTACCAGCATATTGAAAGGGTCCTTGCTTAATTCCTGATGCGTAGTGGAGCATCCAAGATAGAGGGTGCTCCTCCATTAGTCTCATGGACGTACTTCGAGGTACCTTATTCGCCCTGATGTCCTGGGACATTTGTCGAGGTTAGATGAAAGAGGTGTGGCCGCACTGTAGATGTTGGAAATGTCAACTCGCCACCTAATCCATGCATGTTCAACGTTCGGGCAGACTTCTATGAGTTGTCTTTGTTTGAGCCAGTTCCTCAGGACTAATGTTGGAAAGGTTCAAACATGATTTCCAATGCGGCTAGCAGTATTCCAAAGCAGATAACATTCGCCACCGTTCAACAACGTACCCCAGACTCTTCCGTACACACACCGAATGTGGCAGTCTTTGCATCCTGAAGGGTGCCAATACAGCCCACTACAGCTGACACTAGAGAACTATGGTAGAGCACTGACTCCAAAACTGATCACAATCCAACAGTAACGTGTCCCAAGTTGTATACCGCGTACATAAGATACAGAGTATGATCTACGGTAGGAGTAACTTCCATCCGAGGACAGGGTTTCGCAACACGAAGGGAACTCCTGTCCTCCCAAAACTCAGATACTGAATGATTCTCCTGCATAAAGATTCCACTTGGGGGCGACATGCAGACATCAAAGGAGAAGCGAAGTATCATCTTGCTGACAGCATGTCAGCCTCGTCAGGAGAATGTTCTGTCCCTGTTTCAAGAATTCGCCGCTATCTCTTGACGACTCTTTCGGATAATAGGGCTTTGAATTCTGAGACGAGAGAGCATGCAGGTACATGTCTGTGTGTAAGTGTGTTATGTCCAGGGGAGGGAGATCTTATGATGGGCGGAATCCTAGAGAGTTCGTGGATCTGAAGTCCCCCTAAGCTTTCCTGGGACGTTTCAAGAAGGGATGAAACGAATGTGTCCGTGGGGTGAAGGTTGCGGATAGATGAATTGGGAATGTTCTTCGTGCATTCTTAGTCTAGAACACACGGTAATGACGACGGTAACACTTGTTGGTTTTATCGCGTCTAATGTAATTCCTTCAAGGTGCGAGGGATGTTGGAGGCAAGGATGAGGATATCAAATTCTTGGAGTAGGAAAGGTCACGTGCTAGATGCGCTAAGCAATAATTGGTCAGTCGCGTCACTTCGAAGTAAATATCAATACTCGAAATCGACATAAGGGAATACACGACTCTTGTGAACAACTATTGCTATTCCATTGCTAAGGAACACATCCCACAAATAATAATGAGTTCCTCCGCTACATCAGATGTCACATTGTTGACAGAACATTTCACATACCGACCGACTGTCTGTTTCTCAGTGCCCCTCTGTTTGTGGTTTGCGCGTTACTGACTTGCTTCCCAGGCTCTAATTGACGACATAGTAAACTCAATCAATGTCCTAGCATTCAAAGCGACAGAAGCCGTCGAGAAAGGCCTTCTGGGCGCAAATCCCAGCGACCTTGGCTTCAAGATCCCCCCTCCTACCACCCCCGAAGCGCAAGAAGCCGGCAGAGCAATTGCAGAAGCAGCAAAACACGAGATTGAGAACGGCGTGCATCAGCTAGAGACCCTCCTCGAGACTAAAATAGACAGGAACTTCGATCGGCTAGAAATCTTCGCGTTAAGGAATATATTGAGCGTGCCACCGGAAGTGAGGGATTGGGTGCGATTAAGCCATTACGAAGGCTTGACCTTTACGCAGGATAAAGATGCGCCGAATTCCGAGAGTGTTACGCTTCTGAGGAAGAAGTTGAGAGAGACGCAGAAATTGCATGCCTTGCTGAGAGCAGAGAAGGCGAGGAATGAAGCGACGATCAACGCGCTGAAAGCATTGGTGTTGAATCAGGCGACTAAGAAGGAGGATGTTGACGGGGAAACTTATCCTGCATTTGCGTTCTTGCAGAATAAGGGAGAGCTGATGGGAGATGGCAAACAACCGGTTACAACCACTGCAGAGTTCACTTTGAGCCAGGTCCCGTCATTAAAAAGCTTGTTGGACAACTTGGAACCCAGACTAGAGCAGCTGGCCAACGGAAATGGAGAGGAAGGGCTGGTTGGCGAGGATCAGAAGAGTTGGCGGAGGGAGAGACTGGAATTTATAGAGAAAGAAACGCGTAGACATATGGAGAATGTTAGGGGCTTGGAATTAGGAGAGATGGGCGAAGTGAGAGACGGAGAATGGCAAGGAGAGGGTAGGAAACTCGGGAAAGGAGAAGTAGAAGATTTAGAACGGGTGGTTAGCATGGTGGGTGGTGATGGGGGCGACCCAATGGAACAGGATTCGTGAGAACCTTTTTGTTGTGGGTTTTAAGGTGGCGTTTAGGGTATATACCAGGAGGCACGGTTTTGTAAACGGATCACATCGGGTTATGGAGAACTGTGTTAATTATGATGAAATGATTCTTGTCAATGTTACAACTACAACTTAATGGTACAGCTATATTAGCCTACACAAAGAGAACACCACATCGAATATGGAGTGTGATACTGCCTTTCAAAATGATACACCTGTGCCTTGTTCATTGACAACTCCCAGCTCGTAAGCTACTTTCCAGAAACGATGTTGTCCTTCCTTCCCTTTCTCATCTGGCGACAACGGTCCACCGGTCTCAACGATTTGGTCTCGTACCAAAGCCTTCGCTACTTCCCATTCCTCGTTCCGTGCCAAAGCGTATAGCAAGTCTTTCAACGCAAGCCAACTCACACTATTATCCATGCTCTTGGCTTTCGCCACAATTCTTAATGCTGCAGCTGTCTCGCCAGCTTGAGAGTAGCCCTCCACCACTCTGTCCCAGAAAATGTGATCTGTGCTGCCATGAACCATACTCGCTCGCTCAACCGTACTTCTGACGGCATCCAACTGAGGAGGGTCTTGAGCAAAGTAGTACTGGACCAAACTGGTATAAATGTGTGTAGATGGCTCGAGGTTTGACTTTGCCATCCGTTCCAGTACGATATTGACCACGGTCATATCCCCAGACGAGCTTTGTAGCAGTGCGTAGATAATCTTACCATAAGTGTGCAGGTTCGCCTTGAGGCCGGCTGCTTCCATCTCATCCAAGACGCTACAGACCATTTCTTTTTGCTCCTCGGGTGACAGGTCAGCGGCGAAGCGGAATGTTTCATCAAGTAAGGTAGTAAATGTTGTTTCGTCTGCTTCAATGCCTGCATTTTGCATTTGTTGGAGTAGCCCCATTGCTTGCTGCGTTTGGCCAGTCCGAAGTAATGGGTAGAGGAGTATGTTGTATGTGTTGACATCGGGGGATATTCCATAGTTCCCAGCCCAAGCCAGAATTTGAGACGCATACTCTTTCTTGTGATGTCGAAAGGCACCTACTATAGCTGCATTGACTGTCTCGATAGTAGGCTTCACGGCACCTTCTACTTTTCCGATTTTCTGTAAATTGTCCATAGACATTTTCGGGTATTGTTTCTGGGCAGCGTCAAGCCAGATTCGGCCCATCTCATCCAAGGCACGAATGGCAGCATCTAGCTGATGGCAAGCCATGAGTCCGCTTATCCTCGTTGTCCAACAGTAGTTATCTGGCTGTACTCTAGCCGCTTGCATCTTTCGCCATACTCCTTCCAGTGCCGCATGATCTTTAGCAGCCTTGCAACCAGACATCATCGAGTCCCAGGTCTCTAGGGTGGGTGTCATCTGGTTTTGAATCATGTGGTTCCAAACATCGATAGCACTATTTGGTCGCCGAAGTGCCATAAAGACCAAGATGAAATAGTTGCAGAGAGCCGCTGAAACAGTCCCTGACTGTAATGTGGTGTTATTCTCTATTTTCGTATTCACGGCTACCGGCCATTGTACAACATCAGACCATAGTTCGTCTACTTGATGGCGATTTTTAGTTCTGAGCGCTTCATGGAGTCTTTTGTTGACGAAGCTTATGCCTCTGTTAAATCCCAGCTGTGGATTTGTGAAGATCCGACTCGTGTATTCAGGTGAATCAGAAGTCGTCATTTCAGCAGCCAGACTTTTAATTTCAGACGAGTGCCTTCTGATGAATGGTGCTATTATCTCGTCTTGGCCAATGGCGTCTTCACTGCTGACGTTCAGACCTGGCACGCTAATAATGCGGGCCAGGGCCGAGGTGAATCGAGCTGAGTCCCCTTGGAGAGTTTGGACGATGGCCGACCTAGATTGCAAGAGCTGGAAAGTTGAGAGCACAATAGGTGGCAGTCGACTGAGACGCTTAGTTGAAAATGGAGGAGTAAGGATCCCAAAAGTAATATTGAGGCCATTCTTCCGGTATATCTTAGTTGCATCATTCGAAGAGAAAGCTGGGATGTGTGACCAGTTGATTTGAGATAACGAGTGCTCAGGCATGTCCTTGAAGTTTCCAGGAGCACGGCAAACAAGATTCCAAGCACCAAGAAGATCTGAAAAAAGCTTCTGTACATGTGTAATATCAGAAGTGGCTCCCTCGGTTGCGTTAATGATGTTATGAATCAGGACAGTCATCATCTCAATCCAATCCGTACTTGGAAGCATACCCAATCGAGCATAGACACTACAAACCTCTGTGGCGCTAGGCAGAGTTGTAGAAAAAGGGTCTCTTTGCTTGGCGGAGATGATACGTCGAATAAGATCTCTTGCGGTAGAGAGTAGATATGAGGGTGATGATTTCAAGCTTTCAGGCCCTCTGCCCAATTGGGGACCAAAATGCTCTACAAAGAAATTGAAGGAATCTGCTGGTGGACTAGAGTTCCTGATCATTTCTTTTAGAGCTTCCACCTTCTTGTATGGGCTGAGCGAATATATCGAGTGTGGAGCTGCATCTCTAGAAGCCGCAGCCTCTGTAATGCTCTGTTCGAAGAGTGATTCGAGGACGTCCGCTGGACCGGGATGTTCTGGTCGACTTGGGACCCGCTGTCTTCTCTCTGGTAGAGCTGCATATTTCCCTTTGCTTTTCCTCGCGTCATCTCCCAAGTTCAGTATACCATCCTTCCCTTTATCTGTCGTGGTTCGAGTAGTGCTCTTGGCCAAGGAAATAAAACTCGCTCGTTGCTGCCATTGAGACAGACTTCGAGGTCGCAATTGAGCAAGTCTTCGATGACATGCTTGGCAGATATGAGAAGAACTCATTCCCTGCCGATATGTGCACGATGTTAGGACATTGACGTTGTCGCGGATGATTTTTGTAAGGAGACAAAAGTTGCAGCCGCGTGTATTTTGATTGGAGTCAAGATCCCTACACAATCAGCCTTGCCGCCTCCCCGCCATTTAACATCACTTCCGTAAAGCTCTCGACAACACTTCAAGTCAACAGCAATTGTCACAACACTTCCCACCTTGGGAGAGTTAAAAATTCCGAAATTTTTGGGCGACATCTAGACACAGCTATAGACTCCGGATGTTCCGTTCAGACAGACAATCATGACAACCCTTCAGCCAAGAGGGCCTTATACTCAGGAAGAGCTTCGGAAGCTCTATCCTCCAGGTTTGGAGCTTCAATTGGTTCAAGTCCTTCTCAGACACGGTGAACGGTCCCCAGTCTCTGCTCGATTTCAAAATGCAGGTCTCGCTGCTTTTTGGCCATACTGTCGGGTTGCTAGGCAGATGGTCGCTGCAACTATGGAAGACTCAGATGGCAAATGGACTCCTATGCAGTGGAGGAGAAGGCTCGAGACCTTCGGATCAGATGATGGCCCTGTCATAGCCTCTGGACCCAGAGGAGAAGTTGACGATGTTTGTAATTTGGGGGAATTAACAGATGAGTACGAATATCTAAGAATTTGCTTCTGCTTTCATAATTAGCTCTTATGATCGTCTATATCTCATATATGATGTACATTGAGTTATCTTTAAGAGCAGTGAAAGATTCTGACGCGTCATGCATTTTAGGGGACGAATCACCACATGGAAACTCGGACGACGGCTAAGACAGCTGTACGTCGATCAATTGCACTTCATGCCTTCAATGATTCACGATGCGGATATGATATACCTCCGAGCCACTCCAATCCCCAGAGCCCTTGAGTCTTTGCAACAAACATTTTGGGGCATGTACCCTTCGAATTCAAGATCTGCCTCATTCCCACCTCCTACTATCTTATTACGAGCACCAGCAGATGAAACCTTATTCCCAAACGATTCCAACTGCAGACGGTTTGCCCAGTTATCAAGAGCTTTTGCCCAGAGGACGGCAGACAGATGGAACAGTACGAGCGAGATGGAGTATCTGAACAAGTTGATTAGCAAGTGGATGCCAGAATCTAGTAAGAGAGTAGCTGTGGACTCACATCCCCGACTTTCGGGTATCATGGATACTATCAACTCAACTCTAGCTCATGGGCCAGAAACAAGACTTCCCAAGGAATTCTACGATGAGAAGGGACGGAAAATCATTGAGAAGATCGGTGTAGAAGAATGGTTCAGTGGTTATCAAGAATCGCAGGAATACAGATCTCTCGGAATTGGTGGATTGATGGGGGATGTCGTGGAAAGAATGGTTGGAAGTGTTGAAAAGAACGGTAATGATGGCCTTACTGAGATCGGTGGTAAGGATGGCTCTACCGGCACTGGAAGAGGTGGAGAGAATGCTATCAAGCTTGGGCTGAGTGGATGTCACGACACAACTCTAGCGGCCGTGTTGGCTAGTTTGGGAGCTTTCCAGGGAGAGCCATGGCCACCTTACACGAGTCACATCGCTCTCGAGCTCTTCAAGAAATCGGAAGCACAGCCCGTACAAGTCCCCGCAAAACGCAAAATCGAGGAGACAAACCCTGTGGCAGCTACTGGCGATCCCAAAATCAGAAAGTCTTGGTTCGGCAGGATATTCGGAGACAGTGCTGTTGTTGACGAGAAAGGGGACAAGAACGCTCCTCTTGGCATTGCCAGAAAGAAGACTGAAGAGCTCAAGGAGTCTGAGCGAGCAAAGCTGGAAGGTTATTTTGTCAGGATACGCTATAACGACAAAGTTATGAGCGTTCCTGGTTGTAAGCCTGCTGGAAAGCACCTTGATGGTGACGAATCTTTCTGCACTTTGGTAAAATGGCTTTGTTCTCGCACAATATGATTAGATGCTAACAAGTTAATAGGAGGCATTCAAGAGCATCGTGGACAAGTACACTCCTTTGCACTGGAAACAGGCATGTTTGAGCAATATGGAAACACCGGCTTTCCCTTCGAAGCCAGAGCCAGCAGGATACTAGAACATTGTATAGACAAAGTTGGCCACGATATGGCGTTGGATAGATTGTAGAAATGGGTGGTCTATTGCAGCAGCTTACCTAAAATAGACCTTCAAGCAAGAACTTAACTTTCATATTCGCATATGTACGCTGCATACTCAATATGTTCTCTACCGCGCTCTTTCTTTCATTCAACTCGGGCCTTGTACAACCTTCAAAGGCAATAAAGGTACATCCATCCCTTAAGTACAAAGTTTTACTGAAGACAGTCGTCACCTAGGTACGCAGCGAAACGTCACTTTTTATATCACTATCACGTTCAAGCAGGTTGGAAGTCAAATGTTTAATCATGGAACCATATATTTATATGAATCGAAAAATACGCTAATGCTATGCAGCGCTAAATTAAAATGCTTCATGCTAATGGTCTTTGTAGACCGAGGACCCCGAGTCCAGACCAGCTGGCTCATCGTGTTCTCATTTTCTTGCTCGGCCTCTCTCGCGCCAGAGCTCTTTGTACGAGAATCTCTTCTCCGCTGTCCTCATCATCGGACTCATCTCTTTGTCTCTTCTTTTGTTTGCCTCCCCTCTTCGTCTTTGCAGACTGCTCTTCCTTACGTGCCCGCACCATGTCTACATATAACTCTAGGTTATTCATATGCAGATCAATGGAGACGCCACCTCGCCTCTCCCTAATTCGTTGCAAGTGCTTAGGTTGCCTCTCCAAATGCTCCACCGTAAGCATATAGTTGAGCGTATACTCATAAAACTCCTCCGGCCTCATCCCATCATCCCCAAACTCGCCCCACGGCAACGACTCCTCGATGAACGTCCGCACAACCCCCTCCATCGACGCATGGTCGCGCGTGATGGCCATCTTGTTCTTGCCCTCGGGCAAGACGCGGGTATCGGGCTGGACGTTAAAATCTTTGCAGATCTGCGGGAAGTCGAGGAAGCGCTCGAGACAGGACAAGTGCACGTAGCCCGCGTTGTGGTACGGGTCGCTGGTCGCGTTCTGCGCCTCGTCGAAGGCGACCCGGAAGTCGCCTTTGCGGATCGTGCGCAGGTGGTCCGGGCAGCAGGAGAAGCGGCACTTGTCTGAGGCTTTGTTGGGGTAGCGACGGCCGGAGTCGGCGGGGACGGTTTGGATGAGGAGGGTGAGGCCTGAGAATTTGTCCGAGTTGGCGGCTTGGTTGAGGGGGTGGCCGCCGATGTACTCGGCGATCTGTGCTGGTGTGAAGGCAGAGAGGGGGTTAAGCTCACCGAAAGCCGTGTACTTGAAGATTGGCTCGTCGGTCTCGGGGTCGATAGATCCCCAGGACTCGGGTTTCGAGGCAATAGGTGTGTAGAACTTGGTTGGGTCGAAGTTCCTGATATTGAAGGGCCGTCTATTGCCATATTTCTTCCCGTTCAACTCTTCGTCTTGGTCTTCCTCCTCATCTTCCTGTACTGGCACCGATGTGAGATCTGGGTCCGTTATGAACTCAGGAATTGGTGTGGGGTTCGGACCAAACATCGGGCCTACCATAGGTGGCAGAGGTGAGAGGTAGTTTCGTAACTCTTGCTCCATAGATTGGTCTTCTTGAGCGCGTCTGTTGAGGTCGTTGGCTGCTGCTAAGTAGCCTGCTTGGTAGCTCTGCTGGTTCTGCTGAAGCTGCAACGCCTTCTCGAGCGCCACTTGGAGCTCGTGCCCGAAGGGATATATGAGATTGTCGATGACAGAGAGAGGGGTAGCTGGATCTGTGAAGAGACTGAGAATGGGGTTGCGGTATGCACCTACTTGTTCTGGACCAGACGGTGTCTGGGTTGTGATTATAGTAGGTAAAGCGACTAGAGGGCTAAACAGACTTGCAATTGGGGAGATATATGGAGGAGTATCAGGGTAGTAGGCGACTTCCGGGTACATAGCCTGTGGTTCTACAGCCGGAGGAGCTTGGGTGTCAGCAACGTCTTCGTAGGGAAGAGCAAACAGATCCGTATCTCCCAAGTATTCATTCTGCGGACCGAAATCCATGTTCATCAGATTTTCGTAGCCCAAAGCGTCAGGAGTTGTGCTGGCTTTGTCTTGGTGGAGGCTTTGTCGATCGACGGTCTCATCAGCAGGCTCTTCCTGTAGGTAGAAATCATAGTCAACCTCTTCTTCCAGAGGGAGCGGTTCGGCAGAGTTCGGGACTTCCTGAGTCTGCGAGTTTCCGTAAGGTAACATCGAGGCATTGTCGCCAATAGCATGGAATTGGTTGAACTGGTCCATGATAGTGTTAGTGATGGGACGTAACAGCGCAGCTGTACTAGTGGTAATGAGTGGAGTGGTAAGAGGAACAAAGGCACGATCCAGTCGTGTGAAGGTTTGAATAGTGCTTTTCCAAAAGAGTGAGAGGTTAGCAAAGTTTTAGAATGATATGACGATTTCACAATAGGGATTGTGCCGTTTTTATACATTTCCTCATCTCTATGTTCTTTGGATTTTCTCTTGTTCTGTATTCGATATTGGACAAAAAAACAGATAAGTTCTTGCACAAAGACAGTCAATTGCAATCCATTGTTGCATAAATTGACCTAATATCACTTATGGATATGTTTGTGTCAAAGGAATTGCTAAATATGATTGGCCGACATCGTATATCTCTGTCTTTTGTGTGCTTTTGCACTTATATCAAAATCCTTTGTTGAACATCGCGCGCTAGACACTTTTTCTTATCTCTTTACTATGCAAAACCATTTTGTATAAGGCAGCATTCTTAAGCCTGATGTCTAGTCTCAATCGAGTCTAGCAAGTTACCACTTGGCTTGCCCTGCTACCACAAAGAAACGTCGAGGTATACTAAGTAGCTACTTTCAATTCAATGACGGAGCTATGCTCGCATCAGGAAGTCTTCTTAAGCATGGAAATAGATGTTGAGGATAGTATTGACTTGAACGTCTGCTCAGAAGAGAGGATGAACGAGAACTCTATTCACATCAGCTACAGCTCTCGCTAGTAAAGGTACTTGGGGATCTAGCGCCAATATATTCTGAATATTGCCGGGGAATCCAGGTTTGGATTTAATTGCGCTCTTTACTAGTCCCAATTAAGACTTTGCACACTTCGCGACATGCAACAAAAGATCTACAAGAGGTACTAATCTCAATTAGGCTTTAACACTTTAGGATCAAAGAGTTCTTGAGAGGTGTTAGTCCCGATTAGGCTTTTGCACACTTTGTTGTGCGACAAAAGAGTTACTAAGCACCAACAAACAGTCCTAATTAGGCTTTTACACACTTCACGACACGCAACAAAAGAACCCATTAAAGTCCCAATCAGGCTATTAAACGTTTCAGGATCAAAGAGTTTTCGAGAGGTGGCAGTCCCGATTAGGCTTTTTCACACTCTGATATGCGATAAAAGAGTTACTAAGCACGAACAAATAGTCCTAATTAGGCTTTTGCACACTTTGGCACTAATCAACGCAACAAAGAATCTATAAGGATTAGTACGTATTCCCAATTAGGCTTTTGCACACTTGCGATGCGCAACGAAAGAATTTAGCAAAGGTAGTAGTCCTGATAAGGCTTTTGCACGCTTTATAAGGCATAGGGGTTTGACTGGGATATTGATTCGACTTCAAGCGGAATTTCAATTCAGTCGTCGAATATCAGCGTTTCACTTCACATACCCGAGGCAAACTATATATGTGCATTGCATATTTTCACATCACATCGTAACTGGACCACTCAAGCGTCTCTACGGTCAGCTATTCGAAAAGTTGAGTCTCTCTTCATTCCTAACGAAGACGATCGTTCCTCGACGCTAGAGGAGGACGACCTCCGCGATAACGTATAATATACACCACTCCAATTCCATAATCATGTCTCATGCCATCCCATGCCATCCCATGCCATCCCATCCCAGCCAAAGCAAAGCCCCAACAAAGCAACCAAGACAGCAAATGAGTCCGAATGCGAACCCAGTGGTAAAGGGAGCAAGAACGAACGCCAACTCCACGCTAAGTTTATGCCGCCCATACAAGCCATTGACCCAATGAATCGGGTTCAAGAACTCCGTGACAGCCCAAAATTCCTAGAAATACAGCGATTGTCCCGTATACGAGATAATGAATTCGCACCCCAACTGACCCTTTTCGTGACCTTTCAATTGCTTCAGGATCAATTCTCCGAGATCCGGTCCATCGTCAAGCTTCTCCTTCATGTGGATGACCACAATTTTGACTCCTTCCAGTGGAGCTTCCGTACTGACATGGAACACTGGTGTAGGAGAAGAACCATGGTCATGACTTTCCGCATTTACTTGCCGTTCAGACGTGCCATCATCTGATGAGACGTATCCCCGGTTTTCTCGCCGAGAAGTAGGACTTGTGGGACTTTCATTGCGTGTGGATCTCCGACGAGCGTATGGAAGCAAGAAACTACCATTACCATCTCCGTCAAGCTTGCGCTTTTTGATATTTGGTCCATTCTTCGCCATGTTGATGTACAGTTTGACTTCATTGCCCAAGACTCTAAGTTCCTCAACGAGATATTTCGGCGTTAAGTGGCCGAACAATAGCTCCTTCTGCCTCGAGTCGTCGTACGAGCACTCGATGAATATTGCACCTAGCATTCCACTGGCAACTTTCGGTGCAGCATCGGCCCATACTTGTCGATTGCGTGGCGAGTAAGAGATTGAATCCGGTTCGACATCTCCATAAATCAATATCTCTTTGTTGGTAGCAATGTCCCGGATAAAATAGGCGGAACTGTCGTATACACAATAGCGTTGCGAATATTGGTCAGCTCTCAAATTGTCATCGGCAACACGACTTGACTGGGAACTTGAGCGAACCATCGTGCCTGAAGTCGGGTTCAGTCGTGGCGATGCTTCTACACCTGGGCTCGTTACAAAGCCAGAGCCGGCATTGGAACCTCGATGATTGTGTCGCTCAATGCAGTGTCCATGACTTACACTCCAAGTCTTAATACTGAGGCCATCTGACACTTCAATATACCCGTCTCCTAATGCTGGAGTACCGCCTTCAACTAATCGTAGGTAAGTAACCAATCCTGCTCCATTGTTCTCATCAGTCAAATTCGGCCAGATGATATTATTGAAGATGTGGTTCTTGAAAGCCTCAATGGTTGATGGAAGACCCGCTAATCGTTTTGGACGAGCACTTGGAAGAGAAGCTGTATTGATAACGAAACCAGAAATATGATCTAGATGGGGATGCGTGATGAGAAAACACTCGACAAGGTCTCTCGTGATGAATGCCGCGTTTGCACTAGGCGACGAGCCTTCCGCTATCTGGAGTCCTTCGAATGGGCCATCAACCAACGTGATAGGTTTGGCAGGAGGTTTGCTGTCTTCTGTTCGTATCGACTTATGGCCATCCAGAATCCGAGCAATTGCTGCCAGATGGACACCTGCATCAACCGCAAGTAAGGATCCTTTCTTCCATCCGGCAGCGGTTGAACGGACAAGGAAAGCAGTAACATTATCTTCTTTGGGTCCACCTCCAGCACCCTATAAGCAACCATTGTCAGTGAAATTCGATACACATTCTAATAGCGACCAGTCCAAGCTTGAAAGTCCAAAGGGCTCAGAGCTCAACCATAAGCCATGCACACGTGACCATCTCCGAGTCCGGGAAATCCCCAGCGCATGAACAAAAGCATTGTCCTCGAAGCTCAAACCCTTGAATCGAGAAGCAACTCTCATCCCATAACCCAAGCAAGAACACCAGCCTCGTCTCTCAACCAAGAAGTTAACAAGGGGGGCTCACCAGAACAATAACCTGCAGCGCAGGCTGCTCAACCCCTTCACCCATTTCACCCATGCGCCTGCCTACCTTCACACCTTGGCCTTCCTACTTTTGCGCGGGTATAAAAGTGTGACGTTGAACGCGCAGTAGGAAGAAAAAACAAGCTTTCTAGAATGAATATCGGATCCGGGCTTTCGAGTCGGCTCGTGCTTATATGCAGAGTTCCGTTGGTTGTGTTACCTTGGATGCGGAATGCAGCAGCTGCTGCTGAAAGAATGCTGACAAGGAACAAGTCCGGAGAATGGTGCACGTGATCTGCTTGTGAGCGGTTTTATGGCGTGGTTGGCTCGTTGGAGGGAGAGCTATCAATTGATATTTATATGTTTGACAAGGCTTTGTGAAGTTTGGAGTTGAGGGTCAAGTTAGAGTCTTTTTTTTTTGGTGGTTGTTGGGTTTAGAATGGAAGGCAGCTCTCCCAGCTCAGCCTTCCCTTTCCCTTTCCCGCCAAGAAGACTAGCTCCAACGGTGACTTCCCTTTGTACTCAGGACGGGAAACCAGGCTGTGTCAGCGATGCGCCAACGCTACACCAATAGAGACTCAACAGCCTGAACACGACATGAGACGTCGGCTGAGACTATTGTCCATCTTCTTCACAAGCCCTTTCTTTTGAGCCCTTTCGAGGTACAATTGCTGCGAGTATACACAACAGAGATACATTTGTTAGGAAGCTGCAAATGCTTCGAATCTCGAATGATAATGCAGCGCTGAGATTACCCTCCTGTCCAGCCCCGCATCCTATGCTTCTTTTCTAGCAATATTCTCATAAATAACACCCACGCCTTCCCTCCCTTGAAGTGAATCCAAGCAATGCTCACCAAAGATGCTCCAACTATACACAGTTCATGCCTCATCTAACCCATTTATCATGCTCGCAGTCCCGTTCATGTCCCAACACTGTCTTTTCATCGCCCTGCTAGGTTCATATGCATGATCGCATCACTTTTCCAATCCTCATCATCGTCGCTTGAGGCGTTCTGCACCCTTAAGCCACCACGAGGCTGTTGCTGGCTCGGGAGACTCCACAGGTCGCCCTCCCGACCCTCGACTGCAGGTAGGTTGATCTGAGGGGTGGTCCCTGGTTTTGGCCCAATTCGGGGTGGTGGCACTTGAGGAGGTTCGTTCGTCTCAAATCCGGGAACTACAAAGTCGTCCTTATCCACAAAATTGAAGTCGCTCTTCTCAGGGTCGTAGTCATCTACTGGTAGCTCAAAATGATTCCGTCGAGTATCCGTGGGAGTGTCATCGCTCTTCATCGAAGTTCCGTTCTCGCCTCGAGGAGATCCGAGGACCGAGTCGTCGTAGTTCTGCGCTGGCATCTCGGAGATGCCGGTGGGCAGGGGAGCAAAGCTATTTTGCGCTCCGACTTGCTGCCTTTCAAGCTCACGTTGCTGCTCCTCGATTATTTGCGGAGCAGCCTCCACATTTCGAAGACTGCTTGCCATCACGCTGCCATTCCTGAGGCTAGCAACGCCACTTCTAGGCTCCATCGTCTCGGTCACGTCCGAGAGGCCGGATTCAGGATCTCTGATTCCGAATTGTGCCATTGTGCGCATCTTGCGTGTGACCCAACTGGCCAGGATCTTTCCTCGCTGCTTCTCTCCTAGTCTTGACCGCGGGAAATCTCCTCTGTTGACGAATGCGACAATGTCAACCACAATCTGATGCTCATTGAGGATGGCATTGACGATCACAGGAACAATTGATGCTAGGTAAGCCTTCCTCCCAACCTCAACTAGTACGACAATAAGGCCACCTGCCTGAAAGACAGCACTATTCAGAAGTCAGCTTGAATTCCACAGATTATTGGGGTGCATTCACCAGCCTCCCGGTACAATATTCCGGTGGCACTTCTCGACCGAGTATTCGATGTCCATTGGGAAGTGACTGAGCCCATTGATTTCAAAAGTCTCACCTATGTTGCCCAGGACGAACAGAACTTGCATGTCAACTTGAGCACCATTAGGGCCAATAGGCCTGCTAACATTGTGCAGAAATCCGAGATCTCCAGTACGGATGTATTGGATATTTGGATCGCCATCGAGAGTGCGACCGTCGAATCTTTCTGCATCGAAAGGATCCTTTGAGCCATAAAATGCTCGTACGCATGCCTCGGACTCGACCCAGATCTCGCCATATTCTCCTTCATAACAGAGTGTCCGGCTTTCTGGGTTGACAATCGCGATTTGAGTTGACACAGGTACCATGCCGGAATCTTGAACCAGAAGAGACTTAGGCTCTGCTTCCGGGTCGACTGGGTAGATCATGCCTCGTCGCAGGGCCTGAGTTCCAAGCCAAAGCTCAATGGGCTCAATGCACATGTAGGAACGCGACGCAACCATTGGGTTGAGAACGTGAGAGTAGATTGTGTTGATGGCAGTTCGATCAAGACCAGTCTGTGCGAAATGAAGACGGACCTTTTGGAACACATCTACACGAGGACGACCCTCCGCAGATATCATCATGTTCTTCAGCTCATGTAATTGAAAGCCTTTGCCAGGCATGATAGCCATAGCATGGTCCAGCATTTGAGGTGTTGCGTATGTATCCTTGATTTTGTATCTTGAGAGTGTCAAGAATAGGGATACTGGATTCTGTGCGAACTCGACTGGAGAAACAAGGTAAGTAGGTGCGCCAACGAAAACACCCATAAGACAAGTGTGAATGAAGCCCAGACCGCTGGTACTTCGGACACATCCAAGTACTGGCCGCGAGCTAGTCATTTGACAAGTCTCCTTTTGCACTTTGCACATGCCCATGATTGTGTCGTGACCTAGCTGTACTGCTATACGTCTCTGATCCGGAGTCCAGTAGGTCCAGACGAGGACAGGGTACCCGGGTTGAACCCATGTTGGTTGCATTGTCAGCCCAAGGTCTCTGCACCCATTATTCTGCTTTGGCGGCTTAGTGGTGTTGTAAATGCTTGGCACTGATACTTTCAAGACTTGAGCAGACTGCTTGACGTGTTGTGAAACAGTTTTCTGCTTCATGAGGTGATCTACATCTTGGTTGACCAGGACAGCACGCACTCCGTAATCAGCGACCATGTGAAGGAAAGCTGGCGCGTCCTCATTCAGGCGATTCTGGTCCAATGGAGCCATTGGAATCGCTGTAGCTCCTAGGCAGAAGCAGGCGTGTACTGCGTAGACAAAGTCCTCCGAGTGAGTGTACATCAATATGAGATGGTCTCCAGCCCGTATCTTGACCTTGTTCTTCAGATACATGGCAACAGCAGCTACTTTCGTGTCGAACTTCTTCCATGTAATACCTTTGCCTTCCTTGCCTCTGCCGTCAATCGTGCAGTAGGACAATTCTTCAGCCTGCCGTGCAACTCTCCATTGTAGCAGGTCGACAATACTGGAAAAGTTGTTAAGAGGGGTTGAAGTGCGGTCATCGATCACTACTTCCCGGCGATCGATGCCAGAGTATTGTTTGTCGCCAGGTGCCAGAATGTCCTCTCGTGCTTGTGAGGCTAGGGTTGACCAAATACCACCAATAGGATCTACTCCGATCGGGAGGTTTAGTACCGCTCTCTCGACACCAAATTTGACGTGCACGCATGGCAGATTCCCAAGATCGAACTCTCGTCGACAGAGCATGTTTCCGATCTCTCTTCGGCCATTCTTCAGTACTTTTGGCAGAGTATTCGGAGCTGTAATCATCACGCAATAAACACGTAGATGGTGTTCCTGCATCAAGACTTCCATGCACCTCTCTGATAACGAATCGAGTAGAGCTGTGTCGAGCTGTCGCGGCGGACCACCTGATGTAGCTGGAGCTGTCGAAGCAGATTGGGATTCCAGCAGAACGATCGGTAAGTGTTCGTCATTTACAAAGACATCAAAGGCAGAACAGTCGTAGATTTTGGGGACATTCTTCATGATGCTCACGATGATGTGCTGCACAAAGAAGTACCGGTGCTCCGCAATCTCATGGCCATGCTCGACCCATTCGACTTTCTGGCGAATTCGGTCCTCGTATAGGCCAAGGACGAAGATCTTGCCCTCGATGATTGTACCCAGTAAGCCTGTTCGTAAAAACTCAGGCTCTACCATCATAGGCGTAGGATCTCCAGGAGCGAATTTATACGGCCGAGCATGGAAGATCTGTTCTGTGTGTTTTGGCAGTGCCCAGAAGCCTCCGGAAAGTGAAGGAGAGTCGACCCAGATCTCGCCTACAGAGTGAGGTGTAGCAAGCAACCCAGTCTCTGGATCAACAACAGCCAAAGTTGCATCCGGTATTGGGAAGCCGAAAGCACCGACCCTTACTGTGCCTGGTTCACTGCTAGCCTTTTTACGAGCTTCTTCTCCTATTGCGACAACTACGACTTCATTCGTCTTGAGCGCTTCCCGGTCCAAGAGAACTTCGCTCAGTTCAGTCCTTTCTTCTTGTTGCCTCGGGGCTGTTGTTCCACCACCGATTAGACTAGCAAATCCATTGCTTGTCGATGGTTCTTTCTCTTTCTCCTTGTCTTCTTTCTCGTCGACAACAGGTACTCCATCTGACATGTCAAGTTTTAGAGGACAACCCATTCGCTCTTCTCCCCCCAGCCAATCACGCATACTGATGACCATACCTCCATGTTCAGGAAGACATAACATCGGAGCAACTAGCTCTCTTGCTCGAGGATTCCGCATCGGACGAAGCCATCTGTCAGCCAGGACTTCGTGGAATTCACTGTCCACAGTGAGTGCATCTATGAGACACAATTTGACATGCTGGAAATTCGGTTCCTGGCCCTTTTTGAAGTTCCTGGTAGTCATGGGGTCCTGTTGATAATTGTACGCTGCTCGCTTGAGTCCCGGATAATCTGCTAGCATCAAGGTAGCTTTATATTTCGTAATGAGATGTGCGTAAAGACCAGGAGTCTCGACGGCTTTGTTCTCCATCCAGACCGTGGTATGGCCTCCATACACAGTCAGAAGCACTCCTAGGATCATGCCAATACCCTGTCGAGGATCGAGGTAGGATAGTAGAATTTCGCTATTGTTCCCAGTCCCTGCCATCAATCTGCCGTTCTTGTCTCGCAAAGCCGAGCTGAAGGTGTCGCCTTTGCCTGATGGTACAGTAGAGAAAACGGCGCTCAGGCAAGCCATTTGGTGCATGATAGTTCTATGGCTCATGACAACTCCACGTAAATCTCCAGTAGGAGCACGGGAGAATTCGATGTAAGCAAGATCGGGTACTTGGAGAGCTGGTGACTCGTCTTTCTTCTTTGGATGAAAACTTCCGAACTCGTTGGTTTTCCACCATTCTACCCCTCTAGGCCAATTGAGCTTTTGAGTTGTTATATCGCGCTGAAATGCTTTAAGATTATTATCCGTAGTTAATGCAAGATGTGCTTGTGTAGAGGTTAAAATTAGGTTGAGCTTGGCATAATCTTCAAGATCATTGATCGGAACCGCAACCACCCCAGCGATGAAGCAGCCAAGAAGAGCAATAGCAAAGTCGATGATCTCGGTATCTCGGTAAATCAAAGCAACTCGATCTCCTCGATACAATGAACTTTTGTCCCTGATTACTTGAGCAACCTTTTCCGCTCTGCTGGTAAGCTTATCCCAGGTAATGGAAGCGATTTCTTTGCCCTTGCTGTCCAGAACCCAGTATGCTGTGGTTTTGGAATTCGCTTTACTGCGATGCCTCAGCACGGCTGCTATATTATCGAATCTGGACATCGGAACATTGCCATCATGAGGATCGTATACAGCAAATGGCACGTCTCGGGGTTCGAGTGGCATCTGATATTCGAGAGCAGCTGGTGGGGGAAGGTCGCTGGTGGTCAACATGGGCGGAGCCATAGCTGCCGTTGGAGAGAAGGCATCACTCGATGAGTATCGGTGTGGTCCACCTCCATACGAGTTATGAGGATCGTGCTCAAACCCTTGCTGACCCGCAAAGTCTGAAAAATAACCCTGTTGTGACTCTCCCAGCATCGTTCCATGCGAATCCATCATAGTTCCCGAACGGCTCTCGTATGGTCCACCTTGGTGCTCAGTATAGCCAGCTTGATGGGCAGGATTGAAAGCATAATTCGATCGAGACACAGATGCCATCGTCATACTTGGTTCTGCAGAGTTCCCACCGTTTACCGGAGTACCTGGTAGGAATGTTTCTTGGCCGTAAGATGACTGCCTCACATTTGGGTTGTGAACTCCCAATCGTAACTGGGATGGTGGTCCAGCGTATGCAAACCCTCCTTCTTGCGCTCGATTATTCGCAAAACTCGGATATTCACTGCCCATTGTATCTAAACGACCAGCAGAACCTGTCCTTGCAGGCGATTGAGGTGGCACTTCTGGTCTCGGCCCGTAGTTCTCGGAATAGTCCCTGGAATTCGCATTGAGTGCAGCAAGTGAAGCGGATCGAGACCCATCGTTCGATGGGTGAGCGGTATTGTCAGGAGAATGTATTCGTAAGCCCTTCAAATCATTTGCAGCAGCTGAAGCACCAAGGTATTGGGATAATAGCATTGTTCGTCGTTTTTGGTATCTATAACGAGGTCAGAATCTGGTACTGTGGCGGTTGCCCAGACTTTTCGCAGATATTATGAGTTCTCGTACCCTTTCTCCGTAATGTCTCCATCCTAGAATTACACTTGTCAGTGAGTATTCTAAGTTTACTGAATTCGCAGATATCCCACTCCTTCGAAACAGAGGTACATCGGCGCACGCGACAAGACGCGGAACGTCTTCTGATGGAAAAGACTGTCACTAACCTCCAATTCATGCTCAAGTTCTTGCAGCTTGTCCTGCAACTCGGGATGGTTTGCGTCCATGATGGGCAATCTGTCAATCCGGACGCAAGCTCCGGCAGCCAGTTCCTCGATGTATTGATTTGGAAGAGTTTGAGGAGTAGCCAGTTGTTGGTACCATAGGTTGTGGTCGCCTGAAGGTGGCGATCAGTTTCGACTTAATCGTTGGAACAGGAGGCGCACAGCATCATCTACACATAACCGCAAATGCTCAATGACCTCGTTCCTGAAAATGATGCTGGTCTCGTATTCCCACTCCACTCGCACGGATAAACCTGGATTCCACTTGAGCAGCCGAAAAAGGCTAGCCGCGCCACAGCGCACAGACGTGTGGAGGTACCAAGTTTAAATTTGCAACCTGCAATCTTTTTCTTCGTCTCAATTTTCTCCTCCAAGGCTGTATCAACGAAGCTCTTCAAGAATCACCCAACAAGCTCGAGATCTCGACGCTGCCAGGCTTCACATCTCATATGATATTACTGCAGCTTCCGAAATGCTCTCCTCTCAATCTAGAGCCTGAGTTCTCACACCACCTAAGCTCAAAACATATATTTCGGTTTCAATTCCGATACATTTTCAACTTCGATCATAGGACATGAACAAGTATGTATTATGGTTTCTTATATTGATTCACTCCACCCTTTTGGTGTGCTTATGCAACTATTATGATGACAACATCAAAGATTACCACAGACCTGTTATGATACACATGATTTATATCTTGGAGACCTGCTGAATTTTTTGCCTTTTTTCACAACTTGAAATTTGATAATGTCTAGATGATAAAGTCACTGACAATTTTATAGATCTTTTTACAGTGAAATAACAGCTCCAAAACTGCTATCGTCATGAAGCCCCCATACCAGCCTCGTCAACTTTTGCCTCTCGAATACTAATCCTTGTGCTCAATCCATAGCAGACATGTTTAAGAAACACAAAACTTCTTGTTGAAAGTAACCACAAAAGGAACACTTCATCAAGTACCCTAGCAACCTATATTGAGCTCAGCAGTTGCTTCGCATCAACCACCTAGGTTCTGAATGTCCGTCTCATTTCCAGATCTAAGATTGAGTGATCTTGATGGGAAACGCATTTTCACATTGAAATCACAAAGTTCAATGAAACTGGCAGGGAGGATTTTACCGCTTTGAACAAATCCCAGTGTTCTTCCACTGCTTCGCCTTCTTGGTGGGATCAATATAAGTCGAGCAGTTGCGTGTGGGATTGAAGGAGAGAGGCCCTTTCGGGTTTTACAAGTGAGCTTGCTGTTCACGATCTTTCAATGCAAGAATGGCAAGGGACCGAAGGAAATGCATCACAGATACATAGCAACAGAAAATATAATGCGATATTCTCAATTTTGCGTTCAATCCCCAATGTCTACTGGTTCGATAATAACTGTCCAGTCCACAATGTCTACCCAGTTCAAAATGCTTGTCCTATTCCCAATGCTCCGAGTAATGAAATCTCAAATCCGTAACCCTGCCTTTCCATTCATGATAACGGCACTAGGCCCACAATCCGCTACTCATTCCATCTTTCGTCTCTCGATAATGATCAATACATTCTGCGAGAATGAGTGACTCGTTCGGGTTGCCGTTTGCGATTAAGAATATTTGTTTGATAGAAAAGACCAAAGTCTCCAAAAGACACATCGACTGCAGCTGAGTAACTGTTGAGTTTGTCATCTCATTCACAGTGTTGATTAAGCTTTCGCGGTCGTCGTGCCTGTTGCCATTTTGACCAAAGCAAGGATCGGCCTCAAGACCACACAGGATTGTGTTTTGACCACGAAGGGTCAGGCGCGGGGTTAAACTGAAACTCTTGCGCCTTCGCAATTTGCTGGGTGATTTCCGCATGTACATATATGTAATGCTTCGTGGCAGTATGCTCGGCGCCCATTTCACGAACGCTCAATTCCACCGCGCTTTCAAGTAATGCCAAAGCTTCAACAGATCGGCCTTGACCATGGCAAGCTTTTGCAGCCTGCGACATCGCATTGCAAATGCTACGTTCGAACCCTGGTGTAGAGAGTTGTTCAGTCTTGGATAAAATACTCATAGCAAGCATTTCTGCCTCGACATATCGAGCTTGGTTGTTCAGACAAGATGCTAGCTGGCATTCAGCCTTGAGAACAGCAGGGTGTAGTTGACCGAGAAGCTTGCGACTCTTTGGTAATAAGTCCCGATATATATCTTCTGCCTCTGAATCACGTCCTTGGAGTATATAGTTGTAGCCAAGACTCTGTTGAGTAGCTAGAGTGCTGTCATGCTCGTGCCCCAGTATCTTCTCCCGGTCCGTCAGGACTTGGGTGATGATTGCTTCTGACTTATCAAGCTCGCCGGTGGCAGTGCTAGAAAGTTATTAGCATCAGATGTCTCCCGGTACTTAGCATGTCCAGGAGAAACTAAGCAAGAAGATAAACATTGAAAAAGGGGAGGAAGGAAGAGGAAGAAGGAGAGGGTGGGAGAAGAAAACGAGTTATCATTTGAGTATAAGTGGACACATACAGTTCGGCTGTTATGAAGACTCTACCACTCGTATGGCATCCAATCAGATACTCAGTACGGATTTCTTAGAATATCGAGGCGGAGACCAACAGAGCTCGAGAGAGCATTGCACTATTCTCTCGCTCTAAGACAGAAATGAACTTACTAGATGTTGCCCATCCACAGTAATAATCGGGTCCGATCAGATTGAGACGATTTCACTGACTCCAACACAGTCTGCAGAATTTTGATACTCTCCTTATAACTACCACGCAAAAATAAAGCATATGCCAAGTACTCCATTGCACAAAGAAGTATAACGGCATCTGGCTCAAAGATTACCCCACCATTTCTAATTACCTCTCGAAATAGTTGCTCCGCTTCGGCTAAGTTGCTCGCTCGCTCGGATGTTAAAAGACAGCGGCCTATTGACAATTTAATGTTGAGCATAGCTTCATCTGTAGGATGCATAACTTTGACTGCCTTGGCAAGAACAACTCTTTGCAACCGTTCCGCGGCTGTCAGCTGGCCTTGGTCAACGAGGACTTCAGCAAACCTGCTGAATGCATGCAGTGTTTGAGGGTGGTCCTCCCCCGCGTCCTTTGCCATACTTTAGCGATCCTTTGACATAGATCTCCAGCAGTCTTGAATCTGCTTTGTTCGAGATAAACACCTGCTAATCGAGACATCGTGTCCAGAGAAGCGGGGTGATCTTCACCAAGCCTTGCTAGCATGTCGTTCACTCTCTGAGTAAGTTCATCTTCTTCCTTTTGCTTGTATCTTGCTTTCTGTGGAAATTCAACTGTTGGTGGTTCGAACTCCGTATCCTTCTCTGGGACCAGGGTGAAAGATTGCCACGGCTCAATGCGTGCAAAATTGACAGTGGAATTAGAGGCATTCGGTATGTCAGATATCGCAGAGAGACGATGTCGTGATTCGCCAGACATTAGAGGAGTGTCCAGCACCGTGCCAGAAAATGAATTCCTGGCACTTTTCGCAATATCTGATGTCACAACAGGCGATGATGGGACGGTGAAAGGTGCTGGGCTTTGACCTTCGAATTGGGCAGCGGCATCAAGGACACCATCGACATCGAACCCACCCGATGCTGCCGAGTGAGAGGCCTCGAAAGTGGTCGATCGAGTTTGGGAAGGCTTATGCATGCTGGTGAAGAATAATGGCGTGGAAAGTGTAGACTCCATTGGCTTCTGATTCGTGGCAAGCATTGGAGATCCTATTGTGCTGTAGCTGACATCTGAAGGAGTCGATGGCATAGCTGAAGCAGCCAATATTTAGCCTTCAACCACTAGATACACAAGTATGAACTCACGAGAATCTGCTTCATTTCGTTGTCCATTAAGGAGATTTGATTTTGCTGCTGTCCGCTTCTGCCATCGATTTATATCAGAAGTTTTCACAACTTTTCCTTGGCAACGGAAGGTGGTCTTCTTGCCCTCAGCTTTCCTGTGATGTTGCTTCTTGGCTATAACTTTCATTTTGTCACCCCTAACATTCTTCTGGACATCCCAACTGTCAAGCTTTCGTCTGAGTTGTCTCTCACTAGAACCTCATCAAATCCATTCATGACAACAAAGGCGGAGGGTAGACTTTACGTGACGAAGAACCCTTCCTCGTGTAGCATTGATACGATCTTTTTGTTCGTTATTCCGTCCAGTGGGTACATCCCAACAATTCTGTCCCGATGCATTGCCCATTCCGCATCGCTGTATTTGGTTGCTTGTGTCGAATTTGACTGCTCAGGTGGCAGCATCATTGATGAGGCTGACATGTTGATGGTAATGTTTATAGTCGTTGTTGAAGAATACAAGATGCCATGAAGGGGACAATCTTGACGAATTTTCTGGGTTGTTCTCTCATCTTATGAGCCTTGCGGTAGAAACTTAACAAGTTGAGCTGCAGGCCGATTGATGATTGTGGCTTGCTGTGAAACATGTAGAGGGGATTCGGTGAGGAAGCGAGCTGCACATTGCCATCGCGCTAGCAAAAAGACCGCCGGGGTACGGAATCCATGTCAGCGAGCTCTTTCTGGATGACAGACCCGCTCTTTGCCAACGGAAGACGTGGTTCTGTAGCCTTAAGCCCAGAGGAGCATGTGCATTCGCCCAGACTTGTGCAGCTCGATCATATCTCAGACACTGAATGTGGATGATACCTTATTGGTCCTGAAATTCTTGGACATTCTAGCCTCATAGCAAAATGACCGCTAGCAAAATGACCGCCCAAAAATGGCCTTCAGGCCAGTAATGAACACCGTGGATATTCTACGACTTCTTCGTTCTCACATATAAAATTGTTAAATATGAAGCTATGGACGTCCCACGGCCAGTATCAATTCGAGGTCACGCTTCGAATCACCTGCTGGTAGGTACCTTACCTAGGTAGTTCTACTATGACATTCCACGTGATCGTTGCTCCAATACTTATCTAGGTAGGTATTGGGGTTTGGACTTTCTTGATCAGCATCACTTTGAAGAAGCAAATACTAATTATTAAGTCTTAGGGGAAATACACACAAGCTCGCATCCAATATACTGGCAGAATGCCCAAGTCATTTGCCACCGAGGCTAAGAAGCCACAACGAAGTCCAGCAACAACTAAGACTTCTGCACACAAATCAAAGAACGGCAGTCCTTCCAAAGTACAGACAGCAAAAACCGAGGTTGTGCAATTTACGGACCTCAATGGAGCACAAAGGCTCGAAACTGTTGAACTCGAAACCTTGAACAAAATCCACACAAAGCACCTCGATGTCCCTCGCGAATGGCCAACTTGGCCTCCTTCTGGAACATTGCCATACACTCATCATGCTATGAGTGCATATGAAACATCTTGGACGATGGGATTGGGGCCTATGGACCGCTGGGAGCAAGAAACTTCACTTCAGGGGCCATGGAACGACATTGCAGCTGTCCAAGACGAAAACGTGAACGGGATTGTATCAGGCGGAATTCTGATGGCTGATGAGGAAGATGTAACGCGTGCAGGAACGTGGTGGCCAAAAGGAAAAGATGATGTCTAAGGAAGGTTGAGGAAGGTTGGTGTCATGTCGTAGAAAAGGTGAAGCCCTCGCTAGGTCCTTGGTTGATTTGGGTTAGCTCCAACCAAGACACTAGAATGTTTCGACAGATTGCAATCTTCATCTATGTTATACTATTGGGAGATAATCAATTGTTCTCAAGAGTTTAGCATCCCTTTCTTGCATTAGTCCCATTCTACTACCAGCAGAATTGCTCAGCGTTCTCCCCAAAGTGACAGCCGCAGGGGTAGGAAAAGGGCAAGACAAAAATGGCGATTGAGCAAGCTTTGGCTTGGATCTGATGAAGAAGATCTTTTTCGTGCCTAAATCTTTAATTCAGTCGCGCAATTTTCTCGACACAAAGTACACGCCTTGGAAAGTTAGCATTGGGATGGAAAAGAACGTCTAGAGCATCTCACTTCCTCTCCCGTTGTCACTTGCTGAATACCTTATTCACTTGAGAGTATCTACTCCCAATCGTTGAAAATCGTGAGATATATCCAGTCAGCCATAGTTAGTCTCACAATCCGTTTTGAAAGTGCAAGTTTCTTACCAACTCTCTTCAAAGCGTACTTAGCATGCAAAAGGGCAAAATACATCCCCTCCCGATGAGGAAAGAACTCTCCAGTCACGTTCTCACGGGAGATATGGTGACGCAATGAGTCGACAATCGACATGAGTTGGGTGATTTTGAGATTGGAAGTAAGCTCGCAGACGCCTTCCATGAGATCCTTTTAACGCTCGATGAGGTCTCAGTAAGGAACCCTGAGAGTAGAGACGAATCGAGACGATATTCTCTGGTCCAGTCTCCGGCTATGTTCTTGGGACTGTTACAGTATTCCTCGGATCCTTAATCGCTTCCTTCCGAGGACTTTTGGGTCTGTTCTTCTTGAGCTCCTGGAGCTGGTGAAGAAGCTTGATCACGATCCATGGCAAGTCTGTCGAGTGGGGGTTTCGGAATCTGGGGCTTTGCTCTTGTTGCCAAACTCGGTGTCGATATCTTTGGGCCTGATCGTCTCCTCACTATTGCTAGCATCCACTGAACTGGATTCGCTCCGCACTGAATTGTCAACATATGAGATTGATATATCTCTCATCTTCTGCTCTCTCCAAAACCTCAGACTCCTCCGTAATAGCGAAAAAGCCCTTGACATACTTCAGGCTTGGTTGTAGACTCTCAGCAACATGATCGGAGAAAACATAGTCACGAGCGTTTTGCATCAAGGTCAGAAGTTCAGGCAGTGTCAAAGCCCAGCTGTAAACGTCAACAAAGTACGAGACGATCCATTTTGCATCATCCTCAACACTGTTAGTGAGCTCACAAGAGGAGATACCGAAGACCCCTACAACGCTCATAGGCTCTGGTATATTGTACTTCCAAGTCTTGGTTTCCTTCTTGGCTTGGGTGTAGTCGGTTGTCTTCTTGCTTGTAGAAGCTTGTGGCTCCCCGTCTTGGCTCCTGGGGAAACTTGTATCTTAAAGCGCATCTAGATCATCCTGGACAATAAAGTGTCTTTGAATGTCTTTCATAGAGTCTTTCAAATCAGCCACCGTGTTGATTTACTCAAAAGAAGATTGCTGAAAGAGGCAAGATGGAATGCCACATTGGGTAAAGATGTTTGTATCACCAAAGAAGTCTCACAACTCGTCAACTGGATCCATCAGCTTCTAAGTCCCAGCTTTTACCATCCAAAAACTTTCATGCTTCAGCCATACATCAGGACTTCGAAAAGGGCATAAAGATAAGGTTTGAAGATAAGATCATACCTAAGCTCACATAATTAAGCAGTAGTAGATAATATCAAATATAAGGACAGAGGAGTCATTACTTCCACGCTGCGCTTACCTGTCGAGTTCCAGAGTATCCCAGCACCTACCCTAGATATCTATTCAATGCTGGATGTATTCCACAAGTTCCCACAGTACCACAGCTCAGCATATCAACAAACAAGAATTTGACACCGAGAGATAACCTTCCTAAAGGTAACACCTCCAGTTACATCATTCCATGCGTTCCGAGCCTGCACCACAGGAAGTATTTAGAATCAATATAAATTCAAGCTCTCAACAACCGTAAGATCCATTGGTCCGCCTGTCAAGATTCGAAGGTATCCAATCCACTTCGGTTGATATTAAGCGAGGCAGCCCCCCTTTTCCTTCAATAGCTTCTGAAAACCGAAACGTATCGAAAGTACTTTTGCGTTTGCTTTCAAAAGGTTGAAGTGCAATATGCAGCAAATGTTATTTCGAGCTTCCTTTTCGTTCACTAATAAGGCAACTCCTCAAAACCCGAAGCAGTCGGGAAAGTACTTTCGAAGAATCGGTATATTTTTGACTGCGACGTGCAACAAAAGGTCAGCTCAACTCAGCTCAAATCAATAAGTGCTCTGAAAGTCCTCGAAGACTATTTTGCAAGGTGCGATATGCAACAAAACCCATCTAGCGCTTTCTTTTCCCTCATTACATACCATGACATCCACAATAGCTCAAGTCAATGACTAAAATCGTACCGATATAACTGATCTGGGATCAGTTATATCGATTAGTTATATACTTTACCCCTGGGGTGCAATATAGAAAGCGGAAAAGCACTTTGAACGTGCCTTGTGCAACGAAACTTACCGCCTCAGCTCAGCTTACTTTTGGGATAGAAAGTGTACATGCTTCAAAAGTACTTTTGAGGGTGTTTAAGAACTACTTTGAAAAGTGCGATGTGCAACAAAACTTATTTAACCTACTTTGCTTTCAATAAGTGCAAGTGCTTTCAAAGTACAGTCTATGCCGTACCTATATAACTGATCTGAGATCAGTTATATTCCCTGCTCTTGGGGTGTGACCTAGAATAGTGGAAAGTACTTTAGAGAAAAGTGCGATGCGCAACAAGTAGTATTCAGTGCCCCTTTCCTTGACTGAGACAGCTTCCAAAAAATGGAAGCAATCCAAAAGTACTTTCGGATTTAAAAACGTTTTTGGATTGCGACGTGCAACAAAGCTTACCTAGGTAACCTCCTCCCCCCTTTGTATACTATGCAAAGCAAAGCACGTGCTTGAAAAGTACTCGTGCGATATGCAACAAACCGATTGAACAACTCTGAAATTCTCTTTACCTCACTGCATCCCCGACTTCGAATCAATGTTTGTCCCAATACTCCCGACTCCTCAAAGCACAAACCACATTGGTGATCAAATATAGAATCTGTATGTATTCTCCAAGCTAAATACACACACTTTCCACTGCCATCTATCTACTCGTTCCACAGCCTATCCTCCAAAATAAAGCTACCAAGAAAAGAAGATAAATCTATCTAATGAATCCATGCTATCCATACTCCACCCTAAAAAATCCGTGTTCCTAACACCCCATCTGCTCCAGCAACCAATAAACGCAACCAAAATCTCATGCTCGACATATCGTCCACACCAGCTCGGCTTTCGTGCCATACCATCTCATCATACCCTACGATGTGATCCACATCTCATCGTCCCCTTCACATGATCGTGCACCCATTGCTCCTCGCTCTTCGTCTACGGCCGATACCACCCATACCCACACCACCTTCCTCCTCATCAGCATGCAACATCTGCGCCTCTCTCGCTCTTCTACGCCGTCTCCTAATACCAGCACCTCCGGCTCCGGCTTCTTCATTCGCCATCATATACTCAGCCCATTTCCTCTCGAGTCTTCCCGCAGCCGGCAAATCACCCCTCAAGACTCGCTTCGTGTGTTCGAAAACTGTTTGCTGCCATCCATAGAAGCACTTTAACTCGATGATCTCCGTCGGGTACGTAGGTCCGGCTTGCGCACCGCTCGGTTTTTTGATCTCGGAATTGCGAGACAAGACTTCACGGATACCGGTCCAGGTCACGTTCTGAGCATCAAAGACCACGAGCTTGAGACCAACGCGAGGACGGGAGCGAGCACAGGTTGTACGTGAAGAGCGTGCACGAACCATAGATGCTGCTTCTGCGAGGACGAGATCGCTGATTTTAGTGTTGTCCATGTCGACGCTGCGGAGGTTGGTGCATGCTTTGATGACGGGAAGCATGCCTGTATCGCCAAGATTCTCGCAGTAGCTGATTGAAAGGTGCTCGAGACCTAGTGCACAAGGAGCTTTGGCAAGATGTTCGGATAGGAGATTGTTAGTGAGCTCGGTTAGCTCTTCGAGATCGAGATGTGTAAGTCTTGGGGTGGTGGCTAGAACTTCTGAGAGAGCATTGTCCGTGAGTGCTGTGCAACCACTCAACTGAAGGCCTTCAAGCTCTGGGACGAGATGAGCCAGCGTCTTCACACCGATACTGGTGACATGCGTGCAACGGCTTATGTCGAGATGCCGAAGCTTTCGGACTGGGACGATTGGGACACCTGTGAGAATGTCGATTTCTGGCTCCCGACCAGCGAGCATGGTTCGAAGTGCCTCATCATTCAAGTCGATGCAGCCACTGAGAACCAATTTCTCCAGCTTGTTGGTCTCGAAGATATCCTCTGCAAGCTCGATATTTCCGAATCCTCTTACTTCTCCAGCACGTAAATCCTTCAACTTTGGGCAACCATTGATCACCGTTCTAATACCACGGGCATCCATGTGAGTGCACCAAGAAACATTGAACGTCTCCAGAGAAGGACAAGAACTAGCAATAATCTTACAACTGCCATTCGTAACAGCTGTCAGGCCAGTTAGGTTGAGATGAGCCAATCTCTCGTTGGTCTTCAACAGACTGTGTAAGGTTGAGCGTTGGAAGTTCCTGCAACCCTCTAGAGTTGCATTGATGAGATTCCTGCATGCTTTGACTACCACTTCTGCACGCTTGTAATGCTCAACTTGGACGCAGCCCCGCAAATTAAGATCTTTGATGAACGGACCTGCTGAAATAATGATCTTGGCAAGTGATTCTGCTGGGATGTCCTTGTAGAACTCAGATGCGTCGAAACATGTCCAAAGCTGGCCATCAAAGCATGTCTTGTGGAAACTCTTGTTCACAATAGAGACTCGAACCAATTCCTTGGGCTTCAGATGTGCGAAAATAGACAATTTGATCTCATGTGGCATTTCGCCCCAGAAATCAAAATTGACCCGTCGAACTGGACGTGAGAAGTAGTCTTCTACTATCTCAGGAATTGCTGAATGTGCCGGAAATGGTGATATTCCTCGACTCGAAAGAGGTCGCATATCTGCAGGGAGAGCACTTGTTGGGCTAGAACAAGGAGGTGTAAATGTGCCGAATTCCACTCGTCTATTCGGAAATCGATTGTCTGAGCCATCGAAGAAGGGAGTGTCGAGGCCAGGGGTGGTCGGTACAGAGGTCGGTGCAGTGGAGTAGCCAGCACCTGAGGATTGCGAAGAGTACGAGTTGTCAAATTGTCGTGGAGAGCTGGCAGAAGTTAAGCTCACACAAGATAATGTCCCTCTTCCACCGTATGGATTGCTCGAAGCTCTCTTCCGACCCAATTGTGCGAGTGAAGGCGATGACGAGATACGCTGCAGCCCTTGAAGTAGCTTCGTTCGTCTCTTCGGTGGATCGATAGGAATGGCCTCAGAATGCTCAATTGGCATATCTGCAGACCCTTCGGCCTCGAGAATCATGTCTGGCACCGCGCTTGCCATTGTTGGCAGATTCGCTGTCGTTGTTTGTTTGGTGAAATAAAAGTGTGGTGATGCTATTGTCGCACTGGATGTTATATGCGGGGTTTATTCGCCGTACTGAACCTTACTTTCGACGGGCCAGGAATATCCTGTTTAACGAACTCTTACTGCCAAGTATTATGAGATCTTAACGAACGACTCGGGGAGCATTCATGGAGAGGGACCTCGTCGAAACAAGAACGTGGTGAAAGAGTCAGGACATTTGCAGTGGTCGTGAGCTCAGAGCAGCTGTTTTTCTGACTCTCCTCGGTTCGAGGGGTCGCAAGAGAACTTAATACGTTGGACGATCGGCGCTGACTATGGAAAGCGTCAACACTCATGCACTCAGAGAAGAAGTTGTTGGCCACGCTCCGAATGAAGACACGCAGGAATGAATCATTACCTGAAGAGAAGGGAATGTTTTCACTTCGAATGTCTGGTCGTGCGAGGGGAGATCAGCGATTGTCGCCAAATCTTCTTATCGATAGCGGGAGCACATGAACACCCAGTTCGACCATCAGGCGACACCTCCAAAGTTCTTCTCAAAAGATAAAGAGTCAGCTCGACACACGCATGAAGCTGAAGCTGGAAAAAGGTTCACAGGACGGCGATTCGAGGAAGAGAACAAGAAGAAGAGGGTTACAGATGGAACACACTGACCCTTCTGTCTAGATCCTAGTCTCGTTGTTGGTGTTTGCTGGGAACGGGAAAAAGAAGTAACGTCGACTATCGGACTACACGAATTATGCAGGGCAATATGCAAGCCCTCGCAGACCAATCTGCACCCAAGACTTTTAGGGACATCCAGAGGTAGCGGTTGAAGCCCAAACCCACCGCACACCTTGACAGTTCCCTTCACAGACCGAAGACGATATATTTTAGTGTCACAGCGTCGTCCTCATTGGCATAGAAGGAAGCAGACCCCGAGTGTCGGTTCCAGCTTACTCGAGCGCTTTCACGAAACGGGCATTGGAATCTGCTGTACAGCAACCTGGCGTCGGGGAGCGCGTGTGGGGCTCAACTCTCAACTTCTCAGCTTCTCCTCTTTCCTTTTCTTTCGTCCACTACCAACCGTTCCTCGACCTACGGCTAAGAGGTCCGATTCAACGTACAGTAGCAGCAAATAGTCTGCGTTCCCAAGAGACTTTTACTCGCCAACAGTATCCCGCTAGATGTCGAGCCGTCGCGGTGGCGGAGCCGGAAAAACTCGTGCCTCTTCCTCTTGGGCCCGGATTATTGGAAAAAGCAGTAACAACATGCGTCTTCCGGCGCTATTATCGGACGGCTTGATGTTCTGGCCTTCTCGAAGCTATCGAAACCATGTCTGGGCTGATCTTTCGGTACCACATCCTGTGCCCAGAAGTGGGAAGCGTTATCAGCATCTTCGGCCATTTCCCCACGGACGATAAGAGAACCCTACGTGCATGGAGGGACGATGAGTGCAACCTTTGATTCTACTAAGTCCTGAGACATATTTGGCATGTGCCACAAAGTTCTCAAGCATAGAAGAAATAGAGAGGACTTGCACCATAAAACGAGTACAACGTCAAAGAAGTCCACCTCATGTGCTCCGTCCAGACCCCATTCTTGAAGAATAGATTCACTTCAGCTTCCCCACAACTAAATTTAGTCAAACGGCTCGGTCACGGAAAAGCGGGTTTGTTTTGTCCCCTCACAAACAATTGGCAGCAGAGTTCCATCAACAGTGTCTTCCTCAAGCCTTAACGACGGTCTCAGAATGTCTTCACTGCCAACGATCTTCACGATGGTTCCAGGATAGCGAGTGCCCCATCACGAGGCCAATGAATGACTGTGGTCGTGTGCCACTCTCACACGCCATTATTGACCGCTCTGGACTTCTGAAGTCTCTTATTTTTGATGCGAAGAACATACGACCTGACCCCAAACGATACCTTGACTCTATTCTCCGACCTGAGCCTTCACAGCACTTCCTGGCAATTCTTTACGGTTCGAACGTATCTTTATCAATCTGATGATTCCTCCAAGGTGGCACGCCCCAAGCATTTCCTTGCTGCCCTTAATCTGACTTCGACATTTCTCAGAGTTCAGATGAATCTAGAGACAAACTAAGAAACAATGGGATGAAATGGTCGAATGATCTCGAAGTGCAGATGGGACATCTCTTCCTCTGCCATTTTATTGCTATTTGAGCGATTAGAGCTCCGGGTTTAAACCATGCGCGCATCTAGGAACTTTCAAAAATTCAAGGTCAACATGAAAGTCCAACATTGACTCGCTTCCGCCGACACAGAGACCAACTCCGCACAGATCTTACTGCTTGACGACCTTGTATAATAGAGCTGCGGCTCACGATTCGGAATGTCATCACGGCGAATAGAAATGAGGCCTCAGATGTCAGCATCATCGACCTTTACATATCTTCAGGGTAAGCGATATCGAGCTAGGGACAGGTGAGTGCTGTAGTAAGTCTCCGAATTGCCATGTGAAAGACTGGTGAGAAGGTGTCTATCTCTCACCTCAGCTCAGTCATCATCTTGAGCATTATTTCTTGAGTTCTTCATTCAATAGTCTAGGATGAAGTTAGAGAAAGAGCACCGACGACAATGACTCGTAGCCAAGCAAATTCGGAGGGCCCAACTCCGACCATCGCAACAGAGAGGGAATGGTGTAACAACACTTCTTCATCGTGAACGACCCCCATAGCCAAAAGGAACTGCTTGCATACATCTGACATACACTGAGTCAATCGTGGCCATGCCCAGCCATTTTCATTGGTTGCTCCTGTGAGGAAAAACTGCGATGTCCCCGGATTCAGCTCAAAACACACTCACTCATAGACGATCCGATGGTAGGTAGTGAAAAGCAACACATGACCTGTAACGCTGCACTTCTGCTCCCACATTGGGGACTTTGGTGCTTCCTGGGTGATTCATCAGCTGTCGTGCACTGTACAAGCAAAGATTTGCTTCAATTTCTTCAGTGCTGCTGCCAGTCACCCAATTCCCACGGCGAAGTCCTCGGTCGTTGGGACATCGCGCACTTGTACCGGCCTGTCAAGACACATCTCATTCGGTGGCGCAGCTCAGACTCTACTCCAGATTTTGAGTCTGCCGCCTCCCACGTAATCCAGAAGACAATTATCTACCCCTCCGTCTGTACCGATAAACATCGATTTGCACGTGTGACGAAGAGGTCGAATTGTGCCTCTCATCTCTATCCTCCCTATATTGTGCATATTGAGACACGCAGCTCGTTTTCCGCCACTCGATGTTTTGCCTATAACAAGTGGAGCGGAGTCCTTCATCTCCTTGGTCAATTTGTTGCGCCGAGTCAAATCAAACGTTCTACATTTCATCCCACGTCTAGCTTCCACGGTTTTATGATACAGGACATCCGGACTTTTTCCAAACGCGTCCTTCTCTGAGGAACACAAAATCACGGCGACCGCAAATACAGCCACGGTTACGTGCAGCAGTCGAGTGCCACATTCCTCCTCCACGGTAGCCTTGCAGCGGTTGGGCTTCTGTTTTGACATATCCGGCGTCTGTGAAGGCTTGGAAGTTGTCACGTCAAACCAAAGCCCCGAGCGACCCTAGACATCTGGCCTCCAGCCACGAAGTCTTCGTCCACGTCCTCTCGTGTCCAATTATGCTGGAGCCAGATGGACCAAACCATCATGGTGAGTGATTGTTATTTTTTCCTGGCATTTTCCAACATCATTACCGCCGGTTCGGAGTTTCTGGGGAACGACAGCCCAACGCCTTTGTCCCGAGCAAGCGCGAGACTAAAGGCAGCTCATTCCCCAGTACCCCTCTTCATAATATTACATGTTGGATATCTGCCAAAACATACTCTGCAAAATACTAATCTTCTTGCGATCTGCAGGCGTCGATATACTACAGCGAAAGAGTGAGCGAGGAAGCTCTCGGTCTCTCTCACCCGGTCCAGCAGGCGAACTACACATCCAAAAGAACAGGAGTACCGGCAACCTCCTCGCTCTCAATAGTGGGACCGAGAAAGCAAGAATACGCTTTTCGTTCGATGCAGGGCTGGCAGCTGCAGAGTATGATTCGATGTCAAGGTGAGAAGTCCGGTTTTTTGACGGAGGAACATACATGAAATCCAGTCAGAAGGCTCTATGTGTCTCGGATGCCTGTGTATTGAACTATCAAGTCCGGATGACTGACTGAGTCTTTCATTCAGATCTCCCATCATGACGGAGCACGAGCATGGCCTCGGTGCTTCTGGCTTGAGGCGTATTCGGCAACAACCTCCTCTTCGAGCTCCTACCCTACCTGCCCCGGAATCGACATCATCCTCTCGTAACGCATCCATCGTAGCACCTCGTTCAGGCTCGATGTCTTTAACATTATCAAACTCTCGAGTAACCTCTATGATTATCCCTTCCGGACCTTCCTCACCAGTCCTGAATTTTACAGAAGACCTCAGTCGGTTTCCATCCGAATCCTTACACTCCTTCTCCTTTGCACACCAGTCAGAGGAGTTCATACACAACCGGCAGAACGTCTTGAAAAGATCTGTGGAGTTCATGTCACAAAAATTAGGATGGGGCAACACAAATGCTGGAATTGCAAGTGCTCAAGCCCGTGTAAGTGGGGATCAAGAAATGCAAGGAATGCTGGAGCTCCTGGCGAGGGCTAAAGTAGTGGGAGCGAACAATATCCCAGGATTTGTGCAATCGCACTTGGCCGGGCCTTTGACAGGACCAGCGATTTCTGAGGATTCCGGGAACATATTCGAGACTAGTTTCCTCCCACGGTCAGAAAGTCCAGACGAGTTCTTCGAAAGTCCTCGATCCTCGCCTTTGACAACCAAGAGACCTGCTCTACCGACTACAGATGAAGACCCAACGAAGAAAAGTGAAACGGAAAACCTGAAGGAAGTTCCAAATCTACTCCTTCAAATTGACTCTGATAGCGCTTCTTCCCGGACACCCACGAACGAGAGTCGAACAACTGCCAAAACGTCTCCTCCTGTCACAAGGCGTGCAAGTTTGAAGCGTACATTCACAGATACGGCACCTTTGTCTCTACAAAATAGGTTGATGGACGCTTTGGCTCAGCCATATATAGCTGGCGATTTTCTGCATGAACCACTACTCTCCCCAACTGTTCCCCAATCTGCTGGAGCTTCGTTCGGCGTCTCAACTCCTCATCCTTTAGGTCCTGCGGTACACGGCCACTCTAGCAGGTGGTCGCCAGCAGCACAAGCTATATTCACCACGGAAAGCACCGCGCCATATACAATTTTGGCTGCAAATGATCTTGCATGTCTTGTTTTTGGAGTTACTAAGGCGGAAGTGCGAAAAATGGGTATTATGGAAGTTGTCCGAGAAGAAAGGAGAGCATGGTTAGAAGAGAAGTTGGCGGCGCCGGGGCCAACTGGAGCATCAGAATCCGGGCGATCAAGTCCAAGGTCACCTCAAAGTCAACAACCGAGTCCCACACCTTCAACGAGTAATTTTCTACTGGGCAGATCCGGTGGTGTCACTGCAGCCCTTCTCAGTCGACCAAATTCACGACAATCTCAAAAACCTCCGAGAAGAGCACAAACAGACGACGGTGCTGGATCCAGTATGGTTCAACGAACAAAGGTGGTCAAAGGCGGTTTGTATCACCCGAACAATAAATCCCGAGGCGTCTTACTTTGTGGAGATGTTGTACCAATCCAGAAGCGCAACGGTGCTACCGGTTCAGCCAGTCTGTGGGTGAAGGAAAAGAAGGCTGGCCTAATATGGGTTCTCGAGGAAATACACGAAGATGTTGCTGTGCTCAGTCTCGATGAAGACGCAATGGTGACCAAGATCACAGGGTCAACAGGTCCAATCTGGGGAGAAAACATCACGAGGGTGGGCATGGATGTCGGTAAGCTCATTCCTAGAATACCACGGCAGGGTATCGATGGCAAGAGCGGAGAGCTTGATTATGCCGAGATCTCGAAAAGAAGATACTTCACTGCTCGGAACTCAGGGCGTGTCAATATACCTTGTATGATCGATAGGGTACCAGATGGGACCGACCTGAGAGTGTCCAGCTTTCCCCATATAGCTGGAATTATGGTGCTCTCCGCTCAGACGCTCACAATCACAAGTTCTAACTCGGTATTCTCAGCGGCTCTTTTCGGACAAGAGAAACCGGATGGACGGCCGATCACTGACCTGATACCGGACTTTGATCGAATGCTGAGAATCCTTACTGAAGAAGATGGTGTCCACCTTGTTGACGGCATTGTCATCCCCGAGCACAGCTTCCGCCGTGCAAGAGCTTTCCTAGCTTTACGAGATGGCAAAGCAGACGCGGCGTCTTATTTCCTTCGACCAGATGGATTACCAGCCAAGCACAGAGATGGTTTAGAGATCAAAATAGATGCACAACTGAGAGTTGTGAAGTCGGATAGCAATCCTCCCCCAGTCTTCGACGAGAACGTGATTGAAGAGAGAAGTGATGAAGAAAACGATCACGTCAAGCCGCCGAAACCTGAACCCTCAAGCGAACTTGTCTATGCCTTATGGATTACTTATTCACGACACATCCACGCCTCCAGACAAAACCTTGGAGCTGCTTCTCCATTACTCTCTGGAGCGGTTACGCCTTTGCACCAACCATCACCTGGTCAGACCGAAATCGCTAGTCCTATTGAGATGGAGTCATCAGATGAAGAGCCCAAGAAGGAGCGATCCCACGCGTCTTTGCTGACTGCTCAACTTAAGGCTGCTGCTAAGAAAACAGCCGCGAAGCTCACAGGTCGTGAGCCACCTGCAAAAGTGGAAGAGAAGAAGGCAGACCCAGTACCAGATATCGTTGAGCCAGCTCATAAGAAAACTATTGATGATTTTGTCATTCTCGAGGAGATGGGTCAAGGTGCTTATGGTCAGGTCAAACTTGCACGATACAAGAAAAATGGCAATAGGAAAATGGTTCTGAAATATGTCACGAAGCGCCGTATTCTGGTTGATACCTGGACTAGGGACCGACGATTAGGCACAGTTCCATTGGAAATTCACGTTCTCGATTACCTTCGAAGGGACGGGCTGAAGCACCCCAATATTGTCGAAATGGCCGACTTCTTTGAGGATGATGTCAATTACTACATTGAGATGATTCCGCATGGCCTACCAGGAATGGACCTCTTCGACTATATTGAGCTTCGGGTGAATATGGAGGAGGACGAGTGCAGAAGCATCTTCGTTCAAGTCGCAAGAGCTATCCACCATCTTCACACCAAGGCCTTTGTGGTCCATCGTGACATCAAGGACGAGAATGTGATCTTGGACGGCGAGGGGAACATCAAGCTCATTGACTTTGGCAGTGCTGCGTATATCAAGAACGGACCCTTCGATGTTTTTGTTGGAACTATTGGTAAGTTCATTTTTGCATTTCCAAACCTATAATTTGCTGATAGTATTTTCAGATTACGCAGCACCAGAAGTCCTGGCTGGCAAGCCCTATCGCGGCAAAGAGCAAGATGTCTGGGCACTTGGCATCCTCCTCTACACAATCGTCTACAAAGAGAATCCTTTCTACAGCATCGACGAGATCATGGACCGCGACCTCAGAGTTCCGTATGTGATGAGCGACGACAGCATCCATCTCATCCGAGCAATGCTGGACCGTGATCTCGACAAGCGGATCACCATCGAGCAAGTCCTTGAGCATCCTTGGTGTCAGCAGCCCGAGGATGATTGAGGGTTATTGAGGCGCGCGGTGGAGAAGTTCTTCTGTGCTACAATCAGCTCTGGTTCTGGAAACGAAAATGAAGAGGAAGAGGAGAGGGAAAGAGCAGGCTATTTCTTTTAAAACGCGTGTGAAGCGCAGATTTTTTTTTCTTTTCTTGTCGATGCTTTGATTTGGCGAGCGAGTCGTCGTTATCGTTCAGCGAGCAAGCGAGCGAAGATGATATGATATATCCACGAGAACAATAGATTTCATGAGTTTATGATCAGAGTTGAGACGGGTGGGTTGGAGGAAGGATGATACCCGGGATAAATAAATGATGGATGGAAAGGAGAAGGAAGGAAAGAAGCATTTGGGAGGTACCTTTGCTGTGAAATTGCATTGCAGAGGATTGGGATTTGGACGGTGCATTGTCTTGTTAGGCTGTAATGGCTGGCTGGCTGGCTGGTTGGTTGGGTGGGATTGGGTTGGGTTGGGTGGCTACCTCGCATTTTGATCCGAGCATTTTTGTGTGTATAGGTGGTGAAGAGGCATGGTAGATTGGCAGGCAGGCAGGGTGAGATGAGAAAGAATAAGATGAATTGAAGATGAGCTTTGCTTGTGTGAGACGCTTGTGTATTACGTGAGGTGAGGACAGAGACTCTCGGTTGTGTATCGTCAGGTTTAGTGGAAGTTATTGGCACCTTGCGACACGCAATAAAATATTTTTCGAAAATGATAAGAAAAGCATACTAGCGAAGACATGAATAGTGGATTTTGAGTATCGTTTTGCCACTATTGTCGTGTATGTGACTTATACCCTCGCAATCCAATTCCCAATCCATAAAGCCTCTTTCTGTAGCAGCTTCTGATCTAAAGTATAAACACTCTTCATCGTGTCCTACCCACAATCCCATCAGCTCCGACTCGCCCCGGACTTCACATCCAAACCTCCACCCTCCAGTCCTTATCTGGCACACTCTCTCAACATTTCCCTTCTCCCCTCCCATCCTCCTAAACTAAAGCCCTCCCTCTCCCTCCTCAGGCAACGGCACATCCCTAGCCTTTTTATAAGTCCTCGCGAGCTCTAACCACCAAGCGAGATCTTTGTCTGCGTAGTAATCTGCTGTTTTGTCTTCTGGGTTTCCGTTGCTTTGTGGTTTGGTGGTATCCATGGTTGTGTTCAAAGATGAAGAATGAGATGGGAGCGGACGAGCAAGGAGTGGGAGGTGCAAGGAGGAATGGGGTATTTATGACGGTGATATGTTGGCGCCTTGACTAGTGCTAGAGGGTTTTGTGGGTGCCTGATGTTGGAGTCGATGTGGGTCAGGAAAAATAGATAGCGAGGGTATTGCCTGAACAGTTTCATTGAAAATGGATCGTATAGTTCGGTATTGGAGATTCCGAGGATTATGAGTGTAGAGTTCTGTAAGTACATGTTGGACTTCATTGTGGACGAAAGTCACTGGACGGTCAAGGAGATCGAAGAAGGGATTTAATGTGATTATTAGACAAACAATACTCAATATAATGTCTCTATTGCATGAGATAAATTTACTGGGGAAACCCTCAAATGAATTCTTGCTGTGTTGGGGTGGCTTAGCTTCACTCAGGGAGACGGAAAGGGGTAGCTCGCTTAATCCACTTGGTGGAGAAGAAGAGTACAGGACGGTGGTGCGGGCACTCCTATAGCACAGCGATAAAGATCGCTGAAGCAGACTCTCCTGAAAGTGCCAATTGACTGTGCAAATAAATTGTATGCGAATCAATCTATCGTTTTGAGGTCATCTCGTTGCTTGAGCTCAGAGAAAAGCAGCTTGATTGTAGGTAGCAGGTCAGATAGGTCCTTAGGTCTTGCATATCCTCCACATTTTTTGAACATATTGAGAAGAATTCCAAATTAGATACATTAAGATTAAAACGGCGGTAATGTCTTGAACATATCATTTATCGAGACTCATGAGAACGTTGCGGCGGTGCTCCTTCTCGTGAATCAGCCTGAGGGGACAATCGATCCTTCATCTTGAGTCGAGCAGATGAACAGAAGATAACACTAGTACAATTTATGATTACGAACAACTGAGAAGGGTAATTGAGAAGGGCAATGTCTCAACGATATCATTCAGCACTTGCTCGAATAATGGGCAGCCAAGACTTGGTTTTTATGGCCAACATAACCCGTCGTTGAAGAATACATACAACTCTCACTATTACAGTAAAGAAAATATTCACAGCAATGATCGTCTCCTAACATGTCAAATAAGGCTGAGGGGTGAAGTCTTTCTCCTGCAGGTATAGACGAGGCTGAAAGACGCTTAGCGCGACTTTAAAATGGGGCCCTGTGAGTTGTTCCTCAGCCTTGAGCAAACAAGATGGTTCAAGCCCGCATAACACATCGACGACTTCAACACCGAAAGCAACAGCATAACATGTTGTCTCATGGCATCTGGCTAGGAATCCCTCCCTCCTGAGCGCCTTCAGAAGCGTCGAGTCTCCCCTGACCAATGTCGCGACTCCAACCACGTTCCAAGTCGTTAGCAACTTCGAACGTCTCTTCACAGTCCGCGTCTGCCATTAGCAGAGAACCTCAGTCGCGACCTGCAACTCCCATCACACGTCGAAGTACCCGTCCGCCAAATTCTGATCCGCTGTCAGAGCGTGCGACTCTATTTCTTATCCGACGGACACTGTGCTCACAGCTCGGTGAGAAGGGTCGCAGTACACCAACACCTATCGATGCTCTGCTCCCGCCGTTGACGAGTAGCAATGAAGTCGATTTGCAGCTATATGCCTACATTTCAATTATCATCAGAGACTTCGTGCAGACATGGTACGGAAAGATCACCCCGGACCAGACATTTGTGGAAGAGGTATTGAGGATCATCGCACATTGCACTAGAGCATTGGAGCAGAGATTGAGAAAGGTTGATCTCGAGAGCTTGCTATTCGACGAAGTACCTGAACTATTAAAAGCACATGTTGAAGGTGCGAGACTATCAATAATGGAGCGGAATTGGAATACTGATGCTGCCTAGCATATCGCATTTCTCACAGCAAATTACACCCACCACCTTTTGAACAAGATCCCAGGCAAATCTACCACTCCCTATGGCCTTTCCCGCCTTTGTCCACGATCCCTGGAAACGAGGACCAAGCTACGAAGCTGCAACAAGAAAATGAGTCCGCATACAGACAGTTGCTAGTGCAAGGAGTCTTAGCGGTTTTGCTTCCTACAGAAGATCTAGAAAATGAATGTCTGACAGCCCTTGTGGGGCAGGTATTTTCAGACATGATCATAGGAGGTAGCATCGGCGGAAAGGTTTCCGAGCCATGGATGTTGTTGGATGGCATCACAAAAATTGCAGAAGCAATCAAAGCCCAGCTCCCGAAATCAAAGGCTCAAGTCCGAGTTGAGAGGTCCAATTCCAACCTCATGGGCATGAGCCCAACTCATCTGAATAGTCTGAATGGAGGAAATACGAGAGTATGGCGGATCAAACGATCACTTCAAAAGACGTTTTGGCTCATCCTTCAATATGGATTTCTCGCGTTCACAGCGGTTCGGTTTTTTATTGTCACTTTTGCCACGGCATCCTCCCTTCCTTCTCGTATAGGAAATACGACGAAAACCATTAATGCGGCACTATCGAAAGATGGAGTCGAGGCGGGAGGAGACATGTCAAACACTGAGACTGGATTAAATTCTAGTCAACACACGACGTCCAAACAACCCATCATGAAGATGAAGATTTGGTCCTGTGCCTCAAGTCTGCTGGATCTAGACGTACGCATGCCGTGGCTGAGCGCCACAATATCTCTTCTGCAATGGGTCGCAATTACCGGGCCTGGGGAAATCGGGAACACGGACGGGATGGTTGACAAGTGAGTGATGACTTTCTGAAACTCGTCCAAACACCTTTCATTCCATGTCCTGGCGCCTAACAGCTATGTCACACCGCATGAGCGTACGGTCACTTGACCTGGATTGTCCCAGTCATAGTCGAGAACACGATATTTCCTCGTTCTGGAAGTCCAGGCGTCCCTATCTTCCGTTATCGCTTTGCATAACAGGCCTGTCTCGAGGTGTTGAAACGGGAAGGCGGTTATGGCTGTCGAATTCTCCAGCAATTGAAGCCAGACATCCCGTCCACTAAGCAGAAGACGTCTTGATGCTGTACAACTGCCACCCCTGCTCTCGATTACATTTGCTTTTCGCTGCTCATTCAATGGTGTCATGCAAAATCGGCCCATCATGGTCGACCGACGAATTTCGTTCCCAGTCGCTCTATGGCGATGTCATGCCGCATAATTCAAACGTTTTGAGTCCCTTGTCCGCATAACCTGACAATGACACCCATGCCCTCGTTTCGCGAGCGGTGTTGGGAATCGAGCTTGAGTGAGCCTTACAACCGCATCCTTTACGCGCCCGGCGTTATTGTTGCAAGGTCTGCTTATCCGGCTACCTCGCGTCGTACCGCACCTTCCTCCCGCTTCAAGCGGGCACTCGCAGCCACTCGTTTTTGATGTCGCCTTGTGTTTGCTTTAGCTCCGCATGGCCTCCTCCACAGTGGCCTTAGAGCGACCTAACTTGCGCATCATCACTATCTCCATCCTTGGAATCTGGAGCCTTCCCTAGTAGCTCTTTGGGGGCCCTTTCTGCAAGTTTGATGCATACAACTCCAACATCTCCGTCTACACAAAACATCGAATCTTCATGCACGCCTCGCTCTCCGCTGCAGGCTTATGGCGGCGCTTTAGTTGAGGACAAACCTCCAATTACCAAGTCATTGGCTAACGTACGATGTGCTTACAGGATCCTCTCCCACGCAATTCAAACCCACGTGCTGAATCCAGCATTGCTGCCCTTAGTCTTACGCCTTGGACGCGCTGCTCTGTTTCCCAACAACGCTTTAGGGCCCCCACGTACGATGCCCGCTGCGGCCGAGCAACTCCTTATTCGACGCCGATGCGCTGAGACGATCTTGTCCCTCATACCGGTCAAGGTGCAAGACGTATATTTCGGCGCTGGTATAGAGCGGAGAGTCAAGGAAGTCGAGGAGGGCTTGGACGCCTTCAGTGATCCTTATTGCAACAAGCACTTTCTATACGGGGTCGTAGAGTTGATAATCGTACGCCTGATGCCCGAGTTGACAGAGAAAGGGGTTGCAGAACTGCTTGAGGAAAGGCTTAGTTAGCTTAGCAGCAGAACAATGGAATGCTTTCACTCATTCATGATCTGGACGATATTTTGTCAAAAGGGCCTCCCAAAAGCTCAGATGGGCCGCCTCAAGTAGATTTGAAAAAAGTACTAGACTGCCTGACTGAAATATGATGATCATGACCCTCCCACTTCCCACTGGCCCCCCTTTGCTCCCTGAAGGCACGTTGTCCTGGCCAGTTTCCATGTCCCGTCCGCTTGCTTGCGTGCATCTTGCGATGTCTGCTCTGTCTCGCGTTCCCTTCCCCCCTTCCCACCCAAATGAATACATCCATGAAGCCTTTCCAGACCTCTACCAATCCAAGTATGAAAACACCTCAAACCGAAGCCCGAACCAACGACATCCACTCGAGGCAATGCTCCCCAAGTCCAAAGATAAAAACAACAAGACACCGCGTACAAAAAATGACAAACGACGCAACTGATTGCGCATAACGAGAAAGGTAAGAAATCTTGCTTGGCTATAGAAATAGAGAATCGAAAAAATAGCGAGTTCGCGTGAGCGGGAGAGTGTATCCTGGGGTATATTGAGAGAGATTTTGGTTTCCGGATCCGTTCGGTGCCAGCCTGCACCCCGACCGAGTAGAAGAAGAAGAGCGTGGAGAGAGTATAATGGTACGAATAGTAGAAAAGGACATGAGTTTGAAGAGGAAGAGAATAATAAGATCGATCCAGGAGGCGCTTCGGACGCCGATGTACAAAGTAGCTGAGGAAAGCAGAGGAACGCCGTGGAATGTGTTCGTGTTGCGAGAATGCTGGTAAGGACAGAGTTGAAGGAGGACAGATTCGGAATGTACAAGAATTTGGGGTTGGGGGAAAAGTCGTAGATATGGTCATTAACAGCCTGCGCTCATGGATTGCTCCATTTTAGGGGCTTGGAGCTCGCAGTCTTGCTCTGCTATTCGGTGAAGTCCTCCGGGTAGAGGTGCATTCAGTCGTAGTCTCTCGGTGAGCTTCATAACAGTCATGTACTCGTTCTGATCAACTAAGCCATTGGGGGCTTGGTTGAAGAAAATGAGCAACGTGTCCAAAGCCCGTCGAGCATCATCTTGAGTTGGAGAGCTTGGTGCTGAGGATCCAGGTGGTGATTGTAAACCAGTGATAGGTGTACCTGTTGATGGTGGCGCCATGGATCCATTGCTACTGCTGTGGTGCAGTGGAGGAGAAGAGATGGCCGAGTCCATTCCAAACGGTGGTCCAATCTCCTGATTAGGAGAATCCAGAGCTGACGAAGGAGCTGTCGCCGGCATGCTGTACTTTGGTGTCAGGGGCTCGGTTGACTGCGAGGAGATGAATGAAGGGTCGATTCCAAGCATCGGGAACGTTTGACTACGTGGTCTCTGAAAGTTGTTCCCTGGTGGTGGTAGTCGGGACTGTTGTGAAGGCATCCAGCCAGAACTGTCAGGAGAAAAGGCAAAAGGAGCACTTGGGCTCGTAGGACCCCCTGAGAACGAAGAAGGATTGTTCTCTGTAAACGCACTTGACAGAGAAGTGGTACTCTGGGAATTCGAATGTCGATATTCGCTGTTCTCTTGGCCAAATTCAAGGTATCCATTCAGACTGTCAGATCTAAGGTCTTCATTGCTCTTGCTGGCGGACAATGGTGAAGGAGATGGCAAACCGCTCGGTGAAGTTGGAGAGATACCATTCGGTGTTTGTGAAGCTGAACCACCAGCTGAGTCTGGTGCCAATGATCCACTGTCAGAGATGTTTGTCTCCGAGGCTCTTCGAATTAACTTGGCTCCTCCGATGCCGTTCTTTTGCTTGAATTTCTCCAACCAACTGGTGCTGTTGGTCTTCAGATGGCTTTCGTTGTTGCCCACAGTAGTTGCAAAGAATCTGGCCTTTTCTTTGATTGAAGAGTCTGTTATTGGGTGGCCTTGCTTTTGCATGTTTCTGACCCAGTTCGATAATGCTCTTTCGATGTCCGGAAACTTGCCCTTGGCACGTTTGACTGGAGACAAGCTCCGGTCTTCTGGGAAGAGATACTTCTCCCTCTGACGAAGAACCTTCGAGACAGTGCTGTAGATTGATATTTAGTAGACGAACAGAACGAACATACTTTAGACCCATACCTTCGCTCAACACCAAACATAGCTACAACCAAGTTAGTAGAATTCAGAGACGGAGGATTACACATTTCTCACCTCCAATTTCTGTCTGTTTCACAGACGGATTCTCTTCATGGTATTGACACATTCGTCTTCTGTCACTGTCCGTCAGGGTTTTGCGTGGAGTTGATGTCGCATGGATTGCTGGTAGTTTGGCACCGTTCCCTTTCACTACAGGAGCTGACACTGGAGGAATTGCAACTGGCGGCGCTGAATAACTTGCTGGGTTCGTCAGAAGACTGGGCCATGTTGGATTGCTGGGCATAATGAGGGGTAGCAGCTGCTGGTGGGTTGTGTGCGGCGGTGGAGGCTGTGGCATTCTCGGTGGATTGTACGACTGCTCAGTACCATTGTGCTGTTGTTGAAGCGGTTGCATAAAGGCAAAACCTCCATGTTCGTACATTGGCGATTGATGCTGCGACGAGTTGTAGCTATGGCTGATATCTACCCATCCGTCGTTGGGCCCATAGGTATTGTCGTGCGAGGAGTGGTGCTCGTGCTCCATCCCAATCTGCGCCATGATGGACTCGTGCATTCTTTTGAATAAATGCTCGGCTCCAGTAATGTTTTATGCGAAAACAATGCAATTGCAAGACGAGTGAGTGATCGTGCCCTCGCAAGGCGTCTCGATGGTGATGTGTTCCTGGCTACTGTAAGGCAGTCCCTCAAGAACGGCAGACTGCATGCATGATAAGCAATGGTTCCTGGCTGCGGCGTCAATATGTGAACCCTGTCTCTTGACTGCAGCAGCGTTGGAGTTGGAAGAGGCAAGACGGTCGAGTTGACAGCGCGGACGGATGCTTAAACGCGCAAACAGCATAAAAGCAAGTAGTCGGAGAAGGAGTAGCAGAAAGGGAGCATGCACGTCGAGAAGACAACAATCGGTCTGAGTGCCGGAAGAGCACAGAGATAGATGGTGGTGGTGGTGGGAGATGTATGTGCGACCTGAGGTACGGGGGATGGGGGACTGGGCCTGGGAATTGGGACGGGGTGGTGGCAGGTTTTGCAGGGTTTGGTTAGAAGCACAACAGCAGTACTGTAGCAGCAGCAGCAGCCAGCTCCCATGTGCGGTGCGGAGAAGCCAGACGAGCCAAACCGAAGCCAGCCCAGTCAGGCCAAACCGGCCAGAAAGGCCCTGTAGACGACCCAAGGACACAGGCTACCCTCGTACCCGTTCCCACTGAACCCTGCGAACCTTGAAAGGGCTTGACTCGGCATCCAGTCGCTACAGCCACAGCCTGTTGCGAGCCAGGGGGAGCTTCGATAGCGTGGGCGTGGGAGTGAGCGCAGCATTCGTCTACTGATCCTAGGGACCGAGACGAGACGAGAGGAGAGGAGGAGAGAGGAGAGACGAGCGAGAGCGACGACAGGAGAGGAAACGAGAGACGAACAACCAGTGTCAACCACAGAAATCTCCGGCGGCGTGTGTATGTGTGTCCAGGGGAAAAGCCCGATGCCAGTAGTACAGTAACTGGTTTCTTCTCCAAGCACCCCAAACGGTACAATAGTACAAAATCATGCCAGACTAGTGTCCATATGGTTCAATATGGCGGCGGTCCACCAAGCAGTTCCAGCTCGACACGAGCAGCTCTAGTAGGTATGGATGGACAGTACCAGCCAAGAGCGGCATTCAAAGTCCATCTCTGCCAGTATGGTCAATATCAATCCATCAACTAGAGACGAGAGAGCAGAGCTACTACTACTAGCACCCAGGCTAACCTCCTCCCTTCCGAACCATGTTCTCGCTTCCCGACCGCAATCCACGCCATAAACGCACCATTCTCTGTCCAGCGCGGGAGCCAGTTAGTGGCCGAGTCGCTTTTCCTATCGTGAAGACTTGGGGTGGTTTGGGGGCTCAGATTAAGGGCCGCCCTATGCGTCTCCATTTCCTCTTCAAGCCGCGGGCAGATCAAAAGGCCAAATCTGTTTTCGATGCGATCTCGATTCTTTGTCCATCTTTATTCGAATCCGGAGCAGCAGCAACAGCAGAAGAGCCTGCAAAACAGAACTACTACCCTGCGGGCCTAGTGGTGCTAGCCGTCTACAGGTTGCACGCAGCAGCTTTCACTTTTGCAGTTTTGAGTCGGCCGCGAATCAGAAATTCGCTGGCAACCACCCACTCCCATTCCGTTCCACTCACACAACCACGTTATTAGCCATGTCTCGCGGGTTCATCGGTGAGAGAGTCCACTTGGGCACGCGGTCCATCTTGGACTATGGCCCGTTCCTTCGACGGCACTCTTCCATACCGGGCACGAGGCTTTGTTCACTTTCTCACCACACCACACAGCCCGATCCTGGCCATCCAATGCCAGGCCCGGAGGCCAGGAAAATGGCATAAACTGCCACTTTGCGGCCTTCCTTGGCCGATATCGTTTCTGTCAGCAATCCAATGGTCGCGTCTCAAAACGTGGAGGTTGGGAGGATTTATTCAGGGAAGCCAAATGGATAAAATGATATGAACGCAGCGTCGAGGGTCCAAGCACCAGAAGCGACTTCTCGTCTCGGAAGAGATCCGTGGTCCGTCTCTGGCTGATGAGGATGCCGGCCGTGGTCGAAGATTATATTATTACCACTATCTTCTTCGACGATAATCGTTTCTCATCATCCCTCACGGCAGCGAGAAAGCCCGTCGAAGGAAGGCGAGCCAGCCAGCCAGCCAGCCAGACCATCTGTTGAGCCAGACAGACCGTGGCCGCGGTGTCTACGACAAGCTACGTACATGTGCTCACTGCTTACTGATTATGGCAGACTGCTGAGGGACGGGCTTCCATGGCTGGAGATCTCCAGCAAGAGTGATTCAGTGATGCTCAAAAAACTCCTAGCGGGACGAAAGAAGTCAAGGTCGGAAAAGCTTTTCGCCCAATTCGGGAATTAACGTCCCTGGTTTCTTTTTCTCTTGGCGAGTGTCCATTATCGTAGCATTAAAATTGCGCCGTATGGCCTGGTGTGGCACAAGCGTGGCAGACTCAAGATAAAGGATCGGCAGGAGTGAGAGACTTCTGATTCTGCTTTCTCAACACCATCAGCCTCTTCCAGAGTGGCTTGAAATCTGCGCTGATCGTTTGTTTGTCCGCCGTCTCAACGTTACCCGGTAAAGTCCATTCGTACCGTGGAACGCTCCTCGGCTCTTGCAAGTCAATCTTATCTGCTCCGGGAGTGAGATACGGAGCAACGTCTCGTGTTCTAGACTGTCAGCGGAAATCATCACCGTACCTGGACGATCGTTTCGTGCAACATCAGGCTCATGGAAATGCCCAATGGGCGTTACACCACGGGCGGGGAATAGTTCTCATTAGATTTTCTTTGAAAATGATCTTCTCCGGATTTCCAGCGGCTGCTCGAGCATGTTTCTGAATTCGTCCATTTCGTCTATCCTTATTGCGAGGAACGACAGGCTGACAGCGTCTGAAAATTCGTTAAATGCTGGACTCTGAGAGGCTAAATCACCCCCCTGATCAAATGGTGGATTCTGTCTGTGCCAACCTCTAGAGCAGCGAGTCTCCACAATTGTGGCATGCTACCCTATGATCAGGGGGAGGTGCACAGATTCGCGGGAGTCAGCGCTTAGCACAGTACCCCCAGCTCTAGATTGTAAACTTAAATTAAAAATGCACCTGTTAACATTTGAGGCTTGTTCGTCCGAAGGGACGTGGGTGAGTGTCTGGGGTATCAGTTGAGATTCTGGGTGGCAGGTGTCAAGAAAGTCAGATCCTAAACAGTCCAGTTGGTAGTTGCGGCAAAACTCTGTCGCCAGATATTGATTTAATAAATTTCTTGATTTGATTTGACCCCTTCCTTCCCAGATGCCGCGAGGCAGAACAAAGTCTTTCCCGCAATCCACGGCGAGGAGCCGCACCAAGCTTGCTGGTATTTGTGGATTGTCGAGATCCTTGGCCGTCAGCGATCAAGCATCGAGTTTTGGACCGAGAATGATGCCGTCAAATTCTGGCAAAGCCTGCTATATACATCAAAGAGCTCAATCTGGCTTCCAATTTCTGGTTCGGTGCTGGCGATTTGGATGATAAGCTAAAGCTGCGCGGTCTTGGCATGCTGGATATTTGGTAGAATATCAAAGTTCATCCTGGCCTGATGTTGTCACTTTTTGATGATGGTGACTGTTCAAAAGTTAGTCACAGATAAGGCAATAGAAAATGAGAAGAGATGGCTAGGTAGCTTACTGATATCCTCGTCACTTAGTATGTGACTGATTGAAGTGTTAGCATTTTGGTCTTATCTGATGACTGAGAATCATAAAACAGGTCCTATATTCTCAAGAGATGCAGAATCCAACCGTTAGTGTGATAGTACGAACCTTAATCCAACACGCTGCGGTTGGTGTTTGACGGACTTGCCATATACAATGGCCACCCGGAATTGCTCGACAATGGTTTTGTGGATGGCATTACACTGTATTCGTTAGCCAGGGCGTAGTGCCATATGACATGACATGAGATGGAGGCACAAGAACAGCCACTTACAAAATCTTCAACCGTTGACTTTGTAGAACGTAGGACGACGGGTTGCGTGTAATCGGGTAATTTTCCTTTAGGCTTTGTGTATACCCTCACAAGGTTCAGCTTATCCCACCTGCACGGACGTTAGCAGGGAGAACATCAGAAAGAGCCTGGTAACTGGAACACCAGGATGTGAAAAGGCTGTTACAAGAAAAGAAGTGCCAGATTAATTGGTGCGAAAGAAAAGCATGTGAATGGAACGTGGTCCCAACAACTTACATTTGCTCCATCAGCTCATCGATATTCCACCCATGCTCTGACGAGATCGGGCATGCATTGGGAATCCGATATAACAAATCTAGCTCCTCTATTGATATAGCATCAATCTTGTTCAGTGCATATATTACTGGAATATAGCTTCGGCTCTTGGCCTCCAAAACGTCAATGAGGTCGTCGATTGTGGCGTCACATCGGATTGCGATGTCTGCTGATGATATCTTGTACTCGCCCATAACCGCTTTGATCTCATCGTGATCAATATGCGAGAGCGGGACAGTATTGGTGATGCTAATTCCTCCCTTATCCTTCTTTCTGAAAACTATATTCGGCGGCTGTTTGTTGATTCGAATGCCGAAGCCTTCGAGTTCATTCTCGATAACAGCCTTGTCCGTGAGGGGTTTGTTGACATCTAGGACGATGAAAATCAAATGGCAGGTTTTTGCCACGGCAATAACTTGTCGACCTCTGCCCTTTCCGTCCTTGGCACCTTGGATAATACCTGGTAAATCCAACATCTGAATCTTAGCTCCATTGTATTGAACTTGGCCCGGCACCGTTGTCAGTGTTGTGAATTCGTATGCTGCGGCCTCCGAGTGTTGTCCAGTAAGTTTGCTCATGAGCGTACTTTTTCCCACAGAGGGAAAACCAATAAAACCCACACTAGCCACACCAGTTCTCGCAACATCGAAGCCTGCTCCTCCTCCACCTCCACTAGTTGTAGGAGTCAAGAGTTCTCGCTTTAACTTCGCAAGTTTCGCTTTCAGTTGTCCCAAATGAAAACTAGTAGCTTTATTGCGCTGCGTTTTACTCATCTGATTCTGTTAATATTGAAGTTCGATAAAACGTCTGAGTGTCTTACTTCGGCCTCAATGTCCTTAATCTAGTGGGGCATTAGTATAACGCTTTTCAAGTGGGCTAGGCTGATACTCTTGAACCTTATCTACTGTGGTCGCCATGATTACGGATTCTTAGTTATGCTGCTGCAGACGCAGATAGATATTCAATGGTCGTTGTGGTCGTGGCGGGGTTGCTCCGAGAAATTTCGATGTGGGGAATGCGCACTTCGAGATTCAAATAATTTTGGTCGCCGCATGTGCACAGACCACATCCACTAGCACAATCACGTGTTGAACCAATATTTGAAGCTTCTTCAGTGACTGAGACTTGCCTTCCATGAGTTTGTACATAATGGACCCCTCGACTATTTGCAAGCTGTTCTTTGGTCTGGGGACTGCTGTCGATCTTGGAGGCACTTTAATACCTTCGTTCAGGGAGAGTATCATGAATTATGGTTCTCGCGGGATCAATACTCGGCCAACTAATGCTGACGATTCCAAATCCAGGCTCAAAAGGATCTTCGAATATATTGCCGCTATTCAAGTCCCTCATACCTGGTTCACTCACTACTACATCGTCTCCGTGGCTTCTTCGATATTCTGGGCTCACCAGATATATACACATGGGCCAGCTTTCGAGTATCTCGTCTCTCATTCAAAACACGACCCGGAAGGAGTGACCGTCAACCAGATATTCATGGCATGGCTTTTCATGGCTCTTCAAGGCTCTAGGCGTCTGTACGAATCTATCACACTCACGAAGCCTTCAAAGTCAAAAATGTGGGTTGGACTTTGGTTGATCGGTATTGCATATTACGTTTTCATGGGAATTTCTGTCTGGATTGAAGGAATTGGTGAGAACAGCGCTTGATTTGCTCTTTCTTGAAGCTAATCCTCTAGAAATTTTAAATCAGAGCGACGTGGAAGTAAAGCTGTCGAAACCATCTGTCAAGACCCTTCTTGCGGCTCCGCTCTTTCTTCTAGCATCTGGGGTCCAGCATGAGTGTCACAAGCATCTTGCTAGTCTCAAGAAATATACTCTCCCACAGCAGCGTTTCTTTAGATACGTTGTTTGTCCACACTATACCAGCGAATGCCTGATATATGTAGCTATAGCAATCGTGGCAGCCCCCAAAGGTTATCTCCTGAATAGGACGGTACTCGCGGGTCTTGGATTTGTGGTTTCGAATCTTGGTGTAACAGCAGACTCGACAAAGAAGTGGTATGTAGAGAAGTTTGGGGCTGAAAATCTTGCTGAAAGATGGCGTATGGTGCCATATGTCTATTGAGTGCATCAGCGTTTGCCAAACATGCTGCCCAATGTACCACCAAGCTTCGACACCTTTAGGACGTCCCTGTATGTGAGACTAAGCCGGGTCCTCCGTTCAGATCGATGATTCTGGATGTTAGAAGATGTCCGCAAGAGATCCCAGTTTGCTACAGTAGATGAGCCAAGATCTACGTCATCTGTAACGTTTGCAATACCGTGCATAAAGTCCGCATATATTTGGTCCGTTGTGATAAGAAGACTGCGAGGTTCCTGTAAGATCTTCCACTTTGGTTCAGCCTCCCGAGAACCGTCATCCTTTGTGCCATATATATCGAGGCATAGTGGGCTCCCCAAAGAGACTGTGCAAACTACCGGATAATACGCTCCACCATCTTTATGTGGCATTATGCCTTGACCTGGCAGATACTCGTTGATCAAGACGTGGTTTGGAGCGCCGTGAGGACTTTCAGAGAAGATATGATCGGGCTTCGATGCAGTAATCGGCAAGGTCAGGAGTCGAGTTATGACTGGTTCCGTGAGCCATTTTGGGAGAGGGCTGTCAAGGAGTGTATTGTTGGTAAGATCGGAAGGCCAGGTCTGTAAACGCCTTTTGGACAACTGCTTCCATCGGGGTTTGGGAGCTGTTTCTATCTGCTATTGTCAATAAAGTGTCACGAATCGAGACAGTCATTAAACACTCAAACCTTTTCCAGCAGCATCCGCTCTTCGTCAATAGTAATGAATTCTGCGATGTAGAAAGCACTCGAAGGAAGAGCCTGGATGCGCACATGTTCTAGACTCCCTGGAATCGTGGTTAGTTCTGATGAAGCCATTTGTGTAGCAAATTGTGGAAATTCCGGCCGAATTGGGTAATCTGGAATGTGATATTATCACAACGCAACGTCGATAAGATGTCAAGGTCGTCCCATCAATCTTTCGTAAGAGTCGCTTCGAGAGGCAGACTTCACTTCTCGTCTTCGCTGCCGCAAGTGCTCCTGGACATGGATAGCCAGAGGCGCAGGCAGACTGAGGAAGCGACTTGGCTCGACAGGAACCTCTTCTTCAGGTCAGAAGAATGATTGTCGACTTTCGATAAGAGTATTACGTGTGCCCCGGTATGTTGAGTCTTCTGATCCCTTGTACGAGTAGGTTACCGGGAGTGCTTGTATGGTGGTAAGCTTCGACCGCCGCCCCTTTTCCTGTTGTTGTTCCGTCGGGCGAAAAGATCTTCAGCCTTGGTTTTGGTGACCGTAGAGCTACATTCGCCTAGCCGAGTCCAATGAAGTGGGCTTCTGTCGACCTCAGAGATGGGTTTCCTTCATTAAGATCACGACAAACGCCTCAAGATTCACGATTTCCACGAATATTCCAGTCCTCTGCTGTGTCGCATGTGCAGAGCCATCCTAGACTTTCGACCACCTAACCGTACCGTCTCCCCCCATTGTAACCTTCTCTCCCCATCACGATAGGACTCGGATGATCCTCCTTGTCCTTTCTCATCGACACGATCAAAGTGTCTCCCAATAAACCGGTCCACGATGCTGTACAGGATAAAGCGATACTCGGGCTGAATGACATGGATGCGAAAGGTGTTGTGGACGCTGCTGCCTCGAGACGCAGCGACTCGCCCGATGTATCTGTTGCGGAGCCTGACGGGGTGAAAAGCGCATTGTCAGGCACTCCAAATGGCCTTCGATCATCGCCGCCCGTCTTAGCAGCAGATGTTGCGATGGATATAGATCCTCCTCGTGGTTCTGGAGAGGTGGCAGACAAGAGTGACTCGGAAGCTGAGACCATTGTCCTTCCTGGAAAAGGTGGCCATTCGCCCTCGAAGATTCGCAAATCTATCAAACACGAAGACCGGAGTGAGGACGACGAAATGAAAGACGCGCCCGACAGTCGAGATGCTGATGTTGACAATGGTGTTGATGCTAACCATGAAGATGTGCCCAATCCAAGCGAGTCGACCACCGCAGCTTCTATGTTGGGAAAGAGAAAACGATCCAAACATGGAGTGGCCAACGACGATAATTCACACTTGGGGAACTCCAGCGGACTCAGCTCAGTGCCTACCTCTCCCGTTGCGACAACGCGATCTTCTCTCTCGAAACCAGCAGCCTCGGATTCTGAGATATCAAAATCGCCTTCGCCACGCTCCCGTTCTCGTTCTGCCGTCCGCGATAAGGCAAAATCTGTGGATAGAGCCTTTCCTCGTCGCAAGAACTACGCTTCTGGCTCAGGAGACGAAGACGAAGCTGGGACATTGGGATTCGGGAAACAGCGGAATCCAGGCGGAGATCACAAATCGAACAGGGACGGTCGTTTGACCAAAAACCATACTGAAGCCACCCCTCGCAAGAGAACCAGGTCAACTTCCCCTCATGGACGAGCTCACAAACGCAGTATCTCCAGTCAGCTACCTGCCAAATCCGCCCATGGATTAAGCCACAAGAAGAAGCGTGTTCCAGCACCGCTGCTGTCTACAGAATATCATTCTGACGAGTCTTCTGCAAGCGGTAACTCCCATCCACGAAGTTCACGTTTACGCAGCCTCGCCGCTCCGATCACTGGTGAATCAACCATATCGCCGGCGAAGATGGCTCCGCACAAGAAGCATGTCAACTCTTCTGGTCAGACGCAACTAGCAATCGCTTGCAATCGTGGTAAATTGGAAGCTGTCAAGCAGAGATATGAAGACCGTCCTGGTGATCTGAATATTCCAGACCACGCTTTAAACACACCTCTACATATTGCGAGCTTGGCTGGTTGTGCAGACATTGTCAAGTTTCTCATTGATACGGGACATTGCGAACTCAATCCGATCAACTTGGATCGGGATGCTCCTCTTCACGATGCAGTTGATAACAAACACGTTGAAGTAGTCAAGCTACTCCTCGATGCTGGAGCAAATCCAAGCATACCGAACAAAAACCAGAATGAACCTCTAGAATTGTTAGATCTCATGCTGGACGAAAATGACGGAGAAGACGGCGACGAAGATGAAAATGAACGCGAAGCTGCCAAACTGGAAATTGCTGAGATGCGAAAAGCCATCCTGGCTGCAAAGCGGAAATTCATGGATGCTCGACGTGGCTCGGAAGACCACCAGATGCACGATCATGGCGAAGGTCGCGAATCCCACCCGAAAGAGAGCCCCAGACAGACTCCTCCAGCACATGAATCGCTAGCCAGTGGACCCACGAATCGTAGAACAGCGCGCTCCCTGATGAAGACGAAGGACCGCACTTTATGGATGGGTTATACAATAGAAGAATTACGAGCTGCTGCAACTGAAGGGGATGTAGAGTTCATCAACCAATTTCTTCAAGTCAAATCTGATGTCAACGATCCAAGAACGCTATACAACGCTGCTAGAGGAGGCCACGATGCGATCATCAATCTGCTTTTTGCCCTTGGCAAATTCAACCCAGATCCCGCCCCTTTGGATGGATTACCTCACGAACAAGCTACTCCGATATTGGCTACCATTGGCAAGGATGATCACTTGGAGGTCCTTAAACTCTTTATAGGAAATTCCGATTTCGACCCAACTCGCCGCATCAAGGGTGAAACTTATTTTGAGATGGCAAAAAGACGTGCTGGCCCTAATTGGCAGGAAGAAGAGCAAGTTCTCAAAAGTGCGTTCGAGGCTTATCAGAAGACACACAAACCATCGTCAAGCAAGCCCCGCTCTCCCGGTATGCGACGGGATGGGAGAGAAGCAGACCGTGACACGAAGAAATCCATCCGTTCTGATGATGCTCAAGGCCTTCGTACCCATAAAAGAAGTACATCTAGCCCCAAGACGAAGGATTCAGAGCTGACCAAGAACCTGCACCGGAGCAATTCATCAGTTGGACAGTCTAAAGATGGACACGGTACGGGCAAGAGAGGGCCCGGTCGGCCCAAAAAAGACGATGGTGCAGCGTCCAATGCGTTATCTGACCGCGAAACGAGTCCTCTTGGGCCACCTAAGCAGAAGTCTCAACCCAAGAAATCAGAATCTGATTTGACACAAGCCTCAGACAATGAGCCCACTGCGAAGCCAAGAAGGAAACTTGTGTCGGGGAGAGAGCTTAGAGATGAACGGGAGCTTGAGAAGCAAAGACGCGCTAGCATCGCTTCCAATGCTTCTACCGCATCTCTAAAGGACAAGCGCGACCGCGGACCACACGATGCGAAATCGGATAAGTCTGACGGGAAATCCAGCCCAAATTTGCCTCGAATTCCAAAGGGTTCCAGTGCATCTCAGAACGAACGAGAGTTGGCTGCAGAAAAACAGTCTTCCGACAAAGACAGGGCACGTTCACTAAAAAGAGACGATTCGAAAGACAGACTCACTGCAATTCGCAGTGAAAGTCCAGTGAAGAGACCTCGGAAAAGCGAAACTCCTCCACGCTCAGGCATGCAAGAAGTCACTGCAGCGTACGATTCTGGCGAAGCTCCCAAGAAACGTCGCAAATTAGATGGAGAATCCAATGGCAAGAAGCACGAAGATACATCTGGCTCATCACCGGAGCATCGCACCTCTGTTGCGAAGTCTACTGTGTCTAACGAAAAGCACAAGCCGACCTTAGACCCGAAGAAATCACGGAGCACTCGGAAGCCCGCTGAACCACGCGATGCAAAGAGCTCTGATTCCTTCGAAAAAACATCACCCAGCCGTCCGGCCAAAGTAAAGACCTCAAACTCGACTCCTGAGGTTCCAACCAAGAAGCCAAAGCTGGTCCACGAACGGCAGAATGAAGAAGCCGTCAGTGGTCGATCGGCGTCCGCGAACTCAGATGAAGAGGAGGCACAACGGCAAGCACAATTACGACGCCAAAAGAAAGAAGCAGAGGCCCTTCGCCTGAAGGAACTGGAGGAAGAAAAGGAAAGGGAGAAGGAAAAGGAAAGGGAGAGGGAAAGGGAAAAGGAAATCGAGAGAGAGAGAATCGAACTTGCGAAACAAGCTCGCCTAGCTCGAGAACAGGCCGAAAAAGAAGAACAAGAGAGACAACAGAAAGAAGAAAACGATCGGAAAGAGCGTCAAAGAATAGCTGATGCCGAAGCTCAGGCCAGAGCTGCGGAGGAGGCGCGGCTGCGTTATGAAGAGCAAGAGAGACTCAAGCGTGAAGAAGCCGAACGAAGACGTGCGGCTCATGCCGAGCAGCAGCGCGCCGAACGCGCGAGGATCGAGAAGGAGAAGAGAGAGGAACGCTTGTCAAAATTGCCACTCTTGCTGAAATGGTTGGACATGGTCAATGAGCCAAAATCGCCCGAAGTTGCAAATCTCTTCAAGACTATTGTTGGTTATCGATACGACACTATCAAACCCGAAGCGCAAGGTCATCCAAGTGGTCGAGAGCAATGGATGCTCAACACCCATGCCGCTCTACTGCTTGGAGAAAAAGACCTTCAGCTTTCCCGATGTAAGTTTCCAACAAAATAAGTTTCAAGCACGCGCTAACTATGTAAAAAGATACTGCCTGGGACCGCATCCACTTGTCTCTACCCCAGAAGATTGGTGTCTGGATGAACAATAGTAACGACGGCTTATACTCACTCTACAGCCCTCCATTGACTAGCTTGCGCAAGCAACTTCCCACTCACAATGAGCCTGGCCATGTAATCATTGAGAAAAATAAATCGCTCTTCCTCGGTCTTGATCTATTCTTCCTAAAGGTTCGATTCCTCGCATTCCTTTTATCGCTCGTTTTCTGACGACAGTGACAGGTCTCGGAGTTCATGTTTATTGTCCCAAATTTCCCACATTTGCGCAACATAGAAATGGAAGTCAAGTACCAGGAGCTTCGCGAGCCGCAATCCCACATGAATCATGGCCAACTATTCAACCAGATGAGATGGAAGGGTGATCCAGAGACAGTTCCAGGACAGACCTGGGCACCTACATCCCGATTCTATCTCAATGGAGAATTCGTCAGGCAAGGCGAAGTGCTAAAATCGAGAATTCTCACAAAGGCGCCTCCTCTGGATAAGTTTCCCAGACGCGAAGGCATCACCCGAGTCCACGAAGATGATCCGGATTATGAAGAACAGTGCAGAAAACAAGGCCTTTACGAAAGACTGCCCAGTTATCAATCGCCTGTCTCTTCCAACAACCCACACCTGGGTGATCTTGATCAACATAACGAACGAGTCAATGGGATCACACCGCCAATGTCCGACAAGTCTAAATCGATTAATGGTGGCAGTCCACATCGGACGTCTTTATCAGAATCTGTCACGTCTCAAGTGCTTACTAACGGCATCAGTAATGGAGATGCCAGTCCTGCTATGATCTCTTAGCGGCACTTCTTTTTCACTGTTCAAATGACTCATAGATTTGTGGTTTTGATGCGTTTCGATCATCAACACCAACATGGGAGCTTTCACTACTATCATGAGAAATGATCACAATCGGGTCAACTGGCGCTATCATGGCTAAAGGGGCTTAGCGGAACGGAAATCTGGGCGCATCTGTTACATTTTGTTGTAAACATGCTGTTGTTTGGCACGGAAAACTTTTAGGGTTGAGTGAATGTACAATACAGGGAGGCAGAAAGCAAATAAGGATATCCTGACAGGTCCTTGCTGGAGTCTACGGTTACTTGGGTGGGCTTGTATATCCGTAATCGACCGAATGGAAGATTGGCTTGCTTACAGACGGAATCGTAGATCTTGTCTTTGATTGTCTGTGACCAAATCTGACTCTGATATTTGCAATGTTCGGGCATAATAATCCAGTGGTTGTCTGAACATGCAACTTGACAATTGTTTGGATTGTGAAGCTGCCCTACTCTCCACCATTTCGAAGGTGGTTTTCAAAGGAGGCATCGACTAAAAATAAAGTCCCAACTCGATATACACAATTGTGGGCCGTAGCACGCAACCTCAAATCTGCACTAGAACTCTTAAATAGTACTAAAATATTACCTAACTTGACTATAATTTTATATCCACATTCCAAAGCCCATTCGTCGGAAGGCAGAAAAGGGGCAAGAAGATTAAGCGACTGGGCGTCACTCTTGATGGTAGATGCAGGCAGTAGGTAAAGGTTGTTGATTTCTAAGGCACCCACTCTTCTTCGAGTATATAGGGTTTTACGAGTTATTCGAAATGGAAATCATGTTCTTGGGTGCATGTTGAATCGGATATTTGTATCACTTGCATTATTGGAATTTGGTTGATTTCGGGAGAGAAAAAGAGTCTTTTAGTTCAATTTGGTCTACAGTGTGTCTACATGCTCTTATAGATAGTATGTTTACTGAAGTCTGGTCATAGCCAGACTCTTGTTACTGGTCATCTATTCTGATCAGTTTCTTGAGTGTAGATAGGGAGGTCGGAGTCTGATCTAGCCAGACTCATATGTTACTGATCATCTATTCGGATCAGTTTCCCGGGTGTAGAGGAGGGAGGTTGGTGAGCAGTGCTCGTCGGTGCGCCTTTCGGCGAGCTTCTTGCCCGGAAAGTTGCTTGATTAAGACTTCTATTTTGTTAACCAACTCCTCCTGTGTAGGAGGAGTCGGTCGAGGTTGTTGTGTAGTTACAGGTGCAAGAGTTTTGACTTCTTCTTCGAGCTCCTCCACCCTGGGAAGAGTTAGTTGAAGTGGTGCAGTTACAGGTGCAGGAGTAGTTTTGACTTCTTCTTCGAGCTTCTCCACCCTGGGAAGAGTTAGTTGAAGTGGTGCGGTCACGGTTGCGACTGTCTCGGTCTCCTCTTCATCTTCCACCTCGTCGGCCCAGTTGAAGCGAGGGCTGGGCTTGAGAAGCGCGGCCAAGCTGGCTGGGCTAGAGACGAGCTCTGCCTTTGCTGGTACTGCTACAGGTACTGGAGTCTTGACTTGAGCGCTGACTTGAGCGTTGACTTGAGTCTTGACTAGAACCTTGACTGAAGTATTATTTAGAGTTTTTACTGGAGTTACAGTGGTGCCGGTGAGGGCTGGCCCCAGTGTGGTCCCAGGCTGAGGTAGCTGGAACCTTTGCAGGGACGAATACCGGTACCGGAAGTGACTCTTCCAGCACGGGAGTAGTCTCGGGCTTAGGAGCCCGAGCCTTCTTCTTCTTGGTCGCAGCAGCCGAGGCTGATGCTGGCTTGGAAGAGGAAGAACCCTTTGCTGAGCCAGATGCAGAAACCTCGGGACCGCGCCAGTTAGAGCGGGCCCGCCATGTATTCGACTTAGCCGCGGGCTTTGGAGGAGTGACTGGCGCTCTGGACACGGTGTTCCAGTTGCTTTCATCTTCTGCCCACTTGGATGCTGCCAGGCCTCCTTGGAGGTTGATGGTAGCAGTTTTTGGGACAATGGTTGAAGTATGTTGAGATTGCTGACCAGCAGCAGTCTCAATTCGGGTTCTGGGGGTGAAAGACGACATTTGATGGTTGTTCTGGTACTTAAGTTACTCGAAAGTTGGTTCTGTGAAGTTTTTTGTGTGCAAAGAAGTTCGAAGATTGGTTTTCGAATAGTTTTTGGTGTATCAGAGTTTGTGTTTGTAATGAAGAATGAAGAGCAGAATTCCTTCGGAACTTATACACCTCTACCATCATCTGTTCGACACAAGAACAGTGTGTACCAAATGAATGAGCTTGTTCAGGAGCCCGACCACAAGTTGGGAGACATATAGAGACTATGGTTGATCGTTATGAAATGGCTCTGTTGTTCAAATGGGCCAGCATTTTAGATGCTATACAAAGAGACAACATATTCGAGATAAACAAGCGATAGGCCATACCTGAGGACAATGCCATTGTCTTCAAACAGACACTTTAAACCACTGAACAAGAGAACAAGGGCATTTCACAGAGTATTTTCTCGCCAAATCTCATCCTTCTCGTCCATCATCAACACTTCGTAACAAATACTCAGCATCAACAAAACCAAACTCCACAGAGCTAACATCTAAAGCAAATTCTTGAAAGAGTATCAAAAGAACAGCCAAGCAAGATGTGGCCCAACTATCCGGAAACACGCACCGTCAGATCTTGTGGCTGTGTCCTGCGTGAGCGCAGATGCACACTTGCACAATATGCCTTTGCGGACTTGGAAAAGGCATGGAGACAACCTCCAAGTAGTGTCAAGTGGGTAGCTCAAGAGGGTCCGTGTGGAGGTTCGCTATGCCCCAACCCTTGGGCTTGGGTTGACCATCAAGTGACTGGAAAGCCTGAAAGGTATCGAGACTAGGTCCGGACCGTGCATACGCAAACGGGCTGGTAGATGCCTCTGTAAGGAATGGAGACTTGAGAGGGGCTTAAAGCCACTCGTGTGAGAGACATCATGAATCATAGGCCACTAGAATGAAAGAAATTGACCCCTTAAAACTGTACAAAAAAGATTATGTGAACTTTTGATCGTGAGCACCCCCACACACACTTGCTTGCTTTGTCTGCAATTTCAGACGTCCTAACAACGACGGACAAAGAGCCTCGAGATACACTGTTCACACAATGCCACTTGTCATAATATGTGATAGAGGAAGAGTTTCATCCTTGGTTCACCTCATGTGGAACCCGAAGCTATTCAGATTCCTTGGTTGTCAGGATCCGCGAGAACGAATATAAGGTCGAGATCAGTCATCTCCAGCTCTTCTCCTCAAAACTTCATTTGGCTTTTATATATACAAGAACTCGAGCGAAAACGATATCATGAGCTCAAAAACACGTCCTCTTCTCCCGCAAGTCATTAACCAGCCCTGTATCAGCGAGACGAAATTGACAAGAATGCTTCTCAGGAAATTTGGCAACAACTTCAGGATTCGGCATCATGGACCTCAGCCTACTCAATTTCGTATCGTGATCTGGGTGCCAGAAAGACTGGCAGGTGAAGAAATCGAACGGTGTCAATATGAAGAGATTCAATGGCGAGAAGTGCGTTGGTGAGGTATAGCTGTCGTGCTGAGGAGGTTAAGAAGAAAGAATGAAGTTTTATCCCATGTAGCAACTAAGCTCTTGAACGTGTCCAAGGGTAATGTAGCAATCGTGAAGTGATTTTATCTAGCAATGGAACTTGGGTTTTTGGACCAGAGAAGCGAGCATGAAAACTTCAGAAATCAGACGAACAATGAAACTCAAATGAATAATGAAACTCAAATGAATAATGCGAGAGCTGCCATGAATTATTCAAACGCAGTAGTAAAACAGTGGAAGAATAATGCATAAAGAAGGTTTTTCTCAGACAAGCACGCAGACACAGAGGCAGACTCACATACGCTTTGGTGAAGAGAGAGGAGGCGCAATATGCAACTTTTGCGCGATTTGCACAACCTGCGCTGTCCGCGCTGTCCACGCTGTACGCGCTCGAAGCGTTTATCTTGGTGGTCAACCAAGTATTATCCTTCCCAGGAGTGATGAGCGAGACTCGCGCTCCAGGCGTCCTGACTCCTGACTGCTTGTAAGCAACAAAATAATACACTATCAAACGTAAAAAGATTCATCTCAAGTTTGGAACGTGCAATACAATTGAATAATATAACAAAGCGTGGAAATAGTAACGATTTCAGTGCATGTGCTAAAGTTCAAGAACGACATTGTAGTGGACATCAACGCATAGCAGACTGTCAGACGGAACATCCTACTACACAAATGACTTTTGGGAGGAAGATGCTTGGTTCGAGTAAAAGAATACGGGAAGGACGACAAAGAACGAACTAAACGTCTCAACAAAATCATAAATTCAAAGTTCAAAAACACCAGCAACGGGGAAAAAAGTCAACAATAATTATGAAGCAAATTTCCTCCTAACCCTATCCCCAGCATCCAAAAGCTTCCGTTTACAAGCCATACAAAGCGTAGCCAACTTCTCTCCCTCGATAACTGTAACGACGCATTCCTTGCCCACCTTAGAGAGTGTGCAAGACTTGAGTTTGATGCTGTGGGGATAGTGACCGCAGGAGAAGCTTATGATGTGGTTTTCGCACATGGCTAGGTATATATGTGATGAGAAGTGGCGGACTTCCGGGTTGAAGGATTCGGGGTGGGAGGTCGTTTTATGGGGGATATAACAAAGGAAACTCTGTTTTGGGAGTGTTGAATAGGTAGAGCTGGAAACGGATTTTTCTTTGTCCTGGACGATTTGGAGCAATTTGGCCAAAGATTTATACAGCCTGAATATTTTGACAACTCAAAAGTTATAAAAGAAACAGAGAAAGATGATTTCCAGAAGTTTTGAAGAGCCCGAGGATGCGGTATATAGTCAACTCCTCGCTTTATGTTCATATGCCCCAGGTATCAAAGACCCCAGCGCTTCATATGTGACCTATATACCAGATCTACAAGTAAGTTGTCACCGATGCTTCAACTTCGACTCATGCTCCTGCCAAAAGTTCCTGCAAGTTCGATGACCCCAGTGCTCTATCCACCACTCGCCAAAGCTATCTTCGATCTGAAGATCAACTTTACTAACTCTCTCTTCTCGTTTTAACCCACATATGACGCAGGGCTTAGGTGCTGTTAAAACCCCGTCTTGAGCCTTGACATGCATAGCTTCACTAATCTCGGGTATGACCAAGTGTTTGGAGCTTTCGCGCATGCTCTGGTTTGCAACAGCAATGGCAGATCGTAATCGTCCCAACTGCTCTTTCCATATCCGCACCACGTCTGCTGCTTCTCGGTCTTCCTTGGTAACTTCTGACTTGTCGACACCTGTCAATTTCATGCCACCTTTCCCCCCAGCGGCCGCAGGGCCTATCTTCATGGCTTGTGAGAGTAAAGTGTCTCGTTTCCAACGTAGTTTTCTCCCAGCAAGAATGTGTGCGCCAACAGTAGCAATAAGGAGGTATGCTCGCAAGAACTCAACGGTGGAAGGATCTGAAATGATTCGATTCTTGAGTGAGAAAGGCTGGTTTGCTACTGCCTTGAACAAAGTCGATTGTGGTAAGTCAAATAAGCCTGGATATAATGATAGTAGCACGGAAGGCGGTGGGACGTTTGACGGAGGAGGAGCGGCTGTATCGACAGATGGAGCAGTTTCTGTGACTTTGTCGACTGAATCCCAAGCCCAAGCATCTGCCTCGATGCCAGAAGTTGGTCTTGCAGACGGCACTGCAGGTGTTTCGGGAGGTAAGTCGGCAAAATCACCCCATTCCTCGTCCAATGTATCAGGTACTGCAGGAGAATCTTGGTAAGGCGCCGGCTTTGGGGCTTCGAATGAGGGCCATGCTGTGACAGGCGAGGCACTTTTTGGCTTATCCTCTTTCTTCACTACGGATATCTGCTTCGTAGCTAGACCTAGATCACCGAACGGATTCCTTTCCTTGAAAGACGGAGATTTTGGAGCCTGTGGATATGGAAGAGTACCTGCATTCAGCATGCTAGGAGTAGGAAGTAATTCTTTAGGTCTCTTTGACGTTTTGGGTTCAATAGTTGTAGCTCTGAACAGCTCGTTCAAAGACTCTGAAGGTGGTGGATATGCTTGAGGTTTAGGAACTGTGACCGTTTCGAAGTCTCCAAATTCATCATCGTCTTCGGGGTCACCAGAGAGTTCGTCGGCTGCGTCAAAAAGAATATCTCCCCCAGAGGAACTCTTCCGTATCGGAACTGGCCTCGAAGGAGGAACTTCCTTCGTTTTAAGATTTGTGCGCGGAGGCGAGTCGGGGTCCTTCATGTTGTTTGCAAACATATCAAGCGTCGATCGACGTACCCCGCTGGGTCTTGATCCATTGTAAGTTGTCGCACTGAACGCATTCTGGTTTTGTCTCGTGGTAGAGGGCAACAATTGCTGAGGAGTGATTGTCTCGAAAGAACCCCAAATATCATCTTGTGATGTATTCTGCTGCTGTTGTTGTTGAGGCTTCACGGGCTGAGCATTTCCAAAACTCCCCCATATAGCCCCGGCAGGTTGTACTGCAGCAGTGTTCCATTGTGATGTACTAGCTGGCTGTTGATATGTGTTTCCACCTTGATCCGGACTGCTCAAGGAGAAGAGATCGTTCGATGAGGGGGTCGAGTTTGGCTGCGTAGTTCCTGGAGCTTTGTAGAAGCTGTCGAATTCTGCGAGCAGATCGGACGACATTGTGACAGGTACGAGGATGGTGTGTCTCGAGGTTTCTTCCTAGAGGAAGCGCTTGAAATAATGATCTGGCAGATGCAAGTTCACCTCCTATCCAATTGCCCGAGCACCTTTTTCTTTGTCCAACATCGTAGAATCGTCGGACGTGTCGTTCCCAGCTGTTACGAAGCAGTTTTGAATTTCTCAGTGGCGTTTCGCGGATTGTCCCTCTTCAGCGTGGCAGAAAGGAGGAAGGAAAAAGCAACATCCATTCGATGATGCAGGCGAGGCTATTTCAGGAGAAGAAGGCTGATGTCAACTGGGATTGGCTCGTAAATATGGCGCTAAAATATGCATGCATGGACCAAGGCAGTGACTGGAAATGGAAGTCGATACTGGAATGAAGAAGCCTCAACATCAAGGGCCTTCGAGTCTTCCCAGGTCTGTGTAAACGGCGATAGTTATGCGATCGTTGGAAGAATCAAGGTTCGTCTTGACCATACCTCGAAGTTATCTTCACACTGCTAACAAAGTTTCGAGGAAACGATGGGACTTTACAATAAAGCACGCTGTAAGCCTCGATGGCTTGAGGAAATCGCTCAAGAAGGATGGAGATGAGAGCCCGTGTGTAACAGGCCTCCGTTCAGTCTGCTGGAAGGCAAGTTTCGTGTACTGTAACACCACAGACTCTGACAGATACCTATCGTCCAGGCTTTCTTGTTGTTCCAAAGTACCGAGGTCACGGGATGGTCGCGAGCCTTGATAGACTCTCGGAGTGCATACGCCTCACTTCGAGAGCATTTTCTTAGATATATCGAGAATCCAGATGAGCTCGGCTCTGCTCTAGATCCCTTGGACGATGATCAGAACGTGAGCTTGTTTTCTTTCCATTGCATTCTGCATTTACTGAGAGATTCAGTCTCCATGGCATACTTTGAGGAAGGACGAAGAGATTCGAGCCGAAATCTTTCAGGATGTAGAGCGATGTATGCCGGAAGAACCCTATTTTCGAAGTCCAGAAACGCAAAGAATGTTACTAGACATTCTATTCATCTTCTGCAAAATCAACCAAGATGTCGGTTATCGGCAAGGCATGCACGAAGTCCTAGCACCTATTCTATGGGTTGTTGAACAAGATGCCATTGAAAACGCTCCCCAAAAGGATCAGAACTCTGTAATGGAGCAGATTTTGGATGCTACTTATATCGAGCATGATGCATTCACTCTCCTATCCTTGATTATGCGATCAGCGAAATCATTTTATGAGCTAGCGGAGCCTGATCGAAGAGTGAGCACTCCATTAGGAGGAGGCAAAAGCCCAGAGCAGGGCGCTTCTCCTATTGTTGAGAGGAGCAAGCGAATTCATGAGGTTTATTTAGCCAGACTGGATCCTGAGCTTGCGAAACATCTGTCAGACATTGAAGTGCTACCACAGATTTTTCTCATGTAAGTTTTCTTTCTAGAGGCCACAAAAACAGGTAGCTGATCTGATTTAGACGGTGGATTCGACTGTTGTTTGGGCGGGAATTTCCTTTCGATGAATTATTAGCTTTATGGGATACGTTATTCGCAGAAGATCCCGGCCTAGAACTTATCGACATGGTCTGTGTGGCCATGCTTCTGAGGATCCGATGGCAATGTAAGTCAGAACCTAGAAGGTGGCGAATTTCACTAACAGTCATCAAAGTGATCGAGTCAAATTATTCATTCGCTCTAATGCTACTGCTCAAGTATCCTTCCCCAGAGGCTCCAAACGGACCCAAGTCGTTCGCGGATGACGCCACATATCTTCGTGATAACTTCAGTGCCATTGGAGGGGCAAATATAATCAGCAAGTACAGTGGGAAAACACCACCCATGAACTCATCATCATTAAGACCTTCAACACCTCTTGGCCAAGCCCTCAGTCCAAAACGCAGCACGAGGTCCCCGCTACCCAGCCCTGCCAGATTCTTGCAGCAGCAAGGAGGAGTCGAAGCTCTATTTCAAGGAGCCGCCAAAGGTGTCTTTGATCGTGGTGAGAGGCTTGGAATTAATCAAGCCGTCCGCGACGCTGTGGGAGAAGTAAAGAAGAACATGCAGGGTCTGCAGGCTTCACGAAGCAATTCTGGGCGACGAGCACCCTCGGATGCCAACAGATGGTCGCTCGATGAAGGAAAGTCAATTCCATCCCCGAGAGTCACCATTGCCGCCATCAATGCACGAAACCAACAGTTAGCCGTCATGCTTGGGCAGGCCATGATCGATCTTCGAGCGGTGTCCGTTTCACCAGATGGCAACACAGACAAGTACGTGAAAGCGATAGACCTTGCGATAGCAAAGGTTGAATTTGTAAAAGTTTACCTGGAGGACTCAACCATCCCTCTGCCAGAGGATGCCTCACATCCCACTCAATCGCCTCCACTCCCAACCACCACCCCACAACCCCCACCTCCAGATCCTTTACAAGTCACAACGCCTAAGCCGCCGGGCTCACCATCCTCAAATCCAGCAGCCCAAAACACAACAGTTGTTGCGGACACGCCACTTCAACCCAGCCCAATTCCAGACCAATCTTCCAAGCCCGAGCCTCCCCAAATAGACCTGCCAGAAGAGGTGCTAAAAGACATAACTCAACCAGTAGAGGGAGGCTTAGCAATCCGACCGAAAGCGCCTGTGCCAACCAGATCCAGCATTGCACAATCAAGTTTTTCATGGATGCTGGAACCAGATGTCTCTCTAGGCTCTACTCATAAGTCCTCACCTCCTAAATCCGGATCTCCATTCCTCAAATCTAGTAGACGACCGACTTCGGGGCCGAACAGAGAAAAGGCCGCTTTCCTTTTTGGTGAAGACGGAGGAGAATCCAACATGAGCGTTGGCAGGCTACCTTTAGGCAATGTGGAGGAGGGTTTCAACTTAGGTACCATTAAAGGCCACAATACGGAGTGATGGGGGGAGACGTAATGGAGCAGGTTCCATGCAAAATGATACCCAACTTTTTGTCAACCATATCTTGACTGGCTCAAAGCTTACCCCACGAAGGATGAAGAGCGAGAGATGTTGTGCAGCAGTCATGTGTTTCGATTCCGAGTGGATTCGCCGTGTGCCATGGGGAGCAATCCAGCACAAAGATGGTGTGAACGGATGAGACTGGAGTAGGTCTGCAAGCCCTGGCTGGCGTGTGAGCATGTGGGTTGCGGCCGTGTTGCTGAAAGGTGAGGAGGCTACTGCAGAAAATCCATGCTCATCCCACGCAGACAAATGCAAGCTACTGCATCAATCCACCACATCCTCTGGGACACTCAGATGTGATAAGCGACCGGACGATCCGTTGAGGATTATGACCAAGCTGTGAATCTAAATTTGAATTGTGTCTGTGTTTGCTGAGCGTGAATGGAGATATTTCCTTTTTCTTTCAATAGTGGTATGTTCCACAGTCTTGTAAAGTCGACCGTCTGATAGGCGATCGTGGAGAAAGCAATACCCCTCATCCGGATCAAATCCGTCGTTCAATACATTGAAAAGGAAGGGATTCGCATGCTGGTTGGCTGAAAATTGGGAGGCTGCCGCGAATCAGCGGTGCAGAAGGAGAGAAATACTCGTGATTGCTTCAAGCTGGCCATTCTGGCCGCGTCTTTTCATGCTCGTGCATGAGCCCTTCACTTTCTGCGTCTCGACTGGCCATGCAATTTTGCTGCCGGGGTCTGATAGTGGATCGGTCGGCCTGGTAAGCGAGCGACCGTCCCCGCCATGCTAGCGCAAATCGCACCTGCCCAGAAAGAAGCTCTTTCATTCTTTTCAAAACAGTCCCTCTTACCTTCTTCCTACCGACTCACGCAACGACTTCCTCTGGTACTCTTCTTCGTCAATCACCACTCCGACTCCCATCCATTCCTCATATACCTCCCTCCTCTTCCAATCCTCCTCTACCTCTTCCACTCTCCATCTCGTCGACCTCCTCGCGCTTTGTCGCGTTTCTTTTACATCCGCTCCGACATTCCGACTCTACCCACCCCCACTTACTTTTCGACTTTGAACAATCGCCATCTGCGCTCTTCTAGATTGTTCTTCTTCAATAGTAAGTCCCAAGCTCTTTTCTGCTCTTGTTGTGTCCTGGATATCTACCCCGCGAATGGGGTTCGCCTTTGCCCCGCTCTCGCATATGATTTGTGATTTTCAATGCTGATGCGCATGTCTTGCAGGCCCAGTGACCATTCCTGTCACCACCCTACTTCTCAAGCAACTACCCAATTGCACCGAGACAAAGAATACTCTTCTTCCCAACCATACACTCAGGATGTCTTCACCGCAAGACAACAGAGACGGTGGCGCACAAGGCGACGAGCTAAACGATAGCATGAACAATCTCCATGTTGGCGACGAGGATCGCCTAGGACCTGATGGCCAACCTCTACCCAAGACCGATGAGGAGTATGCTGAGTCTCAACTGACTCTTCGTGCTATTGTATCTTCCAAGGAGGCCGGTGTCATCATTGGCAAAGGAGGCAAGAATGTAGCCGACCTTCGCGATGAGACTGGGGTCAAGGCAGGTGTCAGCAAGGTCGTTCAGGGTGTTCATGACCGCGTTTTGACGATCGCTGGTGGTTGTGAGGCCATCTCAAAGGCTTATGCCATCGTAGCCAAGGCCCTTCTTGAGGGCGCTCCTCAGATGGGCATGGGAGGAGTGGTATCGAATAATGGCACCCATCGTGAGTATATCCAGGCACGCGTTTGCATAGAACATCACTGATCTTTAAAACAGCCATCAAGCTCTTGATCTCTCATAACCAAATGGGCACCATCATTGGCCGACAAGGTGGTAAAATCAAGATGATCCAGGATGTCTCCGGAGTTCGCATGGTTGCACAAAAGGAAATGCTGCCACAATCAACCGAACGAATTGTTGAGGTTCAAGGTGGACCAGATGGTATTCAGAAGGCCGTCTGGGAGATCTGCAAATGCTTGATCGATGACTGGCAACGAGGCACCGGAACCGTCCTCTACAACCCAGTTGTACGAACCCAACCAGGTGGTGGTCCCGGAATGAATCAAGGTCTTGGTGGTGGAAACGAGCGCGGCAGTTATAACAACAACCGTGTCACCCGCACTGGCAACGGAGCCGACTTCAGCGAAAATGCCCCAAGATCTTATAACAACCGTCGATCAGACTCTGATGCCGGTCAGCGTGGACCTCCAACCCACGACGAGAACGGCGAGGAGTTGCAAACCCAAAACATCAGCATCCCTTCCGATATGGTTGGATGTATCATTGGTCGAGCTGGAAGCAAGATCAGTGAAATCCGAAAGACTTCTGGTGCACGCATCAGTATTGCTAAGGCTCCTCACGATGATACTGGTGAGCGTATGTTCACTATCATGGGCAGCGCCAAGGCCAACGAGAGCGCCTTGTACCTTTTGTACGAGAATCTCGAGGCTGAGAAGATGCGCCGCAGCCAAGGCAATCCCCAGGAATAAGAAGCTATCCTAATTCTGGACTTCTCTTTTTCTTTATATGCGGGCAAATATTCTAGGTTCTCCAGATCTGACTTGCCGCAAGGCTGATGCTGCGATGAATCTTCGGAAGTCTGCAATGATTCTCTAATGGACCGTTTTCCCTTCACACAAAAGCGTTGGCTTCTTTTTACGAAATTTCTTTCTTATGACGGACTTTAACGAATTTACGGTCACAGCAGCACCTTCAGGTAGCGCCTCTCAGCTGTTTTCCCCCTCGATATTGACACAGACGATTCGCCTTGACACTTAACAACTCGAGACACCGACACCCTGTTTCGATCATTTCTGCCAACCCGACGTCCTTCATCGAACGCACGAGAATCGCCCTAATCTCGTCATTCATGCGGCTATGACCAAAATTCTCATAAAGTCACGAATCACGACCCATCAAACTCTTTTGCCTCCACCACCAGATACCTACTGGACATCCCCGACACTCGTCAACCTCGCTCTCTCAAATCTCGATCCCCACTACACCGAAATAGCCGTTACTCAGTTCATCAATTGCCCTGTCTACAGTCGTCATGTCGACACGTCTCGATCTTCGGAGGAGATTTAGGTGAAGGATTTAGACTTAGACTTGGCAACATGAACAATGAACAAATCTGACCATGCAGTCTTTTGGCCTTCTATCATGATCTCGAGTGACCGATGTGACCGATGTGACCAATAGCCTTCACAAAATGAACCAATTGGTTGGACAATTTGATGACACAGGACTTCAGCCTTTATACATGAGCCCACCAGCACAATCACAAAACCAATTGACAATAGACTTTGACATACCACTAAGCCAAGTAATGTCTACCAGGTATATCATTTGAACATGATCTAACATTCGATGGAGACCAGAAGTATCTGACTAACAGATCCCACTACGCCCGCAAATGCTGCAATCAACCACCCCTCCTCCATGTAAACATAACGCCCAATTCCTCTTTCCCAACACACATCTATCCTCTCCCACCATTATAATCCGCGCCCCCAGCTTTCCGCAACCGCACCACAATATCATCCTCTTTCAAATCCGACTTCTCCCTCGCATCAACCTGAATACTATGATGCCCCAAAACCCTCTTCACAGCCCCACTCTCAATACTCACCCTCGCTTTCCGCATCACCTTGGTCCCCTCGCCGATCCAGATCACCATCACGAACTTGACCCGCTTGCTCTCGGTGTCATTGGCGTATTCTACCCGCACGTAGGCATATTGTGCTTGTGAGGGGTCCAGTTTCTCTGCTAGTTCGGAGATCCCGCCAGTCCCGGTCGAGGAGAGGGTTAATTTGTCGCCTACGGCCGAGGCGTAGGATATGATGAGCCAGTTTGTTTCGTCTTTGTCGGAGCGGACGGCGTCGTAGGCGGCGAGGATTTCTGGGGAGTCGGCGCCGGACATTTTGAGGGATGGATTGTATGTAGCGGGGTTGGAGTGGTGGGGTTGCGGATAGAGATTGAGTGTTGAATTTACTTATAGGTTGCAAAAGTGAGGTTTGCTTTTTGGACTCCGAGAAAGAGGTTGAAGGTAAAATGGAGGCAATTGAAAGGAAGGGCAGACTTCAGGATTCAAAGTCGCAAGCTGTGCGTATCAGCCTCCGACGCAAGTCGAACCGATAGCCTGCCGCTCCTCACCGACTGATCCGCGACCGGAAAGGGAAAGGCGTCAGGGTCCGCGAGTCTATTTCTTGTGGACACCTTGTTACTCGAAAGATCAGCCTTAGATCACCAGCTTTCTTGTCTCCCTCATTATTTTGCTATTGCGAGTCCTTTTCTTTCTTATCTACATTCGCGGATTTCTTCAGTCGTTCATTACAGAGTTTAGAAGTAGATATGGCGAGAACGAAACAAGCTACGCCGTTGAGGAGAGAGCCTTCTAGTGAGTATACTAGCAAGGCTGATGGTTATGGGTCACCGAGTCGCAGTGCGAGGAATTTGGATAGGGAAAGCAAGAGTCTGTTTCCTACGAAGGAGGATGCCAATGGAAATGTGGTTCGACCCATTATACCGCCCGAGACGAAGAAAGATGCCGGAATTCTGCAGCTCTTGTTCGCAGTTGGTGGAATCTATGGTTCCTTGTATGTACATCCACCTATAGCGCCAGATTAACTTTCTAATATCGTCAACCATAGTCTCACATGGGCACTTCTACAAGAACGACTCACTACCACGCCCTACGGCCCCGAAACATCTCCAGAGAAATTCAAGTTTCCCGTCTTTCTCAATACGGTACAATCGCTCTTCGCAGCTTTGACAGGATATCTCTACCTACGATACGATACTCGAGGCAAAGCCACCTCACCCATAATACCCAACCGACGCATCCTCATCCCTCTCCTCCTCGTAGCCATAACATCCTCGCTCGCCTCCCCGTTTGGCTACGCATCACTGGCACACATCGACTACATTACCTTCATCCTCGCCAAATCATGCAAGCTCCTCCCGGTGATGTTCCTCCACATCACGCTCTTCCAGAAACGATACCCGCTGTACAAATACCTGGTCGTCCTAGCCGTTACCTCTGGTGTAGCAGTCTTCACCCTCCACGCTGGATCTGAAAAGGCACATAAGAAACCCTCGAAAGCGACACTGAATCCAGATAGGAATGTACCATGGGGTCTCCTCCTCCTGGGTATCAACTTGCTGTTTGACGGCTTGACGAATACGACGCAAGATTACATTTTCCAGACTTTTCAACCATATAAGGGACCACAGATGATGTGTGCAAACAACATTATGATGACGATCCTCACACTGATTTACCTGACATTAAGTCCGTATCTGGTACATACAGGCATTGGCGAGTATCTAGGCATGGATCTCGCGTCTGGTGGTGGAGGCGAGTTCGCCGCCGCATTAGGATTCATGAAGAGGCATCCAGGCGTCTGGTACGATGTCCTAGGCTTTGCAGCTTGTGGTGCTGTCGGACAGGTGTTTATCTGTTAGTTGTCCCTCCTCCTCCCATTAACTACCTAAAAACCCCTAACCATTTCACCTCACAGTCTACACCCTCTCAACTTTCTCCTCCCTGCTCCTAGTAACCATAACCGTAACCCGCAAAATGCTCACCATGATCCTCTCCGTCGTCTGGTTCGGGCACACCCTCGGCGGCAAGCAATGGATGGGCGTTGGCCTAGTATTTGGCGGAATTGGAGCCGAAGGTGTCATCCAACGAAGAGAGAAAGCAGCTAAGGAGAAGGCAAAGTTGGCTTCTTCTTCTAGCAAGAAGGAGCTATGAGCAAGATATGAGAAAAACAGAGAAAAGAATTGGCATATTGGCATAAAAGGCGTTCATTGGGCGTTGATACATACCATTCCATCATCTAGATAGATAGGCTACGATACAAATAAGAAATTCTAGAATAACAGCTCCCTAAATTTGAACGTAAACGAAACTCGAATTCGGTACCTGTACTAGTACCTAGCCTCGAAGCCGCATGCGTCGGCATACATACATCAACAGTCGTCGTAAGCCTAATCCCTCCCGCTCCCATGACATATCCCTCAAATCTCCAGATCATCGTCCAACATAATATCAAAATCCTTATTCCCCTCATATTAATGATTCAATGTTCGGGAAAATCACATAGATTGGAAATTCCCTCGTTGGTGTTGCACGAAACCCAACTCCCGGCTTTCCCACAGTCCTGCAGATAATCCTCCAGGACTTTTGATGAACTTTTTGTACGTCCTTCCCGATCCGCTCACCTGGAACGCAGTCACTTTCACAAAGACCTACATTTACGCCCGACTTGACTTCACTTAACTTTCAACACGCAAAAGATAGATAGCGGACGGGGTATTCATCGTTTCCATTTCTCATTCACTCTTCTCGCTAGAGCCTTCTCTTCGATAATCCTCTGCCTATATCACTCTCGCTCTTCATCCCTCCCTTATCCATCCGGTCCTTAATCATTACATTTTACACTTGAGAGCGATCTACTCCGAATCCACGATCGAAGTCCATGGATGGAAGACCAGCCCACACCCACGCGCGCAGATAAAAAGAAAATATAAAAACGCCAACCGATGCAACGCCTGGATAGTTGTTCCCTTCATCGTTATCGACATCCACAGCATGTATTGCTTGCAAACGCCCGATGATATAAAAAAAAGGAATAGTTTGCTGTCCCCAGTTTCAAATGCCCCTGAACCATGAACCGGATCAAAGTGATGCGGTATAGATGCAAATTTGCAGCTCCATATAGTCCAAATCGCCTACCCATCCTGATTATTGGATTTGTGGTTCCTTCAAATCAAATGCCTTCTATTTACTTCGTGTTCATAGGAAATTGTCGATGGACCGCGTTATGGGAGCCTCACCTTTCATTGGTGGGCTTCTTGGGTCGTCATCCACGGCGAGGGAATTTCGGAATACTGAAGGAGGTGGGAAGAAGGACGATCGTGGAAACTCGAAAGCTCGTGGAGAAAAGAGTTCGGGTGTGGGGGCTTCTTCGCGGGTGGAACCAAAGCTGCGTGAGAAGTCATGCATTGGGTTGGTAGTCATTTCCGTCAATCGCGGTGACAGTAAGTCTTCCCATTCATGGCTCCTCTGACTCCTCTGAATCGGTTGATGGCTAATCGACATACCACCAAAGCCAAAATCGAACGCACTCAACCGCTCGACGGCTGAATCAGTCGGAGGTACTGACTTTTCGTCAGCCTTAGCAACAGCATTGTCGCGAGCCGAGATGCTGGGTGTTGAGTTTCCTCGAGCTCTTGAAGGTGTTGGTGGTGGTTCTACGCCATCAGCTGATAATGTTGGCCTGTGCTTCACTGTGGGTTTCCGGGCAGCATTACTCTTCTCCAATTTCTTTGCCTCGATGACCTTTTTGAAGTCGTTCAAAGAGAAAAGGAGGGACATGTTAGGATTCACCCAGCGTGATTTCGACTGTGCAAGCGAATATGCCTCGTTGGGCCCCAACTCTTGGTTCATGTACATATGGTATGCAATGATCAGAGTTGCTGATCGACTTGCACCTTGTTGACAATGCACAAGAACACGCTTTCCCTCCTTCGTCCTCGATTCGATTGTTTGGCAAAGGTCCCACAGTTCATCCTTCACATCAGTATTGTGATCCCAAGGTACATGTATATACTCGGGCACCTTTTTGTCTGGCGCAGGCTTGGGCGTTGTAGGTGATGATTCTGTTGAGCCGGATGGCTGGACCTCGAAAGCTGTCTTGAACGACATCATCGAAATGGCTGTATCAGGAGCTATGTCACTTGTGTTTAGAATATTACTCGACGGTTCTGATGCTGCTGGTTCCGATTCTTTCGATGTCTTTTCTTCATCTAAAGCCTTGAATGGATTCTTCACTTCTCTTGCAACATTTATGATGACGTCGAATTTCATAGCTTCTTCGAGTTTCGGTTCTAGGTAGAGATGAACACTGGGTTCGTGCATCAAGATTGGCCCCTCCGGATAGGAAGGAGATTTTGCGTCTTCTCCGGAATGTGGCCGATCAAAAGAGTCACCACCAACAGCAACACCTGGTATCCGGGTGGCCATTTGAACACCAGCAGGGGCTTCTTGTACATCTTCGTCGATGGTGAATGTATTCATGGCAAGGTTCGATTCTTTGAATCTCGAAGCGCCTAGTGGAGGCTTTCTTTCACCGAATGTCATGCCACCACTGGGCCCAAAGCCTGGTGTCGACAATATTTGTGGAGACGAAATCGAGTGCTTGAGACCTCGTCGTTGCATCATGCTTGGTACGGATGGTGATCCTGGTGCTTCCAAATTCAGCGAGACGTTGTTTGCAGCACCTGTGTTCAAACTCAAAAGACTTGGTTTCCGTCTTCCCTTCAGTGTCGGTGGCTTTATAAATGATGGCGATGAGGGTTCGGAGCCTTGATTTAAGCTATCAACACTCGAGTTCAGATTCAAGGCAAGACTTTTGGGATTCTTCGATTTCCGGGGTGAAGGCGATGTCATGGGTCGCTCATCGCTAAGAGGTAATCGCAGCGGGTTTGTGTCTACCATCTTGAGATTTTGGAAGGAATCTAAACCACCGAAGGTCGTTCCAGAGAAGGAAGATAATGGGACAAGGGTTATTGGAGACTCTGGTGACGAGCTGGGAGATGGATCTGATAATGATGACGAGTCTATGGTAGATATTGTTGTTGTAGGTGATGAGTCGGTTGAGTCTGAAGCTTGAGTCGACGTGCTTTCTCGGTGCTGATGTGAATGTATTTGAGTGTGGGCGTTTTCAGTATCCTCTTCTGACTGTTGTCTCGACTGTGTCTCTTTGATCGTATGTAATGATCCCGATAGTTTGGGAGGATCCAGCGCGACACTATCTGATGATGGCTCCATATCATACACCGACATGAACGACGGTATGTGGTTCTCATACATTCTGGGACCGGCTGCTGACGGCATCTTGGAAGTCTGACACTGCGAATACCCTTTCCTTTCTGTTGCCTGCACCAGAACCCCGTCTGCTCGTTGTCTGGATTTCCTTGCTCGATGCTCGATCGGACACGATAATGTTGTCTGCCGGTGAGATAGTGGAGTATTCGCGACTGCGCTGAAAGATCTCTTCAAGGTTCGAGTATTAGCATTTGAAATATCTGACAACGGAGCCATCGCAGGACCGCTGAGATCTGCAATGACTATGGAAGGAATGTTCCTGTGAAGACATGATCTCTGTTCAGACATGGACCAAATACAACCGGGGTGTTGCCAGACACCAACGGGTTGCATGCACTTTGTTCAATTCAGAGATAGATGATCCGCAACACAGTGTATAAGAAATAAGAGACAAGAGTGATAGAATGAAAGGATAGTAATTACCAGGTCCTCTGCGGCGCTTCGGAGCCGGCTGACCAAATGGCAGACTTCGAGCTTAGCGCCGCAACAGTGTTCGAGTCGATGCGCCTGGCTTATTGAAAGGCCAAATCAGGGTCGATAATTCCCAGGATATGCTCGAGTAAGGCTGCAATGAAGTATGTTTGAGGATTGGTGGGCAATCACTGCCACAAAGGATGCTCGAGACCAGCCTCAACAGCCAACCTAAATGTGTGTCGCAGGGCAGCACAGGCGAAAGTTGCCGCAATTTGACGTTGTACGGAGTGCCCGTGATTGAAATCTCCTTGTCGCTGATGGACTTCGCCCCGCTGAGCCCTCGAGTTGTCGCAAAGGATGAGGACAAACACCGAAGGGCAAGAAGACGACGAGAAGACGACGACGAAATGGAAAATCGAGGTTCAAGACGAAGAGACAGAGAGTCTCGACGGGGTTTGGCGACTCCCCAAGGGTTGTTGGCTCTTACTCTGCATGCAGCCAGTCAGAAGGCGGGACAAAAACGCAAGATGCTAAATATAGTATCAATACCGAAAGGTGAAGGGTGAAAGCGCCTAAACCGGGGCGAATGAGGAGCGAAGAGAAAGATTGACTAACCGACGATCCAAAGAAGGGTCGAGAGCAAATCAGCAGCTGCACTCGATTCCGGGAATCAATACACGCCTCCCGCTGCGACTGGCCGTTATGATCTGGCGTGTGTGTGGTCGGTGGAAGGTGTAGGTGTGGGCGTGTGCTTAGGGATGTTGGTGATCTGGGTCTGAAATTGTCCAACTGCTCTCCTGCGCGCATTCCACCAGGGACAACAAAGAACCTTATATGAATGACAAGGAAGACGACTGGCTAAAAGCGCCAAAGACTCGAGGGGTCGAAGGAATTATCGATTACGGAGTGTGCGAAGGTGTTGGGAGACGAGGGATTGTGGTTTCGCGTTGTGTTTATGTATAGATGGCCGGGTCGTGATTGCCCCAAATCCGCTTTCCTGCTTGACGGGACCAGATGAAAATAACAATAGACAAACAAATCTGCGGCTGTTCTTTCCCGTCCCAGAATATGTTGCAACGATCTGCTCCGCTCGAGTATACTTCGTCCAGAGGGTTGATCGGCCGAGGGAAGGAAATGCTGTTGCAGTACTTTGCGACCGGTAACTTCAAGGGGAGTGCGTCTGCTAGCAATTGAATGCAGCACAGGTGGTAGAGGAAGCCTCTTGGCAGAGTTTTGAACTTAGAGAATCATCCCTTCTCGAGGATCTCAACTAAAACGCAGGCTAGAAGAGGAGAAAAGAATTGGAATGCTTGTGGAAAGATTGTTGACTTGAGTGATTGATGGGTTTGGAAATGTGCGTGCCTTGCCGTGATGTTGATGCCTGGCTCCCTTGATCACCTCGCTACCATTGGCAGACGGACGACCAAGGGTCCTGGCCATCCTGAAACGCTAGTTTTTCTGCTCTTTGCCTTTGCAGCAGCAATTTTGATGGCAAACTCGCGCCCACGCCCATCATCTATTTCGATACCTACCTACACAAGCATGGGGAGAACGACAAGACGCGGAGATGAGGTTACGACCCTCATTTGACTGCGTCACGTGCGTATTTATAGCAATATTGTATCTACCTCTACCTAGGTAGCTCGGACTTGGCAATCTGGCTGCTGCTGCTCATCTCCACTCCCTATGTATAGAATAGACGCGGTTCTTCTTTTGAAAAGTATTCGAGGCCAGCATGGCACCTGTCCACCGTTCAGTACGGCGGGCATGATTCATCATATGCGTGCCTCGAGTTCGTCTCATATTTCGAGCAATGACGCCTATGCTCTGTCAACAATGAGGCTGAGGGTTTGGAAGTCTTGGACCAAAGAGGGAGCATAAACTTTCTCGTCTTCATGCCCTGACCTGGCCGCTGCTAGGGGTTCTCGTGTGGCATTTCTGGGTTGCTGGAGGCTGGAGCACCCTGAAATTGTCTATCTGTGCGGCTGAATATTCATGATTGGTCGAACGAGGGCTGTGGATGGCTCCACGCTCTGCTTCGCCATCGCCATCGCCATGAAATAATTGGCCTGGTCCAAGACCAAACTATGTCTTTGGCTGTGTTGGCGCGGTTGAAAAAGATTTATTTACGCGCGGTGAAGGAAACACAAAATGCCAACCGCTCCACTCCAACGAGGGTTTCGAACACAAATTCGGCCACAATCAGCATTCAGCTGCATTTTCGTCTCAAATCTGGTGGCAAACTGCCATCGTTCTGCGCTCTAACTGGAATTGGGGACGGTATGGCGACTTTGGGCTGGCAATCGTCCGAGCGATGTCGATTCGCCACTGCGTTCCAGCCTCGCCCACCAAGCTGCATGACACGAGCAAAGATTGGCTGCATCTGCAGGCGCCCAAGCCCTCGAGGCTGCACGAGACGTCGAAATGCGTTGACGATGCGTCGATGTCTCTCTTGTCCTCCATACCTATGAACGGATCGTCGTGGACTTTTGCCTAGACCATGGATGATGGATGTGGTCATCTGCAAAGTCTATCGGATTGCGGCACGAATACTGTACTGTAGCAAAAAGCAAAGAAAGGAAAGTCATTTTGGAGAATCGACATCGGAGCGACGGGAGTGCTGAAACTCCCGTGCAGTTCTTCACTGCAGAACGCACGAACGCACAGTAGTACCAAGCACCGCTGGTGCACTGTTCTTCCAAGTTCAATCATGACTCTCCATCTTCTTTGAGCACTCGGTTCATTTATGGCTAAGGGATCCGGTCCGAGGCCATTTCGTATTAGTTTTCGAACGTTGCGGGATGTCTCAATCGGAATCTATCCACAATCATAGGCCGGTCTACTTAGTGCTATCAAACTGACCAGCATATCCTAATACAGGTCCACCGAAGGAACGAATTGAGGATTCCTAGAAACCACGTCCCGCTCCCCTGAGTCCCGCAGCATCCTGAACATGTTTTCTTTATCAAATGTTGAACTGCTGGTCCATGTCCACGGCCTCTTGATTGACCAGTCTGGTCGGGCTTGCGAGATCATTGGGGGACATTGAAACTGTTGATGTTTGTGTCGAGGGGGGATTCTTGCGGGGGACCCTGGGAGTAATCTCGAAGCTAGAATATCCACATGTCAAGCTCCCTTTATGGGGAATATCTTCAGACTTGAAGAAACCGTGTAAACGCTACGGAACATTGTGACAAAACGTAGCAAAATGGGCTCTCAGTCTTACTCTTCTCTAATGCAAACTACTGTAAATGTCCTCTGTAACTTCGCATCCCCCTCTCCTCTTCACGGGTCCATTGTGACGAAACTTGCATGCGGGAAAACGCTTTGGGCACAATATGAATGGAGAAGTTTAATATGATTGACAAGCCTCATAAGACCAGCCCATTCTCCTCTGCTCTCTCTGTCTCTCTCTCCTTCGCAGGCAAGGTTCCTCGCCCCAATTGCACTATGGAGTATCCATCTGAGGACCTCAGAGAGCATACGGCATCGAGGCTCCCCACTTACCGTCATGTTGACCTACAGAAGCTGGACCTTGACCGTGACCCAGCGTTGTCAGAGCGAGCAGAAGTCTTAACGCACGGTGAAAGCAAAGAACAGGCGGGTCCCAGGAACGATATCAAACCACCTCATATGCGAAACAATTCGACCAGCAACATCATCACGACTCATGAAATCCGACCATCGCTGAAGGCATCCCGGCATTTAAGCTTCCCTACAGATCATTCTTCGCAGCCACGACCGGTCAACCTTTTAGCGGACTCGTCTTCGCCTTCCTCTGCGACCAACACACCCGCCGCGAAACTCGCGACCAAAAGGAATGCACAGCCTGTAACGCGAAAGAATCATAATGGAGCCAGTTATCCTCCACTCAGCATGATCACACGTGGATATACACAAGACTCGACTACAACGTCTACAACGAATTGGGTCGCACAACAATCGGCTCTTAGTCCAAAACCTGCCAGCAACAACGAAAAGCCTCCTTCGAGCCCGCCACAACCAGAATCGCAACTTCAACCTCAACCACAACCACCACGATCCATTGCAGACAGCGCATCCGCACGACCTCCCATCAAAGTCGCTCCCATCCGCGGATTCAAATCATCGCGAAAGAGTGCAGAGATGGCCTCGCGCCGTTTCTCGCAGGAGCTGGATAGCACCGTCAGAGTCTACGATCCCCACGAGAATTTACACCGCCGGTCCCGTCAGTCGGAGCAGGATGAGCATAACAGTGATGAAAGTGATCTATTCCTGAGAGCTGCGCGCGAGGAGGAGTTGGCGCAACAAAATAATGTTAATACAAATGGAGATTCTCCAAGTCGGTCGGACAGCAGAAGGGTTAGTTTTCCTGGTCCTACATCCCTTCGTCATATTTCTGCGGTGTACATCCCGAGGTTCCAGATCCATGGTATCAACATTATCACACACTTTCCTTATTTCAGTTTCACATGGGGTTTTAAACTTCATAAGCCATGTCCGACTTGTGGCTTGTCATTTTATTAACACAAATCCTAGTCCCGAATCGGACAACGTCCCTCCAGCTTGCTCTTCAACTCAACTGCTCTCGCTCGCCGTCGAGGATCGGATCAAGATAATTCGAATGGCTTACCTATTATGGCTGGCCAGGAAAGCATCGCACAGGCATTGACCTACCGTCCAGCCGGCAGGGATCGCCCTTCTGCGCTGGAAGATCTTAATAGAACTCGATACGCTGGACAAAACTCACGCTCAACACCGACCACCCCAAGGGCGACTGACAGCAGAGAACGTTCTCCTGAAGAATACGGGGGACGCCGCCCGTCAGTACCAGAAGCCATCTTGCCTCCTCGTGCCTCCTACCGGCAGTCAAATCTGTCATATTCGACACCTCGAATCTACAATTCATCACCACTAGTATCCCGCACAACCGACCTGCATGACACGCCTGAGACACCACGAGGAGCGGAAGGAACAGAATCAACAGTATCGACAACTGCACCGTCGACCGTCTGGGACGAGCTCGATGAACTGAAGTCACGAATACATAGATTGGAATTGACGGGGAAGCTACCACCTACATCTGGCGCTGCTATGTCAAGGGCATCGGCGGATCGACCACCAACGGCGACGACTACCATAACCACCTTATCTTCTTCGCCAAAACGAGGGCGGGGGATTAGCATATCACCAGTCGAACCTCCTGTCGTTGTAGAACAGCCACCTGCTGAAGCTCACCCTCTTTTGCATGCTGCTTTAGCGAAAGCTAAGCCACTTCTTAACGCCGAGATATACAAGACATTAGAAGCTACTGCTTCAGATGCTCTGGCAATCTCGTCAATGATGGGGACCTCGGGCCAACCTGGACCCATTTCAAGCTCTCAATCAACGGTTGGAGGACCAAATGCTGGCGTATCTGACCGACAAGTCCGCCGCAAAGCTGATAGTATGTGTCGAAGTTTGACTGAACTTTGTTTGGCATTGTCCGAAAACAAGAACGAGGCTGCACAAGCTGTTACTAGTCAGGCACTGGAACGACCTAGGACTCGTGACACTGAGGTTCTTCCAAGCATTGAAACGAACAATACTCGTCAGATTGTTAATACCGATCTCAACAGAGTCAAGTCGAGTCCAAGAGCTCTCAGTCGACTAGAAGCACGACGAAGTAGCTTACTTGCTACGAGCGCGTTACCAAGTCCTCGCTATGCTCCATCTGAGGTTGGAACACCAACACAAACGGGACGGCGAACGTCACTATTCCTTAGAACTCGACGTACAGGAACAGAAGAGCCAGAGGAGGACGATACGTTCCGTGCCCCTTCCAGAGCCATTACTGAAGTTGGTCGTCCGAGACAATCGCCTCGAGAATACACATCTCAACAGCCACTTCCTGAACGATCATCTTCTATCACATCTTCTTTGCCCGTCAGAAGACATTATGCTTCGACAAGCTTGACGAATTCACAACCAATGCCGCCAGTGTCAGCCCTTAACAACAGGAGATACCTGGAAAGGTCAACACCAGAACGAGACACCTCGACTGTCATTGGACGACTTGCAGAAGATCGCTCACAGAGAAAGTCATCTATCGGCTCTGGCCTCCCAATTGGACGAACTGGCAGTCTAACCAGAAGAAATCGACAACCTACTAGCAGCGAATTTACTGCTGGCCAGGCTGGTGGCTACCAGTAAGGATTACTAATACGACGTCAGGCCACGCCATACATTGTATTAAATATTGCATTTTGGAGTTCGTCGGATTTGTTTTTTTTGGTCTTTTTGGCAGGAAGGATGGAAGCGTTTTCTCCATTTTCCATTTGACCAAGTATACCATATTTTTTCGCCGACCCGGAATTTCGGAAAAGGGGCATTTCGAGATACCCAAAAGAAAGACACACACACGAACGCACACAGAAACATGAACACGACGACGACGGCATGATCAATGATTTTGATTTGAGGCATTGCATTGCGGAATGATAAATGGAAGAGAAGCCTGGAAAGAAAAGCTGTAATGTACATATGGCTACGACAAGCGGGTTTGTGAATTACTCACAACTTCATATCCTTGTTTTTTGCAGTTACGTTAGTTAGGTTCGCTTGTTCTGTGGTGCGCACCAGGAGATGGATGAAAGTGCGGGTGATGAAATGTATGATATTTTAGTGTGTGTTCTGATTGTGGTGTTTGATTTGCGGTGATCGCTTTGCTTTGGTAAGTGGTATCGTACTGTAATCCATGGTGCTTCCTCAATTACTTTTCCTCAATCTATGTCAAGCGTTGTCTTTTCCCCCTTTCCTTGCTAGGCCGGCTTTCGGTTGTCAGGTCCAAACATCATTTTTGACTTCTTGAAAAAGGTTCCTAAGAGAGTCACTTCACTGAGTCGTAGCGAATCGTTGCTACGATTGGCTTGCATGAGATGTATGTGGAACATGGAGCTGTGATTGAGGGAAGAAGGTGAGTTTTTGGAGTGATGTTTCATATGATAGCACTTAATGTATTTCTGATGCTCTATTCTGGGTTGTCTTTTTGTCTTTGATATGTTTTCCTTTTGCGCTCTCAGGAATATCCCATTGCCCGGGTTTCGAGTTCTTTACCCATGTCCTCAACTTATTCGGGACGTCCAGCGTCCCAAAGATTTGACTATGCTATATCTTCCAGCCCCAAGCTTAAATGTATTGAAGTCGAATTTTATAAGAATATAGCGCTTGAGACTTCAAGATGCTGCTCACCGTTCCCTTCTATTTGAATAGCCTCCATTCCACCTCAAGTCAGTCCCAACTCCGGGCTAATCTCCAGCGACTCACGCGGCCACTCCCCACTCCGCATCACAAACCCCTCGAGCGCCCTCGTCAAGTGCGAAGTCCCCTCCACACCCCTCACCTTCGCCCAATCCAAATTCTCATACTCCTTCCACTCGGCATCGTAAATCGGCCACAGCAGCCACGTCTCAGACATACTCCTGACCAAACCACTTAACTGGAACTTCTCGAGCGCAAAATCGCTGTTTGCTCTCATTTGCTCGAGGAAGTCTTTCCAGGTGGAATCCGAGTCGATCATCTCGGCGTGCGAGATGCTGACGCGTTGCAACGTTGCCGCGTTGGCGGAGAGGAAGGAGAGCAGGTCGGTGGCGCGGATGGCGATAGATCTTAGCGCGAGCGTCTTGAGGTGGCTAGATGAGATGGTTGGGAGGGAGTTGATGTGTGGTCGCTCGACGCAGTCGAAGCTCATTCGGAGTTCTTCTAAGGCTGGATTGACGAGGAGTATATTCTGTATGGTGGCGCCGACGCCTGTTTCTTGGTCTTCTAAGTCTGGATGGATGTTGTTGAGGTCGAAGATAGATAGGTTTAGACTTCTGAGCTCGGTGAGGTATTGGGATAGGCGGAGTCCTGTAGTTGGGGAGAACAGGTTGGAGTTGTAACGGCCGTGGGTAAAATGCTTGATTCTCATTCCAGAGTGTTTCAGTGCCGATAATATAGATGATAGCTGTAGACATTTGGGCACGGGTCTATGATCGTATAATTGGAAATCGTACTCGGCCCAGACTTTCTTCAATAGAGGCTGCTCAAACGGGTTTGGATGGGTGAACTTGATCGTCTCGACCCTAGGTACATTTCGAAAGGCCTCGATCAAGAATGTTTCTCCCTTTTCATTCATGAAACTGTCGTCTTGATCTCTCTGCGCAATGACAGTATCGATTTCATCTAGTGACGCGTTCTCGAACTGATTTGGGACGAAATCCGTCTTCTGGAAACTGGCAACTTGGACATGGCGAGAGCAGAAGATCGTTCGTACCATGGTGGGGTCGTATTCTTTGTCTCTGAATTCCAAGGTATTTATAATCTTGGCTGCCTGTACAGCTGTATTGTGGTTATTTCCAATGTTGATGAGACGTTGGAGATCGGTGGGATAGGACTTGATCACGAATGTATGGAGGAATAGGATGTCGAGGCCAACAACTGCCCACGAAGACGAGACGAGACGGAGAGCTTTGGCGGTCTCAAGGTCTGCATGGTCGAAGATAAGTCTCTTGATCTCGTGGGGAAGAGTGTTCGCCATGTTGATCCTGAAGTGAGCCTTGTCTTTCAGCCTTATTATTCATGCGTAGTTGTCAGACGAAAGGATGCCTAAGTGAATATCTTGATCCGGCATGACTCTTCGTTAAAAATAAGCGAACCTGTTGAACTGCCTACACTAGCCGAACAAAATATATATCTTAACTTCAACCTCAAACTCGACGATATATTTATGCTAAAGATATACACCTCAAGAGCTCAATTGACCGTCCCTCAATTACAGAGAAAGTTGCGACTCTTTCAAAACTCCCCGGCGAGTTCCAGCAAGACTCAGCAAGCCGTTTCCCTTCGAAACTCGAACGTCATGGATGACGACTTTGTGGACAGAGCAGAAGAGCTAGATTTCAGATCCAGAGATGGAGGACTAGGTGGTCGAGGAGGTAGAAATGCAAGAGGAAGAGGCGGTAGGGGTGGAAGAGGAGGTGGGAGAGGTGGAGGAGGCGGCGGCCAGATGAACAGGGAAGTTGCTATATCAAAAGCATTGTCGAAATTGTTAAGACACGCTGCTGAGGAAGCTGGACTAAAGCTTGACGCAGAAGGATATACACCTCTAGATCAAGTGGTAAGCCATTCTACCCCTCATGGCTATTGCACAACTCGCAACACTCCTCCCTTGATACCATCACGTGTCTCACACGTGGGATTTACGAATTGAAGAGTGGTACTGACTCCTTCCTAGCTCAAATGGCAACGTCTACAGTCTCTTCAGCCAACATTCGAAGACATCCGCACTGCAGTAACGGATAACGCCAAGCAACGCTTCTCAATGAAACTAAACCCATCCCTCAATACACCACCCGATCCAGCTTCTGAAAATCCCTCTGACTGGGTAATCCGCGCCAATCAAGGTCACAGCATAGCCATTGACTCTGCAGCTCTTCTCATACCCATCACTATAGAAGCTGGAAATGTCCCAGATATAGTTGTTCATGGTACTTACTACGCATTCTACCAACCAATCCTTGCATCCGGAGGCTTGAAAAAGATGAGCAGAAATCACATACATTTCAGTACCGGGCTACCAGAGGATAAAGGAGGAGTTATAAGCGGAATGAGGAAAGATGCCGAGCTCTTGATCTATATCGATATTCAAAAAAGCTTACAAGATAAAACATTATGGTGGATTAGTGACAATGGTGTTATCCTGACAGAAGGCGACGAGAACGGGCTTGTCCTGACAAAGTATTGGAAGAAGGCTGAGGGTAGGAGACAAGATGTTGGAGTCCTCTGGGAAGATGGAGAGCAAGTTGCAGAGTTGCCGCAAAGTGTGAGGAATCGAAAAGCACCCAACGGCAAGGGACCAAGGGGCAGGAGGGAGAATGAGAAACCTAAAGGAAACGGCGGCAAGGGAAGAGGCAAGCCCATGAAGGAGTTAGATGTTCTTGGCGGAGGGGATGGTTTAGGTACCGAATAATTGTTGAGATGAACCAACCCTTAGGCCATTCCTCACTATCACAACATATGAAGACGCTCAGGGAAAAGAAGCCTCCTAGTAGAATTTAAACCGCAGCATAACTCTATAATGAGCTCTAAATTCTATCAAGTGGCCGCTACAACTTTTCTATGCCTACTTCCCGTACCATCTCATGGTCCCATAGCTTCGTAACCTCATAATTTCGTTACTGTACCGGAATATCATGATATCCCAAGCCCCGAATGAAATTCCAAAATCATAACTCGCTCTCACAGACACAATCACCAAGTGACGGCGTAAATAACAGACGCATCAGGCTTGCACCCCAACCGCAGAAGCACTCGATACCTCAGTTTGTGAACTGGCGGGCGAGCGCTTCCTCTTCTTATCCTCTTCCTCATATTGCTTTAGCCGGTTCGCCTCAATGCCTTTTAAAAAGACAAATACTTGTTTTGCGAGCGCCTCTTTAGCATTTTTCTTCCCAACAACATTTGCGACATTCCCGACTTTGCCTTCATCGCCAAACCGTGGATGGCCAGCGAAATCAGCATAGCCGTCCCATAGAGGACAATTGGGGACAGCAGCAGCAGGTTTCAACACATAAGAAGGAGCTGGAATATTGAGGCGGTAGCACAAGTCTGGAACCTGTGCAGTATATGGTGTACCTTGAAGGTTGGGAGATGTAGATATCGTTGCTGTAGGAGTAGCAGTCCGTTGGAGTACTTGAGGTACTTTGGGGAACTTTATAGTACCATCAGCGGGCATATGATTGTTTGCAATAAGCCAATCAACAGCTTGCTTAGCAGCATATTGTTTTGAAGGTCTCTTGGAAGAGAAGGTGAGGAGTTCTTGGTCTGTTGAATTGGTGCATCCAAACGATGTTGGAAGTCCTTCGATAGTGATTGTACATTGGAATCTGGTAGGTTTTGAGCCAACACTTGTTTCCTCGTACTTGGGGATCCTTTTCCCATTTGCTTGACAGTATTCTGTGCTGATTAGTGACTACGGTCAACCAAAAGAACTATGCAACTCACGGTTCAGAAGGTTAACCCAATTCTCATCAGCCAAAGTCTTCAAAGCTTCTTGCTCGGAAACTAATTCGGAAGGAAGCAGTGTCGGGATGGCAAACGTCACATTACCATCTCCTGGCATATACTTGTTTGCTATCAACCAGTCCACAGCTTTTTTAGACGCATACTGCTTGGCAATCTTTTTGTTGCTGAAAGAAACAAGATGGGATTCTGTCTGGGGATCGCCAGCTCCAAATTCTTCTGAAATTCCCTTTAACGTGGTAATGCATTGGAACCTTGGCAATGGTTGGCTGATAGTGTGTTCCTCGTGTTTGACTTTATGTTGAGGATTTACATCACAATATCCTACAGAATTAGCTTATCATGAATTCGCATGTAGACTGTGAAATTACGTTGCAATAAGCCAACCCAATTCTCATCTCCTAAAGCTTTTCTGGCCTCTTCTTCGACCGCAAACATCTCTGGGCCCAGGCTGGGGATGGAGTTTTTCTGCTTCTTAGTTGGTGGGGGCCCGCTCTCCTTTCGGGACTCCTGAGCTTGTAGTGCATCTCGTTCGATCTGGTCTTGCATCCAGTCGTCCATTGATATGTATTTGACGGGCTCAACTTTGATAACCTGAGCCGGTTGAGGAGGGTGTAGGTCTGTTACGAGCATGTCCATGGCTGGCCCGCTGTTCTCCATTTTCGTTGTCTTGATCGAGACCCTGTCGGACGTTGGTGTATGATGAACGAGTAGTTGTGCAGGTGTTGGTACTTCTACCGTGTGCCCAGATTTTCAGGAAAGGGTGGAAGAGGCAAGGCTGAGAGAATGCAGAAGTGGAAGGTGCGAGGTTGACCCGTCACGTGGATATGCAAACAATCTTGAATGAGAACTGATTTCACAATCTGCAGGTCTCTCAGAGGTTTTTTGAAGGCAAATTACGCTACAAGGGGTATCATTTCGTACCGACTCCATTCAATGCCATGACGATGTCACCCGGAGAACATCCCTTACTCATTCTTCAAAGAAACCTCCATCACTATCTTCCTCGGTCTCGCCCAAATTTGCACTTAAAGTGGCACCAAATGCCTTGTTCTTTTCAAATCCGGTAGACTTATTCTTGGCTTTACCTTCCTTGTTGACGCCCCGTAGACTTCTCCTCTCCCTCCGGTTCATGCCTGTTGTATCCACTAACTCTACTCGTTTTGGTTTAGGAACTTTTCTTTCCAATCGTTTGGAGGTATTGGCAGGTGTATTCGGTGGCCTGTTCCGAAGCCTGTCAAGAGTTCCAAGTTCCATACACTTCTCAACCTCTGCCCACATCTCAGGCTTTGGTCTTGTATCCTCGACCTGTTCGTCCTCATCTTTCGTAACTGTGCCTTTCGGAGGGTAAAGCGAGACATAGGGTAGACTGAGAGGACAGTACTGAGTATAATTCAGATCTACTTCTGCCACGTACATCTGAGTCTTCAATGTCTCAACTTCTTCAGTACTATCTGCTTCAATAAGTCGCTTTCGAAGCCTTTTGAGCAGTCGTGTAGCCTTTTGACGCTCTGCATGGCCATTAGACAAAATTTCATAGAGGTAGATAGATATTGCATACCAAAGAATCGTACCATGTGATACTTCTTGATCATTTTTTGTCTGACCTTCTCTGCTTCCGCCTCTGCTAATTCTTGCTCGTATGTAGCAAGAGCTCTTTCATCCTGGACTCTAACATCTGCAGGGACATTCTCAGATCTTTCTAGCCTTCTGCTCACATCTCTGATCTTCTTCTTGATGGCGTTGACACTCGAAGCATGAAGCTGTTTTCTGGCAGGTTCGGAATTTCGTGGTTTTTTGGCGGGGCGAGGTTTGTTACCGTAGACCTGCGCTTGACGAGATTCGTGCACATCACCTTGCGCTTCTGACTCTTGGTGCTTTCTTTTCGGACCCATTGTGTCGTTGCGAATAATATTTTGTTCGTTTCTTCAAAGAATTTCTTTGGAGCTTTTCACACCACACAATACGTTCTTCTCCTAGCTCTGGCAGAATCGCACAGCACACCGCCCTCGCTTCGCAATTTGCGGCTAACCCAAGATGGAGGATAAACCAGAGGAGTAAGTATCCCTCTTTCTTTACCTTTCGATCTCGCAAACCTCCCATACTCTCGAAGGCGATCGATTGTACTTCGCGATACAATCATCAAACCTGATGAGATCTTTATGCTCAAGCTATCTTGCGCGAATGTCTATGCAGATCTGACAGCGCTGATCTCGAATTCACCTGATTAGATCCACCTCCAAGAGGACTGTCCCCAAATTTGGAAGAGCCATGGATCGCAATGAGGGAATTGTCAGATGGTCCCCGAATGTATCCCGCGATGAGTTCATGGTATTCAATCTCAACAACCGAGTCGCTCATCTCTATGAAGCTACTGGTCATGCTCAACCTGGCCGATTTAGCTTCAAGAAGTCGTCGAAGCACACAGAGATCCCCGCTATCAATACTTATGACTGGTCCCCAACAATTCGGGGATTGGTATCAATCGGTACTGTCCAAGGACACGTCTTCTTGCTAAGAGTAGATGACAACTCAAATGCCACCATCCAACTTCCTTTGAAGCTTCAAAGACCTTGCCAATCTGTGGCTTTCAACACTACCGGCCTTCTTGCTGTTGGTCTTGATCGAGTACGCAATGATTCGTGCTTGCAAGTCTGGGACATCAACGAGAGATTGGCAAAATGGGATTCTACTCAAAGCGGCTGGAACGTACCGTCCATGAATATCGAGCCGAGAAAGAAGCTGGAAGGAAGCACGTCGATTACGAGCATTAGATTCTTCGAAGATCAACCTCAAACTCTAGTATGTGGCGTGAAGAACCAAAGCGTCCGAGTTCATGATCTTAGAGGCGAGTTTCCTCCACAGGCTTTGGAAGAATCCACTTATTGATTTCGTACAGATCCAAACTCCACCGTAATCAATTTTCAGACCAGGTGTAACAACAATATTGCCATCGATTACATGGACTCCAACTACTTCGCTTCTTCAAGTCTAGACCAACCCGGATTGATGGTCTGGGATCGTCGCGTGTCTACCCGTTCTGGTGCATCACCCATGTATCTGGAGTCTTTCGATCAAGATGAGATTCCTTGGGGTGCTGTACTGAAGCTAGACCGAGCCATTCAGGTCGACAAAGACGTGTTTATCAAACAGCTTAGATACTCACGCGAACAACGGGGCGCTCTTGGTGTTCTTTCCACAGCCGGTCAACTACAAGTTCTGCAAACTAAGAAAGAATTCATTGAGCCAGGCTCTCCTGATGAGGTAGCTGGAAGCCCCGAGTTACTTGAAGTTAGGAAGTCGTATGTTTTGGAATATCCGTATTTCGATCCTGATCATAAGAGAAAGCAAGAGCATCGGATTGTCTCCTTCGATTGGCTCAATGTTGGGACTACAGACCTGCCGCCTCGTGTGGTAGCTCTGAGGGCCACTGGCGATTTTGAGATCTTGCAAATGCCAGCAACGACGGCCATGCAACTCTCGCAACTCATTCCTTGGCAACCTCCTCACCGCTGTAAGTTTCTTTGTCATTGCCGACATCTCGTGATGTCTTCTGCTAATATATTATCAGTGGGTGACCCGTACTTGACTCTTCTAAACTTCTCGGACCCGAAGGAACGCGAAAAGATGCTTGGACCGCTGTATGCCACTGCTGCCAAGGCTGAGGTGCCAGTATTTGGACCCGATGGTTACAGTTCTCTAGCAACCAAACGCATGCTCAATACTGCTATCAAAAAAGCCTTGGAGTCAGGAGGAGATCCGGTGATTGATGAGCTTGCCCCGGTGGAGTCCAGTAATCAGACCGTCGAACAGCAAGCCCCGCTTATCGAGTCGATGGAAGACAGTTTCTCTCAATTGCGCGTCGACAAAGGTGTTGACAAGAAGGCTTCACAAAGTCAAGAAATCCCAAATGATTCGAAAATCTCAAAAGCCTATTCTAGCAGAGAGTTGCATGACAAATCCCACTATGCGACACTCGCCCCTCTTCCTGCAGACAAAGATACCCATGATAAGCTGGACCACGTTATGCTGCAACGGGCCGTTGATGGCTATCTGTTTGACTGCGCGAAGAACCAAGCTATAGTTAAGGGTGATCCTTGGCTCCAAGATGTCTGGGGTTGGATCGCACAAGCCGAAGACGCCGCTAAGGACGGTGGAATGATCTCAATGCCGCTCGATCTCAGCTACATGGGCGTGTTCACCATATGGACCAATTCACTTGGTGAGAAATCTAGCTCTCGACTGATCGATAATACCGTCATCCCGGATTCGTCTCAATTGGAGCATCTGATCGGAGCAATCAACAAACTCGCAAATCGTCCAGATTTCACAAGTACCAAGACTGCAAAGCCCCGTCATCGACAGCTTTGTCTAGCAATCTGCGGTCAACTGAAGCATTCTGAAGATTTCGCAGATGACCTAAAGGCATTGCAACTGGATGGGATGTATACGAAGGCCGCTGCTTGGGCTTTGTTCGAGGGGCATTTGAACCGTGCCGTTGAAATCTTGAAGAACGGCGGTACCGATCTTCTGTTTGCAGCTATGGCCCTGGATATCAAGCTCAAGAGTAATGCTTCGCTCGATCTGGACAATACTGGATGGAAGAAAGCTTTGGAAAGCCACCCACAGATGGCCGAGGACCCCTATCTCCGCGCTATCTATCGCTACATGACGACCGGAAGCTGGGAGGCCGTTGCAGATGAGAAGTCTCTTCCACTTCGCGATCGAGTATGGGTTGCTCTGCGCAACTTTGACGACGACAAACTTACGTACTGGCTATCGAGGGAGATGGAAGAGGCCGTTCGGTTTGGGGACATTGAAGGCATTGTTCTTGCCGGCATTACCGATCCAATGGCCAACATTCTCCAGAAGTATATCGTGAAATTCATGGACTATCAAACCCCGACATTGATCATGTCCTTCTGCCACCCCCGATATATTGACGATGACCGCTGCGCGGCCTGGCGAAACGCGTACCGAGACTACCTCAACCGCCATAAGCTCTTCATTCTCCGAGTCAAATACGACCAACAAACTGCCAAGAAGAGCCGTAATCGGGAAGGATCTCATGTCATCAAGCCTCCACCCCGCCAGGTCACCATCCGCTGTCTCAACTGTGACATGAACGCCGCCAACGACCTCTCTGCCGCCGGCCAAGGATCTGCTTCCGTCCCTGCCTCAGCAACAGCAGATATCCGCAACCCCCTAGCGGCATCAGGAGTCAATGCCGGACTGTGCTGCCCAAAGTGCGGTTCCCACCTCCCCCGCTGCGCCGTCTGCATGGAGATCGTGGGCGTCCCGCGCTCTGATCGTCCGGAGCAGAGCTCGGATCCTGCGGTACGTCGTATGGCCAACTTCCCAAGCTTCTGTCTGAAGTGCAAGCATGTGACCCACATGGATCACTCGATTGCTTGGTTCGAGAGGCACAATGAGTGTCCGACTCCGGAGTGTAAGTGTCAGTGCAATGCTGGAGGGAGCAGAATCAGAGACTGAGGGGGAGGAGGGCGTATTCTCGTTTTTCTTTTTCGGCGTTGTTTTCAAATCTCCTGCATAGCGAGGGACAATATGAGCAGCATTGAAGGCGTTGGAGGAGATACCCTTGTGTACTGTAGATTAGAACGAATAAATGCCAAATTCAGAAGCAATTCATCAACTTAAATGTCTATAATAGTCAGAGAACATACGCGCTCGTTAAGTCCCACAATCGTCTTGGAAACTATGTAAAGTATTTTCATCAAATTTGCGGGGTATTGTCCGTAGTAGCCAGAGAACATCCACCTTTCTAAAGTCCTTAATTTAAATTTCTTTCTTTAATATAGTACATTGTCCGTGATATGTAGAGTAAATTTGCTTTTATTATGTCCTTTTCTCAACTCAATTATTCTGGATATTATTCTAAGTTACAAAGCTACAAAGAATTTAAGAGCCATATTGTTTGTAATACACTAAGAACATAAGCCTCTGTTAAGTGCTCTCTTCGACTCAATCATTATGAGAAATTATTTGAAATATTCAAAAATTTATGGGATGTTGTCTGTCACGGTCGGAGAACATTTGCTCTTGTAAAGTCCTTGATTTAAAGACCTTTATTGAAATTGTCTGTAATATTCAGAGTACATATGCCTTCGTTAAATCTTTTTCTCAGCTTATTTATACTAGGAAAATACAAGCGCTGTAATATTGAGACAACATATGCCTTCCTTAAGTCCTCTCCTTAACTTCATCATTTTGAGAAGTCATTGTAGGGAAGAGAGCTACCAGAAAATCAAATAGATGCAGTGACGAAATATTTTTCATTCCTTCTATCACTGATATCGTTCTCTCATTCTCTATCTAGCAGCAAGAAACCGCCAACCCATCCACCCATTCGTCCAGCTAGCCATGACAACCCAAACGCTAAAGCCACCACCAAACCGGCTCACAATGCCTTGCTTGTTTGACACGAAGATCGTGGTATAATCCCAATGATGAATAAACGCCTTTCCCAAATGCACCACTTTCCATCCCATATCACCATCAACCTCTCTGCTTCAAGAACCCCTGTAGATACCCCGCGAGCCCTTTCCTATCCGTGGAAATCGTCATGGATTTGATGAAATCGGTGCCATCGAATCCCATCGAGGGGAAGAACACTTGCTGCAGATGTTGGAGGAACATTTGTCCAGTCTTGGTGTAGATCGTTTGTTCCAAGCCCGCGATCTCGTTGAGGACTTGCTTTGCTTGGGCGTCTGTTGCCGGGCGGAAGCTCGGCTCTTTTAGGACTTCCCAGCAGATTGGGTGGAATCTCTCGATTAAGAAACGGTCGAAGCCTGGGAATGCTGGTGATGGAGGAAGTGTAGAGGAAGTTGCTTGCGGTCCGAGAGTTGCAATGTTTGGCCCACCCCAGAGGTCTGCCATTCGTGTGATGACAGAAAATGCAAGTCTGCTAGCACCGAGACTTCCGTGGCCATTTGTGACATTTCGTGCTAGGCCAGTTACCGACTCTATCAAGGACTCGAAGAAGCCTTGGTTCACCTCGCTGACTAGAACCGCACCCAGCTCATTGTTTAGGATGATCTGAATAAATGTAAGATATTCTCGGCGGAGCTCAGCAAGCTGAATCTCGTCGTCGGTCCCAGTAATCGGCTCTGCTAAGCCTGCAAAGACTCTCTGCAAAAGAGGTGTGAGGAGCGAATCTAAGACCACGTAGATCTCTTTCTTGAAGCCGAAGACAACTGCATCCAATAAACGTAGGAACATAGCCATCTCGTCTTTAGAAGAGCTCTCTGAGAGCAATCCATCAATCCACTGAGGAAGAAGTGGAAGCATGCCTATTCCCAAAACTCCCATCATTCTAGAGAATGCAGCTCTTGCCGCTGTCCGAACATCGAAAGAGCTCTTCAAAGCTTCAAGAGCAATCAAGATCGCCTCTGCTGCACGACTAAATTCTTCGGAGATCTCTTTGCGAGGAGCGTTACCTGCTGTTGCGGCATTTCCAGGAGTCCAATCCGAGAATCCATGAGCCAACGTGCCAAGAGCCATGATGACATGATGGACTTGCAAGACAGCTTGTTCATCACCAGCCTTAGCTCGCGGTAAACTCTTCTGAATTTCCAAGAACAGAGGCTCCATGATAGTTCGGACATAGAGGATTTGTGTCTCGACAGGAGTAGTAGAAGTTGATGAAATACTTCCAATAGCTTCAAATAGATACAACTGGCCATTGAATGTAGCATCCGCAGAGTGATCGCTTTCATCAGAAGACATATCTTCATTTGCGACATAGGCGTCTGGTTGTTCGGCCTGGATGGAAAGAAGATCACTGATTGAACGGATTACAGTCTCAGCAACATTGCCGACATGAGCTCGAAGATGTTTGGCGAATCGGTGGAACAGATACCAAGAGCGTGTTCGCACTCTGATGTGGTTGTGGTGCACAAGACGAACGAAATGTTCTAGGACTTGTGGAATATACCGAGTTTCGGTCTCGAAGAAGGAGTTGTAACGGACGCAGATTTCCATGTACTGGAGTTGAATGGCAGGGTGAGCAAAAGATGCAATGCCTTGCACGAATTAGCAGTTGCTCCCCATGAAGTCGTTGTTCTCTTACCAGACTCAACCATCTTCGACATCATAGTGATCAATCGCCCAGCTGCCACACTAGAAGGTGCGCTCTTGGCAAAAAGACCACCATTAGGAACCGTAAGCTCGCCAAACAAATACATCTCGTGCAAAGCTAAATCCAAATCGCGCCAGTCCATCTGCCCACCCTGCTGATCGAGCCTCTGGAAGGTATTTCCCACAACATTGCTGAGAGTTTCGATGTACAAGTTCTCATCCACAGCAGCTACACTCTTCTGTAGAACCTGTAACCTCTTCCGTAGTTCTTGGAATTCTGCCTCATCAGTTTGTTCGTCCTCGTTGCCCCACGAAGACGTCTCATCATATCTCATCTTCTGAATTATGGCATTGAGTATGGGTGGTAACATAGCAGAGTATTGTGGTGGAAGTGGCTGTACTCTGCGTAGGAATGTAAGAAGATCGGTGAGGGACGGGATGACCGTAGAGCAAATTTCGTCGTACTCATCTGAGAAGAAGCGAAGGAGGAGGGGTAAGAAGGATTGAATGAGTTGCTCGGCTTGTGCTCGAGTTTGTGTATCCACCGAGTTATCCTCAAGGACTTTGACGATGGCAAAGATCACATTGTTGATCAACTTAGCAGTAGACTCAGCAAGATCCGTGTCATATTCTGACGTGGTGCGTAGTTCGTTGAGAGATGGGGTGGCAACAAGCTGTGTGATGACTTCTCCTAAGTTCAGAAACACAATCATGCCGATCTTGTCAGAGGCCTTCATCTTCTTGGCCACAATCTCTGTGAAAGTGTCGATTGCTGCATCTTTGATTCGGTCCTGTCTGTCCACAGTGCTTGACCTGCCCACAAGCTGGAACAAAATGTTCAAGAAGTCTTGGTTCACAACTAAGGAGATGTCGATCCAGCTGATCCATTTGCCAACGTTCTTCAAGCACATTGCTACCGCAATATCGTCCCGGTCGGTCCACTGTGTCAAGATTTCCTGCCAAGACGAAGCTATCTTCTGGACATCCCGAGCTCTCAGAAGATCCTTCAACTCCGTATTGCGCTTAGTCTCTTCATTTGATCGACTGACAAGGACATCGGCAATCTCATCGTGTATAGAAGACAGAATCCGTAGGTACAGAACCGTGCCCAGAAGATTATCCCTTGCTCCGCTATTCTGAATACTGGTCAGCGCCAGAAAATCGTCGATGAAGGTCTCCCAACCCTGCTTATAGGAAGCCATGAAGAGGAACGTGAGAGTCTGCGTGAGCTTGTTCTGGAGGTGAGGAGCGTCCATCTGATCCCTACTGCCCGAGCCATAGATCCGCCTAACATACTCCAGCAGAGTTTCCTTGACATGGCTCAAGCTTTGGTTGTCTAGTTGCTGCGTTTGAATAGCATTGTTGACCACATCCAAACACACCAGTCGAACGACATCAGAGCACTTGGGATTTCTTGTAAAGAGGGAAATGCAAGCTTGCTGACCAGACGGATCAGAGCGTAACTGGTTCAGGAACTCGAAGGCTTGAGCTTTGAGGCTTTGGTCGGAGGCAGGGTTCCATGCTATTTCGATTGCATTCTCGACCTGACAAGTAGCAGACCGTCAGCATGTCTGCTTGAATTGCAAGAGCTGGTGGGGCATGTGTCTACAGAAAAGACTACCCCACCATGCCCGCCATTTATCCCACCGTGACAAACTTACCTGGGTGTCCATGATGGTCCACTTGCAGGAAACAAGATCAAAGAGTGCTGACAACTTCGGCAGACAGCGGTTGTGCAGCTATGGTAGTGGCAGAAACTGGTATTGCTGCATATATCATGCTCTGAAGGGGTCCGCTATCGAGTCATATTTTTTAGGCGGTCGGGAACGAAGGCTTTGTACTTGTGGACTATGGGTTCAGGATCACAGTGCAGTGAATGGATCTGGTTGTCTTGACTGATGCGAGTTTGGAGGTGAACGGCTGTTGTAAATTTTATTTAGGCTCTGATGCTGTTGCAGTCTGTATTTTAATTTCGTCAGGCACGCTCGACATACGCCCCTCACCTCACAGCCTTTCCGCTAGCGCTGTCGCGTGCCGCCAGCCTCCTTTTCCTTGACACCTGGGATATTCGATGTATCACATTGCCTGCTTTGATGTGACGATTTCTTCATTGTATAATCTCACGAGGAACAAAGTTCTGTCTACATGACTTTTATTGTTCATTCAATACAGCCCCTCCACCAAGGTGATGAATATGAGCAGGAAATCAAAAGTGCTAGGTGAAGAGCCATGGAACGCCGGCAATGAGATCGATCTATCCCACCCATCTATGAAGCGCCAACCTGTCACGTAAATACAGACAAGCTCTGATGCTCATGAAAACTCCGACACCCATGATGGTCAATATCACCAAAAGGTCAAATGGAACGAAGACAGCTGCCAGTAAGAACCCTGCTCCCATCCTCCGCAACCATGGTAGGTTAGCATCTGAGATATGAGCTTTCGAGGAACGGTCATCCTGGCTGAGGTTCCCATTTTCCTTGTGCTGGTTTGGTTCGTATTCATCTTCTGATTGTTGTCATTGAAAGGAGAAACCTCCAGGAAACCCTTGTGGAGCACCTCTCCGCGCTCCGCCTGGCATACCCCCTCCAAAGCTGTGGAAGTTTCCACCGCCTCGGCCACCTCCTCCCATCTGGGCACCGAACATCTGCATCAGAATCTCCGGATCAATGCTCATACCACCTCCCATTCCACCTCCGCCAAATCCTTCCATCGGGTCCATAAGATCCTCACCACTATCATACCGTGCACGCTTCCTGTAAATTCATTAGCACTATTCGAGACTGTTCTTATAGATTCAAACTTACTCGGGATCACTTAGCGTCTCGTAAGCCTCACCAACGTCCTTGAATATCTCGGCTGCATCTTCATTGTCCAGATTCTTATCTGGGTGGTGAATGATAGCTGCCTTTCTGTAAGCCTTCTTGATGGCGTTCTCATCTGCATCCTTATCGATTCCAAGAATCTTGTAATAGTCCTTTCGTTTGCTTTTCTTCAGCTCCAATTCAGCCTTTCGTACTTCCTTGACGATGCTAGCATCTGATGGATCTTGCTCTTGCAACTCCTTCAGCTCACGAACTGCTGCCTCCCAATCACCCGACTGTCCCAACGCAGTAGCTTTGGTCTTCTTGGCTTTTGTGTAGGTAGGATCCAGAGATATGGCCTTCTCACAATCAGAAACCGCACCCTTGTAATCTTTGAGCTGAACACGACACAGTGCTCGGTTCTGCAGCAGCTTTGAGTTCGTGCCCTTGTTCAGAGGATCAACTTCAAGGGCTTCAGAGTACTTGTCGATTGCTGCCTGGAATCGTCCAGCCTTGTATTCAGTATTACCGTCAGCTTTCATTCGATCCAACTTCTGGACCATCCTCAAGTACTTGACGGCATCCTTGTAATCCGGGTCGCAGTTGAGGGCTTGTCTAAAATGCTGAATTGCTTTTTCGTTTTCTCCTTGCGCGTAAAGTGCTCTACCTCGTAATACTAAAGCCTCAGGATCTTGGTTGTTGTTCCGTAGCAGAGACATGGCAATATTCTGTGCGTCTCCCAAAGCATTAACATTACCCATCTTCAGGTAGGCCTCTCCTCTCATTAACTGCCACTTTCGTGGCTTTTGGGCTCCGAGACCGAGCAATTTCTCGGCCTGGTCCAGTGCATGTAACGCCATTGATCCAGTTGTGCCGTTCCGCAGAGCATCTTCGGCTACTTGGACATGTTGCAGCATGGCTTTAGCAGGAGCAATATCCTTCGCAGATGCAGGCGGTTGAATACGAGCATAGGTGTCCAGGGCATCTTGGGGACGGCCTAAGCTTGTGTATATGCGAGCAAGTCGGAGTAAGATCTTGGGATTCTGAGGATCGAGTTCGTCTGCTCGAGTGCAGTCATCTAATGCATTGATATATTGACCATTGGATATGTAAGCTGCTGCTCGATTACTGAGATATGTGGCTGAAGTAGGTTGTGCTTCGACAGCTATGAATCAAGTTAGTCAGTATTTGCAAAGTATTTCGAAGTGTCCTTGCCTTTTGTATACTCCTCGATTGCCTTCTTGTATTCCTTTGCTTTATAAAACTTATTGCCGGCGGCCTTGAAGGCTTCAGCCTCATCCACCGCAGGACCAGGTGCCGGTGTAGGACTGGTAGGGGTCGACTTGTGCGGTGGGGGCGTTGGTCCCTCTTGTTCCTTCTCCTTTGGCCCATTTGCAGGACCATTCGTGCCGTTTGTTTTCGGTGTTGGGGTCTCGAAGGTTGGTGGTAGATTTGGCTGTGTTGGGGGTGAGGTCGGTGCAGCCACCGGACCTTCAGTATCAACATCCATACGGTCTGGGTCAGACATGCTGGAGAGCGCAGAGAGCCGCCGCAGCTGGTCTGGTGGAAGGTTGAGAGGGTGAGAATTCGGGTCGTAGGGATGACGGGGTGAGTGCGGGACAGATTTTTGAAAACTGCGGCTGCTCCTGGCGGCAGATCCTTGCCCAGGCCTAATATTTTCTTCCTTGGCTGCTGCTCTGGCGGATTTCGAGGAGGACGAGGAGACGGATTTCTTGGGGGGCGAGCGCGATCGTGAGGAGGTGGATTCTTCGTCGCTGTTCGAAGGCTTCTTAGGAGGTTTTTTGGGTGACTTGGAGAAGATGTGCATTTGAAATAGCTCCCGCAGGTCTAAAAAGTGGTGGTGGTGCTTGGTGCGGTGCTTTGGTCGTGTGTGTAGTAGGCAAGTAACCGGTCCGCTGTAGTGGAGGATGGATGAAGTATGGTTGGCTCAATCCATGCACCCGGAAACTGAGCTATCCTACTGCCTGTGCTATCTCTATCTCTATCTCCTAGGACAAAGAGATTTCGATGAGTCGTATTATTTATGCGTGGACGGCGAGAAGCCGAACTTTAAATCCAAAGACCGACGGGGAAGTGCAGGGAGGTTGTGTGCGGGAGAAAAGTGAGTGAGTGAGAAATGTGAGAATGACAGAGAGGCAGAGAGGAGAGAAAGAGAGCCTGATGCAGAGAGGATCGTTGCTGCTGCGGGCGTCAATAAATTTCGAAGCTTTCCAATCGTTTCTTCTGCTTCAGCGAGCTCGCTCACTGGGGAGATTCTGCCTGGCCTACCGGACATGGGCTGCTGGTGGGGGACGTGCGCTGCTGGCCACAAAATTATTATCGGAGTTGCAGACCCTTTTCTTTCCTTCTCGAGATTCTGGAAGCTTCTAAAGTTGTATAAAAATTTGAGAAGCATCCGAGACACACCGGTGAACATTGTACAGTACATCGTGGACGAAAGGTGACAACGTCATTTGGGTGCATCAAGCATTTCATGGACATTGTAGAGCGTGCATTCTCAATCTCCCATCCAATAACAACTGCTCTTCTTTAAAAAGTATCCCCTTCTCATTACCAACCTAATATTCACTCCGTAATACATCATGTGATGCAATTGATTACCTAGCCATCAACAAAAGCAAGCCTATCGTTCAGCCTTGCCATTTAAAACCACTGCAGCAGGATAGACCGTGCAGAATCCGCTACCGCAGAAGTGGTCTGATGCATGACGATAAACGCGGCAGCTTTTAACTCATTATAAAGCTACAGGTGAGTTGTGATGTCCAAGATGTCAGATTCGATTGTTGTGGTTGATGAGATATATCAAACGGGGTACTATTCTTCCTATATACCCGATGTGCAGCTTATTTCCAAAGTAAGATCTTACTTTTTCCCCTTTTCTAGATAATTGCAGAAAAGAGAGACTGGCACAAACAAACCGATGATTCCACACATGTTCAAGAGAGCCAGAAACTCTCTCTGTTTTTCGCCTTGACACGAAGCAATGTTATGCTTCGTCCCAGCCTCTTTCCTTTCCAGTCGACCAACGAAAGCATCCCAAGATCATCAAACAAGTCTGATTCTAGGCGATTGGGCAATGACCCCAAATAACGAAGCAATTGATTGGAAGCCGTTGGCATAGATACAAAGAAAAGCAGATTATTGGATACGCGTCAATGTAACGCTTCGCTGTGTCGACAAATGACACCTCGCCGATTTTTCCTTCCAAAACGAGCAAGTGTTCGAGCTGATCGTGTACGACAGTGACGTGTTGTTTATAAACATGCCGGCAACAAATTGAGAGAAATGTGTCTTTGATGCGACTCGAATTTGCTGCTGATATTGAGAACCTGTTAACTCCTGTCTGATGCTACTCTACACTTCTAATCATCCAACGCCGCCTCCTCAATCGATTATTCCAAGTACACCGGAACACCATAAATGCATACCGCTGCCCCATTCAAGTATCGTAAATTACAAACCGATCTTCCTTTCGCCACTGCTTCGGCCAAAGACACATGATGTTGAGTCTCTTCAACCTTCTTTCTACCCTTTCCCTTTCCTGGAATCTCTGGTTCAAGAAGCCCCCAATGCTCGAATGTGCTTTTGGCAAATCGATCAATGTCCTTGTCAGTCACATCCCATAACGTGGCTACCAATGCAGGACAGCCAGCATGCATATAGTTAATTGGGGGTCCGTAAGGCTCGAACTCTCCTGCTTCTGTGAGAGCACCACTACTACAACCCATGAGCATGGTAACAGCACAAGTCTCAAGTCTTCTGATCTCTTTAGCACGTATGTATTGTGCTCCACTGCCATGTCCAAAGTACAACAGCAGATCTTTGGTGACTAGCTGTTCTCTGAATTCCTCTTCGGATGGACCGCGGTTGGTGATGCCCTGCCAATTCTCAAGTCTCTCGAGGCTCTTCTGGAAGGTTGTCTGCGTGTTCTTGAGATCTCCTGCAGGATTAAGAATGTACGACCCTTTACTTCTGCTAATGTAATGACCTTCCGCTGCGTCGACAGCACCGGATTTCTGTTGAGCAAGAATTCTGTCTCGCAAACATCCAAGCGATGAGACTCGAGAGACTGCAAGGCCATCCATACAGGGCAGTGACTCCCACGGCAGCGAGTGCAAGGCCTTATCCAGCACCAATATGGTGTGTCTGTTCTCTTCGGTATGGCCAGCAGAATGAATCGCAGCGTGGTACGAGCGGAGAGCATCGTGGGTCTCCACCACTATCGAATCAAAGTCGATCTCGGCATATGCGTTCAGTTCTCCCTGGAATTGCAACACATCGACGACAAAGTAGAGCAGATCGGTCAAAGGCTCTGAAAAGTCGTGGTCCTCGTCCGAGGCATCTCCTAGACCTATGAACAGATCCAAGATTCGGGTATCCAAAGTAATGCGCGGGCTGGCTTGCCTTTTTCCTTTCTTTCGTCTTGAAGGCAAATGTCTATCCAGTATGTTCGAAAATGATTTCTGAAAACGGGCCAGGAGGTCTGGGCGTCTAGCATGCTGCGAAAAGATACCGGTGAAGCCACCTAGCCAGACCTTCTCGACGTTTTCGAGAAGATCTCGCAGCCTCGCGTCTAATGACTCCCTTTCCTCCCACCAAGCCGTCTTATCTTCTCGACTTGTACGAGTAGCAGCATCGTGAGAACTTTCGTTTGCCAGATTAAGGATTTCCATAAGCTCAGCACGACCTTGCTCAAACCCGAAGACCTCTTCGTCTGCATCCATTGAGTTATGTCGTCCTAGTGGGAGACGAAGGATGAACGGATTAAGGCCAGACTGTAGTTTAGAAATGCAAAGTTCCTGTCGATTGTCGCCTAGAGATATCGAGATTACTGTCCAAGATTTTGGGATGATATCTATGTATTCCTTCTGGAAGCGAGACATATCGCAAGAAGGTCCAATACTTGATCGTCTTAATTCGCGCAAGCTCGTCTGTGGCCAGACCACATCCTTTGAACGCAACGCCAGATATGGGTCGAGCAGGATCGTTTTTCGTTCTCGTCGAAGCGCGAGGGTTCTCGTGGTTTCTTGATAATGTTAGCCCGTGAACACAGTCATTGCTTGGAAGAGATCGCCTACCGATTGAACTACTTACGAGTCCTGGAGATAACAGTGATCGCCCCTTTGCTTGATTGATCGCAGACAGCAAGATCGCAACGCTATTGAGAAATGCTGATGTCTTGTTGATTACCGGTAAAGGTGCAATGTGAATGGCTGTAGCGTGAATGTCTGTTAGAAGCTCGTGGGCTTGGCGGAGTTTGTCGAAAAAGCTTCCAGGAATAGGACTCCTGGTAATATTGCGATCTTTGTTGCCTCTGCCTATCTGACTTTTCTGTGGTGGTGAAGTTTTACCCACAGATAGCCTCTCTCCCAGTTTATCGGCTTTGAACTGACCTAAAACGGATGGGAAAGAAATAGTGGAATCTTGCAATACAGAATAGACTGGATCAGCATCCATCTGCTCGAGACTGTCGAGAACCCATCGTTTCGCAGTCACAAGGCCTTGATGAATGACCTCAATCTGAGTATGAGCATACTTGGCGGTTTGCTCCAGAATCATGTCAATGGATATGTCTGTTTTTCCAGTCATAAGAGACTGGGCCTTTTGTCTGAGGACGGTGGCCAGGAACGAGTTGAGTTGGTGGCATTCCTCGGCTACCGATGGAGCAGCTTCCACAGGTGACTTTGCTCTGGTGATCGCCTTCGCTTTCGAGATGGGCTTTGCACGACCAACCGTCTTCCGCGGTGCCGCAGTCTTCGTCTTCTTTTTGGCTATGGTCAGTCGTGACATGTTGCCTTCCAAAATATCGCAGTCTTCTGTGACTTTATCGAGCGATTTGATGTGATCTGCTGTAGCGATAGTTTTCAAGATTTTCTCAGCCGTGTTGTAAGCCTCGATTTCTGATTCGGAATCCCCAAGGAGCCCATGCATGAGACCTAGATGATAAGAGAGAACGGCACCCTCTCGGCTCATAGAGTTCAGCAAGGACATTTTGTTGGCTTTCATCAAACAATCGGATCCTTTATCCAAGACACCAGATCTTAGCCATGCACTTCCTAAGTTCATCGACGCAATGGCCATATGTGCTTCCGAGCCAGCCATTTCAGCAACTTTCTTTGCTTGCTCTGCATAGTAAATCATCTCCTGGGACATCCCATTATGTGCGTACAGTTGAGACAAATAGCTCAAACCTTGGAATAAGGACGGAACCAGAGGCCAAAGACCGGAGATGGTGGAAACTTCTTCAGAATGTTGGGGTACCGCGATTGAGATTGTCGAGACATTGAGTTGCGAGACCTCTTCTGTCAATTTCTCTACGTCGGTCTGGGCTTTCAGGCCAGCACTAGATAGACTTCTGCGTTCTCTCTTTTCAACGATCGCCCAGGTGTTTTGAAGAATTCTCACCCCTTGTTTAGCTTGGGTCAGGGCCGTATGAGCAGCCCCACGTTCGTAGGCGAGCATGGCATGAATGATATAAGAATGAGATAACAAGATATCCAGCCTTGTCTGCTCTAGAGGGTCTGATTGTGACTGCGAGTTCAGTATATTTGCGATTTCCAGGGAGTATATTTCCTGAGCGGAATTCATATTTTCCTGCCTGTAAAGCGTTAGTAAAGCAAAAGCTTGTAGAGAAGGCCCTTACGCTTTCTCGAAACTCCCCAGAGCAAGGAAATAGTCACAGTAAGTGAGTTTGTATTGTAACTTGGTGTATGACGTGACTCCGCTGCGGTTTGAGTAGGTTGCGGCTCTGTCTAGTGCTAACCCTGCCTTTCCTGTGTATCCCAACTGAAGCCATTGGCCAGCTAGGTGTACAAGATCAACGACTGGATCATCCGGATGAAGAAGACTGCCGCAAAGCTCGTTGAGATCGACCTTGAGACGCAATACTGCGAGGGCTAAAGTAACCTGGCCTTTCATATTTAAGTACTCTGCAATAGTTTGCAGTTGAATAAGTAGTCTAGGCACATCTTCAACCTCCTGCTCCAATGCAGTCAAAGTTTGGCAGCGGCTTCTGCACTTGGACCATGACGAAATCACGTCGCTGAAGACGTCAACTTTGGGCTGGTGCTCTCGAAGCTGCAACAAAGCAGTCGCCAGAGTCTTAAAATGAGCATGATAATGTCGTAAGCCTTCATCGAAACTCTCTTCAACAACGAGTTGCTCAACCCGTGCAAAATCCATATCGTGCTCCAAAAGCTGAGCCCCTTCCTCTGAACGATCAAAATCAAGGCTGAGAAGCTTAACAATCACCCGCAAGCGTCGTAAGGGATACCGGTCGTGATGATATATGCTGAGCAACTGCGAAAGAAGCTTAAAAATCAGTGTGCTCTCGGACACAGAGTCGATCGGCTTCTTGCAAAGTATCTCTAATTGATACTCGAGGACAGCTGCCTTCTCATCTTCCGACCAGGTTTCCTCCACATGATTTCGTTGGCCAGCCGGTTTGAGGTACTTCAAGTCAACTTTCATCAGGGTTTCAAGGTTTCGTCCAAACATCCTTGACTGATCATTTGCGTTCCAGACTACATTCAGTGCTTTCGACTTGGCACCATCTACAATGGTAGAGAGCACACCATCCTCGATCATCTCGTTTCGAACCAGTAAGAGCGTCTGGTAGAGCTCATCATAGCGGTTCATATTTTTGCAGAGCTCTGCCATTCGCTCCAATTTCATGATAAATTGGGCAGACTGTTTTTCATGCTTTGGTCGACTCCGCATACAATCGATTGAACGTCGAATAGATCGCATCTGCTGGGTATCTTTGGCTTCCGGATTTCGCCTCATATTCAGGAATTGAGTAAAGTAGAGATATGATATTCGAGTATAGTACGCTGAACAGCTAGTGTTGTCTGCTGAGGCATCTGCACCATTCAAGCCAAGCCGATCGAGAAGCAGAATACAGTCTTGGAGCTTTGAGTCTACCAGATCCCATGATATTTGATCTTCTCCAACGAGAATTTTGATGAGAACCAGGGATGATTCGATGGAAAGTAATGCTAATCTGGTGATAAATTGCCGTCGCTGTTCATGGCGAACAACATCTTTGGTTGAAGACTTTGCATCAGGTGAATTTCCGAGATATCTCAACGCTAACCGTGGGCACAGAAACACAAGAGTTTCACACATCTGGCGCATCCCATCACTCAAGCATCTGCCAGTGCTTGCTTCGGAAGATGTTCTGCATTGTGCAAGAACACCGATGGAAGATCTTCGAGCACCAGATATCTCATTCATCAAATCGTCTACCTCGGAAGATTCGCCCGTGAATGGTCTCTCAAGCTCTTCAAGGAGAGCAAAGAGCAATTCTTCGCTTTCAACGAGTGCTGAATCGCTTCGGAGAGTAAGTCCTACAAGTCTAGCAATGACAGAACACCGTTTAGCATCCGAGTCAAGTTTTGCATCCAGCAATCCTCGGACATCTTTGGTCCACTTGATGGCGTCCTCGATACGATCTGCATCCTTTGACAAAGATCCCAATAATCGATAGATTCCACTCAAAGTCGTCTTCAGTGGCTGCGGGTGATGCTTAGTGTGGTCGGATTGGAAGACCAAAAGATCCTCTGCAACCATAAGGGCTAAGTCGTAGGTGTCCTGGGCTCCGCACTGACTTCGACGTGCAAAGGCAGAGAGGCATCGCAAAAAGGGGTCGTAAATTTCTTTCGACAGGTCTCCTTGATGCTTTGCGAGACCCCACCATAAGAATCGATCATGCAATGCCAGAGCTTGCAATTGAATAGCTATTGCTGGATTGACGCTGAGGCGGGGTTCCAATGCAAGAGAATCATCCGATGTGGATAAACTTGGACATAACGACAACAACAGGTCTGAGAGAGTCTGAAATTGTCGCGCAAGCTTTTCGGTCTGTTTGACTGACTGGCTTCCCTTGGCTGCCATGAGCAATAGTCTGGCTGGGGAAGACGGGTGGTCCATTTTCAAAATCGGAAGAGTATCTTCGACTTGCTTGGGCTTGCGACACGAAGTCATGATTCGTAAGACTTGCAACTGAGTTGCTATTACCAGCCCCAGTTTAGCACCTGCGAACTCAACATCCCCGAAGTCGAGAAGACTAGCAAAGCTTGGAACTGCTGTTGAGGTGCTTGTCTTACTTCCTGCGATTGACTTAGGCGCTTTTGATATGTCCCCGGATTCTAGTCGTCGTTTCAGTATTCTGACCTCCTTCAAAGCCAAGTCATCCAAGCCCGAGGCTATCAACTTCCCGACCAACACAGACATTCCATTCTCGAGCTGAAGTGGTGGCAGCTCTGTTCCTGCTGACTTCGAGGCCTGTAGTGTTCTCAAGCAAGCGAATCCTACTCTAGCACATTCCGCCATTGGTCGATGGGTTGAAGTGGTAGTTGAGGCTGTCGATGAAGATCTACTTTCTCTAATATTTGGAGAGCTAGCAACTCGATTCAATGACCGAGGTTGTAATGGAGATTGAGGAAGTGAGTTCGACCGTCTGAGTGTTTTCCTAGCTGAAGCTTTTACCAAGTCCTTGGAGGACGATTGCCGTCGGACTGAGGTCTGAAGAGGGGCTTTAATTGCATCGGTCAGGTATTTCAATGTAGCATTGATAACCTCAGTGGCCAGAGTGAAAGCCTCTTTGGGCGACAATCCGACCTCATTCTCGCATATGCCATCTTCGCCACCTTTCTTAGCTCTTGCCTTGACTGCTGGCGGTCTTGTCGATTTCGTTCTGGCCGAAGCAGCTGTGGTCTTTTTGGATTTCGCGTTCGCAGGCGCATTCTGAGTGCTGGACTTGGGGAGTAAAAGGTCGCTGAGTATTGTTGATGTCGCTGGTGTGCATGTTGATGGAGACGACAGAATGGCGCGAATCGATTCGGCAGATGCGTGTGCCGTACTCATTATGATGTTGAACAGTATTTAGCAAGAGGCGCAATGCTATTGAAAATCAAACATTATACAAAACCGCATGCGCTACAAGATGACTATTCTTTCAATGTGCGAATTCGAGCTTCGAGAGCTCCATGTTCGGTTGGCCTAGCAACATTCATCCGCGGCAGAAAGTTGCAAGGGTGCAACTTCCTGCCGCATCGGCGTCAAGAGCGCAGGCCTCGAGAAAATTGTACTCCTTTGGGTGATTGGGAATCTCTTGAGCACTCTACCATCAGTGATGTTCAGATCCGCTATATTACGTCGGATTCTTCTGGCACCACCCGCCGTCCGAACCTCGCTCCTCCCAATTGCTTCACGAACCTCTTTCAACTCAATTTCTGCTCGACAATACGCTTCTGTCCCGAACGTTGCCCAGACTTCCTTCTGGCTCAGTCTGATCCCTAAACCACTGCGCAAATCTTCTCCCAGGGCAGCGCTGAAGAAGAAAGCCAAGTCGAAAGAATGGAATCCAGCCACGTTTTTCATCATAATTTTCCTGCTGATAGGATCAATGTCTATTCAGATGATAGCACTGAAAAATGAATCTGCCGCCTTCACCAGAAGGGCAGATGCGAAAATTGGCTTGCTGAAAGAGATCATTGAGAGAATCCAAAACGGCGAGGAGGTCGACGTCGAGGGATTATTGGGCTCTGGAGACAAGGAGATGGAGAAAGAGTGGGAAGAAGGTAGGCTTTTTCGTCTGTCTACTAAGGAAAATGCTGATACTCGGGTACAGTGCTACAGGACATTGAGAGGGAGGACCAAGAATGGCAGCAATCACGGAGAACGAAGCCAAAACACGGCCGAAATCTTGAATCGACGGACAACACACCAATAACACAAACACCCGAAGCAAAGGATATACCTAAAGCCCCAGAAGCCAAAGGAGATTCGACAAGGAAAGCTCCCGTAGGATTCTACTAATGCCATCTATGGGATCTATACTTTTGTACAACATATACAGCTGTCTATGATAGCATATCTTTGAATATTTTACTATTGGCGTGCTGCTCATCCGCCGCGTTTGCCATGCCTGCATCAGCTACTTTGGCAAAACCAGCCTGTCGGAGTTGATCAACAAGCTTGGGCAGGATTTTGTCTGTTGGAAACTCGACTCGAACACCAGCTTCTCCAGTCTGACCGATTGGCAGTTTCTGGAAGAAAGCCTCTTCTCCTCTCACACCTCCTAGATTCAAAATTCCTATTGGCATACCTCGTTCTAGTGCTCGCTTCGCCAGTCTCCATGCTGAATAGGTTGCCAGAGATGTTCCTAATACCAGCAATCTACCAGACCCATCAATTGCATGCTCGGCCGTGTCCTTCACCTTGCTTGGTATGCTCTCTCCGAACATTATCACCGCAGGCTTCAAAATGCCAGCCGTACTGGTTGCACTCCACGCTCCTTCTCCGTCAACCTCGACTCTTGTCTGTGTACCGTCACCAGCTATCGGTGGATTTGCGAGGCAATGTGGGCATGCGGGATACCGGAAGGTCGTGTACGGTGCGCCTGGAAGATCAACATCACCATCTGGATTTGTCTTCATGCCTTTTGCCCTTCGCTCATCCGGATTCTCGGTATCGAGCGCTCCTGATCGAATCACCTCCTCGAGGAAAGCTGCCCATGCTGGATTCAATTTTGCAAGCGAGTCCTGAAAGACTCCTCTTGGGAGTTCATTGTGGCAGCTTACACATACCAACGCCCGCAGATATCCGTGGAGCTCTAGGGTGGGAAGGTTGGGATGAGCAATTGAATGGAAAGAATCAACATTCTGCGTTACCACACTCCGAACAATCCCCATCTCTCCCAGATCTTTGACAGCGTAATGTGCAGCATTTGGTTTCGCCTTGTGTAGATTCGTCCATCCAAGAAAACTCCTTGCCCAATACCTCTTTCTCGCCTCATGAGAAGCTAGAAATTCATGATAGTATATAGGTCGATATGCCTTGTTTTGCCTGTATGTGCCATTCGTCCCTCTATAGTCTGCCAGGCCGGATGCAACTGAGATGCCAGCTCCTGACAGGACTACCGTAGATTGCGGATCTGCAACTCCATTCTGTAGGGATGGCGATGGCGGGGCTGTGAGGAACTTCGACAGAGCGGCGATCGCTCCTGGGGTGGAATTTGCATTGCGTGGATACAATTCAGGGGTTGGTAGTGGCCCTGTATAGGGGATTCTTATGAAGGGAGCTTTTCGCATCGAAGAGCCAGCATTGACTGTGGATGCGGTATGAAACGAGGTGGACAAGCTTAAAGATTTGACTCTTGAACAGCCTCGTCAAGCCAAGAATATATTCGCGTCATTACTCGTAGACCCCAGGGGCGTCGGGGCTTAGTAACAAGCAACCAGAGTTGAGACGAAGCAACCGAATCCTATTTGCTGACATCGAGGGTCTTGTCTCCAGCGTTCCCGCTTCAAGGGCCCTTCGAGACTCGAGAGAGGCTGCGAAAAGTGGGAGTGGAGCACCAAAAAGAGCCGATTGTTCCCTTGTGCCCTGTCCAAAAAACAAAAGGCGACGACAGAGCTGCGAATGGTCAAATCTTCGTCATTCGGCTTGCGTTTCTCGTCCCTTGGCGACCCTCAAATTCTATAGAACTGCTTGAACGTTTGATGCTAAATTTCTCTAAACACGCGTCCTGAGTCGCAGGGTGACCTGTCAGAGGTCTTTCCCCGGCTTTAGGACTCTTCGATCATCCATTATTTATGCCTCTCCGCTGCTTTTCCAACGGGGCGCGCTCGTTAAAGCCTGTCAATGTCACACTGTCCTTGAGGCTGAGCAGCAACTTTAGGACACATCAATCACAACAATCCAGAGTCCTCCAAACTGCCGCCCTCGATTCTGTAGCACCGAATTCTATTTCAAAGGGTTACATCCCACTACGATCATTCCCGAGCCTTCAATCGTTTACCAACAATTTCAATCCTCGACACCGTCCAATGGCTGCCCTTACCCAGACACAGACACGCTCTCATGGCGGCCATTCGCATCACCATCACCATGATAATACTTACCTCACTTCGACAAATAAGAACGATGCAGGTGTGCGGATAACTCGAATAGGCCTGTATTCCAACCTGGGGATGGCGGTTGCAAAAGGGGTCGGAGGCTACATGTTCAACTCGCAGTCAATGATCGCAGACGCCTGGCACAGTCTGACGGATCTGGCCAGCGATATTCTGACATTGGCGACCGTATCATGGAGCTTAAAACCTCCTACAGCAATGTTTCCCACGGGATTCGGCAAGGTTGAGAGTTTAGGTTCCCTCGGAGTTAGCGGTATGCTGCTGTTCGGTGGATGCTTCATGTGCTTGAACAGCTGTGAAATACTATACGCACACTTCTTTTTGGATGCCCATGCAGCTGCGGAAGCGGCAATGCATTCACACGGCCACAGCCATAGTCACGGAGAGATCACACCGAGTCTCCATGCGGCCTGGCTTGCTGCAGGAACGGTGCTTCTGAAGGAATGGTTATACCAAGCAAGTAAGAAAGCATATTACCTTCATGCTACCCACATGCTCACTTTTGCCCACAGCTATGAAAGTCGCCAAAGAACGAAAGTCGTCCGTCTTAGCCTCGAATGCCATCCATCACCGTGTCGACTCTCTTACCGGAATCGTGACCCTATTTGCTATTCTCGGCGCAAATTTCCTACACGAAGCTGCGTGGTTAGACCCTGTTGGAGGATTCCTGATATCGCTGTTGGTTATTAAGGCGGGCTGGGGAAATACTGTTTCAGCATTATACGAATTAGCAGACAAGGGTATCGACAGCGAAATCAAGGCATCGGTCACGCGAGCAGCTAAGAAGAGCTTTGCAAACTTGAGAGAAGGAAACCAAGTCGAGCTTCGAGAAGTAGAGGGTGTTAAGTCGGGGCAAAACTACTTGGTGGACTTGCAATTGGCCGTTCCAAAATCGTGGACTGTGGAAGAAGTGCGAGAGGTAGAAGAGGCTGTTCGAGAGGTTATCGGTTCCAAGGTTCGAGGTGTTCGTCGAGTGAAGATTCGATTCGTACCCAAGGATGACACGACGACGTCTCTCTTCAACGAATTCATCAGTGGTGATGTTAGTCCACGAGAAAGTCCAGAGCCTGAGGACCATGATCATGACCATGATCACGATCACGAGCACGAACATGATCACTCTCACCCCAACGGGAATGGTAACGGTAACGGTAAAAAGATTCAATAGACACCTTGTATATACCAGAACAGCGGATTTTGCATTTGGCTTCGAGGACTGGCGTTGGACATGGAGGGGGAGGAAATCTCTTGAGATTTTTGGATGACTTGCGAAGCAAGATGGCGTTCCGGTGGGCTGATGCATTTTAGACACACTGTACCACGATGTGCTGTATAGAAACGCTCTGAGCAAAACCAGTCTTCATTATTGGTGCGCATAACCTTCTCTGAGTTGAACGCCCCAGTTCCACCACAAGCCACACTTGGACATTTAGCCTAAATCGAGCTACCCCTACCCTACCTGCTAAATCATCTCCCCAAGAACTTCCCCCACCATGAAAGATTCTTCCTGCGTATAATCTCAACTTCTTCTAGGAATAGAATCTGCAGGGAAGTTATCAAAGATCAACCTGACAGCAAGTGACAAAGCTATGTCGTCACAAGAGAGACCGCTCTATCTCGGCTTTGACCTGTCAACCCAGCAGCTAAAAGGTGATACCACGTGAACACTTCCTTTTGCTGAAACCTTCGCTGATGATTTTCCAGCAATTGTGATTACGTCCGAATTGAAGGTTCTATATGAAGCCAAGACGGACTTCGATGCAGATCTCTCAAAATATGGCATCAAAAAGGGTGTTCATGTCAATGAAGCAGAGCGAGAAGTCTATGCTCCAGTTGCTATGTGGCTGGAAGCAGTGGACATAGTTTTGCAAAGATTGAAAGAGAAAGGAACACCATTTCATAGAATCAAAGGTATCTCTGGAGCGGGTCAACAACATGGAAGTGTATACTGGAGTAAGACTGGTGAGGTGCTATTGGGTAGCTTGAATCCGGAAGAGACTTTAGTTTCTCAGCTTGAGAAGAAGGCCTTTGCACACCCTTTCAGTCCCAACTGGCAAGATGGTAGTACCCAAAAGGAATGTGATAAATTCGATGCGGAGCTTGGCTCAGCAGAACAACTTGCTCAAATTACTGGAAGCAAAGCTCATCATGTAAGTCGTGTTTAAGCTTGGCATAAATTCTACTGACGATACTCTCAGCGCTTCACGGGACCTCAAATCATGCGTATGCATAAGAATCATCCCGAAGTATACCGTGCTACATCCAGAATTACCTTGGTGTCCTCATTTTTGGCCTCAGTCTTCCTAGGCAAGATAGCAGATTTCGACATCAGCGACGTGTGCGGCATGAACCTTTGGGATATTAATGCCGGAGCCTGGTCGGAGCCTCTTCTCACTTTGGCAGCTGGAGAAGATGGCCTTGAATCTCTCAAGCAGAAGCTTGGTTCCGTACGAGAAGACGGTGGCGGCAGCATGGGCCCAATCTCTTCCTATTTCGTCAAACGTTACAACTTCGCGCCTGACTGTGGCATTGCTCCATTTACAGGCGACAATCCATCCACAATTCTCGCTCTACCATTAAGGCCACTCGATACAATAGTTTCGCTAGGTACCTCGACCACCTTTCTCATGTCAACACCCAAATACGTTCCGGATCCAGCATACCATTTCTTCAACCACCCCACTACTGCAGGATTATACATGTTCATGCTCTGCTACAAAAATGGCGGTCTTGCACGCGAGAAGATCCGAGACGCCCTCCCCAAATCAGAAACCGCCGACTCATGGTCCAACTTCAACAAAGCCGCCCTCGACACCCCACCTCTAGACCAAAAATCCAGCTCTGAACCCGCAAAACTAGGTCTCTTCTTCCCGCTTCCCGAAATCGTGCCAAACGTCAGAGCCGGAACGTGGCGCTACACATGCTCAAGCGATGGTTCTAATCTCCAAGAATCGAACGAGATGTGGAGCAAGGAAGCAGATGCACGAGCGATCGTCGAGTCTCAAATCCTCTCTCTTCGTCTGCGATCTCAAAAACTTGTTCATAGCCCTGCCAAGGGACTTCCTCCGCAGCCAGGTAGGATATACCTTGTTGGTGGAGGATCGCTGAATCCTGCGATCGCGAGGATCGTTGGTGATGTCTTGGGCGGTGCTGAAGGAGTATGGAAATTGGATGTAGGTGGAAATGCTTGCGCTCTGGGCGGTGCGTATAAAGCTGTATGGGCAATTGAAAGGAAAGAAGGAGAGAGTTTTGAGGACTTGATTGGAGGCAGATGGAGGGAGAGCGAAGCGGTGGAGAAAGTCGATGATGGTTATCGGGAAGATGTCTTTCATAGGTATGGAAATGTGTTGAAGACGTTTGAGGAGATGGAGTGGCGAGTGCTAGCAGGGGAGGAGAGAAATAAGAAGTAGTCTGGTATGGTAAATATTTGCATTATTACACTAGTGTTGTGGCACTCCCTGTGAACTTCTTAGCCATTACAGTATCCAACATCGATCACTTCGCTAATTGATATCTGTCGGCAATTGCATACAACTTGTGTTGCGCATAGGTACCCAAAGGAAGCATTCTGCAGCCGATGGGGGCATTCAGTCTTCGCTCAACTTCAAATTGTGATAGCATTTCCCCCTCGCCAAAAGTTCGGCCAGATCGCGGGCTACAATAGACAATGGCCGGGTAGTTCCCCTGTAAAATCGCCATATCGAACAAAACGCGACCTTCAAAATTGCAATTGACACCGAGCAAGTTTTCTACGACCTCCCCACTTCGGTCGCGAGGTCCGAGCTTTTGCTTCCCTTTGCTTTCCCTTTCTTGTTTCCTCTTCCTGCTTTAGCTCTTTTTGTATATATTTTGAACAAGGCTCACTCATTCAGCGTGCAACTGTTCATTTTGTGCCTATATTCAATAGTCTATCTAAGGTTATCCGAACTAGGACATCGTTGGTTTGATCCATCTTGAAGATGTGTGTGGTGAGATTGTCACCATTGTTAAGTCCTTGACAACACTCGATGATGGTACACGGATTTGGAGTTGTTAGAAGCATCTTGACCAAAAGAACGAGTTCTATTTTCATCATCTCGAGGGATGCAACTGCCCCTTTTCAGTAAGCGAGACCCTAAGCGAAAGCTTAAGTCGATCAGAAAGGGAAGCTAAGTTCGAACCGCGAAACTAGATAATGGTTGACAGCGATGAGAATTTAGTCAATTTTCAGCATTTAGGGGATTCCCAGTGCAAAAAGAGTTGAGAAATCTTTGAGATGTGAGAAAAGCATAGCGTCTCCAGTTCTGTATTTGCTCCTACTTCAGAGTTCCCATCTAACGCCACCCACCCAATTTATTATCTACTGCCCTGAAGCCAGCTGCATCAGTGAGGAAAACTTTGAGTATCCCGATCAAAGATTCTCTAGAGCACGTGGTTCCTCCTCCTGGAGCAGGTATTTGTGGCGATAACGCTCCTCATACGGACTGTAATGAGGATCGTCATTCGTGAAGGAGGTGCCTGTAAGGCAGACATCCAGAACCAAGTCCCCTCCCCTTTTGATTAAACCATGCCAATCCTTCTTACTCGACTCTGGATCTTTACCCTGCCCAAAGCTCTGTTGCAAAGAGGACCATCATGAATCATCAACGACAAGAGGAACTTTCTAAGTGTCGACTCCGATCGAGTGTTTGCCCAAACATAATCGGCAGCAGATGCAGTGAGCCATTCTCCATCCCGATGTCCGTAGATGCTGAACAGGAGGTGCATAGCTTCGTTGGTGAAGTCTGTAATTTGAAGCGCATCTCCAAGAATCCAGAGTTCTTCTGCACACAAGGTTGTCTCGATGCGTCCGGAATAAGCCCAAGTAACAAAGACACCGATCTGATCGGGAGTATAATCGGGCATGGATATCTCTTGAGTGACGGCTTCCTTGAAACCACCGTATAGGGCTCCGTAGAAAAAGTTGGAGAAGTAGCCAAGTAGAGCTTTGTGACAGCCGATTTTGACTTGCTTGGGGCCAACGAGAAGGGTTGCCATAGCTGGACGAGTTTGGAGACTAAGAAATATGCGGTCAGATTTGTTATCTTAGTTGTGGTACGGGATGAATTACATAGCAGCCACTACTTTGGTGTGCAGATCGATTCGCTTTTGTCTCTCGCAACCAGAGGTTTCGCTTTCACATCCCCAACAAGTACACACGATTGTGCTCATTCTCGCGGAAGGAGGTTGCAGAAGGAACTGGGAGGTCGGATCGACCAGAGATGCTGTTGTGGTCGACATCTTGCTGTCGATCTGAGAGTTGGTGTGGTCGTTAGTGAAGTAGGAAAAAGTGTGTATATTTTTAAGCCGAAACGAGAACGAGCAAAAGGCTTTAGAGACCGAGCCGAGAAAGGCATCAAATTTAAGCCGAAGTTATCCCGTTGCCGCTAGTTATCGATAAGTGTAAAAAGGACTTCGGCGTCAAATGCTGGCTTACCAGAAATGTTCAACCTTCCTTCTTCCATGACACATATATACCGGCCGTTATCGCTATTGTAAACGTCTTGAATCAGTAGATTGCTAAATATTGTTGTCGAATGAGTCTAATACCTCCGTGTTCTCACGTAACATTACTGATTCATGAACGTCATTCATTCATATCTGATTTACAACACGATTGTTTGAGTAGTCTTGTATTGCAAGTCAGAGCTTTTGCTCAAGCTTAGCTTCTTGTGAGAGGTCTGCAAGGAGTAGAGTTCAGCTAAAGAGAAGAGCTAAAGTATTCGCCCCTTACGTAGTAAAGTGAGGACACTTATAGAGTAGACTATTATTGTGTAGTGGTGTGTATAAATTGAGTGCATGAGATAAATGAAGAGAGTTTTGAAATAGTCTCAAAGCTAGCAAACTACAATAAAGGTATAGTACTCCGGAATTCAACATTCCTCTTTTTTGCATTTGCGTAATAAGGATAGAAAACTTTTCCGAAGAGAAAACTGTTTTCGGAGAATTACTTTTTTTGAGGTGTAGTACATAGTTAGCTAAAGGTACTCAAAACCACGATCCTGAAGCTATGGAGCTGAAGGATAAAAAACCAAGAGCTGATCTTAAGCTTATGCTAAAGTATAGCCTAAGCACAAAGCACTAAGCATCGGAAGTAGCTTTTTCAGAACTATGGAGAAGGTTCCTACCAATGAACAAAACACATTACTTTGTACATTTATCTTATCTAAGGCGGGTGTGAATAGGGCAGATTTCACGTGAAAGTAAATATTTACATATTCTTTTGCAGTACTCTTGCAAAGTCTATCATAAAGACACTACTAGAAAGGCCCCATATGTCTCTCACGAACTTACTAATATTGTACTTAAACGACCATTACTTGTTTGGGAAATTTCAAGTGTTTAAACGAACTTTTGGTGTCCTCTTCACACTTGCCGTGGATGGGATAAGTCCTGGAACCACCACAGATATAAAGCAGTCGCTATGCACTGCAGCATAAAGAAAGATATCACTAAACTACACGCTTGTAATGGGAATTTTATATTTGTTCCTCATTTGAGATGGAAGGACTTATCTCATTACTAGGAGGCGAGGGTTGGGGAGAGTAGCACTTATCAATTGTTTTGATTACTGTCAACATTTGTTTATCGTTGTCAACACCGCCACCACTTCCTTGCTTCCCATCTACATCCTTTGTCTGCAACCCAATATCTAAACACCACCGTACCCTACTAATCATGGTGGCTCAGTTTGACTTCCAAGATCCCCAGCCAAAAGGTAGCGCGTTGAACTTTCGATCTCTTGATTGTATTCATACAAGACCAGACGGCTATAGAGTTTAAATAGGCAACTTGAAGCGAACAGTGAATCGCGTAAAACACCCGAGAAATTAAAATGTACAATTTGAAGCGAATAGTGAATTGCAATATTTGTAGACTGTAGGTCCGACTTTGGCCTGAATCCCGTTTCCGCGTGATAAACCGACAATTGCTACTCGTAATGCGATTCACTAAGTCCAATTCCGAGTCACTTCCAGTTTCTGCGTGATAATCCGACAATTCAAGTAAATAGTGAATCACATGCAAGTGCACTCCCAGCACCTCCGCGCTAGAGCGTCAATTCACACATAAAATTAATATTGACTGGTCCTAAACCCCTCTCCATGTCTATAAATACTTCCTTTTCGCGGCCTCGCAGCCTCCACTAAACAATCCATGACCTACTTCTTGCAAGCATGGGCTTGGCGCCTGGAAGCAATGCTTTTGTTGGGGATGCAGATGTTTGTGATCTGCTTTCTGTGCAGTATTTTTAGTATTTCATAGATTAATACAGTTATGTACAGGAGATGGTTGACAGCAGGGAAGGCGTGACAACCATAGCCAAAATCTTTGACAAAAGGATGGAGTTGACAGCAATCAAATTTCAGATAGACGAACTTATCTGGGAAAAGCACATGTGACGGTTGTGTGGTTCCCCGGATCAAGTTGCTCGGCAAATGGAAGCCGGGTTCCTTCGTATTTTGGTATTCTTCTGGGAAATAATGAGAGCTCTGGAGCTCTCCAGTTCTTTTGTAGTTCTTGCTCAACGCTATTTCTGAATTCTTGACAAGGTCGGGGACGGAAAGATGGCGAATGGATTTGACTGGAAATAGAGTTTTCGAATCACTTCACCGTTCGAGTTTTTATACAGGTGAATTTCTTAAGAAGTGAATCAAAATAGCAATACCAGAATGATTGGGTTGAGAAGGGGCCTGAAAGAAGGCGTATGTCTTATAGGAGCGAAGTAAACTGATGATGCTAGAATGACTGGGTTGAGTAGAAGACTTAACGCAAGCACGTGTTCTGTAAAAGTGAACTGAACTTACAACACCAAAATTGTCTCACTTAAGAACATGATTTCATGAAGGCATACGTTCTCAAAATATCACAAACATTCCAAAACACCAGACTCACTCACTCAAAGCACCGTGAACTTCTCGACTGTAGGTACTATCATAAAGCTCTTCATTATATGGAGGCCAGGGTATCTATATATACAACGAATAATTAACTATCCATCCATCCTTCCATCCCCATTACGCACAAACCCCGTGCACCATCTCATGCTAATCATTCAAAAAAGCAAAGCTAAGCTTTCCTAGCCTCCGAGAACACCAGACAATTTTGTTGTCCCCGTTTCCAGATATTTCTGTGTATGCAGCGCTAAAAAGGAGTGTGTATGTTAATGTGTTCGTAACGTTTCGTGTTTTCGTGGGTCCCGATTTTCCCCTTGTTTGAATCATGCGTGTTCCAAAACCATGTGTCCCTAGTTGGTGAGAAGAATATTAATTATGTGTGTGTGTGTGCTTTATGCGAAGGCGAGGAGAGCCATGGCACCAGCAACTGCGTAGGCAACGGGGCCGTTGGTAGCGGCGGCGTTGCTGCTGATCTGGAGAGGAGCGGAGGAGGTAGAGGATGGGGATGGCGTTGGCGTTGGGGTGGTCGAAACTTGGATTGGGGTAGAGACGATGACGGTAGTGCCTGGAACCGTCGCTGTTGTTGGCGTGTATGTTGGTACATAGGTGGAGACAACCGTGTAGGGAACAGTGCTGTAGACGGTTCCTCCGGATGATGTGGCAGTCTTTTCAGACGGGTAGGTCACCACCTCAGTCTCTGCTACGCTGGTCGCAAGAGTGATTGGGACGTAGATGGTCGCCTTGGTGGTAGGTGGCTCGTATGTAGAAGTCACTGCGAATCAATCAGCATTCATTTCTTTTATTAGACGCGAGACGAGGACTTACCGGTGTATGCTGAGGTAATTTCAACTGTGTTCGTGATTGTCTCATAGTTTGTGATGGTTTCTCCTGAGCTGACGGTGGTGTAAGCAGTCCTAAAGCAGCGGGTCAGCATTTACGAAATATCGTTGACAAAAGTTTCGAGGACTCACGTGTAGCACGTTTCCGTGGTGTAGACTTCCGTTGTCTCGTAGAGAGTAGTGAAATAAGTCGAGTACTCGACAATAGTGGTAGGAATCTCCTGAACAATGAGGGAAGTCGACGTATAGACAACCGTGACTTCTTGCCCGCTGACAGTCGAGACAGTGGTGATGGGGCAGAGCGATGTGATTGTGGAATAAGCAATCGACTCGATCGTGGTGGTCGCGCCAGCGAGTGTGGTGCTATTTCGGTTAGTACGAAACATCAAACGGAGATAGAACGGCTTACTATGCCTCAATAGTTTCGGGGATGATGGTCTCGATCAAAGACGTGCTTGTCCATGTCAAGGTAACCTCTTCTCCAGAAATGGTCGAAGTCTCGGTGACTGGGCAAAGCGATGTAATTGTGGATGTAATCTGCAAATTCAGTTAGTTGTGTTCCTCAAGATTTCACAATTCTCAGAGCTAGCGCATTGGCTAAGCGAGAACCGAAAGGGGTCTCTTACCACTTCCTCGCTGTATGTAGTCTGTGCTGGACTTGTAACAGTTGCGTACAAAGTAGTCTCGACAAGTGTCTCAACAGTAGAGACGGTAGTGTAGACGTTCGTGTAGGTGGTGCCGGGGGCAGTACTATAGAAAAGTCAGTTTCAATCGAAGAGCAGATGAAGCCATCCTATGTTGTTGAACGGCCCCTCAAGAGCTTTGCGAGAGGATGCTTACACTGTCTCCGTTACCGCGCAGGTAGTGGTGTATGTAACATCGACCTCAGTGGTCGTAGACACAACGCCGGTTGGGCCTGGAACAGTGACCACGCCGCCAGAGCCGCATCCGCCAACACACGAAGTGACCACAATGGTAGAGGTAGCGATGGTGGTAACGATTGATGTCTTACCCTTCTGTAGGATAAGTTAGCTGATGCTACAAGACCTTAGAAGAGCCAGGTTCGCCCCAGTTTCTGGCAGACTTGCCTCAGTGTAAGTGCTGGTCACAGGACAGTAAGTTGTCGTGGTGAATGTTGTCATCGTTGTTGTCTCGACAGGTGTGCTTGAGTACCAGCGAGGGGCAAGATCTGAAGCAAAGGCCGAAGCGGCCAATGCCAACAAGGAGAATGAGGTCTTCATGATGATTGAGAGAGATGAAGAATAGCGAAAGTTGTTTGGTTGGGCTAGACTTGTTCGCGCGAAGAACGAAGGTGTTAAGTAACCGTAGCGAAGGAGTTACCTATTGCTGGAGGTTGGAGAGCAAGGCTGTTTTTAAAGAAGGCTGGTTTGCTTGGAAGAACAGGAAACACAATCAGGATGGGAAACCGGGACTCTTAAAACGCAGCAGAATAGAGGAGACTGGTCCTACCTCCCCGACCTCGACCTAGCAACCCCATGCCCGCATGCAGCTTGCTGCCATGGACTTCCATCACGCATGGTTGGTAGGCTGGCTCGCTGGCTCGGAATCCTCACATGAGAGTTAGTACCGGTGAGATGCGGCGGCGGCGGCCAGATCAGCATGAGGTAGTTCCAAGGCTGGGCACGCGAAGGGACTGCAGCAGTAGCAGCAGCAACTATTGCTGGAAAGGGACTGACGTCGGTCTCTCTCTCTGTCATCGCTTGTCGTAATATTTTTTTGGTTCTATGGTGAGGATGAATGGCTGGTTGTTCTGGCAATGCCCTGCATGAGGTTGCTACGTCGTGCTGGTGGCCCAAGCATCTTCGATTGTTGATTGGCGTCGACGCTAGCAGATCCGACCAGGGGCACAGCCGAGGGGGGCAAGCATGCGAAATCCTGTCGACTGGAGATGTTCCCTGCTCTGCTCTGCACGACCAGCATGCGCATTTCAACAGACCTGCATCTTTCTGAATTTTTCCCGCCTTCTTCGTCAGACCCGTCGATCGACTGATCCAATCGATGCCCTGAAACAGCTCGCGGATCCGGAGAACGCTGCATCATTGGCCTCCCAGCTTCAGGCCGTCCAAAGCCTGTTTTTGGGCGCCTTTAAGCTTCATCCAGAGTAGCCTAGCTGTCTCTTGTGCTCGAGTAGCCAGGAGAATTGCCACGCTAGGCAAGTTTCCCCCGCAGCTACTCGACGAAATGGAAAATGAGATGTGCGCGAGTTACCCAATCTGATGGAAAAGACTGACTAGCAAACGGCCACTACAGTAGCGTTCTCTCGTGTTGGCCACGATGTTGTCTATTTCTGTACCGTTTGGCGGGAAGTATTGATGTCACTCGTGATTTCGGGCAAGCAGCTAAGTCTCTTTGCAGTAGTCAGGACAGGAGCAGCAGAAGCCAGTACTGGTCAGCAAAGGCGGCGACAGCCTTTCTGCACGTCGCTCACACTTTTGTCATGTCATGCTCGGTTCCTCAGGAACCTCACCCTGCTCCCAACCTCGTTTACCAGAGCTCGACATCATCAGCATGGGTCGACCCCGGTCGCTGAAAAGTCTGTGCATAATGATACAGTACGCCCGCACAGCTCTCAAGGTTTGCGGGCTCTGCATGCGGTGGCGGATCATGGAATGACGAGGTTGGTGCGAGCTCGAATTGTGCTGCACGACCTCCCACTTCGGATGAGAAGCAATTAATTACACGGCACAACTGAGAAAAAAATCCTCATGTCTGACAGCTGCCCGATGATAACAGTAAGACATAGGATTTTTGAGGCTTTCTGTAGACGACATCCGGTGCTCGATATTGAGGGGTTTTCAGCTGTTCATGCGAGAACGAGAACGAGAGGAAGTCCGTCGGCTGCATATCCGGTGGACTTCGTACAGTCAGCTCTTTCGATCCTCTTAGCCAGCGGAAAGAAGAGAAGGAATGGTGAGAAGCTTGAGTCAAGTTGGTCGGCCTTAGAAGAAGTTGGAATTTTGGGATGGGTTGCTGGCCGAATCAGGTACGGCGTTACATCGAAAGGATGGTTTGCTTGCAACTTTGTGCGGACTCGGGTGCTCGATGTGGGACGACTAACTTGAGAGATCTCTGATCCATCGGAACTTCGAAGGGAGTCCAGACGATTCTTCTCGGCGTCCCTCAACCCTCAACTCTGGCACCAACCAACCTCTCCAGATTTTGTGTCCCAACCTTGGGGACAAGGTGCATCGTTGCCGAGTGGACAACCAAAATAGAATCCTTCCCAGACGCCACTTTGCAATTCCTAGCCGAAGTCAGGGGTATGCTCGCTTAGTCTCTCCCCTCCAAAGACCACAACGGATAGCGGCCTCATGACAGTACCGAACCTAATGCGTCATTCTTTTAATGCGAAAGTGAGTTTTGCGCTCCTGTATATAACTTTAAAGCTTACAATTGAAGCTTAATCGTGGCGTAGTCAGCCCTAAGCTTTAGGTTAGAATTACTCAAGCCGCCTTCGAATTCAGAGGATTTTCGCCAACGCTCAACGCTTTTTCTTGCGGCTGCATCTGACTGACCATACACCGTACGGGTATTCCGTGAGACCCTGGGTGCAGGTTGTGGCGGCCTCTCCTGCAACATCTGTTATCCTTGAGCTTTGTGCGTCGATCGTGGTGAGATTCAACCAACAGGTGATGCAGAACTCAAGAGAAAAAAAAGAGCATCTTTTGCGAATAAATTTCAGACTTGGTGGAAACTAAGTTTCCCACTTAAGCCAGTATGGGCTGTCTTTACGGTTCTTGTTCCGCTCACACGAGTATCGCGTGACTGAGGTTGTGCCATTATTCTCGTAATGTCAAGGATCCAGCTTCTTGCACCACCAACCTCGCAGACCGTCATCCAATACTATTTCTTGGGGGCCTTAGTAGATGCCTCGGGACGTTGCAGTAAGAAGCAAACATCGTCTGATATGCTTCGTACAGATCTGTAAGGCAGGAATCTCACACCGTAACGGGAGCCTCGATATTGCTTCAGTCATCATCTTCATCCGATCCACTATCCCATCCTTCTTCGTATGCCTCGGCAATCTCACCAAGAGAATTACTGAGAGCTTCACGCTCATCTACACTAATAGCTCTATTCACGATGTTCTGCAATTCTTTAATTCTCGCGGCAACTGTCGTGTCAGTCGACAGAGAAGTTTTCACTCCAAGCGACGAGCCTGAGCTAGTGCGGGCGAAGATGTGGGGAAAGCTGTCAAGTAAGGGGAATGGCAGGGGTGTTCTCGACCTGCAGGCGCCAAATGTGTAAGCAAGATTCTGACCAGCGAAAAGGCTTGGAACGGGTGAAAAACTTGGCTGGATCTGCAGCAATACGAGAAATAGTGCACACGATATTAAACGTTTGCTGCAAAACCTTCCAGAAAGAAAATGGATGAACTAACTTTTGGATGATTGGTAGACCGGCTGCTCGTCGCCGCGCCCGTTCAAACCCCTCATCTTGTTCGGTGGTCTCATTCGTAGTGTCATCCTCAGGAACTCGGTGGCTCTCAGCTTGTCCGAACACGTGGGGCTTTTTGATGTTGCGCCGTCCTCGGTTTTGCTCGAGGCTCTCTGGAGGGAAGAAGTCCATATCAAAAGTGCTTACTTCATCCTCTTTGTCTTCGTGAACTTCTTCGGAGTGTCTATCCTGAGAAGGCATCCTCGTGTCTCTATCCTGTGTAGGCACATCTAATCTCCCGGGTCGAGAATTCCCATTCAGCGCTTCCTTCTGGTCTGTGCTCATTCGCAGTTTAGCTATATTTTGATTTCCGTTGACGTTGAGCGCATTGATAAGCTGATCTATCGTCTCACGACTTCGACCCTGAGCCTTCAATCTCGATGGCAACGTCATAGATTCCAAGGCGGTTGCGAGAAGCGCCGATACATGCCATTGGGAACGGGTGTCCATTGAAACGTAAGAAGGTACTCTGGCCGTCGGAACCGTAATTGGGATGAACAGTGATGCCTGTGGAGCAATCTCCGAGATTGATCTCGCAGTGTTCGAAAGCCGGGTAAAGCGTTTTTCCTATGACATATGAGTGATGATCGCAATCCTTGTATTTGGAAAGCACGTACCCGTGGGATAGATTTGATGCTGTCTTCGACGCCCCAAACACAAACTGCTGTCTTTCCATATTCATCTCTGATCCGATCCATATATCTGGCAGCAAAGCCTCCCCAAGCATCATCAACACCAGAGATTACTTGAATCCCTTGCATGTGATCAGCTTCCTCGGCAAAAGACCTCAGATCACGATCCAGAAGGTCATGCTCCTTGTCTAATGAGTTGAAAAGCTCTTCTCCCAGCGACCAATTCTCGAATGGCATGAGCGATGAGTTCAGCTCATATTCGTTCAGTTGGACAATAGATCTGGGATGGAAGTAGACCCGGTTGAAATCTGACCAGTATCTAACGGACTCAGTGGTGAGTGGTGGAGGCTCAAGTCCCTCCTCAAGACTTTGCTGGTAAGCATTTTGCTGGATGACTTCCTGTCGTTGAACGACTGCTGGTCCATTCCTAGATATCTTTAACGGCCGCAATACAGAGACAATCCAGCTTGCTTACCATAGTCCATGAGATACAGCAGGCTCATCTATCTCGTACAATGCATTGATCTTCTTCAAAGTCCCAAAGCCACCCTTGAGATCATAGATGAGAGTTCTTGGAGTGAACGTTTCGCTGCCATCTGCTCCGATACCGGGTCGAAAATGAATGTCATGGTCAACTAGAGATTCTTGATCCGCTGAATAGGTAAAATATGATTCCTGAGAAAGAATGTCAGCATTGCGGAGGAATGCAGAGAATGCCCTTACTTGAGTGTTCCAGAAATGCGTGGCAACGTAATTGCTCCGTTGACCAAGCTGCAGAGTGATTATTTCATGCATGGTGAGATTTCAAGATTTGTCTTCTTGCCAAAAGCGCTTGGAGATGGATAAGGCAAGAGCTGCTGGTTGGCGCAACTGAGCAACTCTGATGGTGCTGATTGCTGGGGTCGGAATGATAACCAGCTTATCAGTACCTTCAAAAAGCGTTTTAGACGGTTTAAGTTGTGTGAATCTGAGACAAACCAAAGACCTGCTCATTTAGAAACGGCTTGTCTTTGCCTGACAATTTCTAGCGGATTTATAATCACGTGCTCAAACCTCAAAGAAGTCTTTACTCTTCCGAGTACTTTGCAATGGATGAGGCTTTTGATAACGGCTGAGAGCTTCACAGCTTTCCCCACAACCGGGCCCCGGGAGATTTGAAGTGCCATGGAATTTCAGGGACGCAGGCTGAATTCACGCACACCAGAATCTTAATATCTCCACCCCTCACTCCATGATAATACTCTCTGTTCATGATAGAACCACACCAGCTAGTTACTAGTGTCATTTAGAGCATCTCCATCTTGCATCGCAACTCACAAAAAACGCCCCGCAGCGCGACAGTTATGCTGGTTGATGCCAATTAAGTTCGCCCATTATTCCTATCCATAGCAGCCATGTCTGTGGTTTCTAGGTGGCTTCCCTTCGCGTCGTCGACGACAGCGACTCAAGCATGCGCCTACCTCTTTGCCGTTTGTTTATTCTCAATCTCATTCCTCGTCTTCCTAAACAGCAGCGTATCCTTTGTCATTACAGATCTTATTGGCATCAAAGAAGGAGTCGGAGACTTGGTCGGAACATTGGGCTTCGTGGACGAGTTGGTGGCTCTATTCGCCTGCCCGCTCTGGGGAATTCTGTCAGATAGACTGGGAGTCCGGATTGTCTGCGTAGCTGGATATACGATTGTCGGGCTGGCCCTATTCCTCTTTGTCCAAGCTCGAAATGTATATCCACAATTACTGCTGGCCAGAATTCTTTTCAGTATGGGTGGCGCTGCTACGTAAGTCTAGTTCATCCCCAGATCATGAATCGGAGTTAACAAAGACGGCAGTGCAACGATGGTGACAGCGATCCTACCTTCGATGACAGGAAATAGTCGAGAAAACGAATCTACACACGGCGAAGCGGTAGGAGAACCAGGTAACCCAGGCTTCAGGAGCAGTGTAGCGGCATCTCTAGACTCGGAAGCTACCATTACACCCGCGAGATATAATGGAAGACCGAAGCCTCCCACAACGAACGGAACTGCGCACAAGTCGACTACGAAATCATCATCTAGCCCTCCACGTCTTGCTGGGTTAGTGGGTGTCTTCACTGGATGTGGCGCACTGGTAGCTTTGGCTATATTCCTCCCGCTTCCAGCTCAATTTTCACACTTGAAAGGAGTAACACAAGGGCAAGCGGTTGCGGATAGCTTCTACGTTGTTGGGACGGTGGCAATATGTGTAGCAGTTGCCTGCTTTATTGGGCTTCGAAATCTCCACGGCGAGGAAGGAAAAGGTTGGCGTCTGCTTTTGGGCAAGACTCCCTCACACGAATACTCGCCAATTGCTTCTCACGAGGAACAAGCACCTACCACAAGAGCTCCGTTCCTACCATATTGGCGTCTGCTGCTTGATTCCACGATATTGGGCTTCAAAGATGCCCAGATTGGCCTTGGATATCTGGGAGGTTTCGTTGCTCGAGCATCTTCGGTGGGTATCTCACTCTTCATTCCTCTATATATCAATGCCTATTTCATCAGAAATGGGTTCTGCCAAGGTTCACCCAATGATCCATCTCCGGAGCTCAAGAAAGAGTGCCGGGCAGCATACGTGCTTGCTGCTGAGCTCACAGGAGTCTCACAACTGGTGGCTCTGCTCTGTGCGCCTCTATTCGGGTTCCTATCGGATCGTTATCGGCGGTTTAATATCCCGCTTCTCGTTGCGAGCGTTTTCGGCATAGCGGGTTATACTGCTTTTGCTCAGCTCCAGAGTCCAGAACCAAAGGATATCAACGGGAGAGGAGGCAGTCCTGCGGTGTTTCTTATTGTATCACTGATTGGAATAAGTCAAATCGGAGCTATTGTGTGTAGCTTGGGGCTTCTTGGTCGTGGCGTACTAGGAGACGAAGGTGGTTACAATTTGTCAGGTCAACTACACGATGCTCAAACCAGTAACGGATTGTCAAGTAACGACGCTGTGGAAACCGCACCACTCGTCGCTGCTCAGCCGACAAGGACTGGGTCTAGGAGTCATCTCAAAGGGTCGATCGCAGGAGTTTATTCACTATCGGGAGGTGCAGCTATCCTGTTACTTACAAAGCTCGGAGGATCTCTATTCGACAGTCTATCAACAGGTGCACCTTTCTACATGATGGCGATTTTCAATGCCATTTTGTTAGTCGTTGGTATTGGTGCTGGTGTTTACCGGGAGATCCGGACACGAAAGAAATAATCCTGTATCTACGGATAGTCCTAAAAAGCATAAATTTGTCTTGCATATCTGCGAATGTACATACATACATACCTCCAAGCGGCTAGGATAGAGAGCCCGTGTTGGCCTCATTGTAGTCTTTCTAGACTAATGCTTGCATATAATTAAAAGTTTCAAATCCGCGTCTTCAATGGATGTGTCACTTGCACGTTGCATGGATGGAAATGGTTATTGGTTTACGGGACCAGCCCTTTTATTGTTCATTCTGTACAAAGTTTCAAATCAACTTAGAGAGCCGATTTGCTCTTTTCATACCTTAGATACTCTATTCTCGACCACCTACCGAGGAGCGAATTCGGAGAGATCGTCTTACGGTGTTGGTCTTTGTCTTTTTAGTCTGAGATCGAGAAGACCTGCGAGGAGGTTCTTCGTTAGAGCTGTCGCTCGCCTTGGCTCTCTTGGAGCTGCGGGTCTTCTTAGCCAGAGGCTCTTCGTCAGAAGATTCAGCCGTTGGTCTTGAGCGCTTTGTGCCGCGAGGACTCTCTTCCTCTGAGTCGATGTCCTTCGTGGCTCTTGCACTTGCTTGCTGAGCACGTGCGGGTATTCCTTTCTTGCTCTTTTCTGCGAGAAGTGCAAGGACTAGTTGGTCCTGTGCGGCTTGCAGTCGCTTTCGTGCTTGTTGGATGGGATCTGGTGATTCGTCTTCAGAGTCGGATTGGCAGTCCACGACGATCGTGTCTCCTTCAAGTTCTGACTCCTCTGACTCTTCTTGGGCCTTGGCCTCTGTCTTCTTGTTTCGAGTAGCCCGCTTGGAAGCTACAGTCAGAGGAGCGACGGCGTTCCTCCTGGCTCGAAGCTTGCGTTGGGGTTTGACTGCCTCTCTCTTTGGCGCCTTTTCGTCTTCAGTATCTAGTGCGAATCGCTCCGTGTAAGGAACATCTTTCTCTTCGGACTGTCCGGGGTGGAAGTCCTTTGAGATGTAGAAGGTTCTTAGGGTAATTGGTTCAGCATCTAGGGCGAACCCCTCGGGATAGTCGCTTTCTTCCTCGGCCCGAGATTGTCCTGGGTGGAAGTCTCTTGAGATTGTGAAGGTATTGAGGATGATTGGCTCTGTGACAGCGCGAGGCTTCTCGAAAAATGCTTGGAATCTAGACACTTTCTTTGGTGTGGTGACGAATGCAGTTGGTCCAGCCAGTGTGTTTGCATCGATCTCGGGGTACGCAGAAGCTGGGAAGTCCGATGTACCTGACATCGTTGTGTATTCTGCGTTCGAGGTTATGACACTGCAGGTGAGGCAGTGGCTTGATAGTTGGAATGGGCGAAAGCTGCATCCGGTGTTGGAAAAAGTAGACATGGCTGTTGTAGGTTTTGTTGAGTTGAGCAAGTGTTTGTGTAATTTGTGTATGATGTTTGCTCTGATTGGGATTCCATTGTGCTTTTATATCCTGCATTCAGCCATTTGGGGCTACTGTTCTATCCCGAGAACAAACTAGCCTGCTGCTCTTGCTTTCTTGGCCCACTTTCATCCGTTGTAGTGCCTTTATTTTGCACGCTCACAAACACATTGTCCACACAAAGGACATCGACGAACATTTGAAAGCCTCTGTTCTGCTATTCTGTTCTGTTTCTTTGTTTTGTATTTTATACTCTGCTGAAGTTAGTTAGCATTCTTAGTTGCGAATCCCGATGCGGAATTTCCTTTGTCTTCAAGCCCAAGTCCTCGAGTCTTTTTCCTCTGCCAACCTTCTGGTTGCTAATCGAGCATACCGTTAAACCTCACCAGCTTTTCCGTGTGCGCAAAGAAGGCTTCAATTATCAATTGAACCTACCTAGCACCAATAAGCAAGCCGAGTTGAACGATGGCACACGCTGCAGACAGCTGTATCTGCACCCTTCGGGATCACATCGACTTCGATAAACACCACCTCCAACATACACAGCAGAAAGAAGACTTCCTCATATCCCAATACTCTAATGTCATTGGACTCCTACAAAAGCAATATCTCAAAATCAGTTCTGCGCTCTTGACAGAGATTGATGACAGTTTCGAAGAGAGTGTGTTGGAAGGCGTACTGGATCACTTGAGGGATGCTATGGGGAACAATGAGTATTGTTTGAATGAGGCAAGGAAGAAATTATGGACGAAATACCGTACTGAAGAAGGGACTGTGGTTGTAGCTGGGTCGAAGGAATGAGAGAATCGATGACCATTGTGACGGTGGTGGAGAAAGCGGATATTCAGCCAAAATACCTTGTCCTCAGTCTGAAGTATACAAGGTATAGAGGCTCTGCTGGTGTATTGAGTGGAAGCGAGATACATACATCCTCTCAAGAAGGTGAACACTGCAGAAAAGTGGAATATCACCATGTAACCGTTACCTGCCAACATCCTTGCAAAAAGCAATTCTCCTAGAACTACCCGAAATAAGTATTTTCCCTCCATCGCTATAAACAACTTCAGCTTTACAACTTGGCTAATCCTCGCTGAAGCATGAATGAAACCAATGACATAATAATACTGGACATTCGAGATCTGCTAAGTAGTGTTATGACAAATTTGCTTTACAAGCCGACAATGCACAACTTTCTGACTAGCAGACGAGTATCCATACATTGAATTTGTGCTTCAATACATAGAGAGCTGCTCATTCTAAATTACTTATGTTCCAAGTCTCAGTCAAATATCCGTCTTGACCGTTTGACGAGGCTAACGATAAGGAAGCTCTAGCTAACTTTTCTTTGTCAAACTGCTTCACTCACAAATACCTAACGTGCCACAATCGTGTTCATTCCACAGACTGTCGATTGTTTCTTCGCCTCAAAACAAGCTACTTACCTAGGTAGGTACACGACTCGAAAAGTTTACCATAGCCTTGCAGACGAGGCTGGGCCCCTGCGGCACTAGCCGTTCCCACCAACCGTAATACTATCCCAAGGCTGTATGATATATCCTCCATTCCCGTGCGCTTCTCCATCGCAAACATATTCACAATGGCGCCCGTCAGCCAGCCCGACCACATGGTCGTCGAACGTATGCTTCAATCTCTGGGCCTTTCAACGCGCAATGCTGACGTGCTGCAGAACAACTTCGAGATGTCATTCAGGACCTCTTCCAGATTATGGTCCAGGTGAATAGCTACGACACAGCAACCCACTCCAGCAACACCGTCCTCCAAAACTCAGTGTACGTCTCCCCTCCTCCCTCTCCCTCGCCCCCCTCGATCAAGAACACAGCTAACACCCACCCAGCAAAACACTCCACAGCTCCCTCCTAAAAATCTACAAAACCGCCAACAACCCCACAGTCAACCTCCCGCACATCCCACCCGAACTAATCCAATACGTGGACAACGGTCGGAACCCGGACATCTACACGCGAGAATTCGTCGAGCTGGGCCGGAAGGGCAATCAGTTGATGAAGGGGAAGAAAGAGGCGTTTGGGAGTTTTAGAGATGTGCTCGCTGAGGAGATGTGTAATGTGTTTCCCGAGATGAGGAGCGATGTTGAGATGGTGGTTAAGGCTACCGGAGGCGATGTTGCGAAGCTGCCGGTTCCGAAAGAGGAGGTGGCTAAGAAGGAGAATTGAGGACGGACAAGCTATTGAAGTTTGCGGGACAGGACATCAAAATGGCGTTATGGGCTGGGTGGGATTGGGACATTGGAGTTCACGGTCCATCTTTCGGCGTTGATTATGGCGTCATGCACATTCACAAAAGCAGAATGTCGGGGCCAATTTCAATGACTTTCAGAGTCATATTTCATTCCATCGGATCAAGACACCTAATCACAAAGAGCAGTACATTCCATTTCAACAATAGCGTTGAACGGCAAGTCCGCAACCGCAACGCAAGTCCTTGCCTACACAATATCCTAGTCAGTCTCCCTTCCAATCCACAAGTCCTCACACCAGAAAAAGAACAAACATACCGGTTTCCGCCCCGGAAAATGAGTAATATAAGTCTCATTCATAGCTTTGAAATCCCCAAAATCCTTGATATAAACATTCAGCTTCAAAATCTTCTCAAAGCTCGACCCTGCTTCTTCGAGTACGGCTTTGATATTCTTCAACGTTTGGTCCTTTTTCCTTAGTCAATCTTTCCTGGAATTTGAGAAAGGGATTGTGGAAATACCGTTTGAGCCTGAATCCCGCCCTCGACAAGTGTCCACGTCTCTACGTTAAAGCCGATGTTTCCGGAGACGAAAACCATGCCGTTGGCTTTGATGGCTTGGGAGAATACGGGGAGAGGGGCCGGAGCGTTGGTTGTGCGTATTTCTTGGATGTCGGTGGCCATTTTGATGTAGTTGGTACTATTCTTGATTGTGCAGATTTGATATATATGTGCTTGGGGAAAGTTTCTTGAGTAGTTTGTGGTGCTTGGTGGTGTAGATTTGTTGAATATGCACTGGGGGAACGTTTCCCGGGTAACCTGTGGTTCTCGAATTTGTAGATTTTAGTATATGTGCTCGGGAAAAGCTTCTTGGGTAGTCTGTGGTTTATGTATTTGTATGTGCGTGTGTATGTACTCTAAGCAGATGAAGATGAGAAATCATTAGCTGCTGACGTGAGAGGAATTTCCGCTTCTGGGTCAATTTGCGAAAGTTTATGAGTACTGTTTAGGCTTGCAAATTTACCATTCTTCGCTGATCACGTTCAGAAGTATCTCCAGTGATTCAGAAGTAAGTACTTCTCCCTCACTCACAAACGTTTCCCCTTATCTAACGCCGAGAAAGAATGAATGCCGCCATAAAATAAACGCCAGAATGCTCCACGCCAGCAACAATGCTCCCACCATCGCTATGCCTTTCTTGTACTCCTTATGCACACCCCCCCTTTTCTCTCCTATCTAAACCCTATCCCTCTCCCCAATCTCCAACTTCAAAACCGGATGTCCAGGCCTCCTAATCCCACCCCTCCTCTCATTCACCCTCGGCACAGACCTTGTGGGAAACAACACGAACCCATCTTTCTGGCCGCCGAATACTTCTTTAGGCAGGTTTCGGGCCCATGCTGGCATCGAGGTGAGGCCTCGTGGTTGGTTCGCGGTTGATGGGTTTGTCTCGGAACAGGAAGAGGAAGACGAAGAAGAAGAGGAATCTGATTCTCGTCGAGAAGAAACTGTGGAGGGAGTTTCGGAGTGCATGAAGCAGGGCTTGTCGATGGCTTTCAAGACGGGGGAGGTTGGTGGAGGGGCGTGGCCATTGGGGTACGCGAAGTCCCAGACTTTGGGGGCGAAGAAGGAATCGTGTTCCATGGTGGTCGAAGAGGTTGTACACTTTTTGAGGGTAAGGTTTGTGTATTTGATTGAAAGCTCTGCGTGTGAACTCTTATTACTGCTTTTGCTGTTTGAGATGCCCGGTTTCTGTGACTGACGTATGACTTGATTGTGAAGAAACTCGCAGAGAACAGAAATATATTCGAATAAAAAAGCTCCATGACGAAAAATAAAAATTGTTGCCTACCTTTCGAAATGACGTCTGATGGGGTGACCTATGATATGACCCTTTCTAGAGTCACCAATTTAGCACATGCCAAACTTTTGACAGCTTCTAGATCCAAAACCAGTCTAAGTAAATCTAGAAGGGACGACCTTAAAGCCTTAAAGGGAAAGCATAGGGCTGATTGACGATATCGGTTGCTTTTTATAGAAATCATGACGACCTATTCCCAAAGTTGGAGAACGGGAAGGCGGGAACTAATGCACCCCGGGACTCTCCTCATGACGATAGCATACTGAAGACACAAGAAATAGATAGATGTCATCAGTCAGAAATTCTGAGCTTGTAAAAAACGTAATATTCATCGTGATCAGCCAGAGCCGTAGAATTTCTGGTAATTAGCACGGATATGTAACTCCACGCTCCTAACTTTTCCTGCTGTAACAGAATATCTACTTAAGCTCCGCAAGGACCTTCTTAAGTTCTGCAGCAACGGCGTTTCCGACTTCGACGGTGCTTGATGTTCCTCCGATATCCTTCGTTCGGATGCCTGCTTCAATAACTCTTCGGACTGCTTCCTCGACGGCTTTTGATTCGGCAGGGAGACGAAGTGAGTACTGGAGCATCATAGCGACTGAGAGGATCGTGCCAACTGGATTGACGATGCCTTGACCTGAGATATCTGGTGCAGAACCTAACAACTGTTAGCTCTTGGTCACAAAGTCGGAAGTGTCAAACATACCGTGAATAGGCTCGTAGATACCATTGCACCTACTCTTCCCATCTGGAACACCACTCAAGCTAGCAGAAGGCAGCAAACCAATACTACCAGGAATAACGCTCGCCTCGTCACTAATAATGTCCCCAAACAGATTACTCGTAACAACGATCCCGTTCAACGCCCTCGGGTTCTTAACCATGAGCATAGCCGCCGAGTCAATCAAATGATGACCGATCTTCAACTGCGGGAACTCCTTCGCCATGACCTCCGTAACCGTCTTCCTCCACAACCTACTGGTAGCCAGCACGTTCGCCTTATCCAAACTCCAGACCGGAGCCGGAGGATCCTCTTGCAGCGCAAGATGAGCAGCTAACCGCGTAATCCGCTCAATTTCCGCTCTAGAATACGGCTCCATATCCCACGCAATCCCATCCCCATCATCCTCCTTCCGGTCCCCAAAATAAATACCCCCCGTCAGCTCACGGATGATGTTGAAATTCGTGCCCCGACAAACCTCAGCTTTGAGAGGCGAGATCTCGACCAGGGATTCGGAGGCAAAGTTGCACGGTCGCAGGTTGCCATATGTGCCCATCTGTTTGCGGAGAGCGAGGATGCCTTGCTCGGGCCGCACTTTGCCTGTTCCCCATTTTGGACCACCGATTGCACCTAGGAGGACGGCATCTGCTGCTTTTGCGGCTTCGAGGGCCTTGGTTGTGAGAGGTTCGCCGGTTGCGTCGATCGAGCACTGGTCGCAGATGTTCTTAGCAGTGTTGTGTGTGAAGGTGGGGAAGTCAAGGGTATGAGGATACTTACCCCGCCAAGGAGATGTTCTTGGAAGTTGAACTTCCCAGTACTCGGTCGCTCTGCCTCGATGACTTTCAGGATCTAGGTCCTTGTTAATTGCTTGTCCGATCGAAGTATAATTGCTTCTTCCGCAAAAATGGGAGGGAAAATGGCGGGGAAGGTACCTTAACAGCCTCTGCTACAACCTAGATTCATTTGTCAGCTGGCTTGTCGTATTTAGCCAATTGGGCGTTGATTGGACTCACTTCTGGACCGCAGTGGTCTCCTCCAAAGACGACGATATTGTGAGTTGTCATCTTGAAAGAGTCGTATGTCAAGATTGCAATGAGGTTGTGTGTGGAAATGCACGCGAGCTTTCACTTGAAGCTGTTTTTGTTTTTGCCCCGCACTTCCGATACCGGGAGGAGGTGGTCTCGGATCATAAGTTCATCCTGATCGGGCTTCTACTTCTACTTAGTGCTTAGATATGCCGATTCGTTCACTAGACCAAGTATATCTCAGAATAACAGGATCTACCCCCCTAAAACCTCATCGAGTTTCGGTGTTTTCTTGTCGAGAAGTTATCACAGTTGATTATTTTTGTGCGACCAAAGATTTGGAATGCGGGGTAAAGTAGTACCCCACTTCTGCTGTACATGTCACACAGCATGAGATAGAAACCTGGAATTTTTGATATATCAGTAATTATTTTTTTGCTTGCTACCTATGCCCACAAGTACTCTTTTCAGTTTCGTCTGCTATTGCTTGACGAGATACAACGCTATGCACCAGTGTTCACTATGTCTACACAAGAAGGGTATCAAAAACAAAAGAAATGCCTGTGTATGCCATATATGGTAATTCGTGGTGTCCATTCAGTCAGTGCGTCCGAGCACGAGATCGTGGGGATGTATGGGTTTGGTCGTGATTAACGTGATTAAGGATGGAGAGAATGAAACAGTCTTCATCGGAACGATTTGAAAGACTTGTGTGCGAGAGGTGAAGAGCCCATACGAGTATGCGTAATTGCTTTGTTTGTCTCGCGGATTCGACCTCCTCGCATATTGGGAGTCTGAGCACAGAAGGCACAAACGTATACTGGTGGAAGACTTCGACGATCAATGCCTACACATTCGGCATGCAACCAGTTTTCGCAAGCCTCACTACCACGCTCGTTAGTCTTGTTACCTATAAGCTCTGCTTGATACATACCATTGAATCATGAAGCCCTCGCTATCAGGGTTATTGCAGACACATCGGGTTGTCCCACTCCTCGTACTTGAAGGAGTAGTAGCGGGGTCCGTAAGCGTAGTTGGGGATAAATTGGCTGAGGAGCCATAATTTCCATATGAGTTGCCTCGAGGAGTGGCATCTGATCCATAATGATGGTGGCGAGGATTTCGTGATTTTAGTTGGTTCTGCTTCCGGCTTTCCATGACCTTCCGTAGTTCTCGTGTTGCATCTCCATCGTCTCCATCCATGACAGTCTCAGCTTCACTTTCGACACTATCTCGTCCATATGAATGTTGGCTCGAGGACTCAGACTGGCTATAACCACTGGCACTGTGTCGTCTTATGTCTGAGCCACGATTGGATGCCTCGAGTCTACTATGCCTTGGTGCCTTGCTTGGTTGCGGTAGTGAGAATGAAGTGTTGCGGCTTGGGACCAGGATGGGCTCATCATCTGACGAAGATTCATAGTGTGAGGAGTCCCAGTCCTCGTGCGTCGTAGATGGCCCTCCTCTAGTCGTCCTTGGCTCTTCCCCAACGATGACTCTCTCCGTTTTTGCCCTTCCATTTGAATCAATAGTGAACTTCAACTCAGTTCGCATTCGTGGTGTTGACATCTCAGGTATCGACTTCAGCGTACTTGGACGTTGCTGCTTTACAGGAGATACTCGACCACCGCGGGAGACAGCACGGTCTGTATCTGAGCTCAGTCGAGGTTGATAAAAGCTAGTGCCAAAGGAGTTACCTTGAGTCCTTCTGCCACGACTGTCGCTCACACTCCTCTGCAGTCCTGGCCGCGCAGAACCTTTGACAGGAGAACTCACAGTCCCTCTATCGATGCGTCTGGCCTTGCTACCTTCCCTCGAACTACGAGATCGCTGCAATTCCTCTAAATCCCTCTTTGATTCTCGTAGCTGGTGTTGATATGGTTTCAGCTCAGCATAACTTGTTACTGGACGTGTTGCTGGTAGAGGCACGTCTGCAAACTCTGAAGGCATGGGGATAGGGTTGGTGTCCCCAAAAAGCAGACCTGGATCTACTCCACCCATTGAGACTGCCGAAAAAGGATCATCGGATGCAGAGTTATTGTTGAATTCGAACGGTGGTAAAGAGGTGGGAAGTCCAGATGTTGTGATGGGTAATTTGGGAGCTAGTGGTCGTTGGCGTTTAGAAGTGACCTGTGGCTCCTTCTGAGTGGGTGCATTCTGGGTTTGGGTCGGTGCTGCATTCACAGTTTCTTGGAACATCTGATTATTTCTTCCCCAATCGAAAGAGTTGCTAATTTTATGCGAACTCATGTTGAACATCCCCGCATCATCAGTGTTGAAATCAAGATCCATGCCACTCATGCTTGCATCTGGATCCCAGAACGGTTTGGTATTACTGAAAACCGGAGCAGTGGCCGGAGCCGACATTGGATAACTAAAGAAATCCCCGGCGTTGGAAGGAAATGGCATAAGGTTAGTATGTGTGGGAGTCTGCGATGCGCCATAGTGGCCATCCCGAGGATCATTCTGCATTGTTTCTGTTGAGATCTTTGGTGCCAATTTCCTCGTTCCCTTGGACTGAGATGCTGGAGGCGTTGCCGTTTGTCCACTGAAAGCTTCCTCCAAACGTTTTCTGGGCTTCCGAGGAGTTACCTTGGTAGGCGATAGGTCATCGAAATGACTTTGTGAAGCAGAATATGGTCCAGGGGAAGATGGAAGTTGGATCGACGGATCAACCGGAGGTAATTGAAAGCTCGGATGGGGTGAGAAATGGTGCACATGCGTTGAAAGCTCAGCTGTAATATCTCCAACAGTGGAAAGTCGCCGGTCTTGGGTGGAAGTGGTGGTAGGTCTGGGCGTTGGAGCTTCACCAAAGTGAGAGCTAGTTAGGCGTCCAGGTGTAGAGTTGAAGACCTAACAAAATCAGCATACTTTTTCATTGCTAAGGTCCATATTCTTTCAGGAGCTTTTGTGGGTGTGCATGACAGAATCGGACAATGCCGAACATGTCAGAAGCTGGAGGTTCCTTATTAAGCCGCACAAATCCTAAATTCTGCCAAGGGAGGAGAGCAAGTAAAATCTGCCATACAGTATATTCTTCGGCAAACCGAGGTGTCCACCCACCACGCTCTTGCTCCTCAAAATTCGAATTATTTCTAGGTGTTTGGAAGGTTGGGCTAGAGAATTGAGCGGCCGTCGGGGTTTTCGTGGGAGTCGGGGGTTGGTTCCCAAGGCTTCAAAGATTATTGATTAGCCTGAAATGTCTGTACGGTAGAAAGAGTCATAACTACCTGTATGTGTCCCAACTCATAGCAGAGTTGACTGGCTATTGTATAGCAGAAACCCAAAACAGGATTGTTGCCTATGCAAGACCGTTCTCCGAAAAGTTTCCTCGGAGCTCTAGCCAACATCCACTACCGCCTTCTCGTTCCTCCAAAGTCTAGCCTGGTCCAACAATTGCCTCTCAACGGTATATCAGGCTTTGGCGTTGTCGAGGAATGAGGGAGTTGCGGGAGCAATTTGGTATTTGGTGGCGAGGTATTGTTCACAGCATGCCAAGCTTAAATTCGTAGGATCTGCACAATTTTTCTGCGACTTCATGAAGTCAGTCTCTGAAATCAAGAGGATTGGAGAAGGGAGGACTACCAGAAGTGACGGAGACAGAGCAAAGACTCAAAATTAGGGAGGTTCAGGCCAAAGGTGGTAAGCAAATGTCCGGTCTACCTGCACGTTCAGACAATCGAGGACGTTCCTTGATCTGTCCTAGACTACCCGCAGTGCACTGATAATGCAAGACAAGAAAGCCGACTGTATTCGAAAAAATAATCAACGTGTATTCAAGACGCTGTTGAAGTTCGTCTCGGGAACGATGCTTTGTAAAATGGAATTCTTCGTGGTAACATGAAGAAGTGCTACCGCAGAAAATACCAGGATTGATGCCGTATGCGGGTCCCGAGCAAACGCAAGCTCCTGGTCCGAGGAAACTATTATGTTACCCAAGCGCTTTTTTTTATCGTAGTAGTTGTGGAGGAATGCAGGAGCTCATTTCGACAAAGTAGTGGGAGACGGCGCAATCCATAATCAAGGTCGAGTGAGGAGCTGAAAGGGTTTTTGCGGGCCACGAAATTGAGCTCAAACCCGTATCTCTCACTCGTATGGGACCGGCAGAGCAGTTAGTCAATAGTCCGCGAGGGGTTGAAGATCAGATCAGATCAGTACGGAAATGTTTAATTGTGCCTGAACAAGCGGGCACGCCAGGCGGATGTGAAAATGATAGCAGAGGACGCTTATGATATCTGGTTCGACCGAGTGATAGATGGTTTTGCCGACCGAGGAAGCAACTCCGAAACTCAGATGGAATTTACGCAACGGCGTCTACAAAGACTTGGATACTTGGAATCCGAGGACATGTGTGGTCAGCGAGGCGGGAGGGGAGGAGGAGAGCTTGGCCGAGTAGACTTGTATTGTATGTATGATACGGTACGATATTGTCCTATGCGTTGAGGCAAGAAGGAGGCACGGCGGGTGGGAGAGAGTGGGTTGGTTCGACCTGGTTTGCATCGTTCAAAATAGGCCAGAGCTCGCATGGGCGTGGCATGGCATGGCATGGCATGGAAGGGAAGGCAAGGCAAGGCCAAGGCATGCATGGCATTGGAAGGAACGCCATCTTTTCTGCCAGCGATCCTAACTACTTCAAGATCGACTACCAACGCCAACAATCCCGCTCGTCATTTGTACGGAGTATATTTATTCTTGGTCATGGTCCCGAGCGCACGAGGACCATTCCCCAATATCATGTTAGCATCACTCTGTCTTTCGTACCTGCGTTTGCTCTGCAAAGGTCAAGAACCCTCTTGTGTCCAATTTCTTTCCTCTCACAGCTGCATTACCGCATCATGCACAACCACACTCAACATCACAGGTCTGACCACGGGACCTGCATATGACTGAGTGTTCAAGATTCGCCTTGTGGACGCCCTCAAAAGTTCAGACATCTGATTTAGGAAGCTCGGAGCGCAGAAAGGCCACTGGATATTACTCACCGCCCTAAGAGCCCCTCTCCTCCGCATACTGCTGATTTCCACCAGCGAAAAAGCATCGTCCATTGTCCATTGTCCGTTGTCTCTCCTGTCTGTCCAGAACAATCGATCAGCAGCTACATTTAAGGTTGGACCTGGATGTCGCGAGCCAGATCAGATGTCATCGAATCACTGTCTCTCGATGGAGGGGCTTTTTGCCCCACGGAACAACGACCCCTCTCATAAAAGGATATCGGTATCCTATCTCTCACCCAGACATCGTCCCAACCATCTTTCCGAGACCTAAGTACAGCGTACAGCAAGCTATGCGTCAGAGGAGGCTCGAGAACACAACGATTGACTGGTCGGCAGTGAAAGCGCAAGTAGCCCATCCCATTCTTCCCAAGGTCGACCCCTGAGCCAGAAGAAATACAAGAGCTACTCGGTATTCATTGATTCAACCAGTTTTTCCCCTCCACCAGCGAGCAACGAATCACAACTGCCCCTCACTGAGCGTCGGTCTCCTGAAGAAACGACCAACTTCTCGCTCGTACAGGCTTCAGCCCGCCAAAGGAGGTCGCTAAGCAGACGAGAAACAACCGACTCGTCAGAGGTGATGCATGAAATAATACCGTCATTTGCAGTGCCCGTCTCACCCAATCAAAAAAGATAGGAGACGATCCAGCTTTCAAGCCAGAAAACCGTGCAATCTTACTCGGATACTTCTCATCTTGACAGCTGCACGCTTCTCTCAAGTCGTCTTAGAACCATTCCAACTCGAGAGCCGCAACGTCAAGAGGAATTTAGAGCAACGATCGCATGCCGCTGTCACGTGACTACACTTACTGACGACGAGCATTATCGCATTTGCTCTCTATACGTTACAACGTAGCAACAGCTTGATATTAGGGTTGCATCATTTGGGTTACATTCATATCTTTCCGTTGTCAACTTCCTTCCGTGTCATGTGTTACAATATATCTCAAGTTTCTATCAGCAAGGATGATAAAAATCTTTCATATGCAAAACTCAAAACCAAATACCGACTCGCCGAAGTCGGGGTCTCTTTGTTTCTAGTCAAGGACGGCTGATGAGAAAAAATCGAGAACGACGGCAAGGTCAAATTATCCTGAAAGCAATTCCCGACGTGTCGGGTTGAGCAGTTGTTGCGAGGGAGGGGAGGTCAAGAAACGGACTAGAATATGGATGACACTTATATCAGAACAAAACTAGTAGTGTGCTAGACAACTCGGACAGCATCGGTTCTGACCTTGGGCTGAAATCTCCGTCATCTGTCTGCCTAGTCGTGCGAATTTTATCTTAAAAACTCAGATCCTTTCGCAGCCTCAGGCCTTAGCATTAAATATCGGCTACTTATTACGAATTACTTAGTTATAAATTACGTAGCTATTTAAATATGCGTTTTTAACGCAAATATCTTTAAATTTTCTACGTAATTCGCTACTGTGACAGCACGGTTGGAAGCTCAGTACGTGTCACAGTTCTGGTTCTTCAAACCAGTCTGAAACCGTCACGTGGTTAGCACGTGACCCCATTCCTGTATATAAGCTCGGTTCAGAGCTCTTCCGAGCTCTTCACCTTAGTATTCTGCATCTCAACCTGATCTGGTCCGTCACAGTACGTAGACGAAGAATCGATTCGGCTATCTCTTAGAATCTAAAAGTAAAGAAAGAAGAAGGGAGTGGGAGAGCCAGAGCTTATATACGCCAGAGTGAAACATGCTCAAGCTCTCAGTCCGATCCGTTCCCAGGGAGGATCACGTGGAGGCTACCTAAGTGCTCACGTGATCTCTAGCCAGGTGATCCGTAACATGAAAATCCAAGAATTTTATATAAATCCTGGATTAATGCTATATAATATGCTCTCGTAAAGCTACGGCGTTGAGTGCGGGGATTAGTACCGCGAAAGCTACTTCTTCTCCGTCGCCTACGGCGGTTACGGCTTCGGGTGCGGGGAGTGTTGGGAAGGCTTCGTGGGCTATGCTTTTGATTGCTGGGGTGGCTGCTTGTTTGTAGAGGAGCGAGCGGGTGGGCGAGCGTGTGAGAGAGGGTGGGCGAGAGTTTGCAAGCTGGCGAGCGTGTTAGGGTGGTCACGTGTACTAGCTTGGTTCCTTCCATATTTATATCCTCAGAACCTCACTTCAGCTCTTCAGAGACGCACCAACAATACAGACTTCACAGACTTGAACCAGCACGCTGAGACCGTGACCGTTCCTGCAGTGACGACTGTTATAACAAGTGTATCCAGGACAGGTTAGTCGCCCATCACAAATTTCCTTTTCAGCTGGAAAGATTACAATATCTAACATGCTTATTAGGTTCATATTTCGGATTTGCTTTCTTCACTTTACACAACGGTTGACGGTGAACCTAGTCCCTTTGAAGCGGGGTTTGGATTATTTACCCAAGCCCTCGATGACTGGTTGCCCTGCTTTGAGTCTACTACCTCCCGGTCCCTGAGTGCGTAAGAAGTCGAGAACAAAGTTTTTCTATAGTAGTAATACAATATAATTGTGAGACTACTCTGTCAACATGGGCGACCAAATTGCAATGTGGCGATAATCATAGAGTGTCCTAGCTAGGGGGTATTCAACGACCTGTATAATATTCTTATCCGGACTTCAGACTCCAGAAACATACAAACGTCTCAAACGCAGTTTTAAACCTTTCCTTCTTCTTCACAGGGGCAGCAGCAAGGACAAACGTGCTCCCCATAGAAACAAATTTCTATAGTTCTCGATTTATTTAACGTGCTAGAACATTGACAATTTCCAGTTCTCAGGAATAAACACTAAAATACTACAATAATGCAATGATGACTTGTCATTCCTGTCATTTAATGCCTGAAATGAGAATTTTGTGACCAAAGACCTTTGTTATTCCGCAAGAATATCTATCTAATCGGATACTTTCAGGGTGCTCGCAAGATAAGCCGCAACCAGACCAGAGAGACCACCAAGCCCCAACACATAAGCGATGCCAGTCCCGTTATCTCCCGAGACGAAAAATACTAAACTACATATCAAAGCAGCAAGCATTTGCGGAGCCGCTATGGAAACATTGTGCAAACTCATCAATAAGCCTAGCCCTAGAGTCTGTTCTCCACCAGCAGACCAAGTCAGCTCCAGCATCCTTTCTGCTGTCCCCGCACCGACTAGAGCAAATGGTATCCAACACGTACAGGTTCAACTAACACCCATCGTTGCGACGAGAGCTGTTACAGCCTCTGTTGTGGAAACAAAGCAGCTGCTGAACATGCAGATTGAAAACAAGATCTGGGAACCCGTCCATAAATTGGAAAATGTTAATTTTGACTTCCAAATGCGATCCATAAACTTTCCAGAACAGACCAAGCTACTAGAAGGGCTGATTATATAGGGGAATATCGTGCTCGATATAAGTGAGATGCAAGAATAAAGAAGCATTACCCTCGGCCCGGATCGCAGCGACTCATTCTTGGCGAACTTCAGCCCTTTAAGGCCATTCAGCTGCCTATCATCTGTTAGCAAATGATCTAAACCTAAAATAAGTTAGTACAATGGCTTGGATAGAACGCATCTTCTTACTGATCTTGTCGATGTATCTAAAATTCACGGGTTACTAAACTTGCAAATGATTCGGAAGAAAGAGACCTACATGGTAATGTAATAGATGAACAGAAACCAGCCCATCCAGGAAAAGAATTGAATTTTCCACACTTCTAGAACATCTTGAGGTAAATTCCACATCGCTGATACAATTCTCCTCCCATCGCTTGGTTGACAAGAGGTTGACTCAACCATCTCATTCACGCTCTTCTCGGGGCCTCTTTCCTTGATGAACAGCCACAATCCAGATAAACTCAACAACAAAGCAAATAATGTTACAAGACAGAGATCTTTGAATTGTGTGTTGGCGAGGAAGGGTAACAGCTTTGGGAGGTCGGTTGCCCCAGAAAGCTGTCCAATGATGTTTCCTATGCCAATCATTGCTGCAGCAGCCCAAGCTGAAGCTCTACTTTGTTGCTGTGAGGGGCAGGTATCGATGATGAGAGCTCTGAGCCCGACTTGGACCGGCTGAATAGCAATTTGTAAAGCGACCATACAAATCAGGGTCATTGACTTGCATAATAGGGTATATCCCATCATCTGGGTCTTGCCTATCGTCTGTTCGTCCTTGGTTGAGATCAAGTCTGGTGCCCATCCTAGGCCAAGGAGACAGAAAATGATCCCTCCAACCCCTATACCAACAAAAATCCTTCGTTTTCCGCAACGAAGCCGGCATCTATCACTACGAATCCCTATATATGGTTGCACGAAAGTCCCTACGAGTGGTCCAGCAAGCCATGTTAGGCCGACAGATGTCTTACTGAGGCCAACTGATAACAATTGGGACTTTTATGCCACATGTTAGTCTTGTTGTTTGGGAAAGAGGGTTTCATTTACTCACAGAACCGTACGATGATAGGACTGCAAAGACGATTTGTAATCTACAAGATTAGATCAGTAACTGAAGGCAAGCTTCACAGAGTGGACTCACGCACCAAAGCTCAATGATAAAACGAAGAGGTAGGAAGTCGCCCTCAACGCCGGTTCATCTAACTTTTCACCAGTCGTCTCTACCACTATGACACGGGCATCATCATCACCATCGCTGTTGTAAACACTATCTTGAGGGAATGGGCTCCCATCTGAGCTATTTCTCGCCAATATAGGTTGATATCTCCACGATGTCAGTGCCGCCATTGCGACCGAGAGTGCGCACTCGAGCGGGTCTTTGGAAGGAAGCCACCGTAACTTCGAACTTTGAAGCCAAGTGCCAGGAGTAAGGGATCATGAACGCTACCCAAGACGGAAATTTCACCAACTCGATCAGTCATTGGGATCGGGAATAGACCCTGTTACCATACCTCAGGTTGACGTACTTACTGTGCATTCTGCACTCGACCGGCCGACGCACTGGAATGACATAGCCTTGAGTTGTCAGAAATCAGCAAATCCATCATGCTGAGTTGGAAGGCGTAAGAGATCATGACTATTTTGACATTCTATAAGAAGGTGTGAGAATGCCGATACAGTCAGTGCCTACCTACCGACGGCGGTGCGGTGTGTCAGGTTAAGCGAGAAGAGCGGGGGTATTATTAAGGTTAAGCTTCGGCTCCGATATTTACGATAATATCGTTATTTTATTGTACTGCGTATAAAATAATACTAGCTTATATTAAAGCGTAGTACGGGATAATAATATTACTGCCGGCGGTAATACAGGTACAGTACAGAAATCACCACGGCACACGGGGCAGGTGCTGTGCCTCCTTCCGGCATAGGCATAGTTCAGACAATCGAAGTACAGTACGTGCCCTACCACCGCGGAATGCGCAGACGGAGCAAAACTTGAACTTGGGGAGGCAGGTAAGGTAATCTACTGTAGGGAGCGGAAACTGGTTATCTCTTACGGTCGAGCGCTTGGTTGTTGCCTTTCCCAGATTCCGTTCACATACCTCCGTCTCCCTTGCCTTGCTTCTCTCAATCGATCTTCGATCTTCAGAAGTTGACGAAATGAGCGCCATAACCAGCAAGCAAGAGAGTGAGACCACGGTCAGTGAAGTATGATAGCCGACGAATAAATTTTTATCGGTTGCTAACTATACGGCCCAGGATACAAATATACTGGCGACATCTACACAGGTCTCTCAGGAACGGAAGACCGTTGACGACAAAGACATAGAGCTGAGTACCAATGTCAGCGTCGAGCCTCTCACCAACATCGGGAGACCTGTTCTCCCCGAAACGGATCTCGATAGAGGCATCGTTGGTTGGGACAGCCAAGATGACCCTTCGATGCCCTTCAACTTCTCCCCGGGTCGCAAAAGGGCTATCCTTGCTCAAATCTCAGCAATCACGTTTGTTTCCCCGCTGGCGACCACGGTTTTTGCACCGGGAGCCTCCTTCATGGATACCGAGTTCCACAATAGCGACGCCCTTCTGTCAAGCTTAACAAGTTCAGTCTATATCCTTGGTAGATCACGTAGATTTGGGTCGGTTCGCAAAAGCTGAGATCTATTTTAGGATATGTCATCGGTCCCTTATTCCTAGCACCTGCGAGCGAACTTTGGGGTCGCCGGCCCGTCCTTTCGCTCGCAAACTGGTCATTTGTGATCTGGCAGGTCTGCTGTGCGGTCTCGCCGAACATTGGATCATTGATAGCCTTTCGATTTCTTGCCGGAATTGGCGGTGCTGGGGCCATGACTTTGAATGGCGGGGTAACAGCAGACTTGTTCATCCCAGAAGAGCGCGGGACTGCCAATGCTCTGGCCGCTCTTGGCGTCATATTTGGTCCTATCGTTGGTCCACTGCTTGGGGGTTTCATTGCCCAAAGGGTTGGCTGGAGATGGATCTTTGGGTGCTTTCTTGTTTGAGTGGCACGCTCAGCGTTTTGATCGAGATCTTCAATAAAGAAAGCTACGCTCCGGTTCTGATTACGAGGAAGACCGCCAGATTATCGAAGGAGCTTGCTCGCCCAGACCTCCGATCTTGCTACGATGACGAGGAGACTCCAGATACCACATTTAAGAAGCTTCAACAGGGTTTCACACGTCCACTTCGAATGCTCTTCCTCTCTCCAATCATCGGGCTATTCTGCGCATACGTTTCTTTGATATACGGATGTCTCTACCTCCTTCTCACAACAATCCCTTCAGTATACGCAAATACATATCACTGGTCACCCGAGCTCACTGGTCTTGCGTCTCTCGGCATTGGGCTAGGTTTTTTCCTTGGTTTAGTGGTGATCGGTTCAACGAGCGACAGATTGATCATCAAATTGACCAAAGAGAACAATGGGATCTATGAACCTGAAATGCGGCTCCCACCAATGGTCGTTCTGGCAATTTTCGTCCCAATATCCTTCTTCTGGTATAGCTAGTCGGTTGATAAAGGAGTTCACTGGATCGTCCCAATTGTCGCCCTTGTACCTTTTGGATTTGGTATGCTAGGCATCCTTTATCCGGTCCAGATGTATCTTATCGATGCCTTCCCAATCCACGCGGCATCAGCAATGGCAGCTCTTACTGTTTCCCGATCATTGGTCGGTGCACTCCTACCACTTGCTGCCCCCAAAATGTACAAGTCACTAGGCCTTGGGTGGGGGAATTCATTGCTGGGTTTCATTGCTTTGGCAATTGTCCCATTGCCTTACTACTTTTGGAATTTCGGCGGCGCGATAAGAAAGAAGTATGTGATTAAGTTGTGAAATCGGGCCGGTGTCGATATCAAGGCTGAAGGGGATGGTGTACCTGGGGGACGAGCTACATCGAGTGACTGACGCAAAATCAACTGCAGGGTGTTTAGATTCACATGGCAAAGTCAGCTTTCTGTCAGTTGGGAAATTTTGTACAGACCAAATACTCGGAATAATACGGCGATTGCTATAGCGGGCCAAAGCTAGTAAGCTGTGCTGTAGTACTATACATGCAGCTCCGGGCTTAGGCAATTATTATCCCCCAAATTTGATTCGATTGCTTATGATTTGCTTCCAGGGCGGGAAAAGCATCGCATCAATTAACCAAACTTCTGGCCTCTGTCACTTTTCGTACATTTCTGCTCCCAAACTTGTTCTTGTTGCAAACAACAGTGAAGGAGCTGTTTACTAGCAGATATGTTGGTCAAGAATTATATGTCAACACCGCTTCTGATACTTGCTGCTCTAGCAAAGGTTGTGTTTGCGGAACCAGATCATTTCTGCAAGTCTTTTGGACACGGCTCAAACAACGACTTCTGTGTATCGCTCGCAACGTACGATGATCCTACTTTCTCCAAGCAAGATTTCATCATTACTTTCAACCGCACACAGCATGCAGCTACTGGCTGGTCTTCGGTCGGAATCGGTAATCAGATGAATGGATCCATCATATTTCTTCTATACGGAGATCCAAACTCGATTTCCCCACCAACTCTCAGCGTTCGATCCACAATCGCCCACCGTCACCCCTTGAGCTTATCCATGGGAGACCAACACTCGCGTTGGAATCCATATTGGATACGTTGAAGCCCAATGGTCTGCATCATCTCACGAAGGCTCCAAAACTGCGACAGCAAGCTTCGTTTGTTACGGCTGCAACGCCTGGTTTTATGCAGATAGATCCGCCATAACACCCGTCTTGCCCTTTATCTGGGCTGCCAACACTGAACAAGACCTCTCAGTCTCAGACTACGCAAGTGATGCAAATCTGATAATGCACAATCACTACGGTAGTTTCGATATGGATATGACGAAGGAAATGAGCATCGTCCCCAAGCTACTTCCAGATACCATATCAAACTTTCTCAGACCTTCTCCGCCTGCCGCCCCAAACAGCCCCAATAATGATAATCCAACAATATTCGTACCAGATAAACATCGAATCTGGCTTCTTCATGGTCTCTGCTTAGCTGCAGCTTTCTTCGTCCTCCTTCCACTGGGCACAATATTCATTCGCACAGGCTCGCCACACGCATTCTACTTGCATCTCGGTCTCCAAATCATAGGATCAATTTCAGCCCTCGTGGGAATGATTGTTGGATTTTTCTTGAGCACTAGTGTTCATACTTGGCATCAATATATTGGGCTAGGACTCGGATTGGCGATGCTTGCTCAATTGAGACTAGGTTTCCAGCGCCACCGAGTATTTGTCTCCAAGAAAGTCAATACTTGGATGGGAAATACTCACATTTGGATTGGAAGGTGTATTCTTTTTGGTGGATCTGTCAATGTTGTCTTAGGTCTGACTCTGAGTGACTACACAATCCACCTGAAAACGGGGTTCACAATAGCGGGCGTTATGAATGCGCTTGTGCTTGGTTTCGTGATCTATAGGCACAAGATCGGAAAACCTATCGGGAAGAATCTTAGAATTCCATGGCTCAGCAAAGTCAATGGAATTGGATGGGCTGACGGTGCAAATCTGCAGTCATACTTTGCGTTGACGGACGAGGATAACAATGAGGGAGAAGAGGAGAGAAGAAACGAAGTTGAGATGGAGAAGGGAATCGAGAGAAGACAGTCCATGAGTGAGTCTCTACGCACGGAAGCCCTGGAGTGAGTTGGCAAACTCGAAAGGATGGTATATGAATATGTTGGAGGTTTTGGGGATGTGATTTGGCTCAATTATTGTTTGGGGTACGAAAGCATGATATCCAGTAAATGCAAGGTTAATTTATTGTATTACTGGACGTTCAATCTATTCTCACTGGAAAAAATTTTCTTTATCCAAATCTATAGTTTGCTGTTTTACAAGTTTTTTGTACGGATAGTTGAAAAACTTGTAGTAATAATACAAAAACTAACAAAACAGAGTGGTGAAATTAATGGGACAATAGTAATGAAAATCCAAAAAAATGACTAATTAGTAAAGCCAAACAGGCCTCCCCCCTCTACCAGCCCCTCCTCAGGCTTCTTATACTCTCAGTTCTCATCTTCTCCATCCTTGTTATCGTCACAGCTTGAATAGGAGGGGTTTTCATTCGCTCGAAAAGATTAAAGGATAGTTCATTTTCCTCCTTGGCTTCATGCGACTTCGAGAAAATTGACACTTAGGGTTAGGGTTACCAACATCGGTGCCACTCTGAACATCACGATCGCTTTGCTCCGAGCGTATGTCCGGGTCAACTCTCCCAAAGCTGTACTCATGGCCCGAGAGTGCGAAATGTGGCCAGCACCTGTACTCCACGAGCCATCGCTCAGAAGGAGTTATTTCCTGTGCCGTTCCCTGATTCAGCTATGCAGACTCGACAGCAGCATCGCCATATTTCAGACTCCTTGCTTGCATATCCACAAGCAGTCACGGAGGAGGTTCAGGACGATAATCCAGCTGCTTCCTCAAAAATCACAGTCCATGATGCCAATTACACACCCTACACCAGCCATGATCTAACCATGCCGATTACCCCTGAGAAGTGTAGGCTCACCTCCTCCTAGCCAATGAGTTTCAGGCTTGCTAACAAATTTTCAGTTGATGAGGAGCCACACGCCTGGGATGAATCTTATGAACTGAACTCTGAAGAGGAGAAATATTAAGAGCTGAGGCCACCGGGAATGGCCCACTTAAGCGAGACGCGGTAACGCGTAAAAATTCTACACCCCATTTTAAAACCCTTACTACACAACAACCCTCTTAGGAATCAGTCCATAATTCAAGATGGAGACACCTCTTATCCTAAGTGATCCTATCGAGAAAGAGAATAATGAATGGCCTACCCCTGCACGTGCAGTCATTCGATCCCTATAGCGCCAGGGAAAGTCGCAACGCGAGATTGTCTCAGAGACCCATATCCCTCGAAGAACAGTACGCCGCATTCTTAAGCAGGAATCTAGTCGGAGAGAGTGCAAAAGAAAGCTCTCTAGACACCATCTCATGTCTATACGCGACATACGTTATTGCATTCGAAC